AGAAACAAAAGAGTAGCAGGTACAAAAAACCCTTATGGGGACACTAACTAAGAAAAAGGGAAAAAGGAAAGTGTGGTAGTGGCAGAGGAACGGCATGAATACTGGTATTGTTGATTTGATCTGGAGGAATGACCAACGGATGGGAACTTTGATAATTACTTACCACCGTGGCATCGCACCGAGAAAGCAAAAACAACAAACGTTCATCAATGAGCAGAAAACCAGAGCGATCCAGGATCTGGATCTGGTGGGATCACAGCCAGAGGATGCACAAGGCAATCAATGGCATGCAACAAAAGGAGCAAAGCAGACCAAAAGTACGGTGGACCAGCTGAAGCTTTGTCTGGAAGACAGTTCAGAGCATGATCAATGCGATGTACACCAGGTGGAGCAGGTGGCAAAGCATCAAAAAAGGTACGATCCAGAGCACGACATGTCAGAAAGTGATCTCGGGAGATAAACTCACCGGTAGTGCACGGACATTCTTCACGCATATTGGTGAAACGTCCAAGACGCCACCGCACAAGACGACTACGAGCAGATCGACCAATAGGCAGATAGAGAATGGGATCTGGACGAGAGACAGATGGACGACAAGCACGAAGGAGAGTCTGAGCACCAGTAGCAGCAGCGGTAGCAAGTTGACGATCCACTTGATCTTGCCAATACGAATCAAAGATTTCAGTAAGACCAGCAGTGGTGAATGGCGGCGGATCAGGTAGTGTCAGATACAACGGGTTTTGACAAATAAATCTGTCTAGACGAGTGTACAGTAAGCCACGACGAAGCAGAACCAACAAGCAATCATCAGGAAGAGTATCAGCACGAAGAGCATAACGTGTTGCCAGAACGTTATATCGATGCTTCATGCTGGGAATACAGGTCAAATGTTTGGCAACATTGTACCATGTACTACCAACAAACATACCAACCAATCGATTTTGCAGAGCATCAAGAGCCTTGAAGTCACGGAAAGAGAGATGCGATATTGCTAAGCCGTATTCCAGCTTGGGTCGAATAAAGCTTTTATACAAACGAGCACAAAGCAACAGAGAAAAACCATTTCGATTGACACCAACCGAATTCAACAATGCCATTGTCTTGATAGCACCAGAAGCACGCAGATTGAGAATCCCAGGGGCATACAGACCTTTATATCTAAACGGCATACCAAGATACGTGAATTCCTCTACCACAGGAAGAGGTTCACCGTATAGAGACAATGGATGACGAGTAGAGGCAGTAGGAGCACAAAGTACAGCACATTTTGATGGTTTCCATCTGTAGCCAAGAGAGAACGAGTGATCTGAAGCGACATCCAACATGGTTTGCACATCAGTACGAGAGCCAAATATGGCCACATCATCAGCAAAGAGCAGGCTATTCACGCAAACACTAGGCATCCCAGGTGGTGATACCATAGTACCGCGACTGACAGCAGAACGAAGAACAGCAGGCAGAGAGTTGATGTACAGAGAGTACAAGTGAGGGCTGAGCACTGAACCCTGTAATACGCCAGTAGCAGGCGAAAAGGGAACAGAGGTGTGATTTGCAATCAACACAGACACGAGTACATCATCGAACATGTGGATGAGCAAACTGAGAACTGAACGAGGCAGAGAGGAACGAGAGAGAGCATCCCAAATCACTCGACGATCCACCGTATCATACGCTGATTTGATGTCCAGGAAAGCAACCACAGGATAGTGATGGTGGGTGAGGAAGTAGTCGTGCATCAAGTCATGTAAACAGAGGGCTTGATCCAGAGGACTACGCTGTGGGCGAAAACCACCTTGAGCAACATCCAGTGCCAGTGAATGCTCATCGAGAGCAGGCATCAGAGAGAATTCGAACAATTTACGCATCACCGAAGTGAGCGAAATTGGACGAAAGTTTGCAGGATCAGATACATCACCTTTCTTGTAAATGGGAAAGACTTGAGCATGTCGCCATAGAGCTGGTGTATACGACCACTGAGAGCAGAGTGTAAAGAGCAGAGACAATACGGGTGCAATGTCAGATGCTAAAGCCTTGAGCATTTCAGCTTTCAGATGATCAGGGCCAGGAGCTTTCCCATTTGGCAAACGCTTAATGAGAGATACAAGTATATCAGCATCAAACAGAGACAGATCAGTAGGCACAGCGTAAGGCAAATCAGAGGTGTTCACTTGGGGAGCAGTAGGGCGAGACGCATTATTCAACAAGGAGCCATCATAGACTGAGGCAAGATGGGACGCCATTGTGTTGACAGAGGCAGTTGGACCGTCTGGATGACTGTACGTTGCAGAGCATTCCTTGTTTCTTTTAATGCGCTTGATTGCGGCAGTAGCTTTCGAAAAATCCTTTTCCAAATCAGAGCAAAACTGACTCCACGATCGACGCTTAGCAGCTTGTACAAGAGAACGAAAACGCCTGTGAGCAGCTTGATAGAGATTCCATGTTTCGACTTTGGCAAAACGACTTGCCCACCTCCATCTACTATACATAGTATCTCTTTCACGAGCAGCATCCTCAATTTCCTGTGTCCAGTACTTTTTCCAGTGGCCAGGACGACCAGATTTCACACCAATTGAGCTATCCAGAGATTCATACAAACATTGATTCAAAGAATCGTTGAGTGCATCAATATCTGGACAAACACCAGGAGGAGCAGACACCAAACCAGAGAGAGAACCAACCAAAGGAGCAACAGAAGATCGAAAGGATTCACGAAGCAAGCCCAAAGGCCGCTTTTTCCTCAATTTCGAGAGCTTCCATTGCCGTCTAGGGGCCAAACCACCAGAGCTACCAGAACCAAGAGTATCATCAGGAGGGGGCACATACTCGAAAGTAAGTACCATCAGCCGATGATCAGAGCCAAGAGACAGATCAGATTCAACCACCAGTTGAGGATGTAACAGAGCAGCCTCGCCAATGTTTGTAAGAAACAGATCAATGATGCTATGAACCTCTTGTTGACGTCGAAAAGTTGTGAATGTGGGTGTACCAAATGCTAAAGACTCATTGAGAATGGAAAAAGAGGACTCCTCCAGCCATGGAAGTAGTGAGGTACCACGAGGATTAGCATTAGTATCACCCAGTAGAGATCCAAAGCGAGCATTGAAATCACCACAAAGGATGGTATCACTGGTTACGGGTAACGAGCGAAGAAGCGAGAGCACCTTATCCGAAGATAAGGGTGGAGGCAGATACACACAATGAACTGTAAGGGTGCCAACCTTAAGGGACAAAGTGTGTGCATTGTAAGACGGAAGTTGAGAGACAGAGAAAGGACAGGAAGGAGAGACAAAGGCAGTAATGCCACCAGAACCACGGTTAAATGCACCAGGTACTTTAGAGCCATAGAGGTGGAATTGAGACCAGTTAGTAGGGAAAGAACCAGAGGTTAGCCAGGTTTCAGTGACAAGCAGTACATGAGTGTTCTGAACATGATGGAGAACATCATGTACCGTTGATTGACGTAGACCATTGGCATTCCAAAGGGAGAGAGAGACTTGAAAGGAGTGGACTGGGTTGTTATTGGGAGTATGACTAGTAGCTATGTTACTCATTAGAGTTCCATAGCAGAGCCATTGCTGTCATGATCTTCCTTTTGACGCTTGAACAAGAATTTAGCCTTTTTGGGCTCCTTCTCGGCAAGACGACCGATAGCTTCAGAGACGGCTATATCTAGCTCTTCTTGAGAGATCCAGCCAGCAGAGACAAAGTATTTGCCAACGCCACTAACGTTGAGTGGACGAAGGAAAGAGAGGGTTTGCAGAGCACGGGTGTTGGTGAATTCATAGATCAATTGCTCACGCTCTTCAATGGCAAGATCAGCATATTTGGGATCAGCAATGTTGTTGGGATCCAAGGGTTGAAAGTTTTCAATGTGATCAGCTTCACATTTGCGCATACAGGCGAGAAACTCCTCTACATATTGGATGTGGAGCAAGATGCCAATGACGCCAGTGGCAGGGAAACAGATGTCTAACACACGGCCAGTATCAATACCAGCTCGGCGAAGTTGGTAACGAACCTCAGAGCGCAGGATTTTACCAGAGCGGCCTAGATACACATACTGGTATCCTTGTTGACCTTTGGTGGTGGCGGTTTGGAACATACGACCTGCAGCAAGACGTCGTTTGGTAGTACGGGCAGGGTCACGATGTTGGGCACCTTTACGGGCAGCAGATGCGTAGCTACCTTGAGTAGCATCGGGTTGGTGAATAGTAACAAGCTCTTGGGTTGGTGTTACCTGAGAGCTGGATTGAGCACCTTGATTGGTGCGGCGGGATGAGAGTTGGCCCTGTAATTTTTCAATTGCAAGGTCCTTGGCCTGTAACTGATTTTTCAATTCTCCATTTTCCTTTTCCAAAAGGTCCAGGCGAGCAAGGAGATTGTCATGTTGCTGTACTCGCTCGGTGAGAGAGACCAGTTGTTGCTGTTGTTGTTGAACAGTTTGGATGAGCTGATTCAAATCCATAGATTGCTGATTATTGTTGAGCATGGCTGAAAATATTCTATCAAACTTTGGAGATTCAATAAAATATGAAAAAGATGTCCAACAAACTGGAAGTTATAACACAATGTACGTTGACTAAATGCAAGTAAACTGGTACAACTGAAGGCTAGTTGGAGTGTTTGTTGTCGAGATAAACCGCTTTTATAGTGAGGAAATACTTTTTACCGGGGGAAGGTGGCAAAAAGTGATGAAAAACGGAAAGAGATGGGGATGTAGCTCAGTTTAACGTTGATTTTTATTATATACATGAATTCAATGGGCACTCGATGGGAGCATTAGCCTAGAATTCTAGAAACAAAAGAGTAGCAGGTACAAAAAACCCTTATGGGGACACTAACTAAGAAAAAGGGAAAAAGGAAAGTGTGGTAGTGGCAGAGGAACGGCATGAATACTGGTATTGTTGATTTGATCTGGAGGAATGACCAACGGATGGGAACTTTGATAATTACTTACCACCGTGGCATCGCACCGAGAAAGCAAAAACAACAAACGTTCATCAATGAGCAGAAAACCAGAGCGATCCAGGATCTGGATCTGGTGGGATCACAGCCAGAGGATGCACAAGGCAATCAATGGCATGCAACAAAAGGAGCAAAGCAGACCAAAAGTACGGTGGACCAGCTGAAGCTTTGTCTGGAAGACAGTTCAGAGCATGATCAATGCGATGTACACCAGGTGGAGCAGGTGGCAAAGCATCAAAAAAGGTACGATCCAGAGCACGACATGTCAGAAAGTGATCTCGGGAGATAAACTCACCGGTAGTGCACGGACATTCTTCACGCATATTGGTGAAACGTCCAAGACGCCACCGCACAAGACGACTACGAGCAGATCGACCAATAGGCAGATAGAGAATGGGATCTGGACGAGAGACAGATGGACGACAAGCACGAAGGAGAGTCTGAGCACCAGTAGCAGCAGCGGTAGCAAGTTGACGATCCACTTGATCTTGCCAATACGAATCAAAGATTTCAGTAAGACCAGCAGTGGTGAATGGCGGCGGATCAGGTAGTGTCAGATACAACGGGTTTTGACAAATAAATCTGTCTAGACGAGTGTACAGTAAGCCACGACGAAGCAGAACCAACAAGCAATCATCAGGAAGAGTATCAGCACGAAGAGCATAACGTGTTGCCAGAACGTTATATCGATGCTTCATGCTGGGAATACAGGTCAAATGTTTGGCAACATTGTACCATGTACTACCAACAAACATACCAACCAATCGATTTTGCAGAGCATCAAGAGCCTTGAAGTCACGGAAAGAGAGATGCGATATTGCTAAGCCGTATTCCAGCTTGGGTCGAATAAAGCTTTTATACAAACGAGCACAAAGCAACAGAGAAAAACCATTTCGATTGACACCAACCGAATTCAACAATGCCATTGTCTTGATAGCACCAGAAGCACGCAGATTGAGAATCCCAGGGGCATACAGACCTTTATATCTAAACGGCATACCAAGATACGTGAATTCCTCTACCACAGGAAGAGGTTCACCGTATAGAGACAATGGATGACGAGTAGAGGCAGTAGGAGCACAAAGTACAGCACATTTTGATGGTTTCCATCTGTAGCCAAGAGAGAACGAGTGATCTGAAGCGACATCCAACATGGTTTGCACATCAGTACGAGAGCCAAATATGGCCACATCATCAGCAAAGAGCAGGCTATTCACGCAAACACTAGGCATCCCAGGTGGTGATACCATAGTACCGCGACTGACAGCAGAACGAAGAACAGCAGGCAGAGAGTTGATGTACAGAGAGTACAAGTGAGGGCTGAGCACTGAACCCTGTAATACGCCAGTAGCAGGCGAAAAGGGAACAGAGGTGTGATTTGCAATCAACACAGACACGAGTACATCATCGAACATGTGGATGAGCAAACTGAGAACTGAACGAGGCAGAGAGGAACGAGAGAGAGCATCCCAAATCACTCGACGATCCACCGTATCATACGCTGATTTGATGTCCAGGAAAGCAACCACAGGATAGTGATGGTGGGTGAGGAAGTAGTCGTGCATCAAGTCATGTAAACAGAGGGCTTGATCCAGAGGACTACGCTGTGGGCGAAAACCACCTTGAGCAACATCCAGTGCCAGTGAATGCTCATCGAGAGCAGGCATCAGAGAGAATTCGAACAATTTACGCATCACCGAAGTGAGCGAAATTGGACGAAAGTTTGCAGGATCAGATACATCACCTTTCTTGTAAATGGGAAAGACTTGAGCATGTCGCCATAGAGCTGGTGTATACGACCACTGAGAGCAGAGTGTAAAGAGCAGAGACAATACGGGTGCAATGTCAGATGCTAAAGCCTTGAGCATTTCAGCTTTCAGATGATCAGGGCCAGGAGCTTTCCCATTTGGCAAACGCTTAATGAGAGATACAAGTATATCAGCATCAAACAGAGACAGATCAGTAGGCACAGCGTAAGGCAAATCAGAGGTGTTCACTTGGGGAGCAGTAGGGCGAGACGCATTATTCAACAAGGAGCCATCATAGACTGAGGCAAGATGGGACGCCATTGTGTTGACAGAGGCAGTTGGACCGTCTGGATGACTGTACGTTGCAGAGCATTCCTTGTTTCTTTTAATGCGCTTGATTGCGGCAGTAGCTTTCGAAAAATCCTTTTCCAAATCAGAGCAAAACTGACTCCACGATCGACGCTTAGCAGCTTGTACAAGAGAACGAAAACGCCTGTGAGCAGCTTGATAGAGATTCCATGTTTCGACTTTGGCAAAACGACTTGCCCACCTCCATCTACTATACATAGTATCTCTTTCACGAGCAGCATCCTCAATTTCCTGTGTCCAGTACTTTTTCCAGTGGCCAGGACGACCAGATTTCACACCAATTGAGCTATCCAGAGATTCATACAAACATTGATTCAAAGAATCGTTGAGTGCATCAATATCTGGACAAACACCAGGAGGAGCAGACACCAAACCAGAGAGAGAACCAACCAAAGGAGCAACAGAAGATCGAAAGGATTCACGAAGCAAGCCCAAAGGCCGCTTTTTCCTCAATTTCGAGAGCTTCCATTGCCGTCTAGGGGCCAAACCACCAGAGCTACCAGAACCAAGAGTATCATCAGGAGGGGGCACATACTCGAAAGTAAGTACCATCAGCCGATGATCAGAGCCAAGAGACAGATCAGATTCAACCACCAGTTGAGGATGTAACAGAGCAGCCTCGCCAATGTTTGTAAGAAACAGATCAATGATGCTATGAACCTCTTGTTGACGTCGAAAAGTTGTGAATGTGGGTGTACCAAATGCTAAAGACTCATTGAGAATGGAAAAAGAGGACTCCTCCAGCCATGGAAGTAGTGAGGTACCACGAGGATTAGCATTAGTATCACCCAGTAGAGATCCAAAGCGAGCATTGAAATCACCACAAAGGATGGTATCACTGGTTACGGGTAACGAGCGAAGAAGCGAGAGCACCTTATCCGAAGATAAGGGTGGAGGCAGATACACACAATGAACTGTAAGGGTGCCAACCTTAAGGGACAAAGTGTGTGCATTGTAAGACGGAAGTTGAGAGACAGAGAAAGGACAGGAAGGAGAGACAAAGGCAGTAATGCCACCAGAACCACGGTTAAATGCACCAGGTACTTTAGAGCCATAGAGGTGGAATTGAGACCAGTTAGTAGGGAAAGAACCAGAGGTTAGCCAGGTTTCAGTGACAAGCAGTACATGAGTGTTCTGAACATGATGGAGAACATCATGTACCGTTGATTGACGTAGACCATTGGCATTCCAAAGGGAGAGAGAGACTTGAAAGGAGTGGACTGGGTTGTTATTGGGAGTATGACTAGTAGCTATGTTACTCATTAGAGTTCCATAGCAGAGCCATTGCTGTCATGATCTTCCTTTTGACGCTTGAACAAGAATTTAGCCTTTTTGGGCTCCTTCTCGGCAAGACGACCGATAGCTTCAGAGACGGCTATATCTAGCTCTTCTTGAGAGATCCAGCCAGCAGAGACAAAGTATTTGCCAACGCCACTAACGTTGAGTGGACGAAGGAAAGAGAGGGTTTGCAGAGCACGGGTGTTGGTGAATTCATAGATCAATTGCTCACGCTCTTCAATGGCAAGATCAGCATATTTGGGATCAGCAATGTTGTTGGGATCCAAGGGTTGAAAGTTTTCAATGTGATCAGCTTCACATTTGCGCATACAGGCGAGAAACTCCTCTACATATTGGATGTGGAGCAAGATGCCAATGACGCCAGTGGCAGGGAAACAGATGTCTAACACACGGCCAGTATCAATACCAGCTCGGCGAAGTTGGTAACGAACCTCAGAGCGCAGGATTTTACCAGAGCGGCCTAGATACACATACTGGTATCCTTGTTGACCTTTGGTGGTGGCGGTTTGGAACATACGACCTGCAGCAAGACGTCGTTTGGTAGTACGGGCAGGGTCACGATGTTGGGCACCTTTACGGGCAGCAGATGCGTAGCTACCTTGAGTAGCATCGGGTTGGTGAATAGTAACAAGCTCTTGGGTTGGTGTTACCTGAGAGCTGGATTGAGCACCTTGATTGGTGCGGCGGGATGAGAGTTGGCCCTGTAATTTTTCAATTGCAAGGTCCTTGGCCTGTAACTGATTTTTCAATTCTCCATTTTCCTTTTCCAAAAGGTCCAGGCGAGCAAGGAGATTGTCATGTTGCTGTACTCGCTCGGTGAGAGAGACCAGTTGTTGCTGTTGTTGTTGAACAGTTTGGATGAGCTGATTCAAATCCATAGATTGCTGATTATTGTTGAGCATGGCTGAAAATATTCTATCAAACTTTGGAGATTCAATAAAATATGAAAAAGATGTCCAACAAACTGGAAGTTATAACACAATGTACGTTGACTAAATGCAAGTAAACTGGTACAACTGAAGGCTAGTTGGAGTGTTTGTTGTCGAGATAAACCGCTTTTATAGTGAGGAAATACTTTTTACCGGGGTAAGGTGGCAAAAAGTGATGAAAAACGGAAAGAGATGGGGATGTAGCTCAGGCGAAAATTTATGGTTGTTTATTGATTACAATGAATTAGCAATGTAAAAAATATAGACTTATATGCATGCGATCTTTGGATCATTAGTTGCAAGTCCTGAGAAGCGACGTACAGCAAAAAAGCTTAAATTAATAGTTTGATCTCCATGCAGGAACAACATGCAAGTGTCCAGAAAAGGGAAAAAAGGTCCTAAACTAAAAATTAAACTGGTAAAAAAGAAGTACAGGCAGGAAAAAGGAGTAAAACAAGTGAGATAAAAGGGTAGAGAATAAGAAGCTATGGTGTATGAGACATGCAATTGGGGATACCTCGATGTTCAGACAGCAGCACAGACAAAATAAACCCACAGACCTCAGTGGCACAAAAAAAGCAAGAAAAAAAAGGAGAAAACGAGGCATTTGCATATAGCAAAATGAGCAGAGAGACAAAGACCAAACGAGAAAGAAGCAGAGAAGGAGGACAAAGTGAATACGGACACTACCACAAAGGCAGCAGAAACAGAAACAATGAGAGTGGGAATGAGAGAGCAAAACGATTTTAACAACAAGGTGTCAATCAGTTATCAGAAGGCTCTGACATTTCAAGATCCTTGGTAGCAGAGAGAGTGGGGGAGACAGCATAAGCCAAGAGAGAGGCAGTTTCAGCATCATGATGCAAGAGGTAGCCAAGGGGATGTAGCTCAGTTTAATATTGGTTTTTTTTTTATTTATTTACAAATGTAGTCAACTGCGGAATCGGTATGATCATAAAATTGCAAGACTAACAGTGATTCGGCGGGAAAAAGCATGTTTTAAATTAAAGGTTGAGGGGAGCTGCTAACGGGAGGGGACCAGTAATGAAAACGGCATCAAAACCCACCAGAGAAGAGGAGAAACAGAAGGAAGAATGGCAATGGCCACGCCGCAAGACGGGGGAGACGAACAGGACTCAAGGTAGAAACCGGCCAGACGCACCGCAGCACACCTAAACGTGCAAGCACAAATACCGAGTAACATGCCAGGTTAGAAAGGCGGAAAATATGGATGCGAAGGTGGGATTCGAACCCACGACCTCTCGGCATACTCACTGCTTCCGCGTGAAGCTCTAACCAAGTGAGCCATTCAAGCATCCATGGGGATGTAGCTCAGGCGAAAATGTATGTGTTTATTAAAAGCAAGAAGAAATTAATAAAGTAAAGGCTAAATGCATTCGATCTTTTGATCATTATTGCTAGCACTTGGGAGGCGAATGTGAGTAAGTGTCAGAACCAAGGTTCTGGGATTCAGGGAGCGACAAATATTTCAGGAACGCTATGCAATATTTGAATTGTCTGGGTGGTGGGTGGGAGGCACATGGCTAATAAGAAAGATCAAAGACAACATGAATTCCCTCGCATCGTGCGTAAAAGAGTGTAGCAGTGGAGGGGCAAACAGAGGAAGCAGATCACAATCGGTTCACCACAGAGCAGGATGTCAGTAGACGCATGTTAGGCCGGGGAAGCCCACACTTGTCCTGGAACTGGATCCGTTGTGTAATCGCCATCGGGATTACAGAGCTGGTCAAAATGCCACAGCAAGGTACAGAGATCAGACCACCAGGGTGGACAATTGGAAGGAGATGAGGAGGATGGAATCAAGTTCAAAGCATGGTCAATGATGGTGCCGGTGAAGTCAGCAGGCGGAACAGGAAGAGACAGAAGCAAAGTAGGTGGCAAAGTGGGGCATTCATGTAGATGGCGACGGGATGTATGATCTTCATTGCATGCACAAGGTCGTGGCTTACCCGGAAGCCATCCCATTCTATAACGAATAAGACGACTACGACAAGGACGACTGGCAGGTACATACATAACAGGATCAATGCCAATAGTGGGTCGGCAAGCACGGATCAGCACCATGTCTGTTTTTGTCAGGAACTCAGCGTGCCAATGTTGGCGTTCAGCAAGGAACCATTGTTTCATGTGACGTTGATTTGCAAAAGGTACTTCGTCAAGCGCGCGGGCAGCCATGTGTTGCTTTTTTAATCTTTTCAAAGATGAACCAGGTAGAGAATCAGAGAGCAGTATCAGCAGGCCATCTTCTGGGAGGAATTGTGAACGCAAGCAGAATTGAGTCACCAGTATAGCAGCACGTTGTCGCATCAGAGGCAGATTTGTCATGTGTCGAACCACCATGGTGGAAGCAGCACGATGGCCACCAAATATCATGCGGAGGCATGTATCTTGGACCTTTTCAAGAGCCTTGAAGTCAGCAACACGCATATTGGCAATGCCAATACCATATTCCAGTTTAGGTCTGATGAATGAAGCATACAACTTGGTGGAGAAGAGCAGAGGGAAGCCAGAACGATTGCATCCAATGGAGTTAAGCTGAGCCATCGAAGCCATGGTACCACGCTGACATTTCTTGACAATAGATGCTGTGCAGATGCCCTTGCGGTCAAATGGAATACCGAGATACACAAATTCATCGACAACAGGAAGAGATTCTCCATACAAGGTCAGGTCAACAAAGGTAGATGAGGTGGAGGACGGTGGATTGATGATAGCACATTTGGCAGGAGCCCAGCGATACCCAAGTGCAAGGGAATGTGATTCAGCTAGTGTCAGCATCTGTTTTACTTCACGAGCAGAACCTAGAATAGCAACATCATCAGCATACAATAAAGCATTAATAGCAATCACTACGGCCCAACTGATGTTCTCATGAGAACATCGAGGTGCTCATATAAGAATCTATTTTATGTTCTCATTCGAGAGCATCGATGTTCCCAAAAAGTGGAAAATGCTCTCATATGGGAACATCGGCGTTCCTAAAGATCTATTATAAGTCGGCCGATGTTCTCATAAGAACATCCGAGATGTTCCCATATGAGCACATCCATGTTCTTAAATAAGAGCAAATGTAGCTGTTTATGAGCGCATCGATGTTCTCAAATCAAAATATCGATGTTCTTAAATGAGCAAATCCATGTTCTCAAATGAGAACATTCATGATCGCGCATGAACCTATCGATGAGCTGAAATGGGATCATTGAAGGTCTGAATCAGCTTAAATATTTGTAGCTTTTATTGGCCCATAATTCGTGGTTTAAATATTGGCAGCTTTCATTGGCTCAGAAATTGTGGTTTGAATATTTATACATTTATTATTGGTTAATTTTAATGGGTAAACGAAGGCTACGTGCCAAAAACGTGCAATAGTAAAGCCTTGTAGTGGTAATGGTCATGCTGTAGGCTATAGTAGAGTCAAAGATAATTGAGAATAATAGCCTGGATCAGTATGAACTGTTTCGTGTTTCCCAATATTATCAGTTTTTAGGGCAATATAAAAGTGATGTTTCCAGGCGAGATCCAGAGAGAGCATAGAATGAAAAGGTTGAAGCCATCAACAGTGTTCCATGTAGAGCAACGAATTGTACAAAAGCCAGCATAATATCAAAGATGTGCATGTACCTATCAGCAAAGATGTGAACTGAATCAAGTTAGTAAAGCGTTCCAGCAAAGGCGTAATGACTACAATACCTCTTTCACAAGACAGATAGAAAGTACAGCACACCACCAGGCAGCGACTCATTGGGAGCAGACATTCTTGAAAAGAAAACATCGAACGAATGTTAATGCGTCTTATGCCGTCAGAAGAATCAGATGTATAGACCGCATCATTCAACTATGAAGCATCTGCCATTGTTCACTGGATGCAAAAGGGGATCCATAAAGTATGCAAGAGATGTGCTCAGTTATCAAGCCAAACCCGCCAGACCCACTCGACGCTGGCACTAGTTAACTTATCAGGTGAGTAACGACTGATTTTTCCTGATGATGCAGCAAAAGATGACTTACTACTTGAACAGTGATAGCAAGAAAGCAGATAAATGGAACCAGCAGGATGGAGGGAAACGGTTAACCAAATGGCATACTTGCGACATCGAAATTGACCTGGCAAAGTCGCCTTTACATTTCTACAAGATATTTGTTAGCTTTTATATGGCAAGAAGCATTGGACATACCATAAATTTGTTGTTTCGAAAGGATGTAAATGAAGATTCCATCCTGGATACTATGGCAGGGATATGAAGCTTCCCACGGCGCACATTTGAAATGGTATTCCTTCTTCAATGGCATTGAAACCTAGCCTCCACCTTTAAAGCCATGGACGGTAAATGCTGCCTCTTCTTCTTGCTGCTACAGAGCACATGTCTCTTATGCTGATAGAATTAAAGTGAAAATAGATGAAAAATGAAGAAAAAAGAGAAACAAAAGCACTTTTTTCTCAAGGGATGACCTAAATATACAAAGTTTCGATCTAAAAATATAGAAACACGCTCTAATCATGCACAGTATCAGACTGATGTAACCAAATCAAGTAACTTTTTAAGCTGAAGTGACCTATCAAATGTGATTTTAAATGTGGCATCGCAGCTAATCCATCATCTCAAATCCCAATAGAGCAAGGCAGCATCAAATGTACAAAAGCAAAGTAATTTTATTTTGGATGAAATATACAAGATCTCACAAACGCACACACCATTACATATTGCTAGTAGTACTAAGGTTGTCATCATCCTCAGCATTACCAACACCGGCAGTTTGAGCAAGCTGGGCAATATCACTGTCTCCAACAATTGCTGATTCAGTCTCCTAAAAGCATTTGAAATGTTTCCAATACTTAGATGTTAGCCATGGCCAAAACAAATAATAGGAGCTACTTACCAGAAGATGGCTTCTTGCCTCGTTTTCTTGCAAAGACACATTGGCAGCAGCATTGGCAGCATTGGCAACATTGGCAGCAGCATCAGCAGCAGCATCAGCAGCAGCAGCTCGGTTTCTGCTTGCTCTATTTGCTTTGAAGGCCTGGGAGAGCAACAACCTGGCACACCACTGCTTCTTGCAGAGACAAATCATGAGATTGTCCCGTTGCAGGGCCTGCTCCTCCAGTGCCAGGCTGTAATATACCTGTTCATCCTGCACATGGTCCAGGGCATTCCAATGCGAGATATTCGGATGCATCACCAGTATAGCCTCCAAGACCCTCTTTGCTGTGCGGTGGAGCTTCTCCCTGCGCGATTTGAGCTGCCCTGGTGTCAAATCGGGTACAGATGCCCCATTGCATAGTTTGTGTAGATGCTGGAGCATTGCGTTGTATCTCTCCACAGGAGAAGCTCTGGCCCTGCCGGTAGGGTTTGCTTCAATTACCCGAGGACCTCTTCTGTTGCTGTTTGATAGTACCTGGCTTCTGTAAGTGGGATCCAGGATGCTTCTTGTTGCCAAATCGCTGCCTGCGTCTTCCAATGGCGACATGAATTGCTGTCGAAATCCATCATTCAAGACGTTCAGTTGTACGCCTTGTTGGCTGATTTCGGATCTCATTGCCATCATTTCTTGCAAGAGTCTTGCGGTGAAGTCAATACTGGCAGCGTTGTTGTTGTTGTTGTTGTTGTTGTTGTTGTTGTTATTGTTCATGGTTCGCGCTGATAATAAAAGTTTAGTAAGCAAAGAAAAGATATGTTCAGAGTTGTGTTGTACCGTATATCTCGTTGCGCACACACCACCACGTTGTTGAACGTCATTCGGTTCACAGGCTTCATGCAAGTAATGCTGACCTCATTGTACGCCCATAGTATAAGCATATGTGCACAGTGAATACCACTCGATTTGACATGATGTTGAAAGTGAAATGACGTAGAAGTAGCCTGAGGCGACATATCACATCATAGGAAACACGTTCCTTACTTGATCTTGGACTTTGAGTTACCAAACGTTATATGCAAGACTACGTATCACTTGCTTGTAAACGATGATAAACGCATTTGTTGGCGAGCGCAAATAAAACTTGAATTAGTATATAAAGCTGCCACTTGAAATTTGTTTTTACTTGCCTATTTTTCTTGGTTTCTCCAAACATGTCATTCTCAATCCGTATATCACGAGAAACAGAGCCATCCTTCTGTACAAATTGCTATACCAGCTTTGACAGTGCCCGTGCTCTACGCAACCATCGCCGAAACTGTCGTGCTCCCATTTTGAATGAAGATCAAGATGTTGAAATGGAAGAGCAACCTCCAGTGGAAACAACGCTGATACAGCCACAATCTCCCCCCAGTGCGCTAGTCACAGCCAATTCAGATCATGCAAACCAGCTGCATGATGATGATGCCATGAGTGATATTGAAGAAATGATTCCTGCTGCTGACGATGCTGATTATGACTACGCAGGCTTTGAACAGACGCCGGGTGCTGCTGATCTGCTGCCTATTGTCGATAATAATGGTAAGGAATTGCAGCGCTAAAGTAGATGTATATACTCACAATAGCGGATTCCACACATGCGATAACAGGAGACAATCCAGAAGAACCAGGGCTTGAATTTGATTTGCTAAATGTCAAATACAAGACAGTTGGAGTAGTCGACCCAGATGCAGAAGATCAGGCTTGCTTCTACGATTGCAGATCCCTCGAAGACATCAACCAAAATACATATACAACCACAGAACTGGTTTCGATTGAGCTGTATGATATCGTCAATGATTTTGCTATACCACGGGATGCATACAGAAAGTTGGTCAGGTTGATGAACACTGTTTTGAGAGATACAGAAAAAATTAGTCGAGGTAATTCGCATTGCAATGACATGTCATTTATACAATAACTCACCAGCTTCCGATCCTCCCCCTCCCATGAACTGATAGAAAGCAATCCGGAGATCATGCATGGCCCTCGTGTGCAAAGCATGCTTCAGCGCCAATCATCGTTGACATCCCATGAATATGATGTGTGTATCAATGGCTGCAAGCTGTACGCATTGGAAGTAGACGACGAGGAGACAATTTGTAATATTTGTTCCCATGAAAGATACGATGCACGGGGAGATCATCGAGCCCTGTCAACAATGAAAGTCATGTCAATTGGAGACATCGTATCACGATTAGTTGCGAATCCAATAACGAGAGAGGAGCTTCGGTACCGACATGCCTACGACAACAGAGACCTTGAAGAGAATCCATCCGATGTTATCATTGCTGACGTATTTGACGGCGCCACGTACAAGTCCATCAAGAATACGCATTTCACAAATGACCTGGATATCGCAGTTGCGATCATGAATGATGGCTTTGTAGTTGAAAAGAGAGGTGATCGGCTATTCACAATTATTCATCTGATGGTGTTCAATTACGATCCACACAAGCGTTACAAGGAGGAGTACACGCACGAGCTTTGTATCTTTCCAGGAAAAAAGAAGCCCAAATCATTTGACTCGTTCATTTCCATCATCTTGGCAGAGCTCCAGTGGCTTTCTACGTATGGAATGGTAGTCGAAACAAATGATGCTGGGCCAATTCGTTTGAAGGTTCATCCTCTAATTTGTGGTGGTGATACTCCAGGTAAATATCCTGATTGATAAAGCAACTAATCAGCATCCACAATGGCTAACATGAAATTGATTTACCTACCTGCTTTATTCTAGCCGTGTTTGACTGGAGCAAGTGTGCTCATCATGCATCTGAGTATGGCTGTCGTTGGTGTCTTTCGCGTGGCATGCACCCTGATAATCGCAGCCATGGAATGTACTTTCCAAATGCTGGAAGCATGCGTACGAATGAAGATTACGAGAGGGCTGAGTCCAACCTTGGATTCAACGGTGTCAGCCTTTTCAATCAGCTATCGTCATGCATTGCACCCCAATGCTTTGGATTCGAAGAAATGCATACATTAGCACGAGGTGTTGGTTCAGAACTCTTCGAGATGCTCACTGTCGACCTGTCTCCGAACAACACAAAGTTCTTCTACACATATCCAGATGGTGAATTGGAGCGAGAAAATTATCCATTTTTCATTCCAAAGCAACGGCTGTTCGAGATTGGCAAAGCAATTGAGGACACAAGATCACATATACCAGTTGCATTTGATGGAAGCTTTTTGAATCTGGTGGAGAAGCTACGAGGCACCCGCAGTGTTGACTATCTTGATAATTTGCTGGTAAGATCAGATCCACTGTAATCTGCAAACGTACACATGTAAGGCGTGAATTAGGATCTGATTATTCTGATTTGAAATAGACCATCATACCTACTCTCTTTGTCCCAGAATTAGCCAGTCCACAGGCTAGGAAAGCAATCATGAAGCTGGTTAGAGGCGTCTGTCTTGCATTGCAATGGGAGTTCACTGAGTCTAGGTTGGCAGAGATTGATGAATGCATTGACTTCTTCATTGACTACTGCAAAGCTCAGAGAGATGCCATGTGCTTGTCACTTTCGGTCTTCCGTCCCGTAATGCATCAGCTTACACATGTAGTGTGGATGATAAGAGAAATGGGGCCAATTGTAGCCTACTCCTCACGAAGTCAAGAACGGTTAGTCATCTATACATGCTATGTTTATCACACACATCCAGTTACTTACATAACAACATCATCCATTTTACAGAAGCATTGGAAAGTTTGGTGATTTGATAACTGGCAAGTCAAGGACAGGCAAGCAATCTTCCAACTTGATTGAAATTGTTGCAATCAGAAACCAGCTGAAAAGGATCTTCGACTCAAATGAGTTCCTCCAAGGCATTCGACCGCAGCCATATGCATCCACCACATACCTCAATCATCCAGAATCTCTAACAAGCTCACAGTTGTGGGAACCTGATCAAGAAGAGACAAATTTGGATCATCATTTTGGCTTCGATGGTACTGATCGTGCTGAACTCCATGGTGTTCCAATTGCAAGATTCAAGCGTGCTTTGTCGAAATACTATTGCAGGATATTCTCTCTTCAAAGGCTGAACAGTCCATTGTCAATGACGATCAAGGTTGCCCATCGTGCTCTAATCGGTTCTACTGTCATAGGATCAGAAATATACAGAGAGAAGATGCATGAGTTTCGTAGAAGCAACCATCTGGTCATGTTTAGGTCAACTCACCTCAATCGACTTAACCACCCTGTCTCCTGTTGGTTTGTTTCGCGAGTGATATTCTTTTTCCAACATGTCTATGATGGGTCGACCTACTTTTTGGCTTTCGTTGAAACCATGAAAAATCATGGTGTTGCTTCTCACGACAGGTCTGTCCCTTTTGTTCGTATGAATGAGCCTGTCGAACAACAAATTGCAAGAAGGGTGCCGAGAGTGATTGATCCCAAGTATGCTGTCATTTCTATTGACGATGTTGAGATGCAAGTGGGATTGGTGAAATCTTTGGATAACGACTTGCACTTTAGCGTCATTGCAAACTACCATGCGTTTGAACAAGATATGTCGATCGATGCTGGCGATATTCGCAACCTTTAACGAGGATTGAAATCGCAACATACAGATTTTTTGCTTTCGCGTAAAACTATCCACTTAAGGCTACTACGAAATAAAAGATAATACATTTATCAATACAATACATAGCTACATTCATTAATCACACTTGTATACCTCTTACAGCTTTGTTGTCCATGAAGGCATGCGCAAAATAATTATAATAAAAGAAAAGGATCCGCATCACTGGCCATCAAAGCATTTTGAGAAAAGCATAATTAACCCAGCAAGGATAACGTCCAACGAAGAAAAAACGAGTTTGCTCGGATTCGAACTGGCGACCTTCAGTTTGTTAGTCAGGAATATTACCACTTTGACATAGCGACTCAAAGTAACCAGAAACTCGGGTCACGTGATTTTTTCTCCTGATTTGTTTCAAATTGAGCAAGTTTGGAGGCTTCTAACTTCGTAGATAATGATGCTACGAATTGGCGTTCGGTACGAAAAATAAACAAAAGAACTCAAAAAGTCTGACCATACCATTTAAAAGCGCATATCTGATAACTATCTTCACAGTGTAAAGCCAAATGTTCTGATATGGGAACATCGAGGTGCTCACGAGAACATCAATGTTCCCAAAAGAGCGCATCGATATTCTGTGAGAACATCAGTTGGGCCGTAGTGAATATTAGTAGCATGAGTGGGTGTTATGACGGACCAAAGAGGAGAGGGAGCACATGATGGTGATGTTGACATGACACGAGTGGTGGAGGACGATGCAGCTTGACGCAACAAAGCTGGCAGTGAGTTGATAAAGATACTGAATAAGTGGGGACTAAGGGTGGAGCCTTGAAGCAATCCAGTATGCAGTGAGAGTTCTTGGGACACGCATTGCTGATTCAGCACTGAAATAGAAACATCGTCAAACAAATTGGAGAGCAATGAGACAAGTGGCATTGGAGCATTGGCAGAGAGCAGCGAATTCCAGATCACACGGCGATCAACAACATCATAGGCACTCTTGATATCAAGGAAGCACACAGTTGGCCAGTGGTAGTGTTGGTTCTGGTAGTCTTTCATTAAGTCTTGGAGACTAAGAGCACCATCAAGTGCACTTCTTGCGGATCGGAAACCATTCTGGGCTACATCTAATGGTGGTGAAATGGTGAGGACAAGGGGAGCAAGGCACATTTCAAAGAGTTTTCTCAGTGTACTAGTCAATGAGATGGGCCGAAAGCTTGATGCCTCCGTGACAGGTCCCTTCTTGTAGATGCTACAAACATTACCATGACGCCAATCCGCTGGTGTGTAAGACCATTGATAGGTCAGAGCAAAGAGGTATGACAGAACAGTGGCAAGTGGTTTCTGAATGGGTTTCAGCATTTCACCACGAATTGAATCACGGCCAGGTGCTTTACGGTATGGCAACGACTTGATCTGCTGAATGATATGGTCAATACTAATAATCTCGTCAAAAGCTTCGTTGTGGACCGATGCTGAGACAACACGACCTGTTGGGTCAGAGTCATCATGTGGTAGAGTTCTATGTGAGAGGTATGATGGGATGAAAGGAGAAGCATGCGGATTCAATGTACTGATGTCACCATTTGCCAGACGAGTACCACCAAGATGGGAGGCTGACTGAGGAGGAGGAACACCATATGGCAGATGTCTACCATGTGTAGCAAAAGGGCATGGAGGTCGATTTGTTGGGAGATTGGATCCAGCATAAATGGTAGCAAGGTGATCACGCATAGCATTAGCACCAGCTTGAGCACCGTCCACATGTAGATACCCTGATTGTCTTTGTCGCCTGGATTTGATCAACTTGATTTTTGACATAGCCTTTGAAAAGTCTTGCTTGAATAAAGATTCACAGAATGCGTGCCACGAAACCTGTTTAGCTCTACGAAGGGCTTGTTTAAACTTTTGATGTGCTTCCACATGTTGATTCCACCAATATGCCTTGTCCAATGAAGCGGGACAACGACGATATTTACGATAGAGAGCTTCACGATGATCACAGAGCCGTTGAAGATCGAGGGTCCAGAATTTCTTCCAAAAGTTGGGTCGCTGGGATTGCCGAGTAACGGATTCATCCAGTGCCTGATATATACAATTGGTGAGATCACTGTTGAGGGTATCGATTGGAGGTTGTGTATCAGGTGGTGAGCGCACAAGCGAGATCAGCTGTTGTAGCAACGGTTGAGAGAGGGCTGTAAAGCGTTGTGCATACAAATTGCGTACATCCGTTTCTTGTAGACGTGAGAGCTTCCATAGGAGACGAGGTGATGGTGATGGCGTAGCAGGCATAGCAAGAGCAGGTTCGTTTGAGTGGTAATCAAACGTCAGAGACATCAGTTTATGATCAGATCCCAAAGACAAGTCAGAGTAAATACTAATTGAGGAGGAAGAAGGTGGAGATGAGGTATCCAGAGAGGCAAAGGAAAGTGATTCTACATTTGAGATGTAGTAATCGACAATGCTACTTACATTCCGCCCACTACGACGGTCCTCAAAGGTAGGTGTAGAGTGGGCTAATTGACAGTTCAAAACGTTTAATTGATTATCGGCACAGTACTCTTGAAGTAGACGACCACGGTTATTTGTAGAGGAGTCACCAACAAAGCTACCCATGCGGGCATTCAGATCGCCACAGATGATTGTGTCATGATCCAACGGGATCGCATTCAGGATGGAAGAGACATTTTCAGTATAGAGATCCGCTTGCTCAGGTGGTATATACAGACAAATGAGCCGAAGTTCACGACCAAGTTGAATACCCAAAGCAAACTCTTGAAGAGCAGAGGGCAAAGGCGTCTGAAATGCTGTGAGGGGACAGGAAGGGTTGATCAAGCATGTAATGCCACGAGAGCCACGACCACCGCCTGCGACAGTGACGCCAGGTAAGTGGAATTGCTGCCAATTGGTGGGTAGTCGGATGGGATGGCGGTTCAGCCATGTTTCGGTAATGAACAGCACAGAGAAGGATAGGCAATAACGGAGAACATCATCAATGGTGGTATCTCTGAGACCGCGAGCGTTCCAGAGGCCAATGGTGAGTGGAGTGAGTTGAGAAGCGCTATTAATGACTGGAGCCAAAGCTGTAGGAGGAGGAGGAGTAGTAGGTATAGTGTTATTGAGTATAGTTGGTATTGATGAGGACGGATTAGAAGCAGAGAGAGGATGGTCAGGGAGCGAGGAGGATGTATAATGACTGAGAGGACTCTCAATCATTAATACTCTTCTTCGTCGGAATCAGACATGTCAACATCAGATGAGCCAGAGCTTTTCTTGAAACCAGAAGAGCCAAAGATGTTATTGACAGGGGCGACAGAATCAATGTATTCAGTGGTGGTCCAACCATTTTCCAAAAAGTGATTAGCAACAGAAGCAAAAAGACGAGAACGACGATTGGCAAGGTAGACAAGAGACTTGGCACAACGATTGATTTGCAGGTCAAAGGCAGCATCCTCACGCTTAGAGAGGGACATCTCTTTAAACTTGGGGTCAGCGAGGTGTTTGGGATCAGTAGGATCAAAGCCTTCCACAACATTGATGTTGTTCTTGGTGAGAATGGAGACGAGGTTGTCCTTGTATTGCAAATGGACTAGGACGCCAATGATGTTTCTAGCAGGGAACGTTACATCAATGATACGAGAAGCATCAGCTTTGATCAGATGCAAGTTGTTGCGGACTTCAGTGCGAGTGAAGCGGCGAGAGCGGTTAAAGTACACCGTTGTGTAGCCTTTTGGCCCTTCAGGAGCCAAGTTAAAACCACGAGTAATAGCTTGGCGATGTTTGTCAGTTACATCGGCAGGGTTGCGAACCTTTTTGGAACGTTTGATTACTTCGGTCCAAGAGTTGTTGGGAGTCTTTTTGGTGGCATTGGGTGCTTGTTGGGTGGACTGTGTAGCTGAAGAATGGGGTTTGGGTTGCTGTTGAATACCTGATTTGGGTTGCGCTTGAGTGGTTGTGGAACCTTGTTGAGAGTTGAGTTGCTGACGCAGACGCTCATTCTCTTGGGTCAGGGATTCATTTTGTTTTTGGAGATTCAAAATAGTGGTTTTCAAGGCATTTAGCTCTTGCAAAGCACTGTTGTGGGCAGAGATGTCCTGTTGCATGGTCAATACTAGTCTCTGCAGATCCATCTGCGACATGAGAGTAGCTGGTGTATCGGTGTCCATTGTCATTGTTGATCGATACAAAGGTGTTGAGATGTCGAAAGAAAAATATGATGTTTTTTGTGGGTTTTTCAAAAAAGATGAATATCTGTTCGATCGAGCTGGGGTTTTCACAGGTTATACTTCAAGTACTAGGCACTTAATGTATGCTCGTTTGGTGATTACTGCTTTGTTTACTACTGCTTGGATACACTTATTGGAATTTTCTAATCACGTGGTACCTGAATTTTTGGCGGAACGTAATATAAAATTTCAAAAGCGAAAGAAAGGTGGGGGATGTAGCTCAGGCGAAAATTTATGGTTGTTTATTGATTACAATGAATTAGCAATGTAAAAAATATAGACTTATATGCATGCGATCTTTGGATCATTAGTTGCAAGTCCTGAGAAGCGACGTACAGCAAAAAAGCTTAAATTAATAGTTTGATCTCCATGCAGGAACAACATGCAAGTGTCCAGAAAAGGGAAAAAAGGTCCTAAACTAAAAATTAAACTGGTAAAAAAGAAGTACAGGCAGGAAAAAGGAGTAAAACAAGTGAGATAAAAGGGTAGAGAATAAGAAGCTATGGTGTATGAGACATGCAATTGGGGATACCTCGATGTTCAGACAGCAGCACAGACAAAATAAACCCACAGACCTCAGTGGCACAAAAAAAGCAAGAAAAAAAAGGAGAAAACGAGGCATTTGCATATAGCAAAATGAGCAGAGAGACAAAGACCAAACGAGAAAGAAGCAGAGAAGGAGGACAAAGTGAATACGGACACTACCACAAAGGCAGCAGAAACAGAAACAATGAGAGTGGGAATGAGAGAGCAAAACGATTTTAACAACAAGGTGTCAATCAGTTATCAGAAGGCTCTGACATTTCAAGATCCTTGGTAGCAGAGAGAGTGGGGGAGACAGCATAAGCCAAGAGAGAGGCAGTTTCAGCATCATGATGCAAGAGGTAGCCAAGATAACTCAAACGTTGTTTCTTGGCTAAACGCTCTTGATCAGAGGATCGGGATGGTGGTTTAGTAGCAGCAGAGGAGGAGGAACGAGCAAGCATTTCTTCTTTCAAAATGGCATCAAATTGGGCTTGATTGATGCGATCATACAAAAGAAAAGAACGAGCAACAGAAATACGGACAGAGCGACGGACAAAAGACAGCGAACGAAGGCAGCGAAGGTTTTCGACCTCAATGGCCTTTTGGACACGCAGATCACGAGAGAGAGAAGCAAATTTGGGGTCTTTGAGATTGACTGGATCACATGGATCAAAGTCAATCAACGGAGAACAGCCACGACCATGGAGATGCATGGCTTTGGTGAGGGTGAGTACATAGTCATTATGAACAAGGAAAGAAATCACATTCTGTACAGGATATTGAATATCCAGCACACGAGAGTTATTCAATCCTACGCCTTGTACAAGGCGACGCAGCTCAGAAAGACGACGGCGGACAGGAGTAGCATAGTACACAAATTGATAACCAGATGGTATATCACTTTGAGGAGCAAAAAGACGGGCAAGAGTAGCGGATGCCTTGGTGGCAGACGGAGGAGGACGAGCAGCAGGCTTCTTCTTACGCTTTGCATCTGTATTAGATGCAACGACGGCAGCAAAAGATGGTTGATTTCCTGGAGACAAAATGGTGGCAGAGGTAGCATTGGTGCATGTAGTTGATGCTGATGCTGTTGTGGTGGTAGTAGTGGCAGGAGGTGGGTGGGATGATGATGGTTTGGGAGCCAGGCTAGTTGTAGTACCAGTAGCAGCTGCAAGTTTGGCTTCGAGAGTGTGACGAGCAGCTTCAGACTCTGCCAGGGCTGTTTTTAACCGCTCAATTTCGACATGGGCGGTTTCCAGACGAGCTAAGCGATTTCGAACCTCAATCATAAAGGTTGAAAGTTGCTGTTCACTCGCTGGAGAGGCAGATGGAGGAGTTGTTGGTCCAAAATCAGTAGAAATGTTGATGATATCAACTGATGTTTGTGGATGGTGGTGCTGATGAGAGGTTGGAGTGAGTGTCATTTTCTTTGTTTTCAACTGTTGAGTGAAATCTACAGCGAAAAAAGGTGGAGATCTTGAGGAACTTGGCCGTTTTTGACCTAGAGAAAGAGAGGACGCAGAGCTTAATGCCTGGTTTACTTTGGTGTCGTCTGGAATGACGTTCTTGCTATGTATTGTATGGATTTGTAGAGTTGGGTCAATTTTTTCAATATTACTGGGCTTCAATGTATTAAAAAAATTGGTTAGCGGAAAGAAAGGTGGGGATGTAGCTCAGTTTAACGTTGATTTTTATTATATACATGAATTCAATGGGCACTCGATGGGAGCATTAGCCTAGAATTCTAGAAACAAAAGAGTAGCAGGTACAAAAAACCCTTAAGGGGACACTAACTAAGAAAAAGGGAAAAAGGAAAGTGTGGTAGTGGCAAAGGAACGGCATGAATACTGGTATTGTTGATTTGATCTGGAGGAATGACCAACGGATGGGAACTTTGATAATTACTTACCACCGTGGCATCGCACCGAGAAAACAAAGCAACAAACGTTCATCAATGAAGAGACTATCTAGCAGAGAACCATAACAACCCTGAATCAAGATCAGCAGGGATGACAGCCAGCGGATGCACTAAACAATCAATGGCATGAAGCAGAGCAAGCAAAGCAGACCAATAAGATGGAGGACCATCAGAGGCTTTCACAGGTAAGCAATTAAGGGCATAGTCTATACGATGAATACCAGGAGGAGCCACAGGCAGAGCATCGAGAAGTGTTCGATCCAGAGCACGGCATGTCAGAAAGTGATTTCGAGATACAAAATCACCCATCACGCACGGACACTCTTCACGCATGTTTGTGAAACGTCCAAGACGCCAGCGAACAAGGCGACTTCGAGCAGATCGACCAATTGGTAGGTACAAAATGGGATCTGGACGAGATACAGAACGAGGGGATGTAGCTCAGGCGAAAATTTATGGTTGTTTATTGATTACAATGAATTAGCAATGTAAAAAATATAGACTTATATGCATGCGATCTTTGGATCATTAGTTGCAAGTCCTGAGAAGCGACGTACAGCAAAAAAGCTTAAATTGATAGTTTGATCTCCATGCAGGAACAACATGCAAGTGTCCAGAAAAGGGAAAGGTCCTAAACTAAAAATTAAACTGGTAAAAAAGAAGTACAGGCAGGAAAAAGAAGTAAAACAAGTGAGATAAAAGGGTAGAGAATAAGAAGCTATGGTGTATGAGACATGCAATTGAGGATACCTCGATGTTCAGACAGCAGCACAGACAAAATAAACCCACAGTCCTCAGTGGCACAAAAAAAGCAAGAAAAAAAGGAGAAAACGAGGCATTTGCATATAGCAAAATGAGTAGAGAGACAAAGACCAAACGAGAAAGAAGCAGAGAAGGAGGACAAAGTGAATACGGACACTACCACAAAGGCAGCAGAAATAGAAACAATGAGAGTGGGAATGAGAGAGCAAAACGATTTCAACAACAAGGTGTCAATCAGTTATCAGAAGGCTCTGACATTTCAAGATCCTTGGTAGCAGAGAGAGTTGGGGAGACAGCATAAGCCAAGAGAGAGGCAGTTTCAGCATCATGATGCAAGAGGTAGCCAAGATAACTCAAACGTTGTTTCTTGGCTAAACGCTCTTGATCAGAGGATCGGGATGGTGGTTTAGCAGCAGCAGAGGAGGAGGAACGAGCAGGCATTTCCTCTTTCAAAATGGCATCAAATTGGGCTTGGTTGATGCGATCATACAAAAGAAAAGAACGAGCAACAGAAACACGGACAGAGCGACGGACAAAAGACAGCGAACGAAGGCAGCGAAGGTTTTCGACCTCAATGGCCTTTTGGACACGCAGATCACGAGAGAGAGAAGCAAATTTGGGATCTTTGAGATTGACTGGATCACATGGATCAAAGTCAATCAACGGAGAAGAGCCACGACCATGTAGATGCATGGCTTTGGTGAGGGTGAGAACATAGTCGTTGTGAACAAGGAAAGAAATCACATTCTGTACAGGATATTGAATATCCAGCACACGAGAGTTATTCAATCCTACGCCTTGAACAAGGCGACGCAGCTCAGAAAGACGACGGCGGACAGGAGTAGCATAGTACACAAATTGATAACCAGATGGTATATCACTTTGAGGAGCAAAAAGACGAGCAAGAGTAGCGGATGCCTTGGTGGCAGATGGAGGAGGACGAGCAGCAGGCTTCTTCTTACGCTTTGTACCTGCACTGGATGCAACGACGGCAGCAAAAGATGGTTGCGTTGTAACTTGAGATTGGGAGTAGCTGGGGGTAGACTTGGAGGCAGATGTTGTTGATGGTGGTGTTGGAGTGTTCGACGATACAGCGTCTATGGTGGTGGGAGCAACATTGGTGGTGGATTGAGCGTTGATAGCTGCCAATTGAGCCGCAAGGGCGTCTCTAGCAGCCTCTGATTCAGCCAGGGCTGTTTTCAACTGCGCAATTTCAGCATGGGCAGATTCTAATCTGCTCAAACGATGTCTGACCTCAACCATAAAGGTCGACAACGCAGTTTGATCAGTGGGCGAAGCAGGTGGGAGGGAAGTGAGACCAAAGTCAATCGAGTTGGGGTCAACATCGATCGAGGATGTGAAATGAGATGCTTTGGAGAGGTCTTGAGGTTGCATTTTCTTTGCTTTTAAATGTTGAGAGATATCAGCAGCAAAGAAAGGTGGAGAGAGGGTTGAAATTGGCCTTTTTTGACCGGACGAAAGGGTGTCAGCAGGTGTAATCTTGTTAAAAGTGTTTTGCTCGGTTATGGTATTGATATAGCAAGTACTTGATGGGAGATGATGGGTTATAGGAATCTTCGAGATAATTCGGGCTATGAAAGTATATAAAAAATTCTTTAGCGGAAAGAAAGGTGGGGATGTAGCTCAGTTTAACGTTGATTTTTATTATATACATGAATTCAATGGGCACTCGATGGGAGCATTAGCCTAGAATTCTAGAAACAAAAGAGTAGCAGGTACAAAAAACCCTTATGAGGACACTAACGAAGAAAAAGGGAAAAAGGAAAGTGTGGTAGTTGCAGAGGATCGGCATGAGTACTGGTATTGTTGATTTGATCTGGAGGAATGACCAACGGATGGGAGGGGATGTAGCTCAGTTTAACGTTGATTTTTATTATATACATGAATTCAATGGGCACTCGATGGGAGCATTAGCCTAGAATTCTAGAAACAAAAGAGTAGCAGGTACAAAAAACCCTTATGGGGACACTAACTAAGAAAAAGGGAAAAAGGAAAGTGTGGTAGTGGCAAAGGAACGGCATGAATACTGGTATTGTTGATTTGATCTGGAGGAATGACCAACGGATGGGAACTTTGATAATTACTTACCACCGTGGCATCGCACCGAGAAAACAAAACAACAAACGTTCATCAATGAAGAGACTATCTAGCAGAGAACCATAACAACCCTGAATCAAGATCAGCAGGGATGACAGCCAGCGGATGCACTAAACAATCAATGGCATGAAGCAGAGCAAGCAAAGCAGACCAATAAGATGGAGGACCATCAGAGGCTTTCACAGGTAAGCAATTAAGGGCATAGTCTATACGATGAATACCAGGAGGAGCCACAGGCAGAGCATCGAGAAGTGTTCGATCCAGAGCACGGCATGTCAGAAAGTGATTTCGAGATATAAAATCACCCATCACGCACGGACACTCTTCACGCATGTTTGTGAAACGTCCAAAACGCCAGCGAACAAGGCGACTTCGAGCAGATCGACCAATTGGTAGGTACAAAATGGGATCTGGACGAGATACAGAACGACGACAAGCACGGAGGAGGGTCTGGGTACCAGAAACAGCAGCAGCAGCAAGTTGATGATCTACTTGATCTTGCCAATACGAATCAAAGACTTCAGTAAGACCAGCAGTGGTGAATGGCGGCGGATCAGGTAGTGTCAGATACAACGGGTTTTGACAAATAAATCTGTCTAGACGAGTGTACAGTAATCCACGACGAAGCAGAACCAACAAGCAATCATCAGGGAGAGTATCAGCACGAAGAGCATAACGTGTTGCCAGGACATTATATCGATGCTTCATGCTGGGAATACAGGTCAAATGTTTGGCAACATTGTACCACGTACTACCAACAAACATACCAACCAATCGATTTTGCAGAGCATCAAGAGCCTTGAAGTCACGGAAAGAGAGATGCGATATAGCTAAGCCGTATTCCAGCTTGGGTCGAATAAAGCTTTTATACAAACGAGCACAAAGCAACAGAGAAAAACCATTTCGATTGACACCAACCGAATTCAATAATGCCATTGTCTTGATAGCACCAGAAGCACGCAGATTGAGAATCCCAGGGGCATACAGACCTTTATATCTAAACGGCATACCAAGATACGTGAATTCCTCTACCACAGGAAGAGGTTCACCGTATAGGGACAATGGATGACGAGTAGAGGCTGTTGGAGCACAAAGTACAGCACATTTTGATGGTTTCCATCTGTAGCCAAGAGAGAACGAGTGATCTGAAGCGACATCCAACATGGTTTGCACATCAGTACGAGAGCCAAATATGGCCACATCATCAGCAAAGAGTAAACTATTGATATGAACAGGATGCATTCCGGGTGGAGATACCATAGTACCACGGTTGACAGCAGCACGAAGAACAGCAGGCAGAGAGTTGATGTACAGAGAGTACAAGTGCGGACTGAGCACTGAACCTTGGAGTACACCAGTAGCAGGCGAAAAAGGGTCAGAGTTGTGGTTTGCAATCAGTACAGAGACTAGTACATCATCGAACATATTGATCAATAAACTAAGGATTGGACGAGGTAGTGAAGAATGAGCAAGAGCATCCCAAATAACGTTGCGATCCACTGTATCGTATGCAGATTTGATGTCCAGAAAGGCTACAACAGGATAGTGGTGATGAGTGAGGAAGTAGTCGTGCATCAAGTCATGTAAACAGAGGGCTTGATCCAGAGGACTACGTTGTGGACGAAAACCACCTTGAGCAACATCAAGTGCAGGCGAATGTTCATCAAGAGCAGGCATCAATGAAAATTCAAACAATTTACGCATCACCGAAGTGAGCGAAATTGGACGAAAGTTTGCAGGATCAGATACATCACCTTTCTTGTAAATGGGAAAGACCTGAGCATGACGCCACAATACAGGAGTGTACGACCATTGAGAGCAAAGCGTAAATAGCAGAGACAATACGGGTGCAATGTCAGATGCTAGAGCCTTCAGCATTTCAGCTTTCAGATGATCAGGACCAGGAGCTTTACCATTTGGCAATCGCTTAATCAGAGAGACAATAGTATCAGCATCAAACAGATTTGTAACAGAGGGATCATTGTAGGGTAGATCCGATACATTCGGTTCAGGAGCAACAGGACGAGAAGCAGAGTTAAGGAGTGTACCATTGTATACAGATGCAAGATGTGATGCCATTGCTGTTACTGAAGCAGCTGGACCATCTGGATGGCTATAAGTAGCAGAGGATTCTTTGTTTCGCTTTATGCGTTTGATAGCAGCAGTAGCTTTAGAGAAATCCTTTTCCAGATTAGAGCAGAATGTGTTCCACGACTTTCTTTTGGCAGCCTGTATCAGAGAGCGAAAACGTCTAAGAGCAGTTTGATATATACCCCATGTTTCAACTTTGGCAAAGCCACTTGCCCATCGCCATCGACTATATGAGGCATCTCTTTCACGAGCTGCATCTTCAATTTCTTGTGTCCAGTACTTTTTCCAGTGACCTGGGCGACCAGATTTCACACCAATTGACCCGTCAAGAGATTCATACAAACAACAATTCAGAGAATCATTGAGTGCATCAATATCAGGACGAACTCCATCAGGAGCAGAGACCAAACCAGAGAGAGAATCAACCAAAGGAGCAACAGAAGATCGAAAGGATTCACGAAGCAAGCCCAAAGGCCGCTTTTTCCTCAATTTCGAGAGCTTCCATTGCCGTCTAGGGGCCAAACCACCAGAGTTACCAGAACCAAGAGTATCATCGGGAGGGGGCACATACTCGAAAGTAAGTACCATCAGCCGATGATCAGAACCAAGGGACAGATCAGAGTCAACCACCAGTTGAGAATTCAACATAGCCGTCTCGCCAATGTTGGTAAGGAACAGATCAATGATGCTGTGTACCTCTTGTTGTCGCCGAAATGTTGTAAAGGTGGGTGTACCATAAGCTAGAGACTCATTGAGGATCGACAACGAAGCCTCCTCAATCCATGGTAGTAGAGAGTTACCACGGGGATTAGCAGTAGTATCACCTAGTAGAGATCCAAAGCGAGCATTGAAATCACCACAAAGGATTGTATCACTAGTTATAGGTAACGAGCGAAGGAGCGAGAGCACCTTATCCGAGGATAAGGGTGGAGGCAGATACACACAATGAACCGTAAGGGTGCCAACCTTAAGGGACAGAGTGTGAGGATTGTAAGACGGGAGTTGAGAGACAGAGAAAGGACAGGAAGGAGAGACAAAGGCTGTAACACCACCAGAACCACGGCCAAAAGCGCCAGGTACTTTTGTGCCATATAGATGGAATTGAGACCAGTCGGAAGGGAAAGAACCAGATAGAAGCCAAGTTTCAGTGACAAGGAGAACATGCGTATCCAATACATGTGAGAGGACATCGTGCACAACTGATTGACGGAGACCATTGGCATTCCAAAGGGAAAGAGAGACAGGAAAGGAGTGGACGGGGTTGTTGTTGATATGACTCTGATGTATTATAGAGCTCATTAGAGTTCCATAGCAGAGTCATTGCTGTCAGAAGCTTTTCTACGCTTGAGCAAGAATTGAGCCTTCTTGGGTTCTTTTTCAGCAAGGCGGCCCATGGCTTCGGAAACAGCTGTATCAAGTTCCTCTTGGGAAATCCATCCAGCAGAGACAAAGTATTTTCCAACACCACTGACATTGAGAGGACGAAGGAAGGAAAGAGTTTGCAGAGCACGAGTGTTTGTAAACTCGTAGATCAGTTGTTCTCGATCCGCAATAGCAAGGTTTGCATATTGAGGATCAGCAATGTGCTTGGGATCCAGAGGCTCAAAATTCTCGATGAGCTCAGCTTCGCACTTGTGCATGTAAGCAAGAAAAGTGTCGACATATTGGATATGGACCAGAACTCCAATAACACCAGAAGCAGGGAAACAAATGTCGAGAACACGACCAGTATCAACACCAACCTTACGGAGGGTAGCACGAACCTCAGAGCGCTGGATCTTACCAGATCTACCAAGGTAGACATATTGGTATCCCTGTTGGCCCTTAACAGCAGCAGATTGGAAGAGACGGCCAGCAGCAAGACGGCGTTTGGCTGTACGAACAGGATCAGGGCGTTTAGCTCCAGAGCGAGCAGCAGAGAGATAACTACCTTTAGTGGCAGTATCGGTAGCAGTAGTGGTACTAGCAGTAGTAGCAGGATCTTGGGACTGTACGACCTGAGAGATGAACGGACGTTCCTGATCTACCTCAGGTGTAGGGGCTTGAGTAGTTCCACGTGATAGTTGGCCCTGTAATTCTTGAATTACCAGGTCCTTGGCCAAAAGATTTTTTTTTAGGGCTTGGTTTTCCTCTTCTAACTTGTTCATACGCTCCAAGAGGTGGTCATGTTCATGTACTTTCTCCTGAACTGAGGCAAGTTGCTGCTGAATGTGCTCAAGTAACATGGGCAACTGACTGATGTCAAAACCTTGTAGGCTTTGAGAGATTGGCGTAGTCATTTTGTGAAAAATTACTAGGATTCAAAGAAACTGGCAAGTTGTTCAACAAGACTGAAATTAATATACAATAAACTATGGATAAACGCAAGTCTACTGCTGTAATTTGGTATTGTTTGGTGAACTAGTTGTCGAGATAAACCGCTTTTATAGTGAGGAAATACTTTTTACCGGGGGAAGGTGGCAAAAAGTGATGAAAAACGGAAAGAGATGGGGATGTAGCTCAGGCGAAAATTTATGGTTGTTTATTGATTACAATGAATTAGCAATGTAAAAAATATAGACTTATATGCATGCGATCTTTGGATCATTAGTTGCAAGTCCTGAGAAGCGACGTACAGCAAAAAAGCTTAAATTGATAGTTTGATCTCCATGCAGGAACAACATGCAAGTGTCCAGAAAAGGGAAAGGTCCTAAACTAAAAATTAAACTGGTAAAAAAGAAGTACAGGCAGGAAAAAGAAGTAAAACAAGTGAGATAAAAGGGTAGAGAATAAGAAGCTATGGTGCATGAGACATGCAATTGAGGATACCTCGATGTTCAGACAGCAGCACAGACAAAATAAACCCACAGTCCTCAGTGGCACAAAAAAAGCAAGAAAAAAAGGAGAAAACGAGGCATTTGCATATAGCAAAATGAGTAGAGAGACAAAGACCAAACGAGAAAGAAGCAGAGAAGGAGGACAAAGTGAATACGGACACTACCACAAAGGCAGCAGAAACAGAAACAATGAGAGTGGGAATGAGAGAGCAAAACGATTTCAACAACAAGGTGTCAATCAGTTATCAGAAGGCTCTGACATTTCAAAATCCTTGGTAGCAGAGAGAGTTGGGGAGACAGCATAAGCCAAAAGAGAGGCAGTTTCAGCATCATGATGCAAGAGGTAGCCAAGATAACTCAAACGTTGTTTCTTGGCTAAACGCTCTTGATCAGAGGATCGGGATGGTGGTTTAGCAGCAGCAGAGGAGGAGGAACGAGCAAGCATTTCTTCTTTCAAAATGGCATCAAATTGGGCTTGGTTGATGCGATCATACAAAAGAAAAGAACGAGCAACAGAAACACGGACAGAGCGACGGACAAAAGACAGAGAACGAAGACAGCGAAGGTTTTCGACCTCAATGGCCTTTTGGACACGCAGATCACGAGAGAGAGAAGCAAATTTGGGATCTTTGAGATTGACTGGATCACATGGATCAAAGTCAATCAACGGAGAGCAGCCACGACCATGGAGATGCATGGCTTTGGTGAGGGTGAGAACATAGTCGTTGTGAACAAGGAAAGAAATCACATTCTGTACAGGATATTGAATATCCAGCACACGAGAGTTATTCAATCCTACGCCTTGTACAAGGCGACGCAGCTCAGAAAGACGACGGCGGACAGGAGTAGCATAGTACACAAATTGATAACCAGATGGTATATCACTTTGAGGAGCAAAAAGACGAGCAAGAGTAGCGGATGCCTTGGTGGCAGATGGAGGAGGAGGACGAGCAGCAGGCTTCTTCTTACGCTTTGCACCTGTATTAGATGCAACGACGGCAGCAAAAGATGGTTGATTTCCTGGAGACAAAATGGTGGCAGAGGTAGCATTGGTGCATGTAGTCGATGCTGATGCTGTTGTGGTTGTAGTAGTGGCAGGAGGTGGGCAAGATGATGATGGTTTGGGAGCCAGGCTAGTTGTAGTACCAGTAGCAGCTGCAAGTTGGGCTTCGAGAGCGTGACGAGCAGCCTCAGACTCTGCCAGGGCTGTTTTTAACCGCTCAATTTCGACATGGGCGGTTTCCAGACGAGCTAAGCGATTTCGAACCTCAATCATAAAGGTTGAAAGTTGCTGTTCACTCGCTGGAGAGGCAGATGGAGGAGTTGTTGGTCCAAAATCAGTAGAAATGTTGATGATATCAACTGATGTTTGTGGATGGTGGTGCTGATGAGAGGTTGGCGAGAGTGTCATTTTCTTTGTTTTCAATTGTTGAGTGAAATCTACAGCGAAAAAAGGTGGAGATCTTGAGGAACTTGGCCGTTTTTGACCTGGAGAAAGAGAGGATGCAGAGCTTAATGCCTGGTTTACTTTGGTGTCGTCTGGAATGATGTTCTTGCTATGTATTGTATGGATTTGTAGAGTTGGGTCAATTTTTTCAATATTACTGGGATTCAATGTATTAAAAAAATTGGTTGGGGATGTAGCTCAGTTTAAGATTGTTTTTATTTATATACAATGTTTTATAATTGGGCACTCGGTATGAGCATATGCCATAAAACTAGTAACTATATAGACTAAAGAAAGAAAACCTCAACAGAGACAACGGAAAAGATGAGGAAAAAAGTTTGAGATGGCAGTAAAAGAGCAGAAGACTACTTGTAGTGGCACGATTGATCTTGAGGGATGAACCAACGGATGGGAACTTTGATTTGACTTACCACCGAGGCACCGCACAAAGAAAACAATCGGCCAAACGTTCATCTCAGTTAGCCATGAGAGGGAGGATAGAACCACAATGATCCGGGATCAGGATCAGGGGCGATAGTAGCCAAAGGGTGGACCAGACAGTCGATTGCATGAAGCAAAGATAGTAACGCAGACCAGTATACTGGAGGACCAGCAGAACCACTTATAGGCAGCATGTTCAGGGCATTGTCAATGACATGTACACCAGGAGGAGCAGCAGGCAGAGCATCCCACAGATCACGATCCAAAGCACGACATTGAGGGAAGTGATTTCGAGAGATGAAAGATCCATCCATGCAGGGACATTCCTCACGCATGTTTGCAAAACGACCAAGACGCCAACGAACCAAACGACTACGAGCCGATCGACCAATAGGTAAGTACAGTATGGGATCAGGGCGAGAGACAGAAGGACGGCACGCACGAAGCAGAACATGTTTACCAGTAGTAGTAGCAGCAGCCAGTTGTTGGTCAACCTGATCTTGCCAGAAGTCAGAGAAGTGAGCCTTGAGACCAGCAAATGAAGGGACAGGGTCAGGCAGAGATCTATACAAACTGTTTTCACAGATGTACCGATCCAGTCGAGTGTACGACAGAGCACCACGAAGAACCACCACAAGACTATCCTCAGGTAGAGTAGCAGAACGAAGAGCATACCTAGTTGCCAAGACATTATACCGATGTTTCATTGAAGGGAGACAGGTAATGTGCTTAGCAACGTTGAACCAGGAACCACCCACGAACATACCAACCAGCCGGTTTTGGAGCTTGTCAAGAGCCTCAAAGGTACGATAGTCAAGATGAGATATAGCGAGGCCATACTCAATCTTGGGTCTAACGAAAGCCTTGTACAGACGAGAACAGAGCAGCAGAGAGAAACCATTACGGTTGACACCAACAGAGTTCAGCAGAGCCATAACCTTGACAGCACCAGCGGACCGCAGAGACAAGATACTAGGAGCATGTAGCCCTTTATATCGAAACGGCATACCAAGATACACAAACTCATCTACCACCGGCAGCGGCTCATTGTAGAGAGTAAGACGAGCATCAGAGAGGGCAGCAGGAGAACCGAGCACAGCACATTTAGATGGCTTCCACCTATAACCAAGACAGACAGAGTGTTCAGCAGCAAGATCCAACATAGACTGGACACCAGACAAAGACCCAAAGATAGCAACGTCATCGGCAAAGAGCAAGCTATTGATGGCAATAGGACGACTAGCACCAGGAGGACTGACCATCGTAGCACCAGTATCAACAGAACGCAAAAGATTCGGTAAGGAATTGATATACAACGAATACAAATGAGGACTGAGTACTGAGCCTTGAAGTACACCAGTAACAGGAGAGAAAGCAGCAGAGGTATGATTAGCAATCAAGACTGAGACTGAGACATCGTCAAACATGTTCATCAAAAGACCCAGAACAGGACGAGGAAGTGTAGAACCAGACAGGGCTTGCCATATAACCCTACGATCGACAGTATCATAAGCAGACTTGATATCCAAGAAAGCCACCACAGGATAGCGACGGTGAGTCAGAAAGTAATCATGCATCAAGTCATGCAAGCAGAGGGCTTGATCCAGAGGACTACGTTGAGGACGGAAGCCACCTTGAGCAATATCCAGAGCAGGGGAGTGTTCATCCAGAGCCGGCATGAGACAGAACTCAAACAACTTACGCACCACCGAAGTGAGCGAAATTGGTCGATAATTACCAGGATCGGAAGCATCACCCTTCTTGAAAATCGGAAACACCTGGGCTTGGCGCCATAAACCAGGAGTATAAGACCATTGATAGCAGAGGTGAAACAGCAGAGAGAGCACTGGGGCAATTTCTGAGGTCAGAGCTTTTAACATCTCAGCCTTGATGTGGTCAGGACCAGGAGCTTTATGCGTCGGCAGACGTTTAATACACAGTACCAAGGTATCAGTATCAAACAAAGACATGTCCGCAGGGAGACAGAAAGGCAAGTCAGAGACCATAGGAGTGACAGGAGCAGGACGAGAAGCAGTATTTAATAGAGCACCTTCGTAGACCGTAGCCAAATGAGAGCCCATAGTAGCAACAGAAGCAGCAGGACCATCTGGGTGACTGTACGTAGGTGAAGACTCTTTATTGCGCTTGATGCGTTTTATAGCAGCAGTAGCTTTTGAGAAGTCTCTTTCCAGAGCACCACAGAACTTATGCCAGGACTTGCGCTTAGCAGACTGTACCAGAGAGCGAAAACGGCGATGAGCTTGCTTGTATAAGACCCAACAATCAATCTTAGTATACCCAAGGGCATACCGCCATCGACTGTAGAGACGATCCCGTTCAGTAGCCGCGTCTTGGATTTCTTGCGTCCAGTATTTCTTCCAATGGCCAGGACGGCCAGACTTCACACCTATTGAGCTATCCAAACATTCATACAAACATTGGTTCAAAGAACCGTTGAGTGCATCAATGTCGGGACGAGTACCAGGAGGAGCAGACACCAAACCAGAGAGAGTAACAACCAGAGGAGCAACAGAAGATCGAAAGGATTCACGGAGTAGGCCCAAAGGCCTCTCTTTCGTCAATTTCGAGAGCTTCCATTGCCGCCTAGGAGCCAGAACAGAATCACCAGGAGCCACAGTGTCATCAAGAGGTGGCACATACTCGAAAGTAAGTGACATCAATCGATGGTCAGAACCAAGAGACAGATCAGACTCAACCACCAGTTGAGGGTTCACCAAAGCAACATCACCAATATTTGTCAGAAACAAATCGATAATACTACTCAATTCTTGCTGCTGCCGAAAAGAAGAGTAAGTCTTAACACCAAAAGCCAAAGACGCATTAAGCACAGATAAGCAATGTTCGTCAAACCAAGGTTTGAGAGCATTACCACGAGCATTGGAGATAGCATCACCAGTCAGAGGACCCAACCGAGCATTGAAATCACCGCAGAGAATAGTATCCCTAGTCATAGGTAATGAGCTGAGGGCCGAGAGCACCTTATCAGAGGATAAGGGTGGAGGAAAGTAAACACAGTGAACCGTTAGGGTGCCAACCTTGAGAGACAGAGTGTGCGGATTGTATGAAGGGAGTTGGGAGACCGTAAAGGGGCAAGAAGGAGAGACGAAAGCAGTGATACCACCAGAACCACGGTTGAAAGCACCAGGTACTTTTGAACCATACAGGTGATATTGAGACCAGTCAATCGGATAGGAACCAGAAGTGAGCCAAGTTTCAGTTACAAACAGAACATGAGTATCAACAATATGAGAAATAACATCATGAACTGTTGTTTGACGAAGACCATTCGCATTCCAAAGAGAGAGAGAGACAAAAACCGGGGGGACAGACACATTATTCATATTACCAGACCATGATTCATTGTTAAGAGACATTAGATCTCCATTTCAGAATCAGTGGAAGTATCGCGGCGACGCTTGAACAAGAAAGCAGCCTTTTTAGGGTCTTTTTCCTTTAGTCGGTCCATAGCACCAGCAACAGCCTCGTCCAGTTCGGCTTGACCTATCCATCCAAGATCTAGGAACCAACGGCCAACACTACTCACATTAAGTGGGCGGATATGGGACAGAGCATCTACGCTGCGAGCATTGACCATCTCAGCAATAAGATCCATTCGATCGTGTTCAGAGTAGGCATCGTACTTTGGGTCGGCAATATTAGCAGGATTCAACGGGTCAAAATCCTCCAATATTTCCGATTCACTTGCACGGAGCAGAGCCAAGAATTCAGCAACATATTGGGTATGCAGGAGAATACCAATAGCTTCGGAGGCAGGGAAGTTGATGTCGAGGATACGAGACGTATCCACCCCAATGGCCTTGAGAGTGCGTCGAATTTCAGAGCGTAAGATCTTACCAGATCTACCAATATATACATATTGATATCCTTGGGGACCCTTAGCAGCAGACGTTTTGAAGAGACGACCAGCAGCCAACTTTCTCTTAGCAGCTTTAGTGGGATCAGGGCGATGTGCAGCCTTCTTAGCTATAGCAGAATAGCTAATAGTACCAGAATCAGTGGTGGCAGTAGCAGAGGTGGTGGATCCAGATGCCCCTTTGATGGGGGTGCTTGTAACAGAATCCTGTGACGTGGCTTGCAATTTTTCAATGACCAGATCCTTGTCGTGTAAAATTTTTTTCAAGGCTTGGTTTTCCTTTTCCAAAGCATCGAGACGAGCCAAAATACCATCATGTTGATTAACACGTTCAGAGAGAGAGGCAAGTTGTTGTTGTAACTGTTGCATGATAACAGTAACCTGATTCATATCAGTTGGGTGCTGAAACTCGGGCATATTGCTGATTATTTTTTTAGAAATTGTTGAAGATCCAAAAAAATATGAAGGAGATGTTCAATAAACTTGAAACTATAACACAATAGACAGAGACTAAAGGCAAGTATACTGGTATAGTTTTGGAGTTGATTGAGTTGCTGATTGTTGGGAAAATAGCGTTTTTCGTGATTCTAAGGAGACTTTTTACGGAGAGGATGGCAAAAAGTGATGAAAAACGGAAAGAGATGGGGATGTAGCTCAGTTTAATATTGGATTTTTATTTATTTACAATTGTAGTCAACTGCGGAATCGGTATGATCATATGTTGCAAGACTAACAGTGATTCGGCGGGAAAAAGCATGTTTAAATTAAAGGTTGAGGGAAGCTGCTAAAGGGAGGGGACCAATAAAGTAAACGGCATCAAAACCCACCAGAGAGGAGGAGAAACAGAGGGAGGAATGGCAATGGCCGCGCCGCAAGACGGGGGAGACGAACAGGACTCAAGGTAGAAACCGGCCAGACGCACCGCAGCACACCTAAACGTGCAAGCACAAATACCGAGCAACATGCCAGGTTAGAAAGGCGGAAAATATGGATGCGAAGGTGGGATTCGAACCCACGACCTCTCGGCATACTCACTGCTTCCGCATGAAGCTCTAACCAAGTGAGCCATTCAAGCATCCATGGGGATGTAGCTCAGGCGAAAATTTATGGTTGTTTATTGATTACAATGAATTAGCAATGTAAAAAATATAGACTTATATGCATGCGATCTTTGGATCATTAGTTGCAAGTCCTGAGAAGCGACGTACAGCAAAAAAGCTTAAATTAATAGTTTGATCTCCATGCAGGAACAACATGCAAGTGTCCAGAAAAGGGAAAAAAGGTCCTAAACCAAAAATTAAACTGGTAAAAAAAGAAGTACAGGCAGGAAAAAGGAGTAAAACAAGTGAGATAAAAGGGTAGAGAATAAGAAGCTATGGTGTATGAGAAATGCAATTGAGGATACCTCGATGTTCAGACAGCAGCACAGACAAAATAAACCCACAGACCTCAGTGGCACAAAAAAAGCAAGAAAAAAAAGGAGAAAACGAGGCATTTGCATTTAGCAAAATGAGTAGAGAGACAAAGACCAAACGAGAAAGAAGCAGAGAAGGAGGACAAAGTGAATACGGACACTACCACAAAGGCAGCAGAAACAGAAACAATGAGAGTGGGAATGAGAGAGCAAAACGATTTCAACAACAAGGTGTCAATCAGTTATCAGAAGGCTCTGACATTTCAAAATCCTTGGTAGCAGAGAGAGTTGGGGAGACAGCATAAGCCAAAAGAGAGGCAGTTTCAGCATCATGATGCAAGAGGTAGCCAAGATAACTCAAACGTTGTTTCTTGGCTAAACGCTCTTGATCAGAGGATCGGGATGGTGGTTTAGCAGCAGCAGAGGAGGAGGAACGAGCAAGCATTTCTTCTTTCAAAATGGCATCAAATTGGGCTTGGTTGATGCGATCATACAAAAGAAAAGAACGAGCAACAGAAACACGGACAGAGCGACGGACAAAAGACAGCGAACGAAGGCAGCGAAGGTTTTCGACCTCAATGGCCTTTTGGACACGCAGATCACGAGAGAGAGAAGCAAATTTGGGATCTTTGAGATTGACTGGATCACATGGATCAAAGTCAATCAACGGAGAGCAGCCACGACCATGGAGATGCATGGCTTTGGTGAGGGTGAGAACATAGTCGTTGTGAACAAGGAAAGAAATCACATTCTGTACAGGATATTGAATATCCAGCACACGAGAGTTATTCAATCCTACGCCTTGAACAAGGCGACGCAGCTCAGAAAGACGACGGCGGACAGGAGTAGCATAGTACACAAATTGATAACCAGATGGTATATCACTTTGAGGAGCAAAAAGACGAGCAAGAGTAGCGGATGCCTTGGTGGCAGATGGAGGAGGACGAGCAGCAGGCTTCTTCTTACGCTTTGCACCTGCATTGGATGCAACGACGGCAGCAAAAGATGGTTGTGCTGTAACTTGAGATTGGGAGTAGCTGGGGGTAGACTTGGAGGCAGATGTTGTTGATGGTGGTGTTGGAGTGTTCGACGATACAACGTCTATGGTGGTGGGAGCAACATTGGTGGTGGATTGAGCGTTGATAGCTGCCAATTGAGCCGCAAGGGCGTCTCTAGCAGCCTCTGATTCAGCCAGGGCTGTTTTCAACTGCGCAATTTCAGCATGGGCAGATTCTAATCTGCTCAAACGATGTCTGACCTCAACCATAAAGGTCGACAACGCAGTTTGATCAGTGGCCGAAGCAGGTGGGAGGGAAGTGAGACCAAAGTCAATCGAGTTGGGGTCAACATCGATCGAAGATGTGAAATGAGATGCTTTGGAGAGGTCTTGAGGTTGCATTTTCTTTGCTTTTAAATGTTGAGAGATATCAGCAGCAAAGAAAGGTGGAGAGAGGGTTGAAATTGGCCTTTTTTGACCGGACGAAAGGGTGTCAGCAGGTGTAATCTTATTAAAAGTGTTTTGCTCGGTTATGGTATTGATATAGCAAGTACTTGATGAGAGATGATGGGTTATAGGAATCTTCGATATAATTCGGGCTATGAAAGTATATAAAAAATTCTTTAGCGGAAAGAAAGGTGGGGATGTAGCTCAGTTTAACGTTGATTTTTATTATATACATGAATTCAATGGGCACTCGATGGGAGCATTAGCCTAGAATTCTAGAAACAAAAGAGTAGCAGGTACAAAAAACCCTTATGGGGACACTAACTAAGAAAAAGGGAAAAAGGAAAGTGTGGTAGTGGCAGAGGAACGGCATGAATACTGGTATTGTTGATTTGATCTGGAGGAATGACCAACGGATGGGAACTTTGATAATTACTTACCACCGTGGCATCGCACCGAGAAAGCAAAAACAACAAACGTTCATCAATGAGCAGAAAACCAGAGCGATCCAGGATCTGGATCTGGTGGGGGGATGTAGCTCAGTTTAACGTTGATTTTTATTATATACATGAATTCAATGGGCACTCGATGGGAGCATTAGCCTAGAATTCTAGAAACAAAAGAGTAGCAGGTACAAAAAACCCTTAAGGGGACACTAACTAAGAAAAAGGGAAAAAGGAAAGTGTGGTAGTGGCAAAGGAACGGCATGAATACTGGTATTGTTGATTTGATCTGGAGGAATGACCAACGGATGGGAACTTTGATAATTACTTACCACCGTGGCATCGCACCGAGAAAACAAAACAACAAACGTTCATCAATGAAGAGACTATCTAGCAGAGAACCATAACAACCCTGAATCAAGATCAGCAGGGATGACAGCCAGCGGATGCACTAAACAATCAATGGCATGAAGCAGAGCAAGCAAAGCAGACCAATAAGATGGAGGACCATCAGAGGCTTTCACAGGTAAGCAATTAAGGGCATAGTCTATACGATGAATACCAGGAGGAGCCACAGGCAGAGCATCGAGAAGTGTTCGATCCAGAGCACGGCATGTCAGAAAGTGATTTCGAGATATAAAATCACCCATCACGCACGGACACTCTTCACGCATGTTTGTGAAACGTCCAAGACGCCAGCGAACAAGGCGACTTCGAGCAGATCGACCAATTGGTAGGTACAAAATGGGATCTGGACGAGATACAGAACGACGACAAGCACGGAGGAGGGTCTGGGTACCAGAAACAGCAGCAGCAGCAAGTTGATGATCTACTTGATCTTGCCAATACGAATCAAAGACTTCAGTAAGACCAGCAGTGGTGAATGGCGGCGGATCAGGTAGTGTCAGATACAACGGGTTTTGACAAATAAATCTGTCTAGACGAGTGTACAGTAATCCACGACGAAGCAGAACCAACAAGCAATCATCAGGGAGAGTATCAGCACGAAGAGCATAACGTGTTGCCAGGACATTATATCGATGCTTCATGCTGGGAATACAGGTCAAATGTTTGGCAACATTGTACCACGTACTACCAACAAACATACCAACCAATCGATTTTGCAGAGCATCAAGAGCCTTGAAGTCACGGAAAGAGAGATGAGATATAGCTAAGCCGTATTCCAGCTTGGGTCGAATAAAGCTTTTATACAAACGAGCACAAAGCAACAGAGAAAAACCATTTCGATTGACACCAACCGAATTCAATAATGCTATTGTCTTGATAGCACCAGAAGCACGCAGATTGAGAATCCCAGGGGCATACAGACCTTTATATCTAAACGGCATACCAAGATACGTGAATTCCTCTACCACAGGAAGAGGTTCACCGTATAGAGACAATGGATGACGAGTAGAGGCAGTAGGAGCACAAAGTACAGCGCATTTTGATGGTTTCCATCTGTAGCCAAGAGAGAACGAGTGATCTGAAGCGACATCCAACATGGTTTGCACATCAGTACGAGAGCCAAATATGGCCACATCATCAGCAAAGAGTAAACTATTGATATGAACAGGATGCATTCCGGGTGGAGATACCATAGTACCACGGTTGACAGCAGCACGAAGAACAGCAGGCAGAGAGTTGATGTACAGAGAGTACAAGTGCGGACTGAGCACTGAACCTTGGAGTACACCAGTAGCAGGCGAAAAAGGGTCAGAGTTGTGGTTTGCAATCAGTACAGAGACTAGTACATCATCGAACATATTGATCAATAAACTAAGGATTGGACGAGGTAGTGAAGAATGAGCAAGAGCATCCCAAATAACGTTGCGATCCACTGTATCGTATGCAGATTTGATGTCCAGAAAGGCTACAACAGGATAGTGGTGATGAGTGAGGAAGTAGTCATGCATCAAGTCATGTAAACAGAGGGCTTGATCCAGAGGACTACGTTGTGGACGAAAACCACCTTGAGCAACATCAAGTGCAGGCGAATGTTCATCAAGAGCAGGCATCAATGAAAATTCAAACAATTTACGCATCACCGAAGTGAGCGAAATTGGACGAAAGTTTGCAGGATCAGATACATCACCTTTCTTGTAAATGGGAAAGACCTGAGCATGACGCCACAATACAGGAGTGTACGACCATTGAGAGCAAAGCGTAAATAGCAGAGACAATACGGGTGCAATGTCAGATGCTAGAGCCTTCAGCATTTCAGCTTTCAGATGATCAGGACCAGGAGCTTTTCCATTTGGCAATCGCTTAATCAGAGAGACAATAGTATCAGCATCAAACAGATTTGTAACAGAGGGATCATTGTAGGGTAGATCCGATACATTCGGTTCAGGAGCAACAGGACGAGAAGCAGAGTTAAGGAGTGTACCATTGTATACAGATGCAAGATGTGATGCCATTGCTGTTACTGAAGCAGCTGGACCATCTGGATGGCTATAAGTAGCAGAGGATTCTTTGTTTCGCTTTATGCGTTTGATAGCAGCAGTAGCTTTAGAGAAATCCTTTTCCAGATTAGAGCAGAATGTGTTCCACGACTTTCTTTTGGCAGCCTGTATCAGAGAGCGAAAACGTCTAAGAGCAGTTTGATATATACCCCATGTTTCAACTTTGGCAAAGCCACTTGCCCATCGCCATCGACTATATGAGGCATCTCTTTCACGAGCTGCATCTTCAATTTCTTGTGTCCAGTACTTTTTCCAGTGACCAGGGCGACCAGATTTCACACCAATTGACCCGTCAAGAGATTCATACAAACAACAATTCAGAGAATCATTGAGTGCATCAATATCAGGACGAACTCCATCAGGAGCAGAGACCAAACCAGAGAGAGAATCAACCAAAGGAGCAACAGAAGATCGAAAGGATTCACGAAGCAAGCCCAAAGGCCGCTTTTTCCTCAATTTCGAGAGCTTCCATTGCCGTCTAGGGGCCAAACCACCAGAGTTACCAGAACCAAGAGTATCATCGGGAGGGGGCACATACTCGAAAGTAAGTATCATCAGCCGATGATCAGAACCAAGGGACAGATCAGAGTCAACCACCAGTTGAGAATTCAACATAGCCGTCTCGCCAATGTTGGTAAGGAACAGATCAATGATGCTGTGTACCTCTTGTTGTCGCCGAAATGTTGTAAAGGTGGGTGTACCATAAGCTAGAGACTCATTGAGGATCGACAACGAAGCCTCCTCAATCCATGGTAGTAGAGAGTTACCACGGGGATTAGCAGTAGTATCACCTAGTAGAGATCCAAAGCGAGCATTGAAATCACCACAAAGGATTGTATCACTAGTTATAGGTAACGAGCGAAGGAGCGAGAGCACCTTATCCGAGGATAAGGGTGGAGGCAGATACACACAATGAACCGTAAGGGTGCCAACCTTAAGGGACAGAGTGTGAGGATTGTAAGACGGGAGTTGAGAGACAGAGAAAGGACAGGAAGGAGAGACAAAGGCTGTAACACCACCAGAACCACGGCCAAAAGCGCCAGGTACTTTTGTGCCATATAGATGGAATTGAGACCAGTCGGAAGGGAAAGAACCAGATAGAAGCCAAGTTTCAGTGACAAGGAGAACATGCGTATCCAATACATGTGAGAGGACATCGTGCACAACTGATTGACGGAGACCATTGGCATTCCAAAGGGAAAGAGAGACAGGAAAGGAGTGGACGGGGTTGTTGTTGATATGACTCTGATGTATTATAGAGCTCATTAGAGTTCCATAGCAGAGTCATTGCTGTCAGAAGCTTTTCTACGCTTGAGCAAGAATTGAGCCTTCTTGGGTTCTTTTTCAGCAAGGCGGCCCATGGCTTCGGAAACAGCTGTATCAAGTTCCTCTTGGGAAATCCATCCAGCAGAGACAAAGTATTTTCCAACACCACTGACATTGAGAGGACGAAGGAAGGAAAGAGTTTGCAGAGCACGAGTGTTTGTAAACTCGTAGATCAGTTGTTCTCGATCCGCAATAGCAAGGTTTGCATATTGAGGATCAGCAATGTGCTTGGGATCCAGAGGCTCAAAATTCTCGATGAGCTCAGCTTCGCACTTGTGCATGTAAGCAAGAAAAGTGTCGACATATTGGATATGGACCAGAACTCCAATAACACCAGAAGCAGGGAAACAAATGTCGAGAACACGACCAGTATCAACACCAACCTTACGGAGGGTAGCACGAACCTCAGAGCGCTGGATCTTACCAGATCTACCAAGGTAGACATATTGGTATCCCTGTTGGCCCTTAACAGCAGCAGATTGGAAGAGACGGCCAGCAGCAAGACGGCGTTTGGCTGTACGAACAGGATCAGGGCGTTTAGCTCCAGAGCGAGCAGCAGAGAGATAACTACCTTTAGTGGCAGTATCGGTAGCAGTAGTGGTACTAGCAGTAGTAGCAGGATCTTGGGACTGTACGACCTGAGAGATGAACGGACGTTCCTGATCTACCTCAGGTGTAGGGGCTTGAGTAGTTCCACGTGATAGTTGGCCCTGTAATTCTTGAATTACCAGGTCCTTGGCCAAAAGATTTTTTTTTAGGGCTTGGTTTTCCTCTTCTAACTTGTTCATACGCTCCAAGAGGTGGTCATGTTCATGTACTTTCTCCTGAACTGAGGCAAGTTGCTGCTGAATGTGCTCAAGTAACATGGGCAACTGACTGATGTCAAAACCTTGTAGGCTTTGAGAGATTGGCGTAGTCATTTTGTGAAAAATTACTAAGATTCAAAGAAACTGGCAAGTTGTTCAACAAGACTGAAATTAATATACAATAAACTATGGATAAACGCAAGTCTACTGCTGTAATTTGGTATTGTTTGGTGAACTAGTTGTCGAGATAAACCGCTTTTATAGTGAGGAAATACTTTTTACCGGGGGAAGGTGGCAAAAAGTGATGAAAAACGGAAAGAGATGGGGATGTAGCTCAAATGGTAGAGCGCTCGCTTAGCATGCGAGAGGCACTGGGATCGACGCCCAGCTTCTCCAATTTTTATATTTTTTGATGAAAGTTACACTCCATAAATTCTAGAGTTTAACTTTAATCTGGAGTGTTTCTGTTATATCAAATGTCATAGCAAGGTCTCACACTAAAGGTCTTAGGCTATTCTTAGGTCCTTTAGGTAAATCATGCTAATCATGATTTATAAATCAATTGTTGGGTAGATAGTAGACTTATTTGTATTATAGTTCATCATCATGCTGTAAACCCTAGCATAATGAAAAGTATATAAATGCATCCCAAGGATGCATTCTCAATAAAAGCGTAATTTTTTGGCAGATTCAATTTTACATTGTATTTTGACATAACAGTTTCTTTCATATAACGTTTATAGTTGTCCAACTAGAATAAGCAAATAAACTGAAGTAAAAGTTGAAAATAGGAAGTAATACAGAGATGTATATAAAAGAGTTTACAATGAATCGATTTCAATATGGGAAATATATAAGCACTACGGCCCAACTGATGCTCTCACAGAACATCGATGTGCTCTTTTGGGAACATCGATATTCTCATTTGAGAAGGTGTAGTTTTCCACATGAATAAAATGGTTTGAATAGCTAAACTATAGTACTGTAGGCAACAGAGAGATTTTATTATCTGTAAGATTCATAAAATTACTAAACGTATTATAAATTGCACGAGAATGATGTATCATATTCTAAACCGGATCTCCAAATGCGTAGGAGCAATTAGTTAAAGCACAGATCACATCAGATCATAAACTTTGACATGAAACAGGATTCAGTTACGATCCGAATAATGGCATGTTCAGGATAATAGATTGGATCTATTATCCTATCACCCAAATCAACGCATCTAATATCTTATCCTCACATCAAATCCCTCAATTCGAATAGTATATAAACCCTCTTATTTCCAATGTAATAAACGATATTCTTTACCTGATTAATTTCATACTCTTTTTATAAATAATTTATTTCTGATAAATCAGAGAAAATGGCAATTTAAAATTACCTAATAACTACTTATTAAAGTAAAAGAATATATTTCAATGTCAGGGTTGAAGGGTATTCTGACAGTGATTTAGATCTGCAGGATATCATTGACAGACTAAACACAAACAAGAATAAGAAGCGCAGGTTTAAACCTAGAGCGCCAGCTACCAGGAACATTAAACAGCGATTAACCTGGATAGCGCACAACATTACACAAACTATATTGGATAAAATCAATGTTCAAATCTAATATTAATAAAGCACCTTTTTATCCATTCAACTAAAAGGCTATAACATCTTCCTGCACACTCTCTATATCTACTTCCATTTATATCTCGATCAGATCTCAGATTGCATATGTGGAATACATCCACTATGATCTGCATTCCGACAGTTCATCCAGTTACCAGATTTAGATATAAACTGTATGTACACTGGATTAGATGTACGATATCGATTTATACTATAAGAAGATATGGACTTCAGATACGCTAGTACTATAAGATTCATACTATATAAGATATAGGCTATAGATGGCACCACGGACATGGATGGCACTATAGACTTATACTTGTATTCCGACATTGACTACGGATGTTTACCATATCTGGATAGACACCAAGATTAATGCAATATGAGCTTGTTGCTTCAGATGTGCATTTTATGATCCACGCTATAAGACACATGCTTATATCCGTGGTACTAGCTACAGATACTTTATGTACTACAGACTTGTACTATATATGAGACATGCTATAGACATGCATACGATATGCTATAGACATGCATACGATATGCTATAGACATGCCATATATCCAGATACATGCTAGAGATATATGCTTAGCGATATACACTCAGATATGTACTATTAATATAGACTAAGAAGACTGTACCCATCGGATACATGCTACTAGATCGATATTAATTATCCTTATAGAAAGGATAGATCAGGGTACTTCGGATGAGAGTCTAATTATTCATCCAGACAGAGCTAAATCATGATTAGCTTGCTGGAGTTGTCTTTTAGCATGATTAGACATTAGTTGATCTGAGTTGACTTATTTGTCAATCTAATTAATAGAACTCTTATCCATTGTTGTAGTATATAAGAAGGATCATCTACCTGGCCAGTAGAGAGACTTTAGTTTATTTTACACCTGTCAGTTTGATAATAAAACATACCTTTATCAAGTTGACATTACTGTTTTTTTTTATTCTTTGTTTTCCGTGAATTTTAGTCTATCAAGCCTCAAATTCCACACCTTCACTTACACATAAAAACCCTTTATATTTTCTGTGGATCTGATTCTTACCTGATGCTTTACATTTACGTACACGTAGCTACTTTGTATACGGACAAGCAGCATACTGGTATTTCCCCTTTTTAGTCCTTAGTGTCCCTGATACAGCAAAATCTGAGTGCATTTGAGCTGCGTTTTCTCGCGTCCAAGGCCGTTTTAGATTGTCATAATAGGACCAAACACTTGCTCTCATTTGGCAGTTACTTTCTGACACCTTTGCTCAACTTTTTGGAGATCAAAAAAAACATGAACAAAAATCGACCAAAAAGCATGAGGTACCCCTCATGGTTTTCATCGAAAATCAAACGATCGCGTTTTTCACCTTGAAAATGGAGACTTTTAATATGGTATATATTACATCAAAATGTTTCTATCGATCCAGAGCAACCTCTGGAATTATCTTTGTGGGACTTTGATATGTAAAATTTCGACATTTTGGCCAGAAACCTCTTTTCATATTTTCATAAATCATTTGTTAAGTTTATTCAAATCATCTATTTTACTTAGTACCATTGGATGCACTTTGAAAAGTACTCCAAGAAAGCTTAAGGAAGCATGGGGTGATCATCATATCTTACTTAGTCGAATCTGCAAAAATAGCTTAATCGAATTCAAAATCATCAAGATTTGTCCAATCTGGAACAAACTATGATTCTGGATTTGAATTAATTTTGGCTTGTGGGGCCAGCTGTCAAACTCAACGCCCTTTTTGTAATGAAATAGCCACCCAAACGCAACTTAATTGAAAACCAAAAGTTCATCAAATAGCACTCATTCAAATTCATGCTATTTGGATCTATTAATGAAAGCGCTCAAATGTACATCAAAAACCCATTTAAAAATACTAAAGTAAAGATACACGCTTATATCGCACATCGTGTGAATGAATCACTCCTGATCACAGTGTATTCAATCACACCCATGATGGTCGTAATAGGTGATGGTATCTTTATCCAAATAAAATTAAATCAATAACAAGCATATTCAAATATGACAATTATGCCCTGCTGCCATAGTTGCACAATATCCCAGATAAAGGGTTCCATACTTCAATAACAAACATCACACTTTAAACCATCAAGGTCACATTAAATCATGCTATGACGATAGCTCACCCAAGCTCATCAAGGTTACTCAAATCGACCCTTATGGCCAGTGCTCCTGCATTGATTACCACTTTAAATCAAACATCAACAACATTTGCCAGATATCGCAATAGCAGCACCTATTGCTCTCTATCATCACTAATCCTACAAGCCAGATGCAAATGTATAAATACTCTTCTTTTTTTTACTCAATTCCAGGATCTTCAGTTCATTTTATACACAAAATAAAATACAGTTGATTTCTATTGTATTTTACCTTTGCTTTATTTTTTTTGTGAAATCCATTAAACCTGATTTCACTGCACTTTTCATACTGCAATACAGTATTAAATGCTCTTGAAGCGTATGAAAAGTAGGTGGTAGGCCATAAAGCTATCGTTTATAATGATATCTTATTGCATTCTATATCGTTCATAATGGCATCGTCTTGCATTCTATATTTAATAACGTTAGTCTGGATATTGACGATTCATGGGCTGCGTAAGATGTCTGCAGTAAGTAGTGAAATCTCTAAGGCTCCAAGACGTTGTTCAAATAAAACATTGACTGCATTGAGCAGAGGAAAGAGGGTAGAACTAACAGTGGTTTTTGTTGATTGATTGTAAAATCATTATTCTCATATGAGCCAGGCCTGACAGATGTCTTGAAACTCAGGTTCCATATTAGGGTTGTAAAGTGTCTAAGGACTGAACATTTATTATGTTATGATGATATTAATTCTCGATTCAGGGCAACTTCTGAAACTATGTTGGTGAGACCTTGATATATAAAATCTCGACATTTTCGCCAAAAACGTCATTTCATAATTTCAGAAATTGCTCAAGAAGTTCAATCAAAATATCTATTATACCCAACACAGTTGGATGCGCATTGAAAAGTTCTTCTAGATATCTTAAGGCTGTAAAGGATGATCACTACAACTTTCATAGTCGAATCTCGTGAAATAAGTCGATCGAGTTGCAAAAGGATCAAAAATCAACGAATCGTGACAGAAAGTCGAGCGGGATTGTAATCCGTTTTGGCTGGCTAAAAGAAGACTCTCCTTGATTGCTCAAAGCCCTATAATATAATAGCAATGATACCCACAGAAACGATTATAGAGAAAGCGAGACTCCTTCTCAAATGGATAGCGTACCCAACGTGAGACCCAAAAAGGACAGGCTGGTGATGTAAGAGGAGCGTGACATGATCCAAAGAAACAGAATAGCACACAGATAAAACTGATATTGCAGGTGAAGTTTAATTCAGAAACCTCCTTCTTTTGGAAATCCCACGGCCTTGTTTGATGAATTTCGCAATGTGTACTTTACTTAGAACCCTGAAAATAGTACCATTGGATTCCTCAAGCGATTTGCTTTCGAATGATGTACATACTTTCTAATAAAATATCCTCTCTTTGACCACAAATTGGCCATTTACTTGCTTATCTCTCTTCAATTCATGTCCTTTTGTTTACTTTACATGTGATTTTTTTAAAGCTCAATTTTGCTTAGCAAATGAATTATTTTGATCTTGCATGATCCGAGTACCTTCTAAAAGAGGACGATTCCTAAAAAAAATGATATGAAATGTGTTGACTCTTTATGGGATGCATGCTCTTGGCATAAGAACTAAAAACAGGTTGCAGGAATGATACACGAGAATGACCAACTGTTGCATACAAGCATGCATCTTAGGCTACATTCACTTTCTCCTCAAGCCACCTTTTACAGTGTAGCAGCATAGATGATGTTTATCGTATCACATCACATCTATGTTTACAAGTCCAGTCAATTGTGTGTGCACAGGTGCCTCAGGAACTACAATACATTCAATCTCCCCAATGTCAAAATATCGAGATCCACCTACACTACATGAAACATACCGACTTAGGTGGCCTCTCAACAAGCTATACCAACAATCCATAAGGCCCCAGTGGCCTGCTATTTATATACCATCTCAACGTAGTAGTCATTGACCAGGGATCTACCATATTTAAGCAAGCTAGATGCCCTGTAATAAAGAAGCTCTTTGCTTTCGTTTTAGATACAGTTGACAACTGATTATTATCATCGACTTATTATTACGAATTCATCACCAACTCATTATGTAAATGTGGGCATATTGATGATATCTAGTAGCGCAAACACTTGATTGACATCATTGACAGCAACCATGATAGCTGGAAACAAGATGACTTGCACTGGTTCGAAAACAATTCATTATGTTCCATTCCATGGAGATAGCCGCAGTAATATTTATATGATACTCTTGCTTTCCGAGGTGTACGCTTGTCTCTTAATCCAGAATCAATTGTTGCACTAGCTCCAAGATGATGTAAGCAACAAGTAAGCCAACCTTATCATCCTGTATTGCCCAATTAGATGGAGAGTTTATGGCGACTACAAACAAGAGAAAAGATGGATCGGGGACTGTGTGATTTTGGAGAGAGAAATTAAGGGGAGGTAGAGAAAGATTACTTAATCAAGCAACCAGCTGCATTTGTTTCAGTGTCAAATGACATTTTTTGTTTACTTTCTGATGAGGCTGAGCCCGTGAGAAGTTGTCTGTTAATTACATCTAGGGAGAGATGGGGGAACTCGTTTCATGTGAAGGTGGAAAAAGGGCTTTTTGAAGTAGCAAAATGGACATAACTCGAGACAGAAAACAGTTGAAAGCCTCGGACGAAGCGGATCAAATAGAGCAAGTGTCAAACGTCAAAATGGTACTATTTTCACGCGCTAAAAGTAGTATATTGTGGAGAAAAGTAAAAGGAAACGAATTTGAGTGTGGCAAGGATACTAGACTCACATGAAAGTCGATGAGAAGGATATAAATAGGGATTTGTTTCAACAGCTTTTCCCTCTTCTTCTTCATCTCATCTCTCTACAACAAGCAAAATACTCTATACAAGCAAACTAACTACAAGACATTTGGGCTCTCTCTCTCTACATATGGTCATCTAAATCAAATACTCTACTGTCTATTGACCTCTACTACTGCTACATACAATGCCTTACAAATCCATGGTCCTCTCTACGTCTCTTGGTCCATGCTAGAAAAAGGCCACACTATCTTTGATACATGCAGACCTTGGTGAACTGTGCGAGTAAGTTATTATCTTGTTGAACGTATGAGCCATGTTGACTAACCTATTGATTACATAGTGCCGAAAAACTACTTTGTAGGGACTGAGTAGGATCACAGCTTCATAATCATGGGTAGACTGCAGGACAAATCCATTGGTCATGCTACGGGATGATCACAAGCTTTATTGCCGACGAGAGTAGGGTTTAACCCTATGATCCGGAGATGGAGGCGGCTTGAGCGTGTCGATGATCTTGTGATGGGTGAAGCAAGTTTACACCTTGGTACCTGTTTATATAGTGTTGGTTCCTTTTATTGATGGTCAATTTTCTTTGCCCAAATGGTTTGTTACGCACTCATGCCACAGTACTTGTGTACTCATCTCATCTTTATCTAGTTACCTCTGCCATCTCATGTTCTATCTCATTTAAAGCAAGCTGTTCTTTCCAAATGCTATCAAGCCAAGTTCTCTGTGCCTTCTACAAGCTCCTAAAATGACAAGACTGTTCAAATATACCATCTCTACATCTATACAAGGTCAAGCCCTACTCTCATCTGTGCTTCCTCTTACTCAATCAATTATCAAGACAATTAATGCCTGACATCTATACAAGGCCAAGTCGTTCTTATATATCTGCTACCTCTATCTATACAAGTCAAAATAGCCTCAAAAATCTTAATCCATCAAGTATGGTGATCTCATAAACTCAAATACACATTAATAAAAAACAACCACGTCTTGTCATTAACTTCAATATTATGCTCTTTTATGATTGCATCTTGTTTCAATGCTTGTACTGTCCTTTGATTGCTATGACCAATGTATTTTAAAGCCTGTACATAATTTAATCATATACATATAATTTAACGTCAAGAGATTTTGCCTGTATGTAATATCATAACATGATAAACTTATGGTCCCTAAACACTTTCAAAGCCTCAAAAAGGAAAGAAGTTGATCTAACAAGTATTTTGATAGACTGGCGTTATCAAATATAGATTCAAAAAGAACAGCATAGCTAACGATAATGCTCTATGATTTGCCATCTACTTTCCATACGCTTCAAAAGTATCTATTACTGTATTGCCTTTATGATGGAAAGGAGGGCATTGAGTCTGCCAGCCGGCCGCACCAGCCGCCAAAATTGATTCAAATCCAGAGCATTTTTTCTGTTCAAGATTGGACAGAAAGTGTCTTTCTTCGACTTGATTCAATTATTTTGTAAGATTCGACTATATAAGTTGTGAAGATCATCCTTTGCTTCCTAATATAGCCCCTGGTGGTAGGGCGAAGTGGTAGAACTCCCGTATGCCAACGGGAGGATCCCGGTTCAAATCCTGGTGAACGCAAGTTATCTGATTTTTTGACGTAGTACTGATGTCCTCGTTTGGTGTTTTGTACTCCTATCCATGATCTATATTTTGACGATTTCCGCAAGACTGTACTGGCTCTAGGTGTCGCACCTTATTAGTAGTAGATTTCTTTCCCAACTTAGTTCAAAAATATCTTATTCCCCTTCATTGCAGACATTAGGTCTACCAACAGTCTTTTCTATCCCTCGGTATGACATTTAAAGGACTTTAAATAAAACCTGGAGCTCGTCTCCCCTGCAAAAAAAAATTGCTTCCTAATACAATCTCAAAGTACTTTTCAAGACGCACCCAATGGTACCAAGTAAGGTAAATGTTCTGAATAGATTTATTGAGCAAATTATGAAAATATGAAATGAGGCTTCTGGATATAAAGTCGAAATTTTCCATATAAAGGTCCCACAAAAATAGCTTCAGGGGTTGCGTTGGATTGATAGCAACAATTTGATTTAATATATACCATAGTAAAAGTCTTTACTATCAAGGTCAAAAAACGCGATCGTTTGTTTTTGATGAAAACCATGAGGTACCCCTCATGCTTTTTGGTCGATTTTTGACCATGTTTTTTTGGTCCCCAAAAAGTCGAGCAAAAGTGTCAGAAAGTAACAGCCAGATGAGAGAAACCATTTGGGGCTATTCTGACAATCTAAAACGGCCTTGAACGCAAGAAAATGCAGCTCAAATGCACTCATATTTTGCTGTATTAGGGACACTAAGGACTAAAAAGTGGGAATACCAGTATGCTGCTTGCCCGTATACGAAGTAACTACGTGTATATGAATGTAGAGAACTACATGAGAATTAGATCCACAGATAATATGAAGGGTTACTATGTGTAAGTGGAGGGTCAAAATGAAAGTAGTAGTATTATGATAAGATACACAAGGGTAAACGGTAGCTCGAGCTGTCGCTGTGCAAGTTGGTTTTCACCGAAGCGAAGCAAAGGTAAAGAACCATCCGAAGCATAAACTTTCATATGGTTATTGATTTTATACCGATCAACAATCAACGTTCTTCTAACATTTTAGCTATAAAAATTTTACAATATTGGCCAAAGGCCCGCGGCAGCGCGAGCTGTTTGAACGTAGGTTGGCTTCCACCGAAGCGATGCGTAGGTCAGGAAACCACCCAAAATGTCGAAAGGCTCGTATTGGTATAATGGAGAAGAGCAGATTGTATGATTTTATATAGTGACAGAAAAAGAAAGAGGATGTTTTGATTCGTAACACCATGTTGAATAAAGAATATATATATATATATATATATATATTAACTTCTTCAAATCTATTGCAGTGAAACTCATAATCCCATCCTTGTTGCATTCAAAGGATTCAATGCATGTCGAACTTATTTTGGAAGACCCGCAACATCTGAGAAATGAATTTAATGGCACCTCAGACCACAAGTACAATGCGCACTCAATTGGATCTGGTATGTAAACATTGGTGCTTGTATACATCACATAACACTGATCGAGGCAAGACATGTAACATTATTTGTGCCTAAATGTTAAAGAGGTTCCTTTACTAGGAACAAGAAAAAAAAAGCTCTCTCCCCCCCATTAGAGAAGAAAAACAAGCTTTATTAAAATGACGGGAATCTAGATTCAAAATCAGGATCAACATCGGGTGCTTTGGCAAGTGCAGCATCATAAGTCAATTGAGAGATGAATTCCTTCAGATCCTTGGCAACGTTTTCACCATGTTCAAATCGAGCTCTTTCTTCAATCTTCTTTTGATCTTGATCCTGCTTTCTAATGTCTAAGCCAATCATACTAGTTTCCATATGAATGGTATTGAGAGCTTGTTCAATTTCCTTCAAGCTATCAGCAATAGAATCGGTATATAATTTGAATTCTTCTCTCTCCTCATTGATTTTATCAATCTCTACTTTGGTGTTGACTGCCAACGGTGATGAAGGAGCGGATGGCTTGCCTGTGATTTTACCCATACGAGCAGCCACCAATGCTTTTGCTTTTGCTTTGATACGATCGCTTTCCGTGATTTCACCATTGGGTCCAGTGCCCACAATGTTGAGTGGCAGATCTGAAGATGCAGATGTTGATGCGGCGGCAGCAGCTTTTGCATTGACAGCTTGAATCTTCTTATCCCTTAGATCGTTTTCAGTTTCATCCACTTGTGCCAATAGTCCCTTCAATGTCACATCCAACATGTACTGAATTTCTGCTTCCAATGATTTTTCTTGATCTGCCAAACTCGATAACTCTGCGGTTTTAGCAATATAGGTACTCCAGGCATCTTGTCCTTGTTCACTGCCAGTCTTGGAAATCTCATGTTGTAGCTCCTTTACTCTTTCCTTGAGGCCATCAATGTCCTTCTTTTCAAGAGCTGATAGTTCCTTGTATGGCGTGGCGACACGATGCGTGGCGTCATGCTCCAATTGTTGAATTAGCTTCTTCTTTTCTTCAATTTCCTTTCTAAGATCAAAAACACGAGTCTGCTTTCCACGATAACCGTAGCTGGAATTGGAAGGAGATGAGCTTCCACTGCTGCCAGTGCTAAGATCTCTGTTTCGAGTTCTGTCAGGGCCCATACGACGAGCACTAGAGACATAGCCCACTTCCGTATCCTCATCTTCTTCATCCTTCTTCTTGACAATGCGAGAAGCTGGGCTACTCAAAGATCTACTCGCAGCAACAGGCGATTCAGAGGGTGTAGAGCGGAAATTGTTCAAGTATCGCTTCTTGGCAATATCATCCAAAATCGACTTTTTCAGTTGACTGACACTGTCTGTTAAATCACGATGAGATGGTGGCACTAATTCTGCTGGTAGTGTCTCTGGCACATTGTAGCCGTTCAATTTTCTATAGATCAAATGCATTGCTACCGAGAACTCGTCTACATTCAATTTGCCTTGGTTGTTGGGATCCGACAAGTTCCAAATTTGCATGAGCACGTTTTGCGGTAATCCAGACTGTGAAAAGATCTCCTTTGCTTTCTCGCCAGACAATGTGCCCTTCTTCTCAGTATCCCAGGCCTTGAAGATCTTTGAATACTGCTTCTTTTCTTCCACAGTGACAGCCCAGGGAATCTTGACATTCTTTGATAAGCTCTCAAATCCATTGGGAGGCGTATAGTTTGTTGTATGTGGCATCATTCGATTTGTAAAATCCAGATTATTGCCAGCCATACCTGTGGGCATGGGCACTTGAGGCCCTCCATTCATTGGTGTTACCCCCGTCATCATGAGCTGCTGCATGTATCCAGTGGGTTGCGATGGCATATAGCTCGTAGGTTGCTGTGATACAAGTGATTGCTGTGGTCCATTTTGGACGGCTGCTACTGCATTGCGAATTTCATTGCGAATGTCCTCAGGCAGTGAAGCTGGGATCTCGCTGCCTGTCATCTTCATGGATGTAAGATACATGGCTGTTGCGAATTCAGGAAAGGAGAGTTGAGGTTGATTGGTAACGTTGGAGAGATCCCTATACAAATAGCGGTTCAAGACGCTGCTTTAGGCATCATGTAAACATGCCTAGCTTACCAAATGTGAGCAAGGTTATCATCACCTATATTCGACCGAGATAGAACTTCCTTGGCGGCAGAAGCTATATTTTGATTAATCTAGTCGATCTTGTATGCCATCCACAATGAGAACATACCAGATAAAACGCTGTTACCGCCCGCAACTTGAGAAAACACCATTTCGTACTTGTTTTGGTCAGCTTGAGCGAGAAAACTCAAGCGTATACCTGCATAAATCTGTCAGTATACACCTGATGTAGACTGTTTTGAACACACCTTTTGATGGTCCTGCCATATCTTGATCGTTTTGTAAAGTAAAAGTATCAGAAGAAAAAGGAATGTCTCTTTCCTTCTCGCGAGTACATTCGTCAATTAGAATTCTGGCCTATCAAAAGCTTCATCTCTGCAACATTGACGATGTGCAACACAGCTCACTCTGTTTAAAGCAGTGCGGAGAGGGGCATTGCATCACTCCCCGGTAGCTGTATTAGACCTATTTCTTCTATATTTGATACATACCTGCCTTTCTTCTATAATCCCATCGTCGCATTGTACATTGATCTACACTGCCATGTCAATATCAGCTCTTAAATCTATGCCTCGAATCCGCAAAAATGTAATTCATCAAGCATCTCGTTTATTCGCTATTCAATCCTGCCGTTATACTACGCTGCGTCGAGCAAATACAGCAACCAACACTGTGGACAATGGAAACGTCAAGAACGACCACATACGTTCCATCTTTGACGACAATGCTGCCTGGAAGCGAAACTCAATGTATAAGGCATCTTCTACTGTACCCGTGGGCCTGTTTGAGAACCCTCATTTCAGCAGTGTTCATGGCATCGATTTTGCTACTAAGCAAGCCATCCAAAGAGCTCAAATCATTGTCGAACGTATCTGCAACGCACCCGGTAACGGAACTGAAGAAATGGCTAAAATTGTCAAAAACCTGGACAGGCTATCAGATACACTTTGCAGCGTCATTGACATGGCTGAATTCGTCCGCAATGCTCACCCTGATCAAGTCGTCATGGAAGCTGCCAACAAAGCTTACGGCGATCTATGCTCTTACATGAACACACTCAACACAGATGTCCGAATCCATCAGGTACTTGCCATACACATCATATCTATTATACTTGTTATTTATGCTGCTAGTGTATTAGGTGCTATCATTGGTATTAGCAGACAAATCCATTGTCTCCAAATTCACGCCTGATGAGCATGCAGCAGCCATCGTCTTTTTACGAGACTTTGAGAAATCCGGCATCCATTTGCCAAACCAACAAAGAGCAGAATTTGTGGAATTATCAGACCAGATCATTCACCTAGGGAGAGAGTTTATCCAAATGAACCCAAGAGCCATCAAGCAAGTCAAAATCAAGCATTCAGCATTGGGTGGTGTAAGTCCAAGTGTGATCCGATCTGTGGTCAGCAAAGACGGTTATGCCTATGTCCCCACCGATTCAACCGAGTGCCAAATGATATTAAAGTATGCTCAGAACGAGAATGTGCGCAGACAAGTATACGAGTCGATGAACTCGGCAACAAAAGAGAGCATCATGACACTAGAACAACTCATGATGACTCGCTCTGATCTGGCTACTTTGGTTGGAAGAGAGTCTTATGCTGATTTGCAATTGCAAGACAAGATGGCCAAGAACCCAAGTAAGAGAGCCAAGACGAGTGATCAAGGCAAATCAATCTAACAGCTTATATTTTTAGATAACGTGGACGCTTTCCTTCGCACTTTGCTCGGCCATCAAGAGCCTACGTTCAAGAATGATGTTCATTTGCTTCAGACGACAAAGCAGCAGGACCTGCGATCGAGCTATCTGCCTACCGTCAATGCATGGGATAGAGACTACTATATGCAAATGCACAGTGCTTCACAATCCTCACCAAGTAACATGCCTTACTTCTCAGTGGGATCCGTGATTCAGGGCCTGTCCAAGCTGTTCAAGCATCTCTACGGCGTTGAATTTGAACACGCTTCTCTCAAAGCAGGCGAAGCGTGGCATGAACAAGTCCGTAAACTGGATGTCATTTGTGAGCAAGAAGGCAAAATTGGCACCATCTACTGCGATTTGTTCTCTCGTCCTGGAAAAACCACTAATGCAGCACACTATACCATCCGCACTTCTCGCCGTGTAGACAACGACGACGCTGAAAACGACATCAAGTATGCCTTCCCTGGCCGCCATGTAGACGTAGCCAATTTCTTACCACCTGTACACCAACCCGCTGAATCTGTGCGGGGCCAAGAAGGCTTATTCCAATTACCCGTGATTGCATTGACCTGTGATTTCTCTGCCAGTGCAAAGCCAGCGTTGCTCTCCATGTTTGAAGTAGAGACATTGTTCCATGAAATGGGTCATGCCATGCATTCCATGCTGGGACGCACAGACTTCCACAATGTCGCTGGTACGCGATGTGCCTCCGATTTTGTAGAGCTTCCTTCCATTCTGATGGAGCACTTCGTATGGCATCCCAAGGTGCTTCCCCTGTTTACCAATGGCAGTGTATCCAGCGACGCGGTGCAGGCCTTTTTAAAGCAACGTAAAAGATTCAGCGGCATTGAAGTGAATAGCCAAATTCTGATGGCCTTGGTGGATCAGCGGTATCATTCATCCGAGGTGGACAGGCCCACATTCTCAAGTGTTGCTGAGTGGCACCGACTGCAAGATCAAGTCGGCCTCTTTCCCAGCGTGCCTGGCACCATGTGGCCAGTACAATTTGGCCATCTGTTTGGCTATGGCTCAAACTACTATTCCTATTTGTTTGATAGAACATTAGCAAGACGTGTCTGGGAGACAAGCTTCAACGCCAACCCCTTGGACCGAGAGAAGGGTCAAGCATTTAGAGACAATTTGCTCAAATGGGGCGGTGCTCGCGATCCATGGCAATGCGTTGCTGACGTGCTTGGTGGTGAAGATGGATCCAAGGTTGTCAATGGAGATGAAGAAGCAATGAGAACTGTGGGTGATTGGGGGATTGACGTGTAAATAGTAATAAAATGCAGCCTTGTAACTTGACATGTTTATACTGCTTGTAGCCTATCCATCATTGCAGTATCTGAAAAGCGGGGACCAAAAGCGAAGTTTGCCTTCAAGTAGTGCACCGCATAATCGAATCATTCAGACTTCTTTTTCTTCTTGTTTCTATAACTTTTGATAGCGATTTTATTTGTTCAGCATATGGCAGAAGAATTTGAAGAGAAAAGGTAACAGACCTAGCTTACAGACGTTCAAGAGCAAGTGATTCACGCAGAGCCCACAGGAAAGCCTGGGATATCATTTTCAATGATCCAAATTTATCGCTCAACTCACTTCGACATCGAGCAGTTGCTGGCAGTGTGTGCCAGAATGGACTTCGCTCTGTTTGCTGGAAGGTATGTAAAGCGCTTTATATATAGTATAGGGATACACGCATATTCACACTGAAAGCACCTAGATCTTTCTCGGTTATCTTCCTACTTTAGAAGTCTCGACCTGGCCGTCATTGCAGTTGGAACAACGCCAACATTATACAGATCTAAAGAGAAAGTACATTGAGGAGCCTGCCGAAAAGATGAACAGAAAGGGAGAAGAGGATCTTTCAGATAACAACCCTCTGGCACTCAGCGACAGCGTAAGCGTCTCTCTCTCTCTCTGCTCGTAGGCATGTATATGTATACTGATCTCTCTGTTTTTTTTTCGCTGCCTCATCTAGAACCCATGGCAACAGTATTTCGCAGACACAGAAATCCGTAAAGTGATTCGACAGGATGTAGAGAGAACGTAAGTCTTTACTGACTGTGCAGACTGTCAGCATACAGCTCACTGTTGGTGTAGATTCCCTGACGTAGATTTCTTTCGAGAAAATGATGTGCAACAACGTTTAACCGACATTCTGTTTATTTACTGCAAGCTGAATCGTGAGGTCTCTTATCGCCAAGGCATGCATGAATTATTGGCTCCATTTTATTGGGTTCTTGCTACCGAGAGCTTGGATGTCAGTCAAATAGATCAACACCATGTCGAGTAAGTTGCTCTGGTTGAAGCGGCTTTAGACGCATGAAATCTCACTCGTAACTTGTAGCCCTGCATCCAAATTGATGCTTCAGGTTTTGGACTCAGCGTTTGTTGAGCATGATGCCTACATTCTGTTTGACAAACTAATGACTTTTGGAAAGTCATGGTACGAGTTTAATGAGGAGGCGCCAACTCGCAAGTCAACAAGCAGCAGTACAAAGGTATATAGCATCCAGTGTATTGTGAGAGAGAAGGAGCACTTAATTTGTCGCCTAGCCTGACATGCTGTCGAATAATATACCCAAGCCTACTGATGTAAGTTCTTTTGTATGCAATGTTGTTTATATGTGAAAAATGATGCTGAAACAGCGTCCCTAGAGCGCTCGATTAAACCCTGTTGTCATGACTTGTCATCGCATTCACCATGACTACCTTCGCACTGTGGATCCACTCTTGTATCGACATTTAGAGAATTTCGGCATTGAACCTCAATTATATGGCATGTAAGTGCACGTTGCGTGGATTGGCATGTAATGAGGGCTAAAATCTGTGTGTCAGTCGTTGGATTCGACTACTGTTTGGACGAGAATTCGATATCTACGAACTGCTGAAGCTGTGGGACGCTATTTTTGCTCAGGACCCAACCCTCAACATTGCGGAATACGTGTGTCTAGTCATTCTTTTACGCATGAGAGATCAATGCAAGTATTGAGAAACCTGTGGCATGCTTTACGTGGTTGCTCACATTGTCATGCATATAGTGTTACAAAAGGATTATGCCGAGTGCTTGACCATGTTGATGAGGCCGCCTCAAATCACCAAGCCTACATCATTAGTAGAGCAAGCAAAGTACCTGCAAGAAAACTTGTCCGAGGACACCGCTCTGCATATTTTGCAACAAAATGACGTTAGATCGGGCAAAGATCCTCGAAACAGCATGTCTGATGGCGTGCCTGAAGCTCCAGGTGCAACTACAGCATTTGCTGGGCAGCAGCATCTCCAGCCCAGAACGCTAAATCATCGCAGCTCACAAGGGTTTGATAGCTTCTCGAGAATTACCAACAATATGATGAAGAATCCTCAAGTAAGAGATCTCAATAGAGCTATCGCTGGAGTTATGGTGAGTCAGACACATTTATTGCTTTGTCGATTGCTTGTACTGAAGTCAATTCACAGAAAAACGTCAATACGTTTGGTGAAAATGTGCTGGGCAGACCACAAGATGGCATGGGTCCAAGAAGATCAACTGTATCATCCGAATTTCCATCTGGCATTGATCGCATTGCGAGCACGCACAAGTACGAGCAGCGTGTTCCTCCTATTCCCATCCCCAAGAGCAGCGATAATCAAGCAGCAAGGATTTCAGCAGTAAACCGCAAAATGGGCGAGATGATGGCGAAATGCATTTCTCTGTTGGAAACTGAAATCTTCCCTGAACCAGGTACATCTGACAAGAAGCAAGATGAAGATGACATTATCAGCAAAGCAAAACAAGACTCACAGGCTGTTTCTGGTAAGGAGGGTAAACCATTTGACCAAGAGGCAGAAGAAGCAGACCAAGATGTAGCCAACTACGATAGCAACAGTTCGTCCGTCTCGGAGGAAAAGGAGAACACCAATGATTCTGCCTTCAAGAAGCCTCTTCAAGACGATGCCACTATTATTATGGCACTTGCAGGCCTCAAGCATGTACGCGATGTTCTTCTCGGCAAACAAGCTCACTTTGATGCCAGTGTCATTGACATCAAGTTGGGAAACAGCACGCCAGACAGCACCTCCAATGGCGAAGATTGGAAATGGGATCTGGTAGATCACAAAGAGGTTGCTTCTGCTGCATCTACACCTTCATCTCCTCCACCTCCCACCATTGCAACCAAGAAAGCATCTGCCACTATTTTTGTACCTCCGCAAACATCATCTTCCTTGATATCCGCAGATATAGATTCGCCTATCTTTGAAAAGGACACGAAGCCCTTACCACCTATTATCCATCAACCAGAAGAGAATCAGCAGAAGTCCGTCATGGTCGCGGAAGAGCCCAAGTTGCCTCAGGTGCCCATCACCTATATTCCTGCAAATCCTCCACCTCCAAAGCAGCAAATCAAGTACAGAATTGAAGATCTCTTGTCAGACCCTGATCTCCAACTACCTAGTCCAAAGGCATCCGCCAATGCCAAGTTCAGGTGGATGTTGGAAAACGAAAATACGGCCACTGATAAACAGCCGTCTTTGCTGAACAATCATAGTACGAGTGCCGGTGGGAATGGCGGCGGGAATCAAGAGTTATTCAAATCAGAGCAAAGACTCTCTCCTAGAAAAAGAAGCAGCTTCATCATCAAGAGGCCTGCGAGCGATAAGGCGAGTGAAAGTACTGTGGACCCTTTAGATGCCAAAAACGTAGACAGCAGAAGATCTTATGAATACGACATGCTTTAGTATGAAAGTTGATTATAGCACTGGATTGATTATCCCCTCTTTTTTTTTTTGAATCCATTGGTAATACATTTTATTTTAAAAGAATAAATCTAAACAGATTTTGTGGTTGTTAATGCTCGAGAAGCAGGTATGGGTATGAGAGAGGCCATTTGGCCTTTTTGTCTGAATGCTTTTGTAAGAGTGATGTTGGAATTAATATATGCAGAGGAAGAGTAGATTTCACCTTGATGTGATGGCGTAGGCTGATCGTCCTTCTTTGGTTGCTGGTCACCTGTTGGAATAGGGGATTTCACGACAAGTTTCTTTTTGAGTGGCATGGATTGCGATGGCTTTATCTTCTTTGGTAAGCCTTGTGTACTATTGTTGACGACTGAGGTCATGATAGCAGATACAGCGCGTGTTTTTAGTTGATGTGGCTTTTTAGGTTGCATGACGGATCCTAAGCTACCCACTGATACAGGTCGACTCTTTACACGTTTTGGTGTGTGAACAGGGTCAGAATTGAGGAAGCCAAAGAAGGTCTGGTTTGCCTCTCTATCCGCAATTTCATCCAGCTAACAAACTGTGTCAGTCATGTATATATATGCACGGTTTTGATGAAGCTACGTTACCAGCGTATCGAGATAGCGTCGTTCACCGATCATCACAGGTTTGCCAGCCAGCTTTTCAAACTCATTGAGCGCTTTGATCAATTGACGGTCCAAATACAATAGGCGTGGCAAACAATTATTACGCCATTTCTCCTCTTCTAACAGCTGGAAAGATGCTTGGAACAGTCTCTTTGGATCAGAGGCAGTTTTCTCGAAATCAATCATTTTCTATGTAAAGCAAATTCAGTTCATGCAGCTCGTTTTTGTTTTGACAGTCAGTCAAACATGTTGTGTGTACCTGAATCAAGTCTTTTCTTTCCTTCATGAGTGCCTTTAACGCTTGGCCTTCAATGTGAATGCTTGTAAGATATGTCATATGATGGTCGACTTGTGATTTAATTTCCAATTTTGTATCTAGCAATAACAATATGTAAATAACACTAGCCTTGATAAAGAGAGACATGAAAAACTCACTTTTTTCGTAAAGGGATGTAACGAATTCTGTGCGTTCTATTTCTGATAGGAGACAAGCATCCCACAAGGGTATCAATTGATCCTTAAACTGTAATATGTCGATTTAGTAAAGGATCCTTTAAGGAGATGTCCGAGTCGCTTTTTACCTGCTGAATGTATTTGTCAAATACGCTCTTTACCAGTGGATCAATGCTGTTTACGATCTCCTGCAATTGAATCATGTCTTGATCGCTTAATCTCAGCGGCAAGACAGGTCTCTCCAAGATGGGTATATTAAACTCTTCCCAAACAGCCTTAATTCTGGTCGTCGAGTGGTTGTACACTCGAATTCTATCTTCGTACAGTGTCTGCAGAGTGTGCTGCTTTTGTAAAAGTACATTGAGTGTGGATGTTGTCAATTGCAGTTGATTCGAGGGATGATGGTAGTAATCAAACGAGACCGATTCGTATTGCTCTTTCATCATACTCAGATCAATGTCCAGGGGGAAGTTTTGGTATAAGGCGGATAAGCATGTCTCGATGGCATCATTGCCGTCGTCGTTTTGAGTGGGTTGGTGGTTGAGCATATGCCAGTAGTAGTGGATGGTTCTAGCGGATGAATTCAGTTGTTGGATGCGATATGTCTAAATCCTTGTTTTAGTGCATTGCATGTGTGTAGAAGAATCTGTTATCACTCACCTCAATTTCCCTTAAATCACGTATTTCGCAACTTATCTATGATAGGGGGTTAGTTTTCCAACTTTTTTTTTTTTTGTTTTTTTTTGACTCAAGGGATTTCCTCTTACTGATTGTACGGTGGCCCAAGACAAATCATTTTCAAGATACTCCTATACGAATGGTGAATTTACGATGCAAAATGGAGTATGCTCGATGGCTACCTCGATTGACTTGAATCTGTATGGTATCTGGAGTAAAGTGCACAAATCTTGTATGGATGTCAACCATTCATTTACATAATTTTGTCTTGTGGATATTTCCTATATATAATAATACTTTTTAAGCTAAAATAATAATAGTAAACATTCCAATATTACATGTGTTAGTCTGGAGTCTAACTCTGTTAATGTCTTTTGTTTGGGAAACGTAGGGTTCAGATCATTGTAGATGGATAGTATTTCCGGCGAAATGTTGATCCTATCATGATTGATGCTGGAATACAGCATGCTTTCCAGCGATACACCCAGCAGTTGTGATGCTGAATCTATGTTTGTCTGAATGGTATATATGTCAGTCTATCCATCATCGCTCTTTCTTTCTGTGTGTCTTTCTCTGTTACCATGGCATCTTCAATGTTGGCCGCCAATAGCATCTTTTCTCGCTTCTCAGTGCGCACCAGCTTTTCCAGCTCTTGAATAACATTCTAAAATGATGCAATATGCATTAATCACCAAAAGGGCATTTGTTGTTGTGTTGTTACTCGTGTTACATGTAATTTATTATTTATTGAACAAGCATCGAGCTCCACTGATGACCACAGCGAAAACAGCGTTGATAGATGAGAGTACAAAATGTCCATTTTTTTTTTTTTTTTGAGAAAGAATGGGAAAAAGGGAAAGAAGGGGAAAAAAAAAGAGAAAAGCAAGAGAAAAAGAGGCAGTATTGTGTTCTGTATTAAACCATGTACATATGTAGACAACATCAGATACACTCTTTCTGTATATGCACACACACACACAATCAATTTATGTGACTCTATACTACCACAGGCACTCATCAAAGCCTCCTCCTCCCTTTCCTCTCTCTCTCTCTCTCTCTCTCTCTCTCCCTTTATGTTATATATGAAACACTATGTACAAACAAATAAATATTTATTCAGGAAACAAGGCTATTAATAAGCCCCTCCATTTCCACAATGCTGTAGTTCTTTAGCAATTCATGCTGGAGTATCTTGTGCTTGATGGTAAGGTTGAAATATTGAAACTTCTTTAGTAAATCGCCATCCAGGTAGGTTGTCATGTCTTGGTGATGATGGTGTGTTTGCTGCAGTTTGGGCTTGTAATTTCGCCAGGACGCATACTTGAGGTTGCCAATGCTGGCACTCTCCGCCAAGATGTTTCTTTGCAGTGTAGAAAACAGCTCAAAGGCTTTGTGTGAAATGGTCTTGACAGTACCTATAGATCCATGCACAGTCGCAAATGTAAATGACCCTTCAATCGATTTCGTCAATGCGTCATGATCTTTTGCTCCAGTGGACAGCACATCTACCAGGATGTCTAATAATAAACCATCAGTCATCTGCCACGCTGTTATATATATATATATACCAAACACACACCTGGTCGGAAGCAGTTGATCAATGACCCAACATGGAATCCACCTTTCAGCTGTAATTTGGATATATTGCCTCCTGCACTGTCGTTCTCATTCAACATCAATGTAAAGATATTGTTCTTGTCGTCAGCTCCAATGTATGTGTAATCGTTGACGAATTTGACAGCTGTCATCCACGCGGGTTTGCTGTCCACTGCTAGCACATCCAGCTTCAATGGATTTTGGTTCGTCATTTTCAGCACAGACATGGATCGCATTAAATCGCCAACAAGCACTTTATCACCTCGCGTATCCAAGCTTAAAGCCAGTACATTTTTGTGAACATTGATCTCAAAGGCCACCCGCTGGCCCCGCGGTAAGTCTGGAGCAAACTTGGTCAGGCAATAGATCTATTATAGGCTATGAGCACCAAATCCAACAAAGCATGCCTCGCATTACTTACAGAGCCATTGACGCACGCCACCACCGAATTTTGGAATGCCCGCATATCGTAAATGATGCCTGGCTCGTCTATTGCTTCCAGTAGTTCAATCTTGTAGTTGTCCTTGATATCAAACACCAATATACGGCCATGACTTGCATCTGGATCATCGGCATTTTCAATGACTGTGCCCACAAACAGATACTCCTTGTTGGGATATCCACTGAAGCTTGCCATCACCATGCTCTCGACTGTTTCAATGCCAGGCAGAGGATATGTATCCAGCACTGAGGGTTTTCGGTTAGTACGAGTCAAGTGCAGTTTAGACTCTATCGTTACCTTGAAATGTCTGTGCGTCCAGGATACGTATATTGCCTCTGTTTGTCAAGAATCCATTGTGATTGTTCTTTTCCTTGTACAGCGTGCCCACTGCTAATGCTTTTGTTTGATTCATGTATCGAATGCGCACAGGCATGTCGTTTTCGATTTTAAATTTGTTGTGGTGTAGCTTTTGATTTGCATCAATCTGACCAAATAAGAGACAATGGCTAGTCATTAGTAGAATATGCTGGCTGAATGTTGCAAATGCAAAGACGTCCTAGAGAACAAATTAGAATGTCTGCATACGATGGCCTGCTGTTGTCAGTCCAAACCTTTATATTGACAGCAGAGAAATATAGGGTTTCCCTGAGACTGGACACGATGGTTGGCCTACTGCCTGCGATAAAAACCTTCTTTTGATTTTGGTGCACATAGGGGTACATGGATGTGCAGTAGGTGCCAACCATTGTCTGTCTCTCGTTCTTTATTTGTGCCACGTTTCCCTTGAGCTGAATTTCGTTGCTTAGCAACTGCCCATCTCCCAGCAGAATCATAAAGTAGTATTTGCTCTCGAATTGCGTGATCAGCAAGTCTCGAGGCCCAGTTTCCTTGAGCGAGTATTCCAGCACAATTTCTAGATGAGGGAGCTGCAGCAACAGGGCTTTGGGCTTTGACCACATCCCAATCAATACGTAATCACTGTCAATACCATCTTGTTTGAGGGGACACAACCGAATACATGCAACATCAGGCAACTGTAAATAGCTAATCTGTCTGAGCATGTTTCCTGCGCAATCAAAATAAATCAGCATGCCTGTACCACAACAAAGCACACATTGAGTTTCATTCAGCTGAGCAATGGCAATGTACTCTCCCTTGGGCGGTTTCCATTCAAACAAAAGCGAACCCTGATCTCCCGCACTCATGATGCGCGCTGATGACTTGGTGATTTGTATCAAATAGCCTTCCTGATTGATGATAGCCGCAAGCGTCACCTCGTTATGCACCATGCCGCTGTATTCGGCGAATTCCTTCATTTCTGTGTTGCTTGTTTGTTGCAATACAAGAGTTCTATCAAATGTGGAAATGACGAGGACATCGCGGAATCTACAGCAAAATCGATCAGCCCGCTTGCATTTCTCACAGCCATCCTAGAACCTACGTCTTGGGTATCGTCAATGGAAATACTTGTGTGATTAGCGGTATATCAAGTTGGTACTGCTTCAAAAAGCCAACACCGTTCTCTACAACACGCAAGCTGCCGTCTTTATCTACGCCAGAGCAGCACACCATGGTCTGCTTTCCTTGTTGGTCATAGTCAAACAAACAGAAATCCACAATAGGCCCAAGGTTTGAGAATGTATGCAGAATGTCAATACTGAATTTGGCTCCCACTCTATTCAATCTAATCACACATGGATCGCCCTGCAAAGACCCTATATAAAACAGATCCTCTCCCAAATGCGTAATTGAATTGGGTATACATGCTTGTCCAATCAATGTACTGTGGATTTGCTGCACTTTGAGATTGGTGATGTCAAATGTCAACATATACAGGTATCCCTCAGCGTCTCCAATCAAGCAATGATCATAGCTATTCTCCAGAAACGAGGCTGCTGTAACTAATGTCGGATCGATGCTCAGTTCCTTTGGTGTGCTACCAGACGATGACAGATCATAATACGATATAATGTATTCGCCAATTGCTAGTACACCGCCAATTGGATCAGGCACTGCCACCAGTGTATGTGTCGTCGCCTCTACACCAACTTGCATTTTGTCGTTTTCTATAATTTCGTTGAGTGAAGCATTGTATCTAAAGGCTTTGATTGTCTTCAAATCGTTGATCTCTCCTAATAGCACTGCAATGTACGATTGGTGAATGCCTCTCAGTGACACCATGGACAAAAAGTCAAACTCGTTGGTGCGGATGGAGGATGGTACAAACGACGTTGATTTGCTGCCTTCTTTCTGTTTGCCCTTAATGTCTGTCTTGGGTACTAATGGAAGCGAGAACAAAAGTCCAGTGAATGCACTGACAAGGACTGTGCTGCTCATCAAATCAATCACTGTTGATATAGGTTGATCCGTAACTCGAGCATTGTGTTCGTTCAATTGGCCGTGCCCCTCTGTCTGTATCTTTTGCAATGCTTTGTCGTATGTAATAATCGTATAGTAGTGCTGATCCGTTAATATAAAGAGTGAACACGTTGATTTGTTCTACAATCCATCGAGTCAGGCATTTGCATTGCTGTTTATCCCCTTCTTCAAACTTACGGGTATAGTGCAGGTCTGGATTTTACTAATGACACCGTATATACTGAATTCTGATGCTAATTTGATACCGTCAGCCAAGATCGAGTACACTTCAATTGTAGACCCTTTGCTAAAATACGATAAGTCTTGGTCAAAAGCAAATAAAATAGGTGATCCTTCATTTATAAACTTTACCAGACAATCAAGTTGTCATAATCAGCATCGAGGAATCTGCCTTTAGCGGTGCATGTAACTGCGGTTGGATTATTAATAGTGGTGACAACATGATAGCTGTTCTTGTTGCTCATGACTGACACTGTTATAAAGAAGAAAAATGTAGACCTCTAGTTCGAGATTCGTTGCACATTGCGGTTTTGACAAATTTTCTAGTCGCGTTTTCAAGGTCACGCAAATATGTTTTGTATGCGAGTATTGACATTGTGAAAAGATCTCAGTGAATAAGCGCTTGGTAACACACATTGTACAGTAGGATGTAAGGTTTATTACTTTGTAAGCTCATTCTGAGCAAGAGATACGCTTGAGTACCTCTTCCGAAAGCAGGTTGTGCATTCCTAATGATGTTTATCGAAAATCGATAGGTGGACTAGCAGTATATATTTGATGAGCTGAAAACTTCTGTCACCTGCCAATCGTAAACTGAATTAATTAGTAGTCTTGCATACGAATAATCAGTCTGCTGCAAAGCACCATCAATTCAATATTCAACACTTGCAAACCTCGGTATAGGCCGACGGGAAAGGCGTACTGCATTCATTTGGAGCCTAGAACAAGGCACGATGGAAACAAACTGCCTTGAAATGTAAGAAGACAGCCCAAAATTGTACTTATCCATGATGCTTGAGTTGATACTATCCATTGGTGTATGCTAACTATGCTACACTTCGAGCTCAAAACTGAACACACACATTTTTGAGCATGCAAGCCCATGAGATGGTTGAGTTGTCATTGGCTTAATATTGCATGCTTCAAAGACAGAGCTCGGTTCCTGGCTTGACAGTAGTATATGGTGGTGATGCATACTTCTATCCTTTCGGTTTGACATTCTTCGTAATATTCATTATTTCCAATCCATAGTTAGCATGTACAAAATTGAAAGGCGCATCGAATAATACTACTCTTGGTAACTATCCCAAAGCTGGTATTCAGACAAACAAGCCTATTTTTTACTTACCTCCTTGAGCGTTTCAAAGGAGAACATGTGCCTGATATGTACCAGCTTACCTGTAACAATAATTATTGCGTTGGCCCAACAAATACCTATCGTTTGAGGTCCTACTCAAAGTTGTTGCATCAGTTTTCGTGGATCTACAGTGCCCAAAAGGTCAGCCTCTGCCAAATTGTTGAAAAACGATCGCTCAAGGCTAACTTTTGCTAGAGTAATGCATATAAAGTTCTTTTTGTGCACTTCTATTAGTCATACCACACCCTAAATTTATTTTATAGAGTATATCCCTCGCCGCACAGATGTTTTCGTAGTGTTATTAGAAAAAGACGTGTTTTTGCCACTGTACACTCCAATGTGAGGGTCAAAAAAAAACGATTTTTGAAAAGAAGCATCGTACGTGTCCAAACGAAGTCTCATTTTGTACGGCAGGCAAAGGGCAACAAAATTGAATTAATACAGAAGCCAGGTTAAGATGGCAGTTGAACAAAGTGTAGCGCTCAAACACTGTTGTTTGTTATATTGGATGTATACTACTTTCCTCGCTTGATTATTTGACAACCACTATAGCGGCTGAAAATCCGTTTAGATGCTTAGCCACTTCTCAGACTGTGCATAAAACGATCTTGATATCGAGGCTCTGGTGTCAACAAAGGGCTCGGAAAAGCTATTCCCACTCTTCCGTAGATTGCGCAGCAAACATTTGACTCTTTGCCAAATAACAAACAAGTAATTTACCACCAAGCAGTCTTAAATGCAACATTTTGCAACATCCCATCCATCGATTTATTACGCGTTATTAATTGTAATTGAAAGGTCATTATACGGAGTGTATTACTCAAAGTTGGCTAATTTCGAAAAATCGTCTATTTCTCAACAGCAACTCTTCCAATCTGAAAGTTAATTACACCGTTGTGTTTTTACAGAGGTTCACAATAAGAACGTAATATTTTCAAAACTCTGGAATAGTATTAGTAAATCAAAACTGAATTTTGGATGGTTTCAACCTGAAAATCGAAATTGGCTTGCACAACCCGGACCTCATGCGTAGTAGAAGAAGATATCATTCCACGAAAGTAGAACATCTTGTAGGTTTATGCTTAACGAAGTATACTTCACTCAAAACTTGATGCTCCAGATGCTTGATTCGTGAGTTACTCAATGTGACATTCATACTCTGGAGAGGACTCATACTTTAAATTGGAAGACTTATTATAATTGAACAAAGCAAGCTACAACTGTCTAGTTTTAAAAGCAAGATTCTCCAACATGTCAAGTATCTATTGATAACTTGAAACCAGCAAGTTAATATGGCCCTTTTCGTGCGCTCCAATTTTTAAAATGCTTGGTCAAATTCATGCTTGTGTCGTGCACACATGTGGAAGGTCAACGGAGATTCAATTTCTAATATTCTGAATGATGGTTCATGGGATTCCGAAATCTATTGACATTCAAATTACACATTTCTTGATAGTAACCACCCCTTCAAACTTATATGAAACTTGTAGAGAATTCAAAGGAGAGTACAATGGTATTTATATTAAGTCTCTGGTGCACATTGTTCACCTGATATTTGGTACGATTTTTTTTGCAATTTTTTGACTGTTTTCTAAAGATTAATCAGTATCTGTCATCAAAACATTTTGTTAAGCATTACTAAACATTGTAGACCAAAAAATTTCCTATCGAATGAGCTATTGTTTGGAGCTCTGGCATAATTCTATCATGAAATATTGACAATCCTGTCCTGACCAAAAAATCGTCACCTAATTTTTTCCTTACCATCACAGGCAGATTTTGAAGGAAAATCCTTGATTTTGCAGGATACTTTTTTTTGACCATATATCGACAAATACTCACTAGATTCACACAAAACAAAGACCATTCGATAGCTCTATGTTATATCCATTATAATATAAGGGTTTTAAGTACCAGATGTACGTTCCCTTCATACATTTGCTCAAAATTATATATTTTATGAGCTGCAAGCAGGGGACATTCAACTTTTTATTTATTTATCGATAATAACTATACCATCGTATAGAGAATTGAAAAAGAAACAGAAGCTATTAAGCTTGAAGCTCTCCTTCACTTAGTAGAATCCAGCGGTACAGCCCTTTGAAAATTGATCATTTTTACTATCTTTCCTCATTACTCATCGGTATCACCCTCAATAATCTCACATAAATCACGTTCAAGTCAACCAAAGTACTCCCTACAACTTTTAATAGACCTACAGCCCATATTCATATAGTAATCTAAAAAGTTTTATTAAAAGCATCTGTCTAAAATTTGCAAATTTCAAATATCGCCAGTTTCTCATCATCAACGCATTCTATCTAAAATCTAATTGCACCATCGTCTTCTACGCAAAAAATTGATATATTAACATGCTACTTTCAAAGCTCGAATTTCAAAATCGAAATTCGGAGAGAAAAAAGAGAAAGTAAACCAAGCAGAGAAAAGCTAACGCGCGATGATTTTGTTTTATACCCTTTGGTGAGGAGTCTTTTTGAGACGATTTAATTTGGACGGGAACTATTAAAACTTCTTGTAACAAGACAAAGTGAGCATGAAGGGTATACTGATTTTCGCAAGTATATGCTATACATGTACTTTAAGGTACACGGATGTCACTAATGGGAGCTACTATCAGCTATCTCTGTTCAACAAGTCAACAGTAGGCTATTGAAAGCTCAAAGGAATCAGTTATCTCAGGAAATCGGATTTTGTCATCCCCTCCTATTTTCGCCTTTGTACTCCACACCTTCTTTCTTACAATTTTAGTATTATTGAAGCATCTGGCATCAGCTCGATATGAGAAAAAGAATGCAAATTCACAAACTTGAAATGATAGAAAATGGTGCCAATCACACCAAATGAGTCTCAAGAGGGTTTTACATCTATCAACAAGATCTTTCTCGATCGCAGCTGTAATTGAGGGTCTCTAGGCTACATTATCTCGCTGCTGCAGATTACAAATGACGATCGTAGATTCGCCACGGCTGCCGATCTCTACCTCGAAAGCTGTTGTGCTGAAATGGGAGTCAGGCTACCATGCCTTGTATCCTGTATCAGCGATCCTCAAAAACTCAAGCCTCAACAGCAGCACAGATGCTTTGGAGATGATGGGAAGAATCCACAATGCGCATTTGGGGCCTCAGCAGGAATAATCCATGAATTGCCTTACCCTGCTGTCATGTATGCTTTGTATTTAAACGCTACTGCTCCTGAAACAATATGATCCTTTCTCATTGGATGTTACAAGAGAGCTTGATCAATATACAAGGTGAATATCCTCTTCCCGTACATACTTACCAACTACCGGTGGTATTTTCTATGATACTTCTCGAAATAAACTACATTTTGCCATAATATCCATTGAATTATCAATTAATGTGAGAGGACACTTGAAGAATAGCTCGACAGCTCCAACTAATCATGAACAATGCATTTGCTTTGATCCGTTTGCCCTTTATCAAGGTCACATTTAAACAGTCTTGATTTTTTTTTTATAAAAAAAGCATTCAAGCAATTTTTTCAAGGTTCAAAATCAACCTTTCCAGCAAAACCTCACCTAAAAGCACAATTATGGAAGTTCATCGTTGTCGATTCGTTGAATATCAACCAGCCTCTATCAATGCACTTGATTTCACACCTGCCACCGTGAAAAACACTCGACTCGCTGTGGGCCGTGCTAATGGCAACATTGAGATTTGGGATCCCACTCACAACTATCGCCTCGAAAAGACGTTGCCTGGTGGTGAAGATCTCTCTGTGGAGAGTGTTGCCTGGGCACATCAGAATGTCATTGCGAATCCAGATCCAGAAGACGAGCCTGAGGAACTCGCTCAAGAATTGGAATTACTTTTACGAAAGCCTCCTCGTCTGTTTTCGTCTGGATTGAACCCGTTCATCATTGAATGGGATACCACTACCATGACAGCAAAGGTAAGCTAGATCTATTGCCCATAAGGAGAAGGAGGTTATTCATGTCGAGTGTAGAAATCATGCGATTCCAATGGTGGTGCTGTGTGGTGTTTGGCTGTCAACAGTAAGGGTACTCGCTTGGCAGCTGGTTGTGAAGATGGATGTATCCGTATGTTTGACATTGCTGATGGCAACTTGGAATATATCCGTAGCTTCGAGCCTCAAAAGGGCCGTGTGCTTTCTGTTGCTTGGGCTCCCAATGATGAGTATATTGTATCGGGTGGATCTGATTCTGCTATCCGTACATGGAATCCTCTCACAGGCCGCACTATTCACCGTATGACTGTTGCAAAGAATCGCAAAGAACAAACCTTGGTTTGGGCTGTTGCTGCGCTCAAGTAAGTATTGTGATTACAGAGAAAGAGAAAGACATTCGATTGACTGTTTTAACAAACAAAAGGGGCAACATGATTGTATCTGGTGATTCCCGTGGTGCTGTCACTTTCTGGGATAGTAAAATGGGCACAGTCAAGCAAAGCATTCGTGCGCATGGAGCTGATGTACTCTGTCTTGCTGCCACCAAGGATGGCAACCAAGTGTTTTCTGCTGGTGTCGATCGTAAAATCACCTCTTTCCGTCGCACAACAAAGAAAAAGAACGCCACAGACAATGTCAATGACTGGATCAATGTTGGAAGCCGTAGATATCATTGGCACGATATTCGTGCTCTTGCACTGGACGAGAGGCCCAAGATCAACTCAATTGTGTCTGGTGGTGTGGATGTTGAATTAGTTGCTTGCCCTGCTGTCGAATTCCCCAAACTGATCCAAAACAGATTACCTCCTTTCCCTCACAAATACATTGTCTCCATGTCAAAATCGCACAAATTGATCATGTCTGCCTTCTTCAACTCAATTTCGCTCTGGAGATTAGGCGAAGCTGCCAATGTCGATACCTTATCCAAGCATCCTGCGCTTCCAGAAATGACACAACCTCATCAACTCGCCTTGGAACTCAAATTGAAGCCTGATTGCAACATTACATCCAGTGCTTTGTCCGAAGATGCCAACTGGATTGCTGTTTCCGATGTGGAGAATGTGAGATTATTCAGAGTGAATCAAGGTGTAAGTAGAATGCTGTGATAGTTGTATGTGATACTCATACCGTTGTGTCTAGTCTGAACCGGGTCAATTGGAAGTCAAGAAGCAAAGATCTTTTGACAAGGAATTAAACGCTTATTTGGGCGCACACAATGCTGCTCCTGGTGCTCACCACGTCTTGTTCACCCCTGGATCCGATAAATTAATTATTGTCACAGTCGAATCTCGTATTCTCATTGTGGATCTGTCTAGTTGGGAAGAAGGAAATTTCGAGGTGTTGCGTGAATTTGGACATCATCGTGGTTTGGATAGTGATGGCAATGCAACTGACGATTATGCTGTGTCTACCGTTGTCTCTTTGACTGTCAGTTCTGATGGTCAGTGGCTAGCTACAGGGGATGATGAGAACCGCATCCATGTGTTCAACTTGGACAACTTGAAGGTAAGCGAGTGGAGTGGACTGGTGGCATTTCAGTGACTAATTTTTGTTAATCTAGCACCACCTCAAACTCCCTCAGGGATCTATCCCTCACACAGCATTATCATTCAACGATTTCCGACCAAACGAACTGACCGTCGTTCAGGCAACAAATGCCTTTTATATTTATGATGTCGAACACAAGAGATTAACAAGCTGGTCCAGTACACATCAAGACATGTCAGAATCTCGACTTGTAGAGCAAAGAGATCGTGTTCGTGGTGTCATGTATAACCCTGCAAACAAGAACAAGATGATTTTATACGGCAGCACATACATGTGTCAAGTCGACATTCAAGACAAACCCGTTCCCAAGAAGTTGGGTAAAAGAAAGAACAACCACACTGACGTTGCTACTGCCAAAACAGCGGCAGCATCCAAATCAGACGACGAATTACATATTGCCATCTCGTACCAATATCAACAAATCTTGTTTTGTGGATTTATTGGTGAAAATCAAATGGTGATGATTGAAAGACCTAAATTCAGTGTACTTGAGAATCTGCCACCTTCGTTCTACAAGGCTCATTTTGGTGCTTAAACAGACATTCCCTCTTTAATTAGAATAATAAAATTTGATAGAAAATGTACATTTTAATTATGCTAACAGTTGTTGAATAAATTCGGGTTCTGCTTGTTCAAATGCTGTTTTGCCCTCTGAATCAAGTAAAGCCTTGTCGCAGCCACTAGAGATCAAGAATTTGGCTGTTTCGAGTTGGTCTGATATACAAGCTACATACGTGTGAATAGAATGCGCCTACTGATATCTGTATAAATTTACCTAAATGAAGCGCTGTGTCTTCATCGTCTGTCTTGATATTGATGTCAGCACCTGCCTTGACCAATGCTTGTACTATATCCAAATAACCACGATCAGCAGCAATATGGAGAGCTGTTAGTCCATCTTCCTTGGTGTCTATTAGCTCTGGATGTGCCTTTAATGCCGTGGTTAATTTTTTTAAATCACTCAATCTTGTATATCCAAAAATGTCCTCAGATTCTCTATCCAAACTTCATAAATGACGACCCTTCCTCATTATACGAATCGACCTACAATCCGTCATCTTCCTCTACTGCCATTGAACTCACTGCATTGCTAGCAAGGCCTTCTCCTTTCTGAGAATATACAACATCAGCTTACCGATGGATAAACGCACGCAAACACGCACTCACCTTGATATCCTCAGCAGAGGGTATATACTCGTACTCGCCTTGACGTGACCAGCCTACCTTCAGCTCTTCTACACCATCAATATACATGTTTCTAGCTTCTCTGAAACTGAGCCCCTTGAAACTCTGCCATGCGTCGTATTTAGCACGAGCAACAAAGTCAAACAATCCAGGTTTGTCGATATTGCAATCACCAATCGTAGCTTGTTTAAAAAGGCCATAAAACTGTGGGTTGTGTCCATCAGCACTCTAGATCATATAGCGATTATGTTGATGCTTACGTGTAGCTTTTTATCGTTTGGTAATGGAATGTCGTGCTGGTTCATGTATGTAAAGGCCTGTTCAAACCATTTATCGTCTTGGCAAATATCGTCGTCCATGGTAATGTTGATTTGAAAGTGTAAACGAAGGTTTTTTTTTTTACGTTTTGAACTTGAATTAGAGGTAATTAAAAAAGTAGTTGACGATGAGCCTATTACTGTGTCTCATTCGTTATGATACTGCTTGCATCAAAAGTTGTTGAGCATATTAAAAGTGGCTCAGGACTATATAAGAGTTAAAAGAATACGATGGTTTATTAGATAAAAGAATAAATAGCGCTGATTCTCTTTTGCCAGCTACACGCTTAATGTAGAATCAAAGAGAACCAGGCTGAGAATAACGAAGGCTATAATTACCATTTTAGATACAAACACCTTCAGTGATATCGTAGTAATTACAAATGCAAGTTATATGTAAGCTACTGTGGCCAATCTCACTTACAACAAAATTACCTCAAACAATCTGTGAAACTGGTACAGTTTGATGCTTTTGAACTGAGGCTTATATAGTGAATTCGGATGGCAATGCTAGTTATTAAAGCGCTCACTACAGCACGTTCAGATATATGGCTACAGCGTCATTGCTAGTATTTTGAACTAGGAGTGATGAAATTTAGCGTACGTGCATCAATGACACTATAATGCATCAAACTGCTCAGCCATTGAGAATTGATTCGATCATTCTTTGATCGAGGCAATTCAGCTTACTCTATCAGGTATTCCCAATGACTGAATAAGCTAATACCAATTTATTCAAGGATCAGACTATCATTTTAAATTACATAAGCAGGTGTTTTCATGAGTTCAAGTTATACAATGTAAAGCAGCTAGTTTCATATCAATATTTAAAACGATTTATTAGTAAGTTATAATAAAAATAAGGAAGGCTTGCTTAAAGTGTAAAGCTAGCAGTTTGACGAATATCTCTGCTAGAAGCACCGATATGAAGGGTGAATTTACCAGAGGGAATAACCCAAGACTTGGTCTTTGTGTCCCAAATACTGAGCTCAGTCTTGGAGAACTCAAATTCAACCTTGGAGGAAGAATCTTTCTTGATGAACACCTTTTCAAAACCTCTCAAATTCTTGAGTGGTTCACCAGCGCTTTCAGGGAAAGAAATGTAGGCTTGAACGACTTCAGCACCAGGAAGCTTGCCAGAGTTCTTGACCATGACAGAGGCAGTAACAGTGACAGAGTTGTCCTTCTTCTTGGTCTTGACCTTGATTCCGCTATATTTGAAGCTAGTGTAGGATAAGCCGTGACCAAAGGGGAACAAGGGCTCGATACCAGCGTGATCGAACCATTTGTAGCCCATCAATAACTTTTCCGAGTAGACGACATGGTCAGCAGGATCAGGGTGCACATTGTAATCATTATGGTTTTTGGCAATGGTATAAGGAAGACGGCCAGAGGGATTAACCTTACCAAGGACGATATCAGCAAGAGAGTTACCAGATTCTTGACCAGCAAGACCGGGCCAAAGAACAGCCTTGATGTTTTTGTGGTTGATCCATTCGTTCATGAGCACTGGACCTACAGAGTTAATTACAACCACTGTGTTTTCGTTGGCATCAGCAACAACTTTGATCTAAGGTGCAATGTGTTAGTTGTCTATGAGCTTTGGAATGTGCGAGGAGATATGCTTACCAGGTTATCACCGTTGTTCCACAAGGTAAGGTTGTTACGGTCACCCTTGTTGCCATCGACAGTTATGTATTCTTCACCACTGTCAGCGGTGGAAAAGACAAAAGCAATCTCAGCACCCTTGGCAGTATCAGCGGCAGCAGTGAGATCCCAATCGTCAGCGGAAGAATGAATCTTGACATCTTTACCCAAAGCATTGGTGAGGCCAGTAAGAGGATCAATCAAGTAAGGGAAATCGGCGGTACCAGAACTACACATAAACTGTTAGAGACATCACTGACCTCAAGAAAAGTTCTCAAAGGCTTACCCCCATCCTTGAGCGAGATGGCCAATATCACAGCCATGATCATCGCAAATGGTGGCATTGTTAACAGCACTAGGTATCGAATAGATGTTAGTAGGCATGACAAGTGAAATGCGGTATGTACCTACGCTGGGCCTGCTTTGATGCTGCTACCAACAAGAGCAACTGACTTGACCTTGTTACTGAGAGGGAGAATACCCGAATTTTTGAGGAGAACACTGGAAGCAGCGCCCATTTCACGGACTAACTTCTTGTGGTCAGCTTGTACATTGACATACTTGGCGTCTTCACGATTGAATGAGCTAATAGTGGTTTCAGGGAAGTTCTTGTCTTGACCAAGCTTGTACCAGGAAGCAACAATACGCATAGCCATATCAGTGACACGGTCTTCCTTGACCTTGTTATCATTGACGGCATTAGTCAAGTTAGCACCAAAGTAAGAGCCACCGGAGCCAAGAGTAATATCACCAGGCATGGTCATGTCAAGACCACCATTGACAGAAGCGACAGTGGAATGAGTTGCTCCCCAGTCAGACTGAACAAAGCCCTTGAAGCCGAGCTCTCCCTTCAACAAAGTGTTCAAGGTGTGATCGTTTTCACAAGCGTAGGTACCATTCACCAAGTTGTAGGAGCACATGACGGATGCAACACCAGCTTCGACAGAACGAGCAAAGGGCCAGAGATAGATTTCATGTAAAGTGCGCTCATCAGCGTCAGAGGAACCAGTGTTTCTGTTGAGCTCCTGATCGTTCAAAAGGTAGTGCTTGGCAGTAGCAATGACGCCCTCAGATTGAATACCCTTGATGGTCTCGGCAGCGAGGACACCAGTGAGGAATGGGTCTTCACCACCACTCTCTACAAGCATTTGAATTAGTATATGTATGAACGACACTACAGAGAAACGCTATTCGTACCGAATCCACGACCACCTTCAGGGCTTCTCATAAAGTTCATGCCAGGGCCTAATTGGACATGAATACCTTTTCCATAGAATTCGCGGCCCATGTATTCGCCACGAGCAAAAATGGCACTCTTATCAAAGGATGCAGCCGCGTTAATTGAAGATGTTCCGGCAGTGACGTTATCAGCCTTTCTTATACCCATAGGTGAATCTTGCAAACAGAGAGAGGGGAAGTCTGGCTTGGTGATAGCATAAGTATTGCCGACACAGGGCCCGTTTTCTATACGACATTTGAGTTAGTAAATCAACTTGTTTGCGCTGAAAAAGAGAAAAGCTAACCCCAGCCAACACCGGTGCTGATAGCGATCTTTTGCTCCAAGCTCATCTGGCTCACCAAGGCATCAGCCTTCTTGTAAGCATCGTCCCAAGACAAGACATTGATCTTGGCTTGAACCATTGAAGCAGCATTGGCAGCTACTAGCATAGAGATAGCAATAGAGGAAAGAGACGGCAATTGCATTTGAATTGAAGTGAGGATGTTGATAATTTAAAAAGGACATGAATGGGTTATTCTCTTTTTATATGAATCTTGACATTTCATCCTGACAATTCTTTTTCCCATGAATTATCTAGGCACCAACAGAATCAGATCCAAATCCCCTCATATCGGTGCGTCATGGTCCCTCGGTAGTAGTAGCTGATGAGTGAGTATATGAGTGTTGGCAGGATAATAACCTTAAACTTGGTCCTCTTCCCAGGCTACTTGATGAATAGTGCTAATTTTTCGTCCCTTTGAAATTAAAGTTCTGATTCAGTAGGTTTCCCTGAATCTGGTAATCGTGGGGTAAGACTTGAGATTTGGATATTCTGCAAAATGGCCTCTAGATTATGTGAGCCAAGTAGTGCCGTTAACTTGAGCATTAGAGTGCTCGAATGATATACTACACTATTCTCGTGTCGATTCATTTCAGGGATCAAGGAGATAGCATCCACCAAATACGCATATTACGAAATCAAATGGTACCCGTTGGTATTATGCACAATGACCCTTGATGGGAAATCGACTTGAACACTCTGAAAAGTTGGTGTGAGGTCGGGAATCCCTTCAAGTCCGCATTTTCGTTTGGGTTGACCTGATCACCTTGCAATTCAAACTTTGTTCTTGTCTTTATCCATCACAAATGTACAAATATAGCAAATGTCATTTCAACTTTTTTTTGTTTTGGAAACTCAAACATCTGGGTAACATTGATTCATTAAGTTTGAAAATAATGATCAATTGTAAAATACGGTATAAAAGGTATATAGAATCTAGAATATATATATATATATATATATATATTGGAGCAGAGGCTTGCCAAGTCTTGAAAGTATTCTTATATGACAGAGAATATTTCTCATTTTCAAGAATAGCATCTACAAATCAATGATTTGGGAGAGGTCAGGCCACATTGCAACCAAATGTTGGCTATTCAATCCATGTAATCATTCAGCTCGGGTAATGCAACACCCGCAATTTGGGGTTTGTGGTAGTGTCTTGTTGTTCAACATGATTTAAATTTCTTGAATTAATACAACATGATCGGTCAACCCCGTACCTACGGAAATGACGTTTTAGTCTTCATTTTTTTCGAAAAGATGCGATCCAACGATGGCCATACAAGTTCTTTGAAAGCAAACAAATCTCTTGCTCATTTATGCATTCAATTACAGTAATAAAATGATCTACAAGGTCTCTTGGCACGAATCAACGGAGAGATCCTGTGTAATAAAGAAGCTCATGGGTAGCACAAGCTTATTGATAAGATGATGATGATGGAATTAAATGTCAGTTTATCTTTCAAACCATCCTACTCTTTGTTTTTCCCATTTTTCTCATTCCCAGCAACAATGACTCAACTTAGAATAGCAGCGATATCGTACACTGGCGGTAAAGATTGTACACTGGCACTTCACCGTGTGAAAGAGCAAGGCGTCCAGGTTGCAGTACTCGTCACATTCAGTCCTCCATCTACAGATTTGAAATCATTCAAAGCTCATTCCATGGAGATCATCAAGCAACAAGCCAAGGCACTCGGCTTACCTCATACAGTGTGTATCATTGATGGCCCAGACTACCTTGCTAGCTATCAAAAACAGATCAAATCTCTCGCTAAAGACTACAACATTGATGCTTTGGTGACAGGAGACATCTTGCCCGTTTGTAGTAATTTCATGGAACGTGCTGTGGAAGGCACAGGTGTCGATTTAGTGAGACCTTTATGGCAACAAAACCAACCTGGGCTGCTGAGAGAGATGTGGGATCGACAATTTGATGTGATGGTCACTTGCATTAATCAACTCAAGGTGCGTGCTTCTGTCTTGGACAAGGTGAAGGATGTCTATGATGTTGGAAAGCCATTATCGCAAAAAGGATTAGACGCAGTTGCTGCAAACAATGTAAATATCAGTCCAACTGGCGAGTTTGGTGAATTGCACACAATGGTGCTTGATTGCCCTCTCTATAGTAGTAAAATTATCATTGATAGCGAGAAAATGGTAGAAAGCCCTTATGTATATTTGAAAATTAACTCTGTAGAGCTTGTTGCGAAATAGTAATAAACATTTCATTGAATGTATGCTATGGATGCTACACTGGTCTTTAAAAGAATATAATATCTAATGATTAAAAGTGCAGAAAAATCTTTGGTCGATGCCCTGAATGCTAACCGTAGCCATCTCTCATCTCAACAATCACACACAATATATATACAGTGGATTGTTATTTAAAGCAGATCAATGGTGAAACATACGCTGGATATGCTGAATCTAGCATATATACTGTACGAGCGTAACGAGGTTGCATCTGATTCAGCATTTGGTAATATTAGTCTTGGTGGGTTTTACCGTAGCCAAGTAAAGGTGTAAAACCATAGTGTTCAAGCAGCAAATTCGGGTTTTCATTTCCATTGTTAATAAGCTTACCAGCAACATATCGCATCAAAATTTGCAAGAATCAGCTTTACCGAAATCAATATGCCTCCTGTTTGAATTAGAAGTAGCACCGGTTGCAGAACTGCCCTTCCAGAAGACTTCAGCTACCAAAGATGCGATTCATACAGTATAAATAAAAGTCATAAAGCAAAACATAACCAAATTAGACAGTTTTTAAGCCTTCGTATATTGACATGTAGACCTTTCTGAGCCACCGGAATAACGCCAAGCAATTGTATTCTAGTAGTAGTAACTTCCTGACATCTTTGCTCAACTTTTTGGGACGAAAAAAAAACATGGCCAAAAATCGATCAAAAACCATGAGATACCCCTCATGGTTTTCATCGAAAATCAAACGATCGTGTTCTCGCCTTGGAAATGAAGACTTTTACTATGGTATATATCAAATCCAAATGTTTGTCTCAATCCAGAGCAACTTCTGAAACCACTTTTATGAGGCTTTCATATGCAAAATAAGGCTATTTTCGCCAAAAACCTCATTTCAAATTTTATTAAATTGCTCAGTAACTTCAGTCAAAAGACTTAATACAGTTAGCACCATTGGAAGCGCCTTGAAAAGTACTTCAAGAACGTACTAGGAAGCGTAGGGTGATCATCACAGTTTATATAGTCGGATATCATGAAATAGATTAAAGAAGTCGAGAAAAGACGAAATCTGTCCAATCTTGAACAGAAAAAATGAACTGACTTTGAATTGATTTTAGCGGGTAGCCCATACTTTTTTTCGGGGGGGGGGGCAGCTTTGCCTCATTGAGGTGTCTTTTGTGATGACAAAACCTGAAAAAAGCCGCTGTAGATCTGATAGAAGTCCTGTATTTACACATGGTCAACTTTATGTCGCCATCTATTAAGAGCATCAACAGCGGCGAATGATATGGCAATTCTATTATCGGAAAATGGCGATTGTGATGTATAAATGCTGCATAAAATTTGAATTTCTTTCGCATTGTCCCAATAATAAGCTTTATTTGATATCACTTTAAGCGAAAAGGATGCAGAGGGAGATACCTCCTGTCCTCCTCCTGGCTCTGATATAACTTTTCTTTTACTAACTAATATTTGGTTGTTTAAAATCTACTTGATATACCAAAATGTTATAATCTCTGATTTAAAATGTCTTTGGTGAGAGCCCACAGGGCAACGCCAACATCGAGCGTAGCGAGATAGATCGGCTAACAAGCTAAATAATGACATGCCTGACAGTAACGTTGGGGTAGGCAATGGTATAGATGTGATGCCCTGTTTTATGCCAGATACAGATAATGACAAAAAGCGTAAACCGCTTTGAGTAGGTTGTATATAATATGTAATTTCCTCGTTAAAAAAGTTTTAATGCTCAAACTGTTAATGGTATAGCCCAAGGTTTGTAAATGTGATTGTATTGGGGGGTTTCCCCGTTAAAGTGGATTTATTCTTGTTACAAAATAAAAAATTACTGAAATTTAAGCAGGGGCTGTAACATTGGTCCTGAAGAAAATGGCGGGATCTGCTCCACCATAAAGGACATTGCCTCTAGGAAAGTACTCGCAAACATAATATACGCCCTGGATGTTATCGCAGTAAGAAGCGCCACAGCCTATAGTCTTTGTGTTCTTCCAAACAACTTGGGTAAAATGCCCAGTTTTTGTAGAGAATCCAGGATTGGAGTAATTGTAAGCAGATACTTCACTGTACCAAGCGTTGACGGTTTGTGTCCAGTCTTTGGTACGCCAAGCAATATTCTCGCCGTAGCTTGCCTATAAGTTGAAACAATCAATCTATCATATATCATCCCACACATTCATGTATTCAGCTTACTTGGCTATGAGCAATGCTACACTTTGATGCCCAGCCGTAGGCAAAGTCACCCAACTCCTGATTCCATTTAAGGGGAGGTGCATTATGTTTAGCACGGACAACGTTGTGAGCTGTCAAAATGGAGTCAATATCAGCTGAAGTGGGAGGAGCTCTTTTTTGAAGTGCCTGCGAGGTAGCCAAGGGCTTGGAGAGAACTACGCTTGTCATGCTAGCTAAAACGGCGAGTGCAGTTGTGAGTGTTTTGAAGATTTGCATTTGGATTTTTGTTGATTTGATGTAGAACAAAATCGATTTTTACCTACTCTATTTATACAAGTTTTTGTCTCATGTAATTAATGCATTTGGTCATTACAGAATATCAAGTGTTGGCAAACTCATGCTGCTGTCAGCAATTTCCAAGTTCTAGTTTGCTACAATGAGAACGTCGGCTCATCTTGGCATATGACACGATTAATACATACTAATACATACTGGAAGAAAAAGATTTCGATGAAAGTGTGTAGTAGATGTGGAAGTGTGAAATGATTGCTTCGATTCCGATAATACCTAAAAGGGTTCCATGGATTGGGAATACCGTACAATTATTTCAAGCAGATTACGCTGATTGTTTTCGTTAAATCTCGTCATTTACCGTATAACTTTGCGGCTTTGCATATAGAAAACGCGGCAAATTATCGATTTAATAGAACTAAATCAAAATAGAAAGTTCATTAGTCTGAAATCAATGATAATGGATGATATTAAAACTAACCAATAATCTTTCTAAAATCAACAGTGGCAATTCATTCCTGATGGTATGATTCTGGTTATTGGACGGCAATGCAAAGGTCATGAACATGGTGATGCATATCCTCATGTGGTAGTAGGTAGACATCAAAAGCTTGGTATGTCATTCATCCGCGATTGGATGGGCTATCAAGATGTTCACTAGCTTTTCATGCACAAATTATAGTGACAATAGCTATTTCAAATCATAAGGGCCCATTGCAAACGAGTGTTTTAATAAAAGCCTAATGGACAAATTATGATGTAGTCGATTTATGTCTTCAAGACACATCCCTTTTCGAACTGACGTGACTAATTTCACTGTTTCAGCTCTTTGATTTGATTGCATTTTTGCTCAGATCTCATTGTGATGATAATATAGTGTACCTCAATGCGCATACATCACGATGGTACGAAAAAATGCATAATTTTTCTTATTAGTTGCCTATTACTTACCAATGCATGGCTTTGCATAAAATTTGTATCTCATCAATGGCACCAGCCCTTTTAGGTACATATTAATGAATTACGAATAGCTTTCATAAAGAGAACAGTTTTCTCAAGGTAGGGTTCGAAGTATCAGGTACAAGTTTGAAAAAAGTGACAATTCTGCATTTTGCTTTGAAATGAGCATTTAGAGAGGCAAATGGCAGACATAAAACCTATAAATCATGACTTTATAAATCAATTATATCAGGAAGTACCCGTGCTAGGCTACAGTTTATTTTAAATCGCAATCCCTGTCTTATTAGCTTCAAAAACGTCGATTATTACCTTCTTGAGAAGCATTTTGTAAGCCAAAAACTGTTTAGTTTCCGCACAATGTCCTGCTCCAGAGTGGCCAAATCTTAGTTTTTTTTTTTGACTCGATTGATCTATTTTTCAACATTCGACTATAAAAAATTTCATGATCATTCAATGCTTCCTTAAGCTTTTTTGAAGTACTTTTCAAGGCGAATCTGGTAGTGTAAACTATAATATATGCTTTGGACAAGCTTATCGAGCATTTTGCCTAAATATAAAATGAGGTTTTTGGCAGAAATGTCAAGATATTGCATGTGAAGACCTCACAAAAGAAGTTCCAGAGGCTGCTCTGAGTCCATAGGAACATTTTGATTCAATAGATGCTATAGTAAAAGTCTTTATTTTGGAGGTCAAAACCGCGATCGTTTGATTTTCAGTGAAAACCATGAGGGGTACCTCATGCTTTTTGGTCGCTTTTGGTCGATGTTTTTTTGATCCCTAAAAAGTTGAGCAAAGGTGTCAGTAAGTAAGTGTTAGATGAGAGCAATTATTTGGCGCTATTCTGGCAATCTAAAACGGCTTCTGACACGGTACATTGCGGCTCAAATGCATTCAAATTTTGCTGCGTTTTGCAAACACTTGAGGAGTAAAAGGAAGCTGTTGACTCATATATGAGCTATTCCCGTTGATATAGACGTGGAAAACCACGAGCTATCATACAATTTAACACAGTGAGCTTAAACGTGCTTTAGAGCTTCGTAGAAAGGGTTTATTTAAAAGTTATTACGATTATTGTGTGATTAATACTACTGTAAAGTATATTTATTGGTGATTACCTATTGTAAGGTAATTTTGAGCTTGAAGAGGACCAAACGATGTTGTTTGACCATTTGAGTTCATGACGGCAGCATTTTCATGATCACTTGGAGGTAAAAAGACGACTCTTGTTTGTGGAGCCTTGGAAATACTATTTAATGTATCCAGGTATCTGATCTGCATAGCAGAAGGTGTGCTCAGAATATCAGCTGCTTCTCTCATCAATTTGGCAGAGTCCACTTCAGCCTTTGCAGAGATGATCTTGGACTCACCGGTACGCTTAGCTTGTGCAGCGGCACTGAGCGATTCTTGCAACTCTTTGGAGAAATTAAAGTCTTTTATCAAAATAGATTCAATCTGTATGTCAAATGTCAGCTTATTGGCATGAATCATTTGGATATCGTGCATGTTTTTACCTTGACACCCCACTCAGAAGCAACTCTTCCGGTAATTTCCTGAACTTCATGAGCAATAGAGTCTCTGTTCTCCACACATTCTTGTAAAACTTTGCTGCCCAAGATATGACGAAGCGTCGTTTGAGTTCTGTGTATATATGCATGGTAAATGTAAAGCCTTTCGATTAATGCGTTTTGCGTTGAGATTTACCTCTCTACTAATGCCTTTCTCACATCACGTACGCCATACTCTGCTTGATAAGGATCAACAATATGCCAGTAAAGAACACTATCAATCTTGATGGTAATGTTGTCCTTTGTCATGACGAATTGAGAAGGAATGTCGACTACTTGGATTTTGACATCCACTCTTGTAATAGATTCGGTTACTGGATTGATTTTGACAAGACCAGGATCGACACATTTATAAAACTTGCCAAAGCGAGATATAAGACCTACACTGCCTTGCTTCACGGGTTTGTAGGGGTTAGGGCAGCACACACAGCATGGAATCTAATTAAAACGTGTGAGTGTGATAAAGTTGCATAATATATATCAATGCGTATTTACCGATCCGAAACCTCCAATGATAGCACCAAGACCGTTCATCATGTTACCATACCACCCCTACGAATCAATGTTGTTAGAAACTTTGACCAAATACAACCATAGAATGGCTTCTTACATGATCGATTGTGTTGATATTGAGCTTCAAGGCAAATTTAGGCTGTACACCACTAGTAGCGAATTCACCCTTCTTCTGCTGGATGCCATTTGCATTATGAGCAGAAGATGGACCGCTTGTGGAGGGTGATGCGCCTCTACTAGACGCTTGATCTGTTAAGGGGATAACGTCGTCTGCATTGCTTTTATTATTATTATAATTAGAAGTAGCCATTGTAATCAAGATGATTCGAGAGATGAAAACGAGAAAAAAAAAATGAAAAGTTAAATGCTACAAGATATGAATTATATACATGTGTGAAAAATGAACAGAAACGTTGCATTGCAAGACTGCTTAGTATGTCGAAACAATATCTTACTGTAAGGCAATCAGTGTAACAAATGCTAAGCACCAGCTATATTAGTGTATCCCCTGATCACAAAGCTTAGCCTTAGCATACTGCTTAGCACAGATCACACATGAAATTTTGCAGACTCTCTATAACAACTGCATTTTTTGTGTTGCCTTGACGCTTTTTTTTTACTTCACATTCTGTGAGAGATTTTTCAATATTGTCAAGTCCTCTTGCTTGCAACTGCCCTCTTTCTCTTTGTTTCCCTTGAAGTATTTAAATCTTGAATTATTGCTTCTCTCTCTTTCACTTTTTATCTTTTTCTAATTTATAATTCAACAAACCAAATCTAATATGAGTTATTCCAAAGCAGGTAGATTCATCTGGATATTTGGACTGTGTGGAAACCATACTTATTTTCTACATTAGATGATATCACTGTTGGCATTGCAGTGCGTGGTGTCCAGGCCTCTTACGCAAGAGAGTTGGACATCAGTCAAGATATTCCTCATGTAAGCCAGTACAGAGATAACCAACACATTGATGTATTCAACATACTTTTACACTCAACAGGGATTCTATGAGACAATGATGACTTGCATTGGCAATACAATGGGTTTTTTCGGATCAGTAAGATAATCAGCATCACTAATCGACTAAGCATATATTGACAAGCACACTTAGTTTCCTTGCATTGTTTGCTGCCCTAATCCTTATCAAAAAGTCCGTCAAGGTATGTATATCGTATGAGAGCTTACGACTGCTCCATGCAAATATTAAATCAAATCAAATAGGCAACGTTGGATTGGTTACAAAATTTGGCAAATTCTACAAGTGTGTTGATCCAGGTCTTGTCAAGGTGAACCCAGTGACAGAAGATTTGAAAAAGATCGACATTACCATTCAAGTAACGGAGATCCCCAAGCAGGATGTTATCACCAAGGTACCATTGGCATTGCAAGCATGTCTTATGTAATCCACAATGTAATAATGATCGGCGTTGACACATTTTGTTTATAGGACAACGTTAGCGTCAATTTAGAATCAGTCATTTATTGGCATGTAGTCGACCCTTATCAAGCAGTGTACGGTGTCTCGGATGTGAATCATGCATTGATTGAGAGGTAAGTAAAATGTAATTCCATCACCAATCCTTATTAACAAGGATGCCGTTCATTTAGAGCAAGCACTTCGTTGCGAGATGTATGTGGTGGCCACAGTGTCCAAGATCTTATTGAAAACAGAGAGGCCATTTCCGAGGAATTACATGAGATTATCGGTCCTATTGCTAAAAGCTGGGGTCTCAAGGTATGCATCTGGATCTTTAAGGGCAAGAGAGGAATGAGCCTCAACTGATTACATAATACCCATAGATTGAATCTACGCTGGTAAAGGACATTACATTATCACAGCATTTGCAAGAATCACTCTCATCTGCAGCACAAGCCAAGAGATTAGGTGAATCTCGAGTCATTACGTCTAAAGCAGAGGTCGAAGCAGCCAAGCTGATGCGTGATGCAGCTGATATCTTGAACACTCCAGCAGCAATACAGATTCGTTATTTGGAAACACTGCAATCCATGAGCAGAAACGGCTCTGGCCCAAAAACAATATTTGTCCCTCTTCCACCCTCACAAGTTGGCCCTGCAAGCAATTAAACTAGCATGCAACGATGATCATGCTCGCATTTGGCTGTAAATTTTATCCACATTACGTAAAATGAATATAGGCGATTTAACCTCAATAAATAATTCGTTAATAAGAAAGGCTGGCAATTATGCATGAAACATGGATTGGAGATAAAGCCACGGTACATCCATGTAATGAAAGCCCATTTGATATAGGAAATACAATGAATCGTTTTGCATTTACAGGCAAAGAATAGGGAATTTGGGAAACAACAGCAAACGGCAGCAAATGTTGATTCTACCGCTCTTTATAAATGATTGAAATCACCCGTGAAATTCAGTCTGCTTTCTTTCCAAATCCTTTTATTCCAAGGTTGCATGATGACAGAAATCTTGATTACACAAGATGTGGGATTATTGATCCTTGAGTTCCTTCTTTACAGGGCTTTTTTGTTATTTTAGGCTCGATATAAAACGAAACGTGTACGTGCCACAGAGATGCTAGATTAACGGATTTCCAAATCACAGTAGCTTACATAATCTATTTAACCACACTTTTCACTAGGAGATGAGAAGCTCAAGCATTGCAGACGATTGATTGGCAGCAAATAAGTGTCATGTATCACATCAGCTATGGTTTAGGCATAGTACAATGTGGAAATCAGATCAATGCCCAAAGGACCATCCGCGGATGCCCAAAAGTCCAAATGCTTATAGTAAATAATCGATGCAAGATGCGAGGACATGAGGCGCATCCTAGCGTTTTGCGCCTCATTTAATTGCTGCCAAAGGGGTACTCAAAGAAGGAAAAAAGAGTGGAGGCGGAGGGGAAGGGATGACAAAGAGTCTTTTTTGATACACGATTATGAAATTATCATATCCTTACGTAAACTTGAAGAGGGTGAGTTGTTATTTAATCAACAGTAGCCCCAATTTTTTAGAGTTTGAGTCGGACCCGGTTAAATTTGCTTCGGGAATTTGCAGTAAATATTCAGATCTTCCATTTTGAGCTTCGGGATAACAAATGGTAGCTAATTCTAGTATCAATGATACAATGTAGTCGCGTTTGACATTGGAGACGCAATGAGAGAACACCAGAGCTATGAGATATGAAGCCAAGATGCTGTTACTACCAAAGAGGCGCTATAAACTGCTCAAGCACCGTTTCAAAGGGCCTTGTCTTGAAGCCTCATTTGCCTCATGGCGTTTCGCATTTCGGCATAGAAAGATAAGGATATTTTAGATCTTTTTTGATGCTTATAAACACAAACGCTTTCCCGCTCCTATTGCATTTGTGTTTAAGCAGTCCTAATACAGGCACCCGTAGCCGCTTACATCATCTTGAAAGAAGCATTTGGCTATATAATGGTTGCTTCTGGGCGCCATCAGTTTGAGTTTTTCTCTTTTTTTTTCTCTTCTTGTTCTTTACATTTCTCCAAGAAATTAAATTTATACTCTATAATTAAAATGGTTGAAGCTGTGTAAGTAACACGAAGGACAATGGACATCAAGCGAGCAATGCATTAATCACATCCTCATTCTAGTGCTGATATTGGTCTTATTGGTTTGGCCGTCATGGTAACTATCTAGCATCATGCCATCTTTGTAAACTTGACAGCTCACCAAAATTTGCATGAATAGGGTCAAAACCTCATCTTGAACATGAACGATCACGGTTATACTGTCTGTGCCTACAACCGTACTACCTCCAAGGTTGATGATTTCTTGGCCAACGAGGCTAAGGGTACCCAAATTGTTGGCGCTCACTCTGTTGAGGAACTCTGTGCCAAGTTGAAGCGTCCCAGAAAGGTCATGCTCCTTGTCAAGGCCGGTGCTGCCGTTGATGCTTTCATTGAGCAATTGTTGCCTTTCCTCGAAGAAGGTGACATTATCATTGATGGTGGTAACTCTCACTTCCCCGACTCCATTCGTCGCGCTAAGGAATTGGAAGGAAAGGGTATTCTTTTCGTTGGTTCTGGTGTCTCTGGTGGCGAGGAAGGTGCTCGTTATGGTCCTTCTTTGATGCCCGGCGGTAACCCTAAGGCCTGGCCTCACATCAAGAACATCTTCCAAGATATCTCTGCCAAGGCTCCCGATGGTGCTCCCTGTTGTGAGTGGGTCGGTGAATCTGGTGCTGGCCACTATGTCAAGATGGTTCACAACGGTATCGGTAAGTCATTCGTGTTTGCTAAACACGCGTCATATTGACATTTGTAAATTGCGGCCTTCTAACCTCTCAATGATATTAATAGAATACGGAGACATGCAATTGATTTGTGAAGTCTATCAAATCATGAAGGAAGGTCTCGGTATGTCTCACGAAGAGATGGCTCAAACTTTCGAAGAATGGAACAAGGGTGAATTGGATTCTTTCTTGATTGAAATCACTCGTGATATCCTCAAGTTCAAGGACACTGATGGTTCTCCTCTTGTTGAAAAGATCCTCGACACCGCTGGTCAAAAGGGTACTGGTAAGTGGACTGGTATTGACTCTCTTGATCGTGGTATCCCTGTTACCTTGATTGGCGAAGCTGTCTATGCTCGTTGTCTCTCTTCTCTCAAGGGTGAGCGTGTCCGTGCCTCCAAGATCTTGAGCGGTCCCTCTTACAAGTTTGAAGGTGACAAGGCCAAGTTCATTGCTCAACTCGGTCAAGCTCTTTACGCTGCCAAGATTGTCTCCTATGCTCAAGGTTTCATGTTGATGCGTCAAGCTGGTAAGGACTACAACTGGAACTTGAACTTTGCCGGTATTGCCCTCATGTGGCGTGGCGGTTGTATCATCCGTTCCGTTTTCTTGGGTAAGATCAAGGATGCTTACACCAACAACCCTGAACTCGAGAACTTGTTGTTCGATCCCTTCTTCCAAAAGGCTACCTCTGATGCCCAAGGCTCTTGGAGATCTGTCATTGCCCAAGCTGTTCAAATGGGTATCCCTACTCCTGCTCTCTCCACTGCCTTGAACTTCTACGATGGTCTCCGTCACGAAATTCTCCCTGCCAACCTTCTCCAAGCTCAACGTGATTACTTTGGTGCTCACACCTACGAGCTCTTGGATGCTCCTGGCAAGCACGTTCACACCAACTGGACTGGTAAGGGCGGTAACGTCTCTGCCTCTACTTATGATGCTTAAATCGTTTCATTTTATATAATTTTTCATCCCTTTTTTTTTGTATTTCTACATTATCATTCCTCTTTTTTCTTTCTATTTCTTGAGAAGATCATTTTATTTTGCTTGCATCAACAAAATTGTATAATCCCAACAAAAAAGTAAAAAAAAAAAAAAAAAACAAAATGTTTTTTTTTTTTTGTCAATAAACCTCACATTTACAAGCAACTTTGTCTTTATGCGCTTTACAAGAGAGTATCACTACTATGGAGCAATTAAATTTGGTAAATGAGAGCACCGTAACAAAGGCCTTCAACTGGACAATAACGATGCTTATTGACAGTTTTCAGAGCCACATCCTCGGGTTACATTCTATGCGCACATGCGTTTACTTGGAATGTTCAGCGTTGATTGGTGGAGCAATTAAATATAATTAGGGATTTTCTAATCTAGACGTTCAGACACTTTCCTTTCTGTTTATTTTACTTGGAAACATGAAGCTGTTTTCTACTACAAATACATTACTGCTAGGCTGTCTGGTCAGTTTTGTGCATACAAAGTCTGTCGAACTGAATGCTGATAATATAAACACTGCCATCAGTTCAGGTACTTGGTACATGTCGTTTCCATATATGCCACCCAAAACTATCCGAGTCAAGCTAATAACAGTAATCTACTACGTAGGCTTATCGAGCATTTTTCACCTTACTGCATTCACTGCAGAAATTTTGGTAATCACGCCAATGGCTAGGGACTTGCCGAGAGATGCTAATTACTATCATCGCCCATAGCACCTGACTGGAAGAGATTATCAGAGGATTTAGATTACCTTACAGAAGAAAGCAACTTTCATTTTGGAACCATTGATTGCTCCACGCAAGGAGACTTGTGCGAAGCACACGGTATTATGGGTTATCCCACTGTGCAATTATGGGAAAATGGAGACAAAGTGGAGCAATACAAAGGTGCCAACAAATATGACCCTCTAACTGAATATATCAAGCAAAGAATTGCCTCTGCATCCGACGCCAGCTTGGAACAACAGGTGCTTGATGAAGAGGAGGATGAAACTGTGCCTCCCGAGATTGAAGAAGCCGAGGAAGAAGAAGAGCAAGAAGAGGAAGCAGAGGAAGAGGCAGAGGAAGAGCAAGCAGAGGAAGAGGAGACCGGTATGTCTGCAGAGCAAGATGCTGATTCAGGTGTTTTGCCGAACCCTGGAGGCATTTCAGTGAATCTGGACAGTGAGCAAATGAAAGAAATTGCTGCCAGCAACGTGCCTTGGTTTGTCAAGTTTTATGCACCATGGTGTCCTCACTGCAAAAACTTGGCTCCCACATGGACTGAAATGGCATCTCAATTGAGAGGACAAATTAATGTTGGTGAAGTGAACTGCGATGCCTTGCCCAGTACGTTTTACATGCATTTTTCTAGCGTCATAGGTTCCAATACTGATTGACTTGTATGCATAGCTGTCTGCGAGACATATGAAATTAGAGGATTCCCCACTCTTAAAATGTTTGGTCAAGATGGCGAGCCTGTTCAGTACGCCAGTGATCGCTCCTTGGTCAGCCTTATGAAATTTGCAAATACGCATGCAGGGTAAATTGGTCTATTTTACATTTGCTCTTCTATTTGGCGCTAAATTTCTTGTTTTAAATAGACCCTCCGTCAAGGAGCTGGATACAAACGAGCTGGAGCAACACCTCAGCGTCAAGGATGTAGCACTCATCTACTTGCACAGCACCAAAGAAAACGAAATTCCTGAACTCGTCCAAAAGATCGCTGGTCAATTCACTTCGACCATCCCGGTTTACGCAACTCAAGATGAAGGATCCTTCAAGAAATTCAACCTGGCTCCTTCAGATTTACCTGCCATCTTAATCGCCAAGGACAACACATTCCGCATCTTTCCCAGCCACGATTTTGTCAACACCAAGGCCAACCGTGAAGCACTTGCTACTTGGATCGAAAAGGAGCAATTTCCTCTTGTTAGTAAATTGGGCCCTAGCAATCAACAGAGTATTTTGCAGGGCGATGCACCTGTTGTGATCAATATCGTCAATGCCAAAGATACAGTCAGTCAATCCAAGTTTCGCAACATTGCCAATGTGTGGAGCAAATCACTCAAAGCCGATCAGATCAAGGTTATTTTCGCAGAGATGGACCGTGCCATGTGGAAGGATTATGTGCGCGACAAGTTCAACATTCAGCATGACGAAACTGCCAAAATTGTCATTTTTGATGCACCCGTATGTATAGACTGTGTATGCATCCGTATGACAGCACAGCAAACTTACTCTTTTTTTTTTTTTTGGCAACTAGAACTACACCTACTTTACCAAGGATATCAACAATGAGGTGCTTTCCATTGATAAGCCTGAGGGATTGTATGTAGGATTGAAGAATCTCAAGAAATTGCAAGGAGAGTCGACTTTACTTGCGCATCAAAAAGTCGGTGTCTCCATCTCTCGCAGTATTGACTGGATCTTTGCCCACTGGTTCATCAGCTTCTTGGGTTTTGGTCTCGTTGGTAGTTGTGTATATAGATATTTAACCTTCCATAATCCCAAGAGACTCGGCGGAAGTGTGTTGCCTTCGTTTAGACCTGCTGATGCTTATACTCACAAGGATTGAATTAAAATAGTGGAATAATCATATGAGATCGACAACAAGGAAAGTAATCTAGGGGAGTACTACTCTTAAAAGACAATCCTTTTTTTTTTCCAATGTGGTTTATTAGGGGATTAGTGTATAAAATTTATCATGGAGAGAGAACCAAAGGAAAGAAAGAGACGAAAAAAAAAAAGAGATGCATCATAGTGAATCAAGCAACTTACGATCTGATCTTCTTTGTTGTGTTGGCAGCATTGTTGATATTAGCTGTCTCAGAGGACGAAGACGAAGATGAGGACGAAGATGAAGAAGGAGGGGATAATGAGCGTGCACGACGGGTATTTAGTAGTATATGATCACTAGGAGAAGCTGTGCTGTTGATGTCAATGCCGGATTTTGCATCCTGTTGTCTTTGCTGACGGGTCTCGGTCTTCATAGTCTCTTGTTGTCCATTGCTATGGCTACTTGCAGTACTGCTTGTGCTCTCTGTATCGCTCTTTGTTACCACATTGCGAGTTGCCGTGGTGGCTGTCTTTGCAACCGTATCGATTCTACCTAGATTAGTGTCAATGGGAGGTAAGACTGGCTTTGCCGACCGAGGAGATGGTGAAGGAGAAGATGCAGTTTCTGCTTGATGAACCACAACAGGACGAGGCAGTGTTGGCTTCTTTTTCTTGTTGGGATGCTCTTGAGATGAAGTCGATGTTGATGCTGCTGATGAGGAGGATGGTGGAGGACGGATGGGAGAGGCTGTCAGGGGGGATAATGGACCGCCATTTCCTCTCTGAATCTTGGCTTTGAGCGCTTCCATGACTTTGTTATGAGACAGCTTGTCTTGTTCTACCTCGCTGGGCGATGAGATGGAAGCCCTGCTCCGTTTCTTGGTTTCGTCAGACAAAGCGGCACTGGCAGAAGGAGACGTTTGGCGGAATTGAGGTAGACGAGAGGCAAAGCTCTTTTCATCGGCAGGTGGAGGACAAAGAGGATGTGCAGAGTGAGGATAGGGCATGGATGGAGATGCGGGTGGTTGTTGCTGGCCTGGCGCATGCTGTGGAGGTTGTTGGAAGCGAGCAAGCACCTGCTGCTGAACAGGCGCAAGACTGTAATATGGGTATGGATGATGGGGATGCGGTGCATGAGCTACGATTTGAGCTTGGTGGTGAATTGCTGGCACAGCATGAGGGTAAGGCTGTGGATAACCTGGAGGATAAACGGGTCTCTCAAATCTGGAGGATGCCTTTGATTGCTCACGAGCCAGCTCCAAGTCCATATGTCTCAGCTGGATACGAGCTTCCTCTGCTCTCAATGTATCCTTTGCAGCCTTTTTCTGTATGCCACATGCGAAATGTAAGGTGACGCTATGTATCTACATTACGTATGAATAGATACCTTGTCTTCCTCTGTTTTAGCTGTAAGAATGTACTTGAGCAGCTCTGGGTCCTCATTGTAGCGTTCCAGTATTTCCTTTACAGTAATGTCGTTCATGGCTTGTTGAGTGTTTGGTTTCAAGTGAGATGGAGAAGAAGGTGGAATAGGCCACTGAAAAGCAGAAGTTGGTTGTTTTGAATGTGGTGATAAAGAGTTTGGATGAGGTGAATGATTTGCCATAACTCTTTTTTCTTTTCTTTTCTTTTTCTTTTTCTTTTTTTTTTAAAGGAGAACAAAGAAAACACTCTCAATGTAGCAGAGCTCATTTATACAACACATCTGAAAATTCAACATTGGATTCACGTCACCCAATCAACCAACAAAACTTTTTCTCTGTTTGTTGAAAAACCGTGTTTTTTTCCTTTCAGTTCTCAACAACATGTCAATGCAAATCACCAATACCCGTGTCTACACAGTACCATCAGACAGTGAATCAGAATCTGATTACGAGGACTACAAGGTTTACACACCAAAAACCAGGGTTTTAACCCAACAGCAGGAAACGCAACTGATCAAATTGGGATGTGTCTATAACCCAGTGGAGGACTACAAGCGTTCTCATTTGTACAAGAATCCCGTAAGTTACTGAGGGAGGGGGGGCTGTTGCTTTAGTCTGTCTCCTAACCTCCCAGAACAATCAATTACAGAAAGTCTATGATCAGCAATTTGCATCAAGCATGCAACAGCATCAATCCGAGCTGAAGAAGGACATTGAGCGATTGCTGGCACAACAGCGGCAACAGCAGCAGGAAGAGCTGAACAAATTGAAAAGCATGCTATCCACATTGACTGTGTCCAGGTGAGTGGATCCACGCTATTGCAGCACTGTGAGTGTATTGACATATCAACAGCTCAAAAGACGATCAGGATGACGATAAAGCATTTGAAGAAGAACTGACAAAGCAACGCAAATTAATCGACGACGCCATCGCACTCGACAAGAAGAAATCGGAAAATGCAACTGCTGAAGCAGAAGCAAAGGCTAAAGCCAAGGTAGAAAAAGAAAAGCGGGAGCAGGAGGAGAAGGAGAAGAAGGAGCAAGAAGCCAAAGCACTGAAGGAAAAGAAAGCAAAGCAACTAGAGATGCAAAAGATGGTGAGCAGCCAACTACTCTGCATGACAACTGACACTCACATTCGATGGTAGGCTCAATCATCCGCTGTTTCGCCTCAAGGATTGGAGGAATACAAGAAATACTTTGAAAAGATTGAATACTACAAGACCAACATTAGACCCAAACTACAAAACGACGTCTTTCGCAAGCAGTGTTTCCAAGCTAAATTGGTCATTAAGCGCACAGTGTCTCAACTGCAGGCAGAGCATAGAGTGATTGTAGAGAAGGTAGGGCAATGTTAGAGAAAAGCAATGAAACACAGTGGGTCTCATACGTCTGCTAGTTCAATACACTAAACAACCATCTTTTGGGCATCAAACAACAATCGCCAGAGGCATTTGAATACATGTTGAATCAGCTTGCCAAGTTCTTACTGGCACAGGCAAAGCAGGAGATTCATGCTACAGCATTTGCAGCTTATTTCCTGGCAAGATTCGCTTACCTCATGTGCAGTTCCATTTCAGAATTCTTACCGTACCTTATGGGCCGTTTAATGAAGCGTTGTCCTTATCTGATTCCTCAGTACCATGATGATGATCCAGTAAGTTCTGCTTTTTTTTTTCTTTTCTGCTGCAGTGAACAAACCAACTGAAATCACACTATTAGTCACTCTCACACGATGAGATCAAATCAAGGTTACGTTACGCTATCAAAAACAAGGAGAAAAAGACGCTGGAGACGTTTTTAGAGCATGCTGAAGGACAGAAATGTTATGTGATGTTTTACGGTGCCTTATGTCAAACATTACCAGATCCAGGACAGCCTGAAAACCCTTTCCCCATCAAGCATGCTTGGATCTGGTTGGCCCGTATATGTAATATGCCTCCTCGTGAAATCACGCCCATCCTCGTCAATGGCCTTTTAGAAGTATCAGCTATTCGATTACTACAGGCTTATCCCAACCAAACCGCCAAATTATTCCGATTAATTAGAGAGACCATCTGCCCATTGTATCCCATCAGTTCTGCGCAAGAGAATGTCGCTGGTATCAAACGTTTGGAAATGTTCCTGGACGATTACTTTCGAACTGGTCAACCCGAATGTGTGCCTGAAAAGCTGCCGCCCACTGTATAATAGCACATCGGCCTTCTTACACATCATGTATAATAAACCAGACCCTTCTTTTATTTACAAATTCACATTTTGCGAAGTTTCATTGAATTTTGTGTAAAAGTCATTGTAATCCAAACGAGTTAATAGAGATCTCAAATCTTCATCATGGTAGGATTTCAGCACGTCAAGGAAGCCAAGCACTTGCATCGTAAATTGATCTTCCATGTCTTCGTGTCGCTTTCGTATCTTGCTCATCTTTTCTACATCGCTCAAGCCTCGACTGGATCGTTTAAGAGACTCTTGTGTTGCGTACTTGTACAGATACTCTAGCACGACATTGTACTGCAAAATGCAATCAAATATACTGCCGAGTTTACCAGCCAGCGCTTCTTGCTTGGGTCCAGTCAGAAATCCCTTTTCTGTGATTTCTCTGAGGTAGTTGCTGTGAGCAGCAATAATGGAATCCAGATCGACGCTCTTGTGCTCTATAAACGTCTCCAATTTATCCCAGGAGCATTCAAGCACCTACAATGGGTGGTCAGTGCGCAACTCTTGTTGGCAAATACGTTATCACTCACCTCAAATAATACATAGTGCTGTAATTGATAGATAAAGTGGATCATGCGCTGAATGGTCAACTGAGCAAACTGTATGTCCTGCTGAAGTTCAGGGAGATGAGTGAATTCCCGGCTCGCCTTCACCCATTGTCGCCATGCCGCAGCCAGTGTGTATTCCACTCGCTTCAGCCGCCACAAGAAATTGAATGCCTCCAGGTATTGGTGCATGGCTGTAGGACTGAATACAGTGTTGATTGGTGCATCCACATGGTAATCCAGCGAAAATACATCCCATCCCAAATCATCTTTCTGTATCTCCATGAGACGCACATCCAATCGATTCAATATCTGAGGATCATCATACTGAGCGTTGCAAGAGCGAATAGCTGTCTCCAGAATGCCGGTAAGATTGTGTCGAAACAGCGTGTTGGCAGGCTTGCTTAGATTCAACCATAAAATGTCCATCAAATATTGAATAAAATCGCCCTGGCCCAGCAGCAAATATCGCTTCAACGCCTTTAAATGATCCATGAGCTTGTATTTGGTTTTCAGTAGATTCAAAAGTGCTCTGCTTGTCGCTGTATAGGCTACTTCAATCGATTTCTCTACTTGCTCTGTTTCGCCGTACTTGAAGGGTTGCTTTTCCAGTGTGTCGTTGGCTATTGCTGCTGCTGTTGCTGTAGATGCGTCATGTTGCTGCTCTGCCAGTGTATCCTCATGGCAGCTATAACGAATGAAATTCAACGATTTGCCAATTGAGAAAATCTTGTGAGCGAGCTCTTTGGATAGAAATGCTGGCAACATATCTTCACGCATAGTGTATTTGCTCTGCCACAGCTCTTCCTCTGGCACTGTACGATCACACGCCACGAAAAACTCCTCGTAAGGATCGTCCAATTCACCTTCATACACCCAGCGCTCCAACATTTCATAGAACGGCTTGGACACAATCTGCAGCATTTTGGTGAGATAGTCCTTGATAAATGGATCGCCGTGCTTTGTGTAGTTGTGAATAGAGGCTATCAATGCGCCTCCCTTTTGTCCCTGACACACATCCACCAAAACACTCATAAGTCGCAGCTTTTGATTGCAGTCCAAGGTCCATATCATCAACTTTTTTAATGTCAAACTCTGACTGGTGACCTGGTTGTTGATCATTTGTTTCTCGACTTGCGCTTCCAGGATGGCGATCAGTTTGTAATATTCTGTCAGTTCCTGCTGGAGTGCTGCACACAATGATTGCCCCACCAAGCCAATGGTAGGCGAGTCCATGTTGTCATTGACAAAGTTACGTACTTTGGTATACAGCCATCCAATATCTGCTAGTTTGAACACCATGTTGGTAATGGAAGGTGACACTTCAATGCCTGGTATAAACACATGATCATTGAGTTGTATATCGTATCGAATGTATTGTCCATCAATGCCCTGAAACAAAAAGATCAAGTCTCGCAACAAGTCTGCTTCCGAGACATAGACGGCTTCGGTCATGCGACTGTGGGATTCCCTGGCTCTTGCTAGCTGAACAGCAGGCGGTGCAGTGTCTAACCCCATACTCTCTCTTTGCGGCGATGCGCTTTCTCTGGCAAGTCGACGGCGTATATTCCTTGGTGAATCGCTCGAGTGCGTATCGTACGGTCTGGAAGCGGGTGGTTGCAAGTAATCTGCAGCTGATGTGGCTTCATGATGGAGGTTCTGTAATCCACTAATGGTCGCACGAGGGCTGTCCAATGTCTAGTGTAGAAAAGCGTGCTGTAAATACGCAGGAATGTAGGTGCTATTTCACAGTTGACTTACAGATAAATCGGATGTGCTACTGGATGGTAGTTTACCAGTGAGTGATAATAAATAGAGAATGGACCATTTCCTTTCTAGTATTTGCTAGAACCATCAAAGTGTCAATCCAGTTGTATTGCGTAGAAGTGCGCTATTTTACCCTTGATGCCAACTTGTTGTATAAATGTCCAAAGCGATGGGCTTTTTCAGGGTCTCGAGATTCCTGTACTATTGTGAAAGTGATGTCAATGATGAATCGATTTACTGTTTACTTTGCTACATACATTGTGTATGGATAGCATTAGCTATGTCGTTTTCATTTTCGACAATGGAGGGCTCTATCTGCCTAGATATCAAAACATCAATCAGCAATGATGTAGAGGGACATTGCACATTTCTGCGACGACCACGAGTACATTACGTTGATAAAATATGACTAAACTTGTCTACGAGTCCATCTTTCTGTCGTTGTATATCACTAAGCGAAGCGTTCCTTGGACTGATATCAAAGCGATCAATGAGCTTGGATAGTGTCTTGTTCAGATGGCTATGCGTTGTTGTAGTTGTAGTTGTAGTGGCATTGCGCACAAAGGAAGGTTCTTCTGTAGGTGTGGACAGCAGTGAAATGCGGCTATGCGATAATCTTGCTTGGTCGTTGTATCTTGACCTTTGAGCCCAGTTTATATCTGAGTAACTCATAATGAGATGAAAGAATGGAAATGAGAAATAAAGAGTGCCAGTTATTTTTTTGCGCGTAATGAAAGTTTTTAAATCACTTTTGTGTATATCGCGATCAGGCAGAAAGTCAATGCGCGGAGCTTTTGACCTAAATTGATTGTCTCTCCTAGGCTACATCAGATCAAGACGTTCGTTTGTGTATAGGATTGGCCCACATATGATATAGTATATATATATATATATATATATATATATAAACTGCTTGAGCCTCGTGCTCTTGACCTGCTCGCATTGCAATACTATACATGTGATGTGCACCATCTCATAGCAGATGCCAATCAAAAATCAAAGATGCAGTAGGTTCTTATTATGTTCCCAAGAAGTATCAACACAGCCAAGACGTCTTTCAATATGTACAGTAGTAGCTTTGTGCTTTGCTACAACCGATTCCAAGTCATTTACCTTCTGTTTGATATACCATGACTCCATAGATACTAGATCCAGGTACTGCAAGTAAAACTTGGTGTTGATTTGATGCCAGAACCTAAATTCTTGAGAAATATCACTTCTTGATTCTCAAACATTGTATAAAAGCTTTTGTACATAGCTTCCAGCTGTTAATCTGACTATTCTACAATGTTCCATGCTTGTATTCTTGGAAGCAACTAATGTAGGGGCAGACAGGATACTTACAATGCCTCTTACTACTCAAATAAACACAAAACGCAGCGAAATATGAGTGTTTTTGCGCCGTAATTTTATGCGCTAGAAGTTGTTTTAGACTACTGGAATAGCACCAAACAATTGCTCTCACCCAGCATCCACTTACTGACACCTTTGCTCGACTTTTTTGGGATCAAAAAAAAAAATATCATCAAAAATCGGCCCCAAACCATGAGGGGTACCTCATGGAAAAACATCAAAAATCGAACGATCGCATTTTTGACCTTGAAAACGAAGACTTTTACTATGGTACATATTAAGCCAAAATATCTCTATGGATTCAAAGCAACCCCTGAAACTTCTTTTGTGCGACCTTTATATGTGACATTTTGACATTTTTGCCATAAACCCCATTTCATATTTTTAGAGATTGCTCAATGTGCTTGTTCAAAACATTGTTTAAAATCAGTACCACTGGATGCGCATCAAAATGTACTCCAAAATAGTATAAGGGAGTATAGGATGATCATTACATTTTATATAGTCGGATCTTGCAAAATATACAAATCAAGTCGAAAAAGATCAAAATCTGTCCAATCTAGAGAGAAGCATTATCTGAGATTTACTTAATTTTGGCCTGCTGGCAGATATGGCTTATCAAGATAACTGAAGCTCGTAAGAACGGGATTGCGAATTGACAGATATCATAGCTTAAACTCACTACGGCTTACTACTAAGGTTATGCGTTTTTATATCTGATTGATGCTATCGTTGGAAATTACGAATACTGCAGTGAATCTTAATGCGAATTGCAAGGTTGTCATTTAATTAACAATGTCAGATAACACTTCGAATGTAAATCAAGGCCATGCTCATCGATAGCCCTTCAATCACTATCCAGCTCATTGACCTTCATCTTACTTCATGCTCTATTCATTGGGCTGCAATCACCAAGTATGTTGATTGCGATTTACGGGGATGTGCGGAAATATTCACTTTTGATTAGAATCATGCATTTGTCTACTTGAGAGATACCGTACTTGAGTTAGAAAAGATCAATAAACTTGGTTGAAATAGTTTGTTATTTCTAATACTTTATACTGAATCGATACGAATACATGTTGGAGACTAGCATATCAAATGTATCTCGATGTTTTTGAGATACTGTGGTGACTCTCAAGGTGTCCTCACAATGATACCTTCTAAAGATGCAATTCTAGAGCAGTTGGTTCTGCGGCGAAGAATTCTACTGACTTGTTGTAGTCATATCGACAAAAATGATTTGGTTTAGACAACATCAGATGATGACAATGATTTCAGATCGCATCAAGCTCAGGCAGGCAGGCTAAAAAGCTGCATTAATGCTTTTACAAAAATTAATTCATCTATATAAATCATTGTATAAATACACTAATAGACCTTTAAGACCCTCCCCCAATAAAGGACATCATTAAATATGAACATTTGAGGCCATTTACATCTATTATAATTTGCTTCTTATATAAAACTGATCAGCGGAGATGTATCCCTGTATTGTTGGTAGATAGATTTCAAAAGATGACTCGTATAATGCCTTTGATCTACAGTTTGTCCCATCCATCTTCTGTGGTTTCAAGCCATGCTTTCAAGTGCTCAATTCATGAATGTGCCTTTCCATTGAAAACCCGGGAGCTTGCAGGCAAAACTATTGTGATTGCATATGAAATTTCAGCACCGAAATGTGTCATACGCCATTTGTTACACTGAATTTGGGGTAACCTCAAACTAGCAAGTTGCACAGACATTTACAAATCTCGAAATAACATTGAGCCTTGAGCTCATAGCAAATAAGCGAGAGGCATAACATGTATTTAACTTGCACGGGAATTAGATGTATGTAATATGCATTGATTTCAAATTCCTTTTTCATTTCCAACATTGCAATACTTTGATCCATCTCATTGTCAAATGTAGCAGATATTACTCATCTCCAGATTGCATGTGCGCTCCTATTATTGGCCATTTCGTGGGAAGATTGAAACATAAAATGTGGATTTAATAGACTTTTCTCTATTTTCAAGCAAAAAAGAAACAGAACACAGTTCTTTTTTAAGGAAATAGGTTTCTTCTAAAGGGCAAAGGTATATTTTTCTGCATTTTAAATAGGTGGTATAACCAGACATTGATTGGAGGTTTATGGTTTGTGACTCCTCGAGTGAAATAGATTAAATACCCCACCTTATAAAACACAATTCAAGATAATTCTTCATCAATTCGTCCCTTTTCTTCCCTACTCTTACGAACAAATTACAACAAAGATGACAAACGCACCTGCTTTCACCAGAATTACTCAAGAAGAGTTCCAAAAATCAAAATTGTCCAAGTCTATCGGTAAAATGGTCTCGAGCAACATGTTGAATGAGCATCAAATGTTCTAATCTACCAGTTTCTATAGATTTGGCTAGTGCTGCTCTCGGAAGTGCTGTTATCAAGGTCACTGATGAATTCTTTGCTCCTGCTTCCATGATGCTTAACCCTGAGCCTGCTCTCTCTTGTCCTGACAAGTTTGTTGGTTCGTATAGCTTTACATTCATTGATTTGGCATGAGGCATCTAAATCATGCTTTAATTTCAATTTTAGAAACCGGTTCCTGGATGGACGGATGGGAATCAAAGCGCCATAACGATACCTACGATTGGTGTATCATCAAGCTTGGATTCGCTGGTGCCATCAGTGGTTTCGACATTGACACTAGCTACTTTACTGGTAACCAAGCACCCGCTGCCTCTGTTGAGGGTGCTTACTGCCCCGAAGGTACCGGTTTGGAAGCGGATCTTGTTTGGACCGAAATCCTTCCCAAGGTTGAGCTTCCTCCCAGTTGCCACAACTTTTTCCAATTGGAACAACAATCTGCTGTCTACACCCATCTTCGCTTGAACAACTATCCTGATGGCGGTATTGCTCGTTTCCGTGTTTACGGTGATATTCAACCTACTTTGCCCAAGGACAAGGAGTAAGTTAATTGAGGGATATGACCATAAAACAAATGTGCTGATTGTATGCTGCTATCTTAGCACTGTCATTGATTTGGTTTATGTTGGACATGGCGGTAGATCTGTTCAAGTCAGTGATGAACATTATGGTCCTGGCGACTTTTTAGTCTTGCCTGGTCGTGGTAGACATCAAGGTGATGGATGGCAAACAGCTCGCTCTCGTGTTGAGGGTTACTCTGATTTCGTTGTGCTTCGTTTGGGTGCTGCTGGTCACATCTTGCAAGCCGAAGTTGATACTACTCACTTCAAGGGTAACTTCCCTCGTCAAATCAAGTTAGAAGCTACCAACTCCTCCGAGGTTGTTCCTCCTGCTAATGCTGAATGGTTCACTCTTGTTGAGCCCTCTGCTACTGGCCCCAACAGCGTCTTTTACTTTGATACTGCTCATACCGACAAGGTCTTTACTCATGCCAAAATCTCCATCATCCCTGGTAAGCTTGTGCATCGCTTAAAAAGTGTGCTAATGTATTAATTCCTCATTTTCAACAGATGGTGGTTTCAAGCGTCTTCGCCTCTATGGTGTTGTTGAAGGTGGCAAGATCCCTCAACTGCCTATTGTCTCTCCCACCGCTCTTAAGGGTGGCCTTGTTGCCCAGCCTTTGACCTCTGAAGCCTATGCTCCCTATGGTGATGTTATCCACTCTGATGCCTCCAACGTAGTTACCAGTGCCAACCAAGGTACTGCTGAAAAGTACCACGGTGTTGCTACCGTCAGCAACTTGTTCCCCAGCGGTAACGGCAAGATCAACATGTGTATCTTCCACTGCCGCCCTACCAACGAACTTCCTTTGACTGTCAAGCTGTTGGAAAGACACCCTTACTCCTCTCAAGCTTTCATTCCCTTGACTGATGGTAAGACTCGTGCTTACCTGGTCATTGTTGCTCTTAACGGTAAGGACGACAAGCCCGACATGTCTACCTTGAAGGCCTTCATTGCTACTTCCAAGCAAGGTATCAACTACCGCCAAGGTGTCTGGCATCATCCCATGGTTGTCTTGGAAAACACCACTGATTTCGCTTGTATCGTCCATGAAAGCGGTGTCCCTGATGACGACTGTAATGTAGTCGACGTTGAACATACTCTTGTTCATGTCCCTGGTTTCCAAGAGGAATAAGTATAGAATATTGGTCATGTAATATTTCTTTTTCTGGATAACAAGAAGTATTTCCTTGAAATGTATACCTAAAAAGAAGCACAATTGTAAATTTACAAATACTAACTACAAAATCGCATATTATTCTCATAAAAAATATTTGTAAAATAAAATATAAACTATATTATCATTCCTTGAAACAACTCTTTCTTTATAATGTACGAGTCTATCTACGCTACGAATAGCTCTCTACCTTCCGTTCGCTTCGGTGGTGAGGACCAACCTGCGCAGCGGCAGCTCGCACTACTTTCTTTTTAATCCTCGACTTACACATGAGAGCCCTTCGTATTGTCTGTGAATCTGACGCTTATGCGATGCTCCATATCCGTATACACGTAGGTAATTCACATACGGACAAGCAGTATAATGGCATTATCCCCTATTAGTCAAGGGTGTGCCTAATACAGCAAAATTTGGGTCCATTTGAGCTATGTTTTCTCGCGTTAGAAGTCGTTTTAGGCTACCAGAATAGCACCCAGCAATTGCTCTCATCCAGCACTAACTTCCTGACATGTTTGCTCAACTTTTTTAAGATCACCAAAAATCGACTCAAAAGCATGAGGGATACCTCGTGGTTTTCATCAAAAATTGAACGATTGCATTTTTGACCTCCCAAATGAAGACTTTTAATATGGTATATATTAAATCAAAATGCTTCTCTAAATCTAAAGCAACCGCTGAAATCACTTTTGTGGGGCCTTCAGATGTAAAATCTCGACATTTCGACCGAAAACCTCATTTCATTTTTTAAGGAATTGCTCAATAGGTTCATTCAAAACATCTATTACAATTAGCACCATTGGAAGCACCTTGAAAAGTACTCCAAGAATGTATTAGAAAGTAGGGGCTGATCACCACACTTTATATAGTCAAACCTCGCGAAATAAATCAACCAAGTCGAAAAAAGACAAAATCTGTCCAATCTAGAGCAGACAGAATATTCTGAGTTTGAATCAATTTTGGCTGGTGTAGCAGACGGACAAACTCAATGCCTTTCTAATCATGAAGACATTCATAGATTTTTTTGAAGCTAATAGAAAGTAGGTAACAAATTACATATTACTGTTGTTATTTATGCTACTTTCCTTTAAAGCCATATCATAACATAATAAATGTTCAGTCCCTAGACACTTTTAACGCCTCAAAAAGGAAAAAAGTTGATTTGACAAGTATTTTGGTAGACTGGCGTTGTTAAATGTAGAATACAAAAAGAATAGCATGGCTAACGATAATGCTCTATGATTTGCCACCTATTTTCTATACACTTCAGAAGCATCTATACTGCATTGCCTTCATAATTATTAGAAGGGCATTGAGTTTGCCAGCCTACCCCATAAGCCAAAATTAATTCAAGCCCAGAATCATTGTCTGTTCCAGATTGGACAAATTTTGATGATCCTGGACTCGATCAAGCTATTTTTGCAGATTCGACTAAGTGAAGTATGATAATCACCCCATGCTTCCTTAAACTTTCCTGGAGTACTTTTCAAGGCGCATCCAATGGTACTAAATAAAATAGATGATTTGAATAAACTTATCAAATGATTTATGAAAATATGAAAAGAGGTTTCTGGCCAAAATGTCGAAATTTTACATATCAAAGTCCCACAAAGATGATTTCAGAGGTTGCTTTGGATCGATAGAAACATTTTGATTCAAGATATACCATAGTAAAAGTCTCCATTTTCAAGGTAAAAAACGCGATCGTTTGATTTTCGATGAAAACCATGAGGGATACCTCATGCTTTTTGGTCGATTTTTGTCCATATTTTTTTGATCCCCAAAAAGCTGAGCAAAGGTGTCAGAAAGTAACTGCCAAATGAGAGCAAGTGTTTGGTCCTATTATGACCATCTAAAACGGCCTTGGACGCGAGAAAACGCAGCTCAAATGCACTCAAATTTTGCTGTATCAGGAACACTAAGGAATAAAAAAGGAAATACCAGTATGATACTTGCCCGTATATAAAATAGCTATGTGTCTATGGATGTAGAGCATCGCATAAAAATCATATCCACAGATAATATAAAGGGCTATTATGTGTAAGTGGAGGGTCAAAATGAAAGTAGCAGTATTTTGATAAGATACGCAAGAGCAATCAGTAGCACGAGCTGCCGCTGCGCAGATTGGTTCTCTACCTTCGCTTCGCTTCGGTGAGAGCCATCCGAAGCATAAACACTCATATGATTAGTGATTTTACATCAAGTAACAATCAGGATTCTTCTAACATTTTAGCTATATTAATTTTGCGATATTAGCCAAAGGCCTACGGTTGCGCCAGTCGTTTGAACGTATGGTGGTTTCCTGACCTACGCTTCGCTTCGGTGGAAACCACCCAAAGTGTCGGAAGGCTTGTATTTAATAATGCCAGCCTGCCGAAACACTTGCAAGATCAACTTGTTTCCTTTTTGAGGTTTGAAAGTGTCTAGGGACCATAAATTTATTTGTGATTTTACATGTTATAGGATGCGAATAAGAATTATTTTGACAGTGTCTAATTAAATTAGGTTTCTATCTGTTTATCAAGTACTACATAAATTATACTATCAACATCGTAACTCCAATCTAAGTCTTGCGACTTGTAGTCGTAGTGTCCATGAATGAGAACATCGGATGTCCAATTGTGAGATTCTCAACAAAGCTTTAGTTGTCCAGATAGGAATTACTTTCACATTTTTATTCTAGTAATTACCAAATCATGTCAATAGCAGCGTCAACATCCACATCATTTGAGGATAACAACGATGACTTGTTGAGGCTTCTCACTGGTTCCTGGGACACGCCACTCAAAGACACCATAGAAACAAGCAAATGGACACGCGACTATCTCACCAAGCTTACATCATTACCACTGGACAGTCTTTTGCACGAACCAACTGAACTTCGAGAGGAACAGGCAAAGGCAAAACGAGATGCACAGCAGCTTGCGTTTCGAGATTACCCATGCTTTCTGCATGCCCAGACGTGCCGACATCAAGTAGAGGAGACCCTGGACGGCCTCGACGTTCATCTTGGCGAGTTCTTGTCTTCAGTGCCTGAGCTACAAGAAGCTTGCGAAATATTCAGCCAACAAGCAAAAGAGATCAAAGAGGAAAGAGGAAAAATAACCCGTGTTTTGGAGCACCAAAACGTCCTGACAGACTTATTAGAGATACCTCAGTTGATGGAAACGTGTGTTTGGAATGGATACTACTCGGAAGCAATGGATTTAGCCTCCCACGTTCGACTGCTGCAAGTGAGATATCCTCTACCCACAGTAAAAAGCATTCATCAGCAAGTACAGTCTTCTTCTGATCTCATGTTGGTTCAACTCATCTCACATTTGCGAAAACCAATTCGTCTGGCAGCAGCAATGAACGTAGTGGGGTTCTTGCGTCGTATGGATGTGTTTGATTCTGAAACAGAGCTACGGATGGTATTCTTGAGATGCAGACATGATTTCTTGCAGCAGCGATTGGCAAGAATCAAGAGAGACGTGTCTGAGGAATCAAGGCAGCGAAGTTCAGATGCATTTGAATATCTGAAAAAGTTCATTGATGTTATGCGTGAACAGATGTTCGAAATTGGAACACAGTATATCTCTATCTTTTCAAATGAGCAAGGCACACTACTATCTGACTATATGGTGCATGTGATAGGGCTCATCAAGGCGGCGCTGGATACATATCTACCGATGATTGAGGACACATCTGCACTGACGTCCTTGTTGACACAACTCCAGTACTGTGGCATGTCACTCGGTCGTATTGGTTTAGATTTCAGACACATATTTGTACACTCGTTTGAGGAGGCAGTTCAGCCAATGATTTTACGATGGATTGACAGTGCAACAGAAGACCTCGTTCAGAAAATCACAAAGGCATCACACGAAAGCACAGCCCCAAGCGCATGGATGTCTTCCAAAGCCACTTCACAAAGCAGCAGCAGTAACGAAAACAGAGACGAAGCAAAGCGCCACGCATTTCAGCCTCCCATGCTGTTGGTCAGCTATCCATCACTTGCTATATTCACCAACGGCGTTTTATCCGCTTTTAATGCACTTCGTCTTTTGCCAGCTATCAGTCTGTATATACCAGTACAAAATCATTTGGAGGCATGCTTTTTGGAGATTGGTACCTCGCTAAGACAGTATTGCGATCAAGCTGCATCTTACACACCTGATGAAGTCACCTACCTGCAATCGTATGCGGCCGCGTATGTGCGCTGTTGCTTGCCGTATCTTAAATCATGTTTAGTGGATGGAATTTATGGAAATCTTCTAATGCCTAGCGCAGCTGACGAAGATATGGAAACTCTGCTGGTTACTTATTTACCTGTCATGAAGAAGAAGGAGAATGAGGAGGAGGAGCAGGAAATCGTGAATGATACTGCTGCCGAAAAAAGCGTCGAAGGATCAACAGAGGTAGAAGGCGACAGTGTTGAAAATAATGTTGACACAACCGAGGAACCAAGGAACGAGACAAATTTGACTATACCAGCAGCAGAGACTGTCGATGCGGAAGATATTGATGTGAGCAACAATGAATCTAGCAATACAAGCAATCAAATAGAGCAACCTTCAGCTGCAAATGACCGGGAGTCACCAGTAGTAAACGACAAATTTAAAACTGAAGATATCTCGATTGAAAAGGCCCAAATTTCACCAGAAAATAGCAATAAGATTGAATCGTTGAAACAGAAAACTGACAACCCGGACGGTGGAGCCGCCATTAGCCATGGGCCTGAAGCTGATGTGGATAACGAATCCACTGCAATCAAACACAGCGTTACTATTGACAACAATAATGATCCGTCACATGACACACCAGACGAGAAAGAGGATTCATTGATAGAAACCAAAGATACACCAGTGGAAACAGACTCCAATGCTGCAGAAACAAAAATTATGCCTGAGGATGACAAGGCCACCACTCAAAAGAACGACGAAGCACAGGAAGAGCAACCAATTTTGACTCAGAAGGAAGAAAAGACCGAGGAAATTGCAACAAACAACGACGCTGTAACTCACGAGAATGGCCAGATCGGGGCCGAAGCATTACCCAAGGATGATAAAGCAATTATTGAAACTTCAAAAGAAGAGGACGAGCCACCAAAAGAAGAAGCATCCAACACAAGCGAGAAAAATAAAAAGCCCAATACCCAAAAAGCCAAACATAACAATAACAACTCTAAAAAGAAGAAGAAATCAAGGAGATAGACAAGCGTCAATCAATAAATGTGCAAACGAGTACGATTGCTCTTTTTCAATACGGGGTTTTCTTTCCAACTTGATATTTGTTCAAGTAGAGCAATCGAGACCATTGCAAATGTCATCAATACATAATACTGCTGTTGCAAGTCAAGCTGTTTACTCTAGCCTTTATAAATTCCCCGTATGTTTCAGCATTCATGTAGAACTTGTTTTTTTTTTTTTTACAAAGCCTATTTGAATATACCGTCGCAATTAACCCGCTAGCTTACTAACGCTTTTTCAAGTGAAACAGCCTAATTGGAAAAAAAGTGAATCAGAAAAAGTTTTGAAATTCTAAAGTCCAGGGCAAAAAGAAAGCGGATTGCAGTCTTTTGTAATGATTATGATGAAGCTTTTATTGAAACACTGGTATATAGTTGGAATAAATGATAGAATGCTTATGTATGTGAGTCAAAATACGGGACGTGTAGGCAGTAGAGATGTGTGTTTGTCTTCATAGTATACAAGAAGTCTTCCTTCATTGATAATGTCGTTCATTTCGTTTGAATGATGCTGTAATTCTTCATCTCGAAAACTACAGCGCGAGCATTCGTATCGCACTCGCATGATGCTAGAGATAAGTTTGTTGAATACAGTCCATTTCTTTTCTGAACGTATCAGCTGGACTGAGGCATAGTGTTTGCATTTTGGGCATGGATGGCACATTCGTTCCAGGGGTATTTTCCTTTTATCTGTGCGTTGGTATGAATTAGCATCCCTATATCTAATGCAGCATTCTGTCCAGCATACCAAATGTAAATGATCCAGGCATTTTGCGTGATATAAGCTTTAGTAAGGTGGTTAGAGAAAGTGGAGAAATAGGATTGATAACATATATATACTTGACATTTATATAGGTATTTTACTGTTGTTTTGTTGAGATCGGATAATGTGTTTATTGGTTTTCACATGTATCATGTATATTTACCTACAACGAGCTCCGTTTAATTTGTTTCAGAGCAATGGAAAGGGTTTACCGCGCTCTCATTGTGTCAAACATATTAAGCTTCTTTTAGATCAAAGTACGCATCCACGTGGAGAAGCTTGCTTCTCACTAACCATAGCTAAAAATACCATGTCCTAGAAAAAAAGATGAATGCGTGGGGGAGGGCTCGTTCATATTGTTTTGAACTACACAATCGTTTATACGGCAATTTGCTTGATATGTCCTGCAAAAATCATCAAGGTTGAGCCACATTTGGCGTGGTCCACAATGTAAGCTTGCAACTATATATCTCGGCATTGAAGCAAGCTATAAAAAGAAAACTAACAACATTTGAATCTGCTCGAAAGTAATCAACTAAATAATGATTACTTGAATACTTTTTGAGATGTCGCTTTTAAGAGAGCTTTTAAGTGTTTCTGTCGAGTAAACTATTTGTGGAGTGTAACTCTTTCGCACCATTGCACAATCACAACCAATTCCACACAAGGGTGTCTACAGGAGAAACCCTCATGTTCATTTAAGGCAACCATCATAAAGGGCAAAAAGTTCATTAAACACATATTCTCCCCTTTTTCTTTCTCTTTTTCTTGATAAAACAAACACTAAATCATGGAATCTTTAACATGGCTACTTTTACTAAGTATAGCAATGCTAGCGGGTAGCTATGTTGCTGGCTCTTTACCGCTTACTACCAAGCTATCTGATAGAAAAATCCGTATATTGAATGCGCTTGGTGCTGGTTTACTCATTGGTACAAGTTTGATGGTGGTGATTCCAGAGGGTGTCGAAACCATCTACTCTAGTAGAGCCACCAGCAGTTTGATCGTTGGTAATTCGCTACCAAAATCTCACTATGCAAAAATACCGAATTTATCGACATTGGATACCACAAACAAAAACTGGGCCGCTGCTCATGGTCAAGAAGAAGCAGAAGAGGATGACACGATGTACAAGGTTGTGACGAAGCGTGCTCCTACAGCAGAAGAAGGAAAAGAGGAAAAGGAGGAAGGAAGAGAACATGTCGCAGTGGGGTTATCTTTGATCATTGGATTTGCACTCATGTTCATTATTGACCAAGTCAGTTCATTACACATGACAGCACCCAACAACAATGGCATAGAGTACTCAGAGCTGGGTGCAGTAGGTGGAGGGAGCCTCGAGCATGCAGAGGAAGCAGCCACCAATCGCTCTACAGCAAATGACGAATCCATTTATCCAGACACACATACAACGCCTGTGAACCAGCCATCCATGACGCCCACCGTTGGACTCGTTGTGCACGCAGCAGCGGATGGTATTGCTTTGGGAGCCAGTGCATCTCATCCTCAACTGTCGATGGTTGTGTTTATTGCTATTATGCTTCACAAGGCACCTGCATCGTTTGCGCTTACATCCTTACTTTTGGCAGGTGGATTATCACACGCGACTATCCGTAAACACTTGCTTTTCTTTGCATTAGCAGCACCTTTAGGGGCTTTATTTACTTATTTTGCACTCTATTTCTTTTCTTCATCATCGGCATCAGCATCTAATTTGGAGTACTGGACAGGCGTGTTGCTAGTTTTCTCTGGCGGCACCTTTTTATACGTGGCTATGCACGCATTGCAAGAAGCATCAGAATCCAAGCATCACCATGGTAGTGGCCAACAACAACAAAAGGCAGATCAGAGCCAATTGCTTATTATTCTTGCTGGCATGGTGATCCCAATCTTTCTTAGTATGACCCATTCTCATTAAATTATCTACTTTATGTATATATCATCATCATTTTATACTCATAGAAACCTCTTTTTAATTATAAACGCTGATAGACCATATCTTGAATCTTTTGTACTTGTTGTTCAATTGTTAAATGACTAGTGTCCAATACAATGGCATCTTTTGCTTTTGAAAGAGGCGCAATCTTGCGAGTGCGATCTGCCAAATCTCTTGCTTCTAAATCCTTTTCAACATCTTGCAATGTATCATCGCCCAAACTGCCCTTGTCCTTCAATTCATCAAATCTTCGTTTAGCTCGGATCTTGACATCGGCCTCGATAAACACCTTAAGCTCTGCATCAGGCAGGATAACTGTGCCAATATCACGCCCGTCCATGACGACACCCTTGATAAGCTTGCCATTGTGCTCAAATCCAGTGGATTTGGCGCCAGGTATATCTCCTCTGGCCATTGCTCGTTGCTGGTTTGCCAATATTTCACGCACACTTGTGTTAGAAGCGATATGGCTGATGTTTCGAGTAATATTGGAGTTGCGAATCAAGTTGCTGACATCTTTTCCATCCAATTCAACCTGACTCAGAGAAGGAAAGCTTATTTTTGCAGCCTGTGCCGCTTGCTTTACTTTCTCCTGATCCTGGAGATCTAGGTTTTGTTGTTGGCATTTGAGCGTAATCTAGTTTTGGCTATCTGTCAGCATATTCTTGTTTGGCTGTAAATGGAGTGCATATTTACTGCTCGAAACATAGCACCAGAGTCAATGTAGCCAAAGCCTAGCTTCGTTGCCACTAATTTAGCAGTTGTGCCTATGATCAAAGTCGTATTAGATGCACAAAACACATTTTCTGTTTATATGCGGCATACTCTTTCCAGAAGCACCAGGACCATCGATAGCGATTCTGAATAGTTTTGACATTTTAACGCAAAACAAAGCAAAGCAAGGCAGGCTTTCCTCAAGTTCAAGAAACAAGCATTTCTCTCCAGCTAATTAGACGTCCGCTAATGAACATCATGATGGCATAGCAAGGGTTTTAATCTTTCGAAATCTGATATTTCTCAATGATACATCAAGAATGGGGTGTGATTGATGTCGCAATATATCATATAGTATATGAACGAACCTTGGTACCCTCAACCACGCCTTAATGCAATGAATGCAATTGATGTGGTACCTGCATGATTGACCATCATCATTTTGATTAGCAAGAGATCAGCCGACTGCAAGCATACCCTGCAAAAGCAAACTTCATTACCTAACGCAGTGCCAGTGCAGAGATTAGAGCGATGCTTGTGATCCAGGATTTGCAATGACTTTAGGATTGATAAACACTGTACGACAAGATCCGTATCAAATGTAAAATCGGTGTGAAAACAGTACCTTTGACTTTAAGATTCAAGACAGGAGTGCACACCAGAGCATCAGACATCATTTGCCCCTCTTGGATCCTACAATGTCCTTTTCGTAGTGGATCATTTGATTTTGCATTGACATGAACTAATCAAACAGAATAAACCTCAATGGACCTCATTGGCTATCGCTTATGAAAAATGACTGGACCTTCGCCCAACAACCTTGTGATTGGAAAGGCACTTTTTCTTTTCTTTCCCTTTACTCTTCCTTTTCTTCTTCATACACTTGCAACAAATGGTCGTGAACGAGTTTGAGCCAGACGATATCTTTGGCGAACTCAATCAAAAGTTTGCCAATGTATCACTTGAGCAAGGCAATGCGACAGAAGACATCTACAAGGAAATCATGTTTGATGATGTAAGGTTTTGTCATGATGGGCGATTCTTGTCACTCATCCAATGATAGCTGTATGAATATAGAGACACTTTGGAATACTCATCAAACTATGCCAGCTGCCATTCCGCCATGAAAAACATTAGACGCTACCTAACTCAAAACATTTCATTGGACCGTATTCAGAATGTCGTTGATCTTGGTATTCATGATAGAATGAAGAAGATTTTGGAGACACCTGGCTACGACGAATTAAAGGTACAACCTGACATGGGCTGTATGATATGCTCTGGTACTCACTGTATGCTTGTTTTCAGTATGAAACAGCGTGGACAATCACCAATCTGGCTGTAGGTAGAATTTTTTTTTTTTTTTTTTTTTTTTTTTTTTTTTTTTTTTTTTTTTTTTTTTTTTTTTTACTGCATCAGTGACCAGCTTATTGATGACATGCAATTGCAATAGTATGGCACAAAGGAACAGACCTCCAATTTGATCCATTCAGGCGTCATTGATTCTTTGATCCACTGCTTTCGAACAACAAGCAATTACAGAGTCAAATCACAGGTACTGCATTCTTCTGTTTGCATAATGAGTTGTGTGTATTTATATCTCTCCATTCTTAGTCCGCTTGGGCCTTGGCGAACGTATCAATAGAATCGCCCAGATACAGAGAATCAATGGCTCAGGAAAACCTAATTGGAGGTGTTGCAGACGCTTTGGCTGAGAAATGCGAGATTGTATATAATAAATTAAATTCAGCAATCAATCAGGAACACATTACAAAGGACAATCAAGGACAAATCGTGTGCAATAGTAAATCAGACTCGGACGATGTCAAGGATTTGACCTGGTCGTTAGCCAACATTTGCAGAGGTGGATTCAAAACAGCTGAACACTGGGAACAGTACTTGAAGGCATTCAACGCATTCTCACAGTGCATCCACTTTGATAATCACGAAATATGGTCTGAGGCATGGTAGGTTTTTGGTGAGGGACGATCTTGGAGGACGTGCGTATATTGATCTTGCTTGCGTAGCTGGGGCTTGTCTAGAATTCTGAGCAACATGTACAACTATGATCAATTTTTTGAAGCCCTGGATTTGAACCCTCGATTATGTCCAAGACTGATCTATCTATTAAGGTACGTCTACATGTCATAGTGTCAGTGCCATGAGAGACTCATCATCTAATAGACATGAATCAGCGACACGAGTTTTACCAGTATTACAAACAATCAGCAACTTTTCCTCAGGCCCTAACGAGTATATCGAAATCCTGCTCAACGCAGATCTGTTGAACACAATCTGGTGGTACATGTCTGCTGAGATTCCGTCTCCATTGCGCCGAAATGCGATTTTGACAATTTCAAATCTAGCAGCAGGAAACGAAGGCATCGTCCGAAAAGTGGTTTACAATGAGAATATCATGCAAAGCGTCATTTCACATGTTGTTATACCAGGCCATATATACCAAGAGGAAGACTGCACTTGGATCAGCTCACAAGAGGCGCCGAACGAAGAAAGCAGAGAGGAATGGAGAATTGTCAAGGAAGCGTTATGGGTGTTATCCAACATTACAACATTGGCAAACGATGATTGTATCTGGTAAGGGTTTTCTGCATCGAATAGCGATTATATATCACTCACTTATACTGTATGTACAGCGCTCTTTTACGAAGTTATTCCAAGCTGATTAGACTTTTATCCGCATTATTGTATTACCCTGTATTACCACTCCCCATCTGTTTGAAAGTAGTGGATGTTTTGATTCGCATTGTCAATCGCACCAGCAAGATTGCCGAATTGACGCCACCTGTGCAGCCTATTCCTCGAAACCCTTACGCAGAAGAAATGATGCGCGAGGGTGTGATTCCTGCTCTGACATTTCTCTGTCGAGATGTTCAATCTGCTGAACTCAATGAACAAGTTGAAATCCTTCATACCTCCATCATGGAAAGCTCGCCTCAGCCACAACAAAGAAACAATGCCGGCTTGGCCAGTGCCTTTGGCTTGACAAGACATGAAATTCATTTACCAGGGCCTAATGTCAGACGCATTGTACATGGTTATGAAGATGGTGATGTTCGATTGATTGAAGATGCCATCAATAGTATCACACTTTAAACTGCTTAAATAATACAAACGCTTTTTATTTTACTATATATATATATATATATATTGCCATCTACTCTTTACATTGTTTGCTCCTTTTTTCTCATAGTACACACACACACACACATACACACACACACACACGGAGGAATAAAATTGAATTCGTACTAAGCAAATAAATTTATGCTGCTGCAAAAGATCGACGGTTTGTATTTGCCTTTTTATTGGCTAATGGCGTTATTCGTTTCATGCTGATCAAGATGCTACTGGTATTTTCGAGTTTGAGGGATGTGGATAAACGCTTCTTGGCGACATGGATATCACAGAGAGATGCATCAAGCCATAGCAAGCTGTCTAAAGACAGTCCACCATAAGGCTGTGCTTCTGCCAAGACATCCACCGGGTTCGATTTGGTGGTGTAATTGTACAATATTTGATTGTTGTAGGACGGAGGCACTACGTTTGAATTGCGCAAGATGGATTTGTACTTTTTAGTTCTTCGTTCTACTTCTTGGGGCAACAGGGTGTAATTGCCATTACTGCTGGTTGTATTGATCATCATGCTATAGCGTATATTAGTGTGTTTAGCGAGATATATTTGCGCAAGAGTATCCTTACTTGGAGGCATTCTCAATGATGGATTTCCATGTCTGCTCTTCTTGCCTTTTCAACTCGTCTGCTTCTAGTAATGGTGTTGTGGCACGACTAGGTTGCTGTAATAGAAAGAGAGCTTGTCAGTCTACATACATTTGATATTGTGTCGGCATACGTTATAATCTGAATGTGTATCTCTGCTAAGACAACAACCCATAAGTATGTAACTATGAATAAACAAAGAAAAAGGGCAAAAAGACTAGCGATGCTTGTTACAGAGGTTTTATTTACATTCAAGCATTACAGTACACATTTCATCGATACGTCACGATCTCCTGATATGCTTCTTTTTAGTTGACAATAATGTGGTTTCTATAACTTGGCTACTTGGTATGTCATCTAATAGTTTCGTTACGCCTTGTGGAGTCCAATGTGATTTTGTAATAATGTAGTTTCGTTGCTCCCATAGCTGATCTGAGTGAATGACACTGATCAGTGGTACTTGTTGTAGTAATTTCTTATACAGCCGGCGTATCTGTCGGTTTGTGTACCTGAATACGTTTGTGTTATCTTGCTCTGAAACACCAACAGGCTCCAGATACTCCAACAGACTGCCAGGGCGCTGGCTTTCGTAAGGTGATTTAGGCAGCAACTGCTTGCGTACAAATGGACTCGACGGCTTCATTTTGCTCGTTATTGTAGGTTGCAAATGGTGTATCATGTTCACTACATTTGTTAACCCAGAGTAGAAATCATCCCATCTTGGGCCACCTGTCACAAGCGTAGAGCAAGTGAGTGGATGGATCATGGGTGCACCTGCTTTGTACTCGAGTTCACAGATAATCTCAAAAGGTAAAGGCACAGATACTCTCTCTAGAAGCATGGATCGATGTCTCCACAGTAAGTTGGCCTTTCTGCCAGGATGCAATGGCTTGTAGGGTGGTATAGGCAACTCGGGATCCAGTTTTTTGCCGAGATGTTGAGTAATTAAGCTGCATAACGGTGGACATAGGGCTGGCGGTGGTGCTGTACGGGGCACATGTGCCACAAATGGCTCAGGGTCAAGAATTACTTTGTTTGCTGGTTGGTGAGCATGCAGATAAGGCTATCCAAGATATCAGTATCCATTGCACTCAAACCCATCCTAAGGCAACATACATATAATAAGCCATGACGAGTCTTTCCCTTTCTACCATACACCTCTTCCAACACTTTCAAGGCACTCTTTTGATTTCCTCTGTTTGCCTTTTCCAACCGATGAAGATACTGCGTTCATCAGGTTTAGGCATGGCGGGAATCTATTCGTCGTACTAGGTCAAACATACCTTTCTCGTCTCTTTGATCTTTGATTTCACTCGCTCAACATCTTGGCAGCTTCTGTAATCTTTGAAGGCTCGTCTTGCTGTGTTTCTTATATAGATTCTTTTTGGATTATATAATGAATAAACTTTCAAATCCATCATTTCAATGTGATTGCTCTTACCTTGCTCTATCATCGAAAAACAATGCACCTTCCGCGAGTACCTGCTTATACAATGCCTTGATGTACACTGCGTGATTCGGTTGAAACATAAGCCACTGTCAGTAGGAGAGAGAAAAAAAGAATTGCCATCATCAGAACTGACCGACGCCCTAAATAAGGGAAGATGACTGAGAGATGAGCGCATTGTTCTGGCACCGCATAAATTCACTGCAACTCACAGGTAAACGAGACTTGTCACGTGTAAGCCCACAAATGTTGGTATTCTAGCAAGAACTTGGCTGTTACATATGTGTGTGATCATTCTTTTTCTTTTCTTCTTTGTTTTACTTTCTAGAGAAAAATATACACATGTCTCAACAAATACCTACCCTCAAGCTATTACTCATTGGTAACTCCAATGTCGGTAAAAGTTCTTTGCTTTTGCGTTTTACAGACGATACTTTCTTGCCTCAAGAAGAGGTATCAGCGACTATTGGTATGTTTGTGTCTGTAGTTTTCGCAGCTTGCCAAATTTAGCCTCACATCTCTATCTTATTGTTCTCAAACAGGCGTCGATTTCAAAGTGAACATGATGGAAGTGAATGGAAAGATGTACAAGTTGACCATTTGGGTAAAATATTGGTGTTAGACAATGGTAGATATCACAGGGATTCTGACCCATTTGTTTGGAATGAAAAGGATACTGCGGGCCAAGAGAGATTCAGAACATTGACTTCATCTTACTATCGAGGAGCGCAAGGTGTCATTTTGGGTAAGCTGATCCAGGGATGCTAGGTTTGCACGTGGACTAAACATGTTGCATCTGCTATAGTATATGATGTTAGTAATAGAGATACGTTTGACGCTCTGAATACTTGGTGGAACGAGGTCAATACGTACTGCTCAAGCCCTGATGTTGTAAAGATGATTGTGGGTAACAAAGTCGACAAGGTAAGGTGGATAGGGATGTGGATCAAGACAGCGCCTCTGCTTGATCGTACATTGCATGAATTTTAATGCTTGGTACACTAGGAATCATCTCGAGTTGTTACTTATGAAGAAGGCGCCAATTTTGCAAGAAAGTTATCTACTCTGTTTGTAGAATGTAGTGCTAAGACAAAAGTTGGTGTCAAGCAAGCTTTTGAAGAATTGGTTGAAAAGGTTTGTCTCGTTTTTTTGTTTGCTGATGTGATGGATGGCTGGGCTAATAATTCGGCTGTAGATCATTGAGACACCTAGTTTATGGCAGAAAGATGCTGCACCAAATTCCACTGTTAGAATGTCTGCAGAGGATAGTAAGGATCAATCTGGTGGGGACTCTTGTGCTTGCTAATTGTACTATAACCTTGTTCTATCTACTTTTAATATCGTAATAAAGATTCACCTCTACTGTTAGATTCTGGCCTGGAGATACTTCTTTTTTATTAAATTACGATCAACAAAGTTTCAATTTATCTATTACTTGATACAAACGATTTTACAGTGGTACTTTTCTTGGTTCTCGAGACAAAGCTTGATTAACGAAATTAGCTACAAGGTGAAAGTACAACTGATTTCAAAAGCACATATCAAGTCCAAGGGCCACCTATCAGATCCGTTATGGTGGAGCGGCAAAACCTACACCGGTGCCACACAATGGATTCTGCATACACGTTGCCAAATCCCAAGAGTACTTGACAAAGCAGCGACTACGATACCCCCAAATCCTAGGCACTCTATTTAGTTTCAAGGTATTTTTTCTTGAGGAACAGGATCAACCACAAGAAGGTAAGAGTACATATGATCCCAAGATTGGCGTAGAAACCAAATGAGTTTAGTTGCTGTCAATGAATAAACAAGGTTCTTCAAACATTTTAGTTATTGCTATTAATTGTGCGATATTAGCCAAATGTCCGCAGCAGCAAGAGCCATCTAAACGTAGGTTGGTTTCCTGATCTACGCTTTGTTTTGGTGGAAACCAACCGAAGAGTCAAAAGGCTCATCATAACAATAAATTGATGGTCCCTAGACACTTTCAAAGCCTAAAAAAGGAAAGAAGTTGATCTAACAACTATTTTAATAGACTGGTGTTATTAAATATAGAATGCAAGGAGAATAGCATGGCTAACGACAGCGCTATGTAGTTTTCTATCTACTTTTCATACGCTTCAAAGGCATCTATTACTGTATTGCCTTCATGGTGGAAAGGGCATTAAGTTTGTCAGTCTGCTATACCAGTCAAAATCAATTCAAGCACCGACTTCTAGTCTGTTCCAGATTGGCCAGATTTTACCTTTCTTCGACTTGATTAATCTATTTTATCAGATTCTACTATGTAAAATCTGTTCTTCATCCAATGCTGCCTTAAGCTGCACGACATTTAAAGGACTTTAAATAAAACCTGGAGCTCGTCTCCCCTACAAAAAAAAAAAAATGCTGCCTTAAGCTGTCTACAAGTACTTTTCAAAGCACATCCAATAGTGTCAAGTAAGATAGATGCTTTGAGTAGACTTACTGAGCAATTTGCCAAAATATGAAATAAGGTTTTTGGAGAAAATGTCAAGATATTGCATATGAAGGTCGTACAAAAGAAGTTCCAGAGGCTGCTCTGAGTCCATAGGAACATTTTGATTCAATAGATGCTATAGTAAAAGTCTTCATTTTGGAGGTCAAAAATGCAATTGTTTGATTTTCGATGAAAACTTTTTTTTTTTTTTTTTTGGATGATATTATTTTATTAGAATAGTAATTAGAAATAAAACAAATGCATCAAAGAGATGGACAAGTGTATGGAGACAAAGTGACTTGCCATATATAAATCTTGAAAAAATAAACTAATGGGAGAGTTGCCTAAGATTTGACAATCTTAACAGTTCTGTGCGGATGTGGCGACAGACTTGGATGGCATTAAAGGGGATGAGGTTGTAAAACTGTTGATAATGGTGTCTCCAGATAGTACGCATAATGGTGGCAAAGAGGTCATATATGGTAATGTGTAAGTCATAATTGTAGATATAATAATGCTTCAGTTTGAAGTGCATAATTGAGTTGTAGATAAGTTGTGGATCGGCGGTTTTGGGATAGCTAAGGAACTCGTTGAAGGAGGAGTCCCAGACATCAAGTTTATGGACGCAACTGATGAGCAGGTGTTGAGCGTCTTCCACTTCATTGCAAAGGGTACAGCGGTCTGATGCGGCATGTTTAAGATTGCGTTGGGCCATTGCCAGTTGATTTGAGCTTTGTTTGTGGATCATTCTGTACCAAAGGTTGCGAGCTGAGTAGTGCATCGTGTTCTTGTAGAATGCCTTCCATTGCTGTTTGCTGAGTTGGTTACTGTAATGTCTACCGACATCGAGGTTAGCCATGTCTAGCATGACGAAACGGAGCTCTCTATTCGGCAGTTTGAAGATTGGGTGTTGTTGGTAGATCATGGATTCAACGAAAGGCAGGAAATCCATCTCGCCGGCATTGTTGTGGTTGACAAAGCGTTGGAAGGAGATCTGATGGTTGGCTAGGGCACGACGAACTTTGTTCAAGGTGGTTGGTGTGGGGCATTCTGACCGAGGTCGAAACTGGAGGCTATGCTGAGCAAGGTCATATACAAAGAAGTCGCGGATACAACTTCTCCTAACCGAATCTTTGGTCATGAATTCCAGGTCTGTTGTAACAGCAAAGGGGTTGAAGGCAGCAAGGAGGGGGAGACTCATGATGGTAGTGATTGTTGGGCGTCTATCCCAGTCTCTGTGAAGGCTGCAGATGTCCATGGCATTGAACATCGATAGGAATGGATGGAGACCATTCAGCGTATTCTTGTAGCGAGCAGATGGAAACAAGAGAGGCAGGGCATGATGAGCGACGTCGTTTGTGAGACGAAGTGCGTGAGTGAGCAGTTGATATGTGAAGCCAGGTAGGCGGCCATGGTTACCGAGTAGTAAGACTCGTAGGTATCGAAACTGTAACGACTTTTGTTGTGCGCCAATGTCGATCAGGCCTAGTCCGCCTTGATCACGAGGTAGAAAGAATGAGTTTGCCTTGAGCGGTGGGAACAAACCGGACATCACAAATTGGTAAATGGTGGACTTGATCTTTTTCAAAACCTCTTGAGGGAGCGACACAACTCGGATAACATGCCACAGCTTGGAGAGGATGAGCGTGTTGGCGATGTTGGCCTTGCCGTAGAGTGAGACCTTTCTAGACCCGTAGATGTCAGTCATGACCCTGATATTGCCCAGTAGCTCTGAGACGAAGACATCGCGTTGGTGATTAGCAAACCAGAGTGGGTATCCAAGATACTTGATATAACCCGTGGAGTGGCTGTCGTACCACTTCATACGCAGTTGAGTAGTGACATAACGTTTGACCTGTTGGCCATCAGTATCTTTCATCTTACCGCCGTGCAGCGGGAAGGCGACGGATTTACTGTAATTGATCTTGGCATTGGAGGCTTGATTGTACACTCTGAGACGATCCTGGAGCTCAACTAATTCATCTTGCGACTTCACAAAGGACAGGACATCATCGGCGTACGCGAGGACCTTGATGGGAGCAGGAGATATCCATGGGTTCTGTATTTGGTGCGGGAGCTTGACGTGTTGCAGGTTGTATCCTGAGAGGTTCACATTGTTGACTATGGAGAGTAGGAACGGCTCAATGGCCAGGTTGAACAAGACTGGCGAGATACTATCACCTTGACGAATCCCTCGTCGCTGAGAGATTGCACCGGTTAAGAAGCCATTCACATTGACATAGATGGAGTTATCGAAGAACAGGTTGGTAATGCATGTGACAAACGCTTCAGGGAAGCCAAACTTTAACAGTACTTGGGAGAGATACTTTGGGTGAACCCGGTCATAGGCCTTGGCATTATCAAGCATGATGCCAGCATAGGCAGTAAAGTTGGAGGGGTTCCGCCAGCTAGCAGACTGTGCATTATCCATAATCACCTGGAGAGACATTCCATGATCCCCAATATAACGGCCGGGCAAGAAACCGCATTGATAAGGGGTGATAATCCTGTTAGCCACTTGGACAACTCTAGAGTTCATGATGCGAGTAAAGACCTTGCAATCCGCTGCAATCAATGTGATGGGACGGTAGTTAGCTAGATCACTCTTGTCACCTTTCTTGTGTAAGATAATGATACATGAGGCCTGCCAAGATTTGGGGAACTTTGCCGAACGAACAGCGTCATTAAATACCTGATGGATAATATCACGACAGCTTGGGTGAGAGACAAGGAGGTAAAGTATCTCATAGCCAATGCCGTCCAGTCCTGGGCTACTCTGTTTGGGGGTTCGACGGGCACCGTCCAAGATGTAATCATAGTCTATTGGCTCCATAATCATTGTAGCATCCTCCGGTGATACCGTACGGTCAATATGACCGAGCATGATATTCAAGCAATCCATGTCAATTGGCTCCTCCGTGTACAGATCCTGGTAGAAGGATTCAGCAGCATTGAGTTTGGTTTCCGTGTCTAGGCAAGCATCTCCAGTGCTAGGATGTTTCAACATTGCAATTGTCCGTTGGTCAACACGCTGGTCAATGGTGTGTTTGATATATCCTGGGGACTTCTCACTCTGCTCCAACCATCGGCGGCCTGCTTTCAACATCTGAATCTCCACAATTTCCTGCTGTAGCTTGGATAGCTCTCCCTCCACATCCGGCAGCAGCAGTTTCAAGCTCTCAATGTCATTCCGGTAGCATCGCAGCAAGTTATTCCTCTCGCTTTGCAGCGCCTTGATTCTGGCCTTTCTCCAAGTATCATGGTGTCTAGCAAAGTTGATAGTAACCTGTTTGGTCTTCCGCTTGATCAAATCCCACTTGTCTTGAGCTGAAAGATTGTAGTCCAATTTGGTCGCCACGAATCTCTCGATTTCATCAGCCAACTTCTGTCTGTACCTAGGATTTTTGGCAAGGTGAGGGTTTGCACGCCAAATGCCTTTACCACAGTTTGTCAATCCGGTTGTGTAAGTTTTGGTCACAAGAGCATGATCAGTCCATTCAGGACGGAGGAACGAGTTGGTGGCATCGCTCATCTTTGAAGCTATATCCTGTCCAGCAAACATGTAATCCAAAGTAGACATGGTTGATCCGCGCTTGAAGGTGTATGCATGAGGTTCATTTCTCGGGTTGAGGCAATCAGAGAAATGGGTGTTCAAGAATTCCATAAACTGTTTCGGTTTACCTGCTCGGTGAGAGTGGTGATAACTGGCATTGTCAAAACAATAGTTCATATCCCCTGCGATCAGTAACGATGGCAGAATGTCAGGCATAGTGTTGAGGTGAGTGATAACTTGACCAAAAAGCTGATTCCTGGCCCTATAGTCATCAGCATGTGCATAAATATTGAGTATATACATAGGTGGCATATTATTGTCGACAAGAGAGAGCTTAGCCAATATAGCTCTTCCATCGTCAAAGGTCTTTAGTTGTTGCAGGTGTAAGGCTTGATTGAAGTTGATAATTCCACAGTGTCCGGTCCAGATGGCTTGGTGGTATTGGAACTGGTATTTGAAGGAAGTTGTAACAGTGTCAAACGAGTGTGATGGAGTATTGGTTTCCTGGCATAGTAATATGTTGCATAGTTCTCCTTTGAGATATCTTATGAATTGTGTTGTTGTGTTTTGATTGTATTGTTTGTTAAGGTTCCTACAGTTGATTGAACCAATCTTAATTTTGATATTCTTAGTTTGGTTTGATTCACTCATTAAGATTATAATGATTTGGTTGTGGTGGAGTTGCCTTGCTCGGCCTCATCCATATGGCTGTCCTCTTGTTGCTTGAAAACCTTTTTGGCAGATCCCTCTTGGTCAGATCCCGGTGGAGAAGAAGCCAGTTCCCTGATAGAACGCTTCTGGATTTTCGATGAAAACCATGAGGGGTGCCTCATGCTTTTTGATCGATTTTGGTCAATGTTTTTTTTTGGTCCCAAAAAAGTTGAGCGATGGTGTTAGAAAGTAAACGCTGGGCGAGAGCAATTATTTGGCGCTATTTTGGCAGTCTAAAATGGCCTCTAGCCCGAGAAAACACAGCACAAATGCACTTAAATTTTGCTGTGTTAGGCACTCTCTTGACTGAAAAGGGACGATATCTGTCTAATACTTGCCCGTATATGAAGTATCTACCAGTACACAAATGTGCACCATCACATAAGAATTAGTTCCACAGATAATATGAAGGGTTTTCATGTGTAAGTAGAGGGTCAAAATGAAAGTAGCAATATTTTGATAAGATACGCAAGGGTAGTCGGTAGCATGATCTGCCGCCGCGCAGGCTGGTTCTCGCCGAAGTGAAGCGAAGTTAGGGAGCCATCCAAAACATAAACACTCGTATGTATAAAAACAAATAATATGCTTCTTGGGTTCAATAACCTCGTTGTTTATAATGATTGAAGTTACCAGTGGTGCTCATTACATTGTCTAAACGCAATCTTGTTATGAAAATGAGCAAAATGTCAAGCTTCAACCAAAACTGCACATCAAGGGCACGGCGATCACTTGTGAGCAAATAATAGATTAAGCAGCATATTGCAGCGAACTGTACTATAGGCTGTCGTTTGCCATGATGGCAGGAGCACCTATACGGCCTGTAGCCGGATATTAGACTTTTCTGTGATGCTCCTCGTCTGTATTTAAGTAAACAACCAATATACGATCAGGCAGCATACTTCTGATACCTATTACAGCTAAGAAGTGTGCAAAACACAGCGAAAACTAGGCGTATTTTAGCCGCGTTTTCTCGCGTTCAAGGTCGTTTTAGACTGCCAAAATAGCGCCAAATAATTGCTCTCGCCCAGCGTTTACTTTCTAACACCATCGCTCAACTTTTTTGGGACCAAAAAAAAACATTGACCAAAATCGATCAAAAAGCATGAGGTACCCCTCATGGTTTTCATCGAAAATCAAACAATTGCATTTTTGACCTCCAAAATGAAGACTTTTACTATAGCATCTATTGAATCAAAATGTTCCTATGGACTCAGAGCAGCCTCTGGAACTTCTTTTGTACGACCTTCATATGCAATATCTTGACATTTTCTCCAAAAACCTTATTTCATATTTTGGCAAATTGCTCAGTAAGTCTACTCAAAGCATCTATCTTACTTGACACTATTGGATGTGCTTTGAAAAGTACTTGTAGACAGCTTAAGGCAGCATTGGATGAAGAACAGATTTTACATAGTAGAATCTGATAAAATAGATTAATCAAGTCGAAGAAAGGTAAAATCTGGCCAATCTGGAACAGACTAGAAGTCGGTGCTTGAATTGATTATGGCTGGCAAAATGCTTTCTGATGAAAGCAACAATCGACGTTTTTGAGGCTAATATTATGGGTGTTTTTAGGAATTTGATAGTGGACACGTTAACCAAAATTGAAGTAGCATGCAATGGTCTGTACAAATAATATTGAGTGACAACGGTCAAAAACAAGAAGCTGCTGCTCTCGTTTACTAATTAAGCTTTCCCCCCCCCCCCAACGAATTAAGAAAATGAGCGAATCATTAAGGCAAGGTTAGGCTGCCTCTGGAGTAACTGATCTCACTGCACTGATTTCGTTGAACTGAGGTAAAATGTCAAGATTGCTCAGTGAGGGTGTATTCTAGCTAACGGTCAAATCATAGCTTAATAGCCGGGTCATTACAATGCAAATTATTGCATCAGTTAACATTTCTCTTACTGATATCAAGAAATCAACACTTAAATCAACCATATTTTTTTTTAATCAAGAGCTTTTTATTTGTTTTTCAAATTTTTTTGTGATTCTTATTTGTTATTTTCTACCAGAAGTTAAGTCGTTGAAAGCCGATACAATGCAGTTTTTGATTTCCTTGAAACTAACAATAAGGCAAGATTGCTCGTCTCGGGACATCAACATAATCTTTTCCTCCACACCTGCATCCAACTAAGAAGACATCAACAAAAAGTCAGTGCCTACTGATACTCGAAACGATGGCATTACTGTACCTTGTTTAAACAAGTCAACACATGGACCATGTCAACAACAGGTCGACCATTTTCATCCACTTGATGAAAGACATAATCTCGAAAGAGCTTGATCAAGTAACGATCGCCCGTCTCTGACCATCCTGGATCCATATCAAATCTGTATTACAGATTTAGCACCCGAATCTATTCGCAGTGATCATTCAACTTACTCAGGTCGTTCATTGATGAATCCCATCTTGGCCATAAGTCGAACAAGCCGAGCATTTTCTAATTCTCTAGATAATTCACTTTCTAATTCATCATTATAGCTATCAAATGCATGGTTATTCAGCGTGTGGACCTGATTGTATGCCATTCGTATACTTACAGTTGACTGCAATTGATCTCATGCAAAATGCGAGGGCCAATCATGACAATGACTTCATCAATGTTCTTTGCGGGCAAAGGTTTACTGAGTAGATACAAAATTAAGTTTTTCAGATCTGGTGAATAGAATCTGGCAATGTGTTCAAAAGACTGTGCAATGTCAGTGAATGACTGAAGCGAGTTGCAAGCCAGCGCAATAACAAGCTTGCCAAACGACAAAAGATCCTCTTGTTGCTGTCTAGCGACGTTCAAAACACCATCGTACTGCAGTACATCCAAGATGCTGGCACCACTTAATCGAATCCTATAGGGCGACAGCTTGTCGTTCAGCCATGATTCATTCTATGCATGAATCCAGTATTACCTGTTTTTGCCTGTAATCAAAATTTTCTTTGGATCAATTACTCTGGCTGCTAGACCTGATCCGTGCACTGCTTTTAAAGCAGATGCAATTTGAGTAATGTAACTCCAAATGGTTGTTTCTGGAATCAAACGAGGATTTCCATTCGATTGCTGAAGCTGAGAACTATACAAGGCTGCCTGTCCTTGTGCTGTGAAGTAGGTGGAATAGATAGTTGTCGAGCATGGATGATAGTCGTAAGCAAAGATCAACGCTACAAAGAACGAATATCAGTGGTATGCTTACAGGCATTAGACCACAACTCACAAGAATCGCCAAAAGCGCGAGTGGTAAACGCTTCCCGGATGGAAACAATGTTGCAATGGCGAATGCGACGCCATGCTTCAACTACTTGCATTGCCAGTTCATTTACCAACCTAAATCCTTCAATGCGAACCAGTGCGTAGGTACGTCCATCAACACTGCATGTTGCTTTGTAGACGGATGATGGATGTCCATAGAAGGAGCTTGACTTTTCGCCATGTGTGTCTAGTGGATAAAGAGAGTGATACACATGTACTTCCATTGGCAGACCCAAATCTCGAGCTACCCAAATAACACAACATTAGGAAACTCATCGCAATAGGATGCATTGTATATAAATACCAGGCGTGGTCATGAGTTGAGCTTCGTTCCGTTCTGTCAGTTGCTCTCGAAGGTTATCCGGGATGAAAAATGACTGGATTGTTCTTTGATGGGGTGCCAAGTTACTCACATGAGGCAGAGGAGCTGAATACAAGTGATGCTGTAACTACGGCAACGTTTAATCACTACGTTTCTACGATGGCCAATGTCCAAATACTCACTGGCTGTCTGGGATACACTGCTTGCTGATTCATGTAATAGTATGGATCCATTTGAGTTGATGGGACCATGCCAAGTCCTGCCAGCATTTGCGAAGGTGATTGAGGCTGTTGTTGTAGCGATGGTTGCTGTTGCTGTTGCTGATGTTGTTGATGTGATGTTGTATTTCCATTCGCCTGATTGCGCATACATCAATATCTCGTTTCATGAAAACACAAGTCCTTCTTACATCATTTGATAATCCAAATTGAGAAAATCCGTTCGTAATGGATGATACGTTGGATTGCTCAGACTGATAAGAGTGTTGTTGGTTTCTAAACGAGCAATGGATGAGCATCAACATGTAGCAAATTCAATCGAGAAGCATTACGTTATCGAAGGATCCAAAGCGGTGAAATCGATCACATTTGTGTCTATAAATAAGTCTCAATAAACAGCCAAGTAGAGAAATGGTGTGAAGTACCTTTACTTGCTGGTGTAGAGGCAGCGCTGGAATCTGAATAAGAGACATATTAACCATCTTTTTCGACGACAATATCAAGTTACAAACAAGTACCAACTGCAAATCTAGGAACGAATTCAGGTGCGTTGACACTATCTGCTGATACAGACGAAACAGCTTGAAAGGGAAGCGTTGCTAGATTGCGATTTTTGCTTTTGCTAAAGTTGATGTTTAGCCAAAATGTGTGTGTATCATGTCAACTGTAGAATGCTCAAATAGAGAATAAAGACTCACTTTTCAGGGCTTGTTTGAGGAGACGTAGGCTTATTCTGGAAAAGAGATGAAAGCGTTAGTCGGCCATGGATACAAAATAGATGACTCATGACATCAAAAATACACACCGTATCATGATTGAACTCGCAACCTTTTCCTTCATATTTACAATAGCCATGAATAATAACGTTTCTACAAAGCCTCTTTCCATTGATGCTTCCTACAATTTACATAAATCAGCATGTCTTGCATCACAACAAACAACAACGCAATCTCTTTCATTCACCTTTTAGAGGTGGTTTTAGTACAACTTTTGTCGTCTTTTCAGAAGCTTCCCCTTCTGCAGTTGGATCAACGATGGGAATCACGGAAGGCGCTTTTGAGGGAATGACTATCTGTCCGCTATGTGATTTTTGCATTTATTATTATAAATTAAGTGAATAAATATAGCATATAAAAAAGTCTGTTAAATTATTCAAGTGAAGAAAACGAGCTTTCAATTGCTTTAGCTACCAACCACACATAAAATTTTTCTTTTCCTTTAGTTCCCGACACACTTCCTCATGATTTGAGGCATGAAAAAGTTTCAGTTGGACATATCGGTTGATAGCACGCATTACATGAGACGTTTAATCAAGCTATACTACAATGGCGTTTGCAGCGAATGCAGCAGGGTTCTCGGTAGGATGGGGCAGAATTCAATGAGTGATTGATGATAGTCATTTTCATACAATGACTCGCAAGTTTGTGATGTAAATCAAGGCAATCGTCTATGGCCATAATAAAGTTACTCTTTTTAGATTGCACTGCTGATCGCATGCTCAAATGGTTTCTAGGTGATTATATCTAATTGCACTTCAGTAGAATATCTTGCCTTCTGAACTATACTTTCATATTGTCTATCTGCTTATCCTACTGTTATTATCTTCAAAACCCTTGATTGTATCGATGAATGCAAAGATAACATTTGGTCGATAGTTCATAGCCAGTTATCCCCCCCCCCGCCTAAAGCATTGAGCGAAGCTTCTTGTACCATCTTCACTACACCTTGGTGGTTGTTGATAGGAATTTACATGAATTTGAATGTCATATTATAATAAATGTTCAGTCCCTAGACACTTTTACAATATGAGTTTCTAGGCATCTGTCAGGCCTGGCTCATATATGATCAACCAGCCCCACCAGCCATAATTAATTCAAACCCAGACTAATAGTCTGTCTCCAGATTGGACAAATTTTAATGATTCTGAACTCGATCAAGCTATTTTTGCAGATTCGACTAAGTGAAGTATGATAATCACCCCATGCTTCCTTAAACTTTCCTGGAGTACTTTTCAAGGCGCTTCCAATGGTACCAAGTTATATAGATGTTTTGAATACACTTATTGAATGATTTGTAAAAATATAAAAAGAGGTTTCTGGCCAAAATGTCGAAATTTTACATATCAAAGTCTCACAAAGATGATTTCAGAGGTTGCTTTAGATTGATAGAAACATTTTGATTCAAGATATACCATAGTAAAAGTCTCCATTTTTAAGGTGAAAAACGCGATCGTTTGATTTTCGATGAAAACTTTTTTTTTTTTTTTTTTGGATGATATTTGATTTATTAGAAATAAATTAAACGCATCAAGGGATGGACAAGTGTATGTAAACAAAGTGACGTGCCATATATAAGCTATTTAGAGTTTCCTAAGATTTGACAATCTTATCAATTCGGCGCGGATTTGGCGGCATACTACAGAGGGATCAAAAGGTATATAATTGTAGAGCTGTTGGAAGTGATTTCTCCAAATCATACGCATAATAGTGGCGAAGAAGTCATATATAGTGAACTGCATATAGTAGCTGTATATGAGATAGCGTTCTAGTTTGAGGAGCATAATGTTGTTGTAGACGAGGCGAGGGTCAGCATTTTTGGGATAGCTGAGGAACTCATTGAAGGTGGAGTTCCATACATCGATCTTGTGAGCACAGCTAATTAGAAGATGTTTGGCATCTTCTACTTCGTTGCATAGATCGCAGTGATCAGACTCTAAATTGGGCAAGTGTCTTTGGAAGAGGGCGAGCTTATTAGGGGATTGCTGATGGAGCATCCGGTACCACAGATTACGAGCCGAGTAGTGCATGTCGTTTTTATAGAAGGCTGTCCATTGCTTTTTGGAGATGTTGTTGTTGAAGTGGCGGCCAACGTCTAATGTGTCCAATGACTGCATGATGAAACGAACGTTTTTGTTTGAGAGCTGAAGGATCGATAGTTGTTGGAAGCGAAGTGATGCGGCAAATGGTCTCAGGTCGATACCATCTTCAGTGCTGTTGTTGTGTACGAATGGTTGATAATGCAACTCTTGTCGTAGGAGGGCTTTTTCAAGCTTGAGTCAGGTGTTTCTCTTGCTACATGTGGACTTGGGAACAAGTTGAAACATGGCTTGCTCCGAATTGTATTTGAAAAATTCCTGGACTTTGCTGGTTTTGGCGGTTTCACACTGTAGAAATTCAAGTTCTTCCAAATTTTCATCGAAGGTGAAGATTGCAGTGAGGGGGAGACTCAGGATGGTCAGCGCGCTTGGCCTCCGTTGCCAATCAATACACAGTGAGCTTCGTTGGCGGCAAATGTCCATGGCACCGAAAATTGAGTGGAATGGGTGGAACCCATTCAGCGTGTTCTTGTATCTCGCTGCTTTAAAGAAGAGGGGCACTACATGGTCGGGTGTGTCATGGGCTAGGCGGAGAGCGTTGGTCAGGAGCTGGTAGGTAAAGTCCGGGACCGAACCCTTGTTTCCTTGAAGGAGCACCTTGATATAACGAAACTGAAGAGCATGCTGTTGAGCTCCAATGTCAATCAATCCTAGGCCGCCTTGATCTCGCGGTAGGAAAAATGAGTTTCCTTTCAGTGGCGGGAAGAGGCCAGACATCACGAATTGGTATATAATGGACTTCAGTTGCTTCAAGACATCCAGAGGTAGCGATACAATGCGAATGACGTGCCATAATTTTGATAGGATCATATTGTTGGCGATGTTGGCTTTACCGTACAGAGACACATTCCGTTGACTATATATCGCCACCGCCGCTTTGACTTTACCAAGGAGTTCAGACACATATACATCGCGTTGATGGTTGGAGAACCAGATGGGGTACCCCAAATATTTGATATACCCGGGAGAGTGGCTGTCATACCATTTCATCTTGAGCCGGTTGATGATGTGATCTTGGACTCTGAGGCCTTCAGACCCTTTCATGCTACCGCCGTGCAAGGGAAATGCCACTGACTTGTCATAGTTAATCTTGGCATTGGAGGCCCGGTTGTACGTCTTAAGTCTTCTTTGGAGTTCAGTTAGTTCTGAATGAGATTTTACATACGTGAGAACATCATCCGCATAAGCTAAGACCTTAACGGGAGCAGGAGACACCCACGGGATCTGCACATTTTTGGGTAGTTTGGTGTGCTGAAGACTATAGCCTGAGATTGCAGTGTTGTTGATGATGGATAAGAGGAACGGTTCAATAGCTAGATTGAATAGGACAGGTGAGATGCTATCACCTTGCCGAATGCCTCGTCGTTGTGCGATAGGTTTCGTCAGAAAACCGTTGATGTTGACATGGATGAAGTTATCGAAAAACAGGTTGAGGATGCAGGCGACGAATTGTGGTGGAAATCCAAACTTCAACAGTACTTGTGAGAGATACTGGGGGTGGACTCTGTCATATGCTTTGGCGTTGTCCAGCATGATTCCAGTGTATTCGACAAAGTTGGTTGCATTTCGCCAGCTGGCGGATGAAGCGTTATCCATAATTACCCTGAGAGACATGCCGTGATCACCGATATATCGACCTGACAAGAAGCCGCATTGATATGGGTTGATGAGTTTGTTGGCTACTGGTATGACACGAGAGTTCATAATACGAGTAAAGACTTTGCAGTCGGCCGCAATCAATGTGATGGGGCGATAATTGGCGAGATCGCTCCGGTCCCCTTTCTTAAACAGAAGGATAATACAAGATTCCTGCCATGATTTGGGAAATTTGGCGTGCTGGATAGCGTCATTAAATACTTGGTGCACGATGTCTCGGCAGCTAGGGTGAGATATAATGAGATATAAGATTTCATACCCGATACCATCTAATCCTGGGCTGCTTTCTTTGGGAGTTCGAGCAGACCCTAGCAGAATGTCGTCGTAGTCTATTAATGCGGTGATCTGGTTGGCGTCGTCGGCTGACAGAGTGGTGTCGATGTAGTCCAGCATTTTGTTCAGGCAGGTAGAGTCTATCCGTTCTTCGGTGTACAGTTTCTGGTAGAATCGTTCTGCGGCGTTCAGCTTGGAGGCAGTGTCGAGACAGTCGACCCCAGTACGAGGGTGCTTCAAGTTGGGGATGGTTCGCTGATCAAGGCGTTGTTTACTGGTCTGCTTTATGTATCCAGGCGACTTTTCACTATTTTCAAGCCATCGTTTCCCGGCCTTAAGAAGCTGAATATCCACGATTTCCTGTTGCAACTTGGCTAGCTCGTTCTCCACATCCTGCAACAGTAGCCTCAAGCAAGTAGTGTCATGTCTGTAGCGTCGTATCATATTGTTCCTTTCACTTTGCAGTGTCTTGATTCTAGCCTTCCTCCAATGATCGTGTGTTCTGGTGAACTGAATAGTAACCTGTTTGGCCTTCTTTTTAATAAGATCCCACTTTTCTTGAGCAGACAGAGAGCTGTCGAGTTTCACCGCAACAAATGTTCTAAGCTCGTCGTCTAGTTTCTGTCGATACTTATGGTTCTTGGCGAGGTGAGGGTTCGCTCGCCAAAGTCCTTTACCGCAGTTAGTCAATCCAGTAGTATATGTTTTGGTCAAGAGAGCATGGTCTGTCCAATCTGGCCTGATAAACGAGTTAGTGGCATCACTCATTTTGGAGGCTATGTCGTGGCCTGCAAACATATAGTCGATGGTCGACATGGTGGACCCACGCCGAAAGGTATACGCATGAGGCTCATTCTTTGGATTGAGACAATCGGAAAAGTGGGTGTTCAAGAAATCGGCAAACTGCTTGGGTTTCCCTGCACGGTGAGTATGATGGTATGTGGTGGTGTCGAAACTGTAGTTCATATCGCCAGCTATGATCAATGAAGGGATGATTTCAGGCATGCTTTTGAGGTGGCTGGTGATTTGGCCAAAAAAACGGTTTCTGGCTCTATAATCGTCTGCATGTGCATAGATATTAAGTATATAGATGGGTGGCATATTGTTGTCAACGAGTGAGATTTTGGCTAAGATACCCCTTCCTTCGTTGAAAACGTGCAATTGTTGTAAATTTAGAGCTTGATTAAAGTTGATTATTCCACAATGAGTGGTCCATATAGCTTGGTGGTACTGGAATTGGTACTTAAAGTTGGTGGTGATGCTTTCGAAGGAGTGTGATTGAGCATTAGTTTCTTGACATAGTAAAATATTGCATAGTTCTCCTTTGAGATGCCGTATAAAGCTGTTGGTAGCAGCGATGTTGTATTGTTTGTAGAGGTTCCTGCAGTTGATGGAACCTATCCTAATATTGACATTTTTAGTTTGTGTTGTCCCAATCATTAGTTTATAATGAAGTGGTTGTTGATGAGGCGCCATACGCTGCATCCGCCGTGCCATGAGGCTCTTGTTGCTTGAAGAGCTTCTTGGCATGTCCTTCTTCATCCGATCCCATGGGGGTGGAATCCATTGCATTCCTCTTGTGGGATGTCTCAGGCGTTGTATCATCCTTACGGCTGGAGACCGGTGGTCTGACATCACGAAGATTGTAACGATTCCTGAAGTTAGCTGTGGTGAGACTGTCCGAGTCCTCCTCTCCAGTACTACTGGTGTCTTCGTATTCAGATTCGTCAGAGCTTGGCGCGACAGGCTGGTTGGCCGATTGATCCTCCTGGGTTGCACCCAGTTTGTCATCCTTGAGAGCTTCGCTGTTTGAAGAGTCAGCAGGAACCTCTGTGCTAGAAGTTTCAGTGATAACCTCTGTGCCATGAGGCTCGATTGTCTCCTGAATCGCTTGCATAGGAACGTCTTGCACAGGTTCAGAAGATGCCGCGGATGCAACCGATTCCGTGTCACTGGTGTCCATAGAGGATTCGCCTCTAGTCGTTGCCTTCTGTTTGTTAAGGTACTTCGGCTTGGGTACTTGCATTAGCTCTAGAAGATCAATTTCTCTTCCAGTAGGCTTTGGAGCGGGAGGGTTCCCCTGGGTGTCAGAATTGCGACGGCGACGGTCTTGGGATGGTTGGTCCTTCTTCCTATTCCAGTAAGCCTGGGGGCAAGTAGCAATCAGATGCTCAAGGCTACCGCATTTATGGCAGGCCTTCCTTTTCTTCCTAGGACAGTCAGCCTTGACGTGATCATCGGTATGGCAATCCGAACAGATGGGTTGCATGTTTGCCCATGTCAAGCGGAGATTCTCCTGCGAGCCATCAAGTGCGACCTGAGGCTTCAACTCGGCTGCATAATGTTTGGATTTGTCGATATTAAGGGTGACGAAGCCGCGTCCAGTGAACCAATCCCCATCCTTGGAGTGGCAGAGCCCGACATTGAGGATATCACCATATTCTTCAAAGGCTTTGATCAACAGAGGTTGGAGTACCTCCACCGGCTTGTAAGGAATGGCCGAAATGCTAACTCGAAAGATGTTGGCATGCTTGTCCAGGGTCTTGTTGACTTGGATAGTTGCACCTTGGAGAATAAACTCTTTCTGCAAGGCTTCCATACAATCCTCTTCTGTGGGGAAGTTGATTTCAATGACTTTGTGATTCTTGCCAACCACACGGTGTCGAATACCAAGACCTTTGGGATATTGTTCACGGAGACAGCTTGATAACGATTTCTCCTTGAAGTGCATGCCGACGAACTGTACACAGTCGATGATCAGAGAGAAATCATCCTGGGCTTCAACGAAGGTGGACGTGAAGTCAAGAGCTTTGCCGATAACACCATTATTAGAAATGGAAGGGGTGATCTTGAATGGAGTTCTCTTTTGCGAGTTGATATCCTTGAAGAATGAAGCATATGTAAACATATTGTTGCCTGGATTATGGCTGGAATCCAGCGTAGAGCCACCAAAGTTGGTGGTCCTGCCTTTTTCACCTAAATTGTGATCTTTAGCGGAGAAAGCCATGATTTTCGATGAAAACCATGAGGGGTACCTCATGCTTTTTGGTCGATTTTTGACCATGTTTTTTTGGTCCCCAAAAAGCCGAGCAAAAGTGTCTGAAAGTAACTACCAGATGAGAGCAATTGTTTGGTGCTATTCTGACCATCTAAAACGGCCTTGAACGGGAGAAAACGCAGCTCAAATTCACTTAAATTTTGCTGTGTTAGGCACTCTCTTGACTGAAAAGGGATGACATTTATCTACTACTTGCCCGTATATGAAGTATCTACCAGTATACAAATGTGCACCATCACATAAGAATTAGTTCCACAGATAATATGAAGGGTTTTCATGTGCAAGTAGAGGGTCAAAATGAAAGTAGCAGTATTTTGTTAAGATACGCAAGGGCAATCGGTAGCACGAGCTACTGCTGCACAGGTAGAAAACCATCGGAAGCATAAACATTCATATGATTAGTGATTTTATATCAATCAACAACCAGGGTTCTTCTAACATTTTAGCTATAAATTTTGCGATACTAGCCAATGGCCCGCGGCAGCGAGAGTCGTTTGAACGTAGGTTGGTTTCCATCGAAGCGAAACGTAGGTCAGAAAACCACCCGAAGTGCCGAAAGGCTCGTATTAATTAATAAAATGCACAGGATTCGTTCAGAATGACTCATGGGCGTAAAACTGCAGCATTGTTCATACTCTCCAACTCACATCTGAAAACTTGGCATTTGGTCCACTGATGAACTAAAATTGACATGGTAATCTTGGACGCTGCCTTGAAGATGTCATTCTGGCTTTACAGAGACTTAAGAGCCTTATGAAGGCTTATTGCACTAGGAAGAACATCATTTATATCATCCAAATGCTCATGATAGCGGAGATCGGCAGTACAGTGATGCTAGATCAAACCCAGCCTAGCATAATTTAGCCGTCCTTGTAAAGCGAGGACACTAATTTTCTGCGTGACCAAAGCTGGATAGTTTGACACTTTTTCACTATCGTGTATACAACTTGATATTAGAACGCTATGGAAGAAACGGCAATAGAATCCTATTTGAATTGGATCAAGGAAAACGGCGGAAGCTTTAAAAAGATTGAATTCAGACATGGTACATGATAATGTATTTCAATATGGCACGCACATTAACGCATCCAATGGATAGATATGGAGGGCGTTGGTTGTGTCTATACCACGGACCGAGTAGAAGAAAACGAAAATTTTGCAACCGTGCCATTCAAGCTCTGCATCACGGAGAAACAAGCTCGTAAAGCGCTTCCTGATTTAGCTTCGTTCTCTGGCCGCATCGTGCAAACAGTGTATTTGCTTTTGCAGAAACATTTGGGAGAAAGTTCATTTTACTGGCCCTACATTAACATTTTACCCAAGATGATCAAGACGCCATTGATCTTTGACGATAATGATATACGGTATATCCAAAACACCAATCTGGAATCTGCTACAAGAGAACGTAAAGCGGCTTTGTTTTTGGATTTTGAAAAGATGGTGGAACATCTGCCTCAGGAAATTTACAAGGATGATATTACATGGTCAGTGTTTGATATGGATGCGTGCAATGACCTGGTATTGACACGAGGCGTAGGGAGGACTTTCTATGGGGCTATAGCGTGTTCTCCTCGAGAGCATTTCCATACACACTCATAGACCCAACTTCAACAGATCAGTCTGAAGTGTTGTTTCCTCTCGTGGATGCATTGAATCATAAGCCCAACACAAAGATTACTTGGTCGAGAAACGGTGACCCTGAAACTGGATCATTGTCCTTTGTAGCTGGCCAAGCCCACAACACTGGTGATGAGATATTCAATAATTACGGACCCAAGGTAAGCGAACAGTTGCCATCTCAATATAAATTGACGCATTTACTAATTAAAACGTGAACAGTCGAATGAAGAGTGTGAGTGTTTAAAAGTGGTAAAGATGGGAGAGTCGTGAAGGGGAAGAGGGAATGATTGAAATTACGATAAAGGAGTTGCCATTATGCCAATGATTCATGCTAATATGGCCTTGTTATACAGTGCTTCTTGGTTATGGTTTCTGCTTTGAGGTATGTGTTTGGAGGGGTTGTTTTCTCCACAGTAGTCTTGACTCACATTGTGTGTATACAAAACAGTACAATGAATTTGATCACATTGCCATCAAACCCAACTTTTCTCAAGATCCCAATCAGGAGACTAAACTCCATATCTTGAAGCAATGTCAAGTGTCATCAGGCAATGCAGATCCTCTAACATTCTACTTTCACAGAAGCAATTTGCCCGAATCCTTCTTTCAACTGATGCGAGTCCTTGTCATGAACAGCATGGAGACAGAGCATTATGCCATCTGCGCAGACGCTCGCTTACTGGATTTCGTGGGCTATCGAAACGAAATTACCATGATTTCAATGACACTGGGGCTATTAAAGAGCAAGTTGCACGCCATCCAGTCTGTTCATTTGGAGACGGAACATATTCCAAGCTGGCAAAAGTTTGCACTCATGTACAGAGCAGGTAAACGATTCAATACTACTAAAATCCCTCCCTTTTCCCCCCGTATTGATGACCAGAAAACTAGGCCAAGAGGATGTTCTCAATGCCACCATCTACAAGGTCGAGGAGAAGAAGCGCAATTTGATTCAGCAAATGTTCCAAGATGAAAAAGAAGGTAAACTTGCTCCCTGTGCTCCATTTTTGAGCATTGTGAACCCTTCCTACTTTCAAGATCAAGCTTCCAGCATTGAGCTCTCTGGCCAAGATTTCATTACCTTGGATTCTGTTGTCATGACACCCAAACGACTGTTGAACAAGGACGCTGAATTTGCTGCCATCATATCCGCTAATTTTGAGTTGGAAGAAGAAGCTGACATGATCATGATGTTGTGCCTGATTAGAGAGAATGCCAATCCTTCAAGTCCATGGAGGCCATTTTTCAATCGAGTTACTACTGCTGCAGCTGTGTCACAAAGGTAAAACTCTCAAATGCTCCTAAAAAAAAAAAAAAGTTGAATCATGCCCCTAATATCACACACATTTTAATTAATGGCAGTGCAACACCATCCAACCCAGACAAAGAAGATCAAGCGGAATTGCGCGAAATGTATGATTCCATGATACCTGCATTCAACGAGGCTTATCCTACTGTATTTGACTTGAATGTATTTAGCTTTGAATCGTTTGTTTGGGCTGATACTATCCTCAACAACTATTCCATTGAGAATCCATTAGCCATTGTACCACTGTAAAAAAAAAAAAAAAAAAAAAAAAAAAAAAAGCAAATAAAACATTTGGCTTGCTACAACATCATATGGGGGGAAGCAGTGTTTGTTGAATCGCCGAAATGCTCATCAGCGTTTGGGACCATGTTGGTGTCTACTAATTATGGACATTCTTTTAAAGTACCTTTTTTTTTTCTTTTGAAAAAAAAAAAAAAGAAAAACCTCGTTCTCTTTTACGTTCTTATTTGCCTCCAACACTAGCTCGAGAGAAATAGCAAGCGATACAGTGTGAGAACAACCATCTCAATACAAGATCCCCAAGTAAATCAATTTGAAATGCAAACTCTTCATTTGAACCATGCATTGATCAACTAATCCATGCTTTTTTTTATTTCCGCCATGTCATCCAGTATTATCTAGCATCTTCATCATGGCACTTGGCTTGTATCATTATGCTCTCATCATTGTAGGCTTTTACCTGATCAGAATATGCATCAGATCCATTTTGGCGCTTCGATTTCACTTTTGTTTTGGCCGCATTGGATTCTTTTCAGTCAGCAACATACGCTATCACCATCACAAATCCTCAGAAACGGCACTATGGTCCGTCAAGGTAGGCAAGCTCAAGCTTCGACTTCGCAACAGACCCACATGGTCATCGCCTACACCGTACATCTCCATCTACATTGCGGATATCCATGTGCAATTGCACAGTATCGCTGCTCTAGCGGCTGCACGTCAACAGCACACACGAGTAGTAAGAGCAAACAAACTCAATCGGAAACTGTCTCGTGTCAGCTCGTCGTTGAAAAAGATACCCTGGTGGTACTCGCTGTCGATAGTAAAGCAGGTGATCAAATACACTTCAGCATTGCCTGCTCAGCTGCTGATGTCTGGATTAGCCAACTATGTCGATGTTCAGATTGACACGCTGGCTGTGGATATTGAGGACCAAGCTTCGATTAAGGTACACAACATCAATTTCAGCTCCATTTTGTTTGCAGATGTAACACTCCCTCGTGGATCCAATATACCCAATGCCTCGATGCCCTGTTCGCCATTGGAGCAACAGCAACACCCCACATTAGAAGAAAGCGATAGATTCTCCATGCGATCCAGTCATCAACGCCATTCGCTAAAACGAGCCCAGCATTTGTTCAAGGAAAAGTTTTTCGAGATCATGGTCAATATGGGCAAGATATCTGTGGTTGGAAGAGGGGATGTGGACATGCTGACATTGCCATCAGGAGGAGAGATTGTTATTTCCTGTCATTTGTCGGCTGCTTGTGTGACACTGAAGGATGTGGATGTCAGTACTCGTATGGGCGCTATTGCTGTGCAAGTCAACCCGCTGATAGATCTGGTCAAGAGCGTCAGTGGCAGTGCAAAGTCAGTGCAGAGAGAGAAGCCAAAACACGAGCATGTGGACAACCCCTTGATGGTGGAAGAGCAAGATACCACGCCACACAACAAATCCAGCATGATCCAGTTATTCCGTTCTGTCACACTGTCAATGGACACCACGACGCTTGAAACACAACATGAATCCATGTGCTCTAGTATACTCGAGCTGCAAGGTGTTCATGTGTCTGGCGTATCGGAATGTTATGTGCGAGGTGTGGATCCGTACTACAAATTCCAGTGTTCGCTAGCAAGTTCGTGGGCCATCATGGACAAATCGCTGCCTATCACTCACCGACAGCTACAGTTGATCAGTTTGCCTGAGCTAAAGTGGACAGTCAATGTATCGCAATCTGTGATTAGCCCAGCAGCACAGGTGTCTGGACTGGCCACTGATTTAGACGTGTTGCCTAATGCTTTTGACGATGCCAAAACCCTAGTATGGAACGATGACTTGCGACCGAATAGAAAGTTTTTGGACGCAACACTGTCTATGCACGAACCCAAGATCTATTTGGATGTGTCGAAAGCGAGCATGCTCTCCAAGCTGAAATCAATTGCAGAAACAAAAGAGAATTCACCACAGCCTGCAGAGGATCAGTTAAAGCAAGTGGCGCAAAATGTGCCTCGAGGTAGCTTATCCGTGTGCATCGACAAGCCCTCTATCCACATCAAGTGTGCAACAACAAAACACACGGGAATCATATCATGGTCAGGCATCACTTTTGAAGCGAATGGGTCTTATTGTGCGCAAAAGAATCGACCTACATCCGTGCTTCCAAGCTACTCTGAGCCCTCACACACTACGACGCGCACTGCTGCTGCCGACGAAGATCACATTGAATTCCAAGCCAGTTCCAGCGCTGTGCAGCGTATACAAACACAATCAAGGCCGTCGTGGATCAGCCTATTTAGACGAAGCTGGAAATCAAAGGAACCCAACGAATCCAGCGACAGAAAGGCGATAGAGTGGTACTACAAGACCTCCATGCGATTCACCGTGCAAAACACTTGCTTTGACATCTTTTCAGAAAACGCGCCCACTCCGCCACCCAAGAATCATGCGCCTGATGTGGGGGATCCCAACTACTTTGTCTCTGTCGGCAACTTTGAATGCAACGCACATACACGCCTCCATGTTAGTTTTGTGCGTAATATCCATCGACAAAATACGCGCGTTATTTGGAACCCGGACGCACATCATATCAATGTGGATACAGTAATTGATCGACCCGTGTTGAATCTGTGGACAAGAACACAAGATGGACAGCGTCAGATGGAATTTTGGGCCAGAAACGTAGTGGAGCAAGTGGTAAAAGAAATCAAGCAGCAACAACAACCTACACCAGCAAGTCCAGAGACGGCCCGTCCGTCAGATCACAGTGCGTTGTTTGACTACATGTCCATCCTCAAGACCAGTGTCGTAATTGCAGATGCTGCTGTTGTGCTGGAAGGTGTGGATCGTGGACTCAAGGGAAAGAGAGTAATACCCAATGGATTTTTGGATAATGCGCCCGAACAGGACATTGATGTGCGCGTGATTGCGTCTATTCAGCAGGTCAGTGTGGTGTTTAGTGGATCTCGTGTCTTTCACAAGACACACAAGAGCAATTTGAGTCAATCTTCTACCAATACACACACCAGCACAGAGAACGAAGACACGCAGCAACGCACCAAAAGCCAGCATATTCCATTTGGCACATCTCGACTCTCCATTCAGCACTTTATCGTTGAGCGCATCTTTCGATCAGACCATGCTGCTGTGGACGAGCATGATTGGCATCAACATGAAGACAGAAAGGCAGTAATCATGTGGGTATCGCGCATCAATACACGCACTGAAGTGCTACTGGATTCAGCCCATCACATCTTGCTTGTGCCGTCTATTGTGGTCAAGAAAAACGGTGCTCAGTATTCCATTACAAATCACTATGCCTGTCTTGTTACTGCCATGTACACATTGGAGGCCATCCAACACTTGTTTCCGTCTACCAAGAGCAACAGCAGCAAGACGCACCATGACGACCTGACGCGCCATAACAAGAAGAGCAAGGTAATTCTGCACAAGCTTCAATTTCAAATCAATCGAACCGACGTGCACATCTTCTTACCTGGAGGTACCACGGAGCTGTACCTGCGTATGGACACATTACGCATGGAATGGGACAACCAAGTAGAGCATCATGGAGAAATGCCACCCATGGCCATTCGCAATGTCACCCTGTTTGGTGTATCACCCAAGCAAGCCGATCACTGGGATCAGTTATTCGAACTAGACAATATGCGATTTTCGATTGAAAAAGACGTGAATTTCAGCACAGGTCAACTCACCAAAACCAACCAACTGACCATGTCTAAAATGTACATGCGCATCCCTTACGGCTACGAACTGTGCAACTTTGTAGACAGCACAGTGACACTGATCAAAGCCATCAAAGCAACCCATGCGCGTGTGTCCAAAGGTGTCGCGTTTCTCTTTTTCGGTCCCCACGAAAAGCATGTACCTACCGTCATTCCTCATATGCGGTTGGTGTGTGATTTATTTACCTTTCAGTTTGAAGATGATCCATTTGAAGCAAGGCTTCGGTCTATTTACAAGACGGGTGTGTTGGAGCAAGCAAATCGTATTGCTATTCAAGATGCGTTTGAGATGAAGGCACAAACGTTGATGCAGCCTAGCAGTGATGACAAGGACAAGGGTAAGTGTTGGCGTGGTTTTTTTTATGACAGAGCGCATCATCTCATGTATATACATGTTCATATAGCGTCCATCTATGCCAGTGAGGAAGCGGATGCGCGTGTCAATGAAGCATGGCAAAAACTACAGCAACACAACTCCAACTCGTGGAGACGACACATTGACGCTGCATTGTCCAAAGAACACGCCACCTATGTGCGTATTCAGAGTGCCAATTATCGACATACCATGGCGAGCGGACAGCTGGACGACATGTCTGACGATCCTGTGACGGATGAAAAGACGCAATACCTGTCTGACATGTTCCGTATCCATATCGTGGATCTACCCAAATACCCGCCCTTACTGGATCTCACTATGAAGCACACTTCGCTGGATTTTAGACACCCTGATTTCGAATTGGATCAAACCAGGCAGTTCATCTTTGACGTGGGCAAAGGGCAGCCATTAGACACACCACTGTCCACCATACTCCCCTTTCATTTGGACTGGAAATCAGGCGAGACATGGGCTCAGTTGCGCGATTACCCCATCCCTTTCATCTCAGTACCACCCCTGGCCAGCAACCCAGAAGATAACGACATATCTACCTTGGACGATGTGCCTCATGCCACTGCTGCATGGACGCTGTCTGGCAACTACGTGTTTGGCGATGATTTGGGTGATTTAGACGCAACTCGTAGCATCCATCTCACCATTGTCGATGAAAACGATGCGCATTATGCCATGGATATTGTGCGTACCACCACACCACTCAAGTTCTTTTCTATTGTCAATATCGACGTCCACAATTCAGCATTGTCTCATATCTGTTGGTGTGTGCCCTATCAACCTGCGATTCAAGACATTACGCGTGTCATGGACACCTTCACCAAACCACCGGTGGATCCCTCTCAAAAGGTAGGCTTCTGGGATAAAGTCAGACTGATCATCCACACGCGCGTCAAGATTTCATTTGTGGGTGGTGGTGATTTAGCCATGGTCATGAAGGGGTCTCGCGATCCTTACGATATGAGCGAAAAAGGGTTTGGTCTAGCCAAAGTGTGGCGCAATGATGTGGTTTGGTTGTTGGGTCATGAAAACCCACAAGGCGAATTCATGCAAATCATCAGTCGCGACTATGCATTCGGTGTGCCTGATCTTGTGCGCGGTGGATACTCAGCACCTTATATCACTGCAGCAGATCACAGTGGTTGTAGAGACACGCAGCAGCAACAACAACAACAACAACAACAACAAGACATCCGTCAGTCTGTGTCCATGTCTTCTTTCAATTCATCCATCATGTCCAGTAGTGACGAAAATGGATCTCGCTTTGTCAAGATTGCACTCAAGCTGTCGGGAGGTATTCGCATGGGGCTAGGCTGTCATTTAGAGCGCATGTGTAATCCTCGTTGTGATATCTGTGATGAAAACAGCAATGTGATGCCAGAAGCGCGTGCTGTACACAAGAGTCGATTACTGCACTTTTTGCCGCATTACAAGGTCAAGTTGAAAGCACCACAGAACGTGCATGAAGAGGTGAGTTATGTGCTAGTCAATACAAGCAGTGCGACTAATGCAGCACCATAGAACTACGATGCGTATCGAGGCTTTAGATCTGACTTTATTCATACGTCCATCAGTATCATCAAGACGTCCGACTACGAGCCTGATGCATCCGATAAAGTGAATGTTACAGGCAACTCAATGCACTTGACACCGGGCTTCATCGATCACTTTGTATCCTGGTTCCGACTGTTTGGTGGTGCCATGAGTTATCCACTGCGAGCAGGTTCCCTGTTTCCCAAGCTAGACACAAGGCCCACGCAAAAGTTTGGCCGTCATATGAGCACCATGAAGTACAAGGTGGTCGTAAACCCATTGACCTGTGGCTACTTTATGAAGGATGAAAATGTGGTGGCAGAGCAAGTAACCACTGAAGAACTGGGCGACTCTGTAGGTCTCAAGGGGTTTGTCAAGGCGTTCAGTGTCGACATCCACCAACGCAGAGAGATAGTCAATGTAGCCAATTACAAGCTGGATCAAAAGCGACTCAAGGCAAACTGGCCTGTGACGGAAGCGGAAGTGCAGCTCAAGAACATTGATTTGCGTGCTGTCAAAGCCAGTTACGCCATGAGCACTGATGATGCCTTTTCCTCTTTTTCGAGTGGAGTTGCAGACAACATCAGCGTTCCTGTGCAAGCAGAGCAGTACATGTCGGATGAGAGTGATAATGGGTTGGATATGATGGAAGGACTCAACTACAGATGCAACATTGATTCGGATTCCTCAGACTGGGTGGATTTGGATGATTTCATCGAAATGGGTGTGGCTACGCCTGATATTCTTCCTGCGATTCAAGTGCTGCCGTTTGCATTTTCGCCCTGTATCTATTATTTGCGTCAAACCAACAAGGATGATGTACAAAAGTTTAGGTATTTGCATGACACGCATGATTGTATATTGGGGACAGCAGTTGGTAAGTCGTCTGAGTGCATGGATAGGCGTCCATAAGTAACATGTATTGTAGATACGCGGGAAATGCAAATGACGTTGCTTCATGACAGAAGTCAGACGATCGATGTACAGATTCGAAAGCATCAAACTCGACTGCACACGATAGAAATGAAGCGACTCCAACATGGATCTGATGAAAAGGCGCTTCAGGAACTGGCAAGTACGCAAAAGTAGAGGCTATGCCATACACTAACATACAGTGCAGTCGGATGCCATTGTAGAAAAGACCCGCATCTTGTACGAAAAGCGCGAGTTACTGCAACGCTATCTCAAGGAACTCTCTACGCAAGACATGCCAGATGTCGTGCACAACAAGAAATCAGATGCGTACAACCAATCCACCATCTTTGGCAAGGACTCGCTGGCGCAATGGGAGGAACTCATGGGCTACTTCAAGGTACGCTATATTGCTCATAACCCTCAAATCCTGTGGAACAATTCTGTGCGCAATATCCTGTATCACGGCCTGGACCTCAGGGACCATCGCCGTGCACTATCCTACTACATGACGGCCCGTACTGTCAAGTTTTTGCGAGACTTGATTGAAGCGTCTGATATGCAGTACAGCCACAGCCACAAGCCCTTTGTGTTGGATGACGATGAAGGTGGTATGGACACGAGCATGGCAGAGGAACTGATTGCCAAACTGCTGTCTGAACAGGACACCAAGTTTTACGCACCTAATGAAACAGAGGAAGAGAAACCGCTGGATGGCAGTGACTCGGATACAGTCGACATGTCCAAGAGTGATAACGTCAATAGCCCCTTGATGCAACTCAAGACTATTCCCAACAACTACGTCATGAAGAGCAGCTACTTGGTTGACTTATTGAACCCTCAAATCAGTCTCCAGAGTGATTGTGATCCTGATAACATTGTCCTGGTAGCCAATGAGCGCACGCAAGTCAAAGGCTTCAATATCATTGATGAGACAGACCCGGATGTCGAAATGGAGATGGTCAAGCATCGCACGGTAGTTAGCTTGGATAACGTGCAGTTCTTTGTAGCGAAAAAAGAGCAGTTTGACAGCGTAGATCTGCTGCTGGATAACCACTACGGTGCCAAGGAGAGCGATCACTGGCTGGCATGGATTCCACCGGAGATGCTGATCAGTTACGTCAAGCGATCAGACAAGTTCCAGCGTATCGGTGACCGTATTGCAGCTACATTGCAGTATGACAAGTACAATCCACTCAGAATCAAGACAAACACCAACGTCTACTCTCAAGTGCATCCGTTTGAAGATCGCTGTGACTCAGTACAGCTCAATTTTCCCTCGCTCAAACTGACAGCTGATTCATCGCAGTACAATGCCGTCTATCAAGTAGCCACCGACTTGTTGCTGTACAAGGAGCCCGCCAAAAAGGAACGTCTGGCTCGATTACGTGAAATCATGATGGCAGCTGACCGCTCCAGTTTGTACGATGCTACGGAGAAAATTGTGGATCTGCAGAGCAGAGCACGTCAATTACTGCATGCCAGAGATCAATATCGACAGAACATGGCCCTGCTGGATGAGAAGCGTATCGAGGAATTCAAATCTATTCGCTTGGCACTTTATGATACGCTGGAAGAGCTGTATCTCGGTATGGAGGCCATCAAACTGATGCAGAGTAACCAACGCAAAGATTACCACGAACCCAAGACCAATCTCAAGTTTGTATTCTGCGCTGAAAAGATGGAGTGGGAGATGTTGTCCAAGGGCGAAGTACCTCTTTGCGAGTGTGCCTTGACCAACTTTACCTTTAATTTTGTCAGCAAAGAAGACCACTCCTCTATCAACACCTTGGAAGTAGACATTTTGCAGGTCAAGAACCTGTCGCCTTCGCCTGTGTTTGCCGATGTGCTAGGCCCTTATTTCGATTCTCGCAAGCCGTACGATTTCTCGCGCCATAAGATGCTGCGATGCTATTTTGTCTCTCTGGCTCCTGTGGGTGGTATTCCTGTGATCCAGCACTTGGAAATCAACCTGCATCCCATGCGTGTACAGATGACCTATAGTTTTGGCAGACAGTTGGCTTACTATCTGTTTCCGCCAGAGAAACAAGCATCCAACAGCAACAACAGCAAACAACTGCAACCCGAGGCAGCTGTGATGGTATCTTCCACATCTGCGCCTACAACGACAGTCAACAATAACACACCTGCACCACTCGATGCGTCTGATTTTTCTATGGAGCAAGACTCCAGCAGCTCGGCTATCATTATACCCCAGCCAAGCAGCAGTGAACGATCTGATCATAACTCGTTTAGACACCATGCATCGTCTTCTGTGGCATTTGCGCCAGTAGCATCGAGTGCCAACTTGAGTGCTTCCTTTGATTCGCAAAAGTTAAGTAATAGCAGCCAGCTGTTCATGTCCTCTAGCAGCAGAGATGATGTAGAGGAAACACCCAACGACAGCCCGTCATCCAGCACCATACTTCCAGCACCACAAAGTAGTAGTAGCAACAGCAACAAAAAGACTAAGAAGCACCAACAGCAAAGTATCAACAACAAACTGTCTAAATTCAAGACACCGGATGATTTATCTGTCATGAAGAAGCGTGCTTCCAGCAATCGTGCCTTTATTCTGGTAAAGATTCCTGGTGCACGGCATTGTTTGAGTTATCAGGTAAGTTGGCGTAGTTGTTGTAAGGCAATCTAGTGAGCAAATGGTAACACGTAAGATGTAGGGTCCCAAAGAGAAGAATATCGAAGATTTAAGGGACTTTGCGTTTGAACAGCCTACACTGGAATTCCGTAACGAAACGTGGTCCTGGTTTGAACTTGTGTCCAACATCAAGAAGGATTTTATGAGGGCCGCTCTACTGCACAACAGTACTGCCTTACTAAAAGAAAAGCTCCTTCGCCGTCATCCGCGTGAAAATGCCAAGCTAATTGACTCGAGCGTCTCCATGTACACCACACCCATCTATGTTGCGGATCATGCATCTACTGTCAAAGGTAAACAGCCCTATGATGTTGTTGTCAATGGAGAGGAGGAGGAGTCGGAATCATCGTCTGTGGAAGATGTCTTGGATCCAAAAGACATTGCTTCTTTGCATTCAGCTCATTCCAGTGACATGTGGGACGCTGTTGAAGCACCACCACCACCGTCTCCCAGAAAGAAACACATTTGGCAAAAGTAAGTAGGCCCACCTTTCTTCTCATTAGAGTCCAACGTCTAAACCTCTAAATCGTAGGCTCAAGAAATCCAAAAAGGAATCATCACCAGAGAGACACTTTGCTGCTCATGACAGTACAGACACTGCCTCGCCTGCTGATTCACACCCTACCACCACAGCATCTTCTTCAGCATCAGCATCGCCTGCATTGGCTCGATCCATATCTGCATCCACTCGTCATTTGAATGAAGATGATCAATTAACTGTCAAAGGAAGATACTTGCTCGGTAAATACTACAATGGTCCCACACAATGGCTTGCTCCTGGTGCAAAACTCAAGGGAAAGCAGGTGAACAAAAAAGTATAATCATTTAGACAATAAAAAAAAAAAAATGTAATTTATTCCAGCATAAGCTACTACAGTTGGGCTTGCTGTTGTTGTCGCCTCATACTGCTACTAGTACTACTACTGCTTTGTGAAGCAAACAATTGACAGATTGTGTGGGATAGCGAACGTGGCATGGAATTCTTGTCGCTTGACGCGTCTTTGCTGCGATACTTTTTCAGCTTGTCTTTGAAGCTGGATTTTGTAGATGTTGATTTGCTGTTGTGGGTAAAGAACATGGACAAATTTCTCTTCTTTTGAGGCATCGTGTCTTCCTCTTGTTCGCAATGGTAATGACTATCAGACGAATGAAAGGACTCGGGTAAGCATGTAGAAGACCCGTTGCGTTTGTGCAATAAATTGTTGTTGATGGTGGAGCGCTTCATCCTTAATTCTTCCACTGTGGTGCCACTAGACGATACAGATCCATGGTCATCTTCCTCTAACTCTAGCTTGGAGCTCTCGTGTAACTCGCTGGCACGGATCAACTGATATTTTAATAGCTTTTGCTTATAATTGCGGTTCCCCTCATCTTCATCATCATCGTCTTCTTGTACTAGCAATTTCCTGCTGGCGAGCACATCTTCTATGGATTCCAAATCGAATGCGCTATTGCTATTACTGGTAGCATCATTGAAACACTGATAGGCTGCTTGCGTATCCTCGCCGCTGTCATCGCTATCACTATTACTACTACAGCTAGTAGCCTCTTCGGATGATATTTGACTGGCCAATGCCGAAAAATAATCAGCAGAGAAACTCTTCTTGAGTCTCACCAACTTTTCATGGCAAAAATGACATGATGTATTCTGCTCCAGCTCTGCCGGAAAATAACTTGGAAAATTGGATCCAGGGGTAAAAGCGTGCTTGCATGCCGTTGTTGCTGAATCGAGCTGCCAATGAGGGTCTATGGTACTGCCGTTGTTGATGGTAGGTGTCGATGGCGAGCTGGATAATTTGACAGGCATTTGGTAGTATGATGGTATAGAACAAGACGAAGTGGTGGATGATGCCCTTGCCGGCATTGCATCGTGGTTGGTGGAGGCTTCATCAACTATATGAAATAGTTCTTGACGAGTTCTTAGCGATTGTTTCATCAAATGTAAACCAAGTATGTTCATGGTAAAAGCAGCGTCTTTTTTATGTGGATCGTTGTTCCAAGATTGAGCACATTGCAGCATGTTTTGGGAGTCCATCCAAATTTGATTCAAATAGCCATGAAATAGATGCATCAACGTGAATTGCACATTGTCATGACGATAATACTGTGTTTCTTGTTTCTGCGATTTAATGTCATAGCGTTGTTGTTCCCAAGCGCATTTTAGCTTTTGATATTCATGCTCGACTAGTCCTTCTGTTGTACCAGCAATAACTGTAGCGGTTGGGTTTCTCAGCATGATGTAGGAGGAGTAGAGTTAAAAAAAAAAGGACGAAAAGAGAGGAGGTATCTTCAAATGCTTTATATACCATAGCAGTGAATAATGGTTGCTTGGCAACCGTTTTAAGGTATATTACATTCTTATCGAAAGAATGATAAAATGTAGCACTGATGTTGTGTCATTTGCACTGTTGTCAAGTGCTTCATACATGCAAGTAAAATACAGCAAATAACTCCAAATCAGTGATATTATTACTTGAGATTGATATTTTTTTATTCATATGTAAGGGGGGGGGGGTTGCTGGGGATAACAAAATACTTGATGATAATGGGAGGTATCTTAAGGGGTGGCTAAATGATAGAGAGAGGTTTTATATTTTATAGTACATGCTGAATTAGACGCCTCCACCACTTCGGCTATATTATAACGTGAGTAAGTTATACAACATCCTGATGCTACATTTTCAATTTACCTAACATCTCTCAATCCAATGCCATTGTTTCTATGGCGCCACTCTGCCCGAATGCGATCCATGTTCGCTGAATCAAACTTGGGTTCTCCAGAGGGTACAAATTTCAACGGATGTGATGATCCTGAAATGGAAGACGCTTTGATCTTTGAGATATACACAGTGGCAGCAACCAATGTCAAAGGCACGGCCCTAGATTGTTTTCCAAGCATTAGACAAAGCTGAAGATTGATTTGGGCAATGCTTTTTTTTTATTTAAATACCAATACAAGGGCCCTTTTGTCACTAATTGATTTGTCATGATTGATAATGAGATGTGTGTTTGTGTGCGCAAAAATGAAAGTAAAGAGAGATGGGTGAAAAGAGAGGGAAGAAAAGCAAAAGTAAATGGGGTTTTTTTTCTCTCTCTTTTATAACTGTGCAAATTCAAACTGATGGTGGTGGGTCGCACAGCTGTTGTGTATATTATGCTTTTTTTCATGTATGGCATACAGTAGTGTTGCATCACACACAATGAGGGCATCAATTAGGGTTGCATATTAGGATAATCCGGGTCATTCGCATAGTGTATTTGAATTTATTACTACTGTTCAAGACAGTGTCATATAAACATCACCCATTTGGAATTCATGTCTCTCTACACCTTCTAGATTCTATTGTTTATTTATTTGTAATAAAAACTCTCACGATATGAATGACAAAAAGGGGTTTGTGAGGGAAACTAGTCAGTTGACATTAAAGAAACAAACACGCCACTCTCTAATAAACACCTCACGAGACATCATAATTCACCAGTGATGACTCTATCTTTGCCTGCTAGATCCTTCCATACGTCAATCGTGTTGAAGCCTTGTTGAAGCATCAGCTCGCTCAAAAGCTTAATTTGATGTGTACCACCCATTTCCATCAACAGATGCGGCCCTTTGGTCAGTGGTCTGCAATATTTGGCTACTTGAATCACGCCTTGATGGACTTGTGTGCCTTGATCTGGGGCAACCAGCGCCCTCACGTCTTCCCAATCCTTGACATCGGGGTCTAGCGTCTCATATTCTTCGTTTGTAATGTACGGTGGATTGGATACAACCAGATGAATCTCGTCTTGAGGCTTGTAGTGGAATACATCTTGTACGTGAAATTCAACTGGATTTCGAAGCTGTGATTGATGTAAAATCAGATTGTGCTGTGATAGAGACACGGCTTGAGCGGATATGTCTAGACCTGTAATGTGTACAGAATCTTTCGGTAAGTGCTTTGCCAACGCTAATGAAATGCAGCCCGATCCGGTACACACATCCAAGATTCGCAGAGGCTTCTGGACCGTCGATAGTTGGTTCTTTAACATGTCAATAACTCGGTATGTCCATTCTTCCGTTTCCCATCTTTTTGTGAAATGAAGTGAGTGTGTTGATATCTACATCCAGATCACAAAAATACCTTGGTATCAGTGTCGGAGGTCGTGTGACAATGTCCAACTCACAAAAGGGTTGTGTTCCTAGTACACATAGATGGGATCAACAAGCGTTGCTTCAACATTGGATCAGGCTTTTCCTACCCAGTATATATTGCAGCGGCTTGTGCTCTTCCGTTCGCTGTGTGATGTATGCATCCAACTGAGCTTGTTCTTGCTGGGATAGCGAGTAGATAGATTTACTGCTGTTGCCACTCACATCCAATGCCACTTTTTCCTTGAGCCATTCCAGTTGCCGTTTCGCATGAGCTGCATCGCCATCGCAAGCAGGCAATAGTCTTTGTATCCAGTTTTTGACAATGAGTTTAGAAGCCATGATTTGAAAAAGAAGGAGGAAGGAAGAAGAGGATGGTGAGATTGTAGTAGTCACCAAAACACCTGTTATACCCACTGACATTCAACCCAACCCATTCTATAAGCTGGTTGAAAGCAAATATTTTTTTTTTTTTTTTTTCGTTTTTGTTTCTATCATTTCAAATTATACGCATCATGGACGGCAAGAACTATTCAGCTGTGCCTCCTCCTCCTTCTTTAACCTCTTCTGGTGGTTCAGCTCCTCTCAACTTTAATGATGCCTTGTCGAAAGCTAGAGCCATTGCTGAGAAACTCAAGCAGCAATCCGCTGGTGGTGCCAGTGCATCTGCAGAGTCAACTTCGTCGCAATATTCACCTCCATCCTCTTCTTCAGGTAAGAAGGAATCAATGACACACTATGGGCAGTACTAACTGATGAATTAGGTTCTAAGCGAGGCTATAATGATGATGATCGCAATGATGATTATCATGGCTCCTCATCCAGTCGCTCCTATGGTGGTGGTGGCTCATATGGTGAAAGCCAGCACGACAGCAAAAGAAGTGCCTATGATAGTGGTTTCTCTAGACCCTCGTGTAAGCAGCTTTGTTATCTAGTAATACATCGCATAGTCTAATCACAAGTTTGGATAGATGGCAGCAGTGAATCAAGAAGCAGACATGGACTTGGATCCGATGAACGTAGATCTTATGGAGGTGGCGGTGGCCACTCTGAAGACTATACTGTCCCTAACCATATGGTAGGGTTGCTCATCGGCAAAGGTGGTGAAAATTTGAAAAAGATCGAACGCATGTCTGGTGTCTCCAAGGTTCAATTTGCTAATGGTAAGCCAGTAACTTGGCTACTTTACTGCATCATAACCTAAAACCTCTTTTTCATAGATCCTGTTGGTAATGAAAGAACAGTGACATTGACTGGACAGCCTGATCAAACAGCTATTGCTCGCGACATGATTCAACAAATGGTAGCTGATGCTCAAGCCAACGAAAGACCTGGTGGAGCCGGTGGCATGGGTAGTGGTATGGGCGGTGGATATGGAGCACAAGGTGCTAGTGGTGGAAATACAGTTACTATGCGCGTCCCTGTATCCAAGGTTGGACTAGTCATTGGTCGTGGTGGCGAAACCATTCGTGATTTTGAAGAGCGTAGTAAAGCCAAAATTTTGATTGCTTCTGATACTGGCGATAACAGTAGTGAGCGAGTCATTAATCTCGTGGGTGATGATGCTGCTACTCAAATGGCAAAATCTATGATTGAAGATGTTGTCTACAGCAACGTAAGGCATTTGATTTGATGTGCTGTAGCGTATACTTACTTGTTTTGAATGTAGGGCCCAGGTGGATATGGTGGTGGAGGCGGATACGGACAACAAGGAGGATACGGACAGCAAGGAGGATACGGACAGCAAGGAGGATACGGCGGCTACAACCGTATGGGCAGACCTGATGATGAACGTATCTTTATTACTGTGCCTTCATCTGCTGTGGGTTTGATTATTGGCAGAGGCGGTGAAACTGTGAGAGCCATGCAAGATCAATCAGGTGCTCGTGTCAAGATTGAGCCCGCCAATGAGCCCAATACAGAAGAGCGTATTGTCAATATCTTTGGTGATCCTCAATGCGTTGCTATTGCTAAACAGCTAGTCGAAGATAAGGTGGCAGAAGCTAATCGTGGTCCCGGTGGACGATATGATAGATACAACAACGATAGAGGAGGTTATAGATCTCGCAATGATTATGGCAATGATTACAACCAGCATGGCGGCGGAGAAGGTGGATATGATTATAATCAACAATACGGTCAATATTATCAACAATATGGCTATGCCGGAAATGAAGGTAAACTATTCACTGTGCTCTAAGAGCATATAGCATTGTGCTGAAACTGTGTGCGTGTAGGTTATCAACAATATCCTGGTTATCAGTACAACTATCAGCAGCAAGATCCCTCACAAACCGAAGGAGCCCCTCCACCTTCATCATCAGGCGATAACAATGACGATTCCAAAGATAACAAAGCTGAGGGTGGAAATAGCACCTCTGCACAAGATCAGCAACAGGCTTACTATGCACAATATTATGGTGGACAACAACCCACGAAAGAACAACAAGAAGCTTATTATCAATGGTATCAGCAATATTATGGCCAACAACAACAACAACAACAACAACAACAACAACAACAGCCCTATGGAGCATATGATGCTTCTGCTTCTTCCGACCAACAGCAACAACAGCAACAACAACAGGCATCTGCTGAAGAAGAAAAAGAGGATGTAGATGGAGAACCCCTTGAAGATGAAAAAAAAGATGAGGATAAATCAGAGAAACCACAAGATGCTAGCAAAACCACTGTTAGCGAACAGTAAAACAGCAACACATTGAACGACAGCAGCTAACAATGTAATAGTAAAATGCCAGATATCCCTTTTTCTTCATTCTCTCTTCATTTACAAAATTCCTTTTTACTGTACACGTTAAGAAAAATATATTTTCCACCTTGATTTTATGACATGTTTTATCATTTTGCAGTCCAACATCCTCATCCCTCCTCTTCTATGAATTGGGGCTTGTGTGTGTAAGTAACAAAGAGAATTCAACTATTTTATGCAAAATTTAGGTTTTCATGTTAGCATAATTCATGTTATATATGGGCCCGGTGAGTTGTTGCTGAATGACTATTATTATTAGATGTTGTTGTAACTATGAATAAAAAGTTGCTTGTCATTTATGAAATACGCTCCGGAAATGATCTCTATCATCACCATGCTATCTATCATCGCTTGAAATCGCATCTCAATGATTTTAACAGTCTGGTAATCTCATATTGCTTAGCTCAAGCTTGGAAAAAAAAAGTCCTTTTTGATCATTGTCAGCATAGAGAATAGTATCTGAAAACCTTCAATACGGAATGATGAGAATACGGAGGGCAAGTTTACATTGTCTGCAAATTAACTTACCAACTACTATGAGTAGCAAACTTTCGCTGAGGATTTCATCATTTGCTAAATCTTGTCAAATAGAATATGCTTTTTTTATAAATAATCACAGAGGCGCCAATGTTGTACTAATCGTCACTAATCGGTATGTTCAAACTTACATTTCATGATGTTTTTTTCAACAGTAGCCGACAAAATATTTGATTGTAAAAGTTTGACTCAAGTTGTTGGACCTCTTCTACCGTGACCCACAAAACTGTCCCAATGTTTAGCAGTTTTTACTTTCAGACCTTACCACCGGACGGGAAGTTATCCAATAATAATGAATTTAGTATTTTCTAAAAGCTAAAACTGTTTTTATATTTTTTAATTTTTATAAGCACATAGCTGTAGAATCACAAGCTGTGATTGGCCAAAGTCATAAGGTACATTGGGACAGTATTGTGAGATCTTTTGAAAAATTACAAATTCAGTGATAACTCAAACCCACAATTTGGAATAACCTCAAGAGCCTCGTATAAGAAAGCCTCATGTAGCACAAGTAGTCTCCATTATCCATCTCGGAGTTCTAAATATCAGTTACGTCGATTATCAAGCCATGAAAGCCATTGCTGTCTCCAAGGTTAATTCTGCAATCACAATGCTTCGAAGCGGTGTTTCGATTCGGGGAATTGCTGAAAAACTGTCTTTGGGTAAGTCTACTATAGGGCGAATCAGAATGGAGCATTGTCCGGGCCTGGAAACCTCGAAAGGTGGTCGTCCTAGGGTGTTTGTGGAATACATCCACTATGATCTGCATTCCGACAGTTCATCCAGTTACCAGATTTAGATATAAACTGTATGTACACTGGATTAGATGTACGATATCGATTTATACTATAAGAAGATATGGACTTCAGATACGCTAGTACTATAAGATTCATACTATATAAGATATAGGCTATAGATGGCACCACGGACATGGATGGCACTATAGACTTATACTTGTATTCCGACATTGACTACGGATGTTTACCATATCTGGATAGGCACCAAGATTAATGCAATATGAGCTTGTTGCTTCAGATGTGCACTTCATGATCCACGCTATAAGACACATGCTTATATCCGTGATACTAGCTACAGATACTTTATGTACTACAGACTTGTACTATATATGAGACATGCTATAGACATGCATACGATATGCTATAGACATGCCATATATCCAGATACATGCTAAAGATGTATGCTTAGCGATATACACTCAGATATGTACTATTAATATAGACTAAGAAGACTGTACCTATCGGATACATGCTACTAGATCGATATTAATTATCCTTATGGAAAGGATAGATCAGGGTACTTCGGATGAGAGTCTAATTATTCATCCAGACAGAGCTAAATCATGATTAGCTTGCTGGAATTGTCTTTTAGCATGATTAGACATTAGTTGATCTGAGTTGACTTATTTGTCAATCTAATTAATAGAACTTTTATCCATTGTTATAGTATATAAGAAGGATCATCTACCTGGCCAGTAGAGAGACTTCAGTTTACTTTACACCTGTCAGTTTGATAATAAAATATACCTTTATCAAGTTGACTTTACTGTTTTTTTATTCTTTTTTTTCCGTGAATTTTAGTCTGTAAAGCCTCAAATTCCACAGTGTTGTCTGAAGCCAACAAGCGCTACTGTGTTCGAAAGGTAACCAAGGAGCGGGTTTTAAGCGTCGTCAAGGTCACAAAAATCTTGGGGAAAGATTTCCAGATGAAAGTTCATCCGGAAACCGTTCGTAGAGCACTCCGCACTGCGGGCTTAGGGGCTTTCGAGAAGGAAAAAGAAGCCTTTGCTTAGTGACGCTAATGACAAGAAGACACTTGCGTGGTGTAAACAGCACAAGGACTGAACTGTTGACGACTGGAAACGTGTTATTTGGACAGACGAGACCAAAATTAACCGTTTCAACTCAGATGGGCGACAGTAGGCCTGGATTCGATCTGGTGAACAGCTTCAAAACCACCATGTCAAGCTCACGGTAAAACACGGTGGTGGCAGTATCATACTTTGGAGTGCCATTACGTATGCTGGTGTTGGCTGGGTGTGCAAAATAAACGGTAATATGGATAAGGCATTCTACAAGGAAATCCTTCAAGACGAATTGGAGCAGACTATTGCCTTTTCTGTTGAGAAATTGGGCTTCAGCCGTGAACAAGTGATATTTCAGCAAGACAATGATCCCAAACACACCTCAAATTTGGTCAAGGATTACCTTCAGGAACAGTCATACCAGGTCATGGAGTGGCCCCGACAATCTCCAGACTTGATTCCTATCGAAAACATGTGGGCTTTGTTGAAAAGGCGTCTCAATGAGTATGAAACCGCAACCAAGGGTATGAATGAATTATATGAGCGAGTAACAGAGATTTGTTATGACCAAATGAAGCCGGAGGAGTGCCAAAAGGTTATAGAAAGTATGCCTCGACGTATTGCGGCCGTTATCAAAGCAAAAGGGAAATGGACAAAGTATTAAAGTCTTATAAAATAGTAAAACTTGATTTTTCCAAATATCTCATAATACTGTCCCAATGTACCTTACGACTTTGGCTAATCACAGCTCGTGATTCTACAGCTATGTGCTTATAAAAATTAAAAAATATAAAAACAGTTTTAGCTTTTAGAAAATACTAAATTCATTATTATTGGATAACTTCCCGTCCGGTGGTAAGGTCTGAAAGTAAAAACTGCTAAACATTGGGACAGTTTTGTGGGTCACGGTAGTTGTCATATTTGAATATGTTTATTATTGATTTGATTTTATTTGAATAAAGATAACATCTCTTATTACGACCATCATGGGTGTGAGTGAATACACTGTGATCAGGAGTGATTCATTCACACAATGTGCGATATAAGCGTGCATCTTTACTTTAGTATGTTTAAATGGTTGTTGATGATGTACATTTGAGCGCTTTTATTAGCAGGCTTGAATAGCATGAATTTGAATGAGTGCTATTTGATGACTTTCGCCTTTCAATCAAGTTGCGTTTGGGTGACTATTTCATTACACAATTTATACACAAATAAAATACAGTTGATTTTTATTGTATTCAAACCTGATTTCATTGCACTTTTATCACAAACACGTAACTATTATAAATGACAGATCAGTAGGAGATCAACTGATTGAAGGCCATCGTTGCTTCAATCTCTTAGCCAATCAGATTGCTTGAAAACTCCGCTGACCTAAAAAAAAAATTGCGAGGGTTTCCCCCTGTTTGGATGTGAGGCAAAATTTTAAGCTCCGATATATATAGCAATATAGCTGTAACTATCATCAAATTTCCCTCAGGTGCTAGAGCATGCCTTACTTACACCACCTAGCTTTAGATTCTGGCGATGAGACCCTCAATCATCACTAAAGTAAGTAGTGATAACCAAGTGGAGGCGGCCTATCTACCTCCTAGCCTCGGATAAGTTCTTGTTGAGCTTCAGGGATAGGCACATCCACACAACGTAAAAAAAAAGGTATGCTTCAAAGAAACATAAACATAATAAAAGAAAGAAAAGAGCATATTACTATACGAGTATAGTAGTATGTAAGCAGAAAAGATACATTCACACGAAGCGAGTCAAAGAAAAGTATAGCAAACACAACATCAAAGATGTTTAAAAAAGCTCGTTGCTGTTGCAAGAAAATGCATACATGAGCAACAACGCGCATGGTAGTAATAGTCGGATGTAAAGCAACATGACCCAAATACGCACAACTGCAAAAGCAACAGTGGTATTATAAGTTTGCAATACAACATAATGACTAATGTTGTTTCCTGTAAAGCTACAGAGGAAACACTACCAACAAAAGAAAAAGAAGAAGAAAAAAGCGCAACAAGACAAACATCATGAATGCATTATCACGAGAAAGGAAGCAATAATATAAGCGTTCAAAGAAGTTTTATATCACTGCTACCAGAAGAAAGAAGATACTTACCACTTACCACAGCCATAGATAGACCAAAAGAGTATAGACAATCACCGGAGACAGACCAGAAAACGAGCATGCACCAAACACAGCAGACCAGGAAAGACCAGAATAGCAGCAGCAGCAGTAGCAGCACCAGTACAATAGCAAAACTAAAGAACGAACACCATTAGCAGAGAGCAAACAAAGGCCAAAGAAGCTATTTACCAGTTAACATTACCACAGATAGACCAGAGAACAAGCATACAACAAAGACAGTAGACAAGGAAACACCATATTAGCAGCAACAGCAGCAGCAACACCAGTGGCAACGCGAGCAGCAACGCCAGCAACAGTAACAGCAGGATAGAAAAACCGAACAACGAGCGACACCAGAGACCAGCAGACAAAGATTAAAGAAGCAACCGCCAGAGACAGAGACCGAAGAAGCAGCTACCAGACATGATAAAGCAAAGAAGCAGAGAGCAGAGATAGCAGAGAAGGAATGGCAACAGCACGCATGTCAAACAGGCAAAAAAAATTATCAAAATCTAATAAGCAAATTCGATTAGTGCTGATTTTACGTCTTCCAGTGCTCGTTACCGAATGGTACCCACCATATTCCACTTCAAAGAGGCAGTACCAGGTATCTTTAACAGCACAGGACCGTGTCATCAGAAGCGAGAGTGTTATTTTCAATCAATAGGGTTCCAAAACCAACATGGTTTGATAATAAACGCGTTTTGCAAAAAGGGTTAAAAAACGACGGTAGGGAACAGAAAGAGGGCGACATATCCGACGTCACGTTCAGTAGATTTGACCTCAGTCTTCTGCCGTGGCAGTCGTAACTGCTGCACTTTAATTTGAAATTGTGCAGTGGGTATTTTCGTGTTCAAATGCGACTTGATTTCACATCCTTTAAACGTTTTTGCTAAATTTGACTATGAAAATTGTCGTTATTATACCTTACCTTCTAATGCACTTATAAAGAGTCAATGAAGGTGCATCGAATGATGCTGGTCACATTCAACTTTCAGACCGAAAATAAAGAGCAATCTTAAGATATTTGAAAATAGATTTTCTGCGGATATGTCAAAATTTAACATATGAAAGTCTCATAGGAAGAGTTTCCAGTGCTGCATTCCGTCTCTACGATTGATTTGATCTGATATGTATCATAGAAAAAGTCTTTATTTTTGCGATGAAAAACGCAATCGTTTGATTTTCATGAATTTTCCCTTGCTAATACTCGCGAAAAAATGATGATTTTTATGGATTTGCAATGAACTAAAAGAAATTGAGATAAAGCATCATTAAGTAAGGCATATCAAAGGAGGGCCGTTTGGTGCTATTTCCGGCGCTCAAAGCGTTTTGTAGCATGAGTTATTCGTGCTTAAAAATGGCTTGTTTTTAGCAGAATTTGACCTGAAATTAAGGCGTTGCAATAAGATCATGTATGACGCACGGATTTCACAAAATAAATAAAGCAATAATAAAATACAATAGAAAGCAACTGTATTATATTTGTGTATAAAATGAACTGAAGATCCTGGAATTGAGTAAAAAAGAAGAGTATTTATACAATTGCAACCAGCTTGTAGGATTAGTAATGACAGAGAGCAATAGGTGCTGCTATTGCGATATCTGACAAAAGTTGTTGATGTTTGATTTAAAGTGGTAATCAATGCAAGAGCACTGGCAATAAGGGTCGATTTGAGTCATCTTGATGGGCTTGGATGAGCCATCGTCAAAGAATGATTTAATGTAACCTTGACAGTTTAAGGTGTGATGTTTGTTATTGAGGGGTATTGTGCAACTATGGCATCAAGGCATAGTTGTCATATTTGAATATGCTTGTCATTGATTTGATTTTATTTGGGTAATAATGGATAACATCACTTATTATGGCCATCATGAGTGAGATGGAATACATTGTGATGATCAGGTATGATTCATTCACACAATGTGCGAGATAATGATTCATCTTTACTTTAGAATGTTTAAATGGTTGTTGATGTACATTTGAGCGCTTCTACTAATAGATCCAAATAGCATGAATTTGAATGAGTGCTATTTGGTGAATTTCGGTTTTCAATCAAGTTGCGTTTTGGTGGCTATTTCATTACACCTCAATTCAAAGAGTATATAATCCCTCTTATTTCCAATGTAATAAACGATATTCTTTACCTGATTAATTTCATACTCTTTTTATAAATAATTTATTTCTGATAAATCGATTGCGGTTGTTTCAAACCTTGAGCGTCAATACTGTTATGCATATTGATGAATTCGTAATAATAAGCGGATGATAATAATCAGTTGTCAACTGTATCTAAAACGAAAGCAAAGCGCTTCTTTACTACAGTACATCTAACTAGCTTGAGTATGATAATAGATCCCTGGTCAATGACTACTACATTGAAATGGTATATAAACAGCAGGCCGCTGGGACCTTATGGGTTGTTGGTATAGCTTGTTGAGAGACCACCTAAGTCAATATGTTTCATGTAGTGTAGGTGGATCTCGACATCTTTACATTAGGGAAATTGGATCTATTGTAGTTCCTGAGGCACCCGTGCACACAAAATTGACTGGCGATGCAATCCACACCATAATTCACCATATTACACCTGATCCAGCACATCAACGCCTCATCGGTTTCTACATACACAGTAAAGCACACATCAAACCATAGTCTACACGCATAACAGGACACATCAAATAGTCAACTACAGTGCGCGAAAAAAACGTTCCAGTGTTTTGCCAATTCGTAGTTTTACACTTACAGCTCTGTCAATTTTTTCCAATTTGAAAACTAAAGTAAGACTACGAAAGCTTGGGCTTTTGGCCACAAAATGAGCTACTAAAATGATTGATACAGTAGATATTGAGCTAGTGCAACTGACGTGAAGTAAAAAATTTCGATTTTGTAAAATTGGAAATATCGCTTGATGACCTTATTGTTTGTATACATTCCACGAAAATAATCCGAGAGCCGTAATTTTTTATATCAGTTATGTTTAAAACGTTAGTTATCTGAGGAATGCTTAAAAAAGTATAAAGAAGCCTGAGATTTTGGTCTTTTCCCTCATTATATTTTACCATCTTTACTTCATCACTTTTTTTAACATGACACGTCCCATTCCTCAGGAGGTTCAAGGATCTGTCAAGGCTCTTTTCAACCAAGGTTGTTCCCTCCGTGCCATTCAAAAAATCTTCCCAAATTTGTCCGTCAGTGTACTTTCTCGCTATAGGAAGAAGTTTCTTGGTCATTCAAAACATGCCAAACCCGGAAGACGCAGCAAAATCACTACGCAAAATATGAACTACATTGAGAGGAATCTCCGCAATGGTAATTTAGACGGCCCCAAGGGTGTGCAGTGCTACCTTGCTCATATGGGAGTTCAGATGACTTTGAGGAATATACAGTATATACTCAAGCGCAAAGGGTTCAAGGCTAAAAGAAACGTAAAGACCAATTTCGTGTCTGCGGAGAACCGGAAAAAAGCGTCTTGTGTGGGCCAAGAGACATCGACATTTGACTGCGGACGATTGGCGTAAATGGGGATTTTTCGATGAAACCAGGGTCAACATGTGGGGATCTGACGGCGAATCTTTCTACTGGACTGACAGGCCCACTGAGTTGATGCCTCATCAAACTGAGGCTCAAGTTCAGGGAGATGGTGGTGGCGTTGTTTTCTGGGGCATGATAACAGCGGAGGGACCCAGCTATGGCTCCACCATTACCGAAGGAACTGTTAACTCAGAAGTTTATGCTGAAATTCTGGACTCATCTTTGCTAGACACTATCGAGTACTATGGGCTGGACAAGAAAACGTTTAGATTCCAGCAAGATAACGCAAGACCACATACTTCTGGTCCCATTAAAAAATAGTTCACGCATCACGGATTCTCTGTGCAAAGTGTCCTTGATTGGCCCTCCCCAAAGCCCTGACCTAAACCCCATTGAACATGTCTGGCATCAACTAAAACGTCGTTTGAACAAGTACCCTACTAGGGCCACCAGCCTTTCTGAGCTAGAAGACAGAATTGAACAGAAATGGTATAAATTCACAAAAGAAGACTGTCTTAAATACATAGGCAGCATGCCACGCCGAATCAAAGCGGTTATCAAGAGTAAAGGTGGTCCAACTAAATATTGAGCTTTTTTATATAATTTAATAAATTCGACTTTTCACTTTTCATGTGGCTACCATTCTTTTTCTAATTACGTGAATAACGTGCATAATATATCATCTGATAGCCAACTACTTAAGCTATTTATGAAACTAAGCAAGCCCCAGTAGCTTTGATATTTGCAGAGAAAACTGGCTATAAGTGCAATTTGGCAAAACACTGGAACGTTTTTTTCGCGCACTGTAGTAGGATGACTATTACTGAAACCACACCACTCGCTGCAATGACAAGAACAAACTACAACTACATCTCTCTCTAGATTGTCTACATATATCATTTACAACAATCTACTGGATCATCACACTTAAATTTACATCTCAGGATCTAAACCTCAGAAAGATATAAAAAGGACCATGCATTTCATTTTATAAAGAATCATCTTACTTTTTGCACACAGTGGAAAGCTGATACTTTACTGTAAATTTCATTTGTGTAATTTTAGATATTCAACAAGGTGTTGAATATATTACTTATGTCTCTCCAAGTTCCATTGACAGTTTTTGCACGAGCACTGATACTACCAACGATATGAGGAAGGCTGTCTTGCGGCAAAAAGAACAAGAAGTATTACAATGGTGAAGCATAGCTTTGTCTCTCCATGTTTAGCTTTGAGCGTGAATGCCTATAGCTTTCAAAGAAAAGTCTACTATTGGCAAGCACTTCTCCAATAGACCAACCATCGGTGGGAGTTATATGAATTTCCTTTCTTTTTTTCCTCTGGTTATATAGCACCGCCTAAGTAACCGTTTACTCCTGGGTAAAATTCTCAGGAACAGTATGCTATGCGGTACTTGAATCATCATCAGTAGTAGGAAGAGGTCTTACATATTTTAGACGCCCTGTCTTCATAGTCAATACTTATTAGAATAACGACGTGAGATGCAGACAGAGGAGATACAATTGAAACTAATTATACTTATTATCATTCCAACAAGACTGACTGAGGATTAACACTAGTGTATAATTAAAAGATATTTATCGTTACTCGACAGTATCGCAGCAATAGGACCTTGATTTTGGATACGGGATAATTGTATAAGCCTTGAATCAGTTAACGAATATGGGCTGTGTAAGAGTCGATAGGCCACCAGTCCGGAACAAACAATAGAGATGATTCAGGATAGACAGCTCTTTATATTAGATCTGACGGAAGAATATTTGTCAGCATTAAAACACGCTTCTTCGAGAGACGAAAGACAATAGCCTACCACACTTCACGAACCAGAATAAAAATTAGCCATTTAATGGCACCACTCATTCCTTTGCATTGCTTGAATAAAAAGATCTCAATCTACTACGCATCTCTGCTCGTTCTCAAATCTTCTCCTGTATTATACAATGTATAATACATTTGCCTCTCAGAGATGATCTATATCCTAGGAAGTTATTATACTATGGAAGTGGCCTGAAGAAAAAGTGAAAGTAGCCTAGGGTGCATGCTTTTATGCAACAAAATGAGTGGTTTTTTGGCACAGCTCATGCTATTTTATTAAGGCAAGCATATATAGCTGTAGTAGTATTCAAATTGAAAGACTGACCAGCAGCTATTAAGATTTTTCTACCATTTAAGAGGTATAAAATAACAACATTACCGTTGCAGTAAAGCGCAACAGGAGCTGCGTATTGCCAAATTAACAGATAATGTATATTGTTGTGATGCTGCCTACGTGAAATAATAGCTTAGGTTTAGGTTTCTCCTGTAGTTGTACTACAACTTGATGATACTGTTTTGATGGCATTTTACGATGCATTGGCGTATATTACTATAGTTTTCCAATAGGGATTAAAGCTTTTGCTGCTCCTTTCAGATAACTCAAATGTATTTATCATGAATAGAAAGTAGGAAAGAGATGAAGTATCTAATGGCTTTTACAGAGTTTAAAGCCTTGACACATGCATCTGTGAGAGTCTAATATTGTCTATTTTTTATGCTTGCATGCATATGACAGTTTTACTGGTACAAGCGTACATGGATTCAGCTTAAGTACTATGTTAGTAAGGCTATCAAATGTAAGATGTATCCGCTGTAATTCAGCCTCAAAATTGCCGCCAAAAGCGCATATTACATAAAATAGTCCGTGCAATGCAGCTCCTGCAAATTATTAAATATAGTTCTTATTCACCTAAGAATCTAGCAATACAACCTCCAACTCAATAGTTATAAGCCAAACTAGACCCAAATATGGCAATTTTCTACCACAAATATCTCCTGATACAAGCTGTTTTGAAAGTTTAAAATGGTACCGAGCGGTTGTCTTTAATCATAATTTAATTTCTGACGCTTTATCTCAAATTTTTCTGAGTCATTGCAAATCCATGAAAATCATCATTTTTTCGCGAGTACTAGCAAGGGAAAATTCACGAAAATCAAACGATTGCGTTTTTCATCGCAAAAATAAAGACTTTTTCTATGATACATATCAGATCAAATCAATCGTAGAGACGGAATGCAGCACTGGAAACTCTTCCTATGAGACTTTCATATGTTAAATTTTGACATATCCGCAGAAAATCTATTTTCAAATATCTTAAGATTGCTCTTTATTTTCGGTCTGAAAGTTGAATGTGACCAGCATCATTCGATGCACCTTCATTGACTCTTTATAAGTGCATTAGAAGGTAAGGTATAATAACGACAATTTTCATAGTCAAATTTAGCAAAAACGTTTAAAGGATGTGAAATCAAGTCGCATTTGAACACGAAAATACCCACTGCACAATTTCAAATTAAAGTGCAGCAGTTACGACTGCCACGGCAGAAGACTGAGGTCAAATCTACTGACCGCGACGTCGGATAGGTCGCCCTCTTTCTGTTCCCTACCGTCGTTTTTTAACCCTTTTTGCAAAACGCGTTTATTATCAAACCATGTTGGTTTTGGAACCCTATTGATTGAAAATAACACTCTCGCTTCTGATGACACGGTCCTGTGCTGTTAAAGATACCTGGTACTGCCTCTTTGAAGTGGAATATGGTGGGTACCATTCGGTAACGAGCACTGGAAGACGTAAAATCAGCACTAATCGAATTTGTTTATTAGATTTTGATAATTTTTTTTGCCTGTTTGACATGCGTGCTGTTGCCATTCCTTCTCTGCTATCTCTGCTCTCTGCTTCTTTGCTTTATCATGTCTGGTAGCTGCTTCTTCGGTCTCTGTCTCTGGCGGTTGCTTCTTTAATCTTTGTCTGCTGGTCTCTGGTGTCGCTCGTTGTTCGGTTTTTCTATCCTGCTGTTACTGTTGCTGGCGTTGCTGCTCGCGTTGCCACTGGTGTTGCCACTGGTGTTGCTGCTACTGTTGCTGCTGCTGTTGCTGCTAATATGGTGTTTCCTTGTCTACTGTCTTTGTTGTATGCTTGTTCTCTGGTCTATCTGTGGTAATGGTAACTGGTAAATAGCTTCTTTGGCCTTTGTTTGCTCTCTGCTAATGGCGTTCGTTCTTTAGTTTTGCTATGGTACTGGTGTTGCTGCTACTGCTGCTGCTATTCTGGTCTTTCCTGGTCTGCTGTGTTTGGTGCATGCCCGTTTTCTGGTCTGTCTCCGGTGATTGTCTATACTCTTTTGGTCTATCTGTGGCTGTGGTAAGTGGTAAGTATCTTCTTTCTTCTGGTAGCAGTGATATAAAACTTCTTTGAACGCTTATATTATTGCTTCCTTTCTCGTGATAATGCATTCATGATGTTTGTCTTGTTGCGCTTTTTTCTTCTTCTTTTTCTTTTGTTGGTAGTGTTTCCTCTGTAGCTTTACAGGAAACAACATTAGTCATTATGTTGTATTGCAAACTTATAATACCACTGTTGCTTTTGCAGTTGTGCGTATTTGGGTCATGTTGCTTTACATCCGACTATTACTACCATGCGCGTTGTTGCTCATGTATGCATTTTCTTGCAACAGCAACGAGCTTTTTTAAACATCTTTGATGTTGTGTTTGCTATACTTTTCTTTGACTCGCTTCGTGTGAATGTATCTTTTCTGCTTACATACTACTATACTCGTATAGTAATATGCTCTTTTCTTTCTTTTATTATGTTTATGTTTCTTTGAAGCATACCTTTTTTTTTACGTTGTGTGGATGTGCCTATCCCTGAAGCTCAACAAGAACTTATCCGAGGCTAGGAGGTAGATAGGCCGCCTCCACTTGGTTATCACTACTTACTTTAGTGATGATTGAGGGTCTCATCGCCAGAATCTAAAGCTAGGTGGTGTAAGTAAGGCATGCTCTAGCACCTGAGGGAAATTTGATGATAGTTACAGCTATATTGCTATATATATCGGAGCTTAAAATTTTGCCTCACATCCAAACAGGGGGAAACCCTCGCAATTTTTTTTTTAGGTCAGCGGAGTTTTCAAGCAATCTGATTGGCTAAGAGATTGAAGCAACGATGGCCTTCAATCAGTTGATCTGTTGTTGATTTGTCATTTATAATAGCTTTGTGTTTGTAATAAAAGAATGACCAAATGAATACAGTTTAATGCCTTCATTATTTCAAAGTAAGAAAAGATGCAGTTATTATGCAATACATAATCTTTTCGACAACAATTTTATGAGGAATGTCTTTTAAAGTTATTAGGTGGGAAAGTTATATAAATATTACAGTACCTCGCAAAACTAGTGTATATTTTGAAGGTATTTATATTTGTTTGGCAGTGCCGCATGTAACGAAATTGCCACCTGAAAGCAACTTCATTGAAACCCAGGTTCATCAAACACCATTCATTCCAATTCATGCTATTTGAATCTATTAATAAGCGCTCAGATAATGTACGTCAATAACCACTTAAGCATTCTAAAGTAAAGATGAATCATTATCTCGCACATTGTGTGAATGAATCACACTTGATCATCACAATGTATTCCATCTCACTCATGATGGCCATAATAAGTGATGTTATCCATTATTACCCAAATAAAATCAAATCAATGACAAGCATATTCAAATATGACAGCTATGCCTTGATGCCATAGTTGCACAATACCCCTAGATAAAGGGCTATACACTTCAATAACAAACATCACACCTTAAACTGTCAAGGTTACATTAAATCATTCTTTGACGATGGCTCATCCAAGCCCATCAAGATGACTCAAATCGACCCTTATTGCCAGTGCTCTTGCATTGATTACCACTTTAAATCAAACATCAACAACTTTTGTCAGATATCGCAATAGCAGCACCTATTGCTCTCTGTCATTACTAATCCTACAAGCTGGTTGCAATTGTATAAATACTCTTCTTTTTTACTCAATTCCAGGATCTTCAGTTCATTTTATACACAAATATAATACAGTTGCTTTCTATTGTATTTTATTATTGCTTTATTTTTTTTTTGTGATATCCATTAAACCTAAATTCACTGCAACATCTATGTTTACAAGTCTAGTCCGTCGTGTGCGCACAGATGCCTCAGGGACCACAATAGATTCAATCTCCCAACTATCAAGATGTCGAAATCCACTTACAATACACGAAACATATCGACTTGGACGATTTCTCAACTAGCTATACCAACAATCAATATGGACCTAGTGACTGCTAGTTAAATACCATTTCAACGTAATAGTCATTGACTAGGGATCTATCATATTTAAGCTAGTTAGATACCTTGTAGTAGAGAAGCTCTTCGCTTTCGTTTTAGATAATAGAGTTGACAGCTGCTTATTCATCAACTTTATTATTATGAATTCATCGCTTTTATTGAAAATAATATGTCCAAAGAATGCACAATTTATATATTTTTCATTATTCTATGATTTACAACATGATGACAGACTATAATACCAGTAGATTTGCTATTTAACCAACAAATGATATGTAGGTCCTGCTTAGCATGATTTACCCAGATAATGCAAGAATAAACTAAAAATTGTAGTACAGAATTTTATGAAGGTATTTGATATAATAAGCCCGTTACATGCTACGTGTGAGTGCAATGCTTACGGCTATTTGCTATGATAGCTGTCTGTGGTTTCTATTGGTATGATTGGAGTCGACAAGACTCATTGTTGTAATGATTCGTATTACATATGCTTCAATCCGCATGATTGAAACATTAGTAGAGTATACAAATAGCCTTCCTTTTGACAGATACTAAACGTTAGTAAAACTATCTGCCATTGCTTCTTTCTGTATTTTTATTACAATAAATCCACCATTTAATCCTAATACTACTTGTTCAATAATATTTACATATATTATATAGTAAGTATCGCTCAAGGTTAAGGACCTACAAATAGTAACACCAATCTGCCCATTCCTAGTACATCTGTCTTCCCTCTACAAGACCATTGTACACTCATTACAATCGCACTCTAAGAATACTCCACTGAAAACAGACAAAAAGTAGAAATCGCTCCTAGGTTTAATATAATAAAGCAATATCCAGGATTTGTTGTCACACGGTAGTGATACGGCTGAATCGAAAGGGAGACTTGATGTGCAGTTTCCCAAAGATATTAACATTCATGATTTCTTGAAAGGCTGCTCATTGTGGCAGTGGAGACAGCAACAAAGAATTACTGTTAAAATACTGCTTCATCGAGTTTGGAATATGTGCAATAAAATGTACGGTATATACCTTTGTTATCGAAATTTGTTTACAACATCTTGTATCCTTCGGTAGCTTAGTCTATCCGTAATGATGCTGGTAACTGGAACGTGACATCTTGGTACAAGGAAATAGATTTGAATGTGTTTGGAAGACAAACTATATTTTCTTGCTGAAAAGCTAGGTCATTACTCAGATAACAACCTGATATGTGAGCTTATACATGCGTTTTTAATGCAACGATTGAAACCATCTATATACAGTTGCTGTAACTATTTCAAACTGACATTTTGGAATCATCACATACACACACAGACACACATGTTACATTCTATTGTAGACATCAGTTGCCCTTCAGCTATAAAGGATACAGTGGAATGAAGCGCATATATTTATTTATGTAAAAGTTTGAATTAAGCTCGTGGGGCTCTGTCACTTGTAGCTGAATTCAATAGTTAAAAAGCGAGAGATTGTCAAGTATGAGTAGGAAGGGGGGGGGGAGGATGAGAGGAAGAACTAGGAAAAATTACAAATGTGCCCATCATACAGATTAAGCGGAAGCAGGCAACTTTGACTCAAGCTTTTCCATTCTTTCGGTTACTGTGCCTATATCAGAGGATCTATGAAAAGCCGATGGGTCAGTAATGAACACGGAACATACTTCATATCAAGACTCACTGTTGTTTCAATGTGTCAAGCACACTCTTGAGTTGAGTTGGGTTCATGCCAGCGAATCTGTGTGTCTTGGGTTTTGTTACATGTTGTTGCTGTTCAAGTTGCTCTCTCAACTAGAATATATCAAGATCAGAATATTACGCATCAGATATTAAAAGCAAGCACTGACCTTTTTGATGCGAGCAAGATAACCGGATTCCCCTGAAACTTGCTTTGATAACTTTTCCAACTTATCAATCCACTCCTTTTCTTCATTGGATAATTCAGGTTGGTAGCTCTTCATCAAGGTGCGTAATTGTTCGTCAATGCGTAAGCGTAATTTGGCATGTCTTTGAGAGATTTCTTTCAGTTTTTGCTGCTGTGCTTCCTTGGCTTCCTTTGAATTGGTCTTTTCCAACTTGAAATATAAGTCTCTCACTGCATTCAATTGTCGTTCAAACTCTTTTTGTTGGGTTGTTAATCTACATTCAAGTATAGGTTAGTTATTCACCGTATCAAGTCGCTTGGGTAGGTGGGGGGGGGGAGGGGATATCCTACCTGCCGTCAATGTGAGAAGCAGCCTTCTTCAGATCACGAGTTTCACGACGAATTTGTTCTGTTGACTTGGAGAAGAATCGAAGGGTTTCTTCGTTGATGACGATTTCTTGAGGACCACCCATGCCAGGAGGAAGAACGATCTTGGGTTGTTTTGGCAATGTATCAAGTTGTGGAGGTGGCTTGAACAGAGGCAGTGATAAAAGGGGTTCGTATCCTTTCTTGCTTTCATTTTGCTCTGATCCAATCGTGTGCAATTGAGCCTTTACAGCCTTTTCAGCTTCCTCAGGGATATCTTCATCACTACGCATGTTCAAGTCTCTTGTCACCAATCTGTAATCCGTTGTCAAGGCCAGCAGTGAGTAGGACAAGTAAATATCAGAAATCAGTACCAAGCCAATGATAGGCACAAATGCATCTTTGAAGGGAGAAGCGTTGACGAGCGATCTTACTTCAGATCGGCTCTTGTCCTTTAACAAGCTATCCAACTCACGCTTTGATTCGGGGTTGTTTCCAGATTCGTATTTGAGGATGGCATTACGGAGGGGTTGGATCCATGTGCTCATAGCAACAGCATGTACACCAGCAGCGTGATAGACAAAGTAGGTATCCTCATACAATGGATCAGACATCAGAGTGACAGTTTGGTATTTGGGTAATTCCTGAGTCTTGAGATTGATGATCTCGTACAAGGAAGCCTTTGGAAGACATGCTGCATCAGCCAATAACAAGCCCAACTAGGTACGATGTCAGTAAAGATAAAAAGCAATACTCGAACCATTCACTTACGTCCTTTTGCCAGGTATGAGTGACATTAGCCACTGGCATTCTCCATTGAGCATCAATCTCACCGCTGAGCAAATAGTTGTGAACACTGCCATTTGTCAAACCCAAGGCGAGCACGTAAACAGGATCTGCATTGATGAGCAAGAGATCAGTCGCCTCGACACCTTGGCTGAGAGGATCCGTATGCGTGATGACGAATGGGCCCTGTCTGAGAACAGGATACTGACTATGATGCTCATCACTTACCACCACCAAGCTATCACTTTCATTTGATCTACGAGCAATCTTTGCAGTCTGAAACAAGTCGTCGATCCAAATGCTGTGGAGGTTGAACAAATGAGATAACGTTTTGTGATCAGGCTTTGAGGCAGATTTGGCTTGTTGGTATTTGGCGTCTGAAATGCAAGCGAGGTTGTCCAAATGACTGCGACGAACCACACTTCTGAAGGGGATGACAGGACACAGGGAGTACATGTGGCCATTGCGAAGAACGTAAAATACAGTGAAAGGCTCCCAACCACTCTTGTCTTTGCTGGGTCCACCGAGTGTGAATGAAACAACATCCTCATCTGAATTGTCTTGATCGTCGACATTGAAAGATCCCAGTCTTTTGATGGGTTGTGTGATGGTGACAAGATCCAATGGTGACAAATCGAATGACTGTTCGGGCACTTCAATATCGCAACTGATGTCAAAGATTCTGATTGCATAGTGGCGTGTTAGTTTGGCTCTATCTCTGAGGTTTGCATAATAGAAGCTTACCTCAACATGTTGTCATTACCGAGGATGACAATGTGCGTGTGGGTATCACTGAGTGGATGCCATTGAATCTTGAGCAGCTCAGCCTTTGATTTCTGGTAGTACTTGCCGCCCACTGATAAAGTACGACAATCCACCTTTCTCTTGGGAATAATGCCAGCAAAAGCGACATCTGAAAAGGACTGTCTGGGTAGGCACACAACCTCCAAACGATGTTCACCACATACTGCCAGCAAACGACCGTTGCTGTTGGGCGACATGGCTTCAATGTTGTAATTGATTTCAGGTGTGTCCAAGACCTATGTAAGCAGCCGATGAGTACGTGTTGAGTGTATGCTATGCTGTGTTCTTACCTTGTAAGGAGTCGACAGCATCCAATTGTCAGACAATGGCTCGTCTTTGCTGTTTGCTTCTTTAGCAGCCCTCAACCAGTTATCTTTGAAGTTTGACAAGTTGAGCACTCTGATTTGAGAAGCAATGGCTACAAAAAGGTCGTTGTCTCTGATAGCAATGACACGGGCGTGGTGTTGCAGAATGAAATTGACGACATTGCTGTCTTGACGTGTCTGTTTAGACTGCATCGTTTGAGCACAACGCTTGTCGGCATCGTCCAGGTCAAAGATGGGGTGTTTGACCAAGTATTCTAACCAGCTATCGTATATAGTTTCCATTTCAATATGTAGTATAAAGCAAGAAAGAGAAAAAGAAGCGTATATAAAGCTTGTCATTATGAACGCGATGTGGAATTTTGATTGATTCGAGCAACTTTCGTGACAGGTATTCCTCTCTCTCTTTCTCTCTCTCGGCATATGTGAGGTTTTGCTTTGCAACATTTTTCATCCTCTTCTCTTATAAGTAGCCCATCATGTATGATGACGATGAAGAAGAGTTAGAGCTGCTGAGGCAGTACGAGGACAAGGATCTAGCTGAAGACGATGACAACAAGTCAAGGTAGGATGTGTGTTGGAGGAATATGGCATTAGCAGGCAAACTTACCATTGGTATCTGTCCTCCCTCAGCGATGATATGGACAGTGACCTAGAGGATAAGATCATGAGCATGGTGCAATATGGTTCTGGCATTTCGAAAAAGAAGGCACCAGCTCCAGTACTGCCATCTACAAAGACACAAGACGTCAGTCCTTCTGAGCAGAACAATGTACAACCAAAAGTTGTTTATGCACCTGTAGATAGCGATATTGAGGATCCACAAAAGACAGCTGTTTCATCAGCCAACATATATCAAATCGATGAGAGCGATTCTGAGGACGACGCACCTTCTAAGGCTGTCTATAGCGATGAGGATGAAGATGAGGACGAGGAAAGGGAAGAGGAGGAAGATATTGGAGTTCCCGAACTCACTGCTGATATTCCAGCCAAGAAAACAATCGATCAGCCTCAAGTAACCCGGTTTATTAATTTGGATGAGGAAGAGAAGCGTTATATGGATGATGAAGACACATCAGAGGAAGAGGCAGAACTAGAGTCTAAGCTGCAGCAACTGATTGATGATCAGGTAAGACTACAGCCGGGACAGACCAAGGGATGGCATGTCTAATGCAGGCCTGTAGATTTACAATCGTCAAAGCAAGAGGCGTTTTCAGGAGAGACCTGTGCGAGTGTGCTTCAACTGTCATACACCTGGACACGAACGCATTGACTGTAAAATTTGCATGGATTGTGGTATGCTCAAGCATAAGGACTCTCGTTGTGTAGGTGCTCGTTACTGCTCCAAATGTAAATTCCGTGGTCATAACGCTATCGACTGTACCAATGCGCGAACATACGAGAGCTGCAGACATTGTGGTGCAACCTATCATCATTCAGACATGTGTCCTAGTTTGCTGCATACGTATGTAGGTGAGGTGCCTGCCAAATCCACACCAGTCGCTTGGTGTTACAATTGTACTGAGAGGGGCCATTACGGTGATGAGTGTCCAGATTTACCACAATACAAGACCACACTGCCTTCTGCATTCTCCAATTTAAGTCTTGGTTTAGGCAGTCGATTCGATCCCAAAAAGGCCAAGAAATCATCCTCATCATATCACGGATCAACGTATACAGCCAACAAGCACCAAAGATGGTCAGATTCCAGTCGAGAGAGTAGTCCTCGATATGATCATCGCGATAGTAAAAAGCGATCCAGATACAGTTACAATGACAGCGACGATGACTATAGCAACTCGAGGTACACGAGACGAGACAATGCGTCTTCTTCAAAGCACAGCAATAACGGTAACAACAGCAAAAAGAGACAAAAGGTCAATAATCAAGGATTAGATGGCTTCTTTTCTCATCAACAGCAGCAAGCATCCTCCTCGTCATCGAGAAACAACAACAACAGCAAGCAGAATAATAACGGTAGATCTGGCAATAGCAACTGGAAAGCCATGAACAACAACTCTTTACCTCAACCAACTCGATCAGGCACTGTCAAAGTCAATTCATATAGCAGACAGCAACAACAACAACAACGTCAAGACTTTGGTGATTTCCCTCGCGGCAATAACAATACGAATAGTCTTCCAAGGCCAACCTCAAGTGGTGTGATTGATTTGACGGGTGAGAGTAACAATAGCAATAAGAACAGCAACAGAGGAGGCGGAGGCGGAGGCGAGTATTCAAGCAACAGAAAACCTAAATACCATGGGGGATACAGTCGTAATCGATAATTTTTCTTATACATCTACCATCTATATATGAAACGCAATTTTGTTGTGAGTCTTTTTTTTTTTTTTTTTTTTTTTTTTTTTGAAGGAAAACGACATGTAAATAAATGCTTTTATTTTTATTGACCATCCAAGAGAATACTGGTTGATTGAGTAGGAATATGATAAATGATGTATTCTACTTCTTTTTTCAGCTCATCGCAATATCTGTTGAGAGGCAAATCATTGTCGTCATAGCCAACTATTCAGTACTGTCAGTATTTCAGTTATAAACCACAGTAGTAAACTTACATGGATTTTCAATCTCTGCTCCAATCGCTTCAATACCAAACAATGTGAATGACACGAGTGCAACAACAGGTGCAACTATCCAAGCCAGTGTGTCTACCAGTGCAAAAGGCAAAAAGAAAATGTACAAAACGACAGCTTGTTTTCTAAATGGAGAGAGGTAGTCAGTCCCCGCAATCTAACCGGCCTGGATTCATGTCGCCTTACAAATGAATGTTGTATGCTTTTGGAATAGGTGTGTGCACGATTCTCTCAAAAGCTGTCAATGAGTTGACCAATATATCTATCGAATTTGTAGTAACTGATACCAGAGTGGATTCAATCTTGTTGGCTGCCTTCTGTTGGTTAATATACAATGCCACACGAAACAAGATCTCCAAAGGCAAGGAGAGATCAGAATCGCCTTGATAGGGTAAATCCTCTTCACTGGTGAATTCCGAATGATCTAAATGTCTCTTTTTAAACTTTTGATGCTGATTGCGAATACGGCTCTTGATGTGATGCAGTTCGGCTTGTGTTTTGGATCCCATCTTCTTCATATCTGCTACAGTGGTTCTTGATCTTCCTTCTTGATGATTGTTATCATTACCATCGCCATCCTCTCTAGGTGAGTCGGGCACTGCAGAAGCAGGAGGCAAGTTGACAGCTTCATCAAGCAATCGGCTGCCTTGCTGTTCCTCTTCATCGCCAATGGTCTGCTCCAAATTGACACCTGTCATGGTACTTTTGAATTGAGCAGTAGATGCTTGAGCAAAATCTGAGTTTGGAAACTCTTGCTGGATCAAGGAACGACGTACATTGGCAATGTGAGTAGGATCATCCGATTCCATGTAGTCATCGTGTTGCTTTGGCTTGATCGAATCCGTCAACGATACCATGACAGCGGGCGCTCTATCAAATACATGGAACTCTCTTCTCTTTTTGGCACTTGACGATGCGTCCACAGATGTACTACGTCCTACCACAGCATTGGATTGAACAGCGTCATTTAAATTGATGTATAATTTTACAGTTGTCTGTGGCGTGCTTTGCCCCTCGGGCACGGTTCCTGCCTTGTTCTTCTTTGCAGAGCTTGCTGGCTCCCATTTGGGCGGCAACAGCACTTCCACTATAGAGCAACGCAATAAATAAGTCTGTGTAATTACATCATTATTAGACTGTCCAACTTACAATCATAGTAATGTGTACCGTATTCATGGCGGAGATGGTGCTTGGTAGCGACAAAGAAGGCTAATAATAGCTTGACACAGCGCATTTTCTCCAGATGATCTTGCTCAGTCTCTTCAGGGATGTTGATCCACACTTGACGAGCCACATTTCTGATAGTGGCAGTAACTGTTTGAATCAGCTTTCTGCCTTCCCAGTAACGATCATAGGCTGTATTGACACGAAATGCCAGTAATAGACCTAATGCAACGGAAACAGTTCCTACTTTTGTGTTTATGATGTTTAGTCTTGTGTAATCATTTTTGTCAGCATTGGATCCAAAACTTACAAACAGATACAGGCACGCTAATAGAGATTTGAAAGGTAAGGTGAAAGAGACACACCAGGCATGAGAAGCCTGTCATGCCAATGACTCCTGGCAATGTAGGCAAAAGTACCTTTCAAGTAATGTCATTATAAGCAAGCCTGGCTCCTTTTTTTTGCAATTGATATCATTACTTACGGATCCTTTCCATCGCAATACATCGGGCCACACCAATTGACTCTTGAAATATAACAGCATGGATCCCAAGAAAGTGGGCTTCTTGAGATACGAGTATCCTACACGCAATAAACGGTTTAGCACACTATAATGACTTGAAGATAGCTTCAATTACCTTCAACAGTATGCGTTTGTAAAGGAGGCATGTTTTCAAAAACCTATTGTAAGTATATAAAAGGAGATATTATACTTTTATGAGAAGAAAAAAAAAGAAAGAGAGAGAGAGAGAGAGAGAGAGAGAGGCGTTTGATCAAAGCAATTAATATAATCAAGTTGCCTCGTACAACAGATCCAAAGTTGGCGTAATATTCGGTTGATTGGGCTTCAATCGTCATTACCAACATGTGTCACAAGAACCACTGTTGTGTGTACCTTTGCTATACAGATAGACTGTGAACAATCGTCTAAGCCGCACTGCAAGAACAGATCCAATTGAGAGCATAAAGTGCATAAAAGTTCATGAATTGACAGCCTAGGCAGGGCGATATATACACTCACGCAATGCCAAATGAAATCCAATTTCCGTCACAGGAACACCAGCAAGATCAAATGCATAGGATAAAAGGAAATGGAGGGCTTGTCAAACGGGACAGCTTCTATAACGTAGCTTTATTTTAATACAAGACTTCTCTAGCGTGAATGAAATTCACGATGGCTTGATTTGATTTGACATTGATCCCCTTTTGTTGGCCCATCTTGACAATATAGCCATTGAGATAATCCACTTCTGTCAATCTCTTTGCTCTGATATCCTGCAAAGTGGAGCTGACGTTTTCACCTGCCTCTACATTGGTCCTCATCACCATCTCCATCAAAGACTCCACTGTTTCTCCGGGCATTTCGTCCTTGAACACCTCATATCCCTCTTCACAAATGGATCGCATCATGGCAATGCCACCAGGATTTCCGTCCTTGATGACACCAATGTTTTTGGTGTTTAAAACCGATGCGACACCATTGATACATGAATTGACAAACAGCTTCTTGTAAATTTTGACTCTGATCTCCTCCCAGGGCAAGACTGCTGCTTGAAGTCTTGGAATGTCTACCATCTTTTGCAAGAATTCAGGCACCTCTTCTCCTGTGGACTGTTCAGCAGAGCCGCCATGTGTCGTGGGAAATCTGCCAATCCTTAAAGCGTCTGTGTCATTGTATCCAGAATGATGATGAATGTCATAAGGCGCCATACGCTCAATGGCATGTCGATTGACGCCCACATAAATCTTGGGTGGTGTTGTATCTCTCCACAAACTCTTCACAAGTTCCTCCGCTACGCCCATGCCATTTTGCATGAGCAGAATACTGGATGTAGGAGATAATCGAGACGCCATGGGCTCTAAAGCTTTCAGTGTATGGTTGGTTTTGGTGGCTACAACGAGTGATTGAATGGGCGATCTGTCGCTTGTATCTGTAGTAATACTGGCATCGAAACCAGGCACGACATCTGTCTTGCCCTGGCAGCGATAAGTAATACTATTGTTACGATTTCTAAAATCATTCAAGTGGTCTTGAGAACGGAGCAACAGTGTCACCCTGTTCCTGTTTGCTTTCAGGGTAGCAGCAATATGACAGCCTACAGCACCAGTACCGAGAATATGAACACCCATGTTGAGGTAAAGATGTTGGAGAAGAAGTGTGAGAACTGAAGAAATTTAGATTACTCTGGTTTATATAAATCTAGCTTCATCCGAAGTTTCGGAGACAGTAACAAGCTTGATCGCTTGCATGGTCTTCTGTGTGTATTCCTGCTTGTCCCTTGAAACAGATGGCACTTGTCAGTGAGCCAAAGATTTGCGGAAAACAAGCTCTTATAGTGTCGGCCATGACAGATTCCACATGCACTTCGACAAGCTCTCCTCTCAACATGTTGCAGCAGACCAAAAAGCTAAATGTTGTCTAAAATCAAATACCAAATCTTATCTTTCGTTGTTGCACCAGATCCTTTTTCTTTGGTTCCAACAAGCCTTTCATACATTTGGGGCTTTAGTCATGTGTCGAAACCCTTTACTTATTTTTGGCATATTCAAGATGCGAACTTGGTTACTTTACATTGGTTGTAGTGATACATATTCGCATTTCGTTTGTGTGTCTGAATACATGATCGAGGTTTTCGTCATATGCATCCTGCGCTTTGATTTCAAGGATGTTCAACCAATATTAGTCATTAAGGTCAAAATTTACTTGCTAAAGAGCGCGCACTGGGCACATCAGAGACACATACTGATCGACCAAGCACTCTTCATGGCGGCTGGGGGGGGATGTCCCATCTAGTAAGAGTTCAGCAGAAATAGCATGGGCTGCAATCCTCATTTTTCATTTTAATTTGAAGTGTAAATATGAACAAATCTTTAGCCAGAGCATGAAGCCTTGGATGAACTGATAATCATCCTTGGTGATTAATCTGGCTCGATTTTGTTTTACCTGTTCTTCGAAGAAGAACCGCTTATGAGTCATTAAATGACACTAAGAACGGCGGTAGCAGGTGTGAATTAAAGAGCAAAACATCCTTCGCCATTTATATCGAGTTTTTATACTTTTTCGACGAAAATTTTCTATATACTAGTCACTGCCCAGTCATTTAGCATCTTTGTCAGTCTTTGAAACAGTGGGGTAAACCTATTATCCTTAACATGTATTGCTGTAAGGCGCTGGCTTTAGTGTGTTCTTCTGACTTTTCGTCATCACCATGTCCAGTTTGACAGTTACTCGATACCAGAGCATTAATGTCTTCTTGGAGGAGACCGAGATGCATTTACAGCTACATGAAATCAAGAATACCTTTGTCTTGATCACTGCATACCAGATACAAAAGGCGGAAAAGAACCAGGCGTACTACTGTGGTGCCGTCTGGGACGACAAGCATGATATGATATTTGCTATTCTTGCTCAGAACGATGGATTCTTATATGCTTCTTCCTTGTGCGATGAGTACTATCCTGAGGCAATTGGATTACTCGCAGGCGATCTCCTCAAAGCAAGCGTCACTATCAAGGGCTTGCATGGCTATCAACCTGTGTTGAACACACTACGAGACGCTATTGAGACGCAATCCAGCATGAGATTTGTCAAGAAGTTTGCCACCCTGAGTTACGAACTGAGACAGGTGAAATGGCCATCTCGAGCCAAGGAAATAGCACAAGCCAAATCAACAAGTCTGCGTGTTGCTTCCTTCACATCTGATGATAGAAATATCCTGCAACAATGGACCCACAACTTTATTCAAGATGCCTTTGACGATCCAAAAGTGATCACACAGTCTGTCGAATCAATTTGCCGAGACATGATTGCATCCAAAGGATTGTATTTCATGTGCATTGATGGTGTTCCTGTGAGCATGGCATGGAAAGTGAGACCACTACGCCATGGCACTTCTTTGGCTTATGTGTATACACCAAATGAACATCGAAACAAAGGCTATGGAGCTGCGTGCGTGGCTATGGTAAGCGAGGCTATTATGAAAAACTATGAATACATTACATTGTTTGTAGACATCAAGCGAGATCCTAGCGATAATCTCTATACTCGTGTTGGCTATAAATACTATGGAGAAGCAGGGAGATTGGAAAGACTTATTTGATCCTCCAGTATTGGATAGTGATTATATAGGTTCTGCTTTGACAAAATAATAAAATTATACAAAAATGCAGCACTAAGAAGTATACAGATCAAGCTACAGCACTTTTAATTCGCAATCTGATTTTATGAGTCCATGGTAACACGCTTTCAGAATTGTAGAATTAGGCTTTCTATTGTTCTTTCAGAGATTAAAAGCCCCTCTCCCAAGAACGTAACGCATCTCATTCAAGTGTTTTCTTGCCTGCTATTTAGCTGGGGATTGAATGACTCGTAGTTTCAAGGCAACGTTTGGTAATACGGACCTTAAGAGGGGTTTACCATAATGAAGCAAATGTGCAAAACCACAATGTTCAAGCAGTAAATTTGGCTTTTCATTTCTATTATTAATAAGCTTACCAGCAACATATCGCATCAAAATTTGCATAAATCAGCTATACCGAAATCAATATGCCTCCTGTTCGAATTAGAAGTCTCGCAGACAAAGATTTAGAGGTTGCCTTGGAACAAGAGGAACATTTTGATTTGATATATACCATATTAAAAGTCTTCATTTTGAGGGTAAAAAACGCGATTGTTTGATTTTTGATGAAATCCATGAGGTACCCTTCATGGTTTTCCGTCCATCTTGAGTGATCCCAAAAAAGTTGAGCAAAGACAAGAGTAAGTAAATGCTAGATGAGAGAAACTGTTTGGTGCTATTCTGGCGGTCTAAAACAACGTCTATCACGAGAAATCACCACTCAAATATATCTGTGTTTTGCACGTTTTGGGCATTAAGAGGCAATGTTAGTGTGATATCTGCCCTTGTGCAGGCTATACCCATTGATACAGTCGTGGAATATCGTAGAAAAGTCAGATCCACAGTTAGGGGGGGGGGGACTCTTATACGAATGGAACAAAGCTAAAAGATTTAAATTATTAAGCACGCATAATAGACACAGGATTGGATGCGAAGCATGATGCTCGCTTCATCACGAAACAAAGTCCTGCTTAAGGCAGCATCTCACCGATTAGTCTTGATCAAGGTACGGGATGAAAATATTTCAGTGATAGTTACTTTAATTTTACGTGGTCGCGGTAATAGATGAGACACTACACCTATGCACTCATCCAAAGATGATAGTAATTGAACCGAAAAACGGTGGGGCTCTTATTACAACAGTTGTTTAATTTGAGTATTAGCAAAGAGAATGATGATAGGGATAACATTTAAGATTAAAAAGAAAGAAACGCGATAACCAGCTTAAAGAGTAGAGAACAATTCGTGGTACTTGGGTAAAGGCCAGTACTTGTCAGCAACAAGTTTTTCCAATTGATCAGTCAAGCTACGAGCCTTTTCAATAGCAGGAGAGATCTTGTTACAAGCATGATCAGCAGCAGCTTCAGTTTCTTCGATGGGCTGTTGTTCAGCCAATAAAGCATCCAGCTCTTCGGCAGACTCTTGAAGTGCAGTAGCGATAGGAGCTAATTGAGACAACCATTTGAGTTCAGGGGCAGCCTCAGAACCAATTTGTTTCAAGAAGGACGCAGATTCAGAGAGCTCACGACGATAACTAAATGCAGCAGGGAGCACATGTTGAATCAAGAGGCCCCAGAGAGTTTGTGCTTCAATGATGATTTCCTTGGTGTACTTTTCAGCAATGATGTGATAACGAGAATCCAATTCAGCACGCGTAAAGACACCGAGACGAGTGAGCATGTCAGAGTTCTTGGAACTCAGGATACGCTTGAAGGCTTCAGGACTCTTGACAATGTTGGGAAGACCACGCTTGGCAGCTTCTTGTACCCACTCTTCGGTATAGTTATCACCTTCAAAACGAACATTCTTGGTCAATGAAATGTACTTGCGAATCACAGTCAATATGTCCTCATCAGATGCAACGGCTTTGTCGCCCATTTGCTTCTTGAGATCGTCCTTGATTTCCATGAGAGCAGAGGCAACAGCAGAGTTGAGAATAGTGACAGGGAAGGAAGGTGATTGCTTGGAACCAACAGCACGGAATTCAAACTTGTTGCCAGTGAAGGCAAAAGGAGAGGTACGGTTACGATCAGTCATATCACGACTCAGTTTAGGCAGGGTAGCAACCTTGAGATCAAGCGTGGTGCCCTCAATACGCATGTGAGTGGTTTCAGTACCAGCCAACGTTTTGTTGACAGGGCGGCCTTCTTCAATGGCATTCAATACTTCATTGAGCTCAGAGCCCAAGAACACAGAGATGATACCTGGAGGAGCTTCTTGGGCGCCAAGACGATGATCGTTAGAGGCAGAGGCAACACCAGCACGCAAGAGATCACCATGATCAAGAACACCCTTGAGGACAGCCACCAAAAAGATCAAGAAACGGTAGTTTGTCTCAGGAGATGAACTGGGACTCAAGAGATTATCGCCGCGATCAGTAGACATGCTCCAGTTACAGTGTTTACCAGATCCATTGACGCCCTTGAAAGGCTTCTCGTGGAAAAGACACTTGAGCTTGTACTTGTGAGCAACACGGTGCATGATATCCATGGTCAGCAAATTATGATCGACAGCAAGCATTGCTTCTTCAAAGATGGGAGCAGCCTCGAATTGACATGGAGCCACTTCGTTATGGCGAGTCTTGATGGGAACACCCAACTTGGCCAATTCGAGCTCAACTTCGCTCATGGCAGCCAAGACACGAGTAGGAATTTTACCAAAGTAATGATCTTCAAGTTGTTGATGGCGAGCAGGAAGACTACCGACTAAAGTACGACCACACGTCTTGAGATCAGGACGAAGAGCGTACAAACCTCGGTCAATCAAAAAGTACTCTTGCTCAGTGCCCAGTGTGGTGAAAATCTCCTTTGTACGAGGAACATCTAAATAGAGAATAGGTGTCAATTCTTATCGCTGGATCCCAAATCTTCCCGTCAACATGTTGATAGGGAATAAAATTTACCTTCTTTTACAGGTTCAATGAGATGAAGGATCTCTAACGCGACCTTGGAAATAATAGAGGATGATCTCAAAAGAACAGACTTTTCATCAAGAGCCTCACCGTTGTAGGAGATGAAGACAGAGGGGATATAGAGAATCATGGTGCCGTGGGGTCCTTCTTGGAGGAACATGGGACTAGGATGACAACAATCAATCTCTCTCTCTCTCTCGTTATGCCCCCCCCCCCATTGTTTGCATAAACACGTACCTCTTAGTGTCCCACACAGTGTAACCACGGGCCTCGAACGTCGTACGCATACCACCCGATGGGAAGGATGAAGCGTCAGGTTCTGATTGCAATAACTCTGATCCAGAGAAGGTTTCGAGGGCAGTAACCTAGCAAGCTTGAAATTAATCAACATGGTTGCGCGTCTCATTGATATATGCCTTACCTCGGGAAGGCCATTAGCAAATGTGGTCTTCAATGACAAGAATGAATCATGCTTTTCAGCCGTGGTATCATTCAAAGGTTGAAACCAATGTGTAAAATGAGTAGCATTACGCTCAAGAGCCCAGACCTTGGCAGCATGAGCAATAGCATCAGCAGTAACCTTGTCTAATGTTTGACCGCCTTTAAGTTGGTTGCAAAACGTCTTGAACACAGGCTTGGGAAGTCTGTCACCCATCTCCTTGAGGCTAAAGACATTGGAACCAAAGATCTCCGAGGTAGCCAGCTGCTTGCCATTACTGCCCTTTGGGAACTGGAGATCACGAGGGATCCTACCAAAGACACCACTTACGACATCAATACGAGCTTGTTGAGACATTTCTTTTTGTTTTATGATTATGGAAAAGAAAGGATTAAAAAAAGCGACGTTACACGCGGGCTTAAATAGTCGGATATATTTGTCTATCTATAGTTTTTACTATACAAACTATTACAATGCGCTTATATAATTTGCCTTTTTGTTGATAGAATGAAATTTCGGATCTCCCAACTTGCTAATCCATGGGAAACTCCGTTCCGAAATGTGTGTGTGATTCCACGTTTAATCAATGCATGCACGCTCAGCTAGCTTGGCGGTTGATAAAAAAGCATGTTGTTGATGCTGATAAACATGAGTCGATATGAGAGTGGCTTCCTCGGATTGGACATGCATGAGAAAGAGGGTAATTCGCCATCATTTCATTAAACAAGAGTGGCAGGTCCCGAGGTGGGAGTTGCCGTGGATGCAGTGGTTTTACATCCGCAATATGATAAATGCACCATTAAAGGGGGGATGTCAGATAGCAGATTTCATGGCTAAACTGTCTCAATAGCTTGGGCCAACAGACATTCAGGACGAGGAAAAAAGGCCATTAATTAATGCTATTTCGGGAATCATGACGCCCAGATTGTTTGTGTTGTTTACATCTCTCATCTTTCATCTCTACGCTAGCCCCATTGATTTTCTTATGGGTCACATTGATGAACCGACACATCTATGTACTACTCTTATACATCTAGAAAAAATCGTCTATAAAAACGGCCCATAATTTGATAAAAGACATCTGTATCTCTATCTCTTGTATTCTCTAAAACTCTCAAGAAAAATGTCTGCTACTGCTACTGCTACCCTTACTGCTGCTTCTGGCCACCGTCTCGGTGGTGCCAATGAATATAAGCCTGAAATGAACTATGAAGACTTTGACAACTACAAGTTTGCTCCTATTCGTGAATCTCAAGTCAGTCGCGAGATGGTTACTCGTTACATGAACGACATGCTTCATTACGCTGAATCTGATGTCGTGATTGTTGGCTGTGGAAGTGCTGGTCTCTCCTGTGCTTGGGAGCTCTCCAAGGACCCTAGCTTGAAGATTGCCATCATTGAGCAAAGCGTCTCTCCTGGCGGCGGCTGTTGGTTGGGTGGCCAACTCTTCTCTGCTATGGTTGTTCGTAAGCCTGCTGACAAGTTTCTTGATGAACTCGAAATCCCTTACGAAGAAAAGGAGAACTACGTCGTTGTCAAGCATGCTGCCTTGTTCACCTCTACCATCTTGTCCAAGCTTTTGATGCGCCCCAATGTCAAGCTTTTCAATGCTACTGCTGTTGAGGATCTGATCGTCAAGAACGGCAAGGTCGCTGGTGTTGTTACCAACTGGACGCTTGTCACCTTGAACCACAATACTCAATCCTGTATGGACCCCAATGTCATGGAAGCCAAGGTCATTGTCTCTGGTACTGGCCATGATGGACCCATGGGTGCTAGTGGTGTCAAGAGATTGGAATCTATTGGCTTAATTGAAGGCAACAAGGGCATGCTCTCTCTCGACATGAATGCTGCTGAAGATGACATTGTCAAGTACACGCGTGAAGTTGTTCCTGGTATGGTTGTTACTGTAAGTACCTTGAAAGATGCTATAGACGCTGTATACTGATACTATCTCAGGGTATGGAGCTCGCTGAGCTCGATGGAGCTCCCAGAATGGTATAATTTTACTGCATTCTATTTTGTAGATTTGACTAAACATGATATAGGGTCCTACTTTTGGTGCCATGCTGATCTCTGGCCAAAAAGCTGCCTACGCCGCTCGTGCTTCTCTCAAGCGACAAGCTGAAGAGGAGAAGGCTGCTCTTAAGGCCTAATTCCATCTAACCAGCAGACAAGGCGACTTTCAGTTGTTATTAATATTTTTTTTATAGGTTTGATGTTGGTTGTTAATACTCTTTCTCTACCCTTGTATGTAACGATCGGCAAAAAACTGGGGGTGCTTGGATTTCATTTTGTATCCTTGCTGAGATCATACCCTTCGAACGTGATTTTCTGCATAATAGCAGCGCACGGAAGTTAGCCCATTGTCAATTTACTTTAATCATTCAATAAAAATCGCGTCTCTATGAGGCTCATTTGTTCAAATTAAGCTTAGAGCTCATTTCAAACACTTTTTTCTACAACCTTTGTCATGGCATGCTTGCTATGGTTTGATTAAACCCCTTGCATTTGTATTTATCTGTGAGTCATTTAATGCCTCATCTTGTTCCCACCATCGCGGGTAACAATGCAGTGGATTCAGTTTAGTCTCAAAATAGCCACCTTTAAGAAGACTCCATCAACAAGAACATCTTGTATCACTCAGTTAGCATACCAGTGTATCACCCACCTGCCCACGTTTTTGCTGAAATATGCATTCCATACCAGCATTTGTTTGTAACCGAGAATACTAATCAACAAGCTCGGAATTAATAGAGGTCCGGATTACGTTATGCCTGGTTTACCATATCATTTGATCTCGGAATACTATAGTGAAGGCATTTCGCGGTGTGCCAACAAAAGCGCCATAGTATCATCCAATCTACAGTCATTCCCTCTTGCTCTTTCAATGGCTTAATGTACAGGAGACCTCAACATCCGAATCAAGGTACAAGTATCGCTGTTTCCAGGATGGGTCTGTTTTAGCTTTTTCGTCGACTTATACATAAAAGTAGATCAATTTCAATTTGTGCATCTAGGCAGCACAAAGCAATGCTACAATGCAGGTGATAGCGCACTTCTAGGCACATTTAGTTTTGTCAATGCCACCTGCCAATACTGCCTACAACTTGGTATCAACACTTACAGCCACTGCGGGAAACACTCTCAAAGCCTCATACCTCATACCTCATAAGCAAACAATCATTGATGAATAATACAATAAGATCGCAGTGTTACAAACAAGACTAATGCAAAATTGCAAAGTTTATTGAGTCATTTAAAATGTTAAGCGCATGATGATATTGCAACGCTTGTAATCTGGATGAGGACCCAAGTGAGTCGTTTCAAATCCATACTTTTTGTACAGAATAATGGCATTTTCCAGTTGGACACTTGACAATAGTTCTATAAAGGGGTATTTGTTGTCTTTGGCCCATTTAATGGACTCACGCATCAAGATGTGAGCATATCCTTTGCCATTGCATTCTTTTCGGACAGTTATTTTAGCCAATTCACAGCTGCCCTGATGAATCACAGTAGCTACAACACCAGCAACTCTGCCAGAGCCCTCTAGCAAAAAGAAAACTTCACCACCAGGCTGAATAATGGCTTCTTCAGGTGTATTCAGTTGCTTCAAATCAGATTCCTCCACTTCAAAGTATTGCTTCACCCACACCAAGCTCAATTCCTTGAATTCGGATTTGTACTTGAGATCCCAGGTTACCATACAGAGTCTATCCACAAAATTCATCTTTTCCACATCCACCACATAGTACACAGAGATGCAATTGGATGCCACCGGTAATGCACTGAAGGGATTGGTCTTGAGTGTAGCCCATGAATTCTCTCTCACAAAGTCAGGCCATTCAATGATCTTTCCCTTGACAAGTGCATATTCTCTAACATTTGTGTTCATGTTTCTATGATAAAATAGAATGATAAAAATGACACAAATGAACAGAAACTCTTATATATATATGGTATTGGCTTTTGATCAGCCGAAATAAGGGTTCGAATCGTTTGCTCCGGTTTGACGGATTTGGCTCACTTGGTGTCATAAGCAAAGTGGCCAATGATATCTTTCAAGTATGGAATAGGCTATAATGGATCTAAATATCTTACCAAACGGTTGGATACTGCTTTCCTGACCTACATTGCTATGCTGTCATGAACTCAGTGATAAGTTACATGCTCAACCGATATGGAAAGAGTGTATACGTTTGCTATAGCTTCTCCAATGGTACCCCGTGTAACAACCTTTCAATGTGAGTCATGGCATTACATGCAGAAACACAAATCAATGCTCTTGTCTAGTCATATTCGCATGAATAATCAATGGATCCTTCCAGAAAAACAGAAAGACAGTAGTCGTATTTCAGGTTCAAATGATTCTTTTATTATCATAAACAAAGTGTGTTTCCGTCGCCTCGGATTTAGTCTAAAATGTCAATCGCATAGCCAAATCAACTCTGGCAAATTTAGTATAACCTCCAATAGGGGCATCCTCGAAACCATACTTTCTGTACAAGTTCACAGCGGGAATCAAGTGCTTTGCAGTGTAGATATCAATATGGGGAAATTGGCTGTGATGGTTTTTAGCCCATCGAATACCCTCAAACATCAATGGATGAGCAAGGCCCTTGCCATTGTATTGCTTCTTGACGCCCATCTTGCCCAGTTCAACAGTGGCACCATGATTCAGCATAGCAACAACACCAATGTGATCTTTGGCATTCAGCAATGTAAAGATCTCACCACCTGGAGCTATGATATTTTCTTCAGGGTTGTCTAATTGGTATAAATCGCCCGCCTCCACCGAGAAATACTCTTCCAGCCAAGCAACGCTGACTTCCTTGAATGTGTTCTTGTAGGTGGGATGGTATGTAGCAATGAAATATTTGTCGGTGATTTGCTTGGCCTCCAAATCAACAGCGTAATAGACGGAAACGCAGTTGACGGGGTAGTCTTGCTCTTGTTCATATGCCAATGTGTCAGAGAGAACCCATTCATTCTTGGAAGCGAATTCCTCCAAAGTCTCCATCTTGCCGCGGGTCATGACATACTTTCTAATTGCTGTAACTGGCATTTTCTATGTTTTGTTTGTTTGTATTATTAATTGAACAACAACAAACACTCAAGTCGAGAATGTGTACTTTAAATATTTGTGTATTTTGTTATCGCTGTTCTAACGCCGGTTCTCGGTTTTTGCGAGGATCAATCATTGTCATAATGGCTATTGAGATTAGGTTGAAGCACAGCCATTGGAGAACGTTTTAGCGGATGAAGCACTGCCAAGTAAGTAGAGATATGTTTATGAAAGAGCTTTAATTTATAGGATAATATGCACAAATGTATGAAATAGAAAAGAGAGACAGGTTACTTGTTTTCACGAGCCAAGGTAGCTTGTGCTTGTGGTGTAAACAAACCACGGCCAGACAAGAGATCAACGAGAGGACGATGCACCATCCACCAAGCATCAAGAGGCTTACGATTCTTCATGTCAGTGACAGCAATCAATTCAGTGACAGGACGGTAAGTAACATCCACACCAGACACGCCAACCACAGCAGCAGATTCTGTAGCACTGGTCAGTTCAATGGGAGCAGCTTGCTTTGCTTCGTGAGCAATTTCAAGAGCAGCAGATGTGTGTTCTTCGAAAAAGTCGATACAGCATTTGGAGAGACGGGTAGCTCTGATACGATCCATGGGGCTTGGATTGACGCCTTGTTGAATGTGACCCAGAACAGCAGTACGAGAATCGAACAAGGCATGGCCCTCATCCTTCAAAATGTCAGAAATCACATCAGTCGTGTATGTCTTGCTGACAGTTTCATTACGCAGGATGATTCTGCCCTCTGACTTGTCAGCAGCATCGTCCATATACATGGCCATGAGATGGCGAGAATCAGATTGAAGACGAGAAAGATTGACACCTTCCTCAGGGATATAAATGGTACTTGCGCCACTAGCCAAGCCTGCTTCCACAGCCAAGTAGCCTGAACGACCACCTTGCACTTCAACGACGAACACACGACGACGAGATGAACGAGCAGATTGCACAATAGCATCACAAGAGTCAACAATAGCATTCAAGGCAGTATCAGAGCCAAGGGAGTAATCGGTACCAGGCACATTGTTGGAGACGGTAGCAGGGACGAGGGCAATAGGAATATTGAGAGAGGGATATTGCTTACGAGCAGCTTCCAAGTTGATGACAGAGGCAAATGCTTCAAAACCACCAATGATCAAGAGAGATTGGATATTGAACTTTTGAAGTTGATAAGCAATCATACCCATGTCCACAGCCTCGCCAGGAACAGCACGGTTGGTACCCAATTCAGAACCACCCTTGGAAGTCCATCCATCAACGCCAATCCAAGACAATTCCTCTACGTTGCCAAGAGCCAAGCCAGGGAAACCATTGTTGATGGCATAGGGCTTGTGTCCACGATTGAGAGCATAACGAACAGCTGTGCGAGTAGCAGCATTCATACCGCCAGCAGGTGCGCCCACATGGATAATACCGATATTGAGACGACGGTGTTCAGGCACCAACATGGAATCATCGTCCAAAATGGTGGTGGCATTGTAAGCTTCAAATTCTTCTACAAATTGAGGATCACGCAGTTCCATAGCACGAGCAAAGTTCTTTTCTCCAATGGATTTGGCGACCTCATGAGTGAGTTCGACGGCCTTCATAAGAGGACCACTGGTGACTTTGTTGCTGTTCATACCAATCATGGGAGAAGGAATCTCAGGAGTAGACCTTAACACGGCATCCACAGCTTCTACACTTTGAATAGTGGCCAAGATACGGTCAAAGGCAGCAGGAGCACCACCACGTTGCGTATGGCCAAGTGTGGTGACACGAGTATCAAGACCAAGCTTCTCGCATAATATGTCCTTGATATCATCTGCCTTGATGGGCTTCAAGTTTTTGTCAAGAGCACCTTCAGCTACAATGACTACAGTCTTACGCTTACCGAGCTGACGATGGCGATGAGCTACAGAACACAAGGTATCTTGCCAATTTTCCTCAGTAGGAGGTCTTTCAGGGATAAAGACGAAATCAGCGCCTGTAGCAATACCAGCAGCAAGAGCCAACCAACCACAATGACGGCCCATGACTTCAACAACAAACGCACGCGAGTGAGATAGTGCAGTGGTAGCAATGGAATCCACAGCTTCACAGATACGATGAAGGGAAGTAACAGCACCAATAGTGATATCAGTCGAGGACATGTCGTTATCAATGGAGCCCACAAGACCCACAATGGTTAAATGCTGATAGGCTTCGGATTCTTCCTTGGTAATTCTGTCATTCTTCAGGAGCTCCTCGTTCAAACCGCTCCATTCAGAACGGAACACATCAGCGCCTGTCAATGAACCATCACCACCACACACAATAAGCGAATCCACGCCACTCTTGATCAAATTTTGTGCGGCTTGAAGACGGCCTTCGCGAGTTTTGAAGGGCATGCATCTTGCAGTACCAATATTGGTACCACCCTAAAGTTTGCTTTTTAGCTTATCTAATCCATCTATATCGAACTGTTCCCCAGGACTACTTACAATTGACAAGAAACCACGAACATCCTTCCAGTCCATTCTCTTGATGCCATTGTCAACAAGGCCTAATGTCAGATGAGTTTACGGGCTCTCTCTCTCTCTCTCTCTCTCTCTCTGCATGACCAGCCCAACCACACTATACTAATATACCTTGATAACCTTCATAGACAGCATACACTTCACAACCCTTTGAAATACCGTAACGCACAATAGCACGCACGCATGGGTTCATGCCAGGTGCATCGCCACCTGATGTGAGCACGCCAATCTTTCTGATTTTTTTCATCTTTTCAGCAGCTTCTTCGGTAGAGCCAGGACCAGTGAGTGGTGTCTCAAGCAGGCTTGGAAAGGAGGGCTTGTTGGCAAATATAACAGTGTTGTTCAAAGGGTCGAGAGAATAGAGTTCAATCAATTGGAAGGTGCCGCTAAATGATTTGATAGATCTATCTTGATAAGGACAGCCCAAGTTATCCAACTGAGATTTCACCGCCTTTTTGTGTGTAGAGAGTTTTTTTTTTTTAGTGCACTTGTCATATTAAAATCCATCGCGATGAACTTACAGTGACATCAAATACAGATAGGGCCAAGGCAGATTCATTCAATCCCCAATCTTGATCATCGGAGGGTCTAGCACGAGGAACAGCAGATGTGCTCAAGACAAGACGAATCACGATATCAGATGTCATGGCATGTTCGTCGGCAGCCATCTTGAGCCATGTTTCCTTGCTTTCATTATTAGCCTTGCTACTTTGACTAGGAGCATTCAAGACTTTAAAACCAAACGACTTATAAAACTCGACAGTGCGAGTAAAAAGCTCATTTGAACTAGCAACATAAACAATGTGAGAGAGTCCTTTGACCATGGTTTTCCTAATGATGTGGGTTGGTTGATTGGATCTCGGTCATTGCGCGCCTTTCTTTCCATGACAACAGCTTACCTTTTCTTCAAAAAAAAAAAAAAAATAAAGAAGAAGAAGAAGAAGAAGAGAAAGAAAGAGATGACCAAGATGGGTATGATGATATAATAACAGCACACACACCTCAATTCCCTTCTTGTGTTTCGGTTCTTTTTTTCCAGGTTTTACATGAAATCTGTGACTATTGCACAAAGCTATTCGTTGCCTCTGACACGTTGGATACATCATTTCAGTCTGATGTAGGTACTCCAAGATTTGTGGCCTGATTCCATTTGTATTTGAGATTTTCAAGTGTTAAATTTCTAGATTGAACACAAGCATTTTAGCTCTGTCATTCCAATGTGCATGCTAAGTCTTGTAGCAAAATTGGCTTTCAATTTAAATGGCACAAAGCAATAGCTCAGTTTCATTCAGATTTAAAGTTGCATTGATCAGTCGAATGCAGTCTTATAAACACGCAAACACTCCAATTGGAAGACTCGTTAGTCAGATGCTGAAAGTGCAGATCAGATTCCCCTGTGTGATAATAAACAGCCATCATACAAGTTGATCTAACGTTGAAATGCCATGTCAAATAGCTAAACGTGCCGATCTTGGTTACAACATGTTGCAAAAATGAGATCATAATAGCGTCGAGTAGTGCCTGGAGAGGACGCTGTCTGTCTCAACTGCAAGGAATACACTGCTGAAATTTGTACAATAAAAAAAGAAAGCTTTGTATAATGTAATAAATAATTAGATGCGAAAAAACTATATTGATAACTGGGGGGTATTTTTGATGCTTTAACCAAAATGGCGAGAAAGTAGCTCGTACGTCAAAAAGATAATCGCTGAGGTTGGCGCACTACGGGCAACAGTAATACCACATCCTCGGTAAAATGCCTTGTAACCACCTTCTTGATAAAGAGATTTGGCTGTCTGATAGAACGAACGTTGTCCAGCACCGGATGCGATGAGCTGTTCATCAGTTTGCATTTGAGATTTTATCACATCTACAGGGAACAAGGAGGCATTATAAGCCATACCACCTAAAGCACCGCCCAACATCAATTCGTATGGAGATAGATCCTTTTTGAGCACTGTTTCCCCTGTCTTGAGCTCTCTATATTTGATGAATTGGGCACAGGTATACTCGTAAGATCCGAACCAGAATACAGCACCTCCAGTCTCACGCAACAGAGTAGCGACAAATCCTCGGTAAAATCCACTCAATCCATGTGTCTGCATGACATGACGAATGACATGAAAGGGGCCATTGAAGTGCACGCCATGAGTAACAGCGTGGCTGCCTAATTGCACCTGCAGTTTGCATTTGATCAGCTCAACCGGTGTTAGAATGAAGGATGCAATGGCTCCTGAGGCTCCGCCTGCCACCAACAATTGATTCATGGATAACGGAGGCAATTCATCTTCAGGCAGTCCTTGGTACTTTTCACGCTCTTCATCAGTAGCATAGTGATCTCTAATGACTCTCTGCACTTGTCTGTACCCAACAAATAAAGCTGCATTCTCCACCATCGATCCCACCAACGGAGATGACATACCCTGTTTATATCAAATTGGGATGAATATGAAATCGATGCTATCATTAGAAGACAACTTACAGTGAATAAGCCCTTGAGTCCCTCTTGCTTCATGGTGGTTTTGAAGCAATCCCAAGGACCCGAGAAATAAGGATGATCCAGAGGTTGCGTTTGAAGTCTTACTTTGATGGTATCAAAGGGATACTCAACAAATTTACCAATCATACCAGCAACCTAATTAACATGTCAGAGTCCAAATGCCTGTGGGCAGGTATCAGATGTAATTATTTTACCGATCCAAACAAGAGATCGTCGAGTTGATGACGAAGATTGGACTTTTCAGATGGTTGTTGCTGCTGCTGTAGAGGCTGATTGAACACAGACGCCTCATTGTTTCCCAATAGGATGGGTGCTGTAGCTACTTGTTGAGTATCCATCAAATATGGTATTGTGGCCGTCAATCGGGGCAAGGAAAAAGAAGAAGAAGAGGGAAATGAATTATGAAAAATTCTGAGTCATTTTAAGTCAAATTTGATGTTGCTACTGTTATACAGTGCTCCCCACTTTTTGCGAGGGGGTTACGGGCGGTCACGAAGGCGGGTTTATCTCATTAGGGCAAATCTAAGACCTAGGCCGCTCTTAAAATGTTCTGCCAGGTGCTCACAATGAGGGACTTTTTTCACGTACGGTTAATAACGCAATTGTAACAGAGAGATTTACGCACATTCTGTTTGCATGCCACAATATTTAATGCTCATTCGATATGGAACCGCATATGACCCATATGAAATCAGATAGAAAGTTTAGATCGATTGCGATAATCTATGCAAATAGGATGGGTCCCCCTCTCTCCACACACAGCTGCATTAGTTTAAACACAGTTGCCTGCTCAACTCAAGATAAGAATCCACAAACAAGGTGCAATGTTACACTGACCATTTACATTGCATGTAGATGTTCCATTTATTCGCAATGAGATCCTTTGAATGAAGTCATTTCTTACAAGTATGAGCATTTGAAGAAGCATAAAGAAGATGGCATTAAAGTCTAACTTGAAGCTGCTGAATACAATTGATCAAGATGCGTTTTGGTGAAAGCATTGATTCAAAATGAGGGCAGACAAAGCCCTTCAAGGCGTCTTATTCACCTTTCCGTAAATGTCATCAATGCTTTAGTGCGCTTGGAGTGAGCAAAGGCAGGAAAATAGCTTCAGTATGGCATTGATTGTTAATAAATGGCGCTTCAGCCGTTAAAATGTCGTCAACAGAGCTTGCATACCGAGTTGAAGGATGTTACTGCAGCGCAATATGTGCATGTATGTGTCTTTTGTTTAACTGCCTATGCCATACATACAGATCGCATCAGTCTATAATGTTGCTGAAATAATTTTATGGTTCTTTAGGCCAAGAAAACATCAGTATGGCTGGAAACAGGGCTCATTTCTCATACTGAAAGTAAGAGTTTTACCGCGCTTTTGTCTGCACGCAAAGCTAACCCTTACGAGAGCTTGTCAAAAAACTGGTAAATACGTATATTTACGAGCACGGCTTTATCTTGCTATAACTGTCAATTTTACCACCATAGTTAGGTATTTGAATACACTGACTGAGTGCAACCCACAAGATGGGCATTTGCCATCCTCTAAACTATCTAGACTCATGACTTACTAAAAACAATTGCCATGACGAGAAAGCAGACAACCAAACGCCTCTGAAAGCTAAAATGAAACTCGAAGTTTCCGAGTACTTATGCAAACTTGAGATGCTTTACTTTAAGAAACATTTCTTGTGAAAACTGTTTTATACAACTGTATATGTAATAGCTGCTCTGGATATATCAATTATCGAAATTGACTCTGGGTGTGGGGTTGAACTCTCTTGACTGTAGCAATGAAAATTACAAATCGCATGCTCTAGTGCAACTTAACCCTGTAATAGTAGCATTCAACCTTTTTTTGAAGCCACAAAAAGTGCTCGGTAGCAGAAGTATATAATCTCTGATATATACGAGTCTGTCTACGCTTCGGTGAGAACCAATCTACACAGCGACAGCTCGCACTACCGATTACCCTTGCTCATCTTCTTAAAATACTGCTAATTTCATTTGAACTCTCTACTTACACATGAGAACCCTTCCTATTATCTGTGGGTATGACTCTTGAGCGGTATTCTATATCCGTATACACGCAACCACTTCATATATGGGCTATCAGCATATTGGTATCACCTCTGTTTCGTCAAGGTTATGCTTAATACAGCAAAAAAGAGGGTTATTTAAGCTGTGATTTCTCGCTCCAAAAGCCGTTTTAAACCGCCAAAATAGCACCAAACGATTGCCCTTACATAGCGGTTACTTCCTGACACCTTCGCTCAACTTTTTTTGAATCACCAAAAATCGACTCCAAACCATGAGGGGAACCTCATGCTTTTCATCGGAAATCAAACGATCGTATTTTTCAGCTTGAAAATGAAGACTTTTACTATGATATACGAGCCTTTCAGCACTTCGGGTGGTTTCCTGACCTACGCTTCGCTTCGGTGGAAACCAACCTACGTTCAAACGGCTCGCGCTGCCGCGGGCCTTTGGCTAATATCCCAAAATTAATATAGCTAAAATGTTAGAAGAGGAACCCTGATTGTTGATTGATATATAATCACTAATCATATGAGTGTTTATGCTTCGGATGGTTCTCACCGAAGCGTAGCGAAGGTAGAGAACCAACCTGCGCAGCGGCAGCTCGTGCTACTGATTGCTCTTGCGTATTTTATCAAAATACTGCTACTTTCATTTTGACCCTCCACTTACACATAGTAACCCTTCATATTATCTGTGGATCTGATTCTTATGTGATGTTCTACATCCATATACACGTAGCTACTTCATATACGGGCAAGCAGCATACTGGTATTCCCACTTTTTAGTCAGTGTCCCTAATACAGCAAAGTATGAGTGCATTTGAGCTGAATTTTCTTGCGTTCAAGGCCGTTTTAGATCGTCAGAATAGCCCCAAATGGTTGCTTTCATCTGGCAGTTCCTTTCTGACACTTTTGCTCGACTTTTTGGGGACCAAAAAAACATGGTCAAAAATCGACCAAAAAGCATGAGGTATCCCTCATGGTTTTCATCGAAAATCAAACGATCGCATTTTTCATCTTGATAATGAAGATTTTTACTATAGTATATCTTGAATCAAAATGTTTCTATCAATCCAAAGCAACCTCTGAAATTATCTTTGTGGGACTTTGATATGTAAAATTTCGACATTTTGGCCATAAATCTCTTTTTATATTTTTACAAATCATTCAATAAGTGATTTCAAAACATCTATTTTACTTAGTACCATTGGAAGCGCCTTGAAAAGTACTCCAGGAAAGCTTAAGGAAGCATGGGGTGATTATCATACTTCACTTAGTCGAATCTGCAAAAATAGCTCGATCGAGTCCAAAATTATCAAAATATGTCCAATCTGGAACAGACTATGATTCTGGGTTTGAATTAATTTTGGCTGGTAGGGCCAGCTGGAAAACTCATGCCCTTTTCATAAGGCAATACAGTAGTAAATGCCCTCGAAGCGTATAGAAAGTAGGTGGAAGGTCATAGCACTATCGTTTATAATGATATTTTATTGCCTTCTATATCGTTCATAATGATATTTTATTGCATTCTATATTTAATAACGTTAGTCTGGACATTGACAATGCATGGGTTGCATAAAATGTCTGCAGTAAGTAATGAAATCTCTGAGGCTCTGAGACGTCGCTCAAATAAAACATTGACAGCATTGAGCAGAGGAAAGAGGGTAGAAATAACAGTGGTTTTTGTTGATTGATTGTAAAATCATTATTCTCATATGAGCCAGGACAGATAGATGCCTTGAAACTCAGGTTCCATATTAGGATTGTAAAGTGCAAAAGTACTGAACATTTATTATGTTATGATATGAGCCAGGACAGATAGATGCCTTGAAACTCAGGTTCCATATTAGGATTGTAAAGTGCAAAAGTACTGAACATTTATTATGTTATGATATGAGCCAGGACAGATAGATGCCTTGAAACTCAGGTTCCATATTAGGATTGTAAAGTGCAAAAGTACTGAACATTCATTATGTTATGATATGAGCCAGGACAGATAGATGCCTTGAAACTCAGGTTCCATATTAGGATTGTAAAGTGCAAAAGTACTGAACATTTATTATGTTATGATATGAGCCAGGACAGATAGATGCCTTGAAACTCAGGTTCCATATTAGGATTGTAAAGTGCAAAAGTACTGAACATTTATTATGTTATGATATATCAAATCAAAATGTTTCTCTCGATCCAAAGCAACCTCTGAAACTACTTTTATGAGGCTTTCATATGCAAAATATGGCTATTTTCGCTAAAAATCTCATTTCAAATTTTACCAAGTTGCTCAATAGCCTCATTCAAAACATCTATTACAGTTAGTACCATTGGAAGCGCCTTCAAAAGTACTTTAAGAATGTGTTAGCGTAGGGTGATCATTACAGTTTATATAGTCAAATATCATAGTATAGATTAAAGAAGTCGAAAAAAGACGAGATCTATCCAATCTTAAACAGAAAAAAAAACTGAGTTTGAATCAATTTTGGCGACGGCATTGCTGCTGTCTGACCCAAATGCCTTTCTCATGACGGCAAGAATGATGACAAGAATGATTGCGATGCTGATTAAATAGGGATCATAAATCTGAAAGACCAAGCACTCAGCTTGTATAATGAAATAGCCACCCAAACGCAGCGTGATTGAAAGCCGGAATTCATCAAATGTCACTAATTCAAATCCATGTTATTTGAACCTATTAATAAAGCTTTCAAATGTACATCAACAACCATTTAAACATGCTAAAGTAAAGATGCATACTTATTTCTCACATCGTGTGAATCACTCACTCTTGATCATCATAGTGCATTCAATTATACCCATGATGGTCGTAATAATGTGCTGTTATCGTTATCCAAATAAAATAAAATCAATAACAAACATATTCAAATATGACAACTATGCCCTGCTGTCATAGTTGCACAATATCCCAATAGCTCACCCAAGCCCATCAAGATGACTCAAATCGACCCTTATTGCCAGTGCTCTTGCATTGATTACCACTTTAAATCAAACATCAACAACTTTTGTCAGATATCGCAATAGCAGCACCTATTGTTCTCTGTCATTACTAATCCTACAAGCTGGTTGCAATTGTATAAATACTCTTCTTTTTTATTCAATTCCAGAATCTTCAGTTCATTTTATACACAAATAAAATACAGTTAATTTTTGTTGTCTGTTACTATTGCTTTATTTATTTTGTGAAATCCGTGCGTTATACATGATCTTATTGCAACGCCTTAATTTCAGGTCAATTTCTGCTAAAAACAAGCCATTTTTAAGCACGAATAACTCATGCTACAAAACGTTTTGAGCGCCGGAAATAGCACCAAACGGCCCTCCTTTGATATGCCTTACTTAATGATGCTTTATCTCAATTTCTTTTAGTTCATTGCAAATCCATGAAAACCATCATTTTTTCGCGAGTATTAGCAAGGGAAAATTCATGAAAATCAAACGATTGCGTTTTTCATCGTAGAAATAAAGACTTTTTCTATGATACCTATCAGATCAAATCAATCGTAGAGACGGAATGCAGCACTGGAAACTCTTCCTATGAGACTTTCATATGTTAAATTTTGACATATTCGCAGAAAATCTATTTTCAAATATCTTAAGATTGCTCTTTATTTTCGGTCTGAAAGTTGAATGTAACCAGCATCATTCAATGCACCTTCATTGACTCTTTATAAGTGCATTAGAAGGTAAGGTATAATAACGACAATTTTCATAGTCAAATTTAGCAAAAACGTTTAAAGAATGTGAAATCAAGTCGCATTTGAACACGAAAATACCCACTGCACAATTTCAAATTAAAGTGCAGCAGTTACGACTGCCACGGCAGAAGACTGAGGTCAAATCTACTGAACGTGACGTCGGATATGTCGCCCTCTTTCTGTTCCCTACCGTCGTTTTTTAACCCTTTTTGCAAAACGCGTTTATTATCAAACCATGTTGGTTTTGGAACCCTATTGATTGAAAATAACACTCTCGCTTCTGATGACACGGTCCTGTGCTGTTAAAGATACCTGGTACTGCCTCTTTGAAGTGGAATATGGTGGGTACCATTCGGTAACGAGCACTGGAAAACGTAAAATCAGCACTAATCGAATTTGTTTATTAGATTTTTATAATTTTTTTGCCTGTTTGACATGCGTGCTGTTGCCATTCCTTCTCTGCTATCTCTGCTCTCTGCTTCTTTGCTTTATCATGCCTGGTAGCTGCTTCTTCGGTCTCTGTCTCTGGCGGTTGCTTCTTTAATCTTTGTCTGCTGGTCTCTGGTGTCGCTCGTTGTTCGGTTTTTCTATCCTGCTGTTACTGTTGCTGGCGTTGCTGCTCGCGTTGCCACTGGTGTTGCCACTGGTGTTGCTGCTACTGTTGCTGCTATTCTGGTCTTTCCTGGTCTGCTGTGTTTGGTGCATGCTCGTTTTCTGGTCTGTCTCCGGTGATTGTCTATACTCTTTTGGTCTATCTATGGCTGTGGTAAGTGGTAAGTATCTTCTTTCTTCTGGTAGCAGTGATATAAAACTTCTTTGAACGTTTATATTATTGCTTCCTTTCTCGTGATAATGCATTCATGATGTTTGCCTTGTTGCGCTTTTTTCTTCTTCTTTTTCTTTTGTTGGTAGTGTTTCCTCTGTAGCTTTACAGGAAACAACATTAGTCATTATGTTGTATTGCAAACTTATAATACCACTGTTGCTTTTGCAGTTGTGCGTATTTGTGTCATGTTGCTTTACATCCGACTATTACTACCATGCGCGTTGTTGCTCATGTATGCATTTTCTTGCAACAGCAACGAGCTTTTTTAAACATCTTTGATGTTGTGTTTGCTATACTTTTCTTTGACTCGCTTCGTGTGAATGTATCTTTTCTGCTTACATACTACTATACTCGTATAGTAATATGCTCTTTTCTTTCTTTTATTATGTTTATGTTTCTTTGAAGCATACCTTTTTTTTACGTTGTGTGGATGTGCCTATCCCTGAAGCTCAACAAGAACTTATCCGAGGCTAGGAGGTAGATAGGCCGCCTCCACTTGGTTATCGCTACTTACTTTAGTGATGATTGAGGGTCTCATCGCCAGAATCTAAAGCTAGGTGGTGTAAGTAAGGCATGCTCTAGCACCTGAGGGAAATTTGATGATAGTTACAGCTATATTGCTATATATATCGGAGCTTAAAATTTTGCCTCACATCCAAACAGGGGGAAACCCTCGCAATTTTTTTTTCAGGTCAGCGGAGTTTTCAAGCAATCTGATTGGCTAAGAGATTGAAGCAACGATGGCCTACAATCAGTTGATCTCCTACTGATCTGTCATTCATAATAGCTATGTGTTTGTAATAAAAGCGCTTCCAAATACTGTAGCTACAATTTAGATTTTTATTTATTTAAATGTAAGACAAGGTGCAATCATTTGATCTGGCATTCATAAAGCAATTTTATGTGAGAGATGTATGTTAAACCTACTATCTGAGAAAAGCTATATGAAGATGAGTACTACAGCAGTACATATACACTACGTACTAGACCCTCCCTGTACCGAATGCGCCTCAAAACATGTGTCTACCATTGATTTCTAACATGTTTCAACCTTATTGGTTGCTATACCTTATATCAAAAATATTGGATGTACAAAGTATTTCTGGTTTAGAGTTTTGAGCCATCCAAAATCATGTTTCATAATATTATTCGTAGAGCCCTGAAAGCAGAATGTTTCTATAGTAAGATTTTGGAAACTGATAGTGTAGTTGGGTCATAATAGGTTGGAAATTGGGTTGTTCAAAAGCAGATGATTTTCAAAATATAATAATTTTGAGTAAAGACCTACCGTATATACAGAATTATTGAATGCTGTTAATTACAAGTGATTGTTGCATACAAAAATGCGTCCTAGGCTACATTCACTTTCTCCTCGAGTCACTTTCACAGTGTAACAGCATAGATGATGCTTGTCGTATCACATCACATCTATGTTTACAGGTCTAGTCAATTGTGCGTGCACGAATGATGCCTCTGGAGCTACAATACATTCAGCCTCTCCAATATCAAGATGTCAAGATCCACCTACAATATATGAAGCATATTGACATAGGTGGTCTCTCAACTAGCTACCGTATACTAACAATCAATATGGTCTCAGTGGCCTGCTATTTACATACCATCTCAGCGTAGTAGTCATTGACCAGCATCTATTATATTTAAGCTAATTAGATATGTTTAGAATAACGAAATATAGACAGAAGAAATACAATTAGAACTAAATATATTTATTATGTTATTCCAAGATTGAATGAGGATTAAAACTAGTGTAAATCTCGAAGGATTTATGGTCCTGATATAAAAGCTCTAGCAGCACCATAGAGTTTGGAATAGTTGTTTTCTAAACCACAACGAAGCAAGTTATAACCAAGTCATTTTGAATACAACGTTTTACAACACCTCCTCTATCAATCTATTACTCGTAATCGCTTACTTCTTATATGAAGCTCATTACTCAAACTTGGCTTATTTCCAAAATCATCTATTTCTTATCAGCAAACGTATCCAATCGAAGGTCCTACTACATCATCATTTTATTTGCAAAATTTTCTCATAGGAACATGCTACTTTCAAAGCGAATTAACTTCGAATTCAATTCGTAATGCAAAGAGAAATTATAAGAAAAAAAGAGAAACTAAAGGAAGCAGAGAAAAGGTTGGGCGCGAAGGTTCCAAGGTACAGCCTTTATCAGATTTTTGTAGGACCGTGCTATTCGAATCGAAGTTTGTAAGCCTGCTCAAAGTAGAATTTTAAAAACAACAGATCAAGTGCTCAAATTGCCTTTCAGATTTATTAGTAATGAGGAGACGTCCACCTTTATATTGCAAGAGATAACGATGTTATATAATAAGAAAATGAAACGTATTGAATGTATACAGATGAGGCTGGTGACTAAAAAGCATGATTTTTGATTGTTAAATACAACGGCAAACTGTAATGAATAAAGAGAGCGAATATAATTAGATCCTGCATACTGGTAAAAACTTTGAAGATGTTCAGTCAAAGTTACATTCGCAAAAAGAGGAAATGCCATCATTTTTCGACATGTGTGGATCAGCGAGGCAGCGCCCATCTCGTTGATTTTGCTTTAGCCGGCTGTAGTTGTGATCTATTGACACTGTAGTGGATGCACTTTCATCATTATTTTACTTGAGGCACTGAAGACTGTCGAAGTTACAGCAGATACAGGGTAAATAACGTCATTTTGTAAATACAAAAGAGTAGCTTTTCGCAAACTGATGGGGGGGAAATCCCTACTCATTTCAGTCATTGATACACAACATTTATTTGAATCTCCTTCCAACTCCTTGTTTTACATGCAATAAATTTACTTTCCTTCTCCTTTGATTTTCTTCCTTCTTTTTTTAATTTAAATATAAAACACTACAATGCAACAAGAACCAGTCTTCATAGAAAGAGATAGCACGAATAGCAGCAACTCAACAGATGATGATAATTCAATGAAACCAGCGTCTTATCAATCCAGTTATTCGTCAAATTCAACAGATAGCGATCCAATCAAGTGCTATAACAAACTCAAAAGACAAGGTTCGAGAAGTTCTATTATACCAACCGAAGAAGCAGTGGGAGGAGGGACAGTAACAACAAAGGATACAAAAGCAGGTAGAGTCAAGTGTCAACTAGAGAAAGCGACAATAGTACTCAGAATTAGAGATAGATTCTGGGACTTGGTTACAGCATAAAAAGCATTTCTTCATTTTGAGTAGTGCTGGAAAACCAGTGTGGACAAGGTAAGAGTGAGTATTATCAAGGCATTATATAATACTGATGCCTGTGTAAGATATGGAGACGAATCTCGATTATCTTCTCTCATGGGCGTAATTCAAGCTATTATATCTTTCTTCCAAGATGGGGACGATACGATAAAGTAAGGATAAAGGTTACAGGATACAAATAAGGAAGCTGATGCGATGTCTAATTTATAGATCTATCAATGCTGGGCATCATAAATTTGTGTTTTTGTTGAAAGAACCTCTTTACTTTGTGTCAGTCTCCAGAACAGGTGAATCTGATAGTCAGGTATATTTTTGAAAATGGGTGAAATTTCCTTTTTGTCTAATGTGTATATGTCACAGCTTCGTGATCAATTATTGTACTTGCATAATCAAATCATCAGCGTCTTAACCAGCGTGCAATTGACCAGGATTTTCGAGCAGAGGGTCAATTTCGACTTGAGAAGACTGTTAGGAGGAACTGAAGTCTTTCTAGATAGCTTGTCGACATTGTTCAACAACGACCATAGTTTCATGTTAAGTGGATTACAATGTTTACGTTTGAGTAGATCAGTTAGAGATCAAGCTGGTGGAATTTTAACGGACGGAAAGGTCAAGAATTTGTTATACGCCATGGTGGTAGCAGATGGAAAACTAGTGACATTACTGAGACCTAGGAAGCACAGCTTGCATCCGTCGGATCTGCATCTGTTATTCAACATGCTGACAGGATCTACGACATTCCACACAGCCGAATCTTGGACGCCGCTTTGTTTACCCAAATTCAACTCGAGAGGGTTCTTGCATGCTTACATATGCTACATTGAAAAAGGGGTCTCCATTGTGGTGATCAGCACAGACAAGAACAGCTTTTTCGAGATTAGTGAGTGGAAAACCAAGATAGTGGAAGCCATGCAGAAAAATGCAGTGTTGGAAAACGTCAAGGAAGCATCCGATAGACTCTACATGGTTGAAGAAATCCAAATACCCTCTTTACTTCACTTTATGTACAAATCCAAGGTGCATGTCCAATTCACCACACCTGGATTCAGTGGATCCTATACCAACGATATCAATAGAAGAAGACTATTTAGACTTTATCAACATGTATATGATAGAATGCACCAAAGAGCAAGACCTTTGAAATTGTATTATGTAAATAGCGACAGGGAAATTTTATTAGGATGGGTAAAGCGTGCATGTGCGAGTTTTGGGGAGAGCTGTTTATTTAATTTTTGTACATAGATTACTTCATCGTTTGAATTATACGTTGTATTCCCATCAAACACACCAAAGCCATTAATCATCTCCAGCTCCAACCAATTGCTAAGATGGATAAAGAAGAACGAAGACAACCTTTTCATTCTAAATTCGCCCGTATTTTAAAACTTTTCGTCGCCTTCCTCCTTCTCTCTCAAATTCATGATTTCCAATTGACCTTTTCCCTTTGATTCGCTTTGTAATAAATCATTGATAGTACGGTATTTTCCAGGATCAACTAATGCGACCAGTTCAATTTCACTTGAGCCAGAATCTTCATCTTCAATGGAAGTCAGCAAAGGTATAATCTTCTCCTTCAACTTTTTGGTTTCGTTGGATTGAGGAAGAGTGATTCGGATTCTCATCTGAGCACGTTGGATGGGTAACAGCTGCTTTTCCTGTAGTTGCTTGATGACTTCTAATGCTTGCGATTTGGTACTACGCTTGGGATTGACACTCAAGTGCAAATCTTGCATGGCCTTTTCAATCATGGTGACAGTGTAAGGACGCTTTGTTTGGGGATTGACACAATTATCAGTAACAGTGTTGGCGATATCCTTCCAAATGGTCTCCAATTGATCGGTTCTCTCCTTCTCTGCTACTTGAAGTTCGCCTTTCTTTAGAATCTCCAAAATAACAGGATCAATCTCTTCGGTTTTAAAGCATTTCTTCAAATCCTCTTTGCTGGCAGCTTGGCCTTTGGATACGTTGATGAATACATTGTGAATTTGCAATACTTCGTCCAAATCAGTTTCACTTTGTTGCATTAGCTGAATTCTATATACCAGTAGCATGAATGTACTTACACGTTACTGCGCCATTCCATCACTTTGTTCTTGTAGCAAGCCAATTCAAAACGTTTACCACCTTTACGAAGACGAACAATAGAGACATTTGTAAGCCTTGAATAAAAGATGGATTAGTTTACAGGTGTCTAGCTCAGATTCTAGAGCAACATGGACATTACTTGATTTGCGTATTGGGCTTCTTGATGACCATGTTGTATAATGAACGTTGTAGTGAAAAAGAAGGAAGAAATTGGAAAAATATTTGTCTCTCTAACATTTGTCCGACCAGCAGAAAAACACAGGCCATTTGAATTACTCATCAGCCGCAGCATTTCAACCCTGAATAGCATGGCCATCGTAGCAATAACCCCATGCGAAATGTACATGACAGAAAGCTGCAGAGTTTGATCTATCAATTGCCCGAGAATCGCAGCCATTGCACATCTCTATGATGGCCAGAGGATGGCATTGAAATTATACATGTTCATCTACTGCTGTGTACACAGAAACAGTGACTCGTTAAAAGGCCAACATGTACACGCGAGTTTCCCTTTTCCCTTCAATCAAAAGGTAAACTCAAAGGGAAATCTGCTTCCTTTTCTTTTTTGTAAATTATAAAAGGTTTCTTTTTTTTTTTCCTTTTTGATTTTTTTTTTTTTTTCACCTGAAAAAAAGTTAAAAAGGTAAGAAGATCCCAGAGATGAAAGATGAAGATGTGGTAAAAAAGACTAACGAAAAAAGTTTCTCCCTGTTTCTTTTTCCCTGTAGTTGTTGTTGATCACATTTAAGAGCAATCTTTTCATCTTTTTCAACACTTGCTAAATTATGCGTATACCACATACTCCTTACGCCAGCATATTCTAATACTCTTATATCACCACACACGCACAACATTTGTACCATAAAATCCAGCAACAAATTGATTATACTTGCAAGTTCGAAATAGAGCACAAACACCCACAAAAAGAAAAAGTTTAGACTGTACAAAAAATTTCACCTATATACAAAAAAGAACTTTTTTTTTATATCTAATACACTCATATCCACAACAACAAACATCATCAACCAAAGGAACATGCCATCTGAAAAGGTAAAATATCGCAAGAAAAAAAAATCTTTACTGTTACTCCTCTGGCTCACTGTATAATTCACGTAAAAACTCACCAGAATCTCGACCAGATTTTAATGCCAACACTCTGCTTTGGTGATATCAGTCGAGATGAAATTAACACTGTTCTCAATATTGCAGGTGTTTCTTTAGCTCCTCCTACTAAGGTAACACTCAATCACTCAACATGGATCGAGGACACGTCATTGACCTTTTTTATCTATAGACACCTTTTGTAACAGGTATCCAGCGTAAGCGTCCTGTTGTCATTAATACCCCTATTATCAACGAGCAGCAAAATAAAGAAAGCATTCCTTCGACATTGACAGAGCAAAAACAAACAAAGAAATCAGATCCGGTCATCGAAAAACCACCAATTGTCGAGGAAAAGAAGGAAGCAGCCCCCTCAGTTTCCGCTCCTCCACCTGGTAAATCTCAACAGCAACAAAGGCCTTCCTCTGCAAAGAAAGAAACAAAGCAACAACCACCAGCAACAAGCAATATCACCGCACCTCCCGCTGCCAATGCTGCACAGACCACATCCTCCGCTACTGTTACTACTGCTGCTGCTGCTGCTACTGCTGCGACTGCAACTGCACCAGTAACAGCAACTACATCTCAAACTACTGTTGAACCTCCCTCACCTCAACCAAAGGTAAAGCCACCAGGAAGTTGGGCGTCTTTGCTAAAGAAGCCTGATAATGCCAAAAAACCAGCCTCAGCCAATGGACCATCAGCAAATGGAGTAGTAGTAAATGGAAAGCCCTCTGCCACCAGACCCAACAAGCCTGCTTCACCCACCCCAACTACAATGCCCAAATTCACAGGTGTTGCAGATATTATTAGCAAATACGAGCCAACCTACACTGCTCCTTTGCTACAACCTCGCGGATTGATTAATAATGTCAACACTTGTTTCATGAATGTGGTAGGTCATCAGGGCAAAGGAGAAGAGAGAGAGAGAGAGACACAAAGAGAGGAATTACAGAGATGCTGACCTTATCTCTATTTGTAGATATTGCAACCACTCTCCCATTGTGCTCCATTCTACAATCTCATCAAAACCATTAGCAATCAGGTAGCTCATACCATCAAGAGCAAAACTCCCCTGTTGGATTCAATGTAAGTGTATAGGAACCTTGAAGAGGGAATTAGTGACTAAAAGGCAGCCGCTGATAGCATTGAATTTATCAATGAATTCCCCTGTGAGCGCTTGGATAACATGGAAAAGTACGGAGAACCGTTTGTACCAGAATATGTATACAATGCATTGCGCGAACAAAAGAAATTTGATACACTTCGGGGTCGACAAGAGGATTCAGAAGAATTCCTCTGCTTTTTATTGGATGGTTTGCATGAGGAAATGACAGCTGTACTCAAGGAGCAACAGGATAAAAAGGAAGCAGAAGCTGCAGCTGCTGCAAAGGCTGCTGGTGGCGACGATTGGTTAGAAGTGGGCGCCAAAAACAAGACAAGCAATCTACGCTCTACTGGATTCCAAGAATCACCCATCTCCAAGATCTTTGGAGGTAAAGTTCGATCTGTATTGCGATGCCCTGGAGCTAAAGATTCAATTAATCTCGAGCCATATCAATCCTTGCCCTTGGATATCCAACCTGATAATGTACACTCGATTGAAGATGCCATTGCCAACATGACTCTACCAGAAACGATGCATGATTACACCTCACCCAAGGGCATCAAAGTGGATGCTACCAAGCAAGTGTATTTGGAAGGATTACCGCCTGTCTTGATTTTGCACATGAAGCGGTTTGTATTTGACAATGTGGGAGGCGTTCAAAAGTTATCGAAACAAGTCAACTATGGAGCCAGATTAACGATTGATCCCGAATGGATGGTGCCAGCTTCTCGTCCCACAGAACCCATTACATATCAACTGTTTGGCTGCGTATATCATCATGGTACATCTGCTGGAGGTGGTCATTACACATGTGATATCAAAAGACGCAACAACGAATGGCTGCATATAGATGATACTACTATCACTTCCGTCTCTGAGCAGGATGTCTTGGTTACTGAGGACAATACCCGTACATCCGAAAAAATACATGCTGGCCAGACAGCTTACATTTTGTTTTATGTCAGATCATCGTAATCACACTTGTCTCTCTTTCTTTCTCTCTCTCTCTCTCTCTCTCTCTCTTTCTTTGTTTTTTTTTTTCTCTCTTCTTTTTCCCAACTTTTTCTTATATACATAAAATACATTAAACCCTTATATACAGTTACAAAAAAAAATGAATAAAACTCTGCTTTAAAATCTACACATTCTTAAAGTGTTATACACGAATGATTGCAAGTAAACATAACATTGGCTGGATCGGCTGGATCCAAAAGGAAGGAAGCTCCATCAGTGCTCAATCCAATGGCAGTTAGTGGCTTGAGGTAACCTTTCAAGGTACCACTGGTGACCGGTAATCTCTTCTTGAGAAAGTATAATGGATCCAATTTTACAAGAAGGATTTCTTTTTTCTCTTTGAAAAAGTTTTTAAAATCTTGAATATACAGCAAAATGGGAGGTGTACACAACATCAATAAAAGTAAATTCAGGCAACAAAATGCATATAAGGCGAACACAGCTAACCTAAAACTCCATTAGTCAAGGGACACTCAAAAGATCGTAAGGCTCGTATTGCAAAGAGCGCTGCAAAGGCCAAGAGACCCACAAAGCCCTCTGTTACCACCAAGAGAGTCATTACAAAGAAGAAGCAAAAGCAATTGGAAAAGGCCTTGAGAAATGTAAGACGATAAAGGACATTGGACATGGGAGGATCCCGGATACTGACATGATGTGCGGACGATGTATAGGAAAAGAAGCTTTTGGCATCAAAGGGTTTGATCGAATATGAAGAGGAAATGAAGGATGTCGTTCTTCCTTCACCTGGTAGACAAAGAGTGATAACTGCATGCATTCCTTCTGATGAAGTTTTGGCTGCTGCTGCTGCTGGTCCTGGTACCACTCTCGGTGGTTCTCAGTAAAAACATCATCATTTCTCTTTCTCGCTTCATTTTTTTCTCTTTAAACATTGTAGATATCGTTTTAATTATAATAAAGAACAACAGCTCATTTCTTTGCAAAGTATATCATATGGCTATCATGTGGATAAAGGACTCGGCTTTGATTATCGGTGGGTACATCCTTTAGTATGGCATCTACTTGAACTTTTAATGCCTCTTGTTGAGGTGCCTCAAGACTTGCAATGTAACTCTTGCTGAGAACTCTTCTCCAAATGTCTTGCTTTGGCACCCAATAATCATGTTTGAATAGCTCGGATGTGTAAGGCAAAACGAACAATGATTTGGCCTTTTCAGTGTCGAATACTTGATGCCACTTCATTTTACGAAATTGAGGCACGGCACTGTCATATGCTTCATAGCAACTAGAGCAGCGTTTTTGTGAGAATGAAACCTGACAGGCATTTTGTACCGCTTACTTTCTGAGATTGGCGACCCATTCACTTCTGTCGCCGCTTTCCAGATTCCATGCCAAGATGCCAAATCCTCCAGGCTTTAGCACACGATGCATTTCCTCAAGAGTCTTGATATCATCAAACCAGTGAAAGGCTTGAGCAACAACAACGGCGCTTTGAGATTCATTCTCAACTGGAATATTCCAAGAAGTACCCTCGATACATGGAACACCAGGCACCACTTCCATCAATTTAGTACGCATTCCCTCAACAGGCTCAACAGCAGTGACATTGAAGCCTTTGGCAACCAGAGCCTTGGTCATTAAACCAGTGCCTGCAGCCAGGTCAATGATGGAAGTCTTCTCTGGCAACATCTCTTGGATTCTGTTTAACATAGCCTCAGGATAGCTCGGCCTTGTTTGTGCTGCATGACAGTCAGTGAATATCAACCCTCGTTTTCAATGCAATCATTTACCATAGGCATCTGTTTGAAGATTGAATCCTTTAGAAGCTACAGCATGGACACTGTGGCCAACTCTAACAAGGCCACTGTATTGACGCACTACCAAATAAGTTGCCTGGGAAATCATTTGATAGATGAAGATGCTCCATAACTCGGTCATGAGCGCATATTTATATATTGTTTTCTGTCACCGCGGAGTCAAGCGCATCAACCACCGTATTTGTACAAATTAGCCTTATCTGATTTCTCTCGTTTTGCATATATCTCCATGCCATCAATGATACTTAGGCAAGCTGATCCGAGATACTATGGGTCCATCATCATTACAAAACCTCCTCCGGGGAAAAGATTACATCTCTTTAGTGAAACGATGGCGCACACAATGGTATTTAGGGTATAGCCAATAGATTTGCCAAATCAGAGACTTACTCACAATCCGTACATGAACACACACTTACACAACTGCAGATCAACTAATTTCTGCTTTGTACGGATTCTCACCCCTCTCCTTTTTTTTTTGATCTAAACTTTTTATAAACATATAAATGTAAATATTTATAACTATAACTTTTCTTTCTTCCATTCTCTTTTCTGCTTGTCGCATCTTGTTTCACTGGAAAATGAGCAGCAGAAAAAGCTCCATTATATCAACGACGGAAAATGTCACAAACTATGAATCAATCGACAGAACGCCTACTACATCAACGCAGATGGAGAAGTTCAAGGTCATAGAAAAAAGATTGGTTCGAAAGATTGATTTCAGGTTGGGATCACGTACGGACCTCTCGCGCTTGATATTCACAATGCGTTACTAGATTGATCCCATGGTTATCTGTGCTGTATTTGCTGCTTAGTTTAGACAGAAACAATATCGGTAATGCTCGTCTGGGCACACTAGAAAAGGACTTAAACTTGGTGGGCAATGATTATTACACTGCCCTGACGATTTTCTTTGCTGGTAAGTATAATACGAATCATGAACATCATTCTGTGTATATTGATAACGGGAACAGGCTATGTATTGTTTCACATTCCATCAAATCTGGTTGTCAAGCGATTAAAGCCCTCAAGATGGATCTCAGGTACCATGGTGTTGTGGGGTATTTGTTCCCTCTGTCAAGCATTCACACACAATGCTGCGGGTCTCATTGCGTGTCGCTTCTTTTTGGGTGTATTCGAGACGGGCGTTGGACCTTCAACTCCTTTGTTCCTCTCATTTTGGTACCAGAGAGAAGAATTGGCTACGAGAGTGGCTATTTATTTTGGATCATCTACAGTAGCAGGTGCCTTTGCTGGAGCCATTGCTTACGGTGTGCTTGGAACAATGGAAGGAGCACATGGAATTGCGGGATGGAGGTATGTAGAGAAGGTCGTTATTGGGATGGTGGGCATTCGCTAATGTGCGACATAGATGGCTGTTTATTGTCGAAGCTATTCCTACGATTACTCTTGGTTTCTTGAGTTTTATTGTGCTCCCTGATATGCCAGAAACTGCAGGCCGCTGGTTAACTGCAGAGGAAAAGGATGTTGCTATCCAAAGAACACGACAAAGTGGAAACACAGATGACCATGCTTTTGATAAGAAGCAATTTAAAGCAGCATTGATAGACTACAAAGTGTGGTTTGCAGGTATGTAGCTGCTGTTTACTGGAAACACTTGGGTTATTTTGAGGGCTAAAGTCTGCACACATATACAGTTATCATTTATATTGGTTTGAACATTGCTCTTGCTAGTTTTGCTGTATTCCTACCAACAATCATCCGGGATATGGGCTTCAGTTCATTACGTGCCCAGTTACTATCAATTCCACCTTACGTCGCAGCTGGTATACTTGTGTTTGTAAGTGTTTCTCGCATTGCCAGGGATGTTGGTTATTCAAATTTAACTATAGTTTGTCTCGTGGAATTCCGATCGCACACTTCAACGCGGATACCATATCATGGCAGTGTGTGCTCTAGGCGTTCTCGGATACATCTTCTTACTAGCAAGTTTGAATGTTGGATTGCGCTACACAGGAGCAGTATTAGTTGCCTGTGGTATTTACCCCATCATTCCTCTAACATTATCATGGGTATCCAATAATCAATTGGGACACACGAAGCGTGGTGTAGCTATTGCTATGACAAGTATGATTGCGCAATGCTTTAGTATGCTGGGAACTCAAATTTATCGCACTGAAGACTCTCCTCGCTATGTCAAGGGCCATATCGTTTGTCTTGTCTTTCTCGGGTTGGCAGGTCTATCCGCGTTCACCTTGAGATTTTTGCTTTCTAGAGAGAATAACAGAAGAGATAGAGAATATGGAGTGCCAGATTCAAAAGACATGTCTGGTGTTGACATTAACGGTGTATATGACAACCACCCTCAGTTTAGATATGCTTTATAAAAGACTACAAATCATTACATAATATATTTATAGTCCATAGACGCTTTGACAACCCTAATAATATGGAAACTGAGCTTCTAGGCATCTGTCAGGCCTGGCTCATATCGTCATAACATAATAAATTTTCAGTCCCTAGACACTTTTAAAACCTTAAAAAGAAAAAAAGCTGATCTGACAAGTATTTTGGTAGACTGGCGTTATTAAATATAGAATGCAAGAAGAATAGCATGACTAACGATAGTGTTATGTAATCTGTCACCTACTTTCCATACGCTTCAAGAGCATATATTACTGTATTGCCTTCATGATGAAATGGAATTGGGTCTGCCAGCCGGCACCACCAGCCAAAATAAATTTAAACCCAAAATTTTGGTCTACTCCAGATTGGATAGATTTTAATAATTTTTCGACTTGATTGAACTATTTTGAACATGATGCCTGCATTTTTCGAGTCCCACAATTGTCCTGTCTGCTTGTCCCCCAATGAAACTGCCAGCCACCTGCTCTTTGACTGTCCATCCAAAGAAAAGGTATGGCAAGGCGTCATTTTTGAGTTCCTATGGCCCACCACGTCCATCACTGACATCAAAGAGGCTCTTCTGTCCCTGGACTTTTCAGATATCTGGTACTCCCAAGTCAAAGGCATCCATCCATACAGAATCCTACTCATCACCCTGTCTCAAATATGGCTAGCCCATATGCGCTTTGTTTTTGACGGCACTATCTTTGTCCCTGAGGCGATTCTGGTACATATCCACTCCACTGTCCGACAGACAGTGGATGAAGATCAAATCCATTCCCTCTTGTAATTTAGATAGTTAGATAGTTCCTTTTGTTAGTTTAGTTTAGTTTCCATTTATATTTATATTTTTTTCATTTCTCAATTGCACCCGCCTCTTCACTCTGACCTATTACTCTTAGTGTACGCGGCTCAATCAATAAACACAATTTAAAAAAAAAAAAATGAACTATTTTGATATATTCGACTATATAAAATCTAATGTTCATTTTATGCTTCCTTAAGCTTTCTTGGAGTGCTTTTCAAGGCGCATTCAATGGTACTAAGTAATATAGATGTTTTGAATAAATTTATCAAGCAATTTATGAAAATACGAAAAGAAGTTTCTGGCCAAAATGTTGAAATTTTACATACCAAAGTCCCGCAAAGATGAGTTCAGAGGTTGCTTTGGATCGATAAAAACATTTTGATTCAAGATATACCATAGTAAAAGTCTTCATTTTTGGGGTCAAAAACGCGATCGTTTGATTTTTGAAAAAAAACCATGAGGCACCCCTCATGCTTTTTGGTCGATTTTTGGCCGATTTTTGGTCATGTTTTTTTTTGGCCCAAAAAGTTGAGCAAAGGTATCAGGAAGTTACTGCTACTCGAGTACAATTGTCTGGTGCTATTCTGACGGTCTAAAATGGCCTTAAATTCAAGAAAACACAGGTCGAATGCGCCCAGATTTTGCTGCATTAGGCATACTATTGACTAGAAAGAGGTGGTGCTAGTATATTGCTTGTCCGTATACGAAGCATCTTACGTGTATATGGATGTGGAACATCACATAAGAGTCAAATTCACAGATAATAAGAAGGGTTCTCATGTGAAAGTGGAGTGCTAAAATGGAAGTAGCATTGATTTTGATAAGATGAGCAAGGGCAATCAGTAGCGCGAGCTGCAGCTGCACAGGCTAGCACTCTACTTTCGCTTCGCTTCAGCGAGAACCATCCGAAGCGTAGACACACTCGTTACTATTAATAGACTTAATCATTTGAATCACTAAATAGTCAAAGCGCCCTGTCGAAGAAAGCATCAACATTACAGCTTTATTCACTTGTTATCGATTAATGGCTATTATTATTAGTTACATTATTAATTATTTTTAAAATTAATCACTACATGATAATCATCGATTCGCAGGGTATTTTTCTTCCAAATCTATTGGAGATCGAGAAAGGGGTATCACCTCTTTTTGGTGGTATGTTAGTGGTGGCCTCAGCGCTAATGTTGATTTATCTGCTACCACCTCGCTTTTAGAGTAATAGTAGTTTTTAAATGATTTCTGTCGCATTTTAGCATACTACATAATAAACATGTTAGTTAGTCATTCAGCTGTAAATCTTGTGAATATATGCACTTTACCATTACAGGTTCACTAACAAGTGTCATGCTAGATGAATATGCGACCATCAGTAGAATGACACCGTCAGCCACAACCAGTACCAGGTAGGTATAGACATCCCAAATAGGGCCCAAGTTGATGATGGCTACGACAATGTAAAAGTCGTAAACAAACCGCAGCATTATCAGTAAGCCAAGCATTAATAATGAAGCCACAACACGCTTGAATGTTTGGTCTACTATCGCAGGCTTGGATAGCATAAGTGTAGGTTGCAACAACCTTCTTCCAATAGCCTTTTCACATGTATTTGATATATATGCTGACCAAGAGTAGCAGACGCATAAACCTATGTACAGCAGTACCAGAATAATGCTGCATAATGCTCCCATCAATTTCAATATTAGGGCCACCTTGACTTGATCTGCCATCTCGTGCTCTTGAGATGATTCATGGATTAGCACAACATCACCAGCCACAGAGAACACGACGGGTATTACGGATAAAAAGATAGCAATGACAGTGAGGTAGTACGAAGCAAGATGAGTGTTTTTATGCTGTCCTCGACGCACCCAAATTTCAAGTAATCGAAAGGATCCCAAATTGATGAAAAATGAGCCTAATGATGTAAGGATCAAAGAAGTATACAGGGCGAATTCATGTGTCAAATCGACATTATCAAGGTTTGCTTGTCTATTTTCCAATGAGTCCTCTACAATATTGTCTTCAGATATGAAGATGATGAGGAATATATGGGCCACAGCATACATCACTATTAAAGTTGCGTTAGCCGCACTACGTTGCACTGTTACAAACACACATACATGCAGTATTCCCGAAATAGAGATACGGAAGAAAATACTCTTTTCGAACAAACTTTTCATAGAAGGCTACAGCTAATAGGCCAGAAATGGCGCTTTTATATAAACATGAGTTAATGTAGAGTGTCGTCAAAGATGAGCGTGTGTACCTGAACACGATGGCTGGAATGAATACTGGAGTTGTAAATGATCGCACGCAGTTTTCGGCTAGATATAGTTTGTTATCGCTTAGCAAGAAAGAATCCATATAATCGATGAAAAGAAAGATAAAGAAAAAGGGTAGAAGCCCGGGAAACATTATTCTGTTTATATACCCATCTACGAGTAATTTGTTTATATTAAACGGGCTGAGAGGTTATCAATGACAATGTAAAAAAAAAAAAAAAAGGTCTAAAAATAAAAGGCTTTTACTTTTATGATAGATAATTTATTTTTAAGGTGGTTAATTAGAGTAGTGATGGGCATTTCATTGTGCTGCGTACATATCTGATCTATTGGTGCCGTGCTTTCATGCATTAAACTTGTGTATTTGTACCTGGGGCCATTGTAAACAGTGGCCTAATAGACGAAACCATATTGCTATCACCAATGTATCAACTTTGATCATGATTTGAATTGGCTCTGATTACCTTGAAATGTAATAGTGATTCAGTCGAAAGAATGGATCAAGATGCCAATTTCCTGCAACAATAGAACCCCAGCTTTGGTCATGTAACACATGAAAGAGGTTGAAACATTTGTAGTGGTAGCATACATGTATTCTGCTTCTACTTTATCCTCATTCGCCCCCCCCCCCACATCAAGCAGAAACTACCAGGGTGAGATGGAATGCGCTTTCAAATACGTCTTGTGTATGGCGAGTTATACCAAATAAATACATTGCTTATCAGAAAAGATGTATACTATCGCAACCTCGTAAAATAGGGTAATGCCGAATCACATCACTAAAGATCGGAAGTATCCTTCTGGCTTATCCTCCAACGCTACGATCTCTTGCTATTGATCTAATGTGATTTACCTCATTCGCATAAAAAAAACTAGGTATGGCCCTGAGCGTTTGTCTTGCTGTTGGCATCCAGTTAGATGATAGCATGCATTTCGCACCTAATCATATATGGAATGTTTTTCTCTTTCCCAAGTGACATCTCTCTCGTACCCGGCGTTTTAATAAAACGGGCTTAATCATTCTGGCTGAAGTGTGTCTCTTTCCCTTTTCTTTTACACTTTGTATATATATATATATATATATATATATATACGCAAAAGCATGAGTTCTGTTCCAGCAATGCCTGTTGTTGAGAGCGATGACAGAGCTCCATCACCCACCCATGTTCAAGACGAAGAAGACGTAGATGTGCCTATGCCTAATGAACCCTACCATGATGATGAAGCGCAAGCCCAACAAGAGGAAAGACCTGCCCAATCCGAAGGAGAAGAAGAGGATGAACAATTGCATAGCCAGCAGCCCCGCAGAGCAAGATTGCATTTTCAAAACTCTTATGAAGCCAGTGTCGTGAGTACATCCTCCAATCCTCCGCCTTATGAGTTGTATCCACCTGCAAAGACAGTATTTGGGAGAGCATTCAACTGGTTACGCAAAATCCCTAGATGGAACACACACCAAGCCATTTATTTACCGACCATCCATAACAACAGTGGTAGTAGCAGTAGTGGTAGGTCCATTTTTAGTTTACGAAGACACAGGAGAACAGATTCTAGTACCAGTAGTATATCATCCACGAATTCCGTCTCCTGTTGGTCGTATTATTATTTTGCAATTACAGATCGTTTACCCGATTGCCCTCGCTTTGTTCTTCCCTCATTTTTAGCTCAGCATAGGCTTGTGCTCATCTTGGTATCCCTGTTCTCCTTGGTTCTGTTCAGTTTCTTGCTGTTTTGCTCAGTGTACTTTCAGCCCACAAGCTATCCAAATCCCGTATTTCCAGACAAGATGACCAACGACACTGCCCGCTTCTTGACCCTGAATATCTTTATGCGCCCGCCACTTATCAAGAACAATTGGTCCGACTTTAAGGATGATCGCCTTGCTTATATCGAAAAGTACATCCTGCCCGACTATGATGTAATTACATTTCAAGAGTCATTTGCATTTGCCACCAGACGAAAGGACAGATTGATCACAACCGCACGTTTGATGGGCTACAATTACCATATTGAATCACCTCGCAAATATCCATGGAATATTGGTGTCGATGGTGGTCTGTTGATGATCTCAAGATTTCCCATCAAAAAGTCAAACATCATTGAATATCCAAGAGGACAGCACAGTGATTGGTAAGTTACACTATCTCATTTCCGAGCATTCTACTTACCCGTTTATAGGTTGTCCATCAAGGGAGCCCTTCATGCGCTGATAGAATTGAATCCTGACCGCAAAATGCACTTGTACACAACGCACACACAGGCGTCTTATGATTTGAACAACATTATCAACGAAGACGACACAGCCATCCGATTATCGCAGTTCTCTCTGCTGCACAATTTTGTATATGACACTACCAAAGACGACAATGAGCCCATCATGATTGTCGGTGACTTGAATGTGGATGCTGCTGTTCATCCCAAAGACAGACCCATCACAAGACCCTCTAAAGAAAGTTCACCCGAGTACACAAAAATGGTGGATGTCATTCGTGGTACAGGTGTCATCAAACGTCCTGATTCAGATGAACGCTGGTTCGATCATCCTTGGAAAATGGACGATTTGACAGATGTTGTCTACGCTAAATACGGATACCATCCCGTTACATTTGGTGATTATACGACGGATGAAGAGGGCCAATTGATACCAGCAGAGACCGTGCTGACGAATTGGGATCAGTTGATGACAGTTCAGAGCATTGATCGTATCTTTTGGTCTGATCGCAACACAAACATTATACAATTGGAGTCGCCTCGAGTCGAGAAGTTCTGGGTCAAGGAAAACAACCAAATGACAGAGAAGGAGCGACAGGAGACGGGATTTACACAGATTTCAGGTAAAATGGGCATGTCGCATTTTTAGGATCTTACCTAACGATCTTGACTTTGACAGATCACTATGGTTTGAGCTGTAACATTCAAGTGCTCTAAGCACGCTATTTCTCCATCTGTACATGTCTATCAAATAGCCTTTATATATCTTTATTGTGTAAAAGAGAAAGAAAAGCCCCCGGTCGATGATATCTCTAAATTTTTTTTTTCTTTCTTTATTCTTCTGTATAGGATTAAAACGTATTTACAATGCATTCTTGTATTTTTCGATATTCTCTGTATTTCTGAACTGCCATTGCCAGTTGGGCTTGCTTGCTGCAGTTTCACGGTGAACTTGCTTGTAAAGAACACCTTCACCTTCAAGAGATCTTAAAATTTTTTGCTTTAAATGTGTTTTTGACACAAATTGTTTAGGGTATGTTGGCACAAATTCAAATAACTTTTGTGTTGTCATAGGTCCATTCTTGGCAATCAAATGCTTAACGATCTTTCCAGCAGAGAGTCTAGTAGCAGCCATTGTGATGTGTAGTAGAGAGTTGTAAAGAAGGAGAGAAGAAAAGTAGCTCAACCCCCGGACGTTGGAGTCAACCAAAAGGGCTTCAGGTTATCATTGGAGTTTCAATTCTGTCATGGCTCTTGTTATCCCCTAGTCAGCAAAAAGGTTATTTCTAGCTTTTTCTATTGTTTCTACCTCATTTTTCAATCATGTTTAAACCTCTGCTTCGCTCAACAGTGCCTCTGATCAAGGCTGCTACTTGCAAATCAACTCAACTTCAGTTGAAGGCTATTTTGGTATGCATTTTCCTCGAGTTCATGTCTTAAATTGTAGCATCATGTCAAATCTTGACTTAATTTAACCTCACCTTTCATGTTAGTCTTCTCCTAATGTTGCTCGCACTGCCGCTGCTGGTACTGCCTACAGTGCTGGACACTATTTATGGTCCAGAGCCTACACTACCGATGTCTCAGAGGTATGTTGCATTGTGAATGGATGCCAAATGTGTATAAATTGACTCGACTCAAAACAGCACACTACTTCCAACGATGAGGTTGTTACCGGAAAGGAAGAAGTACATGAATTCAAGACGGAAACCAAGCGTCTTTTGGATATTGTTGCCAATTCGCTCTATTCCGAGAAGGAGATCTTTGTTCGGTAAGAAGCAAATGGTGGATTGAATTCAACATTGATCTAATCATGGTGTAGTGAACTCATTTCCAACGCTGCTGATGCGCTCGAAAAACTTCGCCAAACACAAACAGTCGAACCAGATGTTGACAGTGGAAAGCCCCTCGAGATTCGCATCGAATTGAACAGAGAAAAGAACCAATTCATTATTCAAGATTTCGGTATTGGTATGACATTGGAGGAATTGAACGCAAATCTCGGCACAATTGCTAGTTCAGGCTCCAAGAAGTTTTTGGAAAAGATGGAGAAGGATGGCTCTACTGGTACCAAAGAGAATATCATTGGCCAGTTTGGTGTTGGTTTCTACTCTACCGTAAGTCAAAAGATGGGAGCATTGACAATGGCAAGTGGAGCTAATGCATCCGACTATATCCCCCCCCCTAGTTTATGGTAGGTAACAAGATCAAGGTCTATACCAAATCTGCTTTCCCTGGATCAAAGGGCTATTGTTGGACTACGGACGGCCAAGGATCTTACTCTGTTGCTGAAGCTGAGAATGTGGCTGTTGGTACAAAGATTGTGATTGAGCTTCGTGAGGACTCCAAATCCTACTCTTCTGAACTCGAGGTGGATTCCATCATTAAAAAGTACTCCAACTTTGTTGGATTCCCCATCTATTTGAATGGAAAGGAAGTGAATACTGTCGAAGCATTATGGACAAAGGATCGCAACAGTGTGACCCCTGAACAGCATCAGCAATTCTATCGTTTCATTGCCAACGCTTGGGACGATCCTCAGTACACATTGCACTTCAAGACCGACTCACCTCTGGCCATATCATCCGTCTTGTATATTCCTGAGAAGCACATGGAGCTATTAGGGGAGCAAACCAAGCCCGGCGTCTCTCTTTACAGTAGAAAGGTGCTGATTCAACCCGAGTCTGCTGGTATTTTACCTCATTACTTGCGTTTTATCAAGGGTGTTGTTGACTCTGAAGATATCCCATTGAACGTCTCTCGTGAATTGTTGCAAGATAACATTCTATCTCGTCTTCGTATGGTCATGACTTCCAAGGTGCTCAAATGGCTCGATGGAGAAGCCAAGAAGGATCCCAAAAAGTACGACGAATTCTTTTTGGACTATGGACAATTCATCAAGGAAGGTGCTTGTACTGATGCCATGCACAAGCGTGAAATTGGTAAGCTGTTGAGATTTGAAAGCTCAAAATCAACAAACGGTAGCATGATCAGTCTTGAGGATTACGCCAAACGCAGCAAGGAGGGACAAAAGCGCATCTACTATCTTTTGACTCCCAAGCGTAAATACGCCGAAGAGAGTCCTTACACTGAAATGTTCAAGAAGAATGGTGTCGAATTATTGTATCTCTATGAAACCGTGGATGAGTTTGTAGTCAATCATTTGAAGGAATTCCAAGGCTACGACCTTGTCTCTGCTGATTCACCCGAGGCTGCTTCTGATCCTCTCTTACAACAAGCGCGTGATGACACTGAAGGCCATGCACTGACTGACAGTGATGCCAAGGATCTTGCCAAGTGGATTGAAACGACTTTGGGTGACGAAGTTGTCAAGGGTGTTGATGTCTCTCGTCGTCTCGCTAGTTTCCCTGCTATTGTGCTCGAACATGAAAGTCCTGCTATGCGAAAGATGATGCAAATGATGCAAGGCTCTGCACGTATGGAGGAGAGTCCATCCACACCCACCGTGCTAGAAATCAACCCTGATCACCCTGTGATGAAGGGTCTGTTCAACATTCGCAACCAAAATCCTGATTTAGCTAAATTAGTGACAGAGCAAATCTATGATAATGCATTGTGTGCTGCTGGTGTCTTGGATGACCCAAGATCTATGATTACTCGTTTGAACAAGTTGCTTGAAATCACTGTGAATACTGTAGAACAAGACAAGAAGGTCAAGGTCTAGACTAGAAATAGAATATATCATACGAATAAAATATGTATAGTGTACAATTGCAAGCATGGCAGGACTGACAGATCTAGCCCTCCAATCTCTCGCAAAGGTGAGATGTGTAGTAAATAGGCTCAATCAAATGTAGGCATCTCAAACACTATGCAGGGCCAATGAAGGGACAAAAATCAAAAGCTGATTGATATGCTGGACGCCTAAAGTTTAATTTTAAAGTAGATTTATTTGTTATAGTATGAGTGGCAAGTTTGTTATCGTAATATACACATGAGAGCATCGGAAGAAAATGGACGGAGGAAATCAGACACTCTTTCCTACAACTTACTATTGACATAATAAACGAGGGGTGGCAAAAAGGAAACAAATCTTTGAAACCTCCAGAGAGCGAAGCAGATTGGCCCAACCAATCCATTCAAGAGGGTTTGCAGATGCCCAAACGCTTAAATGTATTTTTTTTTTTAAAAAAAAAAAAAAAAAAAAATGCAACTGCTGCTAGTATCAGAGTTCCATTCCGTAGCTGGTATGGGCCTTGTATCCGTTACCAAGTCAAAGCTATTGTAGACTAAAAGAAGCATCTTTTTGACACTTCCATCCATTCTACTTTTTCCTGATCTTCCCTCCTCGGAAGTGAGATAAGTCAAATATGGGCAACCTAATAAAGATAAACCATTAAACTCCGGTTGGATGTCGATAAGACAAACGTCAAAATTTATATAAAAAGAGACCTTCAATTTGATCTAGTCTCATCACTCTATTCATTAGGCATTATATATAGCATACCAACATGTCATCACAGACTGATATCGCTCAACAGGCTGCCACAATAACGTATGATGCAGGCAACATTGGATTCACCATCTTCAGCATGGCCCTCGTATGGCTCATGATTCCTGGCATTGGCTACTTTTATTCTGGCATGGCGAGAGAGAAGAATGCATTGTCGCTGATTGTATGCTCAGTACTGTCGCTGGTGGTTGTATCTGTGCAGGTAACTACTCAAATGTGCAATGACCGAGACTTTACTCACTTTCAATGCAGTGGTTCATCTGGGGCTTCAGTTTAACATTCTCAAAATCAGCAACATCTCCATTCATTGGCAACCTTGATAACGCATTTTTACGAGGCGTGCTTAGTGAACCATCCATTGGAAGCGACAAAGTGCCCGACATTGTATTCTGTGCATTTCAAGGCATGTTTGCTGCACTGACACCTGCGTTGGCCATTGGATCTGCTGCAGAGAGAGGCCGATTGCTACCCATGATTATCTTTATCTTTATCTGGTCTACACTCGTCTATGATTTCGTTGCCTATTGGGCTTGGGGTGCCAACGGCTGGAGCAGCAAGCTGGGCGCATTGGACTTTGCTGGAGGAACCCCAGTGCACATCACTTCTGGATTCAGTAGTTTAGCCTATGCCATCATTCTCGGCAAACGACAAGCTGGCGAAGACTTTAAACCTCACAACATGTCCAATGTCGTGCTTGGTACAGCCTTCTTGTGGTTTGGATGGTTTGGATTTAACTCGGGCAGCGCTCTCGCAGGCAATACGCAAGCTGCCATGGCTGCTGTGGTCACAAATCTGTCTGCTTCTGTTGGTGCTATCACTTGGATGTGCATTGATTATCGCATTCATCATAAATTTTCAGCGCTTGGGTTTTGTTCAGGCGCTGTTGCTGGTTTGGTCTCTATTACACCCGGTTCAGGCTACATTGGCCCTGCTCCTGCTGTGGCTGTAGGCTTTCTGGGCTCTTGTTGCTGTTACGTTGCTGTTCAAATGAAGCATCGCATGAAATTCGATGATAGCATGGATGTCTTTGCTGTGCATGGCGTAGGCGGTTACATTGGCTCCATCTTGACTGGTATCTTTACTGAATCCTACATTGCTGGACTGGATGGTACAACTGATATTCCTGGAGGTTGGATGAACCAAAATTGGATGCAGGTACCTCATCAATTGGCCGAAGCGACGGCCGGCGCTGCTTGGTCATTTGTGGTGACCTATATAATCCTCTATATTATGAATCGTATTCCAGGTCTATCGCTTCGTGTCGATCACCAAGTTGAAATTGATGGTCTAGATGTCGCTGAAATTGGTGAACTGGCTTACTATCAAGTTAACAAGGTGATTGGTATTGATGCTCACACCGGCGAGCAAAAGCTGGTTTCTGAAGAAATGAAAAGCATGAGTAACACTCCATCGCCTATTGCACAAGGCATGACGAGCATTGAAAGAGTCATGAGTGACCCTGGTGCTCATCATCACCGTGAGTCTCGATCACCGCAAGCATTAAACAACGTTTAATAATTGTTTGTAAATACTTTTTCTTGCATTCATACTCTTGTACATACACTTAACACTTTATAAATGTCAATAAAGTCTATTATCATCAATTCTGAAGGTGGGTGATATTGCAGTTCGCATTAGGAATAAAAGTGAAATGAGCAATTACGACGAATAGTTTATGTATTAAACATTAAAACACACAAAAAGGCAAGAGGGAATATCCATGCAAAACCATACAACTATCCATGTCGCAATTCCCTTTAAAGCATCAATTACCTTCATGATATAGCAGGCAGGGCATGATTTAAGTCTGCTAGCCAAAATTAATTGTATCTCCGACTTCTTTTGTCGCTCGAAATGGAAATATTTTGCTTGTTTTGCGACTCGATCGAATTATTTTGTATAATTTGACCAAGTCGTACAAAGTTCACCATGCACCCTTAAGCTCCCTGGTAGTACTTTTCAAGACGCATCTGATGGTGCTAATTACAATACATGTTATTAACAAACTTGTTGGGTAATTTTAGAAAATAAGAAATGATGTTTTCAACCAAAATGTTGAGATTTTGTATACAAAAATTTCATAATCAAAGTTTCAGGGGTTGCCCTGGATCCACAGCAACATTTTGATCTAATATATGTCTTGGTAAAAATCTTCATTTTTGTGGTAAAAAACAACGATCGTTTGATTTTTGATGAAATCCATGAGGTACCCCTCATGGTTTTGAGTCGATTTTCGACGATCCCAAAAAAATTGAGCAAAGGTGTCAGGAAGTAACTCCTGGTTGAGAGTGATTGTTTGGTCCTATTCTGGCGGTCTAAAACAGCCGCTATCACGAGAAAACAGCAATGTTGCACAGTTTTGAGTAGGAAAAGGCAACGTATGAATGCTTTCTGCTTGTATATGAGTTTTCTCCATTGATTCAGACGAGAATTACTGGAGAGAAAGCCATACAAACGTTATAAATTTCGTCTTTAGAACGTTCTCACATGCTACACATTCAAATTTCATCACATACAGTTCTTTTTACTGATATGATGTTTTGTGATTATTTATTTATGAATGTATATTTTTAAAGGGTAGGTTGAGATGATGAAAGCAACTATTTATTGGGCTGAGGCGCGGAGGAAGAAGCAATTCTTGATGTACGCTTCTTGTCCAAATCGACGACATAATCATATCGCTCCTGAGTGAGATTTGATTCACCAAATGAGGCTGCTGCTAATCTAGCCAAATTCATGCGGTGCATCAACTCTTCCTGAGAAGGCAATTCAGTCTTGTTTTCAGTAGCCACCTTGCGTTCTTCGACAAATGAGTTTTGAATGTACTATCAGCCAAAGATCAGTAACTTTTTTCGAAAGTCTTTCTTCTTTACGAGAAACTTACCTCTGAAACTTCTTCAGAAATGTCATAAGATCCGTATTTTCCTGCATGAATAAACCTTCTAAAAAGATCTAATGTTTCCTGAGAAGGTTGAACCAAATTCTCTGCGCTATTTTGCTCCAGTGAATGAGTGGATTCAAGAGGAATAGTACAGTGATTCTATTTTTAACCGTTGTAAATAAATAAACAGCCATTTTTCCTCCCCTATTCATTATATACAACTTACAGCAAGCATGGACTTGGATGAAGATAATGAGAGAACACTGATATCGGTATCAAAGTCGTATTGGCTGTAGGGGAACTCGTAAGTCAAGGTTTGGTTTTGAATCACATTTTGAAGCGCTTGGAAGTTGCGCACACCGGGATCCACCAACTGTCCCTCATCCAACACTGTTTCATCTACTAAAAGCACTGTGCCGTCGACCAGTTGTAATACGCCAGCCTCTAAATTCTCGCTGACGCTTTTTGGTGAAAACTTGGTCTTGTTGAGACCATCGATTGTCAATGGCAAGTTTACATGATGAATAGACAAATTTTGAAGTGCATCGGCTAAAGCCTTGGATGATGGATTATTGAGTGTGAGCAGAGGCGTCTTTTTGTCAGCTTCCGTTGTTTGATGAGCAGGGAATCCACTGATATTTAGTGTAAAGTGTCCAATTTTCAATCCTCTGTTTTTGACAGTTCTATTGTTTTAAAGGTGGTTGAGTGAGACAGTTAAGCCGAATTACCAGTTAATATACGTTACACTCTAGACAGCAACTGCAACAAAATGTATTCAGCTACCAAGTCATCGCCTCCCACAGCAGATGAAATGTAACTGATCAATTGATTGCGAATATCATGCGCCTGATGGCTGACATCCTCGTGGTTGGAGAGAGGGCAGCTATTAATAGCCTCGAGATTGTTGAAGGCAATTGCATGTATGACAGGCACACTGGAGAACATGTCCAGAACTGAATCAAATCCATGGTGCTCATCTGTTTGTTGCTGTGTGGGTTGCTGCAGATCCTGTCCCTTGATACCAATGATTTCAATCAATTGACCCACTTTGATGTTCTCTGCCATATCGTTGTAGAATTTGATGATAGCCGAAGCATGATCTTGTCCAGGCAAAGGAAACTTGCTGAGTGTCGTTGGGTTTGGCTCCTTGATCTCGAGTTGATTGATTTGATCGCTCAATGAACCTGACGTAGACAGATGAGCAAGAGCATAATATCACTAGCAAAAGCAATGCTTACCAGAGTTGACATTGTGAGCATCCTTGACCCATTTGGTCTCACCGGGAGGCGATACACAATATACAATGGCACGTTCCGCAATGTACTCGTTTTGCATGGCATGTTGATCGCTGAATTCACCCTCAATTGCATCATCTGTATAACGGTAGCAGTGCAGCTTCATGTCACCATTCTTATCCAATTTCTCGTAAGCAGAAATAAACATTTCTTGTCCTAATCCAGTATCTTGAATCATACAACGGAATCGAATCAAGGTATTTTTAGGCACCTGTTGCACAGGAGTATCGTTTATAGAAATGATCTATATTTACAAATGTGAGCTTTTCTAATCTATCAATACACCCAAACATGCATACCTGGTCCTTGTTGGTTTTTAATACGTCAAGAAATGCGGCAGAAGGGTCAAAATCGACAGGAGATTTTGAGGTGTCCTTTACGTATTCATCTACGCATGTTTCAATCAGTCATTTACGTTCTGCTTCCATCACCATGATGTTACCAAAGAGCTCTGATATATGATTCAATGGTTCTCTAATTTGATGGCTCATGTTGACGAGTGTTTTGTAGTAGTTGAAAAGAATGCAAAAAAAAAAAAAAAAAAAAAAAAAATTTGCTACTGCGACTTTTTCAGTCTGAACGGATGGTGGTGCACAGTGGCTTGATCCACCACCACCACCACCACCACCACCACCACCGCTTCTCCATGCCGCTTATGTAACAACTCCAATCCCAAATTTCACCTGTGTGTGTGCTGTCTAGCGGTGTTCCTAAACGGTTGCAATAAAATCATCAACTACCCTTTTGTCTCTATTAAATTTCCCCTCTTTCTCTCTTTCTTCCCTCTCTTCTTTCTCTTTCTCCTTTGCACGTCTTTTTCTCTTTCCCCCCCCTTTATTTGTTCTCCTCACAACTATGTTTGCTAACAACAACAGTTTGACTAGTTTGAATGATTTGAATAGTAACAGCGATTGTAATTCAATTTCAAATTGGGCAGAGAAACTCTCATTGTCGGATATCAGTGTGGGCGAAATTTTGGATACCTACAAGAATGATACAGACTTGCTAAAGCACATCCTCGCAGCAAAGACGGAAGAAGATAAAGTAAGTAGTTTGTGTGTGGTACAAAATTTAATAAAACCACTCACTCACTCACTCACTCACATGCACTTGTAGAGAAGAGCAGCAGAAGAAATCCGCAGAGCAGAGGAAGCAAGATTGCAATCAAAATTCATTGATTTACAGCTTGATCAGAATCGCCGTTCTTCATTATTGGATGATACAAACACATCCTTAGGTAAAAAAAAAAAAAAACAAAAGCTCACAGGCAGAGATTAGTTTATATTCAAACCCTGATTACTCACATTTTAATATCACAAGGTCTATCTGCTACTGATTGGCTCTCTCAAGTAAACAACAATGATCTATTATCACCCACCTTCATGAACAATACCCCACCTTCTCCATCTCAACTTCAGCCATTATCGCCTTATACTCTATTCGAAGTGCCATTTGCCGACCTGAATCTGTCAGCACCATCCTCACCAGAACCTAACAATAATACACCACATCCACCTCCAGTCTTGGTTGAAAAAGTGAGTCTTAGTGATGATCCACCACCTCCTCCTCCTGTTTCAACGCAAGATAAAAATTCTAATTCAAATACTAATCACACAACGAATAACGCAAATTCAGCCGTAAACCCCACGCACTGCAAACCATTGGATGCCACAAATACCAGCAGCAACAATACCACAGATAATACAAACATGCTGTCTCCTCCACCTCCTCCACCTCCTGCGACCAGTTTACAAGTCCGAGAGAGAGGTTCATGTAAGAGAACACTATCCCGTACTCGATCTACCAGAAAGCCATCGATTCGAGTCCTTTCAAAAAAGAGGTACCAGCAGCCTTCCACTATCAGCCATAACAGTGGCAAAGATGAAGCAGAGCAGGCCAAGGAGGAATTGCCCTTGGATCATGATAAAGTCATGGAGGCATTAAGAGCCAAGTTACAGAGATCTACACAGCAACAAAAGGAACAAAAGGACGTTAAAGAAGAGTACACCAGCATGTCTCCTTCCGGCATCTTGTTGCTTGATTTGAAGAATCCCAAGAAATCTTTTCCTATCAGACCTAAAGCAACGCCTCGAGCCTCTGTTGTAAGGAAGCCCAATTCGTTTATTTCTGCTCATAAACCAAAAGAGCAAACTTTGTAAATAAATATCCATCCTTTTTGTTTGATTCTTATGTGGTTTAACTGGTAGACATTTGGTGGTTCTTGGTTTCTGCCGTCAGGAGGTGGAGAAAGATTTATAGGGAGGGAGCAGTCTAGTGAAATCATAAGCTGATCATTTTCTGCTCGGACGTTGAACATTTACCTGTTCAAGTCAAACGATCTGCAACCATCACCATCCTGATCAAGATGATTTTAAGCAAATACAATCATGTTACTATCTCCACGATGTAGCTATCGACCTGACTAAAAGGCAATATGCTGATCCACCTTCATTTTAGCTATTTCACGGACCTTCAATCAAGACAGCAGGTCACTTTTTTTTTTTTTTTTTTTTTTTTTTTTTTTTTTTTTCTTTCTGGACCTTTCAAATCCTTTCATTCGAGAAATTCAAAGCTTTCCTTCATTTTCTAGATCTCGAAATCGATACACAAAAATATGGGAGAACCAAAAAAGAGACAGTTGGCTTCTGATAGATCAGTATCTGCAAAGAAGCAAAAGCAAGAAGAGGCTTCATCCGCCTCCAAAGAGTTCGAAATGAGCCAACAACAGCAAGATGCCAGTATTCCAGTCAACTACGATTTCAGCTCATTGGATTGCTGCGAACGTACCAAGAATGCCATTACAGAATTGGGCTTTGAAAAGATGACTGAAGTGCAAGCTCGTACCATCCCTCCTCTCATGGCTGGCCGTGATGTGCTGGGTGCCGCCAAAACTGGTTCCGGTAAGACATTGGCTTTCTTGATCCCTGCCGTGGAGATGCTGTATCGTCTCAAGTTCAAGCCTAGAAACGGCACGGGTGCTATTATTGTGTCTCCTACAAGAGAGTTGGCTTTGCAAATTTTTGGTGTTGCCAAGGAGCTGCTCAAGTATCACCAATTGACATTTGGTATCGTCATTGGTGGTGCTAATCGCAAAGCAGAAGCTGATAAGTTGATCAAGGGTGTCAATTTGATCGTTGCTACTCCAGGCAGATTGCTGGATCATCTACAGGTAGTGTAGAATGGATTGGGGCCAGTGTTGGCAGTGAGACTGATATGCCATTGTAGAACACTCGTGGATTTGTATACAAAAATTTGAAGGCTTTGATTGTGGATGAGGCAGATCGTATTTTGGAGATTGGTTTCGAGGACGAAATGAGACAGATTGTCAAGATTTTGCCAGACGATAGACAAACCATGCTGTTTTCTGCTACACAGACGACCAAGGTTGCTGATCTGGCCCGTATTTCACTCAAAAAGGGACCACTCTATATCAATGTGCATGAAAACAGAGACACCTCGACTGCAGATGGCTTGGAGCAAGGCTACGTTGTGTGCGATTCAGATAGACGATTCTTGCTGCTCTTTACATTCTTGAGAAAGAATATCAAAAAGAAGGTGATTGTGTTCTTTTCTAGCTGTAATTCTGTCAAATACCACTCTGAACTACTCAACTATATCGATGTTCCTGTGCTGGCCCTCCATGTAAGTAGCGTTTATAGTGTTGCAGTGCATGTTACTCATACGCAATGACAGGGCAAACAAAAGCAACAAAAGCGTACCAACACCTTTTTTGAATACTGTAACGCAGACAAGGGTATTTTATTATGTACAGATGTAGCTGCTCGTGGTTTGGATATTCCAGCAGTGGACTGGATTGTCCAATTTGATCCCCCAGATGATCCTCGTGATTACATTCACAGAGTGGGTCGTACTGCTCGTGCTGGTGGACAGGGCAAATCTTTGCTCTTCTTGTTGCCCAGTGAATTGGGCTTCTTAAGATACTTGAAACATGCTAAAGTACCCTTGAACGAATACCAATTCCCTTCCAACAAGATTGCCAATGTGCAAGGACAACTGGAGAAACTCATTGACAAGAACTACTATCTCAATCAATCGGCCAAAGATGGCTACAGATCCTATCTTCAAGCTTATTCCTCATTTAGTTTAAAGAAGATTTTCGATGTAAATAATTTAGATTTAGCCAAGGTAGCCAAAGCATTTGGTTTCGCATCACCGCCCAAAGTGAATCTTGGTACGATTAAACAAACCAAAAAGGAGGAAAATGACGCTCCCAAGAATAGCGCCGAGGCTCAAAAGAAGAAAAAGACCAAGGCATGAATTTTAGATTAGTCAATAAAGATGACATTTTGTAAACTTGTGTGTGAATCCTTACCCCATCTTGTGACATATTTCTCATTGGTCTGAAGCAGCTTACTCATCTTTTATACCCTTCATGAAATATATGAATTCCCTTAACCCTCAGTCTGTCTGCCTTTTTTTTTTATTACCCACACGCATATGTAAAATCTGTTCTTTCCCTTTCTTCCCTCTCTTTACTTTTTTAAAATGTCCTCGTACGCTACTCAACTCAAGTTTGCTCAGGCATTGTCCATCATCCGTGCTATTCCTCAAAATAGCACGCTACAACCAATCGCATCAGAAAAGCTACAGTTTTATGGACTTTACAAACAAGCAACAGAGGGAGATGTAAATATACCCAGACCTTCGTCCAGACAAGTCGTAGAGTACGCAAAATGGAAGGCATGGAATCGCATGAAGGGGATGAGCCCCATTGATGCTCAAAAATTGTATGTGGAATCCCTTGTCCATTTATTATCAGAAGTATGTGTGTACAAGTTGATTTTCATATGATGATGGTACTGAAACCTTACCTCTAAGCTCGTACACAGATACCCTCGCCATGAACAGACCGAGTTCCTTAAAAAGGCATTAAACAGCTTTCAGTACGATAGCAATCCAGACATGGAACATGAAGATGATGGTAAGTTACAATCCATATTGGTAGCACCATAACTTTTTTTTTTTTTTTTTTTTTTTTTTAATATATGTAATAGACCTCTTTCAAGATGCATATGACCCTACAGAATTTGAACTACAGGAAAACTTTTTAAATCATATTGAGGCAGATCAGTTAATGCAAGAGGATGTCTTGAATTCACCTCCTACATCAGCCACTGCATCATCTCCATATAGGTCAACACCTCGTCATAGCAAGCATTATAGTAACAGTCGACATAATAGCTTCTCTGATGTTGTATCAACAAACGACTATCCCATCACCCCCATCACGTCACCAGGGCACACTTCAGTTACTGGTCAATGGGTATTGAGTCAATTGCAACAGCAAAACAAGCAAAACTATGTACATCCCATGGACTTTTTGCAGAAACAACAACAGCAGCAGCCGCACCAACTACAGCATCAACAAGACATGCTATCGGAAGCAGACACACTGGACCGCGAAGTAGCAGCCGCCACATCCAAACTGGCACTATCATCGCCCAGACAATCACCTTACACTGTATCAACAGCCAGCAACAATAGAAAGAAATCTAACAGCAAACAGCATCAGCATTCCTTATTATCACCGCATCTCTCATCCACATCCACATCCACATCCACAAGCAGCAACAATAAGAAAAAGTTGAAAAAATCAGATCGAGCCCTAGAAAAGCTTCAAACAGAAGTAACTGCATTGACAGAGCAAATTGACAGACTGCGACGAGGCATCAAACTACGAGAAGAAAGAGACAAGAATCGTAAATGGAGCACATTAGGCATTACTAAAATGTTGTTGAAACATTTAATGGCAAATTCGGCTATTTTTCTAATAGCTTTCTATATTCTATGGAGGAGAAAGTCACCCATTGCTTATGCCATCATAGGATATATCATGCCTGTCATTCAAGACATGATTCGTAAGATTATACAAAGAATTGTATTCTGGAAAGTGACAGTATGATCATGTTTTTTTTTTTTTTTTTTTGTTCTCTTAGAGTATAGCAATAAATCACCGTATTCTTCTATCACCAGAAACAAGAAAAGAGTGCTTCATTTTGCATAACTGATGTGCTACCTGACCCCTTTTCTTCATCCCTTACTACCTATATTCACTATTTCCATTGTTATAAATACATGCATTGGATTACCATCCTCTTTACTAGTGTTTTCTTTCTCTTTTCTTTTATCTGCTCTATACTTTTCTTTATACTCATTGCAAAGACTACTGAAATGGCCTCTCCTTCATGTCCAGATTATGCAGAGTAAAATATCTAAAACATGGGACATGTTGATATTTTCCCTAAATGTGACAATAGATACTCCAAAGTATTTCATAGACCAGGTAGTGGTGGTTTACTTGATTTGCCTTTTCAACGACCTGCTGAAGCCTGCAGAAAGTTCACTAGTACAGTGATTGAATCTGTTATTAGTAACATTACATCAAAGGTATGTAGCCATCATCATATCAGAATCATTTTCATGCATAATGATGCTCCGCTCTCTCGCTTCTCAATCATGACAAGAAGAAAATGGAATCGCTAACGATGAATGACATAATGTTACTAGATTGCAGACCTGGATTTAGCTCGCCTGTTCACCAATGCTTATCCAAACACCTTGGATACGACGATTGAAAGCACTGCCTGTATTGCCCTGAGTGACAATTGTCATCCGCTGTCGTTTGTTATCACGGGTGACATTAATGCAATGTGGCTTCGTGATTCAGCAAATCAACTCTTGCCTTATATTGATTACATTAAGCATGATGTGAACCTAAAGAGGCTATTTCTAGGTGCCATCTACATGCAAGCTCAATTCATCAATACAGATCCTTATGCAAATGCTTTCAAAGAGCCAAACAATCTGGAAGCTTTGGCAACATACACACACTCACAGCAGCTCGGAAAAAGAGAAGTGCAACTATTAGATGGAGGTATAACATACTGCTCTCCAACATCCTGCTTTGCGCTAATCATGCCACTCCTTGCTTTTGCATTCTAAAGTTTTCGAAAGGAAGTGGGAGATAGATTCCTTGGCTTCCTTTATGAGTTTATCTTATCAATATTGGAATCAAACTGGCGATGCTTCTTTCGTGGAAAATTCCATCTGGATTGATGCAGTGGAAAATGCGCTGAATACTATCAAATTGCAGCAAGACCCAACCTTCAACACAACATCAGGTAAGCATTCACACTAGTAATTCGGCTACACATTTTATTCAAAACTATATCAATTAAAACTAGGAGAAGCTCTTCACACGGATTATGTGTTTTTCCAAGTAGCTGATAGACCAACAGAGACTCAATTTTTGAATGGTCGTGGTCAGCCAGTTAAGCATACGGGCTTGGTCAAAAGTTTGTTCAGGCCTTCAGATGATGCTACTGTATTCCCATTCTTTATTCCCGGAAATGCTATGCTGTCAGTTGAATTAGATCATGTGTCTCAACTACTTTCGATATCTGCAGCTGCAACTGCTCAGAAATCATCTAAAATTCAAGCATTAGCTTCAGAGACATCACGTTTATCTAAGGAAATTAAGGATGCTATATACAAGTACGGGCTGATTGATCATCCTACTTATGGCAAGATATTTGCTTGTAAGCTGACTATTTTCTAAAAGGTTTCATTGTACTCATGTATATTTTTTTTTTTTTTTTTTTTTTTTGCGTAGATGAAGTCGATGGCTATGGCTCTTCTCTCATTATGGATGATGCTAATATCCCATCTTTGTTGTCGCTCAGTTTGATTGGGTTTTTGGATCAGAATGACACCATTTATCAAAACACACGCAAGCTGGTCTTATCAAACGATAACCCTTATTATTTCTCAGGACCCCGTGGTTCTGGCATAGGTGGACCTCATGTAATGCACTGCACATGCATATAGTATAACTTTTGTATTAATGATTTTTTTCTACGTATCAGGTTGGATTAGCATACGCCTGGCCAATGTCTCAAATTGTGAGGGTGAGTTGTACATACATCCAAGTCTTGCATGAAAAATTGACTACTTTTTGGTAGATTCTCACATCAGCAGATGACAATGAGATCAAAGAGGCCTTGAGTATTATTCTCAAGTCTACAGATAATACTGGTCTGATCCACGAATCATTTAATGTGTATCGACAAAGAGGAGGTGATAATAACAGTGGCTACACTCGCTCATGGTTTTCTTGGGCTAATGGATTATTTGGTCAAGCAATTATGAAACTCATGAATGAAAGGCCGCATTTACTTGTAAATCAGCAACAATAGTATACAGAAGACCTTTTAAGATTACATCGCAAATCATAGTATAATAAATGTTCAGCTCCTAGACACTTTTACAACCCTAATAATATAGAAACTGAGTTTCTAAGCATCTGTCAGGCCTGGCTCATATGTGAATAATGATTTTACAATCAATCAACAAAGACCACTGTTATTTCTACCCTTTTTCCTCTGCTCAATGCTGTCAGCATTTTCTTTGAACGACGTCTCAGAGCCTCAGAGATTTCACTACTTGCTGCAGACATCTTATGCAACCCATGCATCGTCAATGTCCAGACTAACGTTATTAAATATAGAATGCAAGACGATGTCATTATGAACGATATAGAATGCAATAAAATATCATTATAAACGATAGCGCTATGGCCTGTCACCTATTTTTTATACGCTTCAAGAGCATTTACTACTGTATTGCAGTATGAAAAGGGCATTGAGTTTGCCTGCCTGCCCCACAAGCCAAAATCAATTCAAACCTAGAATCATAGTCTGTTCCAGATTGGACAAATCATGATAGTTTAGGACTCGATTGAGCTATTTTTGCAGATTCGACTAGGTAGAATATAATGATCATCCTGTGCTTTCTTAAGCTTTCTTGGAGTACTTTTCAAGGCGCATCCAACGGTACTAAGTAATATAGATGTTTTGAATAAACTTATTGAATGATTTATGAAAATATGAAAAGAAGTTTCTGGCTAAAATGTCGAAATTTTACATATCAAAAGTCCTATAAAGATGATTTCAGAGGTTGCTTTGGATCGATAGAAACATTTTGATTCAAGATATACCATAATAAAAGTCTTCATTTTTGGGGTCAAAAATGCGATCGTTTGATTTTCGATGAAAACCATGAGGGGTACCTCATGCTTTTTGGCCATGTTTTTTTGGTCCCCAAACAGTTGAGCAAAGGTGTCAGAAAGTAATTCTTAAATGAAAGCAACTATTTGGTGCTATTCTGACAATCTAAAACGGCTTTGAACGCGAGAAAACGCAGCTCAAATGCATTCATATTTTGCTGTATTAGGGGAACTAAAGACTAAGAAATGAAAATACCTGTATTCTACTTGCCCGTATATGAAGTACAGTAGTTAGGTGTATATGGATGTAGAGCATCACATAAGAATCAGATCCACAGATAATATGAAAGTTTTTCATGTGTAAGTGGAAGGTCAAAATGAAAATAGCAGTATTTTGTTAAGATACGCAAGGGCAACCGGTAGCGCGAGCTGCCGCTGCGCAGGTTGGTCCTCCCCGAAGCGAAACGAAGGTAGAGAGCCATACGAAGCGCAAACACTCGTACATGTGCTGATTTACATGGACGGATCTTTTATCATTATATTCACTCTGGTGCTCAGTGATGTTAGTGTACTATCTCTATTGGAATCCATGTTCCCTGCAGCGCTGCGTGAGTTTGCCATGCTTTATAGAGAACCCAAAGTAGAATCTATTCCTGAGGAAGATGTCGCAGATGTATCGTGCTCTAACCTGGGAAACTCGTACAATACTCTTCGCAGAAAGAACGAACAATTATTTCACTCGGAACCCAATGGGCATGGCATGTATTACACTAAAATCATGGCTGAACTGGCACGCCGTCAGTCAGAAAGTGGCTCCCCTCACATTCATACGACACAGCAAAAGTATATTGGCGTTTTCCTGATGGTTTACTTTGGCTATTTAAAGGAAACGTTAGCAAAAGACTTTGGCCAAGAACCAGACTCAACAAGGTACATTTTGGTCTTTGAGCAACTGATGAAGAATGTTACTATCGGCCAAATAGACGACAAATTGATGAGAAAGGCGCTACATTATTGTGGATGGGTACTGTACCAGAAACCGAAGAAAACAAGAGAAAACTCATGGTATACGACATTGAAGACAACTTTCCTATATCTGAATGCTTGCAAAAGGAAAACATTAAGATGATACCAGCAAATACACAGTTTGCTGTGGTCAGTATGACCAGATATTATGTGAAAACTTGTTATTTTCAAGCTTTGGAAGATATATACTGCCTACTGGTAAGTATTACAAGACAATCAAAGGTGGAGATGACACATATCCTATTGACTTTTACGGTATAATTTGCAACAAGATATGGCACCATGTTGTTGAAAGTATCTATGAAACGGATTCTCTATTGGAATATTCATCAAATGTGGACATTATGGACATTGATTTCACATTGAAGTCTTACAAAAGCTTCAAAGTGGCATTCAATAATTACATGCTGAACATGGTATGTTGTTATCTGCTAAAGGAACGGCCTATATTCACCTTGACTTAACAACAAATAGTTCCCTTTGACCTATACCAGCCATCCTGATGAAAAGTATGGATTTCCATTGCATCTCAAGCAAGGTGGCTGCAGCATTGTATTGACAAATCGACTAGTGCTTCATTCAGGTGTACTTCCTGCTTTTGAGACATTCGTGGATGCCGCAAAAGAACCTACTCGCCACTCTACCTTTGTGTTCTTTAGACCTTTCAATTTTGATGGTGAAAAAAATTCCTCGTTACCCATGTTAGAATTACTAGAAACAGAGTGGAAGAAGCTTTTAGAAATTCGCTTCAAAAAAATGATCTGGATTTCTACAAGACAGTTTATCTCGGTACACTCACATCAGTGCTTGAAATCTGTTATTGGTGACACTGCATTTGGCTATGAAGCACTCAAAACAGGTGTGATCCGAGCCGCTGAAAGTGGTTCCTTTGCTCTCTGTTTTCGATACTTTATCAATGATAAGGCATCGCTTGTTGAGGTAATAGGTAATCAATCTGGTCTTTATCAGCCAATTCAAGAAACTGACGCATGTATCATCACTAAACTGGGCTCGCCTTATGATAATACGAAGAAGCATAGCTTTATTGCTGACCTTGTTTTCAAGATCCCAAACCTCAAAAGCGTGTTTAAGATTCGTAAGTATCTGTTTATTTACGGCCCCATCCAAGGAATGATTGATTCAATTGAACAGTATAGATATCATGAAGATCAACGACACTTATCAAAGAAATATCGGGGACATTGTAGCAATCCAAAACTATGACTATACAATCTTGTCAACTTTCGATATGAGAGAACTTGTTTTCCGAGATGATGTTGAGAAGTTCGTGTCTTTCCCGTTTGTGAGCCTATTTCTTGTACATTCTCCACCAGGCTATATGAATGCAATTGTGTTGTATTCAAATGCACTGAATTGCACACTTGCGGCGAGGTCCATCATCCACCCTCTTAAAGTAGCTTACTTTGATAGCTATGAGGAGAACTTATTGACGATATGATAGTTTTGTTATAAAGAATTCAATTGCTATTGTCTTATCAAATCGCAAAGCGCAAATAAATATTGACTAATTTACTTACACGTCGTAATTCTCCATTATCATTTAAAATTTCTCCATAAACGTAGATCTGCCCCTTATGTGATACTTTACGTTTGCTTGAATGAAGACTCTCTATATACGAGCCTACAGCATGTTTCTTTGCCTCTTGCTGCTCGAAAGTAAGTAAAGCAGAGCAAAATTCAGGTGAACTTGAGTCATGTTTTCTTGCGCTCAAGGCCGCTTTAGATCGTCAGAATAACACCAAACAATTGTACTCGAGTAGCAGTAACTTCCTGACACCTTTGCTCAACTTTTTGGGCAAAAAAAAAACATGACCAAAAATCGACCAAAAAGCATGAGGTACCCCTCATGGTTTTCATCGAAAATCAAACGATCGCGTTTTTGACCTTGAAAATGAAGACTTTTACTATGGTATATCTTGAATCAAAATGTTTCTATCGATCCAAAGCAACCTCTGAAATCATCTTTATAGGACTTTTGATATGTAAAATTTCGACATTTTAGCCAGAAACTTCTTTTCATATTTTCATAAATCATTCAATAAGTTTATTCAAAACATCTATATTACTTAGTACCGTTGGATGCGCCTTGAAAAGTACTCCAAGAAAGCTTAAGAAAGCACAGGATGATCATTATATTCTACCTAGTCGAATCTGCAAAAATAGCTCAATCGAGTCCTAAACTATCATGATTTAGCCAATCTGGAACAGACTGTGGGTCTGAGTTTGAATTGTTTTTTTGGCTGGTGAGGCAGGCAGGCAAACTCAATGCTCTTTTCATAAGGCAATACAGTAATAAATGCCCTTGAAGCGTATGGAAAGTAGGCGGCAAGTCATCACACTATTGCTCATTATGATATTTTCTTGCATTCTATATTTAAACGCCAGCCTATCAAAATACTTGTTAGATCAACTCTTTTCCTTTTTGAGGCTTTGAAAGTGTCTAGGGACCATAAATTTATTACGTTGTGATATTCTTCATACAAAAGGCTTTATTATTAAAGGATTCAATTCAATATGCATACTTGTGTTTTTTGATGAAATATGATGGAAAAAAGGAGAAATTAAATGTGCAAAGCGTTTGAAATACTCTTTCTAAGATAGGCTGCAGTGCTTTCTTCTGCGTGATCGACAGGAAGATCATAGAATAAGCCATGGGCCATGTCCTTGTGTGCATTGTAATCAAAGCCATGCTCAAACATAGGGCTCTTTTCAAATGTCTGCTTGTTCTTTGCAACCCAAGTGTTCCAGAAGTCTGCAATAGCAGCATCCATGATGGCAAGAATATCAATGTTTTGCTCAATGAACTGGAATTCAGGCTTAGCTTTTTGCATCTCATAGATTTGTGTCAAGAGTTCAACAGCCACCTGACGCTCAGCAGGATCTCTCAAGGTGCCTAAAAAGCCTTCCACAGCAATAGCAAAATTGAATTCTTCGGGTGTCTTTTCAAACACGGTGGGATCTCTAGGCAAGCAATGAGAACCAATGACCAGACCACAGCACTTGTCAAGCACCTTCCATGTACGAGAGAAGAAATGCTTGGGAGCACGGTTAAGAGCACCATCGTTCTTTCTGCGACGCAACCAACGACCATCAGAAGAGGGGCAGAAATGACTGATATTGCCATCGTTGATGTCTGAGGGGGAGATATCGTGTTTTTTGAGCATAGCAAATTCTTCTTCAATCAAGTCAGTGGGTCCATCCTTGGCAGCCTTGTGAGCCTCAATGATGCGGTTGCCGTTCTTTTCAGCGATCAAGACATACGAATCACGGTACTTGACATCATCAATCTTTTGAGCGCCCAAACTCTTGAGTGCGTCGATGGCTTCCTTGGTGAGATGTTCGGTGAAATCGTCCTTGGATGCCATCACCACAATCAAGTCAGAGTCCAAGTTGCGAATGAATTGAACCAAATCCTCACTTTCATCGCTAGAGATATGGGTGTCGAACGAGGCGTGTTCCAAAACCAATTTCTCAAGACGATCAATAGCCCAGACGTGAAGACCACGCGTATTAGCAGCCAACACGTTACCATTGATTTCAGCACGAGCAAAGTTGCCAGCATTATAGCCGCCCGATTGAGCACGAATGGTGATGGTGTCCTTCTTGTCTTGGTTCTCGATATCCTTGGATTCAGCATTGTTCTTCTTGGCGGGTGGCAGAGTCAAAGAGGGGATTTCAGTGCTCAATTGACGGTTGGGATCAAAGTCTTGAGAGAGGACCAAGAATCCTCCAGGCTTATCACGCACAATGATGGTAGTTTCCTCACACATACTGGGACCAGACATGACTGTGCCCAAGAGAGATTGCAATTCAAAGGGTGACAGTTGCATCAAATGCTCGATAGCTTCCTCCTCGTTAAAGTCGTTCAAACGGCTGATTTCCTCACGCAGGGCAATGATGATAAAGTGGGTACGCAAACGCAAGATACCATCAAACATACGGGGATTGGAGCGAATAAAGTTACCAAGAGAGATGATGATTTCTTGGACAACAGGGCCCTCGCGCACATCGTCAGCACATTGCTCAGCAATCATCTTGTTCAAAGTATCAGGGCTCAAAGGAGTAGAGATCAAGTGCTCAGATGAGCCAGAACCGATACTGACTTGCTTCTTGTGGATCACCAAATCAGTCAAGTTGTAGGTCAATGTAGGCATTGTCTTGGAAAGCAAACCACTGGCTTGGCGGACCACAGACCAGTACTGAAGACGCTTGGACTTGACATACACCTCCTCCAACAGGTTGCGGATAGTAGAGTCCAGCTCGACGATGAATTCATCCAAGTTCTTGCAAGAAGCCAAGTATTGCAACAAATCAATTTGGTCATAGAGGTTGACGGAGGCTTGGAGACTCTTGACAGCATCATCAAATTGAGACATATCGCCCAAAGTTAGAGATAACAGGACATCATTGCCAGTGGATTCATCCGTGTCAACAGTCAAGTTGCTAGCATTTCTGGTTTTGTCAGGTGCTTCGCCATTGGCCTTCATTTGACTAGGATCAGGCGATCCCGTGCTGCGAGGAGTAGCCGAGTCAGATGCAAGTGTGATTTCATGATCCTTAAGCTTGAAGGCAGGCACACCATCACCGTTGATTCTTTCCAAAGCAGATGCAATGTCTTGAAAGTAACTATCGCCGTCAATTTTGTTGAGAGGAGTTCCCAAGAGCTTACCACCAAAGACACTACGACGTCTAGGGGTTCTAGCGCCGCCAGGAGTGAGAGCGCCACCGGGAGAGCTAATATTGGAAGCTTCATCAAAGCCTAAGCGACGTTGAGAGCGGCTGTTGCGGTGATAGGACTTGTTGGTAGACAGGATGTTGCTCCAATCCACGTCTTGCTTGTTGATCAAGAAATCAAGCGACTCAATGTTACTGGTGTTTACAGTTTCCGTAAGACGAGATAGTCGCACGCGAACCCCATTGCATTCTCCAGAACGCAGATTCATGAAAAAGTTGAGCAAGTTCTTCTTGGAGGCATCAGCAGACAACAAGGCGTTTGTCAATTCAGCGCTGCAGTTCTTGGGAGCGACCTCCTTTCTGTTGATATCACCCAACATGGCATTGGTCAAGACGATTGTGATGGTAGGACGGCCGGCAAAGATCCAGTTGGCATTCGTAACACTGATCTCGTTTTCAAAGGTAGACACCAAGTAGTCGGGGTCCGAGTTGAGGTAGAAGGTGTGGACATCCATGAATTGAGGCGTAAAGGCGTAAATGTGGCCTTCAATACGGTACAGGCGAGAGGTGGTCAATGTACCAATAGGACGGTTGGGTCTGCCAGAGAGCTCGAGCTTGGAGTTTTGACCAAGAGCGCTGTAGACATCCACAAGAGCTTGGGGAGGAAGCACAGTGAAGCTGGAAGAGATTTGATCAATGGATTGTGTTTCGAGACCGTAGGTAGACAGGGTCTTTTGCAGTTCCTCATTCTCGGACAAAAGGACGACTTGCACCACATTGTCAGCCTTGGCACCCTTGACATTGAAACGACGGCCAAGAGGATCAATTTCTGAAGGGGACAACAGGTTTTCATAGATCAAGTTGCCGAGCAAATACAAAGATAAAGCCCACACCAGAGGCGTGTTATCGTTGGGGATACGCTTTTGAGAGTGAGGGTTCGCTCTTTCAGCCTCAATAGATTCACTAGGCACATAGTACAATTCAGGCACAAGAGGGATATGGAGGTCAGCAGGGGCAATAGAGAGATCAAGACTCGCGGTTCTGCAAAGAGCAGCAGGACGTTTGCAGTCTTCAGATTTGTAATCTTCGGGAGGTCTAGGGTTCTCGGGGTCCCATAAAGCGGAATCGATAGTGACGAATTCGAGCTTCTTGCGATACTCTTCCGCTTGTTCCATGTTATCCGTGAACAAACCTTCCAACACCATGTAAGTGAAAAACAAGGGCCACTCGGACTCGATGTTTTCGAAAACCTTGAGCTCGCTTTCATTGTAATGAAGACGAGTGTGATCTTCAACGACTGTTTGATGACCATCACGCAAGAAACGCTTCCAACCATAACGACCTTCCAATTTCTTCTTTGCATCGGATCTGGTAAACTCAATTAATGCGGGATCTTCCACTGCAAAAGCGGGGAAACCAATGACGGATAAAACGGAGCCATCGACTTCCTTGGAGTTGGATTCTCTAGGCAAGACACTTTGCAGGGTGATTTTGTTGCGTGTCATTTCATCAGGCAATACATAGATGGTCTAGAATATCGGCATAGGTTAGTCATGTGCTTACATTTGAAGCATAAACGAGACTACTCACTGAAGATGCACTACCACGAGCACCAAACAAGTTGACACCGTTGATGGCTCTTAAAGCAGAATAAGCCATACCAATAGACGAAGAATTCAGTTCAGGCTGACCATGGTTACTCTTGTCGCCGCGTTCCCAAATACCGAAGTCAGGTGTACGATAAGCACGTTCGATATAAAACACCAAATTCTGAATGAAATCGACTTCATCTTGCGTGTAAATGATGCTCAAACCACTCGTTGTCATATCAGCCAATGCCACCAAGAAGAAACTAGTAGCATCAATTTGCAAATGACCCCACTCCTTATCACCTACAACAGTGGCGCCTGTCTCTGTTTTGTATTTGGCGTGAAGTGCATCCAAGACATTTTGTGTCTTTTTGAATTTCTCGACCTTGGGTGCTTGACGCATCATGGAGAACAAGAGGCCACGCATCAATTTGATAACCGCATGTTCAAGCTCAACTATCGATACAAACATACAAGCATGAATAAAGGGCGTTTTAGGCGCCTTATGAGGCACAACAACTTACAAGCTCTTCCAGTGGTATCATCGACTCTTCTATAAGCCAAAGCCAGGCCGAATACACAGTAGATAGAATAGACGTTATCTCTAGATGATACGAGGTCAAATCAACATGTCAAATCCCCTTGACCATCATCATGCTTACCTAACCCAAGCATCCGTGTAATCACCATGTGTCTATGTCATGTCCATCAGGTTATCGACTCCAATTCACTTTTAGAGATGAAAACAACTTACGGTGATGGCTACAGAAGCAGGAATCAAGCCACTTGCGGCATTTTGCTTTGAAAGCACAGTTGTGTTGATGACCTGATAATAGTATTCAAGTCTCTCCAATGAATGCTTTCTATTGTAAGAGCTCTTCATGTTTGGTAATGTGTAGAGAAAAAAAAAAGAGAAAACAAACAAGAAAATGGGTTCGAGGCTTTCTTAAATGCTGCTTCTTTTATAAAGAGGGGCTGTATAAAAAATAACGTTGCAACGCCGCGCATTTTTTGTTGTTTCTTCTGTAAATAGGTTTTGGAATGATGTGATTGTGGCACTGAAAAGTTCCTGATAAGGTCATTCGTATGGTTGCCTTGAAAAACTGCTGGACATAAGATAACTAACAGTTACACCAACTGGCCATGACGACAGATCGACGTTGGGGCCATCCATAAACCCTCCTTCAGCTTTTCCAAGGTTTCAAATGCTAGGCAGAATGGCAATCGCAACAGACTCATTGAATGGAAAAATGGAAGTTTATCCGTCACTGGGATCGCAAAAGAGATGCCATCTTTCGCCACTTGTGTTATGACTAATGGATGATTCAACACCCATTTCATGCAACAAGCATTCCCGCTCAAATCAAGTTTGATGTTGCACAACCTACTCACCATTGTAAAACGGAGGTGAGTTTTCAATCAAAAGGGCATGTCCAACATCTTGTTTACATGTTTGTCCTGATCTGGCTTGACCTCATTTGCATTGTCCTATCTCCAGTGACAAAGCAAATGTCTAGATACAAGATCCAATGTCCAGATATGTGGCTGCAACAGCAAGAGAAGAGATGCTGGCGCACAAAAAGGTAGAAAATATGGGCCATTCATTTGTCCTGTATACACACTGGTATTTGCGGGGATAGCTTCTGTTTGGCGTTCCACATGAAGTCTAGCGTTCCCATCTGATTTGAATAGCGCGCCACGAGTCATCCCACTTCTTCTATGGATTTCATCTTGAAGGAAGAAAAGCATACATTTAGATTCACCGGTCGATCCAGAGGAGCAACTGTAGAGGGGGTGGCGAGATCTGATAGCCTGTAGCCAGCCATGTGCATTTCTGTCCTTGCCGTATGATGATCAGTTCACACCAAGACATCGCTTCTTCAAACTCAAGCAGAGTGTGTAGTCTTGAACCAGATTTCAACATCCATCAACTTGATTTATACCAAAGTCGCTGTACAGTGAACGCAGCATCAAATTGCGGGTTTAGAAAAATTAAAGTGCGGGAAATAAATATTCAAAGTGCGGCTTTTTCAATACTCAGTTTGCGGGTTTCGCAAAAATCAAATCGCGGTTTTTTGTTGAAATCAATTTGCAGTTCAATACCACTATGTGTATGAATAGGTGCATTGTCCATAACAATATAAAAGCCGTTCATGAGAGGGTTTTTATCCATTTCATCTAGGGTTTTTCGAATAAAATTTAAATAGGGGCCGGTTGTGGTGCCTTTTGACTTTTTAACATTTGGTGTGTGCTTTCTTTTTCTTCCAACACCGTCAATTCTACGTTGTTTCGGCTTTTCTGCCACTCTAAGCTCAATGTCTACTACCCCCATTGCACTGATAGCACCCAATATTGTATGGGAAGATGCTTTGGTCGATTTGATTTCCACAATTGCCGGTGTACCAACTGTGGACCAGGCTGAAGGTGGACGCATATTTATGTCAAATCCACTTTCATCCACAAAAACACAGTTAGAAAGATAGTCCATATCAGTTGATGTCCAGCGCTCTACCCATTCAAAGCGCTGTCGAAGTTTATCTTCAGAGTTTCGTTCACTAGAACGTAATGTTGCTCTTTTGAATGACAAATTGCATTCAGTTTTCATGAAGTTACGAACACTGGTTTCTTTCAAACTGAAATTCTATGCGTCTAGTACCAGATATTAATGTTAGAACATATATATTGTGGTGGAGGCAGAGTGAAGATAATTTTATTCATTTACAAGCATAATGCCCAGTTGTATTTTTGCGCTTCCTATTTTTCTTTTTTTTTTCCAATATGAGCATAACGTCAGTTGCAAGCAGAGAATCACGACGCCAAGAGAAAAATTAATATTCGGACTAAAGCATTGACTTTGTCGTCAAGCTTGTGCATTAAGTGTAAAATTATAATCGTATTGCTAACTGAAACAAAGTGTCCACCAGTAGTACATCTTGAAATCAGTCAAGACCAGCGAAACAAGGAATTATCACATAAGTACAATGGACAAGCAAGGCAGATAAGGCATACGCTACTCATGATGGTCTATACAAACGGAACATTAAGAACCAATATGCATAGCAACACCAGGGTCCCAATCACTTTCACTTAGGGCGCCAGGAGACTGAACTACGCGTGGCTACTACAGGTACCTTTCGAATACCAGTAGATTCCTTTGCCATACATCTGAAAAGAAAGTAGAAAAATTCGTCTGGTATGCGTCACTGAAAAAGTGATGTGATATATTTGTGACTACTTATTTTTTATTTTCAAAGACCAATGCCAATGCCAATACCACCTACCAATCTAAGATATATCTGCACTTTTAACATGGAACATCCTGGGCTGGAGGTAGGAAACAAACTAATGAATGAATAAATAATTAATTAACAGTTTTTTGAGATTTTTGTAGATCTCAAAGAATATATAAAACACAACAAAAATTCACGGTTTTCCACTTTCGTGATTAAAGCACAAGGAATTAATACCTGGTTGGTCCATGGACATACATGCCGATTCTATGAATGGTCTACATAGTGCATGATTTAACCGATACAGTGATGCATACGTGGTGGTTAAGAAAACAAAAAAAGGGTGAAGAATGAAAATTCAATAGGAATAAGTATTTATATTCATTAAATCAATTGACTTGTGTTGATTTAGGCCATCAAAATCGAAACGATTCAATACTGTTGTTTGGAGCGAAATTTATTCAAGCTTTATGCGCAGGGTAAGCCCCTTGCTTCTTTCTTTCTTTCTTTTTTTATATTAACTTTTTAAATAGAAAAAAGCAATCAACGTATATCACGAAGAAGCCATAGACACACTGACTACGGCTGCTACTCCTGCTGCTGCCTATGTTCGCCAATTGATTACTCCGACCAATAATAATGTCTCGAACAGCCCCATTCCTCCTGATGGCGATGAAAATGAATCTACACAAGGCGACAACAATGTTGATTGTGACGCTAACGAGGACAACGATACGGCAACACCCATATTGGTCCACCCAGTTCGCAGTCCGCCTTCGATGTCAATTTCTGATGAAGCATCATTCTCTAATGAATTATTGACATCAACACCACTGTCTTTAACATTGCACGTACCGGGTCCAAATCGATTTTACGTTGATCATATTGATATCTCAGAGAGATTCTATAACATGCAACAATATGTCTTTAACTTTGTGGAAGCCAATAACTTAACCTTGGAATCTGATGTTCATCTCATTCTATTGTTATCTTCAATTCTATTATTACAAAATAACAATCGACTCCACAAAGACGTGATCCCGTTTTTTGGTGATAAGATATACCAAAAAGTTCGCGAAAGCATCCTTGACTCCCTAAATATGGCGTACAAATTTCCCGGAGAAACTTTGCTTGGAATCATTGAAACTGCACAAAGCGTATACAATAAAACCAATAATCGAATCAATGCAGCAGCTTCATTACTCAGCCTAGCAGATACCGTGGATAATCCTATAGATAAAAAAACTCATTGTATCCGCATCTCAGCTTCTCCAATTTCTGCCTATGGATCCAACATATTCAGACATATGTGAAACAAAGATCATTACAAGATATATTTTACATGCGATGCAACCTTTATTTGACGATCATGAGCGAGATATACGACTGGAATTTACTTTTACTGAACCCGCTGACAACCATAATCGAGAAGTTAGTTTTACTGGTTGTCCAGATTGTATTATTAGTGTTTTCCCACACCAAACGGATAATGCTGTGAACGTGGGCTATGGAGAGGTAAAGAGACAGTCAATGGCAGGAGACCACTATTTGGTCAATTTGGATCTTGTGCGGCTTGCAACACTTGGGAAAAATACAATTAATGAAAATGAGCTGTCAGAAAGTTTGAGTATACATGTAGTTGGTAAGTCTTTGTTTAAAAAAAATAGAAACGATTGTATATTGAATGAGCTCTATTTCTTAGGCCCATATATCACGTTTTATTTAATTCAACTAAAAGCTGATGGATTGTATTGCATGACTGAATTGACTCATGTGCAATGTCCTATGTCTGTTTCGGAAGTCCCTGCCTATATTACAAACTTCAGCAACTTGAAAAACGCTTTGCATGTTTTCCAATCTTTTTGCAAATATGAAGATACCAATGCTGATCTCTCTTCTTGGTGTCGTGATTCTCTGCTTGCAACTAACGTTATGCTTATATTGGAAAAAAAAAAGAAAAATAGGAAGCGCAAAAATACAACTGGGCATTATGCTTGTAAATGAATAAAATTATCTTCACTCTGCCTCCACCACAATATATATGTTCTAACATTAATATCTGGTACTAGACGCATATAAATACATAAAAACTGCATTCTGCTATCAAAATAATTTAATGTGTAAATTAGTTCTCTAAAAGAAAAATGGGTTTTCGGCCTGTTGAAGTTGTTTGTATGGTAGAGGAAACCCATTCGAAAAGAGATGCTTGACATCTTACATTACTAAAGTGTGCAGGATCATGTGAAAGCTTTTATACAACACTCATGTAATCAATTCGAAAAGTGTAGAAATAAAGAACCCTTATAATCATATAAATCCTTTTCGCTTTACCGCAATTTAAGTTCACAAAAAACTGCAAATTTGATTTCAACAAAAAACCGCGATTTGATTTTTGAGAAACCCGCAAACTGAGTATTGAAAAAGCCGCACTTTGAGTATTTATTTCCCGCAATTTGATGCTGCGTTGTTATCTGCAGGGCAACAGGTCGTCTTGTCGGCATGGGATTTTTTTTTTGGTGCTAAATGTCGCTTGTGGTGTCGACCTGTCAACATGGACAGAGGTGCTCCATTCAACATTGGGACCAGCCACAGTGACTGTCTGAAGTGCATCTTTTTTCAGCATTTGGACATTTGGAACATCTCCATCAGTCAACCTTTCCAACCTGGCACTATTAGCATCATGTCGGATAGTGAAGCACCTCAGGTAGAAAAGAAAAAGGGAGGTCAGCGTGGCAACAAGAAGAACGCTGGCGACAAAAAGAAGCCTGCTCTCTCGAAAAAGAAGGAAAAGACCCTTCAACGAGAAATTGAGCGTCGAAATGCAGTGATGGCAGCCTTCAACAAATACTATGAAGAAGAATGGGGACCTGAACGTTGGCCAGTGCTATTAGAAGCACTCAAGAAGCCTGTGCGCCATTGCATGATGATCAATAAGTACGCCAATGTGGAGGACATCAAAGCCAAGCTCAAAGATGTCCTGCCTGATCTCACCATGCTTGATTTTGTTTCTATACCATGTTACGCATCCAAAACAATGTCTCGATTTCCTCAGCCCAGCAAAGACAGCGCCAATGTCACAGACTACTATATTCTGGATGCTGCTTCTGTGCTTGCTACAGAAGCCTTGGACATCCAACCCGATGAACAGGTGCTGGATATCTGTGCTGCACCTGGCGGTAAGACACTGTCTGTTTTGCAACGATTAGATAAACAGTATGGACGCTTGACATCCAACGAAATTGCTTCAGACCGCAGAAGAAGATTACGACAAGTGATTGAGTCTTATTTACCATCTGATGTGGTGGAGGAGGTCAGCACGGTAGTTGGAAAGGACGGTACTCGTTATTACGGCGAGCCTGAACAGTACGATAAAGTCTTGTTGGATGCGCCTTGCTCTTCAGAGAGACATTTGCTGCACGACGAAAAGGAATTGGAGCTGTGGTCTCCTAAACGTACTCAGGTGAATGCTAAGAGACAGTTATCCATCTTGAAGGCGGCTGTTCATTCAGTCCGTGTAGGCGGTTTGGTGTTGTATGCTACGTGTTCCATCAGTTCGCTGGAGAATGATAAAGTGGTGGAGCGTATGATGAACAAGGGCAAGATTCCTATTGAACCTGTCAAGCTCAAGCTGCCTGTTGGAGAAAAGACAAAGTACGGATGGCTGTGTTTGCCTGATAAAACGACGTGGGGACCATTGTATTTTGCATTGATCAGAAGAACAGGCGTTTCCAAGGAAGGTGGATCTGATGAAGATGATGATGAAGATGATGATATGTAGCTGATACTTTATATAATAATAAATATGGCTTGTTGCACAATACTGGCAGTTTAGTTGTTGCATGCAATAGTAGGCAAGTTGTCAAGTATACTCTCTCTCTCTCTCTCTCTCTCTCTTCCTCTTTTCCCCCCTAAACATGGAACACGCTAATCGTATTCGGCAACGCTTAGTTGACAGGCTGTGTTACATGGCGCATGGCAGGCAGTAGCATGTCTCTATTCCCTGCATTGCCTAGGACTCGTTCTTCGGACATGTACCATCACAGGCGACGGCAAGTTCGTATATACAACAGATATACGCGGTTTATTGATGTTAGTGTATACGCATTGCATTGCATGGTATACAATTCGGGAGATATGGAGGGAAATACAAATGTAAAAGATCAAGATAAAAAGGCTTACGTTTCATCATCATCATCATCATCATCATCTTCCTCGACTCGAGGTGGTGGATATGTCTTGAGTACCTGATTCATTTCATCAGGATACTTTGACGCTAACTGCTGTTTGATTTTTCTCAGCTTGCCAAAGACATTGTTCAAGTCGCCCTTGACTTCTTTCAGCAGCTTTATGTGTAGTTCGAAATGTTTGTGAATGTTGTGATAACGTGCTTGACTGAATTTATTAAACGCCTCTAGTTTTTGTTGCGTGTCTTTGTATACTTGCAAGCTATACCAGTATATTTCTCTGTGAGAACAATGCCACGTAGATAACAAGCAAATACAGACCTTTCATCTTGGCTTTTGATGATTTCCTCGATCTCTTGGTCACTTTTTAATTGTAGCAGCTGGCTGGCAAGATGATTTGGTACAGACATGTTGGAAGCGAAAAGGGAAAGATGCTAGATATCTCTAGCGATACTTATTGGACAAGAAACAGCTTATCTGCTTTGAGAAATATGAGGGGTACAGCGAATAAACACACAAACAAAATTTAACCTAAAAGATTCAGTTATTCTATAACCCACACACACACACACACACACACACTCATTGAAATAGGCCAATTGAAACAAATAGAGAAAAAAAAAAAAAGGCCTTCCTTGTGTATCCTGTTTCATCATTGCTTATTCTCATAATGTCCATTTCATCCAAGTTTATACACCCTACCGCCGAAAACCTCTTTGGAATCAAAGAATGTTATTGATCCCCGGAAAAAAAAAGGCATGTTGAGAAATGTGATGAGCCATATGGCCTTGATGATCCAGCTCATATGAAGCGAGCCATGGTTTGTGTGAGCATCCAGCTTTATATTCACACCTAGTACCACATTAAATTGTAACAATTCGGAATCGATACTTCCGTAACAATGAGCCTGCATGTCAATCAAGACAAAACAGAGGGAAACCAAAAGTTTTGGGGTAAATAACCTGCTTGAGTCGTCGTGAAACTATGATGTACATGGCCATTTAGTGGATTTTATTATATAAAAACTTGCCCCTTTTTTAGCCTTGTTTTTCTTCTTTTCTTCCTCTTTATATTTTTATCCAATATTTTTCACACAATGAATCACCTTGTCTCGTACATTGCAAGTTGGATTGATTTCATACTGTATCTCTACATTCACATTACATCGATAATCAACGCAGTGATAGTAGTGGCCAACAAAAAGGACCCTCATCAGCAATCCAGCGCTCCAGCAGCAAAGGACGTTGCATTAAGGAACCGACGTCGAAACCATCGTCCAATGCAGCCACCATCACAACGAAACCAACGCTCGTCAAAAAGACCTGTTCTCGATAAAATACCCAATGAAATCCTCATCATGATGTTTGAATCGATGAATGCGGCTGATTTATTCCACTGTTCAACAGTATCCAAGCATTGGAATGACCTCGTCATCCCAATTCTATGGCGCTCACCCGTACCCAACAAGCCCATTCTCAGTTGTTTGCCTTCATTTGCCGTGATGGACAGGAAACACCGCATCAAGCATTCGCACCAGGAATCGCATTTATCCCCTGGATTTCCTATACATATACCACGCTATGGACATGCAGTCAAGTCTCTTGATTTGTCTCAAATTGCATCCCATGTCACCGACTGCACTATTCGACACATTATTCGCTCCTGTCCTCAGCTCACCAGTCTGAATCTCTCGCATTGCCGTCTCATCACCAACGACGGTCTGTATTATCTGGGCCGTGCCACACGCATTGCCAACCAGCTTCAGGTTTTGAGCCTGCAAAATTGCCGACAAATCACCGATGTTGGATTGGGCCATCTCACAGCCCAGTGTCATGGCTTGCAAACGCTTCATTTGGGTGCTTGTCCTCGTATTACGAATGATGGCATTATCAGCCTTGTGACAGCTTCCGGAAACACTATCCGACGTCTTCGTCTTAGTGATTGCAGCCACATGACAGGATCCACACTCCACGCGATAGCTCGTTTATGTGGCCCCAGACTAGAATGGTTAGATATCGCACGTACCAAATCCATCAGACACACGCATTTGGAAGACCTGGTGCAGCATTGCCCCAACTTGCGTCGACTCAATGTATCAATGAAGAAGCCCAAGCCCCTGTCCGAGTTGCGTGATCAATTGAACCGAACAAGAGAGCGCCTGTTCCATTTGCATGAAGACATGACTCAGGCAGTGGAGGAGGAAGAGGAGCAGGAGCAGGAAGAAGATGCTGTCAATCCATTAAACGAGCTCATTGACCTTTTGAATCGATTTAACATCCAAGCCAATTTGACCAGCGGATCAGCGCAACATCGACAGCTCTTACTCGACCAGCAACAAGTGCGAGATCCAGTCTGCTTTGCAACAGTGGAAACCATTACAGTGCATCTCAAGAAATTGGAGCACTTGAACCTCTCTCACTGGCATTGTTTAAATGACAAGGCAGTGCATATGATTTCAGTCCATGCTCATTGTTTGAATTACCTCAACTTGGTTGGATGTGATGGTGTCACAAAGAAAGGACTCAAGTACCTCTCGGACCTCTGTGAAAGAAAATCAACTTGCATTACCTTGACTGATCTGATGATCTCCCCAGCAACTTGTTATTCATATGAAAGCGACTCATCTTCATCTTCCTCTTGCTTGTCATCCGAGGAGAGTCGCACCAAATGGACATCTACAAAGAAGAACAAATTGCAGTATTCCAGATCCATTTGAATGGTGAGGGCTTAGTTTGACACACACACAGACACACACACATCCGCTATTGTACTATTATATCAGCCCATTTGTATATATGTTCCTATTACTTACGGTATAACAGTGATCATTTGCTGTTTATTATTATTTGCTTTTCTCTAATTTAGTTATCCGCCCCCCTATCCTTATTGTTTATTCGTTTCATATATAATCTACACCTTTTGCCAAAATGATGTCGCACTAAAAAAAATTCAAGTTGTCGCACAAGAGTGTCGTATCTTTTAAAATAAATAGTATCGCATTTATAGTAAATCTTCTTGTCAACAAAACACAATTAAAATGAGTTATACATTTTATTTCGAAGATGGTGCAGGAAACATTGTAAATGAAAATGGGGAAGAGCCAATGGACATTACTGAAGATGAAACCCCCTTTAAGCTGGAAAGAATTAACCTCGTATACGGAGTATTTGAACGCCAGGGCAAAGTTTTTGGATGCTGAAATATTACAAGAGTATTAGTAAAAAAAAAAAAAAAAAAAAAAAAAAAAAAAAAAAGATAGAAAATGCGGAAAAAAAAAGATCTCTGATGGTGAAGTGAGTGCAAAAGCCAAAGGCAATCGAGTCAGCAATGAAATTAAGGTGCGTGCTGTACACTTGGTCGACGTACATCCTAAAAACAGCGCAAGAGCTGTTGCTTTAGATTTAAAACTAGAGCCAAGAACTGTGCAAAGATGGTATAAGATATGGAAAGAAGACCCGGATTCACTTTTCAAGATCATTGGTCGACCAAAGATTAGTGAACCAGAAGGAGAACTAGCCAAGGCAACAAAAAAAAAAAAAAAAGTAGTGGCTGATTTTTACTTCAAACAGCCTACTTCTACAATAGATCAATTGATGGAACAGCTGAACACTAGTTTCGATGACTTGGCGATCTCTAAAAGAACATTATATCGTTATATGGCTGATCTATGGCTTTTTTCTTTGAAGAGGATTCAAATGGAACCAGAAGAGAGAAACTCATCTGAAAAAATTCAGCAAAGAAAAGAATGGGTGATTGCCGTGCAAGTTATGGGTGTGGATTACATGACCAATTGCGTTTTTATTGACGAAGCTGGATTCAATGCTAATTTGAGAAGAACCCAAATTGAATTCACAAAACCGCAATTTGATTTTTGAAAAACCCGCGAAAAAGCCGCACTTTGTGCGACAACTTAAATTTTTTTTAGTGCGACATCATTGTGGCAAAAGGTGTATATATCAATTTACTAGTTTAAATTATGTATAACGACAACATTTCTTGCACAAGTGTCTGGCCCAATGAAATAGCTACAAATATTTGCGATACTATTCCTCAATGAAAACAAAAGGGTCATGCAAGTTTGAGGCGAGTTGCAGAAATAAGAGATATAACACTACCGTCGATCTAGGTCCCTGTTGGGCTGATTTGTGCTAACATGTATGACTTATACACTGTAATGCCGTATGCTTATAAAGTGCTATTACGAAGAGATTTACAAGATGTCTGTACATAAATGGCTTTGAAGGCCAATTGTAAAAATAACGTTTTCAAACTCTCAATTTTGGAGCTGCCAGGATTTTCTGAAGGCTGATCTCGCACTATAGCTGTTGATTGATTGATTCAGGAGCCAAATTTGCGTATCCTAGACTTGACGAGTTTGAACCCTGTACACTTAACTGCAAGAAGATCAAGTGGCCAACGTATTGGAATCAAATTATGGCATCTTTATAAATAAACTTCAAATAGGTTAATCATCTCCAACTCAGATATTACAGCTTACAGATCAAGAGTTGGCTCATCATCATCCCCATCATCATATAATATACTGACTAGAAAATTCCAGCTATCAAAAATGTGATTCATGCCGTGTAAATATAAGCTACACAGCCAAATTGGACGACTTTCCAGCCTTCATATCTAGACATGTAGACCTTTTTGAGCCGCCGGAATGATATCAAACAATTGTACTTGAGTAGTAGTAACTTTCTGACTCATTTGCTCAACTTTTTGGGACCAACAAAAACATGGCCAAAGATCGACCAAAAACCATGAGGGGTGCCTCATGATTTATTACGAAAAACAAACGATCGCATTTTTCACCTTGAAAATGAAGATTTTTACTATGGCATATATTAATTCAAAATGTTTCTCTCAATCCAAAGCAACCTCTGAAACCACTTTTATGAGGCTTTCATATGCAAAATTTCGACATTTTGGCCTAAAACCTTATTTCATGTTTTCTGTAATTGCTCAGTAAATTTAGTCAAAGCATCCATTTTACTTGGAACCATTGGAAGCGCATTGAAAAGTACTTCAAGAATGTATTAGAAAGCGTAGGGTAATTATCACAGTTTGTATAGTCGAATATCTTAAAATAGTTTAAAGAAGTCGGCAAAAGACAATAACTGTCCAATCTTTAGCAGAAAAAATATACTGAGTTTGAAATTATTTTGGTGATGGCATTGCTGCTGGCAGACCTAAATGCCTGTGATGATGGCAACGGTGATTGTGATACTGATTAAATAGGGTTCATGAAATTTGGAATGTTTTTGGCGAGAGCCCCCAGGGCGACGCCGTCATCGAGCGTAGCGAGATTGGTTCGCTAGTAAAGAACGCACTGTAAGTGTGCATTTCTAATATTGGTAAATGCCTATATTCTATCTGGTCATTTGTTAATCAAGATACACACAGGGTATTGACTGCTGCTGAGCAATGGCATCATAGATTCATAAGAAATGGCGGTTTTTGTATCCAGGATGCATTTGAATAATCGATGGCTTCATCATGCAAAAGCTTCATTCTCAGAGAAAATGCAAGGTAAGGTTTTTTTTTTGCATTAATGGCCTATTGGATTGTTTCAAATCATCAAAGGGATTGACCTGGCGTCTTTGCCTGAACATCCATAATGGAAAGCGGCACCCTGCGTGTCCGTTGCCGTGCTGATATTTACTTTATTTGGTTGATTCAGCGGCGTTGTAAATGCCCGTTGCCGTGCGTCCATGTGGATCAGCAGGGTTTGAGTCATCGCTCCGTCTACTTGAACGGGTCGAAGCGTACAAACAATCCCGAGAAATTTCGAAGCAGCATTATAAAAGTAAAATGGAACCCTCCCACTTTTCATTCTGCATTTATTTTATTACTATTACCTATTAAATCAACATGTCAACCAAAGTAGACATTCTCGTCAGTGGAGCAGGTCCTACTGGGCTCTTCTTTGCTTATCAAATGGCTCAAAGGGGCCACTCAGTTTTTATCGTCGATCCCAAACCAGGACCTACGGATCAAAGCCGTGCCATCTTGATCACTTCAAGAACAATGGAGATTTTGGAGAGTAAAGGGTTAGCTGCTGATATTCTTCGTGAAGCGTTTGTATTCTGTGGTGTGCGTGTGTTTAGAAATGGCTCTATAGTAAGTATACAACGATACTTGAATGATTTAGCGTATTCATGCTGATTCATAGGTGGCTCACATTGAAGCTTGTGGAGACACGCCATTCCCTCATGCCACTGCTCTCATGCAAGGAAAAACAGAGCAGGTTCTGGCCAACAGATTAGCAGAGGACACAGATTGTAAAGTGCATTGGGGAACTGAACTCGTGTCATACACTCAAGATGAACATGGAGTGAAGTCGGTTGTTCGAGACATTAACACCAAACAAGAGCAAGTAGTTGAATCTACTTATATTGTGGGTGCAGACGGAAGCCATTCACGAGTCAGAAAGGGAAATCCTGAGTGGACTTATGATGGTGTTGCTATTCAAACCAAATTTATCTTGGCTGACTTGACACTTCATGGTGCAGATGGTGCAGACATCAAGCATCTCATGGATAGAATGAATGTGTTCATGACAGGCACAAGTAATGTATAGACACTGTAGATGGGTGATGAGCTAGTAGGATCTAATGTTTGAAATGTAGGTGTGATGGGTATGATCCGTTTGAAACCGTTTTATCCAATCGATGACGATTCACATGTGTTCCGAGTATTTGGCAACTTGGAAGGCTATCAGATCAGCGAGGTCGACAAGGACAAAATCAGCCATGGCATCGATAAATCATCCGAAGCACCGCCTACATTGGAGTTTATTGAGGAATGGATCAACAAAATCGCAACACCCAACAAGTTTGTAGCAAGCGATCTCATCTGGGGATCGTATTTCAGAATCAACGAAAGAATTGCGAATGGATTTAGAAAGGGAAGAGCCTTTTTAGCTGGAGGTTTGTATCACAGCAATTGCCTCAGAAGTTTGGTTATTGATGCTTGACGTAGATGCCGCACATTGTCATTCACCTGCTGGCGGACAGGGCATGAACTTGGGATTACAAGATGGTAAGTGCGTCCCTTTAAGGGTAGCAGCTGATTATTCATACGGATATAGCTCATAATCTGGCATGGAAGATGTCAGATGTACTCAAAGGCATAGCCTCTGATCCAGAGAAACTGCTTGATTCTTATAATGAAGAGGTATAAAGAGTGCAAACCTGCAATTACCCTTAGCATCTAACCCTTTTTTTTTTCTTGACTTGAATATCATGTAGAGAGAACCCATTGCCAAAGAAACCATTGAGATCACCAGTAAGACTACCAAAGTAGGCGTTGCCGGAAGTTCGCTTTTCGCTTCCATCAGAAATGTAATGCTTTCTGCAGCCCTCCAATTTCCTCAAGTAAAAGAAACGGCATTTCAAAAGCTAATGCAGGTACGTACAATACAATGAATGTTCAGTTCTAGCGATGATCTAAGCCAGTCTTCTTAGTTGTTCCTTGTCATTGATACCAACACATCCAGCATCATGACGGAGACCTCCGATAAAGGGTTGATTGAAGCTGGCCACTTCTTGCCAGAAACTGCAATCATGCGAAAGAGCTTCATCATCTCAAGCAAACGACCTCGTCATATTCAGCGCTACAGTCTACGAGAACTGTTGGTCGATAATCAGGAATTCACGGTTATCTTTATCGCATCTTGCTTGGCCAGCACCAAGCCCAACGTTCACTTGATGGAAAAGTTTTGGAAAGATACTCGATCCAAGCCATTGCGTCGACTTGTCATCCAATCCGCACATCACTCCAAAGCCGCAGGCAAATTACCAGACTACATCACTGAGGAAGAAGCATCTACTGCAGAGGATGCATTTTACTCTGAAGAAAACAGCAATTTGCCAAACTCTGTCTCTAATCGTATTGGTCTCCATCCATTATTGACATCCTACTTTGCTGGTCAGCAGCCTGCTAGTGTCGTCCTTTTTGTTCGTCCTGATTTATATGTCTCGCACGCTAAATTGGTAACAAATGAGAGTGAACTGGAGTCTGCCTTGGGATTCCTTTCAAGTTTGTACAAATAACTGGCATCTGGGTAGCCTTGACTACACCCGCTCTATGTATTACCTATATCTGAATGATTGTATTCAGGAAAGAAGTGAATAAAAACTAACAGACAATAGAATTCTACTGTCTAATGAAACCTCTTTTAGGCGTTTGCGACGTCTTTTGGGCAAAATATGCATTACAAACAATGTGGTGATATTGAAAAACGCTCTCCTTTGACAACACTTCTCCCTTGGACTGACTTGAGGGGGTTTTCTCTACCCACTATAAAAGGTGAGTATTTACATACAAACCCTGCCCTACACTGCAGAAATACTCAAGCAATTTGGTGTTGTCCCAGTTGGGAATGGGAAGTGGCTTTCTTTCTCTTGTCAAGCACATGATCTGGTGGACGTGTAAACTCATTAAGCGGTTTTCTTTTCTGTCATAGATGGGATAAGAGAAAGTAAGAAACCATGCTGTTTACACTTGGAGGTCCCAAATGCTGATTTTATCGTTTAAGTCTCATTTATTCTTTGGTTTGATGTCGTCAAGTATTATCTGTAGTATAAGCTTTGTCGTAAGGTAACCGCGCCTCTGCATGGCTGAGGGATTTATAAGGTATGGACTTGGCTGCTCAGCTCAGTCATAGTTGACAGGCTGATATTATCATATATTCGGTTCTTTTTACCGCCTGCAGTTGCCACGTATTAAAGCTTATTGATCCACCCTCTTGTAGGAACACGTTTACATTCTCCAAACTTCATCTCAAACAATCTACAAAATAAGAAAGTTTGGATGACGATAGTATACAAAACTCATCACGTCATCGCAGTTCCTCAATCCTCGGTGTATTGGTTGAGCCAAGTTAATCAAAAAGTTATTAAGCTAGCTATATAAGTTTCAGTCTAAACAGAATAAACTCGTCCAAGAGCAGTTGTCCATCATAAACCATAACAATGACCACGATTTGGTTGCACATTGTACGTAAAGGGTCTGACGAAGAGCGAACGCAACCACAGTCTACCAGCCAATGCGTATCGCCTTTGTACTATGTAGACAATAAAAAGTATAGAAAGAGAATAGCAAAGGCACAAGATGAAATGAAGACATCTACACCTAAAAGCATCAGTATTATCATTCGGTTTCATGATAGATTTACTGTCCCTAAACACTTTCGAAGCCTTAAACAGGAAAGAAATTGAGCTTACAGTCAAGCTGGCTTCATTATACACAAAAGCTTCAAAAGAAAATAGCATGATCATCTATTTTCCATTAGCTTCAAGAGCATTTATTATTGCCTTTATGATTAGAGGGCATTCAGTTTGCCAGCAGTAGGTCAAAATCTAATTAGACTACCTGACCTCGATTGGCCAAATTTTGGTCTTTTCGATTTGGTGGAGCTATTTCACCAGATTCGACTATATAAAATCTAATGATCATTCAATACTCCATTAAGCTTTCTAGGAGTATTTTCTGAGGCGCATCTGATGGTACTACTTTTGATATATTTTTCAAACAAACTTACTGAGCAATGCTTGAAAATATGAAATGAGGTTTATGGCCAGAATATGGAGATTTTATATATGAAGTTCTCACAAATAAAGTTTCAAAGGTTGCTTGGATAGAGAGAAACATTTCGCATTAACACATGCCATAGTAGAAGTCTTCATTTTGGAGGTCAAAAATGCAATCGTTTGATTTTCGATGAAAACCATGAAGGGTACCTCATGCTTTTTGGTCAATTTTTGGCAAATGTTTTTTTTTTGGCCCAGAAAGTTGAGCAAAAGTGTCAGGAAGTTACTACTACTCGAGTACAATAGTTTGGCGTCATTCCGGTAGCTCAAAAAGATCTACGTGTCTAGATATGAAGGCTTGAAAGCTGTCAAATTTGGCTGTATTTTTGCTTTGTCTTTCATTTACACGGCATGAATCACATCTTCAGTAGCTGAAGTTTTCTGGAAGTGGCAGTTCTGCACCCTGTGCAACTTCTAATTCAAATAGGAGGCATATTGGTTTTGATAAAGCTATTTCATGCAAATTTTGATGCGTTTTGTTGCTGGCAAGCTTGATAATAAAGGAAATGAAACCCCGAATTTACTGCTAGAATACTATGGTTTTGCACCTTCGCTTCGCTGCGATCAAGCCCTCATATAGATCAATGCTACCAAATGTTGGATTAGATGCTCAGTTGTCATAGGTTTTGCACCTTTGTTTCGCTACGGTAAATCCCCCAAACCCCTTCCCCATTGTCGGCTTCTCCGGTGGTTTTGTTCACCTTTGTCCAGCTCTCAATTCTTTAGAATTATATTTGAAAGAATGTGGTTGGCTTGTCTATTTTTTAAAAGCATAGTTTTGCAGTATATATATTAGTGATTGAAAAAGCGGGTATAAGTGTAATAATATACAGTCAAAAAGACAGCCCAGGATTGTTCGTGCACCAAATCAGCACAGGTGCCATCAAGAGCCAGTATAGTTTAAATGGATAGATATTTGCGTTTGAATAATTGAGTCGTGAATAAAATCTATCCATTGGAAGACTCCCAACAAACCAATTCAAGTGCAAATTTTATTTCAACACTTGTCAAGTCGGTTTGTGCCATTACATAAGCTCTTCGAATATTCATTCCAACGCTTGTTCGCAGGCACCCGCAATTTCTGTTGATAGATTGTCATAATGCAATAATTTCTGGAGCTTAACCCCACATTTTGCTATTGCTCAGAAGAGGTCCAATAAGTTGAGATCAGAAAAGTAAATACTTTCTAGAAATGAGCGAAACTATCCAGCAACATTGTATGTCAGTTTGACACATCAATCAGGAGAAAGTGTTACACAACATCTTTGCTTTGCTCTGTTTTGGCTTTGCTCTCATTTGATTTGCAAGAGCCTCATGCCCTTTCATGGATAGCAAGGTCTGTTCTTGGATCAAGTCTCTCTGCTGCTGTTACAAAAAGGAAATCAAGGAGTTTCGTCGAACGATTTACAAGTAGCATAGCATTCACAAGACACTTTCTTTTTGCAGAATTAAGTTAAATTTGATATTTAAAGTTCATTGTTATTGTTCAACATCATCATCGTTATCACCCTTAGAGCCATTTTTACAAGAGAAAATGTCTTGGCTACGTCTTTATTTGCGCTATGGTCATTACAGGAAAGAATTGATGTGAATAGTAAATACAAACATTTTTCGATGGTCAATTTCTATTCATACGTTTGATTCAAAGGAACAACTACAAGTCTGCTGATCAAGTCTGAAACTATCTGGTTGGGACAAGATGCAGCACATTTACGCACACACACACATACACACGCAAGAGCACATTTCTTTCATTAATTGAGATAGAGTCATTTGCTTTTAACTGGTATACTACAATTCCAACTAATCTAGCACTAGTGGCAAGACGTACATTAGAGTATGTGAATTCGACGATAGAAACCCCCTTTATACGATAAACTTATATATATATATATATACTCACACACGTGGACAACGTATGCCTGAATGGGGTTGTCTGCAGCGCCACTATACTTATCTATATGCCTAGCCTAATACTTTGGCCTAGATCGCTAAAGCATAGTAGACATATATAGATATATATATCTAGATAAACAAGAGCTATTCTTCTCTTTCTTTTCCTTCTCTCTTTCTTAGTTTCTTGCACTTGATATCATGTTGAGACGCAAATCGTCTACGATAAGCAATAGCTCCAATAAAAATGATACGCATTTGGCAAACAATCATTCCTTTGCTACTTCAACATTGAACAAGGCCAATGGTAAGGCAATGATTGATGCATTGAAAGAGAGCAGAAGAGTAAATTATTCAAATTCACATTTTACTATGAGAGAAACTAACAGTTGCAAAAATAGCGTGCCTTTGGCGGTTTGCTTGGCAATAAGAGAGCCTCGCTGGGCAACCTGAGAAAGTCCAAATCATCGACTACAGCAGATAATCGTCAATCATCAACCCGCCAAGCAGAAATGCTAACTACCATGGATTTATCCATGAAGAGACGATCCACAGGCTGCTTGAGAAGAGACTCAGTATATTCCAGCAAGAGCACAAAATCCACATATTTCTCCAATACAAAGGTTTGTTTTGTTGTTGTTTTGTTGTTGTTTTGTTGTTTTACTCACCCCTCTTTGGTTCCCCTTGCTCTCTCTCTCTCTCTCTCCCCCAACTAAATCACCCCTTAAATAAATCCCAGGTTTGGAGATCGCCAGGATATTATGAAATACCCAATGTTTTTGGAAGTGATTGTTTCCTGAAACCGGAACCTCTCATTGAAAAGACATACACCTTACGTACAGTCAATTTGCAGAAACACATATCCAAACATCCTTGGCGTCCAGCAGGCAATTACACAGAGATACCTCAACTACCGCCACTTGTAAGAACAGCAAACGAATTCGAAAGAAAGATAAGAAAAGCACTACCAAAAGTACCAGTATCTTCGCTGGATCCGCGTAATAAATACGACAGCTTCAAAGAAATAGGCACAGGGTTAGCAAGCACTAAACACAAAAACAAGAAAATGACATGAATCTAATATGTATCATCACAATAAAACCACTCTTGTTTCTATAGTGTAAATGGTTCAGTCGTTAGAGCACAGCATCGATACAAGAAAAACGTCTATTTGGCCATCAAGCGGTGTCATTTGGATCCTGACCGTGAATACAAGGCATCCATCATCCGTGAATTGCGCATCATGGCTACGGGTCACACAAATCTCATCCGACTACGAGAAGTTTCATTGTGGAAGCAAGATGTTTGGATGGCCATGGACTTGCAGCGCTGCTCTGTGTTTGCTGTACTCTGTCAACGTGGTATTCCAGAGCAATACGCTGTTCACATTACATGTGAGACGTTGAGGGGCCTTGCGTATTTGCATTCAAGACAATTCATTCATCGCGACATCAAGTGCGAAAACTTGCTTTTAGGGTGGAATGGCGAAGTCAAGCTAGGTATGCTATCATGGTTGAATGTATGTTCCAGGCTACTAACGCCAATGCAGCTGATTTTGGTCTTGCAACAAGAACAAGCCGTCGTAACCGTGAGAGATTAGGTACAAGCAAATGGATGGCGCCTGAAGTCATTCGTGAACAGCCGTATGATGAAAAGATTGATATGTGGTCCTTGGGTATTACACTCATTGAGATGATGGATCGTGTTCCGCCTCATTACCTCTTGAAAGATGAAACCGAACTGTTTACTGCTATTTTGAGTGAACCCAGCCCCACCTTCACCTACAGCTATCCCACCATGTACATGAGAGGCCTTGTTGCTTGGCTATTAGATGAAGCGCCCTCTACAAGACCACATGCTGTCGATGTTTTACAGGTGAGTTCAGGCACGGTCTTGATTTAATACATGTTTTAACTTTGTTTGCTGAAATAGGAAATTGATGTTCACATCCAAAGCAGATTATTGCAATGTGCTACTTCAAATGATTTAGCTAGATTTGTTAATCATGTTTTATCTCCAAAAGCTTCTTCTTCTTCTTCTTCTTCTTGAGTGCAATAAAAAGGGCTAATGTATATTAATATAATCTGTAATCTATGCAGCAGTTGCATTACAGGATGAAAAAAAAAAGTAACATGGTCATGCTTTGATGGCTGATAACTCGATGCATGATACATCTTTACGAGGCGCCATACAATAAACAACCTTGAGGTGCCTCAATAAACAGGAATGCTTAATGTTTGGAGTTAAAAGATGAGATGAATTAATGCTTGAGTGATACAGAATTGAAGTGATACTTTAATGCTCTGGTTTTACGCCAACATGTGTGCCTTATTGAGATGATGTATAGCGTTTATTCTGTTTTTGGTGATTGATTGATTATTTTTCATATCAAAGAACTGCGCTATGCGGCAAGGATGATTAAGGAAGTTTTGTCTCATTTGCTATATCACTAGATGGAAAAAACGAATGTTTGCTACGCACTAGCTCTTTGTTCAGACACGACGCTACCATGTCTTTATAGTATTCAATGACTCCAGCCCCTTAAAGTGAGATTTTCGAGATTCGCGCGTACATCTGGCCTGCATTGCCCTATCTAATGTCTCTACTATGACGGAATTCAACCAAATACTGATCAATTGATGAGCAGTATGTAAAAATTCTTAAACTGGATTTGTGTGTACTTGATCCTTCTGCAGTAAGGTTTAAATGATCGATGAAATGACAATTGGTTTAGACTAATACGTTGTTGCTAACCTATCTTGCATGATTGTACCAGTAAAAATCTAATACTAACACTAGCAACAAGTTATCGTTTTTCACCATTATGATGCACTTCACTACCAGAGAACCAACCATAGATTATTGATTTTGCGCGTAGCAGAGCATGTGCTTTTGGAATGGAAGGCGATCAAGTCGTTCTGTGTCAGAAAGACGATTTCATTAATTTATTACAGCGGGTGAGCATTCTCGATCTTTCAATCAGCACCTGATAATGATATAAAAGCTGGAGTTACCATATTTTTCTCTTTTGCCCTTTTGTCGTCAAATTCATTGCAGTAGAAGTCGACATACGGACAGTTAGCATACTTGCATTGTCTCTAAAATGTTTGCGACATTTGGACGTCTTTTTAAGCAGTGTTTCCTCGCCCTATAAAACGCTCTGGATGACCAGAGTAGTATCGAGCAATGACTCTTATCTAGTAGCTACTCTCTGCCATCTTTGCTCAGCTTTTATATGATGCAGAAATGTTGATCAAGATAGCAGATGGCATTTTTTTTTTTTTTTTTTTTTTTTTTTTTTTTTTTTGCTAATAAATCAAGCATGTTGTCTTTCAGATATTACAGAACAAGTTGCACACTATTCACTGAACACATGTTTTAACTCGAGTAAATTCAATGACCTGAAATTATCACAAAGTCGCGCACCATGGCATAGTGCAGATACCAAATGCAATGGTAATAACTGGATCTCAAATCAGCTAATTGGATTTACAACCTTGCCATCCAATGACAAATAGCTCCATTTAGCTACTACTAATAATCAAGCAACTAGAAAAAAGCATCAGATCAGTCATCTACAGCCATCCTAATTTACATGTGATTCATAAGCCTTCAAATCAAAAAGAAACTGGGGCTTGACCAAAATCACATATGGTGTTTAGCTGAACACAACAAAGCCACTTTTGGAACCAAATTAGTCTTTCAATGATAATAACAAAGCTCTTGATTTTGCACAAAGCAAAACTGTGTGTGGAGAAGGAATTTGGATTTATTTTTTCCACTAAATTTCTTCTATTTTCTTTCTCTTTCTCTTCTTCCTCTTTTTCACTCTACAACAACATCACATGTTATCTGACGACGAGTACGACTATCTATTCAAATTAGTTCTTATTGGAGATTCTGGCGTAGGCAAATCAAACTTGCTTTCGAGGTTCACTGTAAGTTATACTCGCTTCAAAGTACAATCGAATCAGTTTCTAAAGCAACGTAAGACAGACAAATGAGTTCAATCTCGAATCAAAGAGTACTATTGGCGTAGAGTTTGCTACAAAGAACATTGAAATTGGTGGGTAGACTGCTGTGCATCTCTCGGGCACTATAAATGTTAACATCCATTACAGAAAAACGTTCTATCAAGGCACAAATTTGGGATACCAGTGGACAAGAGCGTTACAGAGCCATTACCGGAGCGTGAGTTACTTGAAAGCATAGCATGGACAGGCAACTAAACAAGTTATTAGTTATTATCGTGGTGCTGTCGGCGCACTTGTTGTATATGGTAATACCTTGTAGGCAAAATGAGAATGATACCAAAGCTTACCATTATGTTATAGATATCACTCGTCGAAATTCATTCCAAAACGTATCACATTGGCTTAAAGAGCTTAGGGACCATGCTGACTCCAACATTGTCATCATGTTGGTGGGTAACAAGGTTGATTTAAGTGAAACTAGTCGTGCAGTAACCACTGAAGAAGGTGGTGCTTTGGCTGAGAAGGATGGATTTTTGTTTATGGAGACATCTGCACTTGATGCTACCAATGTAGATAACGCATTTGAAAAGGTGTTTGCCACTATCTTTGAAAACTTGCCCAAGCCTTCACAAAATACCGCAGATGAGAAGTCAGCTTCAGGCCCTACCAACGGTGAACGTGTTCAATTAAGACCTCCCAGTGTTCGTAGCATGTCTCGTAACAGTAGTTTGGATGAGAACAGAGAATACCGTAAAAAGGAAAAGGCTGGTGGTGGCTGTTGTTAATCTACTGAATATATACTATTTACATTTACTATTAAACTATTTGAAATATATGTCTCGGTCTCGCATAAAGAGGGATATACATTCTGATTTAAAACTAGGGGCATTTGTTGTAAAAGGAATCGAGCATGCGCCCTATACTGTCGTTTGATTATCGCAACGTAGAGCCTTTGTGTACTAAAGAAAGTTAATAGCGTAAAAGATTGATGAGACAAATGGATATAACCTGTTGGTTTAGAGTATTCAAAGTATTATTATTATCGCCTTAAAGGTCACCAAAATAATAGTAAAAAAAAAGTATTCACACAAAGTACGAAACGCAATTCTTAACAGTGTGGCAATTTGATATTTCACATGCGGCTTTTGCGTTCAAGACCGAAGTTTGTAGCGGTTAAAGCTTACAGATTTAAGTTTGTACAAAATAGCAACCGTAAGTAGCCAGACTAAGTTAGTATAATGCTCTCCAACCCGTATTTTCTTTTCTATTACTATCGCATTCATCGTTTATCCTCATGAGAAGGCATTTTGTCAGCTAAAGTTTATTCAAATTCCGACATATTCTTTCTCTCGAAATGGAAGTTCTTGGTTGATTTTCGACTTCTTAAAACTATTTTTTGGAATTCGACTCTATAAGCTGTGATGATCATCCCATGCTTCCTTATGCTTTCTTGGAGTATTTTCCAAGGCGCATCTAATGGTGCCACTTATAAGAGATGTTTTGAATAAATCTATTGAGTAAATTTAGTAAATATGAAATGAGGTTTTTGGCGAATATGTCGAGATTCCTCATGTAAAGGCCTCATAAAAGTAATTTCAAGGGCTGCTCTAGATCAGTATAATCCTTTTGATCTAATATATACCTTAGTAGAAGTCTTCATTTTTGTGGTAAAAACGCGATCGTTTGATTTTCGACGAAAACCATGAGGTGTCACCTCATGGTTTTGATGTGGTTTTTGGCTAAAGTCTGATGATCCCAAAAAAGTTGAGCAAAAGTGTCAGGAGGTAAGTACTAGTCGAAAGCAATTGTTTGGTGTTATTCCGGCGGTCTAAAACCGCTTCTAGTGCGAGAAAACACGGCTCAAATATGTCCAAGTTTCGCTGTGATTTATACATTTTTACTAATAAAAAGCAATGCAAGTAGGCTGTTTACCTGAATACGCATTTTTCTGATCGACACGGACATGTAGTTTCCTAGAATAGCCAAATCTGCAGTTACAGGTTGTTTATGAAGGGTTTTTTTGTTTGATAGTTAAAATTTGAAAAAAGAAATCATAGTAAAATGCTATCATAATAGATTACGGACAGTTTGTTTATCAATCCCTATGCCAACACATGAGTTGATGTCTCGGTATTATCGAACAAACGCAGAAACCTCGCATTCAGCACATCTCCTGATGCTTTACAGTTGGCGCTATCCGTAAATGCTCATAACAGCGATGTATAGTCGCCAGTAAGCGTCTTGGCTCGAGCAAATTCAGAGGTTGGATTAAGCTCGCAATGCTAGTATGCCACGCTCATGTTTACAAAAGTAAATGAGTAGACAGCATTGTAATCTAGGTCGTGTTGAATACCTATGATACGCAACCTATATGGTGATGGATAGAATTGATCTGAAAGCATAAATGTCACCAGTAATGCCATTTTACAATAGCCTAATCGTTTCGGCTTGCATTTCCATGAAGCTCCCTGTATATTGTGCCCTTCAACACATCTAGCGACTGATCAATCATATTTAAATACTCCAAATTGATGCTCTACCAACATGTCTAGCTATTGTATGGACTTGAAGTGCTGTTTCTATAAATAATGCATTGCGCATGATAGCAGATCCACATGCCAATATCTATGTGATAGCATCCAAATAGCGGCAGCTAGTTTTCTGCTGCTATTTTATAAGAATGGGTGGTGGACCCTTCATTACAGCACACCATAACCAAAACTCATTTGAAACCAAATGCCTTTATTACAAAGCAGCAATATGGCCTCCTGATGTAGATCTTACAACTTGCCATTGTCAAAAACATGGGCGATACGTATAGCAATGCAAAACAAAGGTAGCATTCTCTCTCTTTTTTTTTATATATATAGAATAACATTGAAACGAACGATGTATATATAGTTATTTGTTTACTCGCCAAACAATCTTCTGACACGCTTAAGGACACTATCTTTCTCGGGATCTGAATAAGGAATACAAAAGGATGAGTATGTTGCGCTGTAAGGTTGAAAGTACACATTGTTACCATAAGGATGATCTTTGGAGGGTATCTCGAGAATAGCAGGGAAAGCTGCACTGTGTCCATCCACCAGCTCTCTAATATCTTCAGCAACCTATGGACAGTGCCGCATCAGCATAAAACGCGTGCACATTCAAGAGACGCACAACTTACATGTTGATTGATCAAAATGATAGCAATATCTTTGCGTTTGGTATATTCGATAAAGGTTTCCTCAATCGTACCCAAAGGTGTCTCTACATGTTGATACTGCATAAGATGCCGGTTGCGTTTTGAGTGAAATTATGAATACGTACTGGCATCAACTACCAAAAAGTTTCTCTTTTGCTGTTGGTTCACATTGCCAATACCAGCTAATAAGAGACCTGTAACAGAATCCTAGCGTATGCTGGTAAATGAACATTTGATCCTTTTCTGATGTCTGCTCTTCACTGTACCTCATCACCAATGACTGCAATGAAGTTTCTGTCCTTTTGAAGCGATGCTGTTCCTGACATAACAAAATAGTTGTAAGGAAAACAAAAAAAAAGAAGAAGCAAGACGATTGTGAAATTATAAGGAGACAGAGTTGTTTCGGACAAAACACACAGCAGCAAGTCGGTCATCTACATCATCGTCCCACCAGATTAGGCTTCCGGTTGTACATCTTTGAAGGATTTGCATGCCATGAACACTGCACTTGCCACTGTAAAGAAGCATTTGCATTAGGCACTTGGATCGTCTTGCATGTTGGTATTATTCTACTCATACATCTACCATGTGCACGTTTGATCAAATTGATCGGCAAACCAAATTCTGTTTGGTGAGCTATATTCAAGCACATTTGACAGTGAAACTCTTTTTCTTTTCACAAACACATTTATCATGGAATCCAAGGCAGAGACAAGTCAAAAGGAAGAACTGTATGATGAAGTATACTTTGATTCTGATCAAGACTCAGACCAAGAAGAGACAGTAGGCTTTGGCTTACCGGGACAATCAAAGAACAAACAAGGTAAAGGATGGAAAACTTTTTTTCATTCTATCTGTGAAGCAATTGACCAGACAACTTAGAGCCTAGAACAAAGCAAAAGGTGATAAGCAATGACGAGCTACTGTATGATCCAGACATGGACGATAAAGACGAGGAATGGGTAGCTAAACAAATCAATGGCAAGTAGATTTTGGGCATACATGTCATTCCAGAGACTAACATACAAAGTAGACGATTCCATGCGATCCAACGAAGAAGGGCCTTTAGATGATAAAACGGATGCGATATTATCATGCCCCATGTGCTTTACTACGTTATGCTACAGCTGTCAGAGGTAGGCGAAAGAGATACAGGGCATTATAATGAATATGCGCACTCATGGCATACTGTTAGACATGAAAAGTACGCAGATCAATTTAGAGCCATGTTTGTGCGCAACTGTCATACAGTGCCAGGAGAAAGATACAAGATGAAGGGAGACAACGATAGCGATGAATACTTTTATAAGGTTATCTGTGATACATGTGGTATTCAAGTGGCAATGCTGGATGAAGATGAAGTATACCATTTTTTCAACGTGGTAGCAGCATCAGCATAGTAGAAAATCTAATATCTATGGGCCCAGTAAGAAGCAGAGGAAATCACAGTATCCTGTTTCTCTCTCTCCAGCTACAATAAAGAAAAGAATGAGTGGATCTCTACTTGACGGGTACTCCTTCGTGGAACTTACCTCTGTTTGGATTTGTTTATGGATCATGCACAAGTAATCAACATAGCTCATTTGATTAAACGTCTCATCTTCCACCAGCACTTTGGATAACTCCACCTCCAAATCCATGCCATGTCGGATCACTTGCAATCGTGGCAAATAGGGAATGTCGTTTGTACTTGCATAGTAGATTTGTCGCAGTTGGTTGTTGATCGTGGAATTTTCAATGACAGGCAATTGCTCCATCAGTGGGTTAATTTCATTTCTATTGGATGTGCCAAACATGCCTTCTACCAGCTGAGGAGATGCGTTGGCTCCAATCCACACAAACAGTGCGCTATGGCTCTGAACCCAGTAAATACCGGCTGGATCAAATCTATCGTAAGAGAGTCGCTCCAACGGTAACGGGCCCTGCTCCTCGAACCACGTGTGTAACTTGACACACTTGGGATATAAAAATTGGATGGTGCCTGAAATACTTAATGCCTTGATCTTTCTAAAGAAATACACGCGGGTATCGACATTCAAGGTTGGATCTATCATGAACCTTGGTTAGATAAAGCGTAATACACGCACGCAAGCGCCTGCTTACCTTTTCTCATGATGGCAGACTTCTTCATGGAAGAGAACAGCAGTGGCAAATTCTTGTAGGATTCAGGCAAAATGAGCTGAGCAGCAGAAGCACCTGAAGCACAGTATTTTCGATACGATGTCAAGATCTTAACAGCCAACTGATCCATGTCGTAAGAGAGGTCGGTCAGTGATTTCTTGGCTGTCAGTGTAATGTTGCGCTTGATGATGAAATTGAGTGAAGTATCCAAGTCTGCTAGTTTGAAGACGGGGTTCGCTGTAACACCCACATTCAAGCTTAGATTGTGAACACGCACGCGACGTTGACCTTGAGCAGTGGTATAGAGCAGTGCACACTGAAAGTAGACAGGCTTATTCTCCGGTAATTTGCCATCATGTTTCAATGCGACACCCACCGTCGTATCCGCATTGATGTTGGCCAACTCAAGATCAGTAGCATTACTCATGTTGAAATTGCCATAGTGATCTTCCACAGACAGCCCGTTGGAGCAACGTACACGCAGAGCAGCTCGATAACCCTGCTCACGATAGATGGCATGCTTGAAATCATGCATGAATTGTACACTGTGAAGCTGGGCATCAAAGTCTGGCAAGTAGTGTGTATCGCCACCTGTCAGAGCAGAGAGAACGCCTATGGTGGCAACATCCATGTAGGGAGTAGACAGTGCAGGGATAAGCCAGAGATCAATGGAGACACCTGCTTGAACACAAGAGGCACCTAACTGCGTATAAAAGGTATCCTGAGGTTGGAACAAGCCCTTTTCTCGTTCCTGGCCATATATTTTTGGATCGTCTCGGTTCTTGAGCACACCAGGGCCCAAGGAAGGTAATGAGGATTGGAATACTGTAACTTTACCACCAGTAGTCTTGAGGGCCAAGGCAGCCGCTTGAACAGCAGAAGCAAACACAGCATGAGGCATGAGATTGTGCTCATTATGGAACAAGGCAGGCAATTGCTCCAGCAGACTCTCAATAGCAGCTCTTGATTCGGTGGGATCTACAAACATATCTTGTGCAGACATGGGGACAAAGACATCATCGATATCCGAGACCACCATCATGGTAGCTTGTTCGCCCTTCAAGTTCCAGAAATGAACGGATGTATCAAACGTCATGATACCAATTTTGATAGAAGGCGGAAATCCAGAAGCAAGCATGTGTTTGAGTATTTGCACCAATGTCCCCAACACAGGTCTCTCCATGGCTCGTCTAGACACATCAATCGCAACCAGCCAATGCAAAGGCTTTGGTTCTATATCCTGCCAATACTCTTCAGGAGCGTCATATTCAATGGATCCCAACATGAACTCGGGTCGTTGTTCAGCATCCATGCGTCTACCACTGATATCACAAGGACACACATCCTCTGGTGCCACTGTATTCTCATACTCACACAAGTTGCACACAAATTTCTGACCGCCCTGTGTAAACTTGCACCATGGATTGATGTAGGCTTTGCAACGAGAGCATCGAGCAGCCAGAGGAACGACGAGTAAGGCTGTGTCATCTGGATGCAGTTGAGCCAGCGGTTGTAATACGAGGCCAAAAGGCAATCCAGTATCTCGCATCAAATCAGCAGTGGCAGGGACGGTTTGTAGAGTGGATCGCATAAAATGAGGATTGCAATTGCCTTGATCCAAGCTGCGAAAATGGGTACTGGCTAGAGGCAAAGGCTCCTGAAGATCACAGGTACCGTAATAGGCGTCGGGAGTCTCGTATTTAGCCATGTCTTTGGTTTGGATCTGTACAGGTGATGGGATCTGGTTGGGATCAATGCGAGGTTTGGCTCCAGAGCGATGTGGTAGACCAAGAGGCGTGTTGACAGCCCTTTGTTGCTGTTGTGGCTGCTGCAGTGGCTGTTGAGGTAACTGGCCCATGGGTTGTTGCTGGCCCATAGGCTGTGGTAATGCATTTTGTGGTTGTGGTTGTTGATATTGCAGCTGTTGTTGCTGTTGTGGTGGGGCTGGTAAATTCTGTTGCGTGTTAGATACAGGTATACTAGGCACCTGTGCATAAACTCGCTTAGCTCTACCAGATGGTCTCTGCAGAATGACAACAAAAGAGTAAGCATTCGTATCGTCGTATATCACAAATCAGTGACACTTACGCTATGTATCTGCATGTTTGACATTTGAGCTTCAAGAGGAGCAGCGTTTCCTATTGAAGGTGATTCCGTTGACATTTGATTGCTATGTTGTGGCGATACTGATTGAGGAGGCAGAGGAGACTGTTGAGAGGGATACATTGGTTGAGGCTGTACTTGTTGCTGTTGTTGTGGAGGAGAAGGTTGAGCGATAGGTTGGGCTAGTTGTAGTATTGAAATTAGCAATCTACCATGCTATCTTCATGTTACAAGCCAATTTACCTGGTGGTCTATAAGGCGAGAATCCCGGTCTAACAGCAGGTTGTTGATTTACGAATGGAGGTGGGGGACGGCCAGTAGCAGCTAGTATATTGCCAGGACTTTGGGCAAGATAAGGAGGGGGAGGTCTGTTATTGAACATAGGTTTGAATGGCTGTTGCTGTTGTTGAGGTGAAGGGATTCCCGGCCGAAACATGGGAGGGCGTTGACCTGGTGGATTATTTGGTGTAGCCATAGTGCAAAAAAGAAACGAAATAACTTTATTGCGCAAAGAGCGTTTTCAAAAGGCACACAGTTGCGAATTAGAATAGCCGATATATTGGAGGTGTAGCGTGATTGATTTGTTACACCTGATGGACAGTATACCAGCTTAGTTCAAGTCCAGAGTATTGAAATCAGCATTGGGATCATTGATTCTGGTATCGACGTTTATAAATGACAGCAATAAAGTGCTATTATCAATGAATTACCTTACAGTCTTGAAATCACTGTCTAGATGATGGTTGCTATGCAACCCTATTCATGTAGATCCACGAAGAAAGCTTGCATTCGAGATATAAACACTGGTGATGATCTCTGGGTTTCAATCAACCCTCATACATCAGATTGGAGAAAAACTTTTTCGTATTGCTTGTTTTGTGCACTCAAATTACATGTCTACCGAAGCCAAGGCCAAGACGACTGCCAATGCTGGCACCAAGCATCGACATTATCGAAAAAATCCTGCCAAGCAAGCAAAAAAACCTGCAGTTAAAAAGGCACAAGAGGAAGAGGGATCCTCATCCTCCGAAGAAGAAGATGGTGAACTTTGCTTTATTTGTACAGAGCCCATTAAAACATTCGCAGTGGCCCAGTGTGATCACCGTACTTGTCAGAAATGTACGCTTCGTCTCCGAGCTCTCTACGATACTCGCAATTGTGCTTACTGTAAGGTACGTAGTGCTACCATTGTACAATGAAATGATGGCGCTGACGATCAACATGTAGGCCGAGCAAAAAGTAGTGGTCTTCACACAAGATGCCGAGAAACCATTTGAAAACTACACTGCAGATGATACTCCTTTTACCGATAAAAAGTTAAACATTAAATTCGAGACACAAGACATGTACAAGGAGGCAATGCACATGTTGGAGTACAACTGTCCTCACACCGGATGCGCAGAGACATTCAAGAATTGGGGTGAACTGAAGCAGCATGTTAGAAAATCGCATAGTCTCAATATCTGGTAAGATCGCATAATGTGGCCACCCCTGGACAGTATTATACTCAATGCATTGTGATAGCGATCTATGTTCTCGCCATAAAAAGATCTTTCCTTACGAGCACACATTGTACACTTCAGCTCAGTTGACAAAGCACCATCGAGAAGGCGATAAAGAGTTCAACAAGGACGACGAAACCGGTTTCTCGGGCCACCCAGAATGTGCATTCTGTAAAATTCGATTTTTTGGTGATGATGAGTTGTTTGTGCATTGCCGTGATCAGCATGAACAGTGCTTTTTGTGTGTGCGTAATGGAAATCGACACGAGTATTACGTCAATTACGCTAGCTTGGAAGAGCATTTCAAAGCAGACCATTGCATGTGTCTTTACCCTCAATGCCTGGAAAAGAAGTTTGTCGTGTTTGATTCGCCCATTGATTTGAAGGCACACGAAGTGGAAGTACATGGCGAATCAACCGCTGGCTTACAGAGATCTATGCAGACGCAGAACAGACAATTAGAATTGAATTTCCAGTACGAATCATATAGACATCAACGAGATAATAACAATAGAAGAGGAGGAGGAGCAGCAGCAGCAGGAAAGAAGAAGGAAGATAGCGCCCAAAAAACCAACCATAGACAACACACGGCTGCTAGTGGTTCTTCTACACCCTCCAATGCCGCCATTGGACCTAACGATTTCCCAAGCATGAGTCAAGTGAATGCGGCTCTGACAGCTACTACCACAACAGCAGCAACAAACCAAACTCGTATTATACCTGGTGCAAGCACCAAAAAGAACAAGGGAAAGGGAAAGGCATTGCAAAAGCCTGCAGGATTTGGCGCACTCTCAACACCTATAGCAGTGAATGACAGTGGAGGAAGTAGTGGCGGTGGTGGTGGAGGCGGTGGCAGTGGTACCAGTAATCTGGATCCTCAGGATCCCACTGTGGCTAGCCATACAGCGTTTCTGTCCAAAGTGGGCAATATGCTCCAAAGTAAGGCAAAGGTGAATGAATTTAGATCCTTGACAAGTGCATTCAGAAAGAACACGTTGAGTGGCGAGGACTATGTCAATCAAATTGTAAAGTTGACAAACAATAATGTGGAGCAATCTAGCAAGATTTTCAAGGGAGTAGAGGACTTGCTGGACATTGAAGACAAGAAATGGGAATTGATCCGTGTATGGAGAAACAAACACACAGCAGTAAAGTATTTGCCATTTTCTGTGTGTGTGTGTGTGTGTACCTTGATCTGACACTAATGTCTAGATGACCAACTTCCCGGCTCTTGATGTGAGAGAAAGAACACCCGTTCAAACCTCTCGTGTGTTGGTGATTAAGCCCAAGCAGACCAAGAAGGTTGTTGGGGGAGGAGCCAAGTCTAAGAACGTGTGGGACAAGGTAGCATCCGCAGCCAATGTTGCCAACAACATGACCAGCCGACCTTCCAGTGCTCAGAGCTCCATCCGATCATCACCACAAACATCTCGCCCTGGTTCCCCTGTAAATACCTACCGTCCATCGTCCAACGTCAACAACAAAACTCCTTGGAGTGGATCATCATCAACCAGCGTCTCTGCAAGCAACTCAGCGCAAGATTTCCCTAGTTTAAAACCCAAGACATTCCCTGCCCTACCTACGGCTGCGCCTAAACATCAAATGATCTTGAATATGCGTAGACAAAATTCAGGGCAGGGCGCTATCAATGCCTGGAATAGCGGCGGAAGCAGCAGCGAGGATGTCTCTGAATCAGCAACGGACGAGGCATCATCAGCAGCCGGTAACAGCGGCAAGAAGAAGAAGGGCAGAAAGAACAATGTCTTGTTTAGAGTTGGTTTATAAATTTGTCATGATTAGAGGGCAAGGCGGAATAAAAAAAAAAAAGAGTGCTTGTCCATCACTAAAAATTTTTCTTTTTTCTCTTGTTCTTCTTACATTCTAAACTACACTCCATGTCGCCATCTACGCCTGCGATACCACCTATCAATGAGTCCAAAATGAAGCTGTATGAGATGTTTGCACAGAAACAAATTGCTCCACCTCCAAACTTGTCTCATCCAGGCGTAGTCGCTTCATCGTCTTCTTCTTCCTCCAGTAACAGTAAGAGATTTGACAATGCCATCAATTCCAAAGAACACGCTTTAACGTCCATGTATAGCTGTATTCAACTTTCCCGGATTCCAGCCATCAAACGACCTGTTTACAACTAAAGTGGAGGTAACATGAAGATACAGAGCAACCTTTTCATGATATTCACATTTTCATGGCATTTATCCACCACTAGCAAATGTTGATTGAATTGGATCGTCTATTAAAGCAATCGGGCAATTTGCCATTTTCATTGTTACCACCGCACCATGACATTATACTAGTGATGCGACAGATACCGCTGCTGATAAATCAGAGCGCACAGCCGACATTACTGAGATCTGTAGTGGAGAACGTCATCTATCAGTTGTATCAGTCGAATACTGGATTAGCAGTGGAAGTTTATTGTCGATTTCTGCAGACCCTGTTGGAACTGTCACCAAGCATATCAAAAGAGACGCTGAGCTGGTTGTTGTATTCGGAAGATGAGGTATTTGGCGGTACGGTTGCAATAGCATAAATTTGCTGATTCTTTCTATCCACCAACATAGAGAAAGAATGATGTGTGGGTCATCACATCGCTAGTGAAATACGGCTTGATCCCGCTAGAAGAATTTGATGTCAAGCTGTCAAAGCAATTGAACCACAATCCAACAGAGCAACACATCGAGTTTGTAACCGAAATACTGCAAAACTGTTTGTTGACAATGAACCCCATTACATCCGTCGAGGAGCATGTTTTAGTGGTCAATGCATTGATGAAGTTGGAGTCGCCAAAGTAAGATGCAGACAATAGGGCAAGCTTCTTCAGCAACTAACTACTTATCCAGGGCCGTTGAATTAATACAAGATTTAGAGAACAGATCAAATCAACTATACAAGCACCTGAACCCAAAGAACGACTCTTTCTCACTAAGACTACTGTTTGCAGAGTGGATTCGAGTGTGTAGAATCAATACAACAACCAACACGCTATACAAACAATTTGCGCAGAGAATATTATCACAGGTGTCATCCAGCACAGATAGATTGTGCTTCTTTTTCAGACTCTCGACAGAAACATGCATCGAACTATATCCACCCGCTCGACCCCAAGCCATCGATGCGTACACAAAACTTATTGGCTATATGGTGCGATTGCAAGAGAACAACATGGCAAGAATCAAAATGATCTCGCATGTATTGTCTGTCATTGTCCTTGTCATTGCACATCAGCACGAAAACCAGAGTATCCATTTCAACCAAAAGCCTTTTCTCAAACTACTCAGCTCATTATTTATCGAACTGAATAATGCAACAAACCGAGACAAGCACGCTCATGCTGGGTTCATTACAGTATACAGGTAATATGTGCTCCCTCGAAAGATTCTACATTGATGCATCAGAGAAGACTGATACTTTCGCCCCACAACACTAGCAATGTGCTGTACACGCTGGAACCCTCCCAATTCCCCGGATTTGCATTTTCATGGCTGCAGCTCTTTTCACATCGACTCTATCTGCCCCTTTTATTCGCTACGGATCAAGAAGAGGCATCGCAAAAGGGACAAACCATCTGCTTCAAACTGATATCTGCCCATCTCTCATTTTTAAATCAACTACTTCAACAGAGATCATCCCGTCGATTCACTCAATCAGAAAAAGCATTTTATCAGGGCACACTCCGATTCTTGGTTGTCATGTTGCATGATTACCCCGAATTTCTCTGTCGACACTACCTATCACTGATTCAGCTCTTGCCGGTGGATTGCATTCAATTACGAAACGTGGTACTCAGTTCATTCCCGAAAACAATGATCTTGCCCGATCCATTCACAACATCATTGGGCTACATGGCCGCCAATTCGACTGTGCCTGAACTGTACATCAAGCAAGATTATTCTGATATCATTGCCCTGCTGGATGCTTACCTTACAGGCTCAACAAAGTCGGTGGGCCGCCATATCATGAAGCATCTCAGAAATGACCAAGACCAGCAACTGGACAACAAGAAATTGCAGCAACTGATATTCTATGTCGGCTCACATACAACACTAGACATTGACAAATCACTGTCTGAAAATCCCGCAGTTCAAATCATCAAGTATCTGTTAGCGCACATGGAGGAGAGTAAAGATCGCTACCTTGTCATCAATGCCATTGTAGATCATTTGCGGTATCCCAACACTCACACCTACTTTTTCAGCATGACCTTATTGCACCTGTTTGCGTCTCAGTCAGAACCTATCAAGGAGCTTGTTACAAGGGTGTTATTGGAGAGACTCATTGTCAATAGACCTCACCCGTGGGGCTTATTGACAACCTTTATACAATTGATCAAGGAGCCCATGTTCACAGAGTACGAGTTTATCAAAGAATCTATGACTCACTCTCCAGATATTAAACGCTTGTTTGATAACGTACTCAAGTAAGTTGGGTTCAATTGTTGCCTGGAAGTTCATGGAGCCAAAAACAGACAATAAACTGAGTGCTATATACTGTTACTAGATCAGCAACACAATATTTGACTTGAATAATATGATGCATGTTCTTTGGCTGTTTATGTTATGGTGAATTGAAGTAAATAAATATTTTGAAGGATGGAAATCAATACACATATTTGCAGGCAGTTATAGCCTCTTTTCAAAGTCATGCATAATTTAAAATATAAGTGTATAGAAATGTGAAGCCACTCAAAGCGCCAATCTAGCATACAACCTTTTTGCGGGTGTCTATTAGATACATGACCGTCCCGAGCAATAGAAAATTCTTGAGAACAGTAGCATATTACAAAAGCTGAGTCCACGCAAGGTACTGAGCCGTAAAAAATAGGGTAGACAGCTGTGCATTTCGTATCAGGATTCGCAATTCGATGAATGTTTGATAACTAGGAAGCCTGCCAATTATGAGAACAGCAAAAAAAAAATTGAAAAAAAAAGTAGATAGTAGGCTATGCTATTATAGTGCACTTCAGTTCGCACTTCAGTTCGCAATTTCTTTCTCATTAGCATCGCAATCATCATTGACCATCTTCATGCGGGGAAATTCTGTCAGCCAAAACCAATTAGATCTCCAGACGTTTTTTGCTCGAAATGGAAATATTTTGCTGGATTTACGACTTGTTTGGTTTATTTTGTCAGATTCGATTATATAAAATGTAAAGATCACCGTATTCTTCCTAAAGCTTTCTTGGAATGCTTTTCAAGGCGCATCCAATGGTATCAAGTAAGATAGATGTTTTGAATAAACTTGTTGAGCAATTTTTGAAGATATGAAATGGGGGTTTTGGCCAAACGGTCGAATTTTTGTATACAATTGTTTCACAAACAATGTCTCAGGGGCTGCCCTAGACCCATAGCAACATTTTGATTCAAGATATACCATAGTAAAAGTCTTCGTTATCAAGGTGAAAAACGCGATCGTTTGATTTTTAATGAAAACCATGAGGTATCCCTCATGCTTTTGGGTCGATTTTCGACAATCCTAAAAAAGTTGAGCAAAGGTGTCAGACAGCTACTGCTAGATAAGAGTACTTGTGTGGTGTTACTTTGACGGCTTAAAACAGCTTTTAACAAGAGAAATCACTGCTTGAATGCACTCAAATATCGCTGCAATTGGCACATTTTGAGTAGCAAGAGGCAATACATGTATACTGTTTACTTAAATATGCAGTTTCCTCGTCGATGCAGGTGTGAAGCATCGTGAAAGAATCAGATCCACAATTTCCAATTAGTTATAAAGGGCCCTTTCGCTCTGCTTCGGTGAGTACCGGCCTGCGCAGCGGCAGCTCGCCCTACCAATTGCCCTTGCGTATCTTATCAAAATACTGCTACTTTCGATTTGACCTTCCACTTATACATAAAAAGCCTTCGTATTATCTGTGGATCTGACTCTTATGTGATGCTCTACATCCATGTATACGTAACTACCTCATATACGGGCAAGCAGCATACTGATATTATCTCCTTTTAGTCCTTGGTGTGCCTGATACAGCAAAATATGGCTGCCTTTGGGCTGCATTTTCTCGCGTTTAAGACCGTTTTAGATGGTCAGAATAGCACCAACCAATTGCTCTCATCTAGCAGTTACTTATTGCCACCATTGCTCAACTTTTTGGGGACCAAAAAAATATGGATGAAATTCGACCAAAAACCATGAGGTATCCCTCATGGTTTTCATCGAAAATCAAATAATCGCGTTTTTGACCTTGAAAATGAAGACTTTTACTATGGTATATCTTGAATCAAGATGTTTCTATCGATCCAAAGCAACCTCTGAAATCGTCTTTGTGGGACTTTGATATGTAAAATTTCGACATTTTGGCCAGAAACCTCTTTTCATATTTTCATAAATTGCTTGATAAGTTTATTCAAAACATCTACGTTAATTGGCACCATTGGATGCGCCTTGAAAAGCGCTCCAAAGAAGCTTAAAGAAGCATTTTTTTTTTTTGTAGGGGAGTTGTACTCCATTTTTTATTTAAAGTCCTCTAAATGTCATGATGAGGGAAGAAGAAGACTGGATATATTTTTAAAGGCAAGGAAATGAAAGGGAAGCAAGGAAGTGGAATACGACCATAAAATACGTGGGGGTACATACTTACAAATCAAACTGTAATTCCGATTCCAAGCGAGACAGAGAACGGGCAATAGATGTGTTAACGTTGAGAGTGACAAAAGGGACATGGTCGAAGATGGAGCGCCAGTGGGCTTGCCATATACAGAGTAGACTGGTAGCGAAAACTTGGTAAACGGTAAGCTCTGGAAAAGGTAAGGAGGCAGAGCGAGTGGGTTCAGCTATGGATAGAGTTTGAATGCCGTGGAGGAATGGGAGAAGGACGTCGTCGGTCATCGGTGTGTGGGATAGGTATGTAGTGGCGAGGAACCGCCATACAGCGAGTTTGAGAGGACAAGTAAAGAAGAAATGTTGGATATCCTCCGGGCTCTGGGTCAAACAGAGAGGACACGAAGGTGAAGGGTGAGTTGTGGGGATGAAGTGGTGGAGGATCGATTTGGAGGGAATTTTTCGATGGATAAGTCTATACCATACAGTTCGGGATTGAAGGAGAATAGGTAGTTTCCAAAAGAGGCGCCATTGGGAGGGGGAAAGAGGTGAAGTGTTGATGGTGGGCATGTCAGTGGAAACCAAGTGTTTGTAGTATTGAATACTGTTGAGTGGCACTGTTGAAGGTAGTGGTGTTATAGGTTTGATTAGACGGCGAATGAGTGGGCGGATGTTGTGGGGGTTGGCACCAAAGGAGGCACTGGTAAATGAATGGCGAGGGGCCTGACGGCAGAGAGCGAGAAAGAATGGTTGGAGGTAGATTTGGCCTTCCTCAATCCAACGGGCAACTCGATGAGATATTCTTGGATAATGGCAAAACTCAAGGAAGGTCCAGTTTCTAAGACGGATCACTTGTAAGTCGAAGTCAAAGGTAAACACATCTATTGCGAGCAGTTTCTGGACGGCGTGATGTCGGTCAAACAGTTGATCTGGAGCTGTGAAAGAAGAGAAATGGGGGTGAGTAGAAGGGAGGGTATGTAAGATAATTTCAAGGAAAGGTAATGATAAACCTGTATGAAAATCTAAGTGACAGGTTGTGAAGGAACGAGGTATTCGATCCATGGTGGTAATGACATTGGTGAGTATGTTAAGGAAAGCTTGGTGTGGACTGGGTCGATGTTGGAACCAGATGGTTTGTCGAGCAGCAGGAAAGAGTAAGTAGTAAAAGTAATCAGAGAAAGCGGTAGAGTGGAAATACCATTGCAGGGAGTACTGGAGGAGTGGAATGCTTGGGGTGGTGTATGTCGGTAATAGTGGTGAATGACAGGCGGCTAAAATGAGGGGGCAAATCCAGCGCCATTGGAGAGCTTGTTGTTGGACAATGGGATCTAAAACTTGGAGGCCGCCATGATGGCGAGGCTGTTGAAGGGTTCTAAAGGAAAGTTTGGGGAAGATACGAAAGTTAATGAAGGAGGACCCAAGGCTGCGTAAGGAGAGTAATTGAGCTTTGGTGAAAATAAAGTTGCGCATGACATGCCAGAGTTTCGAGAAAATGAGTGTGTTGAGAACGGTAGCTCTTCCACGAATGGAGAGGTTCCGTTGGGAGTGAATATGGATGCATTGTTGGATATTGTTGTAGAGTTGCTGGAAAGCGAGGTTGCGTTGGGATAAACTGGAGCATATGGGATAGCCAAGATATGTTACTGGATCAGGAGAGGTGCGGTCATGCATTTGGTGGATTTGGTGAGTAGCAAGAAACTCGCGCCAATCTGGTTGTGGTTGTCCAGAGAGCGAAATGGCTATAGTTTTTCTGTAATTTAGTAGTGCATTCGATGCTTTCATGTATGCATTGATAGAGTCCTGCAGAAGAAGAAAATCCGAAAAGTTCTTCAAATAGACTAATGTGTCATCTGCATAGGCTAGAATTTTGTACTTAATTGGATTGCGATGGGTGGGAGAGACTGAAGGAGTGTTGCGAGGGGAGTCTGGCGGAGGGGATGAGTTGGTGAGGCTTTCGGTTAGATCGTCCACGTCGGCAGTAGGTGATGGATGTGGTGGGGCTTCTTGTTGTACATGGAAACCCTCAAAGGTAGGGTTCTGTTGAATGGAGCGGAGGAAAGGGTCAAAAGCAATGTTGAAAAGGAGGGGACTGAGTGGATCACCTTGGCGAAGGCCTCTTTCTTGAGGGAGAGGTGCCTTGGTGATGTGGCCATTAATGTTGATCTGAATGTTAGTGGAGAAGAAAAGTGAGATGATACAGTGTGTTAAAGATTGTGGAATACCAAATTGGAGCATAATGTGTTGAAGATATTCGGGATGAATACGATCATATGCTTTTTCTTGATCCAAAAGAAGAGCAATGGTGGATGAATGGTTGGTAGTAGCTAGGAGTTTGGTGGTCTGTAATGTGAAGCCGTGCTCGCCAATGAAGCGGTTCGGCATGAATCCAAGTTGTTGGGGGCTGATTAATTGTTGCATATGTGGCATCAGACGCTGATTGAGCAGGCGTGTGAAGATTTTAGCATCGCAGTTGATTAACGAGATGGGACGAAAATTCCTCAGGTCTGTGAGATCGCCCTTTTTAGGGAGCAGGCACATGCAAGTAGTGAGCCAGCTGTTGGGAAAGATACCGAGGGTAAGAGCCTCCTTGAAGACGGCATGGGCAAGTTGGGCTGTTTGTTGGTGGGATAATAGCACCGCTAGGATTTCATAGGGTAGGCCATCCGTACCTGGGCTGCTATGGTTGGGCGACCGCTGTGCACCAGTCATAATCTCGTCGATGGTAAATGGCGTCTCCAAGGTGGGTTGGCTGTTTACTGGGATCTGTGCTGAGGCAGGGATGGTGTTGCAGAGTTCAGAGATGCTGGTATAATCTATGGAGTCAGTAGTATATAGCTTACGATAAAAACATACTGCAGCATCCTGCATAGTCTCTGCCGTATCGCAGATGGAGTGGGTGTCTGGATGTTGGAGAGCTAACATGGTGCGTTGAATTTGTCTAGTGGCGATTGTGCGTTTGAGGTATCCGGCAGACGTTTCACCCTGTTCACGCCACATTTTACCCGCACGAATGGTTTGTTGGATGGAGATCTCCTGTTGCAGATCGCTGATGAGTTTCTCGATAACGGGTAATCGTTCTCGGAGAATGGCTGGTTGATTCTGATATCGTTTGAACAACTGGTTGCGTTTCCTTTGAAACCTTTTGAGCTGTCGGTTGCGCCAAGAGCTGTGGCGGCGACCAATGCGACGGGCAATGGTTTTCACTACGGCCTTGAGTGCATCCCATTGTGCTTGAGGGGAAGTACCTGGTTCCTGGAAGAACTGATCTAACGCCTGGTGGATTTCGGTGACGAAGTACTCGTTCTTTGCTAGCTGGGGATTAGCTCGCCAAAGTCCAGTACCCTGTTGAGAGGAGGAGAATTGAAAGGTGGTATTGAGGATGGCATGATCAGTCCATTGGGAGCACATAAAATCAATGGAGGACGAGTGTAGTTGTTGAAATAGCGTTGGTGAGCAGTAGACATAATCGATGGTCGACCGTGAGGTCCCGCGACGGAATGTTGGTAAAAGTGGCCCATCATGTTTTGAGCGGGTACATTCGATGAGGTGATTGCTGAGTAAGTCATGCCAGCGATGTTGAGCCAGCATGGCAGAGTGGTGGTGGGGTTGATCTGACTGTATAGGGGGAGAGAAAGAATCAGTAGTATAGTTGGTGTTGTCAATGGCATAAGAGGTAGCATGATAATTAAAGTCACCTAGTATAATCAGAGATTCACGATCCACTGCAATCGTGGATGGTTCCTCTGTAGATATTGGAGGTGGTTGGATGTCAATGGTGATGGGAAAGGTGTCCAGAGCCCAGGTATCGGGGTGAAAGAGTGGAATGGTAAGCAGTTGTGAATAAAAGTGGGCTCTGGACGACGCCGTGGCAGGAGCATAAATATTAACGAGTGTGATGGGTGAAAAGAGTGCATTACAGTGTGTTACCTGACACACTATAATCCGGTCATCAAGGGTAACGTTGAGCGGTTGGATGATGATTTTTGGGTTGAGGGAGACAATACCACAGTGGGATGTCCAGATGCTGGTGTTGGTTTGAAATTGCATATTCAGTCGTTCACGGACTGATTCGGTAGCATGGGTTTCTTGGAAGCATAGAATGTCATATTTCAGTTCAGGATTACGAAGGAATCGTACAAATTCGGAACTGGTGGTTGGGTTGGAGAGCTTACTGAGACTTCGACAATTGAGTGAGCCTATCTTAATAGTTGATCTATAATCTGTCATAGGTGGGTTAGTAGCATAGTGTGTCATAGAGGGGGCATAAGGGTGGGGATTCATATAGTTACTAATTAGGCCACGGGGGCTGAAGTCTCGTCAGCTCGGATAGTGGTGGTGTTAGTGATGTTTGCCTCGCCCATGGTGAGGTCTTGTTCAGCGGCGGTGGGTGTAGTAGTCGTTTGTTGACGCTTGTAAGCTGGAACATAAGTTGGTTTGATGGACTTAGCTAGTTGGGCATACTCGTCTTCAGGAATGAAGTGTTGCTTAAAGCAGAAGAAGCGGGCCACTGCCAGTTGGTGGTGCGGATCCTTCAAACGCCCGATGATGACCTTCAATCGAGCAAGGAAAAGGCGGCGACATTCGGCAGCTAGGAAAGTAGGATCAGAGTCGGTATACTTGGGGTCACGCAACGTGGTGGTGTCCATGGGATCGAACTGGATAGGTGCCAACTCGTACTTGGTCAATTGGGCTTCCAAGGATGGGATGTAGTCTATGTGGACGAGAAGGCCACAAACATGACGGTCGGGGAAATGGATATCCAAGATCCGCTTGTTGTGGATGCCCATAGCATGGAAGTTATCCCTCATTTGGCTAATGGGCGAAGGGCTACGGTTGGGAATGTAGACAAATCGGTAACCATGGTTGGGTGACACGACCGAAAATTGACGAGCAGCAGCAAGACCGGCATCGTTAACATTAAGGTTGAGAGGTTGAAGCCTCTTTCGAGGTATGGTTTTAGCTTTGGGACGTTTGACGGCAGCAGGGTCCGCTTGTTTCTTGGCGACGTCGGCAAAAGAAGGTTGGGCCACAGTAGTTGAAGGAGGTGAGGCAGCAGTCGATTCAGGGGCAGGGAAGGTCTGCGGAGCTTGCTGTGATTCAAGTTGACGAATCCGTTGCTGAGCATCCTCTAATTGTTTTTTGGTGAGATCCAAGGAGGAACGAAGGACCATGTTCTCCTGGATGAGAGCTTGCATCTCAGAGATTTGGGATGCTTGACTATCGAGGCGGGCGTAAATGTCCTTGAGATAGTCAGGGAGATTGGGGACGGAGTGAATGTTGAGGTCACTCAGTGAAAGAGGGGAAGGCTGAGCAGGGATCGTCGTGGTTGAAGCTACGTTGGGCACGGCTACGGGAGGAATAGCGTTGGCAGCAGGTGGTAGGGTGTTCTCGGCCATGGCTTTGGTGATGGAACGGGTGAGTCGGGTTGTAGCTGTTAACTTGGGACGAAGGCTAACAGATGAGGGAAGAGGGGTAAGTGTTTGTCTAGCTAACGTGGAGAGTCGACGTTTAGTAGAGACAGACGGGATGGTAGACGTTGTAAGGCGATTCTTAGTGGTTGTAGAGACTGGCTTGGATGGAGGAGTGGGTGTTTTACTGCTTGGATTTGTTGGGATTTTCACTTTATTTACTTCTGTTGTTATTATTTGTTTTATCGCGTTAATAGTGTTGTTTTCGGGGTTTGAAAGGCCCTAAAAACAATTTAGACGAAAGAAAGGTGAGCTTAAAGAAGCAGAGGACGATTATCATATTTTTATAGTCGAATGTGCAAAAATAGTTCAATCGAGTCGAAAATCATCAAGATTTGGCCAATCTAAAACAGACTATGAGTCTGGGTTTGAATTAATTTCGGCTGGTGGTGCTGGCTGGCAAACTCAATGCCCTTTTCATCATGAAGGCAATACAGTGATAGATGCATTTGAAGCGTATGGAAAGTAGGTGGCAAATTACATAGCGCTATTGTTAGTCTTGCTATTCTTCTTGCATTCTATATTTAATAGCGCCAGCCTACCAAAATACTTGTCAGATCAGCTTCTTTCCTTTTTGAGACTTTGAAAGTGTCTAGGGACTAAACATTTATTATGTTATGATGATATGAGCCAGGCCTGACAGATGTCAGGCAATTCAGTTGCTGTAAAAGTGTCTAGGGACTGAGCATTTATTATGTTATGATAAAATATGTGTGCGAAATTAAGATTGAATTATAAATTAGGTACTCGTAATTAGTGTGGTGATTGGATATGTAGCAAAAATTAATAGTAATCGGTTACAGGTATATTGTCTTGTGAGTTGGCTGCAAGTACAGCAGCTGACGATGAGGATGTTACAGTGAACTCTTTCAGTACGACTATAGTTTCATTGTACCCAATTCTATTTACTTTTCTTTGCAATGCCATAGATATTCGAAAGGCAGGCTTTATCTTTTTCTTTTTAACCATGCCATCAGTGTTGATTGATATAAAAGCAAGTTTTTGTTGGATTACATCCAAATCTATAGCAAAAAAGAAAAAAAAAGTAAAAAAAAAAGGTTAGGAAATGTTATGTCCCATGTTGATTTGGTTTGTATCCAACATCTACCTTGCTCCTGCTTATCTCCCATTGTCTTTTCGTACAGTATATGTTTGCTTTTTGTTCGAGGTAAAGTCCACTGAAATCCCTGTTGATTTACATTATTGCATATTGAGCAAGAACACTGAACCAATCGACCCAGTCTTTGCTGTGCTTCTTTCATTTATATTTGTGAAACAAGAGGGAGAGATGTAGAGGGAGGAAAGAGGGCGAAATGGTGCCTCGCTCCCCCCACTTTTGTGCATGATATAAAAAATTACAACTATCTACACCACTACCACACATACTTGTACCCCGCCATGTCAATTGTTCTGCACCAGGGTCTGGTAACTTGGGTCTCTTGTTTCTCTTCTCATTTTTTTTTGTCTACTTTTACTTTATATCACTAGATAAAAATGCATCCACCTTTAGAAGCTCATAAACATGAAGGCTGTGACAAAGTCATTGAAGCTTTGGAAGAATGCCATAGAGCGGGCACATTCAACAAATTTATTGGCACATGTAATGCAGCCAAGAGAGCAGTCGATGAATGCTTAAAGGAAGAGGTATGTATAATAAAGTCGTAGCGTAGCTCAGCGCAGCAGTGGGTGTCCTGACATGACTCTTAGTTTCTTGTAATGCGTGCTGCAAATAAAGGAAAAGCTCAAGAAAAGAGAAAGAGAATGGAAGCCATCTGGAGAGAAATTGACGAACCACCTGCTGAACTCAAAGAAGCCACTGCTTCAAAATAGACTTGCCTTGTGTTATCCTAAATTCTTTTAGTAATCCAGCCAAGGTTCCAATAGATGTCAAGGAAGAAAAACGACGATCTTTTAATTATTTTGTGTATCCTCAAAACATGAATATAAAATTGCACAATAATCTCTTTCCATCTCACGAACATCCCCCCCCCCCTAGTTTTCCCCTGTTCTTCAATAAATTTTTGCATTCGAAATCCAATGTTCAAAAGGAAGTCATTCACTACAAAATATGCCATCATCGTGGGTGTGATAGTCTATGTCTACATCTATATACTACCCATACAAAAGCAGCATTTGATTCCTCAGGCATCATCAGCATCAACACCAATTGCAAGCGCTGATGATCACATCCTAAAAGAGAATGCCTATTTGGGCAATTGTCTTGGAGCCAACGTTGAGCGAAATGTAGACAATAACCACCGAGATAGCAACCGAGCTTACTGGAACCAACTCTCTGACATTTCAATGGACAGATACAAATTTGGATGGAAAGACTTTGTTCGCCAGGAAAGAACAAAACCACAGCCTACAAGATGGGAAGACGAGAAGGGCATAGTCTTTGTAGCAGGCAACGATGACACAATGAAGCGCACGGTTGGCACAATTCGACTATTGCGTTCCTTTGAATGCACATTACCCATTGAAATCTGGCACATGGAACATGAAGCTCAGGATGCTACTACATTTACCAGCAAACTACAAGCACTAGGCAACGTGAGGTTGCGTGATCTTTCTGATTTTGGATTGCCTAGATCCATAAGTAGGATAAGAAATCGGGGCAAACAGTAAGTCATCATCTTTTGAGACTACATACACTGTACGTTGTATATTAAATCAAGCCATCTAGATTTCAGGTCAAGGCAGCAGCCATCATCAACTCTCGATTTCAACATGTACTCTACCTTGATTCAGACAACATACCAACCCGCGACCCTACATTTCTATTTGACTCAACCGAGTACAAGCAAATAGGAGCACTATTTTGGCCCGATTTCTGGAAAACAGCAGCAGAAAACAAGATATTTCAATTACTCGAAATTGAATGTATAGACACTTGGGAGCAAGAGTCTGGTCAGATTGTAGTGGACAAGGCAAGACATTGGATACCTTTGCAACTAAGTTGGTTCATGCAGTACTTCCATGAGGTTTATTTTCGACTGTTGAATGGAGATAAAGATACATTTCAATATGCATGGCGAGCATTGGATGCGCCATTTTATCGCATAGAGACGTTTGTAGGTATGGGAGGACTGATGTTGAATGGGACATTTTGCGGTCATAGCATGCTTCAGTATGCAGTGGATGGAAATGATCACCCACAACAACCTTTATTTGTGCATGCAAACTTGATGAAACAGATCCCAAAATCGGTCTTCCTTGGCAACAGTGGTGATATTGAAAAGCAACGTCCGTGGCATCTTATCAAACGATACAGAGATGATCGATCCAACAATTTCCTAAAGCCAGAATTTTACACAGTGGGAAATACGACCATTGGATGCATGAACTTTGCTAGTAGAAAATTTGAAAATGAATCGCCTAGCTATGTGGAGTCATTTGATGAGGTATTGCCATCATTTCAAGACGAATATTTTAGATTAGGAGGCATTGGAGGCTATGAATAAAATAAGAAAGATGTATTTATTGAGTTGATAGATAAGTTCATAATATGTGTAGTTAACTGCATAAGTCTGATAATATAAATAAAGAAAAAAGCATGAAATGGATCGTAAAATAAATGAATGTTGTAAATAATCAAGAGCTATCGCTTATATTTGTTTTTCAGTATTCATTCTTGTTGTTGTTGTTGTTGTTGTTGTTGGTAGAATAAAGTTGCGAATATGCGTATTGAGCCTTTCTTGTCAATTCTTGTTTATCATACATATTGAAAACTAATTCTTCCAAAGGAACAGTATCCAACAAGCGAATAGTAACTTTTGGAGCATGCTTAACACCTGTGGCCTAGACAAATAGAGATTGTCAAAATTTAGATTTTCCTTCGAAATGCAATCAAAACTTACTCGGACAAATGGAAAGAAAATGTCGCCAAATACTCGCTTTTTCTTGTTTAGGGTCATGCCCTCCAACGAGTTCAAGATGGCAGTTGCAGAGTTGAAGTCATTTGTAGCGGTCTGATCGTCGATTTGATGAGGTACAAGAGAAGGGGTGGTTGACATGGACGAGACCTGTGGCTGATGATTAGGAGCATTTTGAAACAGATAAAGTGCTTCATAAGCTTCGTCAATCTTCTGCTTCAGGAAGGTAGGGTTGAACAAACAAAGCGACAAATCCCTTTTCTTCAGAGACTGGATCAAATCGACCAAATCATTGAGATCTTTCTGTTGATAATCCTTCAAGTGAGATGATACAGCGGCGCGAATCTTTTGGTTCTGAATTTGACTTGTAGTGATAGACGTGTTGGTGTCGTTTTCTTGGGGTTTCTGGTAATACACAGGAAGACTGGGAGAAGACGATACCAAATCAATCAAAGGTGGGCTATTGTTGGGTGACACCAGTACGGTTGCATTTGCTGTATTTGTTGTTGTTGTTGGAGGTACTGCAATATGCATCGATGAAGTATGATACGCATGATGAGGTACAACAGGAGATTTATGCATCCAAATACCAGTTTCATTCCATGGATTATGATTTTGATGAGAAGGCAAGGCAGACTATAAAGTAAGGGAAGTCAGGAACCAATATCATATGAAGCAACAAAGTAAGGGGGAAGGGACAGGGGAAAAAAAGATCGGTTACCATGGTAACCATGAAAGAGTAATAACAAAATAGCTAGTGCTTGTTTGTTTGTTTTTCTTACAGAAACATGTTATAAATAATAATTTACCTTTGCGGGTATATTGTGATGCTGTTCTGGAGCAAAACCATAAGAAGGGGAAGTTGTTGTGGTATGATGATGATGGTAAGGTGGAGATAGTTGAGGTGCATACACATTGCTGTTGCTGTTGTTGTATGTATTGGTAGTGGATGCACTTGTAGGAGGAGATAGGTTGATGTACTCTTGATGTTGTCTTTTAGGTTGCTTTTGTTGTTGTTGTTGTTGTTGAGAAGAAAGAAACTTTTTGTGTGTATGAAATGTAACGATAATATTCTTTGAGTTCAATAAGGCACCGTTCATATTTTGCAGAGCATCGCTTGCTTCATCCATATGCGTAAAGCTAACAAATCCATAGCCCTTGGAGACACCTGTCACTGTATCCTTCATGACTCTAGCAGAGATGATTTTACCGTAAGCTCTAAATCTTTTGAACAAATCATAGCTAGTAACTTCAGGATCCAAATTCTTTATATACAAGTTGGTATAATCGATCATTGCTGTGGTATTGTCATGACTACCTCGAACATCTCTGACACTAGTAGCAGTGTTATTTAAATGAACATAAGGGGCCGTAAGCTATTTCAGCAGAGATTAGTTTGGTTTCGTATGCTACAAAGGATAGATGGACATACCATATTTGCGTATAGTATATAAAGAAAAAGGTATAGGGAAGCAGAATAAAAAGAATTTAATAGCTAGGCAACGAAAAAGTTTAAATAGATCTCTGTTGAAAAAATAATGGCACATGATCCAGGACAAATAATAATAAACCGTTCTTTAAGCGAAAAGGAAAGATCTTGGATCTTGTTGCAATGTGCTTCTACATCTAAAAAAAAAGCAAACACTTGGCTTATTCCCTTTCCAAGATTATTTCCAGCAAGAAAATCATGCATAAACATCAAATTTCTATTTCCTGAAATTTCATCGGCGTCTCGTTTTATTGCAATGAAATATCACTTGCTGATGACTCTATCATTATTGCTTGCACATGATTGAAGTTGAACCTTCCAATCATATACTCATTCTTGATTCTCTCTCTTTTTACCCCCCCTTTTATTTTGCCTATTTTTTTCCCTCTCTTTTTTTTTTCACTCTTCTTCTTCATTTACAACCAATATACCTAGATTATCAAAACGTCATGTCCTCACTACATGCATCCTCAGATAAGAAGATTGAAACAGTAGGAGATTACCAGATTAAGAACCGTATTGGACAAGGATCCTTTGCAGTCGTATACAAAGCGCAGCATAAAGTAAGCATTGCATTGAGATAGATAAGCGAAAACGAATAGATGCTGATGGGTCATTCAATGATTAGGACACTCATAAAACAGTCGCAATCAAATGTGTAAAGAGATCCAAATTGACAAAGAAACTACTGGAAAACCTGGAATCAGAGATATCCATTCTTACAGCGATAAGACATGACAATATTGTTGGTTTGATTGAATGTCAGGTAAGCAAGAAAATTTATGCTGGCTTCATGTACGTGAGAGTCCTCATTGTCAATTATAGAAAACCGATGCCCACATTTACTTGGTCATGGAATACTGCTCAATGGGTGATCTATCGCATTACATTAAAGAAGTTCGCTCAAACAAAGCCATGAAGGGCCCCGCAGGAGGTTTACCAGAAAGAGTTGTTCGCCACTTTCTAAAGCAATTAGGTATATATATACACACACAGCATGAAATCAGTCCATTCTAACCTAATGCATTTTATTAAAGCAAATGCATTGCTCTTTTTGAGGTCACAAAATCTCATACATAGAGATATCAAACCCCAAGTAAAAAGCTTACCTTTGTTTCATATACACACTTACTGACATTTTATCTCATTAGAATCTGTTACTGACTCCTTCAGATACCCCTAACGACGATTTACCCGTATTGAAAGTAGCTGATTTTGGTTTTGCTCGGATCTTGCCTAACGCTAGCTTGGCTGATACCCTCTGCGGCTCACCACTGTACATGGGACCAGAAATCTTGTCCTATAAAAAGTATGACGCTAAAGCAGATTTATGGAGTGTGGGTGCTGTTCTATACGAAATGGTCACTGGACGACCTCCATTTCGAGCTCAAAATCACATTGAATTACTAAAGAAGATCCAAGAAAACAATGATAAAATTCAGTTCCCTGATGAACGCCACAGTGATATCGTGATAGGGAGTGATTTGAAAGATTTAGTCCGAAAGCTACTCAAGAAGAATCCAGTGGAAAGAGCGTCATTTGAGGAGTTCTTTAATCATCCCGCTATTGTATTGCAACAACCTCAGCAACAGCCTCAACTCATCCACAGAAGAGCCAGCGTTCAAGTGCAAAGATCATCCTCGAAGTCCATCCAATCTCAATCTGCTCCTCCACAACATCAACGTCTCAAGACAGGCAGCTATGAACCACCGCCATTTGCCCAAATCTCAAGCAGTAAACCAGATCAGAGAAGATGGTCGTCCAATAATGTGAGGTATGTCTATTGTACACGGTGTATGCATATATTGTATTTGTAATTTAATGTTGAAACAAGTAGAACCAAGAGTCCTGACGCCATTTCGCCGCTTTATTCACCAAATCGTCCTGCGAAATCTGAAGGCAGAGATCAACAACCGTGGACACCGTCGTCGCCGTCCCAACCTAGTGGCAGTTTGATTCATTCAGGCACCAGACGTCAAGGCAGCTCGAAGAAGGAAGAGGAGGACATGTTGCAAGAATACGTGGTGCTTGATCTCCGTTCCATTGAAACAAATCAATTTGCGGATGGTAGGTTTTCTAGCTGTTTGATATGATATGTAGGCTAACGGTGATGCTGTAGAACTGAAAGCCACGCCTCCACGACCCACACCCTTGAATGAACGAAGATTGTCCAAATCACCCAGCAGCGCTGCGACATCGCACGCCGTGAATATACCTACCGCCACAGGCACGACAAGTGCTAATATATCACCTTCGTCATCTCCCTTCATCAGAGAAAGAAAATCGAGCACAGGTTCATCCGCAGGATCAGCACTTGCCAAAGCCATCAGCAAGGCATCTGTCAGATTGTTTGGCACAAGTATGCCCTCACCACCAAAGGAACCACATCATTTAGTGGGATCACCTCATGGATTTATGTCATCATCATCACACGATCAACAACATCGTCATCGTCATCAGCCTACAAACCACACGATAAAGCGCATTGAAGGTATGGCATGTATGGCACATGCTGTGGCAAAGTATGGTGACCAAAAATACGAGCTATTACAAAACAATAACAATGCAAGTGGCGATATGAAGACTTTATCAGATGAAACATCAGCATTGTTCCTCAAAGCATTAGCGTTGATAGAAGTTGGGTTATCTGTTGCACAACAATACTGGTGCTCAGATCTGATTGACATTGAAGATGAGGAAGAAAGGAAGATTATGGCAGGCAGATTATATGATGCGGTGCAGTGGATGCGGGAAAAGTTCAACGAGAGTCTAGAGAGAGCTGAATCAATAGAAACTGATATGAACGCATCGGTGAATGTCAATAATTCTGCATTTGTTGATAAGCTATTGTATGACAGAGCTTTGGAAATGGTAAACCGAGAGACTTGCTCTTTTTGAGATCATACTAACCATATTATCCTTTTGACATCTCTCACAACAGAGTCGGGCTGCAGCGGTTCATGAACTGGTTGGAGAGAATATCACTGAATGTGAACAAGATTATCAAACGGCGATATGGATGTTGGAAGCCATCTACCAAGTCCGTCCCAGAGGGGAGATGGCAATCGACGAAAATGATCGACTCATTATCACTAAATGTAATGTATATGCATGTCATTTTCTCTTCATTTCAAACAACTAATCCTTTTTCTATTCTTAGTCATCAATTCTATTCGTCATCGCATAACTGTTCTGCGAAAAAAGATGATATCGGAACGAGCGTAAAATTGGAGAACATGACCAATTAGAAAGATAATGCGTAAATGATTAAACATTGCATTTGGTCTCCGTTTACACGGAGATTGTCTTTTTTTTTCTGTATAACCTCCTTTAAGCCCTTATATCCCCATTAAAAAAAGCTCCTTTCGAATCTCTGCTTGAAAGCTCACCCTTAAAATTGTCAGTGGCATAAGAAAAAGATACATGTATAATGCGTAGAAGATGTAAACAAACAAACCGAGCACGCATGCATCGAAAAACGTGGTGATTGCATTTGAACTCAGCTATCAATATGTAATTCCAATGTCTTTAATAAATAGCCATTTTGCATTCATTGAAACATTTTTTTGACCAAATACTAACATACGTTGTCAAAACTAACTGGTCCTTAGTCATTTAGGGATTTATCTCTATTTTAGCACTGGCAAAAGAGAAGTTTTTTTTTTTGTCATGTTTCGTCTGAGTTGAATGCTCGAAAAGAAATCTCGTTTTTTTTTTTTTTTTTTTTTTTTCCGTAATCAAAACAGATATAGATCTTTTTAGCTCTTTTTTTTTCTTTTTCGTATCTAAGCATATACAATCTCTACTTTACAAAAGAATTTTTGTAACGCAAAAGCAAGTTTTCAAAGAAAGAAACCACAGTAAGTTCAGGCTCCTTTTGAACAAACATACATCATTTCATCTAGCATTTGCTGCCATTGTTGCTGATGGGTTAAAGAAAAAGCTGTTATCTTTTGGCGGATTAGTGCTAATGAAGTATCTTTTTTTTGCTACTTTTTTTTTTTGCTTATCTTGAGCCATTTCCCTATCAGAATGGCATCTTGTTCTTCTGGTTTTTCTCATTGAAAACTGGAATGATTTATATTACATTTTAAATTTATTCAAAACATCAAGTCAGATTACAACAGCGATGTCCTTGGACACAAAATGTTGAATTTGGCTTTTACCCTTTTTGAATTGACAAACATATAGACATTTTATATATGTTTGTGTGTATACACACACACGCTGATCAATTCCTTCCCACCCTTTTTTTCAGATATATGAAACTTTCGGCCTACGGCGACATTTCACCCATTACTCCCCCATTTTTTGGTATTCGATCAATCGAACCGAGCAAAAGATACTTCATTGCATGCTAACCGAAACTAATCTATAACTTTTTTTTGAACCATCATCCAAGAAAAAAAAAAAAAGACGTAACATTCGAAAAAAAAAAAAAAAAAAAATCAGAAAAAAATTTTTTTTTTCGACTTGGAAGAAACCCTTGCAGCAAAAAAAAATAATATTTTCATTTTATTTCATTTTTACATCCCTTTCTCTCTTTTTCTCTTTCTAATCCAGTTTTTTTCTCACATTCATTATTAGGAACTCCTCTATTTTCTCAGTTTTTATCGTTCTTATAAACACAATTTAAAATGCAATCCATGCCATACTACCAACAACAACAAGGTTATCAACCTCAAGCTCCTTACCAGGCTCAACCTCAAGCACCCAATGTTTTGAACAATGGCCCCATGATGACTCATCCCAATGGACTTCCTCCAATGCAACATCCCGGTATTCCTGATCCATCTCAAGCTGTCGCTACAGGTTCTCAACAAGCACCCAAGAGAAAGCAAGTTAAGAATGCATGCAGTAAGTAGTATTTCTTTATATATCATTTTGTGTTATTGTTTATTTGTTATACATATTAATTTTTTTTCAAAGCCAACTGTCAAAAAGCTTGTAAAAAATGTGATGACGCTAGACCTTGTCCTAGATGTATCAAGTATGGTATCGCTGACACCTGTGTTAACTCTGTAAGAAAGGAACGCAAGAAGGGTATCAAGCGTGGTCCTTACAAGAGAAGACAAAAGACCGGTGGTAAGTTTTTATCTTTTGGGAGAGGGAACAGATGATGTGATATGATTGCACAATGTCAGGAAAAAAAAAATTTTTTTTTGACATGTAATTTTATCACTACGCGTCTTGATGTTAGTATGATTATCTAATCCTAAACTTTCTGTGATTCGTAGAAGAGAAGCCTCGTAAGAATGCCGCCGAGATGAGCACTCCTGATCAAAATGGCCAACCTGCTCAATACGCCCCTGCCACCATGCGTGGTCCTACTATCCCATTCGGTTATCCTAGCAACTTGAATCAATATGGTCAACATTACGATCCCTATGCTCAATACACTAGTCATTACAAAGATCAAATGATGCCTCAACCTTATGTTGTCAACCCTGTTTATCCTCCTATGGGTTACCCTGTTATTGTCCCCGGAGGTAGCGATAGTAATGGTCAGCAACAAGGTCAACAGCAACAAGGTCAACAGCAACAACAACAACCTCAATATCAACATAACTATATGATGCACCAAAGCAATCCTCCACAAGCACCTCGTCCTCCTATGATGAGTCAACATGGTGAACATGTCATGCATCAATCACCCGCCGGTAGCCCTCAAGTCTACTACCAGCAACCTCAACAACAACAAGGCCAACATCAACAACAGCCTCAACAACAACCTCAACAACCTCAACAACCTCAACAACAACACAGCCAACCTCCCTCTCAAAGAAACAGCCCTCACTTATCCGAAGCTATCAAGTCTGAGCCTGTTCCTTCTGCATCTACATCAACCAACACCACTTCATCTCCTGACTCTGGCAATTAATAGAGGTGATCAGGCTGTTTGTAACAATTATTTCTGTTATTCACATTTTTCACAAACCACTTTTCAATGCACTTTTTTTTTTCTTTGCTCCCTCATTTCATGATTGCTTTCAATATATACAAATCTTTAATTATTTTCTTGTACTATTTTTTTCTCTTGCTTCTTTTTTCTTCTATGACACAAAAATTTTTATAGCAGAACCGAAAAAAAAATCCACATATAAAAAAAAAAAAACTTCCCCTTTAAAACACATGTACACAACACACAACTCACAAAAAATCACATAAACAATTAATAAATAAACTTAGACCTTTTATACATATCATATTATGGGAATATAGTGATGCCTGTCAATATTTACATTGAAGTGATCATCAGGAATCATTTTCGGTTTTGTCATCCGCCCAAACTATGTCAGATCTGGTGTCATTTCTAATTAAGATACTAGGCAACATCAGATAACAAACACATCTCAGCTTGTGCACCTTGTGTATTCTTTTGAGCATTGAATACGCTCTGACATTTTCATTTTCTACGTCGGCAGAATAGACGTATGAGCATTGTATACTAGCAGAGATGTCAACACGATCATTGAATTATCAAGGATATCTTTGTTTATTCAGCATCTGTCATGTTTTCATCTGCTGGGTTGCTCAGCAAGTTAGTTACGAGGGATTCTTGATTGTATATCTAGAGCAAAGATATCTGAGCAACTAAAGCTTGAACAAATTGATCTCTAGCTGCGATAGAAGGAATGCTACACCTTCAACATTGATCAGTATTTTGGAAACTGTCAAATAATATCGAAACAAGAAAAATTGACATGTAAACTCCTGCTAATTTTCAACGCTGTTACGGTTAGTGTGATTGTAAAAGCCCACAAGCCTTGTACTGCATTTACTTCCTATAAATCATTGCGTGGTAGATCAAACGCTATCAACTGAATAATAGACTATGCGAAACACATGTAGATACCAAGCTGAGTGCTTCAAGGATGCAGCTATCTGATCCACATTTGAGCTGCTGAATATTGATAAGGATAGATGAACGCTCGTTCCAGATAGCATTGAGACAGCACAGCTTCTAAGTGAGATAAACGACTTACACTGCAACAAATTCTCAAGAACAGCTGAAAGTGTCACTGCAACAACAATAAATATGACATGATCTATATGATCTATACAACTTCAATCTACAACTTGTCATTTAGTGAAAGCTTCTTCCTCCAAACCGAGCAATATACCATTCATCAAATGATGTGGAGGTATATTTTAATGCAAAGATTTGGCTTTGAAGCGCCTCTATCTGGGCCGATACGCTGTTCAGCTGTTGTTTAGGTGCCTGGCTTGATTCAAACTGCATAATTTCTTTTCGGCAATCCTAGGATGTTTCCGTCAATGAAGGAGATGGCTTCAGATAGCCTTTATGTCGAATGGCTCGCCTAAATTGCTTCATATTTAAAGCTTTAGGCATATAACAACGTATATTTGAATAAAAACAACGAGTTTATGCGATACAAGGCGCTTTAGCAGCGATTTACCTGCTGCAGAGCTAGTTAAAATAAGTTTATGGCATCATAGCGGCCCTGATGGCTAGAGCTGCGCCTATAAATTTTGCAATGTAGATCTACTTTATGAAGGGGTTTGAAGTGTTCTGAAGCTTATTATATTCGCCGGTATACTAAAGAGCCCTCATTAGAGCGGCAGATTGAATAAATGCGTACAACAAAATCTATGGAGGTATATCCGCTAGGTTTTCATATCATCATCATCATTATATATACTTTAAAAACTTCAAAAAAGTAGACAAACAAATCGTATCCTTTCCAAAAATTTAAAGAATTGTGTGCCATACAAGGTGAATAAACCCACCGGCAAAGCCGGCAATGGGGGGGGGGGTTGGAAAAAGAACACAACACATCTAATCCAAAACTTGGTAACACGGATCTATATGAGAGATTGATCGTAGCGAAGCAAAGGCGCAAACCTATGACAACTGAGCATCCAATCCAGCATTTGATAGCATTGATCTATCCGAGGGCTTGATTGCAGCGAAGCGAATATGCAAAGCCATAGTATCTAAGCAGCAAATTCGGGTTTTCATTTCCAATGTTAATAAGCTTACCAGCAACATAGCGCATCAAAATTTGCATGAATCAGCTTTACTAAAATCAATATGCCACCTATTCGAATTAAAAATTGCTCAAGCTACAGAACTGCCTTTCCAGTAAATTGCAGCTACCAAAGATGTAATTTATGCCGTCTAAAGAAAGTCTATAAAGCATTACCTAACAAAATTGGGCAGTTTTCAAGCCTTCATATCTTGACATGTAGACTTTTTTGAGCCATCAGAATGTCGCCAAACAATTGTACTTGAGTAGTAGTAACTTCATGACACGTTTGCTCAACTTTTTGGGCGAAAAAAAAAACATGGCCAAAAATCGACCAAAAAGCATGAGGGGTACCTCATGGTTTTCATCGAAATTCAAACGATTGCGCTTTTCACTTTGAAAATGAAGACTTTTACTATGGCATATATTAATTCAAAATGTTCCTCTCAACCCAAAGCAACTTCTGAAATCACTTTTATGAGGTTTTCATATGCAGAATTTTGACATTTTAGCCGAAAACCATATTTCATATTTTCTGAATTTGCTCAATAGGTTCATTCAAAACATCCATTTTACTTGGCATCATTGGAAGCGCCTTGAAAAGTACTTCAAGAATGTATTAGGAAGCGTAGGGTGATCATTACAATCTACATAGTCGAATATTACAGAATAGATTAAAGAAGTCGAAAAAAGACACAATCTGTCCAATCTTGAACAGAAAAGATAGCTGAGTTTGAATCGGTTTGGCGGTGACGGCATTGCTGCTGGCTGACCTAAATGCCTTTCTGTTGATGACAATGATGATGACAATGATGATTGCGATGCTGATGAAATGGGAATCATAGGATTGAAAGGACATTTGCTTAGCCTGAACAGTTTTTTTTTGGGAGTCTTTCCCTATAAAGAAGGTGTCTTTTGTAATGACAATATCTCAAGAAAATCGCTGTAGATTATACACAAGTCCTGGCATGGCCAGCTTTATGTAGGTATCCTAAGAGCAACATCAGTGAATAGATACCTCCCCCTCTTAACTCTGATATAGCCTTTCTTTTACTATTAATTGATTGTTTAAAATCTACTCGATATATCTGACCTGAAGTGTGCTCGGCGAGAGCCCGCAGGGCGATACCGTCATTGAACTTAGCAAGATTGATCATCTAGTGGATTGTTCCATACGACAAAACGAGTCCTCCTATATACTGAGCTATGCTTGTCTTTCAAGCTAAATCATCAAGTGTTCCCCTACATGTCACTTCACATGGTCCGAATAATATGAAAAATACCTAATACAAGCGACATGTCATGTATTGATTCTGTCCTTCTCGGCTCCAGTTGTCCCACGATTGCCCAGCTATTCGAAATAAAATCGAAAAGAAATATTTCTACCATTGTTTTATTTATACACACGAAAAAAAAATCTACATAACCTTATTGATCTCTACCCAACTGAGCTGCCAACTCCTTACTACGATCTGTGGCAGCAAACACAGCATTTCTTAGGATCTCTTCAATCTGAGCGCCTTGCATTGACTTGATAGCAGCCTCAGTTGTGCCGTTGGGAGATGTTACCTTTTTACGCAGTGTTGTTAAATCATCCTCTGAATTTTGAGCCATACGAGCAGCACCCAGACAAGTTTGCAAAGTTAAAGCTTTAGCATCCTCGCGAGACAAACCAGCATCCACACCAGCATTTTCAATAGCTTCCATCATCAAGAAGAAATACGCAGGACCACTACCACTTACGCCAGTAACGGTATCAATCAACGATTCAGAATCTACCCAAGACAAAACCTTTGAAACAGAACCCAATAAACGTTCTGTCAATTCCTTTTGCTGCTGTGTAACTACAGATGTAGCGAATAACCCAGTAGCACCTTCACCAATCAAGGCGGGTGTGTTGGGCATAATTCTGATCAAAGGAGCCTCATAATCCTTAGCGTCCAGCCAATTCAGGATGGCAGATGTCTCGATGCCTGCAGCGATGGAAATGAGCAATGCAGAAGGGTTTTTGTGTAATGCAGGAGCCAAGCCAGTGACGACAGGACGTAATACTTGAGGTTTGACAGCAAAGATGACAATATCAGCACCTTCGACAACTTGATCATTGGAGGCACTGTTGAAGACGCCAGGGTATTTCTCGCTCATGTAGTTGCGACGTTCATCTAAGAGCTCGGAAAAGCGTAAATGTGATTTGGGATGGCCATTGCTGTAGAGGCCACCCAACACAGCTTCAGCCATGTTACCTGCGCCGATGAATGCGATCACGGGAGCGTTATCAGCAGAAGAAACCATGCTAAGAAAAAAAAGTGTTGCGTCTTGTGAGAAGGAGAGAGAGAGAGAGAGAAAGAGAAAGAGGAGAATAAAAGAGAATGGTTTTATAGAGAGCGAGAGACAGATCAGTGGTATGAAATAAAACTGCGGTCTACTGACATCCATTGGCTCGTCATGATGAGTCGTATCTTTTAAATTGCCATTTATGTCAGCTAGCGAGTTGCTCACACACAGGCACCTACATATCCCATTTCTCTTCTTTCTTCACCATCTTTTTATGGTTGTTTTCCACGACAAGCTGCTAATTGGTTCATTTCATTATATATAAAGGGGTCAAATGTCTGTAGACATCGAAAGAGAGGAGTTGCCATCAGGTAGAGTCAATGACATGGACTTACCGAACGAGTGATGCCTTGCCATGCTTCCCTCTTTTTTTTTTGTGGTATTATAAATGGAGTGAATCTGCTGCTGCTGCTGCTGCTGCTGCTGCTGCTGCAATTCTATTTAAACCTCCTTTTCCATGTTGCACTAAATATAATATATATTTCGGACTTGCAGCAGTAAATGAATATTTTTTCTCTCTTCTCTTCTTCAACTCAAACACAACATAATATACACCCCCTTCCCTTCCTTCATACAAACAAATCTAATAAGAAAAAATGGGTGCTAATTTATCAAAGGCTCTCTCCAAGATGTTTGGTAGCAAAGAAATGCGTATTCTTATGTTGGGATTGGACGCCGCAGGAAAGACCAGTAAGTTGCAACATTTAAGCATTTGGGCTGCTGTCGTGTCTGAAAATTTCATTATATATTGCTTGCAGCCATCCTTTACAAGTTGAAACTGAACCAATCAGTCACTACTATCCCGACCGTTGGTTTCAATGTGGAATCAGTAACATACAAAAACGTCAAATTCAATGTGTGGGATGTTGGAGGACAAGATAAAATTCGCAATTTATGGAGACACTACTACACTGGAACGCAAGGTTTGATTTTCGTTATCGACTCTCAAGACAGGGATCGTATCGATGAAGCCCGTCAAGAGCTGCATCGTATTTTATCAGACAGAGAAATGAAGGATTGTCTTTTATTGGTATTTGCCAACAAGCAAGATTTGCCTGGTGCCATGTTACCACAAGAAGTTACAGAGAAATTGGGTTTGGATAAAATGAAAGAAAGACCATGGTATGTTTATCCCTCTTGTGCAACAACTGGTGAAGGCTTATTTCAAGGTTTGAACTGGTTGAGTCAAAATGTAAAATCAAAGTAATATGCTGCTCTCCCTCTTTGTGTCTCCCCTCTTTTTCCTTGATCTCCTTAATATTATACTATACACTTTTTTTTTTTTTTTTTATTATTATTATTATTACTATCGCCCAATGCCTATTATTTACTATTACCTATATATTTCTCTCTCACACACAATCAAATTGATAAAGACATTATTTATTTCAAATGGTGTACATGTTTATCGAATGATTTGTAGCAGACATGAATGGATTGGATCCAATTTGACGCTACACATTGATCAACTGTCCAACGTGTAACAGGGTTGGGATCAAACATGCCATATAGACACTCTTTCTCATCTTGATTGCATTTGGATAATGGCAGCCAACCGTCTTTAGGAGATGTTGTGTAGATGACATACTGTGGATCTTCTTTGCATGCCTTGAAAAAGGGTATTTGTCGGTAAATAAGGCAATGCCAAGTTACTGCACAGCTCCAGACATCCAATGCTCGACCATCATATTCGTCATTTTCAAATAGCTCGGGTGACCAGTAAGGTTCGGATCCACAGTGTCCCTGCGATAAACGAGGTTCTACATCAAAGCAGGATTGCACTACATCGGCAACTCCAAAATCAGCAATTTTGAGAATACCTTCTGTTGTCATGACAAGGTTTTCAGGCTTAATGTCACGATGCGCCACACCGCTTGCGTGTATATGCTGTACGCCTAGTAACAGCTGCTTAAACAAGCAATCAATCTCTGCGTCTGTAAGATCAAACTGCTGTAATATGGAGAAAACGTCACCTCCTGCACACTAATCGATGTGTTAATAGGACCAAACACTACTACATCAGAAGAAAAGCTTACATATTCCATTACTGCACACCATCGACCTTTCTTATCCTTGAGCAAATCATAGACTTGAATCACATGCCGATGACCCAGTGTCTTTGATATACAAAATTCGCTTGTCATTCGCTTGTCATAGCCTTTTCGGCTTTCTTGTCCATCTCGTTTGCGAAATGTTTTGATAGCAACTACTTTCCCATCGTTTTCATCCGTCAATAATCGAAGCTTGGCAGTAGCTCCACGGCCAATTGTCTTTCCCTTGCGATGGTTTTTGTATTTATCTTGCAAACAAGATGGCTGTGCACGTTCAGATGTGGGAGTGGAGCAGGCAGACGACGGTGAAGGTGGAAGGTATAGGCTGCTACTGCTACTGCTACTGATGGTAGGTGTGGTCAGTATGTTTGAGCTGATGATGGGCGTTTCATCCGGTAGCAACAAGAAATTGGAATCCAATGTACCCGGCCGTGGAGAGGGAGGAGAAGATCGTAAAGACAAGTTGGATAGCTTTCGAGTGAGAGATGCAAATGGTTTATGTGAGCTGGATGTTAATGAGGGCGATGGCGAAGGCAGTTTGTCATAGTCGTCGTTTTCTAGCATGGGTGGTGCTGGTGATAGTAGAATAACGGGTTGTGTACCTGACATGAATAGAGAAAGCAAATGAGAAAAGAGGGGAAGAAGGGCAATGGGATCTACAGCAAATTCTTTGCAACATTTATATATAAACATGGCTCTGCTTGTTTATTTATACCAACCATCATGCTTTCTCTGGTTCTCTCTCACTCACTCTCACTCTCTCTCTCTCTCACGCGCACACACCATTCAATCACTATGCCTCCTTGTTGAGAATCTCCTGTTTTCTTCATTTATTTCCCTTAAAGCTAACCGTTTTTATACAATATTATAGCATGCATTATGCAAGCTGATAAGAATTTATTCGTCTTGTGTGTGTATATGTGTGTTTATTCGGCTTTTAAGGTGTTTATGATGATGATGCTTCTTCCAGATTTGGCATGCGAAGTACCTTTTTGTCTTCATTTTTGGCGTGTTGAGTAATCATTTCCAACACCTTGGAGTTTTGCCATTTTTGTGGAACAGGCTTCTTGTTTGTAGACCAGTAAAAGATATCCCAATCTGGCTCATCCAACAGTTTATCATATTCCTCCAACTGCTCACGATTGAATTGAGGTAACCAGACTTTGGCAAATGTCGATAATAAGAGATCCGTTTCCAAAATACCACGCTTGCGACTTTGGTAAGTCAATCTGCGACGCTTATTCTCTGTTTCTTCGTTAGGACGAGGAATAGGTGGCAGATTGGGATATGAACTGTCCAAGGCCGCTTCGGAAGAGTGACGAATAGCCAAGTCGGGAAAAGGATCCTCGCTCTTCTTATTAAACAAAGGACGCAATGTGCTGATGGAACGATACACTGGGCGTGCTAGTAGTTGAACTTGTCTTGCTCTGGAAAGCGACATCGTGGTGTTGATATGTGAAAAAAAAAAGAAACAAAACTTCCCCAGGCTAATATATAGACTACGCAGGGCCTGCTTTTCTGTCTAAATCAAAAAAAAAACACCTGGCCAATGAAGCAAGTCAAGACAAATGTCCCTAGTTGGAAATATGTGATATTCACAGATCGCATATCGTATATAGTGGCTAATTTAAGGTTTGGACACGAGCGATTCAAATAGACATATCAATTAATTACGAAACGAAATCACTTTGGTGACATAGGATAAATTGGGTCGTGTTGTGCAAAAGTATGTTATATTGCTGCTATTTTTAATTTTAGCCTTTGGTTTCGATGAGGTATCTGTCTGATTTACATCAAAACTGAATGCAATTGAGTCAGACCGTTTATTGTAAAAGTCTTGGCTATTTTTTGTCAAGGTTATCATTCAACCCGATTTCAGTCTTCATAAAGAGATTCAATCCGAGTGTCAATATGAAATTATCTAGAATCATTGCAGCGATCAACATTGCAATCTAGCATGTAAGACTACTGATTCTGGATAATCATCTAAATACTTGCTTTGCTTTTAACTTGTATCAGAATAACACTGATGTCATTTATTTGATTTACTTTGCTATCAGCAGAGAAATAAGCATTGCATGTTCGCTAATGACCAAGTCTTACAACTGACACTTAGTATATAAAGGGGCTACCATACTTGAAGTAGGATAGAGGAATAACATCTGCGAATTGCCACGGCTATCTGCACTTGCATCAGATAAAGAAATGCTTCTGTATAATGGCTTCACGTATACATAACGCTTTACTGCATTCTGTTGCATGTCGTAGTGTTTATGACACATACATTATGAACTATATATACTACCGTATTATCATGCATATTGGAAATTCCATGGTCAGTTATGATACAAATATCGAGTTCGTATACAATTGCAAATATACCTGACTTGCCAGCATCCCAATCTATACTGTGTGAGATAGAGTAACATTTGAATTAGAAAGAAAGTGAGTGTTATTAAATGTTGAAATCTTGACGCTATGTCATACCTACCAGCATGCGCTTTCACTTGGCTCTAATGTGCGATATTCATAAATGGATAGGGTCAATATCAAAGTTTCACAGTATATCAACCCATTCAATCAACCAAAGTAAGTCTGTATGCTTCAGAGAATTATTGTCCAAATGACAATTGGCAATAAATATGTAAGCCGTATACAGAGATACAACACATTAGACATAGAAATAAAGCACAATCTATACTGCATGTATGCCTCTCACAAAAAAAGATTACGCTTACCTGGCGACAATGCATCCTCAGCAAATATCCTTCTTAGTCGACATATACAGCTTGATTACCTAGAAGAGGAGCAGAATACTGGGGAGTAAAATATTCATATCCTACACTAGTTACATCATTGAGATAAGTCATTTCATTACAAGACAGCCTACAAATAAATAAGAGAGCAATTCTTTATACTAAACACCATTTCCAGTGCAGAGTAAGTTTATAAAGAATTGAAATGTGCATTCACTGATACCACGTTTGATAACCATCTCACAATTTGTGCTCTAACATGCCTGTTTTTCGTAAATTTTGTGAGTTTTATGAGGAAAGCACGTACTAGATCTGTATCAGCATATTTGCAGTAATTTTCATTGCGTGGACCCAAGAATTGCCTACCGCTTGAAGCCTTATTCGGATCTGCAGCATCCACCAAGGTCAACCCCATCCAAATTATCGAAAAATGGCCGCTCAAGGCTAGTTTTTGCTACAATGGCGTATATAAAATTCCTTTTGTGCATTGTTATTAGTCATACGATGCCCTAAATTTATTTCATAGACTTGAGCACCACATAAATGTTTTCATGGTGTTACTAGAAAAAAGCATCTTTTTACCAATGTATACTCCAATTTGTAGGTCGAAAACCCGATTTTGGTAAGGAAGCGTCAAAGATGTTAAAAAGAGGTCTCGTTTTGTAAAGCAAGCAAAGAGAAACAAAATTCAATTAACACAAAGCCTGGTTGACTTAGCAGTTGAATAAAGAATAACATCCAAGCACGTTTTTTTTTTATAACTGAGCCAAAATAAGAAATAATGCTGTGATTCCTCACTTTGATAGATCAGATATGATACGACAAGCATCGTCTACGTTGCTACACTGTGAAAGTGGCTTGAGGAGAAAGTGAACGTAGCCTAGGATGCATGCTTGTATGCAACAAGCATACGATTGTGCTGAAGCAGTACCAATTATTGTGGAATACATCCACTCTGATCTGCATACCGACAGTTCATCCAGTTACCAGATTTAGATATAAACTATGTGTACACTGGATTAGATGTACGATACGAAGTTATACTATTATAAGATACGAACTTCAGATACGCCAGTATTATAAGGTTCATACTATATAAGATATAGGCTATAGATGGCAGCACCACGAATATGGATGGCGCTATAGGCTCATACTTTATTTGTCCACTACTCTAATTAGTGGAACTTTTATCCATTATTAAAGTATATAAGAAGGATCATCTACCTGGCCAGTAGAGATTCTTCAGTTTATATACACCATCATCTATCAGTTTGATAATATATATACCTTCATCAATTTGACTCTATTGTCTTTTATTCTTTTTTTTTGTGGATTTAGATTTAACAAAAGTCTCAAATTCCACATGCTGAATTAAATGACTACATGTTATCTTATACAGTACTGTTGAATAAAAAAAACTATAAATTGTATCCATTTGATACTCTTTTTTATTACAAATACAAAATTATAATACATGACAGATCAATAGGAAATCAACTAGTTGTAGCCCATCGTTGTTTCAATCCCTGAGCCAATCAGATTATTTAAAAACTCCGCTGACCTAAAAAAAAATTTGCGAGGGTTTCCCCCTGTTTGGATGTGAGGCAAGATTTTAAGCACCGCTATAATAGCAATATAGCCGCTGCTATCATCAAACTTCCCCCAGGTGCTAGAGCATGCCTTACTTACACCACCTAGCTTTAGATTCTGGCGTTGAGACCCTCAATCATCACTAAAGTAAGTAGTGATAACCAAGTGGAGGCAGCCTATCTACCTCCTAGCCTCGGATAAAGTCTTGTTGAGCTTCAGGGATAGGCACATCCACACAACGTAAAAAAGGTATGCTTCAAAGAAACATCATAGTAATAAAAGAAAGAAGAAAAGAAAATACTACTGTACTATGGAAATATAGTAGTATGTAGGCAAAAAAGGGATACTCACACAAAGTGATTCAAAGAAAAGCATAACAAATACAACGTCAGAGATGTTCAGAACAGCTCGTTGTTGTTGCAACAAAAATGCACACATGAGCAAAGTGCATGGTAATAGTCGAATGTAAAGTAACGCAAACACACAAAACTGCAAAAGCAATGGTGGTATAAGTTTGCACTGCAACATAATGACTAACGTTGTCTCATGTGAAGCCACAGGGGCAACGTAACCAGCGAAAGAAGAAGAAAGCACAACAAAGTAAATATCATGATAAAATGCATTATCACGAGAAAGGAAGCAATAATACAAACGTTCAAAGAAGTTTTATATCATTCCGACCAGAAGAAAGAAAATACTTACCACTTACCACCACCACAGATAGACCAGAGGATACGCAATCACCAGATATAAACCAGAGAAAAAGCATGCGCCAGACACAGTACACCAGAGAAGACCATATTAGCAACAGCAGCAGCAACACCAGCACCATGGAAAAACCAGAGAACAAACGACACCAGAGACCAGACAAAGACCAAACAACAAGCAACACCAGCAGAGACCAGACAAAGGCCAAGAAGCAGACAGCAGAGACAGCAGAAAAGGAATGGCAGCAGCACCCACGTCAAACAGGCAAAATAATTATCAAAACCTAACAAACAAATTCAGTTAGTACTGATTCTACGTTTTCCAGTGCTCGTTTATCGAATGGTACCTACTATATCCCTCTTCAAAGAAGCAGTGTCAAGTTCTTTTAGCAATACAAGGCAGTGTGATCAGAAGTTGGAGTGTTATTATCATTTGAACGGTTTCCAAACCAACATGGTTTGATACAAAACGCGTTTTGCAAAAGGAAAAAAAAACGGGGATATGGAAAAATGAGAGGGCGCCCTATCCGACGTCACGGCTAGTAAATTTGGCCTCAGTCTTTTGCCACAGCAGCTGTCGCTGCGGCACTCAAACTTGGATTTGTGCCGTTGTCATTTTTGTGTTCAAATTTGACTTGATCTGATATTCTTTAAACGTTTTTGCTAGATTTGACTATGAAAATTGTCATTGTTATACTTTACTTTCTATTGCGTTTGTAAAGAGTCATTAAAGGCGCATCGAATGATGCTGGTTACATTTAGTTTTTAGACTGAAAATAATGAGCAGTTTTCAAAAATATGAAAACAGGTTTTCTGTGAATATGTCAAAATTTAGCATATACAAGCCTCATAGAAAGGGTTTCCACGGTTGCATTCCATCTTTACGATCAATTTGATCTGATATGTATCATAAGAAAAGTCTTCATTTTTGAGGTGAAAAACGCGATCGTTTGATTTTCAAGAATTTGCCCTTGCTAATACACATGAAAAATATGCGAATTTTCATGGATTTGCAATGACCCAAAGAAATTTGAGATAAAGTATCAGGAAATAAAGCGTGGCCAAAAGGAGGCGTGTGGTACTAATCCAAGCCCTCAAAACGCTTTGTGGTATGAGTTATTCGTGCTTGAAAATGACTAGATTTGAACAGAATCTGACCTAAAACGAAGGGGGTAGTCGGTTGCATTGCCAGAAGAGTAAGTCAATTACGCTTGCGGAATACATCCACTATGGTCTGCATTCCGACAGTTCATCCAGTTACCAGATTTAGATACAAACTGTTAAGCACAAAGAATAAAAGGATTATTATTTGTAGCTTATAAAGAATGTTCAATATTATAAAAACAAGAAAAGACTTATTTGAATAAGATCAGACACAAAAACTAAAGATTTATTGATGAAGACAAGAGTTATTCTATTTATACTAAGTTCTGAATGCCAAAGTAGCAATTTATCTTGTACAACGCTTATCACATCTGGTGAACCTCAGTATTTAGATAGCTGAGATGCACTTCAATTACCATAGCTTGTCCATGTTGTTGCACAACACAGACATATCTACCCATCAAGAATACCTTAATCTTTATAGACAGTTGTAGCCCTTCTAGCACAACATAATCTAATTAATAGAACTTTTATCCATTGTTATAGCATTTAAGAAGGATCATCTACCTGGCCAGTAGAGAGACTTCAGTTTAATTTACACCTGTCAGTTTGATAATAAAATATACCTTTATCAAGTTGAATTTACTGTTTCTTTATTCTTTTTTTTCCGTGAATTTTAGTCTATAAAGCCTCAGATTCCACACCAGCCTCAGACAACGAGCCCACAGTAGGATCAACAGCAGGAGCAGTTGCAATAGCAGTGCTACCAGCGGTGGTAGCAGACGATACCACGCCCTCTTGAAGGCGCAGCATACCAAAACGATATAAGGTACTAGTAGGAGCATCACCAGTACGCACAGCCGTGTTACACTCATGGGGACCAGCAGAGTAATTGTGGGCACCACAAGTACGGCATCGATCTGATGCCTTGGCATCCGCAAGCGACATCATGCAACGACGACCTGATGCTTGGTTGCTGGTTGGCATAGAGTTGACACCACCTTTGTTTTTCAACTCTTCCATAAAGAGCTTACATTCCGAGGTGTCATAATTGTGAGGCTTTCCATGGTGGAAAGTGCACGACTTGGTAGCCTTGAAGTGAGGCTTGCCCACTCGGCCAGAAGAGACACCAGCACGAGACACAGCGGCAGGACTATCAGTAGATGAGGATGATGCCTTCATGGTATGTGAGCGGCGGGGGGACGCAACTGGAGCCCATTGTGATGCAGCAGATCCAGCAGCAGTGCGAGTAAAAGCGGGTGCTGAGATGGCAGCAATCTCATTTGCGGTCATAGTTGATAGTGATTCACGAGCGATACTGACGATAATGTCAACATCGTAACTATCAATGATGCCCTTGGATTGGCGGATGGTGTTGATCTTATCCTTGACTACCCAAGGAATGGCATCCAGGAACAACTTAGCCAACAAGTAATCGAATGGGGCTTGATCCAGGGATCGACGACGCAAGTCAGTAAAACGATCAAGAAAGGCCTTTACATTTTCACCGGGCAAAAGTTGAATGCTCAACAAATCAGACGCACAACGTTGACGTTCTTCCAATACGCTAGTAATGCCATAAAGAGCCTTGATAGCTGACTTGAAATCATTCCACGATGCAGCAGAAGCAGTGCAAGCAGAAGTGAACGAGCCGTACCAAGTACGTTGTTCTGGAGGCAGCATAGGTGGTACTAAGCGAGCATACTCCTTGTCGAAATCCATCTTGTAAGCGAACATGACATCCTCAAACTTCAACAGACAAGCGTCGACTGTAGGAAATATAGGGCTTTTGGGGTCGAATTCATCCATACCAACCCACTGAAATGCAGGTAAGTTGTTGGGAAAGAAAACTGGTACTGAGGCGCTCTTGTTGTATTTGACTCCATCGACTGAGGATGAGCCAAACGAAGCAGCAGCCGAAGAAGCGAGGTTATCATTTGCGGTAGCCTTGGATGCAAGCAAACAATCTCGAATCTGTATGATACTTTGAATGGACGTATTCAGCTGGATCAACCGAGCTAGGGCCTGGGCTCTGGCCTCCTCACTTTGCTCTAGGAGCAAGGTCGTAGAGAGAAGCTGAACTTCGGCGAGCTGATTGTCAACAATTAGCTTCAACTGATCAGTGCGACCTTGAAGATCCACATCACTAGAAAATGAACTAGCAGAGGAAGGGGGACCGAGGTCCATCGCATCATTAGCAGTAGTAGTGGGAGCTTCGCCAACTTGACCACCCAATTTATGAGACGTTTCAGCGAGAAAAAACTGCGAAGGGCCAGTAATATCTACAGCCTTGGTGGCACTACTGGCGTCTGAAGGATGCAGCTCAGTGTTTCCAGCAGGCTTAGATTCGGAACTGGGGGGTGTGGTGGTACTTTGAGCAGACATCAGAGTATACAAAATTGAGAAGTAGTAGTAGTAAGAGTAGTAGTAATGATACAATCAAGGTTTTGATTAAAAAAATGATGAATTCGTAATAATAAGTCGATGATAATAATCAGTTGTCAACTGTATCTAAAGCGAAAGCAAAAAGCTTCTTTATTACAGGGCATCTAGCTTGCTTAAATAAGGTAGATCGCTGGTCAATGACTACTAGGTTGAGATGGTATATAAATAGCAGGCCACTGGGGCCTTATGGATTGTTGGTATAGCTTGTTGAGAGGCCACCTAAGTCGATATGTTTCATGTAGTGTAGGTGGATCTTGATATCTTGACATTGGGGAGATTGAATGTATTGTAGTTCCTGAGGCACCTGTGCACACACAATTGACTGGACTTGTAAACATAGATGTGATGTGATACGATAAACATCATCTATGCTGCTACATTGTAAAAGGTGGCTTGAGGAGAAAGTGAATGTAGCCTAAGATGCATGCTTGTATGCAAAAACATGTTGGAAAATACTGATAAACAACGCATGCTTGGCGGCGGGGCATCTGTTATTAAGTCCTCCTAGTCTTAAAGTAGTATTGCATTATTGTACTTGTATATTATGGGTTTTCCCCAACCACATAATATCAAGTTTAAAGGACAATCACATGCCACAGTTTAATGCATGTTAGATCAATTGATTGCACCTTATTTTATAGTTTCAAACAAAGGACGACATGAACTGGATCTGCAGTGAAATCAGGTTTAAATAGATTTCACAAAAAAAATAAAGCAAAGGTAAAATACAATAGAAATCAACTGTATTTTATTTTGTGTATAAAATGAACTGAAGATCTTGGAATTGAGTAAAAAAAAGAAGAGTATTTATACGTTTGCAACTAGCTTGTAGAATTAGTGATGATAGAGAGCAATAGGTTCTGCTATTGCGATATCTGGCAAATGTTGTTGATGTTTGATTTAAAGTGGTAATCAATGCAAGAGCACTGGCCATAGGGGTCGATTTGAGTAACCTTAATGGGCTTGGGTGAGTTATCATCATAGCATGATTTAATGTAACTGTTATGTCAAAATACAATGTAAAATTGAATCTGCCAAAGAATTACACTTTTATTGAGAATGCATCCCAAGGATGCATTTATATACTTTTCATTATGCTAGGTTTTACAGCATGATGATGAACTACTATAATACAAATAGGTTTACTATCTACCCAACAATTGATTTGTAAATCATGATTAGCATGATTTACCCAAGGGACCTAAGAATAGCCTAAAACCTTTAGTGTGAGACCTTGCTATGACATTTGATATAACAGTAACCTTGATGGTTTAAAGTGTGATGTTTGTTATTGAAGTATGGAACCCTTTATCTGGAATATTGTGCAACCATGGCAGCAGGGCATAGTTGTCATATTTGAATATGCTTGTTATTGATTTAATTCTATTTGGATAAAGATACCATCACCTATTACGACCATCATGGGTGTGATTGAATACACTGTGATCAGGAGTGATTCATTCACACGATGTGCGATATAAGCGTGTATCTCTACTTTAGTATTTTTAAATGGGTTTTTGATGTACATTTGAGCGCTTTCATTAATAGATCCAAATAGCATGAATTTGAATGAGTGCTATTTGATGAACTTTGGTTTTCAATCAAGTTGCGTTTGGGTGGCTATTTCATTACAGGATCTACTTGATACTCTTTTTTTTTTTATTACAAATACAAAATTATAATACATGACAGATCAAGAAAATCAACTAGCTGTAGCCCTTCGCTGCTTCAACCAACTAGCCAATCAGATTGCTTGAAAACTCCGCTGACTTAAAAAAAAATTTGCGAGGGTTTCCCCCTGTTTGGATGTGAGGCAAAATTTTAAGCACCGCTATAATAGCAATATAGCCGCTGCTATCATCAAACTTCCCCCAGGTGCTAGAGCATGCCTTACTTACACCACCTAGCTTTAGATTCTGGCGTTGAGACCCTCAATCATCACTAAAGTAAGTAGTGATAACCAAGTGGAGGCAGCCTATCTACCTCCTAGCCTCGGATAAAGTCTTGTTGAGCTTCAGGGATAGGCACATCCACACAACGTAAAAAAGGTATGCTTCAAAGAAACATCATAGTAATAAAAGAAAGAAGAAAAGAAAATACTACTGTACTATGGAAATATAGTAGTATGTAGGCAAAAAAGGGATACTCACACAAAGTGATTCAAAGAAAAGCATAACAAATACAACGTCAGAGATGTTCAGAACAGCTCGTTGTTGTTGCAACAAAAATGCACACATGAGCAACATGCATGGTAATAGTCGTATGTAAAGCAATACAAACACGCACAACTGCAAAAGTAACAGTAGTACTATAAGTTTGCAATAGAACATAATGACTAATGTTGATTCATGTGAAGCCATAGAGGCAACACAACCAACAAAAGAAAAAGAAAAACGCAACAAAGAAAACATCATGAATGCATTATCATGAGAAAGGAAGCAATAATATAAACGTTCAAAGAAGTTTTATATCATCGCAACCAAAAGAAAAAAGATACTTACCACTTACCACAGCCACAGATAGACAAGAAGAGTATAGGCAATCACCGGAGACAGACCAGAGAACGAGCATGCACCAAATACAGTAGACCGGGAAAGACCAGAATAGCAGCAGCAGCAGCAGCAACACCAGCACCATGGAAAAACTAAAGAACGAACGACATCAGAGAACGCGCATGCACCAAAGACAGTAGACCGGGAAAGATCATATTAGCAGCAGCAGCAGCAACACCAGCACCGTAGAAAGTCCAAAGAGGTTACTTGCCAATTATCACCAACACAGATAGACGAGAAGAGAATGGGCAATCACCAGAGATATACCAGAGAACAAACATACAATAGACAATAGACCAGGAAACACCAGATTATCAACAACACCAACAGCAGCACCAGCAGCAACACTAGCAGATACACCAGAAGGAACAACAGCATCTTAGAAAAACCGACCAACGAGCGACACCAGAGACCAGGCAAGGATTAAAGATGCAACCGCTTGAGACAGAGACCAAAGAAGCAGACTGCAAAGATAGGAGAGAAGCAACGGCCACAGTACGCACGTCAAACCGGCAAAAAAATTATCGAAACCTAATAAACAAATTCGATTAGTGCTAATTCTACGCCTTCCAGTGCTCGTTATAGAATGGTACCTACCATATTCTACTTCAAAGGAGCAGTATCAGGTATCTTTAACAGTATAAGACTGTGCCATCAGAAGCTAGAGAGTTATTTTCATTCAAAAGAGTTCCAAAACCAACATGGTTTGATAATAAACGCGTTTTGCAAAAAGGGTAGAAAACAGAGGTATGGAATAATGAGTGGACGCCCTATGCGACGTCACGACCAGTAGATTTGGTCTCAGTCTTCTGCCGTGGTTGCAGCCATAACTGCTGTACTTTAATTTGAAATTGTGCAGTGGGTATTTTCCTATTCAAATTTGACTTGATCTGATATTCTTTAAACGTTTTTGCTAGATTTGACTATGAAAATTGTCATTGTTATACTTTACTTTCTATTGCGTTTATAAAGAGTCATTAAAGTCGCATCGAATGATGCTGGTTACATTTAGTTTTTAGACTGAAAATAGTGAGCAGTTTTCAAAAATATGAAAACAGGTTTTCTGTGAATATGTCAAAATTTAGCATATACAAGCCTCATAGAAAGGGTTTCCACGGTTGCATTCCATCTTTACGATCAATTTGATCTGATATGTATCATAAGAAAAGTCTTCATTTTTGAGGTGAAAAACGCGATCGTTTGATTTTCAAGAATTTTCCCTTGCTAATACACATGAAAAATATGCGAATTTTCATGGATTTGCAATGACCCAAAGAGATTTGAGATAAAGCAGCAGGAAGTAAAGCGTGGCCAAAAGGAGGCGTGTGGTACTAATCCAAGCCCTCAAAACGCTTTGTGGCATGTTATTCGTGCTTGAAAATGACTAGATTTGAACAGAATCCGACCTAAAACGAAGGGGGTAGTCGGTTGCATTGCCAGAAGAGTAAGTCAATTACGCTTGCGGAATACATCCACTATGGTCTGCATTCCGACAGTTCATCCAGTTACCAGATTCAGATATAGACTGTATGTACACTGGATTAGATGTACGATATCGATTTTTACTATAAGAAGATATGGACTTCAGATACGCTAGTACTATAAGATTCATACTATATAAGATATAGGCTATAGATGGCACCACGGACATGGATGGCGCTATAGACTTATACTTGTATTCCGACATTGACTACGGATGTTTACCATATCTGGATAAGCACCAAGATTAATGCAATATGAGCTTGTTGCTTCAGATGTGCACTTCATGATCCACGCTATAAGACACATGCTTATATCCGTGATACTAGCTACAGATACTTTATGTACTATAGACTTGTACTATATATGAGACATGCTACAGATATGCCTTATATCTAGATACATGCTAAAGATGTATGCTCAGCGATATACACTCAGTTATGCACTATTGATATAGACTAAGGAGATTGTACCTATCGGATACATGCTACTAGATCGATATTAATTATCCTTATAGAAAGGATAGAACAGGGTACTTCGGATGAGAGTCTAATTATTCATCCAGGCAAAGCTAAATCATGATTAGCTTGCTGGAGTTATCTTTTAGCATGATTAGACATTAGTTGATCTGAGTTGACTTATTTGTCAATCTAATTAATAGAACTTTTATCCATTGTTATAGGATATAAGAAGGATCATCTACCTGGCCAGTAGAGAGACTTCCGTTTACTTTATACCTGTCAGTTTGATAATAAAACATACCTTTATCAAGTTGACTTTGTAATGAAATAGCCACCCAAACGCAACTTGATTGAAAACCGAAATTCACCAAATAGCACTCATTCAAATTCATGCTATTTGGATCTATTAGTAAAAGCGCTCAAATGTACATCAACAACCATTTAAACATACTAAAGTAGAGATACACGCTTATATCGCACATCGTGTGAATGAATCACTCCTGATCACAGTGTATTCAATCACACCCATGATGGTCGTAATAGGTGATGGTATCTTTATCCAAATAGAATTAAATCAATAACAAGCATATTCAAATATGACAACTATGCCCTGCTGCCATGGTTGCACAATATTCCAGATAAAGGGTTCCATACTTCAATAACAAACATCACACTTTAAACCATCAAGGTTACTGTTATATCAAATGTCATAGCAAGGTCTCACACTAAAGGTTTTAGGCTATTCTTAGGTCCCTTGGGTAAATCATGCTAATCATGATTTACAAATCAATTGTTGGGTAGATAGTAAACCTATTTGTATTATAGTAGTTCATCATCATGCTGTAAAACCTAGCATAATGAAAAGTATATAAATGCATCCTTGGGATGCATTCTCAATAAAAGTGTAATTCTTTGGCAGATTCAATTTTACATTGTATTTTGACATAACAGTTACATTAAATCATGCTATGATGATAACTCACCCAAGCCCATTAAGGTTACTCAAATCGACCCCTATGGCCAGTGCTCTTGCATTGATTACCACTTTAAATCAAACATCAACAACATTTGCCAGATATCGCAATAGCAGAACCTATTGCTCTCTATCATCACTAATTCTACAAGCTAGTTGCAAACGTATAAATACTCTTCTTTTTTTTACTCAATTCCAAGATCTTCAGTTCATTTTATACACAAATAAAATACAGTTGATTTCTATTGTATTTTACTATTGCTTTATTTTTTTTGTGAAATCTATTCAAACCTGATTTTTCTGCAAACTTCATTGTTTTTTATTCTTTTTTTCCGTGAATTTTAGTCTTGTGAAGCCTCAAATTCCACAGCTTGGACCATTTTCCGCCACTACTCATTAGCATCACCTTCCATCACTCCACATCAAACATGCCCTAGTTAAAAAAAGTTTCTTTAACAGCTTTCACTACGCATACATACTACATTCATATAGTAATTTAAAAAATTTTACTAGCAGCATCTATTCAAAATTAACTATTTTCTAAAATTTCCCTTTTCTCAACAACCATGCTACCTACGCAAATTTCAACTGCATCATCGTTTAGAAGGCAAAAAACTGGTATAGGAACATGCTAGTCTCAAGGCTCTAGCATCAATATTTGGAAAATCGATGATTTTCAATCGTCCAAAAGTTGAAAACCTCAAAAACAAAAAACATTTTATACATCTAGGTCATCATAGGTAAAACAAAAAATAGAATCTCGTCAAACTTAAATATGTTGTAGAATAGTGATATTGGAGCAAGTTCTTAGTGGGAACATTATATTGGAAATGCATACTTCATGAGATAATCAACATTGGATATGCTATTTTTAAGCAGGGGAATGTACATACTTTAAATTGGAATACTTTAATCGAACAAAGCAAGATTCTTCATTATGTCAAGAAGTATCTATTCGTAACTTGAAACCTGCAAGTCAATATTCACTACGGCCCAACTGATGTTCTCACAGAACATGGATGTGCTCTTTTGGGAACATCGATGTTCTCATGAGCACATTGATGTTCTCATTTGAGAAGATGTAGTTTTCCACAAGAATAAATGGCTTTAATAGCTAAACTATAATATTGTAGGCAATAGAAAGACTTTTATTATCTGTAAGATTCATAAAATTACTAAACGTATTATAAATTGCACGAGAAAATGGCAATTTAAAATTACCTAATAACTACTTACTAAAGTAAAAAAATATTTCAATAAGATATTCGAGTAGTTTAGTGGAAAGAACGTCAGATCCACAACCGATAGGTTATGGGTTCGACCCCGGTAGGAGCATTCTTTTTTTCAAATTTCTGAAAATCGATGTGCTCATATAAGAATATGAATGTGCTCACATGGGAACATTTCGGATGTTCTCATAAGAACATTGGCCGACTTATAATAGATCTTTAGGAACGCCGATGTTCCCATATGAGAGCATTTTTCACCTTTCGGGAACATCGATGTGCTCATTTGGGAACATCAAATAGATTCTCATATGAGCACATCGATGTTCTCATGAGAACATCAGTTGGGCCGTAGTGATTGTGGAATTTGAGGCTTGATAGACTAAAATTCACGGAAAAAAAAGAATAAAAAAAACAGTAATGTCAACTTGATAAAGGTATATTTTATTATCAAACTGACAGGTGTAAAGTAAACTGAAGTCTCTCTACTGGCCAGGTAGATGATCCTTCTTATATACTATAACAATGGATAAAAGTTCTATTAATTAGATTGACAAATAAGTCAACTCAGATCAACTAATGTCTAATCATGCTAAAAGACAACTCCAGCAAGCTAATCATGATTTAGCTCTGTCTGGATGAATAATTAGACTCTCATCCGAAGTACCCTGTTCTATCCTTTCCATAAGGATAATTAATATCGATCTAGTAGCATGTATCCGATAGGTACAGTCTTCTTAGTCTATATTAATAGTACATATCTGAGTGTATATCGCTAAGCATACATCTTTAGCATGTATCTGGATATATGGCATGTCTATAGCATATCGTATGCATGTCTATAGCATGTCTCATATATAGTACAAGTCTGTAGTACATAGAGTATCTGTAGCTAGTATCACGGATATAAGCATGTGTCTTATAGCGTGGATCATGAAGTGCACATCTGAAGCAACAAGCTCATATTGCATTAATCTTGGTGCCTATCCAGATATGGTAAACATCCGTAGTCAATGTCGGAATACAAGTATAAGTCTATAGTGCCATCCATGTCCGTGGTGCCATCTATAGCCTATATCTTATATAGTATGAATCTTATAGTACTAGCGTATCTGAAGTCCATATCTTCTTATAGTAAAAATCGATATCGTACATCTAATCCAGTGTACATACAGTCTATATCTGAATCTGGTAACTGGATGAACTGTCGGAATGCAGATCATAGTGGATGTATTCCACAAATATGACCCTTTTCGTACGCTCCACTTTTTAAAATGCTTGGTCAAATTCGTACTTGTGTGGTGTACACGTGTGGAAGATCAACGGAGCTTCAATTTCTATTATTCTGAATGATGATTCGTAGGATTCCAAAATCTAACGACCTTAAAATTACGCGTTTCATGATAGTAAACACCCCTTCACACTTATATGAAACTTGTAAAGAACTCAAAGGAGAGTACAATAATATCCATATCAAGTCTCTGGTGTATATTGTTCACCTGATATTTGATAAGTTAATTTTGCGACTTTTTCACTGTTTTCCAAAGATTAATTAATATCTGTTATCAAAACATTTTGTTAAGCATTACTAAACATCGTAGACTAAAAAAATTCCTATCGAATGAGCTATTGTTTGAAGCACTGGTATAACTCTATCATGAAATATTGACAATCTTGTCTTGACCAAAAAATCGTCATTAGATTTTTTGCTTGCTATCACAGGCTGATTTCGAACAAAACTCCGTGGTTTTGCATGATACCGTTTTTTGGCCACATCTCAACAAATACTCACCGGATTCGCACAAAATAAAGACCATTCGATAGGTCTACGTTATGTCTATCATAATGTGAGGGCTTAAAGCACCAGATATACATTTTCTTCATAAATTTGCTCAAAACTTTATATTTTACTTGGCTACAAGCAGGGGATATTTTAAACTTTAAAAACTAATCTATAAAAACTATACCATCCTATGGAGAATTGAAAAAGAAACAAAAACTACTAAGCCTTAAGCTCTGGTTCACTTAGTAAAATCCAGCGGTACGGCCCTTTGAAAATCAACCATCTCGACTCTTTTCCATCGTTACTCATCGATATCGCCCTCAATAATCCCTCATCAAACATGCCCTACTCAAACAAAGTATCCTCTTTAACTTCTACTATACATACCATCAACAGTTATATATAATATTCCAATGGCTTTTAATAGTAGTATTTGGTCAAAATCAGTTAGAAATTACAAATTTCTCAACTGCACCATATGCGTAATTATAACTCGAAAGTAATAGTCTGAAGCAGGTCTCTATTAGTGTTCACTTTATTCAAGTATCTTTCTTGAAAGGGGCCACCATTTCGTAACCTTGTTCTGCTTCATTTAATATCGCAGTGCTGTTTCGTCTATTTGTCCATTTCTGAATGAAATCAGATGCCTTATTTTTAACGTTGGCCTCTAGTTGGTTAGGTATGTTGCTACCGTTATTGACTACACTTCCTTCCTCTTGTAAGCATGCATGATGAGGAGCTTGATAAGGTATGAGCTTTGGCCAATTCACGAATTCAGCACCATTATGTTGAATAAACAGCCAACAAGTAATAGTGACAGCGAAAGTGAACGAGAGAGCAGTGATATGCACAAGCGATGAGTGTATGCTGAAAAGATCAGGAGCAAACAAGACCATTAGAAACAAAGTGAAGGATATTAGTAGATACAGAGGCATAAGCTTGATAATGATGGATGACGGTGTAGATCGGAATGGGCTGCGTACGTGTGACAGTGGCACCCTATATTTGCCTAGTATCAAATCGATGCCATCCTGTCTGGAGCCGTCCAAGTAGTTATTCTTTATGTATCTTATAGCAGAGTTGTTGAAATCGTTTACCATGCCAAGTCGTGTGCGGCGACCAGTTCTAGTGAAATCTGTCTTAAGAGCGCCTGTACCTGAATATGGTATACTCAAGCCATCCGCATTGTCTGCCCAGACTGTGAAAATATCGACATGTTAATAATATACAAACTGTCGGAAGAAAGCGACACATACCGTTCTTAAAGATTTGCATAAATTGTTCGTCATTCTCGATTACTTCTGTTGACTGAAGAATTCCAATCTCACGCAGTTGTCTCGTCAGCACCCATCTACCCAACGTACTCTGTACAACGTTGGTTCTGTCCAAACAATCCATACAGTTTGTACGCACCACTGATGTTTGCTCTTTACACAAGACAGGATCCTGCTCTGATGAAGAAGCGTCGTACAGGCAATATCCTTGCTGTCTGAGGTCAGGTTCCAGCTGGTCAACTAGTAATTGCACTCGGTGCCATTTCATCTTCCTACATTCATGATGAAAATCAAAGTGTATGTATTTGATAGATGGATCTGATAGCTCTTTGACGATGGCAGCATATAGCTGGCCAACGGGGTATTCGTACCCTTTGGTGTTGGTCAAGTTGACCAAAATCTGAGGTCCATAGCATTTGATTTGCTGATCGAAATGAGCTCTTGAGGCGCCTATGACTTTTTCGTCTGCTAAGTTGACGTTGACCCATAGCTTGGGTGTATAACGAGTATTTGGAATTTGACCCCATATTGCAGGAACACTACCTCGAGTTTGGATGTAAGAAGCACGAATCAAGTTATTTTGTACAAGCGATTTCGAGGGATCACATAACAAAAGCTGCTCAGTTTCCACAAAATTTGAAGCAAATCCATATTCATCCAGCCCTCGAGAGAAAAAACGAGTTCCAGCACGTTCTTGACTACGTCGACTGATGAGTGCGAATGTAATGGCTCTATTGTTGATCACGGAAGGGCTGATAGAGACAACTATAGATGATGTTAAGTGTCATGCAGGGTCAATTAATGTCAGTGTAACTTTACATCCTTGAATGACAGGTAGGATAAAATGACTAAACTGTAATGTTTTGATGAATATGAGTGATGGCCACTATTTTGGATAAAAAAAAATATACTTACGTCTTGGTGTATCCTTGAGTTGGCAGTAGCAGAGATCAACTTCTCACAAAGATATCGATTCCAAAAGAATCTTGTATCTGCCTGCAATTGATGTCAATATCTTTTCTGTATGCGTTCAGTCAGACATACGTTTCTCCAGTTGTAATCCCGTCCTTTGTCTGCCGAATAAGCTTGCTTCTGTATCGACAAGGTAATGTTGTATCTATAAGAAAAGTAGAATCCATTTGATTGAAGGTGGTTTTCTAATAGTTGAACATATTTTTGTTCGTCGTCCAACTGCTGGCTCGAAAGACTGTTTGTGTTACGGGCAATGGGTAGAATTTGAAAAGTCGTAGCGCGTAATACATCATATCCTTGCATAAGCGTTCCTACTCTTTGACATCCAGTGATGACGATCATATACTCGCCTATAATCTAATGAGTTCCATGCTGATATGAAATGCTTCTGCAAGTTTATACCTGCTTGTAATTTGATTAAGCCCAGTATGCCATAGACCATCAATTCATTTTCCACTATTGCGTTTTGTATCTGAGGTGCTACATATTCTAACAATGTTAGTGAAAGTCTCTGTAAATTGCGTGCAAATTACTACCATTCAATTGAATTTCGCCAGAGCTTCTATAGATTGTCAACGTTTCGATATGGTCCAGAATAGGCCCTTCTTTTGCTGGCTCTATCAGTGGTGTGAAATGATACGCTTCGTTCGTTATACGACTAATACAACACAAATTAGTAGTAGTCCAACCGATATATGATCAGTGCTTACAGCTCTAGTTGTTCATATATCATTTATTCAAGCAAGTAAAGAAGAAAGGGGTGATGACGAAGAAAGAAAGAAAATGAAGGAAAGTGCAATGATAAGCTTTAATTTAGACTATTATTTTCCAAGTTTATTCCGTTTAGGTAGTGCTGATGCCAAGGAGTAGGCTTGTATTTCCCGAGCTTTTGAAACTCATTTTATTCATTTGTGAGTGATGATGATGATTGCTTTTGTAGTGGCTGTTGTTGGGTTGGATATTTGCCATATCTCAAATACATGCCATAGCCTTCATATCTTCGTTTGGTGTTGCCACTCCATTCTCGACTTACTTGTACTGAAGCAGCTCTGCGCGGTATGTCGACATAGGTATTGTATACTTGCTGATCTATGCTTGTCGTCTTGATGGCTGCAGGGTATTCCTCTAAAGCGTTTTTATGAACGTAGTTTTGGTATTGTTGAAATTCAGGAAAGTTCTCTATGCTTGCGTAGTTGATCTTATCTCCATGCGACACTGTAAGCTTCTCAATGTTTTTGAATTGTTGGGTATATCTACAAAGATAGTTGTCTTAGATGTGGCTGTCAAACAGCACTGATATGCTAGCATACCTTTTGTACTCCTTAAGTTCAGAGTTGGTGATAGTAGGCTCCAAGTTGCGTTGAGTTATTCCTACAATTGTCCATGAAGGTGCCTTTTCGTTATCGCTCGATTTTGCTTCATCCTCTGGTTCAGTTTTCTCGGGAAACGGCGTTGTATGCGCATGGGTGGAGTTCTTGAGAGCTCGCACAGTAAAAGGACTCATATCCAATGCTTCTGCTTTCGTCAATCTATGAAGTATTTCAGCCATTAAACGCAAGCACCATGTTGTCATTTGTGTACACATACTCTCGCATTTCTTTGGAATGCGCAGATATCTTGAGCGGCCTGTACTTTAATGTGCCATTCATATTATAGGTGAATAAGGTATCCAAGCTTGTCAATTCCTTGTGATTGTAATACTCGACCCAGTAACCTTGGTATAAATCACTTGCATCAGGGTTGGAAGCAGGAACCCGGAAGCGCTTGGGTATCAGAAATAAGGATTCATCCTGCTCATAAATTTTGGTCCTCAATGCTTCTTTCTCGTACCAATAACGGTAACTAGTATGAATTAGAATCACACTATTGCCAAATTCTAATTTGTACTTACTCTCGGCGTACAGCCTTCTCTAATGGATGTTGGTTGTGTAGATGGTAATCAGAGCTTAACTCCCAAAGCATGGGTTGGCCATCTTGAGTGACGAAATTACCCAGGAACAGATTGATGGCATCTTGTTTGTCAGCGTCTGAAAATGCATTTGCATAGAAACGACGGATGGACTCGATCATATCTCGTGGATGACTGGTCCATTGGTTGATCTTTCTATAGGTTTCCATTGTGTTTACCAGATGCGAGCCACCATACTGCAAAGCAATGGTATCGCCATGGTCATGATACATTTCTGTAAAGATATTAACAGCATCTGAATCGAAATCAATCTTAGGAGATGCAATCACGCCCAGCACATACAACTGATGGCCAAGGGCACACTTGCCCATGAGAAATTGCGCAGCATTAGTACGATCAAGGCAATCAATGCAGTTGGTTCTGAGGACACCATGCTGCCTCGATTGCTTCAAGCTACAATAGAGCGATGTTTAGTATGTGCAAAGGTATGACTGTACCACCTTACTTTTGTGCATCTATTCCTATACCACTCTGAAAGAAGCCTGTCGTTTCCATTGTATCATCTGCAATCTTTTCCAAAAATCCAATGACATCCTGGTCATGACTATTAGATGAATCAGTATCTTATACTAAGCATATTTCACAAATGCCACCTTTTGGATGCTCTAGACATGTCCCAAGCAATGTACTTGATCTTCTTGTCATCAGGCAAAAATTGGTTGAGGTATGAAATTGCCTCGGAGAACTCTTTTCCCAGTATAGACTCTCTTTTGGTCTTTTCCTTTTGTTTGATTAGATTGAGAACAATACAGGGAGTTCCGTATCTTTTAAAGAGGTTCTCGAAATGTAGCGCTGCTGCTGAAAAGAACGGATCTACCACATTCACTACAAGATACTTTTAGCAGCGTGCCAGATCAGCAACACAACACTCTCTTACATTCGATGGGCGGCTTTGGTGACATGTTGGTCGTATCCTGTGACCAGATCAGAGGAATAGATCCTCTGTGCTGTACATACGATGTGTATCGAGGATTGCCATACAAATGGTCAGTTGAATGGAACGATGTGGTTGCCATGTCTGTCACAATCTGCTCGGTTTCTACATCATTTGCCACAAAGCCCTTTTCGGAAATGGCGTTAGCTGATTATGCCGTGCTGCTGGTTGTGTCAAGTTACCTTGTCATTCACGCCACGCTTGAGGAATCGGGCTCCTGCAAAGTATCGTGATCTTCGAGCAATCAAAGTGACAACAATGCTTCTTCCAAATACCGAAATTTCTATCACATGAATCAGCACCATGTCATTTGAATAGACAATTTTATCATACTCGCTTGATCCACAAATCCATAAATTAAAGGTAAAATCCATCCTGATCTACTATTCAAGTTCTTGAAACCCGAACTCAGGAGATAGTGGTTCCAAACAAACATGTCGTTATGCAGTAATCCGGGGTCTGCCGTATCTTTCTCTTCGTCTGTGGATGCTGGTTTTGCCAATGGTGGTTGAGTGAGATTGTTTTGTAATGAGTTAGTTATGTCGTAGGTGTAGGAAAAGTAAAAGTTCTTTGCTAGATCAATGTTTTGAAACGTATTCACATAGCGAGCTTCGTCAGAATTCTTATCGATTTTGGCTCCTAAACCAATTGGCACAAGTCGAGTTTCGTCAATGTGATATATGTAGTGCCCTCCTAGAAGAGCTACTTGTCTACGCTTGGTAATAAAAATCATGTACCATCCTTGCGTAAATTTGACAAAACCCACAATGCCATAGATTCGCATCGACGAAAGTTGCAATCCACCCACACTCAAGTTGCCATCTTCAATCATCTTCAAAAGTCGAGACTTCTCATATTCTGTGTATAAGACATCGTCTTCAATTACTACAAGCTCTCTAGGGTTGGTGCGATGTATTTGCAATACTCGGTATTTCTGTCGTGCTTGGTTTGTACCAACAAGATAGTATCTCTATAGTAATGCAAGGATAATAAGTTGTGATTGTCTGGTGCAGTGTAAAGATGCTATGACTTACTGTCTTTGTTTCGTATAGTTGAAACTGACTCATTGTGAAGCGCGGATGTGCCCAGTTCAAAGCTTCTTTTTTCTCTGGTGATGCTTCTGTTGATGTTGCTTGTGTCTTTGCTGCTGTATTCGAATCATTCAGGATACCAGAAGCATAAGTTGCATTTTGTTCGTTTTCATCCTTTTTGGTGTGGTGTTCTGGTAGTTGAGCGTTTAGATACTGATCATTTAAGCATTCCTGATTGTCGTTGAATATCTGTGCGTCTTGATTCATGGTAAAATACGACATACAAGGGAAATAGCAAGAGACAAAGGTCTTACACGCATGGTCAACACACGCATTCAACATTTATCTCAATTTTGAGGCCGACATCTGCAATGATTTCATTCAGAGTCCCACCCGCAAATACGTACGTAGAGTTTGCTGGTAGAGTCAGGAGATGCTTATTAAGTGGGACATGGGATAATAGTAGGCTTCAGGAACTGCGCTCCACTGACACATTTTCATCGGGAGAACAGAACAAGTTATACGTTCAATCAAGCCTACTGATGATCTTTCCCAAAATACTATGGACAACAAAGCGATCATTATCTGGGAGTCAAGCCCTGGTGTTTCTAATCGAGTAGGCATTATGTAAGTGTTGGAAGATCATTTTCGAACAGTAGAAACAGGTTGTGTGCAATATCAAGAGTATAGAAATTCAACACATGCCAAATTAAAATGAAATGGTTTATTTAGTATCAGTGTGTTGTAAAATCTACTTTGATTCCTCAGCATCCTCAGGCTTGTTCTCGGCCTTATCAGATTCTACATTTCGATAAAGATCAGTACAAAAAGCATCACATTATGCTCAAAACAACTACTTACCATCCTGCAAGTCAGAGGTCCACAAAGTCAAGTTGTCTCTTAACAATTGCATGATAAGAGTAGAGTCCTTGTAGGATTCTTCAGAGAGGGTATCAAGTTCAGCAATAGCATCATCAAAAGCTTGCTTGGCGAGATGACAGGCACGATCAGGGGAGTTGAGGATCTCGTAGTAAAAGACAGAGAAGTTAAGGGCAAGACCGAGACGAATAGGGTGAGTAGGGGCTAATTCGGTTTGAGCGACATCAGTAGCGTTCTTGTAGGCATCATGAGCTTCAGTGGCAGCACTCTTGCGAGCATCACCAGTAAGGAACTCGGCAAGATAACGGTGGTAATCACCCTTCATCTTGTAGTAGAAAACCTTGGATTCGCCACCTTGAGCATTGGGGATCAAATCATCGGTCAAAACGTTCAAAATATCTTGACAGACACCTTGAAGTTCGTTTTCAATCTTTTGACGGTAGGCCTTGATCTTCTCGACTTGGCTGGCGTTACCCTTACTCTCTTCTTTTTGTTCAATAGAAGAAACGATTCTCCAAGAAGCACGACGAGCACCAATCACATTCTTATAAGCAACAGACAAAAGGTTACGTTCCTCGACAGTCAATTCAATACCCATCTACATGTTGATTCAATAAGTGTGCGTTCCATCTTTTTCACGCATATGTTTGTATTTACCTTGGCAACTTCCTTGGTGAATTGAACCATTTCTATTTTAAAACACCACTTTTTGTTTCAATAACCTTTGGCTCCATCAACTACAACACGAAACAAAAAACTTACCATCGTAACGTTCAGCTTGCTCGGCAAGCTTAGCCATGTAGACATTGGTTTCGCGTTCCTAAGGGTATCGAGAGATGTATGTCAGCTAAATGAATGATTTTTCAACAGGTATGTGTTCAGGATGAGGAAAACAAGATGAGAAAAACCTCCAGAAAATATTCAGAGGTTTTTCTACATGCAAGATGCTGACGAAATGTCCATGATTTGGACATGAGAAATGGTGTTGAAATACCCAACATAGAGCAAATGTGATCTATACTTACAGTAGCCATAGTATTCAATAATATTATTTATGATATAAAAAGAGAGGATGGAGCAGCTCTACTGAAAAATCTTTTTGTGTGCGAAGCGAGGCAAGAGGGTTACCAAAATAAAAGACGTCATACGAAATGAAGCAAATTCGGTAAAACGTTTTGTTACAATTTTGGATTTTCCTGATCCAACTTTCAATCCACTTGATAACAGAGCATTGAATGCAAAAAAGAAGCCTCCTGATTATGCAGGAAAGCTCAATAGGAGAAAGTAAATGGGCTTCATCAATAATGATTTCATGATCCATTCGACCTGTCAAATCAATCCCGTTGCTATGGAAACAGATGGAAGGTGGTGCCATATTGATTTGCCGCACATTTCTCTCTATTTTAAATAATTGTATTGGCTATATTCAAGTGCCTCTTTAAATTCTCTGATCTACGATGTAGCAATGGCATGTCCCTTCAAATAAATGTGTCTACTGAGCACATCTAAGCCGTTTTCGAACAAAGAAATATTGACATCTGTTTATTAAGCCCTTGAGAATAGCTCAGTTGGGATAAAATAAAGAGATTCGTCGTATATATGAAGAATATAGGGCCAAGTAACTTTTCAGCATTGGAATCCTCCTTTTTTTAAAAAGTAATGATGTGTGCCTTCAGTAGCAATACCACAAATACGAACGATCCCTACTATCAATCATGAGCTGTAATTGCTAGGCACCAACATTTTACCAATGAGCTTCTTTTGTATCATTTTATCGCAAATATCTCGTACTCTAATTTCACATTGCCTTGCATTAATTTTGCAGATATGCCTTTGGATCTGTAGAGCCGTCTGGATGATCAAAGACTCCCCTACAATCCAAACCGTGCTCATCTCTACCTTCAATTTGCACTATATGCGACAGGATCAATGATGTTTTTTATATGCTTTAATTTTATTTGGAACAATAAAAGAAATCTACCAAATTATGTCAAAAAAATGTAGCCAGAGGCCAACAATATACTCTTTGCAACAAGAGAATATACAATTTCTTTAACGGTAAGACTTTTGGAAACGGGCACGAGCACCGGGACCACCGAACTATGAAGAAATCATGTAAGTATACATTGCTCCCATGATGTACCATATAAAATGCCATCCAATTTACCTTCTTGGGTTCACAACGACGGGGATCAGCGACGAGGAGGGTACGGTCATATTGAACGAGGATCTCCTTGATCTCCTTCTTGGCAGCCTCATCGACGAACTTTTGGTAGAAAGCGACGATAGCCTTAGCAAGAGCTTGACGGATAGCATAAACTTGAGAGGTGTGACCTATCCCACAGAAGAGCACATGTCAATATTCTCTACATTCTCTCCCATTTCATTCGCTACTAAATCTATATGAATCATAATACATACCACCACCGTTGACACGAATTCTGATATCAGTGTTGGCAAAACGCTCTTCACCCAAGAGAAGGATAACTTCATAGACCTTGAACTTCAAGATCTCGGGTTCGAGGAGTTCGATGGGGGAACCGTTGATACGGATGAGACCATGACCACGCTTGCAGTGAGCAACAGCAGTGGCGGTTTTCTACAGCATGCTGTTGTATCAATACACCATGTTCCATCTACAGGTATTTCTTTATCCATATGTCTCTGAACTCACCTTACGGCCGAATGTCTGTACAGCTTCCATTTTCGGTACTAGATGTGGATGTAAAATAAACGCTGATTAGATTCTGATGGAGCGATTGTCATGTTGTATGTGTCGATGCGTCAATATTGGATGGATGGATTTACCTTTAGGTTGAGAGAAGGAGCAAAACTGTGGTGCGATTGCTTTTGCTTATTATGTTTGTCCACCGGTCCCAATCCCACATTGAAAGGCCAGCTCAAAAGATGTCGCCTCTTGTAACATGGTATCCGGACCATACTGCCTCGGACAATCACGGGCATGTCAATCTTGTATTCGAAATGAATTCTCATTATTCGAGAAGCTTTACTGGAATTTTTTTTTTTTCATTGCCATGACAATGTTTTGCAAATGTCTTTTCCAAGCCTCTTTTCGATATGTTTCGATTATATCAAGGAGCATACACAAGGCATTGTTTCTTTAGAAGGAGTACCATTCAATCCAATTGTTGAGAACCTGATACAACACTTATTTACATCGGATACTCCGCTCAATTCATCCATTCTATCCGTCATTGCAGAATCTCATTCAAAAGAGCTTCGAAAAGCAGAACTTGCATGGAGCAGCCTCTTGCTGTCGAAAGCAGCCAATCGATCAGCTGTCCCCGCATTAACAGCTATATCAAAGCACTTTCCAAAGTTCATCACATGTTTGAAATTAGGACAAAGCAACATTAGCAATCAGGATATCTTCCTTTTGCGTGGATTTACAAACCTCAAAACACTGCATTTGGGGAAGAATCCCAAAATTACGGACCGTGGGGTGCTTTATCTTACCAGCATCATTTCTGCAGCGCCTTCCATTGGACTACCTTACTTGGAAGATCTACATTTGTGTGATCTACCTGGTATTACCGACAAAAGTTTGAAATTTATTGGCAAAATACCAACGCTTGTGTACATTGATATTTCCAATACCAACATTACAGAACTTGTTGCACTTCGATATCTATCAAAGATAGGATATAAACGTATCACTGAACGTATCACACCATTCGAGATCAAGTCTGCTTTTGACATCTTTGCAAACACTAAATTCTACCGGTTTATCAAAGACCTGGCATATCAGTACGATCAGGGACAGATAACTAGGCCATTGACGGCGGAAAATTTGTCAAATTCGAGCCAGCCAGCACTCCATTTCTCAAGAACACTTACAAAGTATGCTGGTGTTGTCGAGGAGAAGAAACCGCCAGCCAGACTAGGGCCTGCTGCCAAGAAGCAAAAACTGACAACAAATGATTATCTAGCCATGTTTGAACAGGAGATTGCAGACGATGATTAGAATATTGGCATGAAGGATTTGGCATTGAGATCAAAGCGATGACATTTGATAACAAATGGGAAATAAAGGGAATAACATTGTATAGCATCATTGCATAATAAATTTATTATCTCTACACACTTTTAAAGGCTCAAAAAGGAAAGAAGTTGATTTCACAAGTATTGCGGTTTACTGGCATTATTAGATGCAAGACTCCGAAAGATAATAGCATGTATAAGATATTACTATGTAGTTCGCCATCTATTTTCCATCGGCTCCAGAAGCATCTATTATTGCTTTCATGATTAGAAGGGCATTTGAGTTTGCCAGCCAGCCAGCCACACCAGCCAAAGTTAATTCAGACTCAGAACATTGCATCTGCTTTAAATTGGCCACATTTCGTCCCTTTTCGACTTGATCGATCTATTTTGCAAGATTCGACTATGAAAACTGTGATGATCAGCCCGTACTTTCTAATACATTCTTGCAATACTTTTCAAGGCGCTTCCAATGGTGCCAAGCATAATATATGTTTCGACTGAACTTATTGAGTAAATTTCAAAAAATATGAAATGAGGTTTTTGGTCAAAAAGTCGAGATTTTACACCTCAAGACCCCATAAAAGTGATTTTAGGGGTTGCGTAGGATCGAGAGAAACATTTTGAATTAGTATATACCATAGTAAAAGTCATCATTTTGAAGGTGAAAAATGCGATCGTTTGATTTTTGATGAAAACCATGAGGTACCCATCATGCTTTTTGGTCGATTTTGGTCAATGTTTTTTTGGTCCCCAAAAAGTTGAGCGATGGTGTCAGGAAGTTACATCTACTCGAGTACAATTGTTTGGCATTATTCCGGCGGCTCAGAAAGATGTACATGTCAAGATATTAAGGCTTAAAAACTGTAAAATCTGGCTGCGTTTATATATTTGCTAGCATAAAGATGTTTTATTTCACGGAGGTGTTATTATATATAAGTATGCCTACGCTACGGATGGCTCATACCGAAGCAAAGCGAAGGCAAAGAGCCAACCTACACAGCTGCAGCTCGAGCTATCAACTGCCCTTGCTCATTTTATTGAAACACTGCTGCGTTCATTTTAACCCTCTACTTACTACACACAAAAATCGCTCGTATCATTTGTGAATCTGACTCTTATTATGTGATGTTTCACATCCGTATACATGTAAGATACTTCACATACGGGCAAGTGGTATACTGTTGTAATTACTCTTTTCTACTCAAAACTGTGTCTAATACAGCAAAAACTGGGTACATTTAAGCCATAATTTCTCGTGTTAGAAGCCCTTTTGGACCGCCAGAATAGCACCAAGCAATTGCTCTCTCCCAGCGTTTACTTCCTGACACCATCGCTCAACTTTTTGGGGACCAAAAAAACATTGACCAAAACCGACCAAAAAGCATGATGGGTACCTCATGGTTTTCATCAAAAATCAAACGATCACATTTTTCACCTTCAAAATGATGACTTTTACTATGGTATATACTAATTCAAAATGTTTCTCTCGATCCTACGCAACCCCTAAAATCACTTTTATGGGGTCTTGAGGTGTAAAATCTCGACTTTTTGACCAAAAACCTCATTTCATATTTTTTGAAATTTACTCAATAAGTTCAGTCGAAACATATATTATGCTTGGCACCATTGGAAGCGCCTTGAAAAGTATTGCAAGAATGTATTAGAAAGTACGGGCTGATCATCACAGTTTTCATAGTCGAATCTTGCAAAATAGATCGATCAAGTCGAAAAGGGACGAAATGTGGCCAATTTAAAGCAGATGCAATGTTCTGAGTCTGAATTAACTTTGGCTGGTGTGGCTGGCCAAAATGCGTTTTCTGATGGTGGCAATGATGATTGGGATGCTGATTAAATGGGGATGATGAATTTGAGAGGGCCATCGCTTAGCTTGAATACTTTCTTTTGTTTTTGTTGGGCATTTTCATATCTGGCAACACCAGTTAACTTGGCTCATCATCAAAATAAATGTAATTGTAGCTTCCTAATCGTGATTTGCAGCATTTCAACATGACATGTAAGCAGTATGCGTTTGATTAATTCGTTTACAATAATAAAAGACTATTGTCGCTGGCTGATCAAAGGCTATTTTTGTATGCGGTGAGGATATTTTTTTACATTTATATTAGAATATTCATTGGGCATGATGGCTGCAATCTTGTTGGCAGTTGGCAGGTTTTGAGTGCGCCTATCTTCACCAACAAATAGCTCCAATCTTATTTGAGGGTTCAGTCGAATATGAGCATCCTCGTTGATATGGTTTGTTCTTCTTTACTCAGGATCTCATGAGCATGCTTGTAAACGCGAACAAAGGTTTTTTGGACTTGCCAGGTGCTCCATGCTTTAAATTTTATATGTTCTTGATTAATCACCATGACACTTTTTTAAAGCATGTATTTTATTAGATGCTGATAGTTTACAAATTAGGTACGTGTAATGCATGTAGTAGCATATTCACAATGGCAAATGTACCTTCTCCTAGTACAAACCCACTCGCTACAATAATAATTGCGATTTTCCCAATGTCTCTATAGGGTTTGCATACACCTTTGAACCATGTGTCTTGAGATGTCGCTTGATCGTTATCTATATAACTATCCCATAGATGACACAAGATGCCACCAATCACTCTCGCCAGAGTAAAGTTTGGAGGATTGTATATTCCGATCGCAAATGCAATGCCTTGAGGTATCCATTGATGCCATGCAGTCTTCTTGGTCTCTTTCAAATATGTCAAAATAGCAAACAAGACAGAGAATGCGATAACAAACTCAGGTACATGCGGTGGTAAAGGATGTCCGTTTACAAGCCTTGCCATGTCTAACCAAACCTGAGCAGTGGGTGCTGGAAATTCAGGGCCTGGTACATTATAGACAGATGTATATAGTAAATAGGCGCCCGTTGCTACAAATGAGCTTATCAAAGATCCAATGAGTTGACCATAGAATTGAGCTTTTGGTGAAGCATGTAGTAGATAACCAGTTTTCAAGTCTTGCATTAGATCGCCTGCTTGTTGAGCACTTGCCTCGGCAATGCCTCCCGCTACCAAGTTGGCTACAGTTGCCCCAGGCATCATTGCTGATGCTGCAATTTGACTCAATTTTGAGATGCCAGAGACAGGATTGAGGTCTGTTTCTCCCAACGCACGCACGCCCAAGATACTGAGAAACATGGCAAGTATAATAGACACAATCGTCATCCACTCTGGCATGATGTCGCTACCAAACACAATTTTCACCATCACAACACACAGTGCAACTGAACAGAAGAGCCCTACAATGGTAACATGGATCGGTACTTGCTTTTTCGCAGGCAAATCGTCGTCTCGATTTATATGAATACTGTCCAGATCATCATTTTCTGCCCAACTGGCATCCTCATCCGGCTCATCTTGATCATGCAACAGATTTTGGTGTTGTTCCGCGTATCGAGGAACTTCAGAGGAGCATATCGTTACACTTAGTTGTTTTACCAGCACAATCAGCAGTGATACAATGGATTCTGATATCATCACACCGAGCGAAATCCATAAGATCCATCCTTTTGATCCAGACTTCCAATCATTGACTGGCCCTGGCGCCCATTCTGCATAATGTGATATTGGAGACAGAATTCCCCACCCTACGATACACCCTAAAAGCATGGATAACGTCGTTGGAACTCCCTATAAGCTTCATGAGTGAATATCCTGTAACGTTTGGTATGCATGACGTTACTTGCCATGATGATGCCTTGTCCAATGTAACTTAAGCTGGGTGTAAAGTACCACTCCCAAGCCTTAAAGTCGACGTAGTTGAGGGTTATCCAATTGAAGACAGGCAGTGCAGAAAGCAATGGGAAAAAGTAAGATGCCAGAGTATAAATGGAGGACAAGGAGAATGAGTATAGTAAGGCTTTTAGTTTTAGAGACCATAATCGATTGCGTTCATCATCATCTACAAGATCACCCTCTAGGGCATCTTGCCCAAAGGTCTGTAACTGCAATGTGTCACTATCTTGAACCGAGTCGCCCTGTTTTTGATCATGGAGCACTCGGATCATCTGCGCTGTAGCCGTGCCTGAAGGGAATTTGAGTTTCTCTTTGATGATGGTTTGCTTTCGAAGTGGTATAGCGAAAAACACGCCAATAAAGGCCAGACCCAGACTCCAAAGTATAAGCTTCCATGCAGGAAGTATGAGTGGACCACTAGGTAAGTCATCCGTCGTTAATTGGCCCAAAGCAGGCACAATGCCCACAAATCCAGCTGCTAGCGGCATGGTCGCTGTCGCCACAGCTACAGTTTGCAGATAGACATTCTCTTGGGGTCCAAATGAGGCCTGACAAGGCTTGAAGATAGCAAAACCCAACATAGATGCTTGCAACGACATCATGGAGATCCAGCCAGTTTGTAATCCAAAATACATGTTGGAAAAACACATGAGACTTCCTATCATCAAACCTACAAGAGTAGAGCGCACCTTTTATCAGATACAAAGTGAGTAATATGAAACACAATTTGTTAAATTGAGAATATATACCGAATACTCCAAATAGCCATCTGTTTGTCTTGATTCCGTCATCCTAAATGTCTATTGATAACGTTCAACCAGGAGCGCATGAATTTTGCTCTTGAACAAGTATGAGAACTCGTTTTCAATTTTTTTTTTACTGATTACTCTCTGTTGGCGCGCTCTATGAAATAGCCAAATGTCTGGAGTTGGCCGTATACTAAATCTCACCTGGAAACTTGCTTGAGCTGCTTTAGAGCCAATTGTACACCCACTGTCTGTGGATTGCTATGACTAACGAAACTATTACCTATATAGCAGCCCCCTTTGCCTCCTTGTAACAAAGAAAGTGGTGCATATACAACTGTTTGTTTAGACCTGAATGTAAGGCACTCTGCATGAAAATCCAAATGACTACCGAAAGGTCAGATTCCAAACACTGATAAATGAAATGACACATAGAAAGTATACATTTTATTTAAGGATATACGCATAGAGGTATACTATAGAAAGAGAAAGCGAGGTAAAAAGAGGGAAAGAAGGGGTCATTTGTGTCAAGAAGAAAACCTCTCACTCTCTCTCTCTCTCTCTTTTCACTCCTGCTTGATACCATGAACCACTATCATGACGAAGTGGGCTTTTTGTAAGTACCAATACGGCTCACACTTCTTACACTGTTGGCAGAAGAAGCAGCAGCAATACTTCCTGGTGGACGCAAACCACTTGGTCTACTGGCCATAGCCGAAGCAGGTCTATTGTCTTCAGTACCAGCCGATTGATGAGATTGATAACGAGTTGTAGGTGTGATGGATCTCTTTTGTTGTTGCTCTTTGTTGGGAGCAGCAAATATACTGTTTCTAGGTCCACCTGGCGTTGGACTTCGCATACCTATTCGTGATGGTGTTGCGGATGGTCTTCGATGAGGCTGTTGAGGGTGATGTTGCAGTGGCGAACCAGGACGATGTAGAGATTCTCGAACAGAGGGTATGTGGCTCGATCGTTGGGGTATTCTCTTTTGAGTTGCTGTGGGTGTTGTTGGCACACGAAGACCTGATGAAGATGATGAGATGGTTCTTTGTGGCGATGGGGACGATGATGTGTAAGATGCGGGTGCGGGAATGTGAGATGCACGTTTCGCTAGCTGTGAGGCGGTGCGCTGTGTAGATCCCTTCTTGTTGGAAGGGGAGAGTATATATGACGCATTGCTTTTCGCAACATTGCTATCTCTCAGTGTATAGGAACGACTTGGTGTAGGTATGCCACCATTGGCATTGTGGGTGTTGTTTGACGATGAGTTGGTGCGAGGATGAGGTATACCTGAGGTGGTGTTGGATGATGCCGTTGAGTAGTTGCTTTGACGACTCAACGAGCGAGACGATGTGGAGGAGGACTCGGATGGATACGTTACTGGTGTGAGGCCGTATTTTGCGTATTGAGTGATGGTTGATTGCGAAGTCAGGCTATTTTCACTGCTGATACTATCAGATCGTCTGTATCTCGATGCAATATCCGATGAAGGTGTCACTAGTAGACATGAGAACATGTTGGCATCCATGATCGAAGCGTGCGCTTACCTGGCAAAGAGGTTTCCATATGGTTTGCATCTGTATCCGTTGGACTCCAATCCAAATCAATGTTATCTGCAATCGACTATCAAGACACGCCATGAACACCTTATGAATTGCGTATAGTCTATGTAATGTTACCTTGGAAAAGTCATCAAAGCCAGTAGCTAGGTTGCTGATAGTATCACTCTATAAAACAATAGGCATTTGAACGATGCTTTCCTTTTGAACTATGAATAGAACGGTACCTTTTCCATCTTCCAGAAATCATCATTTGAATCATCCAAATCCAGATCAGCAAGATCAGGTAAATCTGTCTCATCATCCATGTCCACTGTGAAATTGGCATTGATAAGTTCGTCCAAATTAACGCTATCTTCTGAAGCAATTGACCCAGGTCTTCCAGATCTATTATTTCGAACATGCTCAATTGGAATACTGTTGAGTGATCCATGAGATGATTGGTTATTTCATTGCCAGACTATGTGTGTGTGTGTGTATGTGTGTGTGTGGGTTACTAGGATGTATATACCTGTTGTTATCTGCATCGACAATGGTAGCAACATGTGGAGACTCTCGGTGGTAAGACTCCACATTCATCAGCCAGCCTTGCACATTGTCTGGTTGATTTGTCGCTTCTTGCTCAACAGGTACCTTGGGCTGTTGCCTGTTACTTGCTCCTCCTGCTCCTGCTCCTGCTCCTGCTCCTGCTGCTCCTCCTCCTTTGAAGCTACTAAAGAAGCGTAAACTGGGTGACTGTGTCATATGGTAAAAGCTGTGGGTATATGTGTGTAGATGTTTCGAGTATGAAATGCGGGTGCTCTCTCACTAGAAAGATAAAATAGAATAAAATAGCTGAAAAAAGGGGGTAGAAAGCAAAAAAAAAAAAAAAAAAAAAAAAAAAAACCAGCGCTTTCTGATAAAAAAAAAAAAAAAAAAAAAAAAAAAGAGATAGCTTGAAAGAGGGCAATAGGGAAACTCGTTGTATCCCGCTTTACGTACGTCATCAAGCGAAACTTGTAACATCTTGCTAAGCTTCTTGTTGTCATGATGGTATAATTGATTGTACGCCTGCATGGAAAAAAGCATTCATCAATGATACATCTTGTACTGATTGCTCTTCTCATCATTTCACATATAAATCAGTGTCCCAATGTCCAACATTTGGCCCTCTTCAGAACCCTCTCTTTATGATTTCATCAGAGATGGCATCGTTGCTTGCTCAGAGCTGTGGGATGAAACCCTGATCTGTGTCAGAATGTCACTGATTTAGGATGCTCTCCATTTTCAGTGCGATCAAGAGCCAACATGTATAGATGCAACCATTTCTTTCGGCATTTCCATAATTGTAGTCGCTGCTCGCCATCTCCACAGAGAAATATCTTTCAGATGGCTCCTATCCAAGCTTCTAGCAGCTAAATACGATGGTAAAGTACCTTCTGGCCAAGACTAATCAACTAGATCATTGGCTGATCCAATGTTTGATAGCTGCATTCATTTGGCTTGCTGTTGAACAGAAGCCAGCGGTAGTCACAAATCAACTGGAGGAAAAAAATCTTCATGATCAAACGATTTACCCTACTCTTTCTCTTCTCTACTTACAATAGTTTATACATAATACACATGTCTGGCAAAGGCAAAAAAGGTGAGATATCACTCATAAAATATGAGTTATTTGAGGCTAACAGAGCGATTAGGAGGACCCTCTCAGGTAGGCCGAACTTGGCATTGCAATCCATGGATTGAAGCTCTTCGATTTGACTAATACAATCCTAAACACAGGCTGAACTCTTGGTGCGTACCTGCTCAGAAATCGTCACTGAACTCGTTGCTGCTGTAGAGGCAGGCAAAGATATCAATTTGAATGGATTAAAGAATAGAGCAGCTCGCAGAAACAAGTTACAACATCAACCTAAACTCGTCGAGATCATTGCTGCAATTCCAGAACAACACAAGGCAGCTTTGCTTCCCAAATTGAAGGCAAAGCCAGTTCGTACTGCCTCAGGTGTAAGTGAAGATGGCTCGGTTCTTTTCAGCTTGCAAGTGTGTATATTGACATGCATGATTTTCATGTGTAGATTGCTGTTGTCGCTGTTATGTGTAAGCCTCATCGATGCCCTCATATTGCAATGACAGGAAACATCTGTGTGTAAGTAGTAAAAGGGGGAAAAGTTGGTTGCGATCCTTGGTGGAGATGCTAAATGAATACATATACACCTAGTTACTGCCCTGGTGGACCTGATTCAGATTTCGAGTATTCAACGCAATCATACACAGGTTACGAACCAACATCCATGCGTGCCATCCGTGCTCGCTACGACCCATACGAACAATCCCGCGGACGTGTAGATCAGCTTCGCAGCTTGGGCCACAGTGTAGATAAAGTTGAATACATCATCATGGGAGGTACATTCATGTCGTTGGCCGAGGAATACAGAAATTGGTTCATCCAGAACTTGCACGACGCCTTGTCAGGCCATTCCAGTAACGATCTCGATGAAGCTGTGCGTTATTCTCAACAAAGTCAGACCAAGTGTATCGGTATTACCATCGAAACTCGCCCTGATTACTGCTTGAAACCTCATCTCAGTCAAATGCTGCGTTATGGATGTACTCGCTTGGAAGTGGGCGTGCAGAGTGTGTATGAAGATGTCGCCAGAGACACTAACCGTGGCCATACTGTCAAGGCAGTGACCGAATGTTTCCAGATGGCTAAGGATGCTGGCTTCAAGGTTGTCTCACATATGATGCCTGACTTGCCAAACGTTGGTATGGAGAGAGATATTGAGCAATTCAAAGAGTATTTCGAGAACCCTGCTTTTAGATCAGATGGTCTCAAGATTTACCCTACCTTGGTGATTCGTGGCACAGGTCTCTATGAATTATGGCGCACAAAACGTTATCAAAACTACACACCCAATGCACTGGTCGATTTGGTAGCTCGTATTCTAGCCATTGTGCCTCCATGGACTCGTATTTACCGTGTGCAGCGTGATATCCCTATGCCACTTGTCTCGTCTGGTGTGGAGCACGGCAATTTGCGTGAATTGGCGTTGAATCGTATGAAGGATTTAGGCACTGAATGTCGTGATGTGCGTACGCGTGAGGTGGGCATCACTGAAATTCATCAAAAGATCAAGCCAGATCAAGTGGAGTTGATTCGTCGTGATTATGTGGCGAACGGCGGTTGGGAGACGTTCTTGTCGTATGAAGATCCTCAGCAAGACATCTTGGTGGGCTTGCTTCGTTTGAGAAAGTGCTCGCCACAGACTTTCCGTCCAGAATTGACGCAAGGCCCTACTTCCATTGTCAGGGAATTGCACGTCTATGGTTCTGTTGTGCCTATGCATGATCGTGATCCTACTAAATTCCAACATCAAGGCTTCGGTACGTTACTGATGGAGGAGGCCGCTCGTATTGCCAAGGAGGAGCACGGCAGTACCAAGTTGAGTGTCATTTCTGGTGTAGGTGTCAGAGATTACTATGCTAAGCTTGGATATTCTTTGGATGGTAAGTGAATTGATGCTTGTAAAAAAAGAAGGGTGTACTAATTAGTTCAATAGGTCCCTACATGTCCAAGATGCTCGACTAGGCTCATTTGTTTTATTTCCAATCTAAAATGTATATATTCTCAATCAATAAAACTATTCGTATATCTGGCTTAAACCTCACTACTGATATCACATCCGAAAAAAGAATTTTTTTTTTTATTTCTTGCGATGAATTAATACTAAAAACGGCTAAATAGCATATATATATTTAATCAAGTAGATCCACTAGAGCTATTTTGTCAAACATAAGCGTGAGTTTTCTATGTTTATCATGCAAACTGGCATTACTCATTTACCTTGGAAAACCAATGAGCCAACCATTGTGCACAATAGCACGATAGCATCTAATTTAGCAAAGGGTAACGCGCACATTGACCAAAGCACAATAGCATTAATGATTCTTGATCCAATGATGATTTTGCCATACAAATCTAATTATGTCTTGGTAAGCATGTACTCTCTTTAACCTCTTATCAGGTGTGCGTACCTGAAATTTTTGTATTGAGTGCTTTAATCAACGAGTTGATGACCAAAATAAGACCGGCAAAGATAAGAAATGTCTTGTAGACAAACACATTTTCAGCCACAGTAATAGTATCTGTAAAGGACCCTTCAGCACCAGCAGCTGTAGGCTCTGATCTACGCATTAAATGATGGCCACTACTGTGTATACTTTCATGATGATCTGGAGATGATGAAATCATTTGCAATGTGCCTGCAACCAGGGATGCTGCCATGTATTTACACCACGTAGTCCAGTGTCCTGTAGCATCGGGCCAGTGGTTGCTGCTTTGTTGCTGTACTTCTTGTTGCTCTCTTATTTGCTGTGCCAGTTTCATAGGATTATAGTCAGCGCTGTCTTGATGAACATAGTCGTTGCTAACCATGAGAATGGCTCGTTTGGCTTTACTGTGTGCTGTTTCTGTAGTCGTGCCATGAGATACAGGAGCGGATTCATGAGCTGATGGGGCTGTCTCAGTGGATGTGCTTTCAGTGCTTCCATGTTCGGCGCCTGAAGCTCCTTGCTCTGTACCAGAAGAGGCAGATGCTGGATGTTCAGAAGTGCTACTGCCCTCACCTGATGTTGTAGCAGTACCATGGTCTCCGCTAGCAGCTGTAGCGCCGTGCTCTCCACCAGAAGCTGTCGCGCCATGCTCTCCTTCAGATACTGCTGCTTCTTCAGGTAACTTATGGTCTCTGGTCAATTGATGTCTGTAAATCTTGAGGCTGCAGAAAAGCTCATGTTAGAATACAGCAATGCTAATCAGCGATTACTTACATATCGATGAGCGAGATACCAAATGCAACTTGACATAAATGAAGAGGAAAGTGAAGATATACCCAAATTTGATGGTATTTGTTGTGCAAAAAGATCTAAGAGATAGGCTTAGCATATATGTTTATTTTTTCACTGCAATCAGCATACCTCCTTGTTGAAATCTTCAAAATACATGAAAAAGAACCCGAAAATGATGAATACAGCCATGAAATTGGGCACACTACAATAAGATTAAACAAACTATGAATACGTCTACAGCAGATATCCGTCTCAACATGTACATACACAATAATCAGATAGTTGCCAGCTACAGATACCAAAGTAACAAGTCCCATCAAATTCTCTCCCAACACAATCAGGGACAGTAAACCGAGTCTTTCAGCCAAATGACTAGCAGCCCACGACAATGTTTTATCGCCACGAACAATGATGTTGACCAAGACTTCAGACAAAACACCCAAATACCAAAGAATACGATGTGTTCCCTTTTCTAGAATAGTGAGTGAGGAGGCCCATAGAGCAATAGAGAGCAGGTTAGCTCCAACATAGAATGCCAAGGCAATGCGGGATTTTGATTTAGCTAGAATTGCAACCACAAACACTACAAGAAAAGAGGCATGAGTTTATAAATAATTCAGGCACTAGACTATAAAAGCTTACCGACAAAGTATTCCACAGCCAAGACACCCTTTAATGCTATAAAAAAGAGTGAGCTGCCATGTATAACTACTTGCTACTGACACAATTTACCTATATACCCATAGACATAGCCTGACGAATTCAAGAAATACTCGGACGAACCTGCCATGCCAACTACAAACAGCATGTTGGTATTATGCTTACATGCTGTAAATTATGTATTACTTACTGACTGCGCACATTTCTATCAACTTGTAAATGTGATGCACAACATCATCGCTATGTACATTATGCATGTGTTAATCTCGGTGTATAGTGTCTATATTTGTGCATCTTACGTATCAAATCTGGAAGTGTATCTACATGTTCATGGTACTAGTCAGTAAAAAAAAAAAAAAAAAAAAAAAAAAAACCTTGTGTGCAACAACATGAGCAATGACTTACAATGAACTAGCACACCAAGCCCACCAGGTAATGATAAACCACTGTGTATACAGGCCCAAAGATGCCCAATCTGTGATATGATGGCTGTGTGTAAATTGTGTCAAAGTGGCCACAAAGAATAAATCATAAAACAGTTCAAGCCAAGAGGCTGCTTTTTCCTCTCCAATGTCAGCACTAAGATCTGGTTCTGGATGCTGAAAGAATGGACGACGAGTGGCTCCAGCTGGCAAGAGCACGTCATGATGGTTGTTTTTTGGCTTGAACTCAATGTACACATTTTCATTAAATTCAATGGTGTGATGCTCGGGGTGGTGCTGGTGTGAATGGTGTTCATTGTGTGCTACTTTGTGATGGATTTTGATGGAAAACTCGCGCTTGATTTTGTACAAAAACTCGGTTAGTCCATCAGTGTCATGAATGCCATTGAATGCGATTCGTTCTTGCTGAGTAAAATTAAGCTATTGTGTAATAATGTCAGTAAAACCTTTTTGCTCATGTAGTACAGCATGTTACTGTGGATCATCTTACTCTTTCACAAAAGTCTGTGGCTGCGTCATGATCCAAAACAAAGCCTTGGTTACCACGCAGTTGTCTGAAATGTAGCACTATTAGAACAGATGAGTAAACCAAGTTTGATGACTCGAGTCATGAACATGTACCAATAGAATATTGAATGATTTCTGAAGGGGCACTATTTTTGATAATAATGAAAATACATACATATTAGCTCGAAAAAGAAAAGGGGGCTGATGGGTGAATGCCAATTTGATATAATTTACCTATTTGAGTATGGTTGCTGATGTTGATGCTCGGCTACTCCTGTCCCTCCTCCTCCTCCTCCTCCTCCTACTGCTGTTCTGCCTCCTTGTCCACTACCTGGAGAATGAAGTGCTGACCATCTGGATGTTCTTGATTTGAAGCTTTCTTTGCGTTTTTGATGAGCATGAAGTTCCTGAACCGGATGCGTTATCAAATCACCAAAAGTCTCTTCGCCATGATGGTACGTTGGCTTGCCGTACTCATCTGTCTCGACCTTTTCACTGCTATCTGTCAAACTGACATCTTCCACGGTATGAAACTGATACTTGTCATCGTCCTCATCCTCATCACTGCTGGTGTTTGTCAAGCCAATCTTTTCCTCTTCGTCAGTAGCACCTTGTTGTGGCACCCGACGCATGCTTCTTCCGATTGCAGGCCTGAATCGACCGCCTCGAAGGGTAGGGCCTCTTCTCACAGAGGCAGAAGATCTAATAGGAGATGCACTGTTGGTAGTACTCATTTAATACAAAGAAAAGGTGATGAACAAATGAAAGAAAGAGATGGATCAAGTTGATTTAATTTGATTAATTTATATAAATATGGGGTTGGATATCCGCCTTTGGTGTCGTCGATCCCTTGATTTTCTAAAATTAGATGGAGACAATCTCTATTTAGAGTTGATTTGCGCTAGTTGCTAAAGAATCATCATTGTTTGTACGCGCTTTCTTGCCTGAAAAAGCGTCATTCGGGTGTTCTGGCTACCCTGATCCATCGAGACCGCAGGATCGATAGACCTGAGAATGTCATTTAAAACCAGATGTCCCAATAAAGATGATGCTTGATACCCTCTAACGCATTTTTAGCGAGTAAAATATGCTAGCGACTAGTACATGTACTTACCAATAGCCATCTGTTTCTCCTAAAAGGCAGTTTCCATACAATAGGCTTTTTACAGGTACTGTCATCAGAGTAAAGACTCATTTTTGGGCAAATCATAAGCCCTGGATATATTTGTACGTATTTAGCAAAAAGGCTTTGGGTGTACCAACATCTACCCCGGGTTGAGGCAAAAATAGCTTTCATAAAACGGCTCTGTCACCTTCCAAATTTGCTACATAATAACAGTGGAACATCTGTGCCAGCATCTCGAAGGATCAGGATTCCAAGTAAATCGATTCACAACTGCCCAAACTACCTGAAGACGACTACAGACTACTGTGGTGTGTATTTTGGGTCATGCTGAGAAGACATCTATAAGAATTTTTGATTCCTCCCCTGAATCATTCAAATTAAAAAACGATAAAGGTAGTGGTATCTCCCTCACGCCAGACACGTAATTGCAAAAAAAAAAAAAAACTTTCAACTACGAAAAACAGAGCGTGATGCCTTTACTGCCCAAATTTGACAACTACAAAGCAGCAGTTAATCAAATTTCAGCAACTAGACGACAGTGTAGTCCGTTTATGGCTAGGTATTGAAATCTTTCTGCTCAAAAGAAACGCCAGCAGAAACGGTACAGTCAAGTATTTCGACACCTACAGCTTTTACCGCACATATCGTTGATAGAGTGCACTTCTAATCAACCATATTTTACAGCAATTAATGGAAGTAGTGTTTATTGTTAAGTTTACGAATAAATATGTAAACTTAATAATCATCCTTCAATCTTCTGGAGGCTTGACGGATAGCCCGGGCAGCTCTCTCTTCAGCATGACGAGCTTGCGCGTAATCCTCAGCTTCAATGCCATCTACAATAGCAGGGAAGACTTGAGAAGAGTAGCCAGTCCAAAGGCCAGGAGCGTAAACCACATGCTTGAACCAGTTGCGGCCTTGGATACCCTCAGGATCAATGAAACCACGTTCAAAGAATGTGAGGCGGTTGTTGGTTCTTGCTAAACGCTTAGCCAAGACTAAAGGAATAGCATCGAGAGACTTGTACTCAGCAAGGCGTTCTTCGAGGCGTTGTCTCTTGTGTTGGAAACGGCGTGTGGTCTTTTGCAGCTTATCAACAGCACTTTCCAGTTCAGGGAAGGTGTGAGGAGCAGCAAATTCAGTGAGTCTATCCACGTATTTGGCCAGTTCAGCACTGTAATCAGTGGGATACAAAGGCAACACAGGTGAATCGGCAAGGCGCAAGGTGAGCAAACCCCAGAGCTTCACAAGGGCCTGATGGTATAAGAACTCTGGATCACCAAACTTTTCCATCCAGTGGAAACTATCATAATTGCTGTGATACACACCATAATCACCCTCAAATCCAATGTGCATGCTGGCGATACCAACATGATCCAAGAAGCCAACAAAGTCGGACCCAGATCCTAATTGACCGATTTCAGGGTATTCATCTTCAGTGAGGTTTTGATCTGCCTTCCATGCGTCGAACACTGATTTGCCAGTATGAGGGTCATAAATCTTGGATGTTACTTCATAGAGAACACGATTCAAGGAGGGGGACGCAAAAGCCCCAAAGTGAGGACCAGAGATAGCAGCATCGACATTAACATAAACAGCGGCTTCTTTATCAAGCCACTCTTTGTTATCCTCGACCCATTCGGTGGAACCAACAAGACCATATTCTTCAGCATCCCAAGATGCTAAAATGATTGTACGTCTAGGGCGCCAGCCAGTCTTTAAGAGCTCACCAAATACACGGGCAAGTTCCATAAGCGAAGCAGATCCTGAAGAGGGGTCGACAGCACCGTATACCCAGGCATCGCGGTGATTGCCGAGAATAATAGCCTTTTCGGGTTCTTTACCTTCGATGCGAGCAATAACGTTCCAAACAGGTGTGATCTTGTTTTCAATGTGGTTTATCAAGATAGCTTCACCTTCAGTAGGGCCGCTAAAGTAATCCACCTCTTCAAGGCCACCAGCCCAATTTTCTTTACCACGTACACCCAAGCTTTGCGTAGCTTTGAGGATTGGCAAAGCATCCTCCCAGGACAAGGGCAAAGATGGGATTTTAGGCAAACCAGGGGCATCCTCTACCTTGATCCGGGTAGCATTTTTGTTGGCAGAGTAGCCAGGCGTCAAGGGATCGCCCGCAAAAAGCGATACGTCGCCTACAGAACCTCTTTGTACTGAGCTTTTGGATCTCCAGGGACCATTGGGGTAGGATTCAGCGGGATTTGATGAGTTGTCCTTGTTCAATGGTCCATCATCGATGGGATCAGAATAGATTAATGCACCCGCACAGCCAAAAGTCTCGGCCGCTCTGACCTTAAGGCCACGCAAGTTGCCACCGTAACGCATAAGAGCAATGGTACCATTTAACTTAATGCCTTGGTTCTTTAGAAACTGAAAATCTTCTAAACGGCCGTAATTTGCATAAACAATGCGACCTTGCGCAGTGCCGTTTTTGGAATAGCCGTGGAAGGCGGGAATCACATTGGGATTCTTGCTAGTTTCGTCTTCGTCCACTGGGTCTTCGGTCAGCTTGGCTTCGAATTGCAAGTGCTTGGGGCCAGAGACAATAGCCAAACGGTGAGAGACGGGATAGTTTAACAGTGGCCAGTAGGTGTCAATCTTGGTTTCCAATCCAAAACTTTCAAATTGGTCGCGAGTCCATTCAGCTTGTTTCTTGTCGTTGGGAGTGCCAGCCAAATGGGCTTCAGAGGTGTATGTCTTTAAATAATCGCGGACGCTCTTGTTTGAAGGTAAATCAAGGAAAATCTTTTCGGCATTTGTTAATCCAGGAGTTGGGGTAGCTGCTAAGGAGCCGAAAAAAAACAGCATGAATACTTCAGCAGATCATGGATTATCCGTCTATTATACTTACAAGGTTTCTTTGCATGATGCTTATTAAACCACAGTCCAACAGTAACTCCCAAGAGAATGAGAGCCAGCACAAGAGCTACAATAGTAGTTACAATGCGGAATGTGGTCTTTCTTGGAGGTTCAACAGTGCCTCTCTCGCGGTTCAATAAGGGAGTGTTTTCATCACGCTCTCCATTCCACTTTCTATCAAACCATTCGCGAGCTTGGTTCCAGCGCTGTTTGATTCCATTTCCATCCCCTTCGTCTGATGGTAATGAGATAGCTCCTGCCATTGTGTTATGTTGTATGATAAGGAGATATCGAAAAGAAGAAGAAACTTGAAATGAAAAATTCGAGACTAAAATATGAACACAACATATTCAGGTTTGTACGTGGTGAGAGATTAGCTCCTCCACTATGAATGCTGAACAAATATGGCAATAAATGCCTTCGTTGATCCTTATTATGCTTCTGTGCGGAGGCTTGGCAAAACTTGGCACTTGGCCCTTCTCAATCTTGCTTGGTTGCTAGCTTACTTTATTTCTTGCTAAGAGCGGTTTATTTTATTTGTGATGCCCTCCATTATTAGCATGGACAATGACGATTGCCGTCATGTACTGTAAATTATATGATCATTGGAAATTTATGCAACTTGGTGAAGTGAACCCCATCCCATTCTACAGCTGGCCATTCTTTTTCCATATTTTGCTTGAGCAGATTAAGATAGTTCGCATTCTACATCTGCCATTAGATTTACATTTCTAGTGCTTTCAGCTGTACAACACCGTTCGAAAATGATTCGTAGCACTAGATCTGACTCCTCTACGAAGCTTCACATCTGTATCTATGGGAACAATACATATATGCACGGATAGCATACTTACATTGTCTCTTATTACTAGGAACTGTGCTACTCACAGCGAAATATGGATGCATTTGAACCGTGTTTTCTCCCGTTGGAAGCGGTTTTAGACCGCCAGAGCAGCACCAAACAGTTGCTCGCATCCAGCGCTTACTTTCTGACACTTTTGCTGAACTTTTTTACGATCGTCGAAAATCGACCAAAAATTCATGAGGGATACCTCATGATTTTCATCGAAAATCAAACGATCGCACTTTTCACGTCAAAAACAAAGACTTTTACTATGGTACATATTAGATCAAAATGATGCTATTGATCTAGAGCAACGCCTGGAATTACTTTTATGAAACCTTCATATGTGAAATCTCGACATATTCGCCAAAAACCTGATTTCACATTTACTGAATTTACTCAATAAATTTACTCAAAACATCTTTTATAAATGACACCATTAGATGCGCCTTGAAAAGTATTCCAGGAAAGCTTAAGAATGTATATGAATATCATCCCAGTTTCTATAGTCGAATCGGTCAAAGTAGTTTAAAGAAGTCGAAAGAGAGCAAAATTCGACCAATTTAGAGCGAAAATTGGTATTCGGAGATTCAATAATCTAGGCATGCCAGAATGCTTTGCATGAAGATAAACGATGATTGCGCCCGTGGTGGTAGGGCGAAGTGGTTAAGCATCCAACATGCCATCTGGATGATCCCGGTTCAAATCTCAGTGAATGCATTTTTGGTGATTGTTTTGACATAGTACTGATGTTCTCGTTTGGTGTTTTGTGCTCTTATCCAGTATCCATATTTTGACGATTCGCATAATTGTATTGGCTCTAGGTGTCGCACCTGATTAGTAATAGATTTCTTTCCCAACTTAGTTCATTATATATCTTATTCCCCATCATTGCAGAAATTGGGGTCCACCAACAGTCTTTTCTTTCCCTCAGTATGACATTTTAAGGACTTTAAATAAAACCTGGAGCTCGACTCCCCTACAAAAAAAAAACAAATAAACGATGATTGCGATGCGCATAAAAAGAAGATGACGAATTAAAGAGCACCATGGACTAGCCTGGCTACCTCTTTTTACTTGTTTTGCCCATGTTTTTCAAAAAAGAGGCTTACTGGCTTCAAAATGCTCATCTAAATGCGAATGCCATTGCCAACTGCCATATGGTCCGCCCTAAACAAAACTTCTTACTTCGAGAGCAAGCTCTCCATTAACTTACTTCAACTAACGATTCATGTTGACGATTAATGTATTCTGGCGTAAAAATATTGAGTATTTAAGCCAGGTTTTGAGTAGGTGATTTACGGCAAGGATAGTGCCATAACTCAAGCTTTGAATAGGTGGGTTGCGATAAGCATAATAAGGCAATACATGCCAACATCTTAAGTAGATATTATAAAAGATTTCAACACATAATCAATAGGTGCTGCTTGACCGAATGCATGCAAAAAAAGAACAAAGGGCTCAATGAAACAACTTTTGGAACGATTCCTTTTGTCTGTGGAGGGTCATTTCATAGAATACAAAATGCGTTTACCAAATAAAAGTAAAGCCGTAGAGCAAATTGGCTGGAAAACAGTTGAACATACTTCATTGCGTTTTTACAGTTACTTTGAGCTTAGGAACGCCATAGTAGAAAATACCGTTTTTGAGGAACAAAACCTCCTCACCAGAATTCACCTAGCAAGGCAAAAATGGCCATAAATCAATGATCAACTCGTTTTCCAAAAAATTTCATGGCTTGAAGTCGATTATCGACGGTCCCAAAAAGGTCGAGGAAAGTTGTCAGAAGACGAATACCAGGGATTGGAGCAAAACTAAATTTTCAGCGCCTTATCAATGTCAAAATGTAGTGCAACATCATTCCTTGATCTGAAAGAATTGACTCGAATCGGTTCCTGAATTCGAGAGCCTTTGTTCATGCATAGTGAAGACCAGATCAGCTGTACCTTTCCAAGCAATGAACTCTTTTATTAAGAAATTCAACTTCTTTTGAGTAGCGTCAACACAGTGGCAGCTTCTACTGCATCTAAGCCCAATGTGTGGTGCACTTCATCCATGATCAAGGTATTCAGATTGATAGAGTGCGGTGATCCTGACGAAGAAGGCGGTGATGCGCTTTCAGACGTTTCATCTTGCACTAGATCAATAATTGCATCTTTCTTGGTTATTTTCTTTTGCTTCTTTTTGACTGGCTGTGGTGGCTCGGTCGACCTGGTGTATTTTCTTTTGCTTCTTGTACTATTTGACTCTGTAGTATTTAGAGGATCCACATTTTCTGTGGTTGCAATAGACGGAGATGCTGCTGTTTCTGTAGCACTGTGGTCGCATAAGATTTTGCCGTGTCTCCATTTCACACCACAGGCATTACACAATGTACCTGGTCCTGCGGGCCCTCTTCGCCACATGGGTGTCGTTTTTCGTGCACAATAGGAACATTTCTTGTCGTTGTTGGTGGTATCTGTGCTTTTTGGACTCGGTTTCTTGGGGGAAGGGGTCTTTGATTTGGTAGATTTGGTTGATGACGATGGTTTGGTCTTGTTTGAATCTTTTTGATTTGGTGGTTCAACTTTTGTGTTCGATTCATCCGCTTCTGGCTCTTGGACTTGCGGTGCGCTTTCTCCATCCTGTACCTTCGATTGTTGCATGCTCCTCTAATTGACATCCATGTAAATGTATGGTTTCGAAATAACATTGCAATACATACCACTTCCATAATGCAACTGTAAGCCTTTTGAAAGTTGGCATCCATCCTGTCCAGTGCTTCTTTGACCGCCCACAGTGAGCCTGGAATTTCCGAAATTCGTAAACTGGCTACATAAGATCCCTTTGAATTCTCTTCTTTTTGTCCAGGCTTGATGCTTGGTTTCTTGATAATACATGCTTTTATATCGTCGCGAACTTCTTTATCTGGAAATTCGATGGCCTTATTATCAAAATAAAACGACATGATGGCCTTGAGGAAATGTGAGCTTCATATTGACCGGCTCAAAATTTTCAAACTCTTACCTCTTGTGGCTCTTTATCACTTAATGTGGTCACCATAGCTTCAACAGGCAACACAAAGTATTCCTTCTCACTAGACCCATAGTTTATGTCGTCTTTATTTTGCAAGCAAAATATGGTCCGTATATATCTCCATTCTCTTTGCGGCGTGTTTATGAGACCATGCCAAACTTCGACGAATTCTGCTTGAACTGAGAAGCGAGAATCTAATGATATAATTGCTCGATCTAACGTTCGATTGCAGTAGCCGCTAGAATTTTCAGGATCGTGCCTCTCAAACATGTTGAGGAAATAATGCCTAGAAAGATGGTTAATTGGATTGCTCCTTATAACTCTGGAGATTCTTGTTTTCAAAACAAGCTATTGATAGCAAATCAAGTACGGTAGAACTTTACCTCGCCGTCTTTATATTGGCTGCTGACTGACCAGCAGGAGGTGTAGTCGTAGACATGACTATAGAGGTATATAGCAAAGTATGGTAAGAAGATAATCAGAAGAAAGGAAATACTGAGACCAAAAACTTTTGGTGTGTCATGGAATGAGATGATGCCTAACAATCCGGCAAAGCATTCAACCGTGGCGAATGCGATAAATTTATTGAGAAATAAAATGCATTTAACCAGATCCACCAGAAAACTTCTTACCAAACATAATCAATTGAAGCTGATCGTAGCCAGAGAGTACACCAGCACCAGCAATGGCACGAAGGATGTTAGCACCTGCACCCTTAAAGAGGGATTTAGTACCTTCTTTGGCAATAATTTCGCGGAAGGCATGGAGAGAAGACTCGTATTTGATAGCGGCACCAGAAGTCATCATCATGCGACGACGAACGGTGTCAATTGGGTAGGATGCTGTTTATATCAAGTCGTGAGCAAATTGATATCACAAGATACTTGGATCTCCCTAAAGTTTGCACTTACCAAGACCCGCACCAGTAGTAACAGCCCAACCAAGCAAAAAAGTAGCCAAGAAGGAAGATTGAAGTTTCTCAGGCATAGCAGGCTTGATAGAATCATACATACCAAAGTAAAGGCCACGATAGACGATAATACCAATACAAGAAATGTTGAAGCCACGATACAAGCCAGCAATACCATCTGTTTTTAACGTCTTTTTGTAGACATCTACCAAACCATTGAATTGACGCTCACCGCCCTTCTTTGCAGATTTGTTGTCGTTGGCGAGACGAGTACGAGCGTAATCCAAAGAATAAACAAACAAAAGAGATGAGGCGCCAGCAAGACCACCTGAAGCCAAGTTACCGGCAAACCAAGCCCAATAGCCATCCTTTTTGTTTCTGTTGAACATGCGTTTAAATTCATCCTTGAAGGCAAAATTCAATGCTTGCGTAGGAAAGTAACGAATGACATTGGCAGTGTTGCCTCTCCACATGGAAATGAGGCCTTCATCCTTGACAGTGCGAGTAAGGCAATCGCCAATACCTTTGTAGGGAGCAGACAAACGGCCTTGCTTAATCATCTCATCTTGGTTTTGAATGAGCAGTTTAATACGCTCAATTGGAGCAGCAGCAGTTTTGGAAACAGCAGCAGAGACACCGCCCATTACGAAATCCTACATCTGTTCAGTCAAAAGGCCCATGGCCAGCAAAGATTCATTACTTACAATGATAAACTTGTTTTGATCAGTAGTCATTTTTTAGATTGTTTTTTTTTTTTTTGAATAAAACGAAAGAAAGAGGGAGGTAAGAAAAAGAAAAGCCTCGATTTTTTTAAACGTTTCAGCATGAAAAATATATCGAGTCAACACCCAGGATCACATATATTCAGGAGAAAATATCTTGTGTGTACCCTATCCCTGATAAATGTGCATCAAGAGATAAACAAAACTCATATGCTATCGAATACCTTGCTTGATAGCAAATAATCTCAATGTGGATCAGCATAATAATGCTTCACAATCAAGATGCCTGTGTAATGCCAGCGATATCAGATAAAAACAACCGCCATATAAATTAAAGGTGCTTGTTTATTACACTATATGAATACGCATGTTGATCCCTTTGTGTCTCAGCACGTTTACAACTGCATCAGTACTAGAGTCATCCAGGGTTCTTCTATAAAACTGCTTGCTGAATGTCATTTAGAGGATATCATACTTGAAACTCAGTAAATCTTGTCCAAGTCAATATCATAGGAGATGTTACAACCACAACTGTGCTTTGCATTTGGATTATCAACAACTTGGAAGGTAGATCCAATCAACTCTTGCACATAATCCACCATAGATCCTCTCAAAAACTGGAGTGATACACTATCGACTACCACTCGAGCACCGTCCTTTTCAAATACTCTAATCAAAAGAGGATGAGTTGCCTACCCCACAAAAATATACCATCCAAAAACCACTTACGTATCATCTTCGTCTAATGTATTGGTCAATTCCATCTTGTTTTGGTATCCATGGCAACCCCCAGAATCAACTAAAATTCTAAGCATTTGTTCGGTATCGTTTTCTCTCTTTTGGATTAGTTGTAATTGCTAGTGTATGTTGATTATTAATACAGTCCTTTTCAACATGCCGGTTAACCTCTTCTTACCTTGACAGCTCTTTCTGTTATATCCAATCCTTCCTGTGTAGAAGCTGGTTTCACAACAACAGACTCGGGTGTAGTTGCGAAATGTCTGATCAGTGTAGGTTGCATCAATCTAGCGGATAGTGACCTTGTGTTGAATGTGGTTTTGGTATGGATGGCTTTAACTGCGCATGCATTTAAAGCTCTTGACTTGGCAGTCGATTGCACACTTGATTTGCATAATTGCATTGAAAGTGCTTTGCTGAATGCACTTCTGAACATTGCGTTGTTTATATTAGATAATGAAGGGTAATTTGGAGAGTAAGAGAGAGGGGGGGGGGGGGGGTTGAAGAAGGAACGGGAAAATCATTTAAGACTTACTTATATATGGAGATTGAAGTTAAAGCGCCCGGCCCGGCTGCACTAGGCATGGCTTTGCATTTGGATCAAATGTTCTCACATTGGTAAGCGACAAGATGGGCTTGCATGAATAGTCAATGTATTAGATGTTATGTGACATGTTGCCTTGACTTATGGGTGGCCAATTCTTGAAAAACAATAGTAGCATTCGGATTCAATGAACCTGGAGAAATTCAAATTAAACCTCTTCCTTAGTAAAGCATTGGCAAATCAAGATCTAGTTGAGGTCTGTGAGTACATTTGACCAGGAGAAACTTTCTGAAATTGCAGATCACCTATCCTTAACCCTCTCCAGTTCGCTTTCCATATATAATTACTTGCTTTTATATCATTGCAATTGTATTCAGAATACAACTCGAAGAGATGTTGGTGGACATTTAACATCCTTGTGGCGAAAGTAAGCTTCTTGTATGATTTGAAGCATGTTTCTTAGCGAGAGAGATTGCTTGAAGAAAACAGCATGTCAGGTCTGTGTGCCTCTAGCATCCCTCGATCAAATTTATCATATATGAGTGATGTAAATCAAAAAACTAGCCAGATAATACGCTATATATAAAAATAGATATATGGCTTATGATGAAAATGCTAAAAACTGAAATTCACCTTCTTTCTTTGCTCTACTTTTTACTTTACAGATGGCTAAATTACCACCAGAGATACTGTCCAAGGTATTTCAAGGCCTTGATTACAAGGACAAGCTTGAGTGTGCTGTCGTATGCCAGGCTTGGTGTGGAACAGCATTGCATTATTTAAACAGCAAACTTCGTCTCAAGACTAGAGAAGATGTTACCAACCTCTTTATGAAACTCTGTGCACTCGAAGGCACCATTGATGGCAGAAGCATTCGCCAACTTTTATTTTCAAGAACTTGGGGAACCAGCCTTGCTTCGGTACAAAAGACAATCTTTATATACATATTAAGCGAATGCAAGCACCTTCAAGTACTGGAATTTGAAGAGGAACATAGTACTGAACTCTATTGTGATTACATGATTCGATACAGAAGCGTTTTACAATTGGGATCTTTACAACGCATCATAGCACCATCAGCAGCAAGATACAGCAGCAGTTACCTGCTTGTAAACTGGGAGTACCGTCAAAGCATCAATCAGTTAGAGTTTGAATTGGTCAAAGATAACCTTGAAGACATCCCTAATGTGGTCGATGTCTATTCCTATATACGTCAGTTCTCCGCACTGCATACACTGATATTGGGATTTCACACTATGGTATGTCTCCACAGCTTATTGTGTGCTTGTCCTCAGTTAGGGTCGCTGCAATTGTACTATGGATGCGTAAGAAATCACCTCAAAATATATCAAGAGCATGAAAAACCTGACCAGCAAAGCAACTTTCATACCAACTTTCAACTCAAGTACTTGGACATTGATGCCCAATATGTCAGCCAAGATTTGTTTAAATACTTGCATGATCATACTGGCATGCTGACCCACTTGTCCATCAATAACAACTCTGCCAACACCGAAACATTTGCTGAAGCATTCACTACACCATTTGTTGTTGACACCACATTACCCATTAGAAGCATGAAGATCAATTACCATCAGGTTATGTCCAATGAAATGATAGCAGGTCTCAATGACAACTTCCATGCTTTAAAGAGAATCGACTTTCACTACTGCAAATTCGGACATATCCTGACTCAAGACAACAACCTTTTACTCAACTTCAATGCACTGCGCTTGGATTACTTGTCAGTTGACTTTACAAGCATCGTTTCTCAGAATACCCTCATCAACTCCATGTGCTTAGTGGTCAAACGCCACAAAAAAGAAACCTTGTTCTATCAAAGAGCGACCAAGTGGAGCCAGCACTTATTTACTAGAAATGAAGCACTTCGCTACACAAGCAGCAATGCGCAAGCTAAAAGAATCGTATCCACTAGCGTTGCAGTTATCACTGTCGAGGCAAAAAAGTTGAATTACATTCGAATGCATTGTAATGGATACCGAGACTTTAGCCAAGTCATTACCTTGGATTAATTGTATAACTGGACGTGGAAAACCGTGAGATCTATCGACTAGATACATGTATAAAATAGCTTGAATAAAATATACTTCTTAGCATGAACTTTTAGCCTTTGTTGTACTTGATTTTAAAGATCAATTTGCCTTGGTTATCAATAAAATGAGATATCCGCAGTATACGCACGCTTCTTGAATGAAAAGGTGTATATGAATACTAGCCGATCTATCTTGCTACGCTCGATGTCGGCGTTGCCCTGTGGGCTCTCGCCAAAGACATTTTAAATCAGATGCAATAAAACTTTGGTATATCAACCAGATTTTAAACAATTTATTATTAGTTAGTAAAAGAAAAAAAAGAATGTTATACTAGAGCCGCCAGGAGGTATCTCCCTCAGCACCCTTTTTGCTTACACTGATATCAAACGAAGCCTATTATTGAGACGATGTGGAGGAAAATTCAAGTTTTATGCAGTATTTGTATATCGCAATTGTCATATCATTCGCAGCTGCTGATGCTCTTAATAAGATGGTGATAAAGCTGATCATAAGTAAATACAGGACTTGTGTAAGATCTACAGCGACTTTTTTGAGATATTGTCATTGCAAAAGATAGCTTCATGAGGCAAATTCCCTCAAGAGAAGTATTTGAGTTAATCAATTGCCCTTTCAATTCCATGAACCCCATTTAATCAGAATCGCAATCATTATTGCCATCAACAGAAAGGCATTTAGGTCAGCCAGCAGCAATGCCACCTGCTAAAATAGATTGAAATTCAGCTTGTTTTTTCTGTTCAAGATTGGACAGATTTTGTCTATTTTCGACTTCTTTAATCTATTCTGTGGTATTCGACTGTATGAACTGTGATTATTACCCTACGCTTCCTAATACAACTTTGGAGCACTTTTTAAGGCGCTTCCAATGGTACTAACTGTAATAAGTGTTCTGAATGAAATTATTGAGCAATTTAATAAAATTTAAAATGAGGTTTTTAGCGAAAATGTCGAAATTTTGCATATGAAAACTTAATTGAAGCGGTTTCAGAAGTTGCTTTGGATCGAGAGAAACATTTTGATCTGATATATACCATAGTAAAAGTCATCATTTTCAAGGTGAAAAATGCGATTGTCTGATTTTTGATGAAAACTTTTTTTTTTTTTTTTTTTTTTGGTGGATAATATTAAAGACTTTGTTAGTAATCTGGCGCCCAATAAAGGCTTTAAATGTATCAAAATACGAGACAAGTGTATGTGAACAAAGTGACTTGCAAGAGAAAACTAGAGTGATAATAACTACATAACAACTATAGACGGAGGGAGATGTTTGTCCCAACACAAACTACCAGGCGAAACCAGACCGGATAGACTTTCAAGATTGTAACTTCAGCGGAGATAGTTTTAATGGCTATCTCTCCGCGCGGGCACCCTTGTGTCTCGATTGCGCAGCTCACGACTGAAACGCTTCAGGTGCGAAAACCACTCTGACAGCGACCCCGAAGGGCATTTTTTTGATGAAAACCATGAGGTACCCCTCATGGTTTTTGGTCGATTTTTGGCCATGTTTTTTAGGTCTTCAAAAAGTTGAGCAAAGGTGTTAGGAAGTTACTACTACTCAGGTACGATTGTTTGGCGTCATTCCGGTGGCTCATAAAGGTCTACATGTCAAGATATGACGGCTTGAAAGCTGTTAAATTTGGTTATGTATTGCTTTTTAGAGTTTATTTACACGGCACAAATCACATCTTTGGTAGCTGCAATTTACTGGAAGGGCAGTTCTGCAGCCTGTGCAGCTTCTAATTCAAGTAGGAGGAATATTGATTTTGGTAAGACTAATTCATACACATTTTGATACGTTATGTTGTTGGTAAGCTTGATAATAATGGAAATGGAAACCCGAATTTGCTGCTTGAATACTACGATTTTGCACCTTCGCTTTGCTGCGATCAAGCCCTCATATAGATCAATGTTATCAAGTGTTGAGTTAGACGCCTGATTACCATGTCTTTGCACTTTTGCTTCGCTACGGTAAAACCCCCCCTATAATTCAATGCTATCAAGTGTTGAATTAGATGCATTATTATGTTCTTGGTGGAGGGGGCTCACCTTCGTCCAGCGTTCAATTCCTTGGAATTATGTGAAAGAATGTGATTGGCTTGTCTTTTTTTTTTTAAAAAAAACATAGTTTTTCAGTATATATATAGTGAAGATACAGTGTTTTTAGAATACTACAAGATGTAAGGCTGCATGTGCATAGCCACCACGTCACTTGTCACGAAATATGTGTAAATGTTTTGCATTCGGCGATGATCAGCATAGATTTGCCTTTTTCAAGATGGATGCGTTGATGTCTTTCACGAGAGACAATCATTATAAACACAATATCTGTAAAATTTAATACAGAAAAGGGGAGAGATGTACTGTGAACACAAATCGAGTGCCACAAAGGCAAAAAGAAAAAAAAGGCTGCAAAATGAAGGGGGGTGGGGATAAAATTAATGGAAATACACAGCTGTTTTCATGATTCGATACATTACATGTACAGAACAATAAATGATGAATTGGTATAATTTACAAAAACGCTGCTTTTATGATCTGAAAGACATAATGATATTACATTCAAGTCTAAAATTAACGCTGTAAAGCAACTACTGCTACAGCAATAACAAATAACACTCCATACAAGATGCACCGCAATGAACCTTTTTACGTGTGCATCATGTAAATAAACTAAAAATATACATGATTATTTGACAATTGTAAATGTACAAAATGTCTCTGCAACAGGGGGGTTCTGTGGTTGTGGGATGTGGGTGCTGTTGCAAGAAAATCCATTTTGATCATGATGATAATAAACAGATCTCTTGTTTTACTCCTTATTTTTTTCTTTCTTTTTAGCTTTCATGATTTGTTTGCACTTTTTCTTCCTTTCTCTTTCCACTTTGAAACCGCAAAAAAAATGAACCAAGAAGAGGATGAACATCAATATAATGATATCTGTTCCAAAGTCAACTTGCTGTCATCCATTCAGCATCAGCAAAAGGAGCTCTCCAAACTGGCAAAGCAATTGCAGTCCGAAAGAGACAGAGAAAAGTACACCAAAGTGATTGAGATGTCTAAAGTCATCCAGTCAAAATTAGACTATCTCCAGCAGGAAAAGAAGCGCTGTGAATTTGATGTGCGTATTGTAAAGACCATCGATCGAAAAAACTCCATGTGGAGTCTACAACATGACAACAGCAGTCATCGCGCGAGTAGCAGTAGTTGTTGCAGCCAAAGTAGCACGAGTGATAATACAACCATAGTAACCAATAATGGCAATGGCAGCCAATGTGGCGATGGCGATGATTTACTGCCCAATGTCTTTTCAGGTACATATTAGGGAGATGGTTTGACGGAGGACGGTTTTTTTAAAATGACATTTCATCATTTGCATTGTTTAGATGCTCCTGCTCGGTACCATACATACAATGGGCATACATATAGAGTAATAGATCGAGTTACATCGCTGCAATTTAAACCCGATTCATATACCACCAACAGAAGATCTTCCACTCCAGATACTCTGTTTGAAAATAAAACAATGTACGTAAAGCCAACATTCAAAAAGAAGCAAATATCGTTCTCTCCCCTGCCGCCAAAACATCACAGTATTGCATGGGAGGACAAAAAAGATGGCGAGGGAGGAGAAGACGAGCAAGAGCTAGAAGAAGAAGAAGAGGAGGAGGAGGAGGGAATCACTCAATCAGCAACCATTCATGTGGCTGTCCGTCGAGATGCTTCTCTTTTCACGATTGAAAAGGCCAAGGATTGTCAGGAAGAAGCTACTATTGAAACAAACAACATGGATAATGAGACTATAGATGAAGCAAATGCAGTGAAATCAGCCAATGCAGGATTGCTTACACCACCAGACTCACCACAAACACAGAGCCAATTTGACAGAGAAATAGGCCCTGAATCCTATCTGGATTTAAGTTTGCATCCGCACATTATACACGTACATAAGGTAAGCTGATATAGAAGATGTGAGGGGGGGGGAGGGCTTATGTTGACAACTGCTACAGAAAACACATTCCAGCCTCAAGGGTTTATTAAAGAGATCGTACCAATTAAACCAATATACCATTACGAAAACCAACTCAATCACACTATCAGCTCCTTCTCAGTCATCCCCTTCTTTTACACTGCCTTTATTGTTACTGTACAAGACGCACAATGCATTCACCGGAAAAGCCAAGCTCTTGCTCAAGATGGTGATTACATCCTTAACAGCCAAATCAACAGAAGTACAAAAGCGATTTGGATTCACATTCATGATCCATCATCAGTATCAACACCAACACCAACAAGACGATGCAAAGTTTGCCCTGGCACCCGATTCACTGGTTAAGGAGGCGCTTGCAACTTGGATCAACTCCCAGAATGAAGAGCACCAACGACAAAGCAGAAGGGATGCATCTACATCGCAAGCTCCTTTCCTGGTAAGTTATTTATATACCAGTGTGTGTGTGTGTGTGTACTTGCATTAACCGAATACTGTAAAATAACAAAACAGCCATTGTTGTCAAAGTCGGATGAAATTCTGAGGGACGGCCGTAAACTGTACGTTGTCTATGATACAAGCTTATTTCCTTCATCACGCTGCTCAATGTAATTTTATTCGTTAATCTAAAGTCTGGAATCCAGTTTGCTGTGCAAATCAAGGCCGGTCAATGCCTCCAACTGCTTTACTGCTTCTTCCGAGTGTCCCATTTTTACCTCTGTTTATTATGTATATATCAATATCATCATCATGGTTATTCATTAAAATCAACTTACGGATCGTATGCATGCCAAGTTTGTTGGCGGATCTGAGGTTCATGCCAATATCGTCCAAAAAGATGGCCTCGCTGGGCTGAATGCCGATCTCTTTACAGGCGTAGTGATAGATTTTTGGGTCCGGTTTTCTATATGCACATACTTGTTGGTCAAGTGAATTGGGCTAGATCCGTAACATGTCTATACCTTAAGCCGATCAAACGAGATTCAATGAAATAATCAAACAATGCTCTCAACTTATTTGCTGCAGATGCGCCCATGGCCTCAGCTTCTTTCAAATCATCTTCGGGAAGATCGAAATTGTTGGTGAGAGCAGCGATAGTGAATTTTCCACTGGCTATATTGAATAGAATGTTTAGCTGGAAGGCTATTGTGTACAATGCCAGGGATTTTACCCTTCAACTTCTCAATAGCAAGGAAAATATGAGGGTCTAATCTTGCTGTTTCTGCCATCATTGTTGTGAAAAGCTCTTTTCCATCCACGGTAATGTCTGGAATAGTCGATGGAACCGCTATATAAAATATCTCATCAGAATATGTTCAACCTTATTTATGCTACTCTTACCTTTTCCGGACTTGGCCAGGTACGCTTTATAATGTTCTTTGTTGGATGGATGCGATAATTGAGAGCCAAAATCCTTGTAAAAATCATGCAATTTGATCTCGCCTCTTTCTAATTTCTAATCAGCACATTCGTGTCAATTTGCCGCATGTGATCTTCCATGTTGTTAACAAATAAACTCACCTGAAATGCACCGTGCTCACCTTGCTGAACACTGCCAACATGAAAACCGAGAATGTGATAAAAAAAAAGAGTATAAATATGCATAGTTTCATGTCATGTAGGGCTTATCTTCTTACATGGCTACATTGATGTAGTTTCTGGGTAGTCCGTTTTGTTGTTCAAAGCGATGAATGCCTGCCATGGGAGATCCAACACACACTCCACCTGTTATTCCAGTGACTGATTAACATGGTTGTTTTGATGAGACACAATGGGCAGATTTACCAATATCGAAAATCACAGCTTTAATAGTCATTTTATTCGAGAACCACAAAAAAAAAGTACAGAACAGGAAATAAAGGAGGCTAACAAACAAGTTTATATATGACGGGATGATAAAAGGGATAATGCTGCTTTTTTTCCCCACATTACTAAGGGGCAATCAATGTTCAGACATGTCTAAATCCCAAAAAGTCTCACGAGAGTCTAATGAGAGTCGTCACGAAGAAAGGCAATTGCCTTGGTCTGTATTGTAGTAGCTTTTAAGGTTTGTCAGCAGCAATTCTGAGCAAATATCTATGCAAGACTTACTTTGAATGATCACTGATGGAAGTAAATGGCACAATTGAATTGGAGCATTTTTCGCTCTCTCGTTCCTTGCTGCAAATATCTATTATTGCATTTAACAAACAGTGAGACGATGAGATGCAACATTAAAGGACGCATTATATGCTTACAAACATTGCCAGGAGAGCTGATCCATGCTTCAACGCCAGGGTGAAGGAAACCAAATGATTGAGGAGGTAGATGAGGAACAACTATGCAACTTGTGAGTTTTCCTCTTCTGATTGATGTGGATCTACGTGTTACTTACCATCCCTTTCATTAACAGAACGATAAAGAGGAATCTTGGTAGAGTCTACATAATAAGCAAACTCTGGGCTTCCAACTCGAGGCATACCATTGGTGAAGATTTTGAGATTTTTGCTAGTGATTCGAGAGTCGCGCTGATAAAGATCCATGCCTGCAAGGAGAGCTTGAGCACCGCCGAGTGAATGACTAGAGATTTGATTTGCTTAGTAATTGTGTCGCTCTCGATTCATGAATGCCTACCCTGTGACAATGATACTGTAGTTGGGAAAAGCTGTTAGCTGTTCTTGCATAGCAGGAAAGTAAGAGCTGATGATCTCATTGTAAGATGTAAGAAACCCTAGGTTTAGTGTTAATGCACCTGCTAATCGACTCTACAATGCAAGCCTACCTTTATGGACTCGGGCGCCTTCTACATTGGGATAGGCTACCTTGTCAAAGCTCAAGTCCTATGAAGAATAAGATGAGCACCTTATGTTTTATCGCCTTTTGATCTACTTACTGTGATTGCATTTCTAAAAGAGCTTGTACCACGAAATACAAGATAAATTGTCTTTTCCTTATCGCTTCTCAACAAAAAGCCATTGGTATCCGATACAAACGAGGTGAATGTCTTGATAATCTTTCCATCAGGTACGTATTGGAGACAGGAGACGCAATTCCATTCATTCTTAGGGACAACATTGCGACAATAGGCGGTGCCTGCAATAGCAGAATACTTTTTAAAATCGTTTATTTGGCTAGTTGTTGCTTGGATCATGACATCGTCACTGCTAGGTTGAATAGGAGGCGCATTCTCAGGAAGGTCCAACGTGTAGCCGCCTACAGTATCAGTATTCAAGGCAGCATCAGATCGTCTTGTCAAGTTGTATTGCTGATCAGGGTTATGTTCATTGTACCATTGTACATTTCTTTCAATATTGGGTGTTTCAACATCATAGCTTTTGCCGGCATTACGAGGTTTACGAGCAGGAACAACACGATCAGGTATCAAAGGAGGGAGACCATCAAACAAGGTAGTATTGGAGGACAAGGAAGCGGAGGGCTTGTTGGCCTCGTTTTTAGCATCCTTGTGTACATTGCTGGAAGTTGAAGCAGCGTCTGTAACATGGATCAAGAGACACGACACAGCCACAAGTAGATTCAACCCTTGAGAGATCAGATAAGTAGAAACCATGGCGAGTGTTTGACGATTCTGCTCCAAAATAACAGTGTTGGTGTTTGTTCTTTATATATATACATACCTTGTTTTGTGTTCCCATTCCCTATATTGATACCACATACCAAAATGCGTTAATCGTAGTAGCACCACTAATGCAATCGCTCATTTTCCATAGAACACAGGTTTCAAATTGCATGTGCTTTCGTTTTGAAATATACACATTCAATAAAAACTTGCATTCAATAATCCTTGGAGGAAGCTCAAGAAACAGAATCTGTATCTTTTTACTAAAAATACCAATCTGCCAGTTAGGCATATAGGGTATACCTAGATTATAACGGGAAAAGATGATGCACATTCCCCCAAGTGAAACATGACAATGCAGGTTCATATTCGAGGCGGATCAAACAATTTGGCTTGAATAAATGTATATATGCAAGTTCCAATTGATTTACTCAATTGAAACCAGATACCATTATATGCCTTGCTGCATATGTCCATACTTCATACCATTTGGCTATTAAGTATATTGATGACTGCATAAATCCAAAATTATCAGTAGGATATTTTGCAAACATTTGACGCGTATAAATACTCTTTGAATGGCAACTTTATCGAATACATGAGCTCTTATGTCGGCATTGTAGCTCATTGATTGCTTTCAAAATTTGACAATAAAGCAGTAAGCTCTGTCGAGTGTATATATTGTGTAACTGCGACATTTTAGCTGCACGTTTTTTTTTTTTCTAAAATAAAGATTGATCTTGCTTGTCAAAAACGTGCATGTAAATAGCATTAACATTCGACAACGTTTATTCATTGAGTCTTCGGAGGGGTTGGAATACTTTGGCGGAATGAAAAAGGCATTCCTTATCAAATAGTGTACGCAATCGATAGGCTTATCTCCTTTCAGCACAGATTAACTAGGCTCCATATGCAAAACATCATATGCAATTTGATCAAAGTGACAATTTTGCACTTCTCAATAACTTTCACATTTAAATGGGCATTTTATGATAGGCAAGCCTATTTTTTGGTAGACCATATGCACTTGAAGTGAAATAAAGTATTAATATTAAGTTATAGTGCTCTTTAATTCGTCATCCCCTTCTTATGCGCATCGCAATCATCGATTATCTTTATGCAAAACATTCTCGCATGCCTAAATTATTGAATCTCCAAATATCAATTTTCGTTCTAGATTGGTCAAATTTTGTTCCCTTTCGACTTCTTTAATCTATTTTGACAATTTATTTTGTAATCTATTTTGTCATCATCTCTTTTGCATGTCAGACACTAGTCAAGTACATCAACGTTCCTCGCAAGCTGACACTGCGGCTCCGCTGTTGTGGACTCATGTGGTTAACTCACGCCGCAAAGGCAACAACAAACAACAGTAATCCATCGTCTCTTTCAATCCCACTATCGTCAAACGACCTGTAACTGAAGCAGCAGTCTCGCAACAGGCCATCAATGGGGATACTTCGCCACCACCTCAGGCGGTTATCCGTCCATTCCTCAAAGGCGTGGAACAGGATTCCGTCTTCATCGATCTGACACCTATCAAGGATCGCAATCTCTTGAACAAGGCTCTTCTTCAATTCAACGAATCCTCCAATGCTGAAGGCATGTATGAAGAATTCCTTGGATACAGGAAACAACCTCGACACTACCTCAACCATGCCTTCTTAGAAACCATGTGGCTGCCCAACAGCGAAGATCGTAAGACTCTCATTGAAGAAGGTATCGTTCTAGAGGATGGCACTTTTGTGAAAGGGTTTGCCTCGTACCATGCTGATGCTACGATTGTGAAACTGACCCTGGAGAATCTCCCTTTCTTGCCTGCCCTTCAGTTGAAGGAGGAAATGGCTGCCCGACTTTCTGCGTTCGGGGATGTCTTGGATCACGGCATCTCGAGAACTGATGGGATCTATCAAGGAGAAGGTTATGCTACTCTTAATCTAACGGTTCCTTCCAGCCCTGGTTATGAATGTCAAGAGTTACATCCCGTTGGGAAATCTTGCCCTGGTCATCGCCATTTGGAGAAACTCAGCCGTGTCATTGTCTGGGATTTGACAGCTTCGGATCAACGAAAAGTTTTACTCCAATGGGATCAAATGCCGGCTTTCTGTCGTAATTGTCAGAGCTCTGAACACCGTCGGGCTGATTGTCCTGACTACAAGAAGTGGGTTCGCTGCCACCATTGCAATGAAACTGGACATGTGGTGAAGAACTGCAGTCGCAATGACAGCCCAAACAAGGTCCGTGCGGTGGAAAACACTCCTGCCAAACCCCGAAAGGGCTCTCAGGTGGCCAAAGAGGGTAAACAGGGTACTCAAGGTGGCTCCAAAGTAACTCTTGGTGGTGCTCCAGTTGGAAACAAAGGTGGTGCCCAAGGAAAAGGCCAAGACGTTGCATCTAGTGGTCCCCAAGGTGATTCCGATAATCGAACTGCTGCTACCCAGCAAGGTAGCTCTCAAGGTGACGCTGATAGTCAAACAGGTGCTAGAAAGCAGGTAGTGGATAAAGATGTTCAAATGGATGATCTCCCAGAACTCCAAGTTAAAGAAGTCATGGGAAAGAGGCTTCCAATGATATTGTCATGTACGACTCTTCTATCCATTCTGCTAATGAACGAGAGGAGCGCCCTGAACGCCCTGCGAAGAAGATTGGTAAATTTAATGGCGCGGATGATGTTAGTTCTGTCAAACAACAAGCTGCATTTAATGAAGTAGAGACTGGACATCAACTCGGCTTGACAGGCCCTCCTTCACCTCCCCAACATTAATATGATTAACCAGCAAAATACAGTGAAAATAGCCACCCTCAATTGCCGTGGCCTAAAAAAAACAGATAACACCAAAAAAAGACAACAATTAATGATATCTTCGAACATTAGGATATGACATCTTAGTGCTTCAAGAAACACATGCAACAGACAACACATTTATAGACATACTCAACACTCAATTTACTTGCAAGTCGAGTCTTTGGACTCAACATTGCGGCATCATTTCCCTCAACACTCATTACACACTCAAACACATCTCAGAAGGCATTGATGGAGGTCGATTTATCTTGGCTTCCCTTCATCTTACTCGAGACTTGGAAACTTCACCCAATTCACCACCAATAGCAACAATACTTAATATTTACGGTCGTGCGTCCGCTCACACCGACCGATCAGCATTCTATTCAGAACTCATTGACACACAAATTGTCAAAGATACTATTACTAATACAACAAGAACCACCTTTATCATGGGAGACTTCAACTACCAGTACAAGGATTGTCGAGTCGATGGCACCCTCATCAGTGCACCAGTAGAGTGGACCGATCTACTTGATGACTACTTTATTGACGTTTTTGGGGATGATAAACATAACACTTGAAAGTCTCTTCCAACTTGATCAGTCGACAACAGCTTGGTTTCATTCCTGGTCGATTCATTGCTGAAAACGGAATGATCTGCCAGCTGCTAATGGAAGATGCTCAACGGAAATGGTCCATCGCTGAACAACAGGAAAATGATCCTACCTTTAGAACCTTGGATTCTGATATTGGTCTTCTTCTGGACCAAGAAAAGGCATACGATCGGGTGAACCTGGAATATTTGATGAAGGTATTGGGGAAATTTGGGTTTCCTCGTCCTCTTATCAAGTGTATCTCCAAATTGATGGGTGACAACCTCATACGTATCAACATCAATGGTCATTTGTCAACTGAAGTGGCGAAACTTCGTGGATTAAAGCAGGGGGGATCCTCTCTCTCCTGTACTGTCCAACTTGGCATTTGAACCTTTTCTGCTTGCAATCCTGCATGATCGTCAATTTCAAGGCTACTTGATGGGTACCGAACGAACAAAACTCCTGTGCTATGCTGACGACGCTTTGGTGTTTATCCATGACTCCAATGATTTGACTTGGTTACAGCTCCATATGGCTCGTTACTGTGCTGCCTCCAACGCCAAGTTCAATAATGCCTAGGTGGAAGCATTTTCAGTGTCTGGTCGGGATACGAGGGATATGTGGGAGGGTCCATTATCTCAAATGGGCATCACACATCTCCATTCTGTTGAGGACGATGAACCATTGACCTATTTACGATTTCCTCTCGTCCAAAGTAGGATACAACGTGTTCATTTTATGGGTGCTTTGGTAACCAAGATCAAAACTGCCATCCAGATGCATTCTGATCGCTCCTTGTCGGTCGTTGGAAAGGCTACAGTGCTGAACTCTCTTTTGCTGTCCAAGCTATGGTACATCCTGCGTGTTACGCCTTTGACTCAAGCTGATTTCAAGCAGCTGCGCTCTCTGGCTATTCAGTTCTTGAGAAGAAACATCTTCCCCGTCATCCCTTGGAAGGTGTGGACTCTACCAAAGGAAAAGGGTGGTCTCGGTGTTGTAGACATCCAAATACAAGCTTCGGCTTTGTATTTTCGTTGGCTCCACCCACTACTGGTTCAAGATCAAGATGTCATTGATTCCCATCCTGTGTCGTACCTCTTAAGCTACCACATCCGCAATGTCAATGGTTATCCCTATCATCAAATCCCGCTGCTATTTCCCTCTGCTCGGCGCACCAAGGGGTTGAAAAAGCAACGCACGGGAACTGTCGATATGTTATATCGTGCAGTTGACTACCTTCCCAAGTCGTTTGATGCGGCTCCGATCAATACTGCAACTGCCATGGCTCTTCCATTGCAGGCGGCTTTCTATGTTCCTCCAACCTCCTCAATAGTTGTTCCTCTTAAAGTCAAAGCGATGATGGTTTCTGATGTCTTTCAATACGATGCTCGGCTTAACTTTGTACACTGGAAAGACGCTCGTGACCCTTCCCTCCTCAGTTGGAAGCGAGCTCCCTCAACAGTGTTCAGAGGCCTCGCATCTGGCACTCTTAAATTCCAGCCCTACTTCCTCCCAGTGTGTAACCCAGCCCCTCTTGTAGATCCTGGAGTCTCTTTTGCGCCGCTGGTGGATCAATTTAGTCTGCACGATGGCCAATCTCTTGGATACGCTCAGGCTTCGGCCAAAACATTTCGTCTGTCTGTACTGTCGTCGGTGGAACAACCCTTGGTCTTGCAGAATGTCTCTGCTGCTAATTGGAAATGCTTTTGGTCCCTATCTCTTATCTACATTCAACGTAATGTGATATACCGGTTCATCGCAGGCTGTATCCCTTCTAGAAGCAGATTACACTACATGATGCCTGCAGTCTTCGAGTCTCACAATTGTCCTGTCTGCTTGTCTCCCAATGAAACCGCCAGCCACCTGCTCTTTGACTGTACATCCAAAGTAAAGGTATGGCAAGTCGTCATTTTCGAATTCCTTTGGCCCACCTCGACTATCACTGACATCAAAGAGGCTCTTCTGTCCCTGGACTTTTCGGATATCTGGTACTCCAAAGTCAAAGGCATCCGTCCATACAGAGCCCTACTCATCACCCTGTCTCAAATATGGCTAGCCCATATGCGCTTTGTGTTTGACAACATCATCTTTGTCCCTGAGGCGATTCTGGAGAATATCCCTTCCACTGTTCGCCAGACAGTGGAAGAGGACCAAATCCATTCCCTCTTGTAGTTAGATAGTTTAGATAGTTCTTTATATTAGATTAATTAGCATTTTATGTTCTTATAGTATTTCTTCTCAATTGCACCCGCCTCTTCACTTCGACCCATTACTCCTAGTGTACGCGGCTCAATCAATAAACAATTTTTTTTTTTTTAAAAAAAATCTATTTTGACTGATTCGACTATATAAACTGTGATTATTACCCTACGCTTCCTAATACAACTTTGGAGCACTTTTCAAGGCGCTTCCAATGGTGCTAACTGTAATAAGTGTTCTGAATGAAATTATTGAGCAATTTAATAAAATTTAAAATGAGGTTTTTAGCGAAAATATCGAAATTTTGCATATGAAAACTTAATTGAAGCGGTTTTAGAAGTTGCTTTGGATTGAGAGAAACATTTTGATCTGATATATACCATAGCAAAAGTCATCATTTTCAAGGTGAAAAATGCGATTGTCTGATTTTTGATGAAGACCATGAGGTACTTTTTTTTTTAAAAAAAAATTGTTTTTATTGATTGCTCCGTGTAAGTAGGTCCCTAGGGCACTACCAAGAGGCGGGCGCAATTGATATGATATTCAATTATATTTAGGATAAAGCGATAGATGACAGGAACAGATGATAGATGACAATTGTAGGGCGTCATTCCGGTAGCTCATAAAGGTCTACATGTCAAGATATGAAGGCTTGAAAGCTGTTAAATTTGGTTATGTATTGCTTTATAGAGTCTATTTACACGGCACAAATCACATCTTTGACAGTAAAATTCCAATATACCACATCAATAATGTTGCTGAAGCGAAATAATTCAAGGCAAATGCTTGTAAAAGGGTATTTATCATCAATTAATTAATTAAGTATTTAGTTTTACACAGATTAGAGATTATTAGGCTAACACACATATTGCTTCTTAAGGTAAAGATGGAGGAGATCTAGAGTGGCGATAGGAAGACGCATCTTCATGGATAATTGGCTTCGAATTGAATGGGTCTTCGGATAAAGGTCTCCCAAACATTGGTGGAGATGGCAGTTTGTACTGCATTGATGTTGGAGGATACCGGTTATGGAGATGAGGAGGTGGTAATGGCCTATTGTGCTGGATTTGACCATGATCGTCGCTGATGGCTGGTGGGGGTGGTGGTTGCAGACGATGCTGGTAGTCTCTATCAGTATTCTCATTGTGTGATTGCCGCAATGCCTGTCCAATATATCTACTACGTTCCTCGTAGTTGGGAACTTTTGAGACGGCATCGAAAATGTCATCAGCAGGATGTGGCTGCTCGAAATTCTTATACATATGCAGAGATGACGGTGTTTCTATTGATTCCTCTTGAGAAGATACAGACTCTGCCGAGCTTGTACTATTCTTGGCAGTATCATGTGGCGGTAAGGAAGAGGATGGCGTTGGCGCGAATGCTGCTGTATGCTGCTGTCGAGTTGTGGAGGAGGAAGAGGGCAATGATGAACTCAGCATTAAAATTGTTCTTGCCGCAGCTTCATCTTCAATCAATTCATTTTTCTTTTGCTCTCGGATCCTCTTCTGCTTTCTCCACGAATTTTGTGTTGGTGTCATTGCTGATAGTAATAATCGCTTCACTCGACGAGAATGAGGTGACGAAGAAGCAGGTGTAGGTGGAAATTCTGATGGCAAAGGACGTCGGGGTTGACGGGGCGAACACAAAAAGGCACGCTCAATCTGCTGCAGGCCTTCTGTTGACATGCCTGTCTCCAGTTTTATCTGTGCATACTGTAGCCTCGCTTTTAAAAGCTTTGCTACCTATTTTAATGCTTAATAAACTGATATTTGGTAATAAAAGCTAGGGTGCTTACATCAGCAATATTACTAGTGTCAATTGTTGCTCTTGAAGATTTGGAGCGGTTATCTTTCGTGCGATTCGAATCATAATTATATAACTCTCTTGGTGGAGTAATATTGTATACTCTTTCAGATGACATATATGTAAAAATAGAGAAAAAAGAGAAAAGAAAAAGTATTACAAAGCCAAACAGTGATGAGAAGGAAGACGCTGTTAATTCCGGTTTGCAATTTAGGCGCTTTTTCTATCATCCACATAAGAAATGTCATTTCAGACCGTAGTTTCAATGGAACAATTGGGCATGTTTCTTCAACTAGTTTAGGGAATGGTTTTTTATTGCTGCTGTGCACTGTCAACGCCCAAAATCCACCACAAAATAGCCTCATAAACAAAGATGAACTGCCTTAACGTCTGAACCATACAAATCCTTTGCTCTCGAAATTTCGACACAGTTTGGTATATTAGATCTATTTCTCCCGTTCTCTCCTCTTTAGTAAGATGATTTGTATTGCTCAATCGTTGGATCACAGTGTCAATGGCACAGAAGGCTCCTGTTCGTCCGCATCCTGCTGAGCAATGCACTATCATTAGCCCATCATCAACATTCTGCTCTTTTTGCTGCTTGAGTTTTGCTTGCGATTTCTGAGCCAATTCAACGAGCTTCAGAGCACCCAATGGGTCGTCTGGTACCCCCATAGTCTTGCCATCCTCTGTAATGAAGATGGTGAATGACCCTGGATTCCTGGGCGCCCCTTCTTACTTTAAATATCCTTAACGCAATACCATCTTCGAGCTCATGTTGTGATCGTATTGTCGATGAAGGCAAATACTCCCTTTCTGATACAAATTCGACCGCAATGGAGTCAAATACCTTGATCTTTTCTGCTTTTGTTGGCCAATAGCGATGGCATTTTATCTAAAGAGCATGCTATATGGGTGAGTACGTCTCTGTTATAAAACTTTTGCTACTAACTCTGTTCATCTCTTCTTCTTTTGTAAGCATGACAATGACACTACAACCTTCATCCCATACAACTGTCCAAAAATCATCAAAGGTAACCGGCAGTGGGCCCTGGGTTGATATGTATCTTGGATAGCGTCTGTTTGTACTGCAGGCGTCATTTTGCTCCTGCAAACTAAGTAGGGTAGGCACCTGGCTTGAAGAAGAAGAAGCTAAAACTGTATCGACATCACTGTATTGGATATAGTTTGCATTGATATAATCGTTTGTCTTGTTGCGTAACTTGACTCTAGTATATTCGTATAGAACTACAGTTACTATTATACTACTCTCCTGTTTTATTCAAGACAAAGTGAAATGAATTGCAGTGTACACATACCAAATGGCCAAATGCGATTATATCGATTCAATGCTCCTTTCTCCATAGCAGCAACTATGCTGAAAGGATGATCCAGGAAGCTATCTTTTACTTGAGAATGATGCGCAATGACACCTTTTAATCGCTTTTGCTCGGAATTTTCAATCTGCTGTGAGTACAAATACACTGAGAGTCAATTTATGTCGAAGCTCTGTCATGGTCATGAACATACCTCATACCATTTAGCCATTAATTCTTGTCCCGTATCCGGTGCTAGACATCTTTGCAGCCAAGGTGGTAGTGTATACCTATTAGGCATGCCTGCGCATTGACGCAATGGTTGGACCTTGCCATTGAGTTTAACTGATCCCTTTTTTGATTCATATTGCATTCCCTCTGGAAATCGAATTGGAATTCTTTCTTTGGTGTCTCTTGAACTCAACTCCATGTTTTGCCTTAAATGCAAGGAAAGCGGATTGAACGCTTGACTGGCAAATATGGATTTGGGAACTATCAGTTATGGGTATTCGAGAACGACTTCCCAGGTGTAACCCATCAACTGGACGTCGCTTAATTCGCTTGTTCTTGTTAGTCAGAGGCTCTACGACAACAGGTGCAATGCCAGGCATATCTGGTGTTGATGGAATGGGAGACATTGTCTTTGATCTTTCGGATGCCAGAGTGTTTGGTCCCTTGCCAATGCGATTTTCTGTGGATTTATTCGTAAAATTACTCATACTTGCCACAGATGTAAAGTTCAGCGATCAAAAAATGACAGTAATTGTGATTGTAGGGTATAGAAATAAGTTATTAAAAAATATACTTATCAATGTGGCACCGAACAAGATGGACAGGGTGGTCTTGTTCAATTTACAGGAGACATAACCGAGATCAGAATGGAAAAAAATCCGATTCAAGATCAAACCGATATAAACAAACACTTGCAATTCTCAATTGAAAACTGCCATTGTCTAGAAGCCTTGTAATGCACATTGGTTGATTGCCGTAGAGGATAACGCGTAGCATCAATTTTGTTGCATTTGTTTGATTCTAACGGTAATTAAAGCAATGATTTTAGCCGCTTATGTTTAGCTTCGAAGCACCACCATTCTAAATTACTTTTTTTAAAAAACTGACAGCGTTTATTTGTAAAACAATATTTGATTCACTGAAGAAAAAATATAGGCACCTGCTAAATTACCACTACATGACTCTCGGTCATGTATATCCAAGACAACTATTACAAATGATTATAACAATTTGAGTATGATACCAGAGAAATTAATTGCAACAGAAGGAGTAGCCATCATGTATGCAAATCACCAGGTCGAGTTTCCCTTGCAATTATCAAGCTTGCCATAAACACGATTTGTATTATCAGAAGAAGCTTAAATGGCGGAAATGCAATAACCATATCGGAATACACAATTCTATAGTTTTTTTGATCTGGGTAAATCAGGTGTCATTTTTTTTTGAAGCTTCAAGATACTTTACATCACTTCCAAAGTCAAAGGACGCAAAATGCAAAGTCGAACGAGTAATCTCTTGACGAGAATATGTACAGCCCACTTTTATATTGACCTTGAAAGCGAAAAGTATACGAAAAGTGCTGGCTATATTGACTGATGCCTGCCTAAAACTTCATTGAATGTATAGGTGGGAACAAGGTAGGTCTTTTGATATTCATCGCGATATTTCGGAATGAGCACGTTACATGATATGTATATGATCGCGATCATGTACATGCCATATTGTTTTAATAGTACACATATTAATATTAATACATCTATTAATACATTAATGCTTTGTCGTCGATGTAAACCTATATAAAGCGTTTCTAGTGCTTGTTTTTTTTTGTTTTTTGTAACGAGCTAAGTATGCATGTAACGTTCTACACGCATGATTACATACATGATATCCAACGTATTTTTGATAATAGCACATATGCCGTTATCATCAAACCCTTTCACTCGGATGGGCATATGTAAACAGAACGCTCTTGCCCGTCAAATGATGTAATGAATACCCTCTCTTTTTCATACGCATGGACCCTGCTCTTGTGGTTTGATCGGAGAGTCATTCTCTATCATCTGCCTTCTGTATTGATCTTTAACTCGATAAAGCCGCATGGTCGAGATGGAAAACTTGCCGCTCAGAGAAAATTCCCAATCATGCGATGCAGATATCACGATGATCTCCCTTGTCAACTGTATCATAAAGACTCTATTTTGACAGCGGTAACATCAGCAGATAGAGAAACATTGCTCCACATTGTTTCATATTCATTTATTCACGTTTGTGTTTCGGTAAAAGGGTGCATGTACACAAAATTCTCTATTGCGTTTAATAAAACGCAAGGGAGGGAGAGCAGCAAAAAATAGATTTGAGTAGATCCAGAAGATTTCCATTTGAGTTGGCATCTCCGTCTGATTTCTAAAAGCTTCCACATGTCTAGATGAACGCACAACTTTCAATTAAGATATCAAAGCAGGGAGAACGGGATGTAGCGCACTGATGAGCATTGAATCAAGAAAAAAAAAACCGTTAGATCAGTTATACAGGCAAACAGAGGCTTAACAGATACAAGACCATACGAGTAGTGTAATACAAACATATGGGATTTTGCTCTAAATGTTATTTTGATTACAACTTCCCGACTGCTCCTTTTGCACACACACACACACACACACACACACTGTTGCATTATAAATTGATGGCCCTGTGTACATGTCAACATGATTCACCAACAAATCAATTAATTGCTCGCCGATAATTTGTACCACTGCAACATTCAAAGTTCGATACTAGGCTAAACTTGGCTTGCTATGTGTGCACATTTGGTAGTACAACTTTTTCCAAACAAGTGGCTCATGCATTTTTTAGAAGTTATGGATTACTATATTTTTTATAACGACTAGAGTGAAACAAAGCTAATCCAAATACTAAATTCAGTAATGTATGTGATGGGATTTCAATTAGTTTTTCACGAATAATGTAGCCAGATTGTGAACATCCTCGGTCTAAACTATGATGGAATTTCGAGACGAAAAATTGGACATTGTAATTAATGAAACGCAGTGCTATTCTAGATTGTCATTCGCACGGTAAAAATTTAAGGGTATTTGGCTCCAGTCAATAGAAATGTTAGATTGCAGAAATCAAGAAATGCTACACCATATGATCTGTCACACGTCTAGAAGCATGTTGTTGCATCTTTTTTCCTCATCTGTAATAAGTAAGGTAGGAAACACATTGGCGAGTATGGATGGACGAACAAAACCTTAAACCACTGGCAACCGCGCACATTTTGTACATGAATTCTGACAGGATAATGCAGATATCATTACCAAGTTTTTCGTAATCATGATTCTGGACAATTGCAGAGTTTGCATATCTATAGCAGAACATATAAGCAGTAATAGTTGCTGCAGTGTAACCCGAATCGCAATGAATGGCAAAATCTGTCAAGAAGCTTTGTACATTGCAACCTGGAAAAGTTCTTATCTAACCGGATGAAACAACAGCAATTAACAAGAAATGGGCCGTGTCTAAAGAGGATGGTTCGGCTGATATCTCCTTTTTTGATGGTTTAATTCGTTTCAAAAACAAGAACTCAACCGCAACCCTTACCACTGGTATTTGTAATTCCATTGAACTATCTTGTTTTGGCCAATGATAATGGCATTATATAAAATTTCTCTTGTAACACGCCACAACCAAACTTGAAGAGGGTAAAGAAGCGATCAAGCTTGATAAAGACCAAAAAGAATGGACTGGACCTCTGAGCATTAGTAATAAATCCAAACTCCATGCATACATGCATTTGTAAACATGCCATTTTTCATTTGGGCTAAAATTATGTGTACGCTTAATTAATTGCGAAGAGATGATGATGAAGAGAGTAACACTTTGACATGGTTTTAGAATGCTCAATCCTGGAAAGGGGATGACATTAAAGGGGTTGTGCTGGTAACAAGAAACAAGAACAGTTTCAATATCATTTGTTTAAGATATTTGGCACATTTGATCTGGTCAGAGATTATTCTCAACTAAAAAAAAAAAAAAGAAAAAAGAAAAAAAAAAGATAGCGGGTATCTTTCCCACTATGTCAGCCAGACATCTGTGCATGCAGCAAGGAACCAGTGAGCCTCAATGATTAGATCAATGACAAATACAGCCTAGTGTCATTTTGACATGGCAGGAATAAAAGGACAAAATTTACTTTTTCAGTGAGACAAATATCTCATCACATCAAGCTTTAAAAGTCAATCCAGCAGATGGGATGTTTACTAATATAGGCATATCAATGTATGGCCATAGAAAAGGAATACAGTTTACTCATTTGTTGCTGTATCTCAGGCATATCAAAGATGAAATGCGGTGACATTAGTGCAAAAGTAAATCGAGTGGTTGACGATGCTGCTAACTTTATCTAGCACTTCAATTGAATGCGGTGGTTCAATGAAGCCGTTGTGAGCGTATCCGAAGCCGGCTAAATGAAGTGAAAATGGCATCATACCTTGATTTCTCTGATTTGGTGCGAATTTCAGGCGAGAGCGTATGGACAAGAGTAAGCTCTATTAAAATAATACGCAAAACCAAAAAGAATCAAGATGGAACAAACAAAGAACAATGCATCAAGTACATTGTACAAACACGTACTGTGTGTTTAAGGCACCAGATGTTTCAAGCAACATTGAAGGCAGCAGGGCAGGGATGATTTGATACAATAGCAATGGATAGTAAGGAGAATCCCGGGATACATGCCCGTTGCGATGAAGCCAATATAAGATGACTGCCAGTCAAATGGCATTGATTTTATTTTCTCAATACGATATACATCAAATCTTGTAGATATATCCATGTCTCGTCTCAAGATGTACAACAAAACGTTGATTAATTAGTTTCATCCTTGTGTGCCCCAGATGTTGCTTTACCAGAGGCTGTTGAATTTAGCAAAATTTTGCGTGTGTGCAATGTTGCAATAGGCGATTAAATCAATCAGTCAACTCAGAATCATGTGGCTAAAATATGAAACTTGCACAATAGCCCGCTAAAAAGCGGCATGAAGGTTACGAAGAAGAAGAAGAAGAAGAAGAAAAAAGTTTTTTTCATAACTGGGCAGATCCCGAAATTAGTAAAGTCAAGAAAAAAAAAAAAAAAAAAAAAAAAAAAAAAAAAAAAAAAAAACTGTATATATATATATAGCAGCAAGATTTTTTCATTTCACAAGAAAACTTTCTTTTTTTTTTTTCTCTCTCTCTCTCTTCCTTCTCTAAACTTTGTATCATTAAATTGACACTTTAAAACATTTTTGATTTATCCTAAATATACAGAACACATATAGACATGGATTCTTCTGATCTCTCCGACAGTAAGATTCTTCATGATAAACATTGATGCAGTAATATGTTTGCTAACATAAATCAAATAGTCCCAGCTGTTCGTCTCGCTTCTGGCGTTGAAATGCAACAAAGATGGCCATCATCATCTGTTCATAGCAATGATCCACAACAATCTCTGCATCAGCAACAACAGCAACAGCAACAGCAAAAGCCTACTGCTGGTGAAGCTCCTCGTCTCATTGAATTGGCACCTACGAGAGGTAGTCAAGGCACTGTTGTCACAGTTGTCGTGCAATCATTGCCTCATCAAATCGTTCCTGTCAAATTGGCTTTCAACAGTCTTGTTGTAGACACCAAGCAAATGCAAGCACAAGGCATCACTTCCCTCGTCGCTGCCGTTCCTCCTTTCCAGCATACGCACTCCACTACTGCTAATGTTCCCATCTCCATCTGCATGCTTGACAAAGACTCTGTTACTGAAACTTGGCCTGTAGCTGAATTTGTCTATGAGTTCGATACAAAGGACAACAGCACCACAGCCACTACCACACCTACCACATCTGCTTCATCAATCAACACTGTCAATGATTACAATAATGATGAGATGTCCAATGATATATCCCCCTATCCACATCAACAGCAACCTAGAGAGGAGAACTTTCTGGGTGGTGCATCTACTCCTTCCAACTATGACAGCTTCTATCAACAACCTGTCAGCAATTACAGCCAATACAGTAGCTACTACAATGCTCCCAGAGATGTGTACAATGACTCCAGTATGTATTCAATTCAGCTGTCATAATGTAACATGCACTAATTTGTTCTACCTAGAATACAATCAATACAGAGCCACTAATCAAGCTCGTCCTAGTCAACAACCCTTGAACCCATTGAACTATAACAACAGCACCATGAATCTCTTTGGCTCAAGCACAACTGGCTTTACTGGCATGTTGACTGGATTTGATCAAAACGAGTCTGTTCTCCCTACCTCGTTACCTCAAACTTCTCTTGGTTACCCTCAACAAGTGGCTGCTGCTGCTGCTGTACCTCCTCAACGCCAATCAGCTCCTACTACACCAACCGCTTATGGCTATGCTAAATCCTCTGTCCATGTTCCCACTACCTCGGTTGCCAATTATCAACCCTATCCCGGCCTTGTCAGTCGTGCCAATCTCAAGATCATGGGTGATCTGGATTCTATGGCCAAGAACTGGGCTGCTGATGAATGGGAGCACCGCCGTAGATTGGTTCAATTTTGGCGTGAACAGAATGGCAATGAGATCCGCTGTACATTTGACCCTGTTGCTCAAGGCGAACGTATTACCTCTAACAGTGGCCACATTGTTGTCTCTTGTATCTACTGGGCTGAACGCAACGATTGTTTCATCACCTCTGTTGACTGTATTCATCTCTTGGAGTCTCTTATGGACATTAGATTCAGCGTTGAAGAAAAGAACCGTGTCCGTCGTAACTTGGAAGGCTTCCGTCCATTGACTGTGAGCAAATGCAAGGCTGAATCTGCCGATTTCTTCAAGTTGATTATGAGCTTCCCTAATCCCAAGCCAAGAAACATTGAAAAGGACGTCAAGGTGTTCCCTTGGAAGACGCTTCCCTATGCCCTCAAGAAGATTGTCACCAAATACACTGCTTCATCCTACAACAGCAGCAGTAGCAGCAGCAGCAGCAATAGCAACGCTCAACATCAGCGTCGTGCTCAGTTGAAGAGCGCGAATGCCACACCTACAACTACTTCTGTATCTACTGGCAATACAAATACCACTTCCTACATGAATGTGCATCAGCAGGAGAACAACGTGGACAGCTTCTACTCCAATCCTCAATCCAATGTCTATCAACAACCACAACAAACATCATCACCCTTTGCATATCAACCATCACAGCCATCACAACAACAACAACAACAACAACAACAACAAGAACCTATTTCATCAATGTATCAAAGCTCCCCATCATCAGTTCCTGCATTTACAACTTCATCTTACACACAGTCTTCTCCCGTTCTTGATTCCAAGAATACACCTTCCCCACGCCTGCAATATCCATACAATGATATGCTGAATTCAAACGGTTCAGCAACTGGTGATTTAGCTGGCATGTCTGCCAAGGCTACCTCTTCTTCGTCATCGAATCAAGGATCTCCTTGTCTGGATAGACGCACCAGCCTCGACAATCAGCAAGACTATCTTGTCAATTTTAAGAATGAATAATCTCGCACGCTTTTCTCTTTTTTGCTCTTCCTCTTTTGTACATAATTTTTTGAATAAATCAAATTTAGATTACACTGTATTAGTATTGGCATTACATTGTGTCTCCTTTTTTTGGTGATATGGAAAATGGAATGCATGGATCACAGAAAAAAAAAAGAGATCAAAAATCAGGCCATTTTTGAACTACCTGTAAACCATATTACCCAGGCAGCAAAAGGGCCCCAACTGCCCTTTTTTTCAGGTAGTTACTAAAATCCGGAAATCGTTCTCGTTAGACAACGTAAAAAACGTGCAGCCTTGTTATTCTTATCCTTGTCCTGAATGTAGCATGCTAAAAGCAGTAATTTACATCGTCGTTTGATGTGCTCAAGATCGTAGATTCGCTGGTTTCATGCTTAATATCGCTCCGTTATATGCCAAAAAATGAACTTCCGGATATACCATTTGTCATAGTCAACGAAAAGGAGGTTTGTTGTGCAGTTTAATTTTGACATGTGGAATGACCCTTCTTGCCTTGCTTTCATATGTCGTATGATGTCACTTGCTATAGACAATTTTTGAATATTGGTATACATTTCTCATACTCGCTCTTATTTAATTCACATATCGAGGCGTGCAACCTTGATCAATCCTTCTGATTAATAATCTATTTGCTTCACTAGCCGATTAACTGGAACCTATCTGACACAAAGTTTCATCTGTTTAGGTAATAAATAAAAATGTTATGATTATACTACTTGGCCAATACTTTCGTATTCGGGTTTCATGAAGCTTTTGCCTTGTGTTAATTCCATGGGATTGATGCTTTCGAAATGTTTCAGTTATATATGGAACGACAGTAATAAATGGCCGTTAGCAAGCAAGAGTTGCATGATGAGAACCACCTTACCGTATCAGTATATGCAACATATATATTTTATCCAGCCTGAAACAGCATTAACATGACGATTCGATCTCTCCTTGAGAATGCGGCTATAGGTCCGCGCTGTAGGTCGTCTTACCTCAAGAAAAAAAGGGAAGAATCAGAATCGCAGTAAAGGAGAGTGATGTGATGGTCTTGATCTCGCAGATCAAGCATGGTTATCAGGTTTCAAAGCTGAATCTGTGTCCCTTAGATTGACCTTACTACATCATTCTTGTAGTATTGCGAAACAGCCTTCATTTTTGCATTGAAAATGTGAAGCAATCAAAGGGAAGGATGACTAAAACATTTGAAAAGCATTAAAATCAAATGTCTTGGTATTAAGAAACAAACGAACTGTTGGGATCCTTCGTATAATACACAATGTGTGAAACTTGTGTATGTTACTATGAAATAGCACATGTGCGGCTTCAAGAAGCCATCTCTTTGGAGTATCATTTGCTACATAGACGCAAGGGAATGCTACAAGAACTGCACTTGCTTTCTCGTACCTTTGATTTGGTTAAAGTTAATATACACTTTATCTGAAAGTAGCAAGAAATTGCAGCATTGGCAAAGGATTGCACTTCAAACAAAACTAATCTCACAGCATTCATATGGAAAAAAAAAGTGTTTATTGTTAATTTTACGAATAAATATGTAAACTTAATAATCATCCTTCAATCTTCTGGAGGCTTGACGGATAGCCCGGGCAGCTCTCTCTTCAGCATGACGAGCTTGCGCGTAATCCTCAGCTTCAATGCCATCTACAATAGCAGGGAAGACTTGAGAAGAGTAGCCAGTCCAAAGGCCAGGAGCGTAAACCACATGCTTGAACCAGTTGCGGCCTTGGATACCCTCAGGATCAATGAAACCACGTTCAAAGAATGTGAGGCGGTTGTTGGTTCTTGCTAAACGCTTAGCCAAGACTAAAGGAATAGCATCGAGAGACTTGTACTCAGCAAGGCGTTCTTCGAGGCGTTGTCTCTTGTGTTGGAAACGGCGTGTGGTCTTTTGCAGCTTATCAACAGCACTTTCCAGTTCAGGGAAGGTGTGAGGAGCAGCAAATTCAGTGAGTCTATCCACGTATTTGGCCAGTTCAGCACTGTAATCAGTGGGATACAAAGGCAACACAGGTGAATCGGCAAGGCGCAAGGTGAGCAAACCCCAGAGCTTCACAAGGGCCTGATGGTATAAGAACTCTGGATCACCAAACTTTTCCATCCAGTGGAAACTATCATAATTGCTGTGATACACGCCATAATCACCACTAAAGCCCAAGTTGATACTAGCAACGCCAACGTGATCCAAGAAGCCAACAAAGTCGGATCCAGATCCTAATTGACCAATTTCAGGGTTTTCATCTTCAGTGCGCTTTTGGTCTGCTCTCCAAGCATCAAGGACAGATCCACCCGTACGAGGATCATGAATATCAGAAACAACACTGTAAAGAATACGATTGAGAGAAGGAGATGCTTGGGCGTCAAAGTGAGAACCAGAGACAGCGGTATCAACATTGATGTATACAGCGGCTTCTTTATCAAGCCACTCTCTGTTATCTTCCACCCATTCGGTGGAACCAACAAGACCGTATTCTTCAGCATCCCATGATGCTAGAACAATTGTACGTCTAGGGCGCCAGCCAGTCTTCAAGAGTTCACCAAATACGCGGGCAAGTTCCATGAGCGAAGCAGATCCAGAGGAAGGATCAACGCCACCATACACCCAAGCGTCGCGATGATTACCCAAAATGATAGCCTTTTCAGGCTCCTGAGCGCCTTCAATGCGAGCAATGACATTCCAAATGGGCGTAATCTTGTTTTCAATATGGTTGACCAGAATAGCCTCACCTTCAGTAGGACCACTGAAATAATGAACTTCATCAAGGCCGCCAGCCCAATCTTCTTTACCGCGAACACCCAATCCTTGAGTAGCCTTAAGAATTGGCAAAGCATCTTCCCAAGATAAAGGCAATGAGGGGATCTTGGCCAAACCAGGAGAATCTTCTGGTTTGATACGAGTAGCATTTTCAGTGGCAGGATAGCCAGGAGTTAAGGGGTCACCAGCAAGAAGTGATAGGTATTGAACAGAACCTCTCTGAGCAGAGCTCTTGGATCTCCAAGGGCCATCAGGATAAGACTCGGCTGGATTTGAAGAGTTGTCCTTGTTCAATGGTCCATCATCAATGGGATCAGAGTAGATCAGCGCACCTGCACAACCAAAGATCTCAGCAACTCTGACTTTGAGGCCACGGAAGTTGCCACCATAGCGCATCAAAGCAATAGTACCGTTTAGCTCAATACCTTGATCCTTCAAGAACTGGAAGTCTTGCAAGCGACCGTAATTTGCATAGACAATGCGACCTTGAACAGTGCCGTTTTTGGAATAGCCGTGGAAGGTGGGAACCACATTGGGATTCTTGCTAGTTTCGTCTTCGTCCACTGGGTCTTCGGTCAGCTTGGCTTCGAATTGCAAGTGCTTGGGGCCAGAGACAATAGCCAAACGGTGAGAGACGGGATAGTTTAACAGTGGCCAGTAGGTGTCAATCTTGGTTTCCAATCCAAAACTTTCAAATTGGTCGCGAGTCCATTCAGCTTGTTTCTTGTCGTTGGGAGTGCCAGCCAAATGGGCTTCAGAGGTGTATGTCTTTAAATAATCGCGGACGCTTTTGTTTGAAGGTAAATCAAGGAAAATCTTTTCGGCATTTGTTAATCCAGGAGTTGGGGTAGCTGCTAAGGAGCCGAAAAAAAACAGCATGAATACTTCAGCAGATCATGGATTATCCGTCTATTATACTTACAAGGTTTCTTTGCATGATGCTTATTAAACCACAGTCCAACAGTAACTCCCAAGAGAATGAGAGCCAGCACAAGAGCTACAATAGTAGTTACAATGCGGAATGTGGTCTTTCTTGGAGGTTCAACAGTGCCTCTCTCGCGGTTCAATAAGGGAGTGTTTTCATCACGCTCTCCATTCCACTTTCTATCAAACCATTCGCGAGCTTGGTTCCAGCGCTGTTTGATTCCATTTCCATCCCCTTCGTCTGATGGTAATGAGATAGCTCCTGCCATTGTGTTATGTTGTATGATAAGGAGATATCGAAAAGAAGAAGAGATTCGAAATGAAAATTTGAAGCTAAAATATGGACACCACAGATTCGGAGTTGTGTCTGGTAAGAGATTATGGATGTTGAACGAATATGGCAATAAATGCCCTTGTTGATCCTTCAAGATACATTATGCTTTTGTCCGAAGGCTCGGCAGAATTTGACACTTGGCTCTCACAATTCTGCTTGGTGATTAATGTATTTAATTGCTTGCTATGAGCGATTTCTTTATTTGTGATGCCCTCCGTCATAAACACAGAGAATGACGAATGCTATCATGGAAATTGGACCATCATCCAAATTCATGCAATTTGCTAATGGATACACCCCATTCCAGGGCGGGTTATTCTTTTTCCATGTTCTGATTGTGTAGATCAAAATGGCTCCCATTCTATCATCTGATCAACATTTCTACCGCCTATTGCTATCTATATACTGAAAGTCCTCCTTTCAAACTATAAATTGCCGTGGGAGAACCCTTCATTACTCATCTAAAACTAAGAATTTGAATTTTCTTCGATGCTTCATGTCTGTATCTATGGGAACAATACATATATGCGCGGATAGCACACTTATATTATTTCTTACTACTGGGAACTGTGCTAATCACAGCGAAGTCTGGATGCATTTGAGCCGTGTTTTCTCCCGTTGGAAGCGGTTTTAGACCGCCAGAGTAGCACCAAACAGTTGCTCGCATCTAGCGCTTACTTTCTGACACTTTTGCTGAACTTTTTTAGGATCGTCGAAAATCGACCAAAAATCCATGAGGGATGCCTCATGATTTTCATCGAAAATCAAACGATCGCACTTTTCACGTCAACAACAAAGACTTTTACTATGGTACATATTAGATCAAAATGATGCTATTGATCTAGAGCAACGCCTGGAATTACTTTTATGAGACCTTCATATGTGAAATCTTGACATATTCGCCAAAAACCTGATTTCGTATTTACTGAATTTACTCGATAGATTTATTCAAAACACCTCTTATGAATGAGACCATTAGATGCGCCTTGAAAAGCACTCCAAGGAAGCTTAAGGAAGTATATGAATATCATCATAGCTTACATAGTCGAATTGGTCGAAATGGTTTAAAGAAGTCGAAAAAAAAACGAGATTTGACCAATCTAGAACGAAAATTGGTATTCGGAGATTCAATAATTTAGGCATTCAAGAATGCTTCTCATGACGACGAATGCAATGGTATTCGAAAGGGAATCGCAGGTAGTAGAAGAGTACTATTAAATCTATAGTCCCTAGATACTTTTATAACCCTGATATGAAAACTGAGTTGCCTGGCATCTGTCAGGCCTGGCTCATATATGATTAATGATTTTTACAATCAATCAACAAAAACCACTTTCACTTTTGTCATCTTTCCTCTGCTCAGTGCTGTCAACAACGCTTTTTTTGAACGACGACGACCTGAAGCCTCAGAGATTTTCCTATTTACTGCAGACATGTTATGCAGCCCATGAATCGTCAATGTCCAGATGGACGCTATTAAATGTAGAATGCAAGAAAGTAGCATGCTTAACAGTAATGCTATGATTTTTTTACCTACTTTCCATACGCTTCAAAAGCATCTATTACTGTATTGCCTTCATGATGAAAAGGGCATTGAGTTTGCCTGCCAACCCCACCAGCCAAAATTAATTCAAACCCAGAATAATAGTCTGTTCCAGATTGGCCAAATCTTGATGGTTTTGGACTCGATTGAACTATCCTTGCAGATTCGACTAAGTAAGATATAATGATCACCCTATGCTTCTTTAAGCTTTCTTGGAGTGCTTTTCAAGGCGCATCCAATGATACCAAGTAAGATCTATGTTTTGAATAAGCTTATTGAGAAATTTGTGAAAATATGAAAAGAGGTTTCTGGCCAAAACGTCGAAATTTTACATATCAAAGTCCCACACAGATGATTTCAGAGGTTGCTTTGGATCGATAGAAACATTTGATTCAAGATATACCATAGTAAAAGCCTTCGTTTTCAAGGTGAAAAACGCGATCGTTTGATTTTTAATGAAAACCATGAGGGGTACCTCATGCTTTTTGGTCGATTTTTGGCTATGTTTTTTTGATCCCCAAAAAGTTAAACAAAGGTATCAGCAAGTAAATGCTAGATGAGAACAGTCGTTTGGAGCTATTTTGGCAGCTTTAAAGGGCTTCTACCACCAGAAATCACTGCTCAAACGCACTCATATTTTGCTGTATTTGAGGCACTAAGGACTAAAAAGTGGAAGTACCAGTATGCTGCTTGCCCGTATATGAAGTAGCTACGTGTATATGGATGTATAGCACCACATTCGAATCAAATCCACAGATAACATGAAGTGTTTTCATGTGTAAGTAGAGGGTCAACATGAAAGTAGTAGTACTTTTAAAGATACGCAAGGGCAATCGGTAGCGCGAGCTGCCTCTGCGCAGGTTGATTCTCACCGAAGCGAAGCAAAAGTAAAGAGCCATTCAAAGCATAAATACGCGTTGTTATAAAGTAACTACTGGCAGCCATATGCTTTCAGTATTAGATAGGCAATTTCTTATATAGATGCGTATTGAGATCGAAATTTTGTGGCAATAAAGTGAACACTAGAGCAACGTAGTCATTATAGATACGTAAAATCAAATATATTTCTTGTTATTCAGACTTTAGATGTATGGATGGCAAGTTAAATACCATGTACTATAATAGGGCGTACAAACGGGTACAACCTTAGTATGGCTTGAGGCACAGTATAAACGGAAATGACTAATTCGTGTGAATTCAGCCAAACACGTCAGAAATTCTATACCCATAGATCAAACAATTAAAATTTACACATAAACATTACACTAATTTGTCAGCATGAATATCAAGCTAGAAGAACAAAGAGCTGTTGTTCATTAAGAATTTTTTATTCTTGAATAGCCATTCACTTGCTTCATGCTTTGTCTGACCGTCTGTATTGCGGTTGTACCTGGATCTGTAACTATCCTTGTTTCATGCGAGCACGCATTGATCCTCTGAATAGACCCTTTGCGAATTGCTGTCCATTGGTGTAACAATGATGTGGTGATAGCATTGAGGCAAATTCGTATATCTCCTATACAAGGATAGCTCCTCGGGGAAAAACTTCACCGAGAAGTATGCGAAATACACCATCTTGAGATTATCTCTATATGAATTTGTGCAAGAATTGCATTCTAACCATTACCCTAAAAGCGTCAATGCAAGCAATTATATACGTGGAACGATTATGTAGGGAAGAGATCCTCGGTACTGTAACTTATCTGCTACAATGATGATTATTGATAAAGAACCGCATTGTGGAAGATCCCTTTTACTGCTTTACCATTGTACAATCGCATAACTCCGAGAGCATCACAACACATCATATCTATTGCATAAATACACATTCTAGTTTGTATCCCTTTCTTCTTGCTTTTTATATATTTCAAACATTGCTGAAAATGACAGGAGCTAACTCACTACCGCCTGGTGATGGTAGTCATGGAGATAGCATCAAACACAGTTGGAATCAAGCTCGTATATGGTTTGAAAAGCAATGGAATGGGCAAGACGAAACGACCCCCTTATTGTACAATGAACGAGATACTAATGCTGACCACCGTCAACAAGCTCGTCGCAAAAAGACAGCATTTCGTCTACTGGTTACCAATATCGCATTGATGATAGCTCTCGCCTTGTTGGGCGTTTCCTTTGGTTTCTGGTACAGTAAGCGTTCGGCACAAAAGCCAGGTACGTATGTTACATGCACCTGCTGTAAATTATTCATGCTGACCCTTGGCTCATTGTAGTAACATCATCACAGGCGGAAAAAATCTTGCTCGATTCGCCCTCCAGAGACAATTTGCGTAATTATCTCAAGATATATACCTCTGAAGCACATTTAGCAGGTACTCCCAACGACAAGAAACAAGCTGAATGGACTCGCAATCAGTTTGAGAGCTTTGGATTGAAAGCCAATATTAATACGTACTGGCCACTGTTAAATTATCCCATCAACCATCGCTTAGCACTTGTCTCTGGTCCCAAACATTTACGATTTGAAGCCAAGTTGACCGAAGACCCTGTTGAAGACGACGAGACGAGCAGAGATCCTAATGTAGTACCTCTGTTCCATGGCTACTCCAAAAACGGCACTGTTCAAGGTCGCATTGTCTATGCAAATTACGGTCGCTTGCAAGACTTCCAGTTCTTGAAGGATCAAGGTATTGAGCTAAACGGTACTATTGCTTTGATGCGCTATGGTGGCAACTTCCGTGGCCTCAAAGTCAGAGCTGCTGAGATCTTTGGTTGTGCAGGTGCGCTGATCTACTCTGATCCCATTGATGATGGACCATTGAACAAGGACAACTCTTCAAATCCAGCCGAGTCTTATCCTGATGGCCCTTGGAGATCCAAGAGCTCTGCTCAAAGAGGCTCTGTTCAATATTTCTCAGTGATTGCTGGCGATCCTTTGACCCCTGGCTATCCTGCCACTGAAAATGCTACCCGTATCAAGTATGAGGATTCTCCTGGTGTGCCCAAAATTCCCTCGTTGCCTTTATCTTGGGAAGATGCTTTACCAATTCTTAAGGCTACTCAAGGATTGGGTGTTCGCGGTAAAGAAGATTGGGCTGGCGGCCTTGATGAAGTTCATTATTTCAGTGGTCCCACTGAAGGTGAGGCTATTCTGGTCAACCATATTGAAAACAAGATTACGCCCATTTGGAATGTCATTGCTCGCATTGAAGGCGCTCAGGAGCCTGAAAAGGCTATTATTTTGGGTAATCATCGCGACGCTTGGGTGTATGGTGGCGTTGATCCTTCCTCTGGATCTGCTTCGCTCATGGAACTTGCTCGCATATTTGGTGAACTCTTGAAGACTGGCTGGCGTCCACGTCGTACCATTATACTAGCTTCCTGGGACGCTGAAGAATATGGTCTTGTTGGCTCCACTGAGTGGGTGGAAGACAATGCTGAGTGGCTTGATAAGGAAGCTGCTGTTTATGTCAATGTCGATACTGCTGTTTCGGGATCTCACTTTGGCGTTCAAGCATCTCCTTCATTGAATCGCATCCTGTATGAAGTGACCTCTGAGATTCATGACCCTCGTACTGGCAAATCAGTGTTTGACGCATGGAGTGCAGATGAAAAGCTGGTGGGTCATGAGCATCCAGAAGTGTATCGATTGGGATCTGGTTCTGACTTTGCTCCCTTCCTGGATCACGCAGGCATTGCTAGTGTCAACTTTGCTTTCCGTGGTGATTACGGTGTATACCACAGCAACTATGACAGCTTTCGCTGGATGGAGAAATATGGCGATCCAGGATTCTATTACCATCAAGCCCTTGTCAAGCTCTGGGGTCTGCTTGCTTTGCGTCTCTCTGACTCGCCTGTCTTACCTCTCTACCTTAATGACTACAGTGCTGAAATTGCCAAATATACTGCGGAGATCACTGATTTAGCTGCTCCTCAGACATTCCCTGAATTAAAGGTCGCTGTCAACAACCTTCAAAGTGTCACTGGTGATTTTGAGGAATACAGACAAGGCATTGAGAAACTTATCTCTCAATACGAGTCATTGGATGACATCCCTCTCAAGTTGTCCAAGGATATGAAGAAAGTAAATGATCATCTTGCTTTCTTTGAGCGTGGTTTCATTGACCCCAAGGGCAACAAGGATCGTGATTTCTTCAAACATGTCATCTTTGCTCCTGGACTTTGGCAAGGATATGCTGCTCAAATCTTCCCTGCTATTGCGGATGGCATTGAAAACAACAACCGCAAACAAGCTCGCCAGGCTGGAAAGAGAGCTGCCTGGGCAATTGAGCAGACTGCAAGCTCATTTAATGGATATCAGCAGTCGCAATAAATTGATTTTGAGACCTTTTGTATTTGTAAAAGCATAATCGAGCGATTTTTATTTGAAATACTATGTTGCAAATGTAGACAACAAACTAAAACTTGAAAACTCTGTCTTTCGAGTAGCCTAGTTCCTTGAGGATGCCGCCAAGTTTACCTTGACTCATCAGAATGGTTTCGCCTGCTATTGATTTGACCATGGGAGGAGGGCCACAGACAAAGATGATAGAGTCTTCTGCTTGTGGGCTAGGTAAATGTTCTTGAATGACCTCCTTGTTGACAAAACCACTGACACCTGTCCAATTTGTTGGTGCTTTATCCAATGCATACACTACTTTGAAACGATCAGGATGCTCCTTTGCGATTTTGTCCAATTCATTCTTCAATAATATATCTTGTTCGGTTTGGTTCGCGTATATCAGAGACACCCTAACATTCTTGTCGGTGGAATCTTCGTGAAATATTCTCTTGATGATTTGTAGCATGGGAGTAATACCAGTGCCACCAGCGATCATGCCCACGTTTTGCTTTTGGGTATTTTCCCAATCATATTTGACCATAGGGCCCTTGAAATCAAGTGTGTCTCCAGGTTTCATAGTGTGAATAAGAGGTGTCATTGCTCCATCATCGTACTTTTTGATCATGAAATCAATATGTCCTGCCGTCTGTGTAGAAATGCGTTATTTGTCTGATCCCGTAGATTGTAGTCTATACTATTAACTAACCTTCTCATCAGAAATGGGCGTGTAGGGTCGAAGAACAGGCAAGAAGCCTCCTGAAGAGTGTTTTACAATAACACAAGAGGCTACAGGAAGACCAGAAGTCTGGCCTTCAGGAAGAGCAAAACGGAATAGACTCGTGTTATGAGTGACAGGCTGAATATCCAAAAGCTATCAACAGTCTACGTTAGTATATATATATATATGCTTTACAAACCGTATATAACGCACATTACCTTGAGAGAGACAAAACCCCTTGATTTGAATACAGACGATGACCTATCTTCTTGTAATGGGCATGTCTTGCCTTGCTTCTTGTTGTAAGCAATTCCACTTACAAAGCCAGCACCAAGCAACCCTAATAGCAGACCGTTGCTTAATCCACCCTTTTTGGCTGGAGTTTCTGTGGAGTACTGACGCACATTGCGAAATGCTTGTGCCTGCATGAATGTGCATTAAAAAACTAAATAATTTCATTTGACTAACGAGAGGGTTACCTGTGAAAATCGCAATGCTGGGCTTTGGGCAGCTTGACGGATACCCTTATTTATAGTTGATGTAAAGAAACGCATTTTTGTAGTATCTAGGTGTAGATTTTACACAGAAAGAGATTCGAGTGGACCCTGTTTATACATTTGCATTTACATCGGCCACGGCTCACTAAATCATCCGAATTATCCGATCCGTGCTATTGTTCTATACATTTCAAGTGAAATGGCAAATAATTAAATCTCATGCAAAACGAAAATACGGGATGATTCATAAATACGTATAGCATGGGTTACTATGACTCAAATACCTATCGCTGCCATGGTTTCACAAATAAATGTGGTATTTTTTCTGGCCTATACGGATTGTTAATGTTAAGATGCTTTCGCAATCTATATGAAATCTAATGTTTCAAATGGAAGTACTCTCGTCCTTTTCTGTACTGTATAACAATCTCATCCTTTAATGGAGATACCAAGAGCATCGGATAAAGATTCATTTACAGCTTGCACAGTAAATCTTGGCAGACCATAGATCTATCATCGTGCGACCGGCTTGATTAAACTCATCCTCAACCAGATAGTGAAGCCTTTTCTCGAATGGATCAAACTTAAATTGAAGTATGGCTGTGTCAGTCCGAATATTGAAAAGGCAGCACTGGCTTATTGTTGGAAAGCTATTCAGATGAGTGGAGCCAAACTCTGCGAAAGGCATGTTGCTTGTAAATCCCATCCCAACCCCTAATATTGGTAAATCATCTTGGATCCGTTGCACTTCAAAGATGTACATATTGCTTATGTACTTGAGACGTCGTGACAATTGAGACAAGAATTGAGGATGCAGAACGACCAAGAATCTCTGCAAGAAAACCGCTTAACTCTTGACTGTGTCGATTTGTCTAGCAGTGTATGAGTTATAGTTCGTTAGCCTTTTTACCAAAATATATATATTGTTGTTTGGGAGGCTCTAACACAGCAATTAGGCGTTCGTTCTTTGCAATGCTATCGGGGATCAGGTATATTGATTCGTACAAATGGCCCTCAGCGACTCGTCTTCAAGCCTTGTATGTGAGTTATAATTGTAAAAAGGTGTTTGTGTTGAGTAGGGCTATGGAGAACACTATCTTCTGCATCTCTTTTAGCAGCTGAGTTCATGCTGCTGGAGAGTGTTGCATGATGTTGATAGCATAGAAAAACAAGAAACACAGACATCCAAGGTTAGAGCTTTTTGAACAGCTCAGTCTGACTGTTGCCATTTATACCCCAACAATGGACAGATCATAACCTTCTCACTATTGATCTGACCACACCTGGCATCAAGTTGGGCCCTGGAAGTTTGTGCTTTAATCCATACCTGCTGTTAAATCGCTTTTTGACAATCTTCCTGCGGAGGCGAAGCTTCATAAGGACGAGGCACAGAGGATGGTGGAACCCCCCTTCCCACCTCAAACTCGGTCTTGCTACTGCTTGATCATGCACACAAGAACAAGTGTTCAGGTTTGGATGGCCTACCCTTCGAAGTATACCTGTACCTGTTTTCCAAGTTTCCTCCAATTTTGTTCCTCTTGACACAACTACTGACAGATGCCTTATATGGTATTTTCCCTGACTCTGGGAAGCAGACACGTATTGTCCTGCTATTTAAAAAGGTAGATCCTGAACTATTGAAAAACTGGTGCCCCCTCTCACTAATGAATAGCGACGCCAAAATATTTACCAAAATGCCTGCTAACCGCTTCAATCGTGTCCTTTCCCGGCTCGTTATACTATACCAAACGAATTTTATGCCACACCGTCTAATCCCGAACAACACCTGGTTGAATCAAACCTAGTTGCACAACCTTCGCCGATCCCCATGTTGCTGTGCTCTTGAATCAAGAAAAGGCTTATTGTATTCTTATACCACATCCATTTTGAGCGTTATATTCTAATATCACAGCCACTCTGAGCGTTATATTCTTGTATTACAGCTATTCTAAGCGTTTCATTGTAATACTACTATGATTTCAAAGCGTGGTAGTCTAACACCACAGCCCCTTCAAGCATTGCACCCTATATATGTACACATTTATGCCTCATTGTGCTATGATGATACAATACAACAGTACCACTCAGCCTAATACTTCCAGCTGAATATTTAAATGTAGCAGCATGCTCTAAATCTTGATTAATGCATACAATGCCTTGTGCCTTTGTATTGGTACAAGAACGCGCCTATTTGCAAGTGAATGTATATATCGCAGCCAAATTTGACAAATTTCAAGTCTTCATATCTTGACATGAAGATCTTTCTGAGCCACCAGAATGACACCAAACAATTATACGCGAGTATTAGTAACTTCCTGACACCTTTGCTCAACTTTTTGGGCCAAAAAAAACATGGCAAAAAATCAATCAAAAACCATGAGGTAGCCCTCATGGTTTTCACCGAAAATCAAACGATTGCATTTTTCACTTTGAAAATGAAGATTTTTACTATGGTAAACGAGCCTTTCAGCACTTCGGGTGGTTTCCTGACCTACGCTTCGCTTCGGTGGAAACCAACCTACGTTCAAACGGCTCGCGCTGCCGCGGGCCTTTGGCTAATATCCCAAAATTAATAGAGCTAAAATGTTAGAAGAGGAACCCTGATTGTTGATTGATACATAATCACTAATCATATGAGTGTTTATGCTTCGGATGGTTCTCACCGAAGCGTAGCGAAGGTAGAGAACCAACCTGCGCAGCGGCAGCTCGTGCTACTGATTGCTCTTGCGTATTTTATCAAAATACTGCTACTTTCATTTTGACCCTCCACTTACACATAGTAACCCTTCATATTATCTGTGGATCTGATTCTTATGTGATGTTCTACATCCATATACACGTAGCTACTTCATATACGGGCAAGCAGCATACTGGTATTCCCACTTTTTAGTCCTTAGTGTCCCTAATACAGAAAGTATGAGTGCGTTTGAGCTGAATTTTCTTGCGTTCAAGGCCGTTTTAGATCGTCAGAATAGCCCCAAATGGTTGCTTTCATCTGGCAGTTACTTTCTGACACTTTTGCTCGACTTTTTGGGGACCAAAAAAACATGGTCAAAAATCGACCAAAAAGCATGAGGTATCCCTCATGGTTTTCATCGAAAATGAAACGATCGCATTTTTCATCTTGATAATGGAGACTTTTACTATGGTATATCTTGAATCAAAATGTTTCTATCAATCCAAAGCAACCTCTGAAATTATCTTTGTGGGACTTTGATATGTAAAATTTCGACATTTTGGCCATAAATCTCTTTTCATATTTTTACAAATCATTCAATAAGTAAATTCAAAACATCTATATAACTTGGTACCATTGGAAGCGCCTTGAAAAGTACTCCAGGAAAGCTTAAGGAAGCATTTTTTTTTTTTTGTAGGGGAGACGAGCTCCAGTTTTTATTTAAAGTCCTTTAAATGTCGTGCTGAGGGATAGAAAAGACTGGATATAGAGACAAAGGATCGGATGGAAAATGGGTTGGAAAAAAAAAAAGGTGACAGAAGAATGAACGAAAAGGTAAAACTGAATACTTACGAATCAAGATTTAACTCGGCATCCAAACGAGCAAGAGAGCGAGCAAGGCGAAGTTGAACGGTGTCAGCGATGAACGGGGTTCGGTCGAAGATCCAGCGCCAATGCGCTTGCCAAATTGTCAAAAGAGTAGTTGCGAATAGTTGAGGAATAGAGAGTTCATTGAACGAGAGAGAGGGATCACGATCAAGAAGAGGGGAAGAACAGAGTAAAGTTTGTTGTAAGAAATGAATCAGATCAACATCAGAGATTGATGGAGAAGCAGAAAGATAGGTGTGATACATGTATCGCCAGACCAGCAACTTGGGAGGACAGGAGAACAGAGCATGTGTGATATCCTCCGTGGGAGAGGCAGGGCAGATTGTACAGAGGTGAGAAGGGTGATTGTCAGGAACGCGTAGATGTAGGAGGGCTCTGGTGGGGATTTTTTCATATATAGCCCGATACCAGACCGTGCGAGCAGCAAGGGGAATTGCGAGTGTCCAGAATGAGCGCCATTGAGGAGGTTGGAGAGGAGAAAGAGAGGAGGAGGAAGAGGGTAGGTTTTTGCGTAGTTTTTTAAAAAAGCGGATGCTGTTGAGTGGCAACCGACTACGCGAAGGCGAGGAAGAAGGAGGGACGAAAATGCTACGGCAAAACGCCCGCAGAGAGGGAGGTTGATGAGGGTCTAGGGCTGGACGGGGAGCAATGAAGCATTGCTGTGCAAAGAAAGGTTGGAATATCAGTTGACGAGAATTGATGAAATCAGCAACACGTTGGGAGACAATAGGATGGCTAGCAAATTGGAAGGAAGAACGAACACGAAGCACCTGATGATCAGCATCTAACCGGAAAATGTCGCTTACAAGAAGCTTCTTTGCAACGTTGGAGCCGTCTAAGAGAAGATTCGGTGGTATAAAGCTAGATGAATAAAGAGTATTAGTAGTAGGTAGTGAATGTAAAAGAATATCATAGAGAGGAAGTGAGTAGCAAGTAACAGCATCAACATATAAGTTATGACGCTCTGTTATCTGGAAAAGTGACAAACAGGACTGAAGATTAGTAATTGGATTGAGATAGCTGTGTCGACGGGATGGGCTTTGAGGAAACCACGACCGATGGCGAGCATAAGGCAACAAGAGATAGTAGAAGAAATGAGGGAAGACGGTGGAGGAGTAGCACCAAGAAAGAGTATAAGTTAAGACAGGAAGCGAAGGAGTGTTGTACTTGGAGAAGGCCGGAGAGTCAAGATATTGAAGTAATAGAGGGCACACCCAGTACCATTGCAGAGCTTGTTGTTGAGAGAGAGGATCTAGGAGCCCCAAACCACCGGCAGAGCGAGGTAAAGAGAGAGTAGCAAAAGAGAGTCTAGGGAATATACGAAAATTAATGAAGGCGGTACCCAGGCTTCGTAAAGAGAGCAACTGGGCCTTGGTAAATGTTGTGAGTCGTAAAACATGCCATAATTTGGAATAAATGAGTGAATTGAGAATGGTAGCACGGCCACGGATGGAGATGTTGCGTTGTGAGTGAAGAGCAATGGCATTTCGGA